AATTTCAGATGTGGTCTACGATTATGCAGTTAGTTATAAGTAACACGCACAGTAAAGAAGGCTAGCAGAATATATGAAGAAAATTATGAAACGATCCTGACCTTCCACAATGATTTATTTATAAGGGGTATAGATATGGGTGGGTATATGCTTAATGGCAAGTAGCAAGCACGCCAAAGGGATCGGAACCTGTGCGAAAGTTATCAGATAGATAGGGGTGGTATTGAAGGATAAAAACATACCTGGGTAATACCAAAATGTGACAGCGAGGATAACATATAGACCTAGAAGTTCGAAAATGAGCGATTTTTGTTCGAATTTTTTTTTGCCATTGTCGTACCCATAAGGATGAAGCCTTCGAGCCAATTCGATTTACCATCCTGCACCACATAGTTGACGGTGAGAACTGCAGCAAAAAAAGTCAGTGCGTGACAATAGCGAATTATACCGAGCCTTTACCTGCGAGAAACATGGCAACTGATTCATAAGGGTCAAACAATAGAGTCATTGGCTTTCCTATGATCCAGCCCAAGGTTACGATAAAGCTAGCAAGGAGTTAAGGGTGCAATCACGATCCAATCAAGTTATGACGTACGGAATGACAAAGAGAGCGATTTGCTGGGAAGGAAATGAAATAAAATTTGATTTTCTTTTTTTTGGACAAACAAAACTCACAATGCTAGAGCCAACAGCGACACCCAAACTCAAGGTCAATTTATCCTTCACTGAAACGGTAACGGCCGTTAGATGCTCTGTGAATCAATCCTTAAAAATGTGAAGTAGAAATGATAAATCGAATAATTACCAGCGGCATTGCCCACAATAGGTAGGAGTATCATCCCAACGAACTCTTTGCTGATGCCGTGGGTTTCCGTAAGACCATTGATCGAATCAACCAGCCATTCAGCGGTTATGGCCACAAGCTGTAGATGGCATAGTGTCATTGCGAGCGAGAAGAGTCAACGGAACATACCACAGTTACGGCGGCCAATAGAAGAATGGTCATCCAGGCTGTCATTTGAGGTTCTGCTATCTCCTCGTCTTCGGCCGGAGTTTCCTCTAAATTAGTTCCCTGAGCTTCCTCAATATTAGTTTCCTGAGCTTCCTCAATATCCGAGAAACTGCGGGCGATAGAACGAGGGCTAGTAGCAGTGGCACGACCACCAAAGGTCATACCCTCCTTCGTCTTCTCTTTGAAGAATCCAGTTGCTGCTGCCTTCGTGTTTGCAACGAATGTTTCAACTACATCCCTATCTTCCTTGGCTTTCTTTACATATTTTGTTGACTGAATGGCGTTGTCGTCCGAGTACAATTCGGTGTGTGAGTAAAGTTGGAAATATAGGTAGCCAAGGTAGACTGTTCAGATGATAAGTCTAAAATAATGCCTTAGTCGCTACCTGAGACTTACTGAAAAGAAGAATTATGGCGACCTGTGAACGAGATGAATGCCTTCGTGAAAAGGAAGAAGAAGGCAGAACTCACACCATGGCTAACTGACAAAATGTCCGCTGCCTCGGTTGGGTTATCTAGTTGTGGATCAGCGGCGAAGTGGAAAGCCGCCGGCAGGAGAACCCCGATGACACTGATTGTCAACAACGACGAATTGAGTTGTGTGGCACCTACGAAATACGATAAGTAGGGCGGAAATGTTCACAAAAACGATGAGCGCACTAATTCCAAAGCCTTGTTCTGAGTACTTCAACCCTCCTGCAAAAAAGCACATGCCCAGGACGAGTACTGGCAACGTCAACGATTAGATCTCCAGGCGGTTGAAAGAAGCTAGCGTGCGCACACAGGTTGCTGAGGACAGAGCCGACCACTGGAAGGTAAAAATAAGCTTTCGTACTGCAAGCGCTGATCGATCACTTTTGGGCGTCTACCCTCCCGATCGCAAGAATGACGTAGGATGACGGACTTACATGATGCTTGTACAATTCGCAATTCACATTTCACGAGGGCAATAATCTGTAACGGCATCGTTATCTATCAAATTTTAGTTTTTGTCGATGCTTACTGCAACGATTAATTCAACGCTAGCAAAGTGTTGAAACTTTGTCAATAATCAACCAGCGATTATATAGAAGGAGACATACGCGTTTCCCTAGAGCAAGAGTTTTATTTAGCCTGAAGTGATTCAAAGGGGTACGAGAACACTCACAAGAGTAGCATTAAGAAGTCCAGCCAATGTCTGACCCACTCGGATTGATAGTTCATCGGTGGCAAAGGCCAATAACTGCGTCACATTAATCAAATCAACGCTTTGTATGCTACAAAAAGCTCACCTTCGCTAGGGGTATTATAGAAAAAAATGAAACTATCGGCCGCAGGTAAATCAAAATCGAAATCTTGCTGAAAACCACTCACAGATAAAAACGAGGGTGTCTTTGTTCTTGTTTGAATCTGGAAGAGCCCAGTGTAGGGCCCACTAGAAGAATCTGAGAACCTGGGGAACTTCGAGAACGGCGACGCTCACTGATACGGGTATACACACGAGAAGAAGATTCAACCCTGCGGCGGTTGAGCGAAGAATGTATCGTGGAGGCGAATGTAAGCTCACATGATGCGATTAAGATGGCCTTTAAGCTCTTAAGAAAAGTAGGAGGTGGTGCAAGTTTCTTTTGTGGGGTTAGCATCAAGGTCGTTTGGCGGCGTATGTGCTCGAAACGGGATCCTGAGCTTGTTGCGTTGCGCGTCGATCGTCTATGAGAGGGTCCCCTAGTGGGCGGATATGCAGTTCTGGTCGGTGAGCTTGGTTGGTCGGGTATAGTGTGGTCCACAGCCGTAGTTTCGTCGCCCGCTAATTCTGTAGGTTTTGCAATGATAATTGTGGTCAGCCTGCCATAGAAACAGCTTCATGATAGGAAACACACCCATTTTCAAGGGTATCGATCAGGACTCCTGTGAAGTCTTTGCTGTGGGGGGTGAGAACGCTGTCTTATGAGAGATAAACGCTATGCGGTTGAGTGGAAATGCGGTGTTATTTCTTTATATAGTTAAGGAGACGTCCCTGACAAGGTCACAACACCTGTGCTAGGTCTTGGAGACTTTCCCACGGTGTTCACCCCCCAAATTGTTGCTTATCTCCAGATCTGGCCGCCTTTCCAACATGCCAAGTAGATATTCTGAACGCTATGATGCTCGCCTATCTGCCTCATTGCAATGCCGACTCCACTTGTTCACCCGATCGTCACAAAATCCGTCACTATCTCTTCACGTGGTCATCAATGAGGCTGGTGTGTCCGACTCTTTCCCGAGCAGCACGACAAGGGGGGGCTCTCGCCCAAATGTAAAATGCAAATATTCAAATCTCGGACATTTTATGCCAGGCCATGCAGTGCTTCCGTGGAACGCGGCCCTCGCCACTTTGCTGCGATGAAGCGGTGTTTGTTGTGCTTCTATTTATCCACTGTCAGGGATTATGGCAATGCGACTTTTTTGTGGGTGTGCGGGAAGATGTGGGCAAGCAGGCAGGTGCCAATTGAATTTCCCTTGACTCTGAGTGTGAGGCATAGTGAGCGAAAGCCCCTGATAGCAATGAAAAAAAGAAAGAAACACTGCGAGCAATAGAAGCATACTCTTTTTGTTTTCAAAGGCTGCATAGGACTTGAAAGTGGCAACTCTTGGGACGCACAGATGTGGATCCGGATCCACTAGTTGACAATGTTGCGTGAATGACAGAAAAGTCCAACAGATGAATTGAGACGCATTAGCCTCCTGTTAGCATTTTTATTGTATCTGCTATAGACACTCGTATATATCTACGCACAGGTATGAGCACCAGCACCCAAGGTCAGTGCTCATAATTCACTAAGTGGCATATCAATAAATCAATATCAATCAATAACAACGGAAAACCTTCGCCGTCGGACCATGACAGTGGAGAAAGGTCATTTTGTCTTCGAACCATGATGGACAGAAGGGCACATAAAACCCTCTGAGATCGAGCAACCTGAAGATGTTGGTGAGATACCTCTCACTGGGGGAAGTACCCAGCTTGATTTGGCCCTTCAACCCTGATAGGCAAAGGAAACAGCCCCATATAAGCCGTCTTCTCGACCGAGCATACCATAGCCATGTAAAACCTTGCTCGGGCCATCAATATCGCCGATGCAGCATACCACAGGGGAAAAACTCACCTCCATTTTGCGAGCATGCCATCCCACACCGCTGCTGACATTCCCATTGGCGTCAGAGAGCTTCTCCATTTCTACCCTAATAGGGTGTCCGGGTGGCAGATCTCTCCTTAAGACACTTCCTTGACCAGAGCCCGGCTCGGCAACCCATCCGCTAGCGGTGTCAACATACCATCCCCGACCTCCTTTGCTGCGGACGATCCGCCATGCGCCTGCTCCAGCGCCAAGGCCGCAGAGCATAGCCGTCGAAAGTTCGATAACGCGCAGCCTCGTTGGCGGTGGTTGTGGAACGGGTGTAGTTGTCAGACTAAATGAAAAAGGCGGTGTGCATAGTGGTTTGATGAGGTGAGTGTGTAAAGCGATCGAGGATTGCCTTGATTGGCCATTCATGCCAGTACGAACAATGTCAAGTTCCGGAGATGTATTGATCAAAGTCAAGATCTCAACAGTGGGCGCCTTGTTCTTGAGGAAGTCGGTGACGGCCTTTAGTTCAAGTTGTAATACATGCGAAAGGCCAAAGGAACGGAGCTTGGGCTGAGGCTTGCAGAGGGAGAGAAGGCTTTTGTCGATGGGGGCACTTGACAAGTCCAGGTATAGCAACTGCCCACTAAGGAAGCAAGGAGCGAGCGTAAATATTTCTTGCAAGTGCTCCACAGTGAGTGGGGAGATGTATGTCATATCGCCGTAAAGATTGAGCTCAGTCAGCTCACTGGTCACCGGAGAGTCAATCAACAAATGTCTGATGCTTTCACTGGTGAGCTTGATACAGCGAGCGAGAGCGAGTGATTTCAACCGCACGGTCCGAGAGTCACCAAGTGACTCAAGGATGTCGGGAGTTACACGAGTTCCAGAGAGGTCAAGATGGGTCAGGGAAGGAAAAGCTAGAACAAATGGCCCTAGATAGCGAGGTAATATTGATTTGACGCCGCGCAGACCAAGTCTCCGGAGTCCGGGAAAGGTCAGCTCGTCAATTACTACCCGTCTAGAACGGCGACCCCCGCTCTCCTCTTCACCACCGGAATTGCTATCCGCGGGTGGCAGCAATTGAGCGTTCACGAAGTCGGTGAAAGCATTAACAAAAACAGCACTGACACAACCTGTAAGATCAACAGCCTCAAGGTCCTTACACTCTCTTCGTCGTTCTCGGTCCTCCTCCTCGACGTCATGGCTGTCGATCAGTGCACGGCCACGACTAGGACGGCCTCGACCGCCTGAAGGGGTACCACGGAGGAATAGCTCATTTAGCACGGGAAGGGTGAGTGCCCCATCCATATATTCAGTAGCACCGAATGCGGTAAGGTTCGGCAATTCCTGTTGTTCCAATAAGCACCGTCATTCTATAGACAACGTCGAAATACTCACTTTGAGTAAGGCCTGAACACGGTCGCCTGTTACGAAACGGCTGGTAACGCCCTCTTCCACTGAGCGACGCATGCCGATTGTTCGAAAGTGGTTAAAATCGAGATGGCGAACATATCGTCCGGGACGAGGGTCTACGGGAGTAGGTACTGTTTTATTGTTTAGCAATGGAACGATAGTGGCAACTTAGATATACCTACCATACATTCCAGGAGAGCGACGATCCATGACATCTTGAATAGCGTCGTTAATGGAGCGCAAAATCTTCCAACGCGCTGGACTCTGGCTCTTCGGCCTCAAACGCCTGGGACTGGGGTCGCGAGACGGAACGGGGGACAGCAAGTCGGGGGATATCGCGGTGTCGGGAGAGTCATAAGAGTCAAAAAGACTTTCTTCTAGCTTAAGAACCGCAGCTTTGTCTGCGTCGGACGAGCTTGAAGCAATGGCAGCGTTTGTTGCAGCCTTGATAGTTTTGTCCATGACAATGTCGACGGTCTCCTCTTCGTAATTCCAGGCTATTTCTTCCACAAGAGAAAGCCAGGTGCGGGGTAAGCGGACTTCCAGCCTACACAAAATAGTCACTCGGAAAGAAAAAGTCAAGGGGCTAAAGAACGCACTTGTGCCAAAGCCATGGTTTTGCAGCTTCGTACCAAGCATGATTGACGAGGCAGAGGTTTGCTAGCGTGCGGCGTGTCACTGGCTCTGACCAACTACCTGGGGGGGCCGAGGACGGATGTGCAGTTGGGATACCCGTTGCGCTCGTTATGAGCGGGTCCAGCGACGGGTCGGCAGCGTGCAGACCAGAGGCGTAAACATGGGCACAGATGGCGTAGAGCAATTCAGACGGATACTCGATGGTGGACATCCAAGAAAGTTGATGCGGATTGTTGGCATTTTCTTTGACTCAAGGGATTATATATCTGATGCAAAGGTCCGCCGTCACGCGAGGAATGCGGAGAATAAAACGAAATGAGGATGCTGTCCTTTTTCGGCATGTCATGATGCCAATTTGTCCCGGATCTCGAAATCCGGCTTTCATCCGTCTCCGAACACCCGTCTTGACATTCGTTTACGCGACATTCTCAATCCTTCGTGCTCAAGCGCTCAAGTATCAGTACAAAACTACAGCGCTGAATGCCCTTGCGATTCGCAATTGTGGATGATTTTTGCAAAAAAAAACAATGTGGTCATATGACCCGATCACTTCCTTGGCATACTTCCGCCTACCGCACGGCGCAAGGTAGCGCAAGGTTGGCGTCATCCGACCACTCTCAGGTCTCCAATAATCCTAACCAGGGTGCTCGCAAAGTGCAGAAAATTTGCCATGGCTTTCGTTCCGTAACCGGGGTCTTGTGACCTGTTTACGTCCTGCTGTTGGTCGAAAATCTTTCCGGCTGTCGCAACCCTCCTGCAGGTCCTTCACCCCTGTAAACTTTACGTCCGCATTAAGATGGTTCACTTCAAGTTTACTTCATACTTGCTTCAAACTGAGGGACAACGTTCGTTGAACGTGAATTCCCCATTGGACGGAATCCCTTAAAAAATAAATAACAACGTGCGTTCACATTATATCATCAGCCTGTAGTTCTCATCCTGGAGAAGATGTCGTCGGAATAGGGTCAGAATAAATCTGCTGCTTGAGCCTTGACCTGCCCTTTGCTTTCTGTAACTACACAGTAAGTACCGAAAGTGGTCAGACACCTTCAGTCACGCTATCTGACCTGTAGTTGTTCTTGAATCTGCAGACGGTCAGAAACTTGTCTAGACTTGTTCCGGTCGAAACCGATTCTGGTGATGGTCTCCCTGTTATCCCCAGAGGGCCACGGCCTTCAAAGGGAACGTACACTTCATTTGAATCGCCTTTGTTTGCAGCATGCGTCATGCCAGTGTCATGCTGGTGAACATTTTTTTTGGAGTGTGACGTTGTCAAGTTGTGAACGAGTGAGTCACTCCAAGCTGTTGTAAAACCGAAAATCAAGATGCGGAGTGAAATACTGCAATGACGATGGCAACCCAAATCTGCTGCGTAGTGGATGACGGTTGGCTCTCCTCAACACAGTCAACAAATCTTCGAGTCTTGCTTTTTTTTTCTCGGTAGATTACTCCGAATATCGCACTCAGATGTCGCTGTTGTTCCGGACACCACGCTCTTCTTACATGAACTTTCCTGACTCCGCCTCGCTTTCGCGTAAATAACCATTTGAGGATAGAAGTGAGCGCGAATGACGCAAGCTTCTTGGGTGCATTTCCTAGCAGCTTATTTATTGCATTCACAATGTTTTTCACCGTCATTCTTGCGTCATTCGACCCAGCGACATCATTCGACCCAGCGACATCGTTCAGGACATCATTTAGACACGCCGGTTGCCTTCAGCAAGTATTCACCAATAGTTTCCTGGGGTAATATGAGTAGCACCCCATTTATAGTAGGGTATATGTCATGTAATGGAGTACTCCTCACTCCAATCGCGGGCATGGGTCATGATGATACGGAAATGCGCCAAATGTGGTTGTTTGTTCAAAGCGAGGCGATAATTTTGCGGAGGTGTCTAGGATTTTGCATTTAGCTGTAAGTGTAACATGCAGGGTACATCATCAAAAACAGAAAATCCTTTATGTAGGTCCAACATAAAGAGAATTTTTTCTTCATCAAGAAGAGCAGACTGGTGAATACTTGTACCAGATGTGTCACGAGCGTACATAATAATCGTATTGCAAAAACATCCATATTAAAGACGATGCTGCATATCATCAGTAAGATGTCGGAAAGAAGGACAGAATGAACATACTGGAAACAATCACGGTGCTAATAACGCCTCCTTTGGCTCTGGCAGTCCGAAAGATGAGGATTTCGGAGGAAAAGTGCCCGAACGCAATGAGATATGTGAACATGGCCATGTCATAGATTCTAAAAAAAAGTTGAAAGGGCACCGAAAGAAAACAATATTAAGGGCGTACATTTTCTCATTGATGTGATAGGCAGCATAAGCACGGACAACCGCTGATGTGAGTGTCCAAACCGCGAAGGTCCTTGCCTGAAGACTGGTGACTGCCGAGGGATCAGTCAGAATCCCTCATAACTGAAGGTGAAAATACCGGAGGTAGCTGGTATGTTGTTGTAAATTTGACGCGTGAGCTTGAGGGTCATGAAGTTTTGAACCGTGTTGAAGATAGCCGTGACCGCGACGAGCAGTTGCCAACGCGCCAACAAAGATGGAGGTAAATCTACGTGGGTAATTGAATGAATTTATTGAATCTACAGGTGTTGACTTACAAGAGAATAGCTGGCCAAACATGGGTGGAGTGAGCAGGCAACGAGGAGTAACGACGGTGAGCGCTTGGCCGTGGCAAACTCAGGGCCCAAAGTTGAATTAAATAAATAATTTTGCACCTCAATGTGCCCTGGCCGAGCCTGGCTGTCAGCGGTATGTCCTCACCGTTGCCCGTCATGGCGGATCGAGAGGTCCAACGACCGCCTTCGATACGCTCCGTGGCAAGCAACTCTAGCATTGCCAGTGGTGTCAGTCTCACGCGTCGGTCGAGGACGAGGACGCGCTCCAAGACTGTCACAGGAGCCTCGTCGCGTCAGGAGGAAATTTCCACCAACCTTGCTTCCGAACTCCCTTACATTGACATGCCTTTCGTTCAAGAGCCAGAAGCAGTGCCGACGCTAGTTTCGAGAGGCTTGATCCCACCTGACCGTCCACCTCGTTCTCCACAGAGAACTGAGGGGCAAGGACTTGGTACACCAAGTTCTCAGGGTACCGAACTTGTCACTGCGGCAGAAGCTACTTTTGTAGATGTTCCACAGCCGTCCCCTGGGTCCAGCAAACTGGTGCGTCAATCTATTTTCTGTTCGCCTTCAGAGCATCTAATCACCTGTCCAACGCAATAGTCCAAAGCTGCTCGACAAGCATCGAGCCTTCCTGTCATCGAAACCTCGTATAAACCACCTCCGTCAGCTTTCTCTCGCGATCCTGCCCTCACGCCTGTGGCCAATGTACGGGACTCCGTCTCCACCCAGCAATCGGGGACCTCATCCTCCCTGTACCCACCGTCGACATCGACAGCTTCAATGCCAGAGTCACCACCGTCCCCTCGCTCGATTGCAGAACAAGTTGATCAACTGGATGTCTCCCCATTCAATCCTGACGACAACGACATGCAGGATTATGACGGCGACGATGTATCGTATCGTCTTCGTCTCCTCGTGAAGAACAATTACTTTCTTCCTCCTGCTCATTCGAAACCTTTCCCTTCCGCGTTCGCCACCTCCAACTCAAACCCACCAAAAAAGACGACAAAACCTGTGACGCCCGCCTTCTTGGATTTGTTCAGAGTGGGGAAATCGAAATCGAAACCAAACCCTCCTTCGACTCCAGGTTTCGATCCGACAACTCCGATGTTAAGAACAGCCGCGGATTCCATCACTGCATCGTATGCTTTACCCCCTCACCAGCCGCGTTCTTCAACTCAAGTGCCTCGTCTATCTCCTCATTCCGCCGGGCTTGGTTCAAGAGGTCGAGTGGTGGTGGTACGGGAGAAAATGAACGACATCTCCGTTGCTGCAAAGCAAGCGGAGCAGGAATTAAAAAATCGGGGCGTACGATTAGATCATGGCTCTCAAAAGGCGAAACAAGAGGTATTCGACAATGTGATTGATCCTACTGACGCGGTGGACCTTCCGCTGCCTTCTTCGAATTATCCGTTTGCAGTCCAGGCATCTGCACTACATGGTTTAGGCGTGCAAGACTCTTTGGGTGCGGCGGTGCTTGCGGATCGCCTGCCTCCGCCAACAAGCCTCAACATATCATCATCCTATGATACTGACGACGACTGGAGAAAGGCGTTACTTCATGAAGCCGTTCATCATTCCTTAGACGCAACGCCCGACGTGTCAACTTTCTCTCATATTCTTGGTGCTTCCACACCGTTAGCGTCACCACGCTCAGATTCGGCTACACCCTTAAGAGGAGCATCGCCGCATCTGCAACACTTAGAATCAGCGCGACTTCTCGAGCGGCGGATCATTGATAAACCAATGATGGACTCAATCGATGCTTCTCATTCGATTCATGTTCGGAATGAGTCGATTCAAAGTGAGGCGTCTGCTCTGAAAGGAGATGTAAATGGACTGCTTGTACCGTCCTCGCATGTCATCCGCGATGCTTTACGATCCTCTTACTTACCAATGCGCGCTGAGACTCCTTTAGGTCCCATGACACCGCTCACGCCTCCCCCACGGCGAAATTTCGTTAATGCTCCATTCTCTCTATCGCAAGTGGATCTCATGAACGATGTTTTAGCGTTAAGCGTAGTACGATCTCCAAGCCAGGTTTCGCGTCGCACCCTTAGACGGACCATGTCGTCGCCCATACTCTCGGAGGGATACGAGTCTGCAAGAGAGACTTTGATGACCCCTCCTCCCATGCCAACGCTTACCATGTACTCTCGATCATCTTCACAAGCGTATTCGTCGTGTGATACTGTTAGGGATCCAGCTGTTCCTCCAAGTGTATCAACATCAGAGTCTCACTACTCCGATGAAGAATTTGAAGAAGAGCCTCGTACCTCGATCGCATTGTCCGCAATGAATGGGCGGCCCTCGTTGTCAGAATATTCCCAATCGTCTCCAACCACCTCAGCGTTTCAGGATGCTCTTAACAATGGCTTTCGCTCCCGCTCGTCCTCTGCGCTTGGTCAATCTAGTTTCGGCATTGAACAACACCGTATTGCTCAAGGTAGTCCGGTGCCCCCACGATATTCCACGACATCGCCTCCTCCGCGAATGTCATCCTCCCTTGCCCATGTTGCCCTTCCACCTCCCCCTCGATCGTCCTCTCTTCGCTACCTGGAACATCAGCAGTCGTTTGGCTCCGTGTCAGACCTCGAACAAGATACTAATAGGTTGAGAATGCACTTCGGTGTGTCTGAACTCACAGCCCCGCCCGTCCCTCTGTCAGGACAACAACGAGGCAATCACAATCAGCCCGTGCCGTTGTCGCTGGCAATTCCGCCAAGAGCTATTCCTCTTTCGATTCACTCGGCACCTGGCCCATCGTCACCTACATCCTTCTTTGACAGCATTCAAACTCAACCTAACGCTATGGACGACCTAGAGTCGTCCTCGGAGAGCGAAGATGAAGAAACGGAAGTTGTTGATCCCCGGCCAGCCCTGTTTGTCGATCCCAGGACTCGTACCATCTCAAGCACCCCCGTCACAAATCCGAGGCCATCAATCATGAAGTTAGGAAATCATTCCACACCTTACATCGGTCTTGGTCGGCCTGTCGAAGGCTTCCGTCAAAACCTCCTGCCTATTGGTGGAAGCACCTCAAAGAAACCAATTGGCAATATCCCTGTTCGCGCTCCTTTTTTCACAGACCGAAAAAGTGACCAAGGCCATAGCCACACTCTCCCTGTATCCACCTACGATTTTTACAAGTATACACAAAGCCATCCGCCTGCCACTGCGGCTGCAGAGCCCAGCGACCCTCAAGGGTCAAAGACCACGGAGCTCGTTGCAACCTGGCGAAACAACCAGCGGGCGCAGGAGTCTCTTCGAAAACTAGACGGACTATTGATTCAACACATGGAGGCTGAAAAGGACACGATCAAGAGGATAGCGACGACAATGAAACAAACAAATACCCGACAGGGGGGACCTCCTTTTCTACCATAGCCACTCTTTTCTTATTTATTCTCATTCCTCCATTATCTATACCTATCGCATACTACTTATACCTTAGTTTTCTGGTCCACACACTTTCAAAATTTTTGCTTTGACATCCGCATTTGTAAATTACGTAACGCGTAACTGAGGTGACATCAATATGCTCTTTAGCAGTCACAGCGGCAGCTCTTCAAGTTGTCCCTACAATTCTGACTCTCCCTGTCTAACGCGCCGTCGCTGCATTTCTCTTTCGTTGGATACATCATGGAACAATTTAATGAGCGACCTTATTTCCCATACTCATGGCACCAGGTAAGTAATTTAGAATTGCCCTTCTGCAGCTCTGCCTCACTGTTCCAAAATCAGTCGCATGATCAGGTGAAGCGCCTTGAATGTTGTATTCTCGTCAGAAACCCTCAATAGTACTCTTACTATTAGGCCACTGTGCTTCTTATGGTTCCTCATAACACTCAGGACGACGACCTTTCTGTAAGTCGTACACGCAGTTCACTGAGACGCACTACTTATATCACCTTTCTTTACAGGTGCTCATTGACCGAAATTTCTTGATTGTCGGTGTTCGAGGTCACCCCCCTACTGTGAAAGTATGTCGCACACCTGTATTTCATGTAGTTCAGGAGAGTTGAATGCGTTTACACAGGGTCGCTTGTACAGCACAGTTGACGTTGGAAGTTCTGTGTGGCAGTTGGAACCCCGAGCATCACGACTCTCGGCTAGAGAGAGGACAACCTCGACGACGTCTACGGCATCTACTCACTCCTCATACGCCTTCGTATCAGACCCTGACATATCCAGTAGCTTCGCTGCCTCACTCGAGAGTGGTCAAGTTTCAGATGCCGAAGATATCTATGCTCCATCTCCAGCGCTTTCTTCACCTACCCTTTCTTCAGCCGATGAACGTGCTTTTCCTCCACCACGGCGAAAAAACTACTCAAACATCGCGACATCACGCTCTGTTTCTCCGGGCCATGCCGCCTTGAGAAGTATGACGTCTTCATTCTCGTCATTGGAATCGCTGCATTCTCCTCACTCCGGAAGACTTCTGACAATACATCTAGAAAAGGATGCCTCTATCATATGGCCATCCCTCATCATAGGTCCAGTCCCAGAATCGTTGTCACCTCGTGCGGCCAATTCTACGGTTTTTCATGCTAGTCAGGAGCTTGAACACCAGTACAATATGGATCCCACCAGTTTAGCTCTTATTGCTTTGGAATTGTCTGATATTCGGAAAGACAAAGAGGAAGCATTCGAATATTTCCTGTGAGTTTTCTCAGCTCTTCGGTTTTTTGTCTCATCTGCCATTGTAGTCGTGCATGGCATCAAGCACATGTCCCGTCGGCAACCATGCGGCTGGTGTCGCATTATCTGCCGCTCTCGACCACTTTCGACATCACAGAATCAGATGGATCAGCTACTCGGGGAACCCTTTCTTATTACCTACAATGCATAGGCGAATCGCGAGGCCTTGCTCGCTTGTATCTCGAGGCAGGTCTTCTCCATCTTGAGGGCGCCGCGTCTACCCTGCTTGCATCTTCGTATTCCAGTCTTTCCTCCATCCGGATGCCTTTACACTCTCAGATTGGCGAGGGTGGGGCTGAGGCATGGAAGCGCGATCGTGATGCCGCTGGGAAATACTTTGAACGAGCACGTTTCTTGCAACCCAACCTTGATATTCCATCCCTTCCTGCCGAAGGCGAATCACCACCTCGCGGAGTGGGAGAAAGCCAAGAGCTTGAAATGCCTTCCATTGACATAGCCTCTGCCCCAGAAAGTGTTCGGTCTGGGGAGACTGATCCGGATCATGACATTCCGACTGTTCGCAGACGGCGAAAGAAGGAAGAGATGACACTTCTCGATAACCGCAAGGCTGATCTTGATGATTTGGACAATACCTGGTACCTTTATATCCCCGGTTTGGTCGGCGCGGGGACGGCATTGCTTGTTGTAGGAATTGTAGGGGCGCTGAGCTTTTCAAACTGGTCGAGGAGAAATCAAGGTTCATAGGCATGGGTGTTTGTGCTTGCTAGCTTGTCGATGTACTTGGAGTAGTAGCGTTTTTGCCTCCTAGAGGAGCTATTCAGCTGGTAATAGATGAGTGATCGGACAACGTCGATTGAGTATCAGGGTTATCTCGTTCACCATGACTTCGTGGAACGTGAATTTTCTGCAAGGCAACAAACACGGCAATCTAGGACATGCTCTCATCATCTTAAACCAGCCCTTCTCAGCCGCTCTCTTTCATCGTGTCTGGTTGTCTTGTGAATGGCGTTGCTGCGCTGACGGCGGCGCCAACCGTCTCTACGACCTCTTTGAAGGCGATGAATTGCGTTCACAGTCCGCTGACTCTTGGTCTATCACTTTCGAACTGCACTGATGATCTTCTCATCCTTAGCTACCTCCCGCATCTTATCAAGGGCGATCTTGACTCCATACGACCTGATGTTCAGGAATACTACCGTTCTCATGTTATTTGTGTTTCCCTCATGCCAACGCACATGTTCTCAACTTTCTGGTCTTTGTCAAGGGTGTGCCAATTATCCAGGACAATGATCAGGACTCAACGGATTTGATGAAATGTTTATCTGCCATTCATGACAAGGAGCAAGCAGGCGCGTCTGAGGTATAAAGTATCTTCTCCGTCAAATAATAGCTTATGATGCCCCAGCAGTTGAAGGTTATCCTCCTTGGGGGGCTCGCTGGGCGCCTGGACCAAACCATTCACCTCCTGTCGTACTTGCACAAGCTTCGCAAGACGCGCAAGTCCGTTGTTGCCGTTACGGATGATAATGTTGGCTGGGTCCTGGATTCTGTGCGTCGACCTTTGCGGCTCCTTTCCATTCTCTAAGCTAACCTTACACAGGGAGAACATTTCATAGAGATAGACCATGACGTCCTCGGCCAGACGTGTGGTTTGTTACCAGTCGGGATCAACTCCACTAAATTGTCAACGACTGGGCTGAGGTGGAATTTGAGTAAGTGATTTCAGTCGCATTACATTGCGGATAACCAAGCTTTCCCAGCCGATCAAGTGTCCTCATTCGACGGCTTGATATCTACTTCGAACCATTTGTTACCTGGTGAAAACGTTTGGATCAAGACTTCAGAACCTATATGGTGGACGGTAGAGTTGAAGGATATAACCACGATTTCGCAAATGGTGTAGATCATGCGTAGATTATGATGGAAAATAGAATATTTCTTTCTGCAGGCTGATCTTCAATCATGTCCAACTTTAAACCAAGCATCACAGTTCTCTACTTCGCTGCCGCCTCCACGACAGTAGGACTTACTTCAGAGGTCGTTACGATCCCTCAATCTGGGCTTCCCCTCGCGTCTCTGGGAGACCTTCTGATCTCGCTCCATCCGAATACACAATTGAAAAAAGTGTTAGAATGCAGCCAGTGGAGCGTCGATGCTGAGATGGTCGACGATCCAGAGAAATTGGTGCTTAGGGGTGATGAAGAGGTTGCAGTTATATGCCCAGTCTCAGGAGGATGATGCTATAAGATAGGTTTCCGTGAAGGTACTGCCCAATCATATGTAGCATTGATTCGCCATGTTTTTGTCGAAGAGAAGAGCTCTAGAGTCTGGATTTTGAAATACCCTTGTATTCACTTCCAATGCTACTAAGATATGGCTACGACCTTTGAAGCCACGGAGACTGGCGTAATATCCCTCAACAAACACCTACGCTGATGCCCGACTGGTTCATATGACAAATTCCCCCCGAACGATGTATATGGTGGCACCCAATCACGAGGGGGAGACGGCTTTGCATGCTAAAAATCTTCCAGGGGGGGGGAATATTGATTTGCATCCTCTAACTCGTCCAGTTTATAAAAAGCGCGTTGGAGAACCCAAGAAATCGGATTCGATAAAGGTCCTCCCGGGTGCATCGTGATATTCTTGAAGGGAAGGAACCAGTTAGGAAATCATAAAGGAGGGGAATGTGTTGAATAGGTGGGTATGGTTTTCTCACTTGTATATAGTGAGGTTGCCGTAGGTGAAAGGATTCGCTCCCATCCATGTGGTAGAATGACCCTTCAATCAGCGGTTCTTCTTCATTGATCCGAGAAAAACTTCCTCCAGTTGCGAAAGAAATGCATCGGCTTCAAGAACGGGGGCGGCATGTGCATCGGGGAGAGAGGTCTTGCCACTGTCTTTCGCTTTTGAGGTGGAGCTTTGAGCCTCAAGAGCAGCGAAGGGGTCATTCGGTACAGGAAATGACACTGCACTTGTTGACGGTCCTGGGACTGTTGGTTCTGTGGACGAGCCCGCCATGTTGGCGGCGAGCATGTCTACGCCTCCGTCTATTTTCCGTCGCTTGGCTTCAATCAACTTCCTCCTCTCCTCTAGTTCCCGTTTTCGTTTCTCCATTGCTCGACTCTTCGTACCAGTAGTCCCAGGCGCATCTACCTCGTGCATGCCTTCAACCTCTCCTGGCTTCGAACTAAGAGCACCAGTTCCCCGCCGCACCCTCTCTGTCTCTTCCCTGGAAGCCTTGAGCTCCTCCATTTGTGCCTTCCTCGTCTCCTCGTCGGCAGAAAATTGATAGAACCCAGCACCTTTCGCACGAATTTCTTTTGAGCCATCGAAGTGAACTCCGAGCGGGTTGTTCTCCTCTGCAAACGCCTTTTCGATCTCCGTCACTCTTTCCGCAGAAGGCTCATATACGGGGAAATGATTGACAGGGTTGCCTGAACGTCTTTATTAGTAAAAATAATAGAGAAGGGATAACAACTCACGAATAATAATATCTCTGTGTTGATGTAAAGAGTTATTAGCAATTCAGAAAACACGGTGAACACGTACTCGTCCGGGTCAACTTCCTCCAGCGCAGGAACGAGGTTGCGCGGAACCTCCGAGCGGCGGGCAGTCCGTACTCTGCCGAACTCATCCTCGTATTCGATGATAGGATCATGCTGGGATATTCGATGAGCCCAAGTCTCAAAGAGATTAGCGAATCCTGTACCTCATCATTTGGCGGTCGCGGGACAGTTAAAGATTCATCTTCATCTTCACTATCGGACTCGTAAGACGCGTTTGGCATCGCGTCAAACTACAGAGGCATTCGTGAAGTCAGACTCATTTTGCACATATGAAAGTCAAACACTCACATCCACCAAAAGCGCATCGTACTGCTTATCAGTCAAACCACCCGTCTTTCCTTTCTTGAGTTTATCGTATATCTTCGCCTTCCGCTCAAGCGCGGCACGAGCGGATTCTAACGTTGGCTTGCTTATAGCCTCCAGCTCTACATCACGCGAGGCCCGTGAATTAACGCCTTTGTTTTGGCGGGCCCAGACAGTTGGTTTCTGGGACAAGGAAGAATAAAAGTTCTGATTTTGAGCAGTACACCACCAAAGATACCTTCTCTGGTCGCTTCACGCCCCCAACAATAGCTAAACTCTTCCCCGCAGCTTTACTCTTGGCAAATTCCGCCTCCTTCTTCGAAAGCTCGGCCTTGAGGTCAAAGAAAGAGCTTGCACTGACGCCCTTGGCCTTCGCCTTGCTTGCATGGGACATAGCGATAGTGAATCGTAGTCAGAGTTGGATACAGCAGTGCTTATATAACATGTACTATGTAGTAGGTCACGGTACAAAAGGTATCAAAACAGAAATTTCCAAGAAATTTCCCAATCTTTCCGAGCTCAAGTTCCTCTCACATACCTTGAACAAGCAGCATTTAGAAACCATTGGAAGGAAATGAAGATATACTTACGTCGCATCAATTTGCTTCAGCTGAGGAAGCGCAAGCATAATCTTCCTCCGATATCCAGTCATGTCCGCAGCTTGGCATGGATTTGCCTCAAGATACAGGGTTTCTAGGGTAGCTATTTTGCCCAATTCCGATTCGAGGGCTCGAAGGTCGGGTATTACGTTCCCATTCATCTTGCGGGCGCACAAGTTGTTGGATTGGTAGAAATATATTAACATCGGCACTTACCCATAACTCTCCAAGGCAAGTTAGATGAGACAGGTTCTCCACTGCCGGAATAAAGTTGTTCCCAACGTCGAGCGTTGTAAGCTTCGACTATATTGCGAAGGTGAGGACACGAGCGCAAACATCATCGCCTGAAATCACAAATCACATTATGTTCAAGGCCCTCGATGCGCTTGACTCCGTTGTGGCTGAGATAAAGTTGTTCAAGATCATTCAGTTCTTCTAAATTCTCCAGTTTTGTGATACGATTTGATTGTAGGGAGAGAATCTTGAGCTTTTTCAACGCCCCGAGACCCTGGCGGTTGTTTTTGTAAGATGCCAAGTGAGATGCCAAAATGCATGTACTTCGAGTTTGGTTATCTTATTTTTACCCAACCAAAGCTCCTCTAGGTTGACCAATGAGTCGAGATTTTCAATTTTCTGTTGAAGTTTAGGAATGAAAGAGGAGTTGGAAGAAGAAAACCCACGCGAATCTTGTTTCCTCCCAATTCTAAACTGCGTAGCGTGCCGCAAGAAGATAAGCCACTGATACTTGAAATTCTATTCTGAACAAAGTAGATGGTCTGCAGAGATGTCAGACATTCCAACCGATCCGGCACAGCTCGAAGAAGATTGAAAGACAAGTCCAGAACTCTGACAAAAATTCAAGATGGGTATTGAAAGACTCGGTGCGTCACTCACGTCAGCGAAGACAACTTATCAAGGGCGTCCCCAACCGTCTTGACCTTGTTATCGTACAAATCCAGCTCCTCCAACTTCGTCAGCTGGTGAAGCGTCTCCGAATCTAGATGGGAGATGAAGTTTTGCCGCAGACACAGCTTCCTCAAATGCCCTGAAAATCTATAAAGCCGCAAATTGTCAAGTGAACCGATGCGTCCATGGACAAGTTCCAACTCCTGATCAGAGAGACAGGTCAAGCTGCCGAAGTCGGAGACAATAAATCGTGTGTGCTTGCCTCAGTATCGTCAGGGAAATCCGCCAAAAAGTCTCCATCATCAATCTCCCCGACCGTCCCCTCCTCTGGGGCTTCTTCGTCTGTGTCCACGTCCACTGAGGGTTCTGGTAAGACGACCCTTGCTGTGGCGTTCGATCTTGCATGTCATTGACTTGATTTTCGCGATGTTATGGTCGTGGAAACATACTTATTAGTTCCAGGCTCCAGGGTTGAATCTGTGGATTTCATGATTCAAGTACCAAATGCCGATTGAGAGTTATGTGTAATGTAAGCAGCCTTTAAATAAATGCTTGCTGATGTGGCTGTACAATGTCAAAGTCGTCCCCCTCAGGCTTGTTCAATTTGCGGCGTTTAATGTGACGGTGCGTGTGTCGTAATGAATCCAGAATGAATCTGAGAAATTTCGGTTGTTTTCTTAGTAGGTATGTGCCATGACGTTGGGGGTAATTGCTCGCGCGAGCATTCCGTCTGTAAAGCGTGAAGAGTGGATTCAGGGGTAGAAAAGAATAAACATGCTGGGCGCAATGGCTCGTGTCGTCCTCGCTAAACTTGGAGGGGACACTCACATACTGTAAATGCAAGATAAATTCGTCTTAAATCATTATGAGCCTTTACCTGGCCATAAGTAAGTAGTCATTCCAGTTCCCTTGTATACACCAGTTTACCAGACATTTGATCATGATTCTACTTGAACTCACACACGACGGACTAGTGGTAGTGCGAAGAGAGCCTAACCCCCGTAGGACTCGCGGTACCATTTTATATTCGTACTAGTGCTCCTCAACGTCAAAGTTCAACGTTCAACTGTCAAATTTCAACACTAAAGTCAATGCATTATGTAAAAATACGCGAGGTGACACGAGGGGGTGTGGTAGATTAAAGGGCTGACAAGAGAAAACAACTAAAAACTGAACATACAGTTTACGTGTAGTAAAGGGGCATGATTTAAGTTATTATCGTCCGTCTTATTATGTGACCAAACGGATGGAGGCGAGGCAATATAGTTGAGGTGAGGCAGTGGGGTGCACGTCCGTCGTGATATGAAGGGAAGATGTAAAGATGCAGACCGTTCAATTCATTCGGCTAGACCAGCCGCCGCCCTTGATGGATACCGATCCACGTCTCCCATTGACATTCCTCAGGCGTGTTCATCAAAGCAGCTACTGTTGGGTAAGAATCGACCTCCTAGAGTGTCGTGGCTCGGCGGATAGCGGCGTCGGAGGAAGCTCTCTGTCCCTGTCCCTTTCGCGTTCGTAAGATGCAGGCGGCAAGGTGGAGGTCAGGGCCGAATGTGATATTGGGGATGAGGATGTAACCAAAGGTGAGTGTCGACTACCCCCATAAGACGAGAGCTGGCCCAAGGGTGGAAGCTGCGTGTTATGCTGCTGCTCTTGTTCATGGGATACTGGGGGGTGGGAGAGTGGGGAAGGAGCAGAATAGAATGCGTTCGAATGGCTGGTGTAAGGTGGTCGGTTATCGCCACTTGGGGAATAATGTACAAAATTCATAGTTGAGGCCGGAGGGGAGGGAGAGGGTGTCATGTTGTCTAGGACGTGACGATTCGAGTGTGAATAGATATCACTCCCCGATGCAGATCCAGGAGACGATGTCGAGAATGAGGTATCGCCAAAGCTTCGGCGGATACTGGAGTAGGAGGGAGAGGCGGATGTTGGGGGGGTGGCAGACTCCCGCTTGACAATACCCTTATCTTTTCGTCGGCGCTGTGTCAGGTTATTCCCGTCTTTTTTGGCGCGCGATCGAGCAAAACGAAGACCGCAACTGATACAATCATAAATCGTTAATTAGAATGTGCCCACTTAAATTCCAAGAGAAACATACGCATTACAAAGTTCTTTCTTCCCGCTTGGCCCTTTGCGCCACTCAGGGCTCGATGTCGCTTTGCAACTTGAGCATTTGAGAACCCCCATGGGCCGGTTTCCTACATTTCGGCCGGTGGGTGAATATTGGTCCTTCGGAGAATCAGGGCTCACACGACGCCGAGGGGGAGGAACAAAGTCGGATGTAGGAGACGTTCCTGCACTACTACTAGTGGTCGGAGAATATGAGTACGCGGGCGAATTTGAACGATTAAAAGATGTTTGGGGTAAGCTTCCGGTGTCGATATAGGACGAAGATGGCGCCTCTGGAACTTGGGGCCATGCCTGGGTTCCTTGAGGTGGTGGCGGCGGGTAGGAACCTGAACGGAGGTTGCTCATAGCCGCAGGCAAGGCTGATGGAAGCCATCAGCTTAGTCGCATAGAATGCTGGGGGGAATACCTACTTTGAGACCACCGTTGCGGTGAGTACGATCCTTGTATCCCAGAACCCGATTGAGAAATATAGGTATTAGTGTATGATGCGGCTTGGCTTGGCGGAAGAGCATAGGACGATCCCTGACCATAAAAAGGTGGATTTTGCTGGACATTATAGCCAGTAGAGTAGCCAAGCTGCTGCATATTTGTGCTGGGGTTGGCGTCGCTGCGAGAGGGTGGATTTAGTTTGTGACAAGCAAATATGATGCTGCCTAAAGTACAAAAAAGAAGTTGCATCAATTGCCACTGGGCATGGGGCGAAAAGGGGGGGTCTGCTTACCATGCGGTATGAATATGCTTTCAACCTGTCCCCAAGGCGTGTCTTGCAATGCTTTATACCTGCGTGTGCAGCTCGTTTTGGCATCGTTGCCTCCAGTACCAATGGTGACTCTCGCCACGAGTTTGCCGAGTTCTTCATCGAGACCTTGACCCTGATCTGGGGGCCAGCTGAGCAAGAGGGTTCGATCCGGATGGCTTGAGAGAATCTGGAACACGCGGGACATGTCAGCGCGGGGGACGCAGACGGACAGCCGGCGATTCAGGAGGTTGATCTGGTCCAAATCCATGCAGGGCGTACCACACCAATTGGTCCAGTGGGTTTTATGATGTTCATCGTTATCATTTGGATTTAGGTCGACAATGGCGTGGATAAAACAAAGCACGAGGCCGTCGGCGGCCCAGTTGATGACGATATCGACAGCCATAAAATCCTTGTCCAAAGCTATCTTATCTGCGTCTGACCAGGGAGCAGGTGGGCCGTCATAGCCGAGCATGCGACGAACTTTAGAGAGGCGCGAAAATCTTACACTACATCAACGATGAGCAAGAGGAGTGGATTAGAAGGATGTAGCCATACCGAGTGATAGAACCATGTAGTGTCCTGCTTTCAAGTACGCTACCGAGGTCAAGCTTTGCTGTCCCCTGCTCGTCAGGGTGGACAAAAGTCAGAAGAGACTTTCCGACAAGGAGGTCCGCTTGGCCTTCGAGATGATGGGCGAGCACAGGGTCGAGGTAGATGAATTGGAGGTCATTTGAGAGCAACGCCCAGTCTGCGAAAGATGAGGGGATTAGCGTTCAGGGAAGGCAACCAATGTAGCGGACGATCATAGGGTTCGAAAAACAATCGCTTCGGCAACGATGATCGAACAACGATCGCGGAAGGAAAGAACAGAAATATCAAACTCACAACAACGAGTCTGTCCTACTTTAGGCAGAGTGGTGGGTTGATGATCGGAAGAGTAGGAGGGAGAGGGAGAAGCGGTATGAGGGTTATAGTTGGGGTCATAAACTGGTGATGATATGTTTATTCTGCCGTTGTGGGAGAGCTGTGGTTTGACATCTTGATCCTGATGGACGTCGTGCTGGTCGTGCTGGGGGTCGTGCTGGTGTGTGTAGGATTTCTGCATGAGATAGCTCATGGTGGTTCCGAGCAAGATGCGGTCAGCCACTAAGTGGTTTGGAAGACGATTTTGTCGGATACGGAAGAACCGATCAGCACAACGACGAGTGAGACAAGTCACACCGGTCTCAGAATAAAGGTTTCACTCATTCTGTGAGTATTTCTTTCTCATTGCAAACAATTCTGTCCGACGGTAAGTATGTCATAATGAATTCCCAAACAGGCGCTAGATCGGCACAGATCCGCCAACAGATCCGACCACAAGAAGCAACCACCACCAATGGCCCTTGTCGAGAAAAATTTATGGGTTGCTGCAGGAGACGGAGACCTCGAACGTGTCAAAGTCAGTTTCCTTTCATCTTGCTCGTCTTTTTCTTACAAAGCCAACAGGAACTGATTAACCAATGCAAGCCCACTGGCTACTTTTCCTTGAAATTTTCGTTGACCCCTCACAGCCATATCACCTAACATTCCCGATCCCAACACTTATACTCCGATGTATGAAAAATATTTGTTGACTTCACCCAGGATCTTTTCTTATACCTAGGAAGGCATGCTGCAGCTTCCTATGGGCAGATCGAGGTTCTGGCGTATTTGGTTGCGAATGGTGCGATCTCGCGATACACTACTGATGCTGTCTCACCTATTACTCTTTAGGTGGAGACGTAAATATCACTGATGAAGATGGAGATACGCCACTTTACACTGTCGAAAATATCGAAACCGCTCGGTGGCTCGTCGACCACGGTGCAGTCGTGGACCGTCGCAATAACGAAGGAATTTCTGTGCGTCTGATTGTAATTCACGATGGCGTCGGTCTGCTAACTATATCCCAGCCCATCGAACATCTCAGTGAAGACTTTGCGGCGGTTGCCAGTTTTTTGGAGACCACCTCAACTGCCTCAATATCGGCCCCTCGTAGTCAACAGCCTTCGCAACATTCACAGCATGTTGCTTCTGAACAGTTGACATCTGCCCTGATGGCATCCGTTCAGGAAATCATGCAGCGAGCAGAGGTTGAAAACCGAGATCCAGAAGAAGAGCTTCGACAAGCCGTGAGCAGGACGGTTTTGGAAGGCGTGGTAACTGGGTTCGAAATGTCGACTGAGGAGGAAGATATTCGAAGTCGTGTAACCAACGACACACCGTCAAAAAGAATGAGGACAGATCACGGCACTTGCTAAAATATTTCGAGAGCTGATGTGCATCTTTGGAATATTGTTCTCATGACTCGGGATAAATGCAGCAACGACAATCCGATCCGACGTTTTGATCATGATCAGAAGGGTCGTTGATCGTGATCAAGACGTACTACAAACTCGATCAGGGGGAATGTCATCACCAAGTGCATACTTGCAGTTTGCTAACTTTGCTTGCTGTGATTTATTTCAAGGCCACTGTAGTGAAAAATATGAATGAGACGGTTCGTATTCTCATAGAAAGTGCTTTCTTGGCCCCTCATCATATTTTTAATATGTTTTAAGACACACTTACTGTAATCAAAATACTATATTGCTTCACAACTTGAAGTGAAGCCGCCAGGTAGAAAGGACCATGTCAAGAGCTGTCAAGAGTTGCTCAAACGTCAACGCCTCTGCACCAGCAGTGTAATGTAAATAAAATAATATTATTCAGTGGCCAACCATCCCAAAAATCTCGTACACGTTATTTATGTAAGGAACGTCTATTGCAAAAAGACCTCTTGCCCGCGTCAGCCTATAAGCTTCGAGCTTCAGGCCTTCAGGGGCTTGAGGAGAGCAAGTGTTACGGTATATATTGGCGCGTTATTTGTTTCCAACAAATACAACCGATATTTTCCCATTTCATACAAATTTCATAACCTGTTTCCAACCAACCTTGCTATCATTGCAAAGAGTTCAAACGACCATGGCACCATGGGATGCATCTGCTACTATATCTACGTTCATTACGCTGGAAGACCTCTCCAAGGCATCCAAAGAGCAACCATCTAACGACGAACATGAAACCCCGGTGCTCAGAATCGTGGCTGAAGCGCGATCGAAAGGATATGACGCGGTCTGCTTACCCATTACGACCGATAAATGGAAGCAACGGTGGTCTGAGATGTGTTTGCTTCCAGCAGAGAGCAGCGAGGGAGATAAAGAGGCAGCTGCGAGGGCAGCTGAAGCGTGGAGACTGCGGCCTGGGTTTTTGCGCGATGAGGTCACAATGAGTCGTATAGGTGAGTATCTTGGGTTACATCAACGAAATACCCTTTATTCTCGACTTCTTCTCTAGATGAAGCCGAGGGCATTACAGTGATGGTTTCAGAATGGCTTGAGCTTGATGCTGCCGATGATTGGGTTCGCCATGATGCTGAGATGGTGCGTTTCTCATTTTCTCTTACAGTTGCGCATTCTCTAAAAGAGTTTTTTTTTTTTTTTTTCCCATTCCATATTCAGGCCCTACAACAGGAACTAGCGTACGCCTCGTATCTGAACATCCTGACTGCCATCCTCCCTGCGCCCCGAAACCGCGATCATGTTGCATCTTACGCTCGGATCGTCAACGCCTGTTTGAAGAGTTTGCCGTACATTTACCTCTCGGTACGACTGCCAATATATAATCCATCTGCATTCCAACCCAGCCCGCCTGCTTCTGCACTTTTCTCTGCGCCTCCGTCTGTTTCAAACCCTACTCTCGTTGTTTCTGATACCACAACGGGGAGGTTAACACCAAGTTCGGAGGGGCAGCTCAACGCCACATGGGAAATGTGGGATGTCATCAGATCGATGTGCGACTATAACACTCGCCTCACCCTCAGTAACGTCCTCCGTGATTACTCATTGTTGGAGATATTTAACGCTTGCCTTTCTTATAGCCCTTGATCTGTCGCCTGCTCTGCCTTCCACGCTTGGCGTTTTGAGCAAATGGGCAGCGGAATCCGTGCGGCACATCTTCCTGCCGTCATCCACATTTATAGCAAACGTGAAAGGCTATCCTGTGCTTCATAAACCCACTCAAACTTTTATTCGGGATAGCATCATCGCGCGTTATTCCCTTCTTGAACGATTCACTGATTGATTGATGTTTCAGCTTTCAGCACCGCCCCACTATCATTCTTGCTGGTGTGAGCGATGGACACCACAGTCGTGGAGGCGAAAATGCATACTCTCAGTATCTTAGGCACCTCGAAAAAACGAGCCCGGCGGTCCAGGCTGCCCAAAGAGTTGGGACGGTAGAGAATTTTGCGCAAGGTTACCAAGACTACCTCCAAGCGCCCTTGCAGGTCAGTTCAACTGTTTTTCGAAGACATGTCGTGTGCTAATGAGTTGCTCAAGCCGTTGATGGACAACCTCCCCAGTATCACGTATCAAACCTTTGAACAAGATCCCGTGAAATACACGCAGTATGAAGAGGTATATTGATGAGATCAAGCCTGCCGCATATTTTTGACGAAGTAAATGTCAGGCAATGTACAGGGCCTTCCTCGACCGACCGAGTCAAGACAAAACGTATGGTTATAATCAAATTTGGGGCAAATCTTATTGATCATTTATTAGTGTCGTGTGCATCGCAGGCGCTGGGCGAGGGCCTTTAGTCGCTCGCTGTTTAACGGCCTTGGAACGAGCTCATCGGGAGGCAGTCGTTTATGCTGTCGAAAAGAACCCAAATGCATACGTAACGTATGCGTCATATGCATCAGCATGTGAGTTTCTTGTTGAAGTCTCTCAGTTTGCAGCATAGGCAAGGGAAGGAATGGGGATCTAAAGTCCAATTGTTATTTGGCGATATGAGGACCATCGATGTCCCCGAAAAAGCGGATATCCTCGTCAGCGAACTTCTGGGGTCGTTCGGTGACAACGAACTCAGTCCTGAGTGCTTAGATGGGGCGATGCGATTTCTGAAACGTGCGTACTCTTTTCGCAATGAATTGCTGTCACAGATTTGACCTGATGTTAGCCGAGGGAATTTCTATTCCATCATCGTACACCGCTCATCTTGCACCGCTATCTTCCTCCAAGTTATACAACGAGGCTCGGTCTAATAGGAATGAGAAGAGCTTAGAAACACCTTACGTGGTGATGTTCCAAGCTGTGAACATTCTCAGTGGTACGAAGGCTTCTGGGCGTTGTGGTCCTCAGATTCAAGAGTGTTGGGAGTTTGAGCATCCAAGGAGGGACCCGGTTCTTGATTCTAACGGTATGTATGGCGCAATTGTGGCCCCACTCCCTAACAAGTGCGACGTTCAGGTCTTCCATTCACTAATAGTCACAACGCTCGGTCCGCTACTCTTCGATTCTATATTCCCCATGCGGGGATTCTTCAGTGAGATTCCATTTGACATATTTTCGGGGCTTTTTCGATCTCACATCAGCGGGTTGGCTGGATACTTTGAAGCGGTATGTTATAATACTCCTCAACGTTTAGTCAAAATTTAGCGCATTTATGCAGGTACTCTATGGCAATATTGGACTTAGTATTCATCCGCACCGCAAAGATCAGATATCGAAGGATATGCTAAGCTGGTTCCCCCTTTTCTTCCCTTTCAAGGCGCGCAGATTTTTAATAGGAGCCTTCTCGTGTTTCTAATTTACGAATCAGGAGCCCTTGTACCTTCCCAGTAATTCGGAGCTGCAGGTTTCCATCTGGCGATTGACAAACGAACGTCAAGTCTGGTATGAATGGCACGCAGAGTCCTTCCTCTCCATGCCAAGCGTTGTCGCGTCCGACGACCCATTTACGGAAGCAAATTTCTCTGCCACAACTCTCGCTTCGTTCGGTGTGCCGAGTCCGATGGCGGATGGGTTGGAGACGTCATTTACCGACACCCGCCCCTTCCCGCAAGCTGCAGGGTACGACTTCGAGATAGTCAAGGTAGGGCACACCAGTTTACACAATCCCAGTGGCCGCAGCAGTTGGATTGGGTTATAAAATCGCTCTTGACATCAAGGGACCTCCGCATTATCCCTTCTCTGTCTGCTTGGATACTAGAGAGGAGTGAAGATTTCGTTCGTTACATAACATGAATAGGATCTTGTGAAGTTGGCCTCGATCGCGTCGGCGGACCTTGAATTTCACTATTTATTCTTATTAGCCTGGCGTTCTTCTCTTATCCACCTTTCTCTTTCTCCTCTACAATTACTACTACCTACACCTTCGCACTCGCTTCACCATCCTAAGCTCGCTCGCCATGAAGTTCTTCGCAACAGCAGCTGCCCTTGCGTCTCTCATCCCTGAAATTCTCTCGCTCACAGTGAATACCCCGTAAGCACACTCCAATTGCATCATTGTCATCTACTGAGTGCCCGCCAGGCCTGGCGTGACGTTCTGCGGTTAGTTTATCCCTCCCCTGCGTCGTCAAGTTTGTGTCGTTCTTACCGATGTTTGCCCATCGCCAGAGCCGCAGTTAATTTCCTGGAACGGTGGAACAGCTCCCTACTACGTGACCATTATCCCTGGTAAGTCCCCCCCTTTTCTTCTGTCGGTGGCTGACTCGTCGTTTCGGTTAGGTGGCCAGATAAATGCAGCACCTGTAAGTGGATCACGTTTCTGACATTACGTCAGTGCCCCCGATTTGGCATATAAACTAACATATCGGGACAGCTCAAGACTTTTGACACCCAGAACGGCAACCAGCTCACTTGGATCGTTGACATCCCAGCTGGCACTTCAATGTAGGTTTAAACAGTTTGAGTGTTCTTGTCATTTTCTTATCATTCAATCAGCACATTATCTACCAAGGACAGCACTGGTGCCCAGGCCTATTCCGATGCCGTCACGATCCAGCCCGGAGCGGGTACAACGTAAGAAGGTTGTGTTGGTCGTCGACTTCAATTGACACATTAGCTTTATCCATAGCTGTAGCGCCAGCACAACTGGTACTGGGAGCGCGATGTCTACGACGTCCGCCAGTGGCACAGGCACGGCTATAAGCTCATCGAAGGCTTCGGGATCTAATACTAGCTCCGCAACGCATGTCTCTCTCAACTATGTGGATGCACGCTGTTAACATCTTTTGATAGGCATACCACGGCCCAGGGAACTGTGTCCACTAGCAAGTCAACAGCAACTCAGGCTTCGAGTTCCAGCAAGGCGTCTCACAACTATGATACCGCTGCGAGCTCCCTTTTGGCTGCTCTGATGGGATTGGTCGCGTTCTTTTGATTCGTTCGGCATTTCTAGGAAGATTTGGATTGGATGGACTTGACTATGCTACATGATACTGGATAGAGGATCGTTATTTATTTAATTTCAATTAATAATTGGACAGATGATCGCGACCGTGTGACCATAATGCGCTGGAAGAGCGTGGGAACTGTCCGCCCTTGGTGTTTCTTTGAGCACCCTCAACTCCACGTCAACTCGTAACATACTTCAAGTTGGACCGCGATTCCTGGTCTATAACGACGCCTATCTATCGGGGTTCAATATCTATCACTAACTATCCTTCATTTTTCCTTTATATCTAATTATTCCACTATGTCGGTCCCTGGGGACGTCACCACGGATCCATTGGGCAAGCTTTTGCAACCAACGACAAACGAGGAGTTGCCGTCCATGGTCATTGATACCGACGGCGTCGTTCAAAACGCGCCAATACTGTCAACGAAGGAGATCTGTCAGGATACCACGAATACAGTGGCCACGACGGCGGCTCGCGCGTCGCCGTCGAAAGAAAGCCTGGGAAGCCTTGCAACGGTGCGTGTGATAAAAAAAACATCCAGTGGGCTATCCTGATGGCCTCTGATATAAAGGTTTCGCAACCTGTGACATTATCTGGGTCGGAAGAAGTCGGTTTGAACGCCATCGAATACGACAGCCTCCCAGAAGTCAATATTGCATCCCACCTTCCTGAAGCTGTCGAGGAAGGTGTTCAGATATCCGCGCCTGAGGCACAGCACGAACTCGACAACGCTGCTGATCAACAGTCAAGTCATCCATTGGTATCTACTCTTCTGATCTTCATTAGACTTGGTTTTAACGTTTCCTAGGATCCTGAAATAACGGGGACTGTTGTATCAACTGAGACCCCTGATGGTGTTAAATTTGATGCAGTAAGTAATGCTCTGAAATAATGATCCAGATCATTGCTGAAAATCAAAAGGGTCCTGTTGAAGACACAAGCAAAGTATCCATTACTGAAGCTGTGAGTCATGCATATCATATTCGGTCCTTTCCTCAGATTTGGAACGTCTAGTTGAACATTACTGAAGTCAAAGATATCAATGTTATACAAGATAGCAGCGTATTCGCTTCAGTGAGCATATCCGTTGTCAAACTTGTCAAAATGTTAACAGTCGTAGGGCGAGAACAACGGCGACATTCAACTTCCACCTGCTGAAGAGACTGACCGAGTGGGTTTCATCATACAATTCACGTTTCTACCGACATCATCTCAATGTTGATCTAGGATACCGCTGTTGATGGCCCGTCAATTCCCGCTGAAGCTGGTGTAGAACTTCACGAAGAGACACTGAGTCCAGGGAATGAGGCAGGCATCGTGGACGAAAGTGATGTGCCTTCTACTACTGCGCCCGAATTAATCCTCGGCGACGGTAATACAACAAACGAAAGATCTGCTGATGAGCAGCCGCAAGATATTGCCGAGATTTCTACAGCCGAACATGTGTCCGTCGCACCTGAATCCATCAATGAAGTGGTCACATTTGCCAGTGCTGAGATCCACTCTGACAAGGGGGAGATATCGCTTGAACAAGAGGTAGTATCGGTTGCTAGCCCTCCCGTTGTGGAAGAAGTTCTCTCAGAAACTCCGTCGGAGACTGTTAAAATTGCAGTGGCGTATGAGGCAGAGAAACCTCCAACCGTCGCAGATGCTATTCAAGTGTCCAAGCTGGAAACACCTTCTCCAGGTATGAAATCTATTCCACCGGACCCATTATTGTCCTCAATTTGATATTAGAAGTCCATGTTGTTGAGATCGAAGCTGTCCCCATTGATCCGTCGCTCAACGAGGAGCTGATCGAAACCGTTGCAGCTCACAAGGTTGATGCCGCCATCCTTCCTGTCACGAACATTTCCGAAACTGGCGACATTGCAGCTGACGGATTGGGAATTTCTTCTGAAATTGTGGATGCTTCAAACGCTGACGTTCAAGACATCCCTCTTGAGTCAATATCTCAAGTTGTGCAGGAGGAACAGTTTGTCCGTGAGTCTTGCAATGGACCCGATGAAACTTCATTGCCGTTGGAGGGTGATATCCTTGATCATGCACTCGAGGTGGAAACCCTCCCCGCTGAGACCCTCGTAGATGTGGCAGAGCCAGCCCCTACTCACGCAATTGAATTGCCGGATACCGCAAACGGGGTTGCTGAAGCAGCAGGGCACGCCCTGGTTGACCTCCATTCCGCTGTCGATGTCCACCATACCGTCGCCGTCGTCGAAGAGGTTGTAGTGGATGATCTGGAAACTCAGGCCACTCCGGTCGTAGCGACTGAACTTTCTGAAAACATGGAGGTCGTTCTCGTGGAAGAGGCCTTGGTCAATACCCAGCCTATCCTAGATGACGATGTTGTGGTCATGGATACTTCGTCTGTCAGTGAAGCCGAAGCAGGTGGCCCAGATGAATTCAATAGCAACGAAAATGCAAGTTTAAAGGCGGAATTACAGGCTACTCAAATCTTTTCTGGCGATGCGGACGTTTCAAAGGCCACAGTTCCAGAAGATTTGCTGGTGGAAAAGCTTGAAGTGGAGGGAATATCTGATACCAAGAAAGTTTCTTTGGATAACGGCGATTGCATCCAAGAGAGTCAAGTGGCTTCAGATTCTGAATTTTCAGAACCTCCAGCAGACGCAAGGGCCGCACCTGTCACAGCCGTGTTTATGGATGAACAGACAGTGCAGATCGCCGAGCATGACACGGATGTTACGGAACCAACATTGGCCGAACAGGGCGAAGTATTAGAGACTGTGGATCTCACAATAGCTCAACCTCTTTCCAACGAATTTGCAACAGATGCGACGGCGGCTGATCGCAGTAACGTCCGAGCGAAAACTTCGGCTACCGCGCCCAGCGAAGATGGGTTGGCAGGGGAGGCCAAAGAGCATGCGCAGGATCTTCAAGATGACTCTCAGGTTACCACTGTGATCGAAGAAGGGAAGGTAAAGCTCGAAGCTGGGGTTGCAACGAAAGAGGAACAATCAGAAACTCAGTCGAAAGACTCGTTCTCTCCTACAGAGATTGACAATTCCTCGACCCACTCTCAACCCTCAGCTGATCAAGTCGCCAATCTGACATCAACGCGTCCCACCTCGGATCAAATCTTCTTTGAGATACAACCATCTGAAGAGGTAGCAACAAACATTGTTACACCCGGCGTCGTTCCTCTCGCCAACGCTCGCGCAGACACTGAGGAAAGAATCCAAGAAACCGTCACTGAGGTCAGCGTTTCACAAATGGAATCCGTCATCGAAGGCAAAATGCCACTGGAGGAACCGGCCGCCGATGTCAACGTCCCACAGGAGGAATCAGTCCCCAATGTCAACGTTCCACAGGAGGAACCGGTCACTAAGGACAGCCTTCTACAGGAGGAATCGGTCGTCGAAGGCAGCGCCCCACAGGGGGAACCAATCACTGAAGCCAACGTTCCACAGGAGGAGTTGGCCATTGAGGTCGTTCCACAGCAGGAAGCGATCACCCAGGTCGATGCTCCGCAGGAGGAATTGGTCACGAGTAAAGATGATCCCGCTTCCGCCAATGCGCAAGTCGAGGAGGTCGTAGTTGCAGAAAAGTCTGCACCTATCTTAGAAGAAGTGGTGAGCGCGCCGACACTTGCGGAGGAGTTGGCTGTATCAGAGCTTGCTAGCGAGAAGGGCGACATAGCAACGTCAGAGGAGGTTGAAGAGCAACTCGAGTCCAGCGTCCCACTCATCAAAGAGGAATCGCCCGCGTTTGATATAGGTATCGTGTCGGACGAACAATCAAACCCCCCTTTCTCTGCCGAGCCAGTGAATGGCGTGGCTCCCGTTCCATTGCTTGAACCTCCTGTTGTGCCGACTCACTCTGCCGATCTGGCAAAGCCAAACCATCAGGAGTCAGAGGCACAAGTTCATGCTGCTAACACGGTTTCCGCGATAGAACCATCCGAAACCCCTGTTGTCGAGGAATCTATTCTTCAACACCAAGACTCTGTGGTTGAAGTACAAGTTCTGGTTGACCTCACAGCTACAGAAGCTTCCGAGGCTCAAATTGCTGTTGACTCAGTCGTCGAGCCACCTGCTACAGAAAATGTCGAATCTTCCACCCTGTCCTTTGAACACAAGGGTAATGATACAGAACCAAGTGCTGATGGCATCACAAACTCGGAGGAGGTGCGAGTGCTCATCATAATAACAATCCACTAATGTTGAACCATCTTTCCGTCTTAGTTACCGAGCGCTGCTAACGATCCACCTCTCCTAAATACTGACGTAATAAGCATTGAGTATGCCAACTCACCTTATATTCCCGCCTTCATGGTAACAACAATTGGGTCTAGTTCGACGTCGGATGAGCCCAGTGGCCCTGAATCCCCCGTTGATGTTGTTGAACAAGGAACCATTACCCCGAAGGAATTATTAACAGCACCGGCTATCCAGGTCGAGTCTTCAGAAACCGTGCAAGTAAGTCTGAGGTTTGTTGAGCGACCTAGGTATATATTTTTAATGCAATTGCGACAGACAGACAACGAAGCTCCCTTGGACGACTCACAACTCCCTGCTAGGCCATGGACGCCGTCATACTCGGTGCACTCTCAAGGGACCCCTCTAGTGACTGCCAAAGAGCTTAATGAAGAATCAGATGTCCCCCTAGATGATGTCCCCTCGGCTGAACTATGGACACCATCGTACTCAGTGCACTCTCAAGGGACTCCGTTGGTGACGGCCAAAGAGCTTGATAATGAAGATGCAGACGACCTTGTAGATTACTCCCGCTCAGTCGATGCATATGAGCCCAAGCTCGAAGAAACGACATTTGCAAAGACTGAACAGCCAGAAGCTTCACCAGATTCACAGCCAGATGAACCGCAAATCCAGGACGGTGGCCCACCGCCTCAGTACGATCCAAAAGAAGAAACACGTGAACTGCTGGGTGCAGTAAACCACTTAGAAACGGAGTTAAACCTGGTCACTAAAAAGGAAATCTCAACTTCTGAAATAATCTCCGATGAACAAAACAAGCCGGAAACTGGGATGGGAACATCCAGGGACATACCCACCGTTGTTACCGAGGTATGTGAATGACCTTCGCGAGAATAAACAATCTCATGGGTGTTACTACAGGAAACATCCACAGATGAAGTTAAGCAACCAGTGGATCAACTGGAGGGACGATCCCATTCGCCATCTTGGGTCCCATCCTATTTGGTCAGCACCCAGGGCAGCCCCTTACCAGAGTTAAGGGAATTACAGGCCATCGTCGAAGCGGGGTCACCAATGCTTTCTATGGATGAGCCGATCACCTCGCAAGACAGCTTCGAGGCAGCGCAGTCGACTGCAGAACACCTGCACACCGCAGTTATCCCTGTTTCCGTCCCTCCCATTAGCATTGAACTTTCGACCGACGAAGGTAAGAATCTGACTTGAGAGAACGCTAACCCTATCGTTGACATTCAAACACAGATCATGTACAAAACGAAAGGCTCGGGTCCGAGCAATGTCTTGACGAACCAACGATAGTCAGCAAATCTCACTTTTGTTATCCGAGGGGAAGCTAACTTGATGGAACAGCACGGACAATTGTCTGACATTCCTATCCCCTTGCTGATCCCTTGCATGGATGCCCATGATTCGCAAAAGGACACGTGGACTCCGAGCTATTCAGTAACGACGCAGGGAGTGGCTCAGTCGCATGTTGAAATCATCGATGTATCGCCTGGAAGTTCTTCAGCAGCTATCGAACCACTAGCTCATGATTCAGACAAACCTTCACCCTCACTCGCCAGCGACATATCTAACCATGCCCTTGCCGCTGTCAATGAACAAACAAGTTCAGATGTATTTCAAAGTGACATCTTCGACCAGCTTGCCACTGGTCAGCCTACTCACCCATCCGACCTTGTGTCTGAGCCACGTCTGGCGTCAACCGGAGATGAGACTCCTACACAAACTGCTGTAGTATTGGACAAAGACATTGTCGTCGACGTTGAAACGCCGGCAGACGGACTTTCACATCATATTTTTCCTTCTGCAGACGACACCCCACGCGAAGGCGCTCTGGATTCGAAAGACAAGTAAGCATCCCACTTGCTCCTATTCAATCTCTCACCAGCTGTGTCTTTAGGCCCATAGTACCCCGTTTGGTACCCCTCGAGGAGTGGTCAAACGACACACTTCACCCCGAACCATCTGCACGCAAGAGACTTGAATCGACGACTTCATCGCGATTTTTCCCTGGAGGATGGTTCTCATCGAGCTCCACTAAGTCTCCAGACGAAAGCCGGCCCTCTCTTGAACTTGCTCAAGGAGAATTTATACCCACCAAATCACCCGCTGATGGCACCGAGGCCAATGTTTCTGCGGTGTCTCCCGCCACAACCGAGTCATTTGGCGACCCCCGCGAGGCAGATTCAGCATCTTCTGAAGAGAAAAGAAAGTGGTGCATTATCATGTAAAGGCTTCTTTCAATTCTCGATATCCGTGTCATTCCTTTCGTCCTCCTCATCTTACGATTAACTCGCAATCCACTCTTACTCTATGCATTTTCCTCATATTTCTTGGACTTGGTTGGATCAAGATTTACATGTTATTCCTCTCTTTATAATCCACTACCGACTTTTCGCACTGTGAAGCAATGAACACCCCATCAGCGAAGTGCACATAGTAAGGCTTGAGCGCTGAGCCATTCCTACATAGAAGTTTACTGAAATAAAAACGCGGACATAACAAGAGAAACCCTCCAATGTTCTCTTCACAATATAGCCAGCTTAGGCGTAAACCAGCGTTTGTCATTAGTTTGTATTATATTCGGGTCACAGACCAGATCAACAGATAGAATGCGCCAGTGTCCAGCAACGGTCCAGGTCTATTGTACTCCTTCAAGGTCGCCTCCACTTGTACCGTACCTTTCGAAAAGACCTGGCCGTCCCATAGTTCACGCCAACCATCTGGAGAATGGCAGAACATACGACGGCCTGCGCGGCTAACTTCAGCTCGAAGACCTTTCTCAGGTAGCCCACCATGCAGACCGAAAATGACAGAGCCAGGTTCGGGCGAAAGCAAAGTGGCAACGCGACGAGCGAGCACCTCTTGTTGTGCCTCATCGAATAAATGAAAGAATGATGACGCATGGATAGCAGAGATGTGCCCTTGAAGAGGTGTCAGTGATGCGAGAGTATTCAAGGCGGGATGGAGAGTTTCTGGCTTCTCATAGAATGGCGCTCGAGGTGCGATCATTAAATCGTCGAACGCATCTCCGGCCACAAATGCTGCCGGAAAACTGGCGGGAGTTGTCTTGAATAAATCGTGCCCGCATTGCCAGAAGTCTTCTCCGAATTCAGCTGAGGACGATGAAACGACAAAGAAGGCTGACCTTGACGGAGATCGGACGCAATAACGTCCTGAACGGGCCACCCATCGACTACCGCCTTTCTGGCGTCATTTCCAACTCAATAGCATGTTAGAAAAATGGGGGCCTTGGAGGGCAGTAAAACGGGACCTACAACAACACCCAATGTCAAGCAAAATTGGGCTCTCCCTCTCCTGGACGAGCCGCTTTACTCGTGGATAAGCGGGCAAGCGAGATATTTTCATCCTGGTAAGTATTCAATGATGATCAGCACTTCTTATAAATGTAGATTCATTCGAGTTAACAATTGGTTCTGACCTCATGAAACCGAAGCTTCGTATGCATGGATAGCCATAAACCTATTGTGAAATCTAACTACCTTTGCACTATGAATCATGATGAAGTGATATACGCGAACCTCATATGCCTTTGTCTGCGCCGCAATAATATGTTTCTTGAGCTGTTCCTCGTCGGCGATACCTGTTTCCGATTTGTAAAAGGCAAGTTCTTCGCTGTCCGGAGAATACAGAGACTCGTCCAGTGCAGGGCGCAGCTTGGGGTCAGTATAAATTGACATGATGGCTCTGCGAAGGGGCTAGCTTTGAAACTTGGGAAGGTATAAGTACTACGTGCCGAAACTGATTACGAAGATGCCTTCACGTCAAATGGAGTGTTATGTATTCGGGCGTAACAAATTTGATTATTTCGGTGCCAGAATAAATCTGTTGTGGATAGAAAACCATGTCTGAATGATAGGAGTTTCGTCTGCCCTTTAGAGTTTTCCTTCCAAAATGTACGACCCCTTTCTGAAGGATGCTCTTGAGGAAGTGTGGAGAGATCATATGCTTCGGTCCCGTGTCAAGCAAGTCGTCCCTGCCCCAAAGTTGACACGACTGCCGCGTTTCTTTCGCTCTCTATATATCCGTTCGCCTCCGTTCGCCCATAATCAGAGCAGGATGTCCTGGTATGTAATTGTTGGAGTTGGTAGATGTTAACGCTGACCAGGGCGATGGACAGGCTGGCTGAGTTGGTTCCACCACCGCACACCCGAGGACCGTTAACCCTTCAGTCATTCACTCAAGATCTCTTGCCTCCACTAATCTGCTATTTTGTCACCGCAGTTCTTGTCGTCACCCCAAAATCATTTCCAGCACGCCTGGCACTGTTACCAATATCATTATGCTCCGCATTTCGAGCGTCCACTCGTCTCGATCTAGCCGCGGGGTACGGTGACGAAAGGCTGCTATACCTAAATCAAGGTTTACTTGTATGTATTCTCCCCCCGTCCCTTTTCTCCTCTGACGAATTTCGACCAGTTGGCGATGACGATTCTCGCAACACGCGTCGTCATATGGACTTTTCAAACGGAACCATATCGACGACTGAAGGCTCCTTGGAATCCCGATGCAATAGACCCTAGTCGTTTAGAAGATTCGTTAGGCCCCAAGCAAACCCTCCTTGATGCTGGCGACCTCTTTTTCAACCTCAGAGGTCTCGGATGGAACTGGTCTCATGGCCTACATATACCCCCAGAAACACGACCGACGTCTTCACGGTCCGCTTTCTTGTCGGTTACATTCCTAGATTTTCTCTTTTGGATGTTTCTTTGGGATACTTTCCACTACTCAGTCCAGTGGTTTTCCCCTCTCACCATTGGTTCCCCAAAGGGCGGAACTATTTTTGACGCAGCAATGCCTCCACTTCAACGCTATCTGCGATCAAGTGTTATCACCCTCCTATCGGGGGCAACAGTCTACTGCGCTATTAGCACCGCATATCTATTTTTCACTATCTGTGGAGTACTCATCTTCCGCCACGATCCTTTACAGTGGCCTCCCGTCTTCCACGCCCCTTGGTTCGCCACCTCCCTCAACGATTTCTGGTCTCGACGCTGGCACCAAATATTCCGAGACAGCTTCGTCTCCTTTGGTGGGAAACCTTTGTTCCTACTATTTGGACGCGCCGGTGGGGTGCTTGGTGCGTTTCTGGTTTCCGGGATTCTGCACGACTTTGGAACCTGGGGAATGGGGAACGGAAGCGATTTTCGTTGCATCGCTGGTTTTTTCATCATCAATGGCATTGGTATGATCTTAGAACACACATGGAAACGGATTACTGGAAGTCCGGTGGGTGGCAATTTTGGAAAGTTATGGACCCTTCTGTGGCTAGTTGGATGGGGTAACATGTTGGCAGATGCATGGGCGAGGAAAGGCCTCGTCGGGAGCGTTTTCTTTCCTGATAATATCCGGCCAACACATAATATATTCGGATCGCTGTCGTAGATCTTATATCATATATACTTCGTAAAGTTAATAGTTGCACCTGACAGTATTACTATGTACCGTCATTTCGCCAAACCATATCAGGTCAAGTGACGGGGCAATTGTTTACTTCTGGTTTCTCTTATCTTGTCATCATGAAGCTGGCGATAACGGGCTGTAGTGGAAAGGTCGGGAGAGTCGTCGTCAGAGAGGCTCTTGAACAAGGTCATACAGTTGTTGGCATAGATCGCGTCACCCCGACGGTTGACTGGACAAAGAGCAACACCTTTGTCTTCATACAGACTGACTTGGAAGATTTTGACGCCGCGTTGAATGCACTGAAAGGATGCGATGGAGTCATTCATCTCGCAGCGATCCCCACTCCTACTGATTATAAGATTGCCTCCCACAACAGGTCAGCAGCTTTCGAACCACACCTACATCGCTAACTAGGACTTTCTTCACCTAAGCAACGTCGTTATTTCATGGAATGTCCTCCGTTCCTGCGCAGAGGTGTGTTATGATTAGGCTGAACCCTCTGGCGTCAGCGACTAAGAGACTGAAACGCATCCAATAGCTTGGTATCAATCGAGTAGCTCAGGCATCTTCTGTCAACGTTATCACGATGGTGTTCAGTCAAAGTCCCAATATCCATTACTTTCCTATCGACGAAAACCATCCATGCCTTCCGGATGAGCCTTATGGACTTTCAAAAGTGTGAGGACCTGACCACGAGAAGAATGCCGTTTATAATCGCTAACTTGAGCCAATTCCCCGCCAGAATATGTGAACTTCAAGCGGATACCCTTGTTCGACGGTACCGTTCAATGAAGATCGCGAGTCTCCGGTTGCATTTTTCGGTTCCGGAAAGGTCTGTGGCGCACAAAAGCAATCCATATTCACCGATAAAGGACTTGTGGGGTTACGTCCAACAAGATTCAGCTGCCGACGCGTTCCTTCTTGCAGTAACGGAGGAGACAAATAAATGGTCAGGTCATGAAGCTTTCTTCGTTGTAGCACCCGTCACCGCCTTCCCAGAGCCGTCGAAATACTTGAAAGAAACGTATTGGCTAGATGTTCCTATCTTGGATGGGAAAGAGTTGGTTGGGAACCAAAGTTTCTTCAACTGTGAGAAGGCAGAAAGACTATTAGGTTGGAAGCACAGAGACTTCCAGGAGGCTGGTTAAAGAATCGGGGGGAAATCTCCATGGAGTATGGAGGTCTTCATGATGGGTGCAAGAATGTTTGTAACTACAAGGCTTTGGTTAAACCTACTACTCAGAAGAACGTCAATGCAAGAAACTTACATATTCTTCATAATGGTGAAGCAGCTCACGCAACTGCTTTCGAGATATTCCTGCGAGATAGAGAATTTCGTCGTCTGATTTCTTGCCGTCAAAATACTGGTTAATCCTAGAATACAATGTTAATATTAATAGATTAATGATTAGCATGTAGGGGACGAACTGCTCAAATCTTTTTGCAATGTGAGGCTCTTTCCCGTCGGACATGGCCGATAACCAGCGACGCTCTAGTGGAGTTGCTCGGCCGGGGTCATCAATGATCGAGGAAACTATGTGTTCATCCGATGTCTCCGAACCAGAGGAGTCCTCTTCCGTTGGTAGTTCATATGTAGCAGAGTCCTCTACGCCCAAGAATTGTTCGTCATATTCCTTGATGACCAACTCGCTCATCTCACTTCCTCGCGACCCATTGGACGGTATTCGTCGCAGGTGTTTCCTTGCACTTTTAGGAGAGAGGGCAAGCCAGGGCACACCTGACTGGACACCAGCAGATTCCTCAACCTCCCCAAGGTAATGGAGATCCCGTTGTACGCCAGATCCTTGAGAACCCTTGCCGGACAAACCGCTGGAATATCGGCTCATTTGGACACGTTTCCTCAAGTCAACCGTTGCCACCACTCGTATTCGAAGATGCAGAGTTACCAGCATGTCGCGTTTCAACATCCAAAGAACGACCTCATGATACAGTTTAATGAGATCTTTGGTTTTCACCACTGAAGCAAAGAAGTGATTTTCGGTTTGTCGGGACATTGAGGTGGATATATCAGCCAGAATCCTCGGAAGAGGGGGGATAGATGGGTGTGTAAACCGTTTCTCAAACTCGGCCGTCAATGTCGCAAGCCTAGAGAGATTAGCAACGCAGGGCATTTGAAATCATCAGAACTTACGGTGGCTGGAAAATGGGCGGAAGCGAAAACACGGTCTTCAAACCGGGATGGACCGTATCCACTATCTTGGCCCTGCGGTGCTGTACAAGCCAACGAACGACAGGGTAGATTTGTGACTCCAGGTTCCAGTTCAATAGGCTTGCCATGTCAGCGAGCCTACAGACGAATCATCAGAACCCAGGAAGGCAATAGAAACGCAAGACATACGACAATGTAATGGATGCGGTATCCAAGAATCGTGCCAGTTCTTCAGCCAGAGTACTGTCCTCCGCAGTAAGTTGGGGGCCTCTCAATGTTATGTTTGGGTCAATTTCGTTATCCCCGTCCAAAAGTAATAGGCTTTTCCATGGCGCTAGCGCAGGCAGTCTCCAACCGAAACTCAAATCTTGTCCCCACGTTCGGATATCGTCGTCATCAAACTGATATATGAAATCTGCGTCGTAATCACCCTCGCTATGAAGGAGGGTTTCAAGATATGGTGGTAGTTGTAACTCCATGGGGAGGTTATTGAATGTGATGTAGGCAATGGATTTTGACCTGATCGCTTCGTAAATCAACTTCATACCAGACGCAATCGAAGATATTTCTAAAGCTTTGGAGGTAAAAACATCAAAGGAATCACCTACAAGAGACTTTATTTGACATTTTGGTCGAAGAAAGGTCATGAGCACTCACCCTTGGATATGCACGATTCCTTCAGTGAACTCAGAGCTTCGCATTGAGTTTGAACAAAATTCGAAAGGACTTGTTCTTGAAATAGGACTGCTGTTGCTGTGAAGGCAATTTGTTCGTATATGATGTCGAAGTACTTAGAAACATTGCCCGACGCTGAGGAGGAGGGGTCAGGCAGGTCGAGAACAAAAACAAGATGGAAGGTGTGAAGCCATGAGCTCTTTGACGACGATGGTTCGACTGACACCGGACTAACAGAACCATTGTCTTGATGTGCTTCTGAATTGTCCAATCCCCTTGCATCCCTGCCCCTAGGGCCGCCGTTGAGCTTTTCCGGCTTGAACCTCCATACCCCACCTGAGTCTGCACAGACTGGGTGACCGATAAATGCCAAGTCATCTACCACCAGTTCAAACTTCTGGTGGTACATCGAACGCTTAGGGCAGAGGGTCTTGGCGAGAAATTGTGTAGTGTACCCAAACACATGGTCGTATTGTTCGAGGTTGGCTGCTTTCTCCATAGAGTATGACCTATCTCTGCCAGGAGAGATTCTCCGTGATTGAGGAGTTGGCCGCTCTTCCCTTTCATGCAGCCGCCGCCAACGGTATTCTGGATCACTTGTATAATCCTGAGCAGGAGACTCGGCGTTTGCACCGAACGTGTCAGCGGGGTTAGAGGCCCTCCAGAGGTTATCTAGCTGGGACGGCCAGAAAAGATCATTTGGCCGTATGCGTTTGAGCCTCGGAGGACTGACGGGAAAAGCTGGCCATCGATAGACAAGCGATGCGCCTTTCGCCGACGTCGTTACAAGTAAAATAGCCAGCAGAGACTCAGCCATAGAGCAGGTATTATTCAATGAGTGAGGATGTAGTTGGCACCAAGAATGGCCGTTGCTTGGGCAACCTTGAAATTACATACTTACATTTAGCACAAACCGTCTTTCGGACTCTTTCAAGACACTTTCTCTTCACCAACGTCTACCGCAGTGCCGCAGACCTCTTCATCCTTTTACTTGATAGTTCTCACTTTTTCTTCTTCTGCTTTCTATAGCACCAATGTACGTGGGTTACGCCATCTGTCGTGTCATTGCCGCGCCTTTCGCCGTTCACTGACTTCGCCGTCCAGGCCCCTGCCAGATGAACGTCCGCGCGCGAGCGTTGCCAATCTAATTGGACGATTCGAGAACCAGACCAAGCGGGTCAGTTCTTCAGGGCCCCTCCCTGCACCTAGTGCCTCTCGTAGCTCGAGCGTAATCTCACAAACCAACGGAGACTCGACGAAGGAGGTGAAAGAGAAACGCGAATGGCCACCAAGGCCTTTCGCAACCACTGACAAGCCTCCTGTCGTTCTACCGTCTTACATCCGTCCACCACCACCTACACAACCAACCACGACACCTTTGCTACCACCAGCTCCGATCACCATCCCCGATACGCCTATTGCCACAGCCGAAGTGCCTGTGGACAACGCTTTACCGGTCACAATTGAAGTGGAGCCTGCCACACCCGGACCTTCACAATCGCCGCGACAGGACAATTTGGACGCGCCTTCCTTGACTAAAACGAAATCCGCCACTTCAGCTCGGGCGTCAATAGCAACGAAGTCGAGAGCTGCAGCATCTAATCCTCCCAATCCTCGTCCAAAGACTCCTGTAAAATCGCCAGGTCCAAAGCAATCGTTGGCTTCCTCAACAATCCAACCGCTTAAACCGCAACATACTGGCCAATCCGTCACATCAACGACTTCCGCCCGGAGAGCGGCTACCAAGCCCCCCATCCCGAGCACCCCATTGCGGTCGAAAACCCCTTCTAAACCAGTTTCAAGCGTAGCCAATTCCAAATCACCTACATCTCGGCCAAAGACCCCTTCGACTGGCTTGTTTGCACCTACAGCAGCATCGCTTGCGCGATCTCGAAATGTCCAACCTCAGCTGCCAACCCCCACTAAGAAGCCTACGCTGAGCAGTAGCTCTGCTGACCGTTTGAGCAAACCTACTGCTGCTTCTTTGTCTAAGGCCAGAACGCCCCCAACTGCCTCGCCTGCCTCCGTTGCCCGTAGTCCTCCATCAAATCGAAAGGCTTCGAAACCAAAGGTTGTGGCAAGTGCCACAAAGGAAATGCCGGCTTCCAACGCTGAGGTTGATGACGCCATCGTTGCCATTGCAGGGTTAAGGGAGCCGGACAATAATGTGGAAGAGCACAACAAAGACGAGCAGACGCTTGAAGCAATAGTAGATGCGGTTAGCCATGCGGATGCGGTTGAGGACACATCTGCTGTCTTCTCTGATTCTGACGTTGACCTTTCGATTCAAGTCGGTGAGCCACATGAACCTGAGGGGGGATTCTGCGATGGGAAAGAATCCAAGCAGAGCCCTGTGCTTTCCTCCCTGGATACCAATGATACCCTCGTTGACACTGAAGTGGATGAGAAGACGGAAGAGCTTAACTCATTTAAGAGCACTGGCACTGACATCGAAGACATTGTCAACTTACTCGAGACAAATGCTCTTTCAAAGTTGCATTCGGAGACCGCAGCGAGCGTCCCCAATATCCCCGACGAGGTTCACGACATTCCGGATGAAGAGTGAAACCTCGCCTACAGAAAGAACTACCTACAAGAGGCACAAATGCGCATTTTCCTTTCTTCCCCCCATATTCCTCCCTGTACATGTCAGATTCTTGGTTGACTATTGTGGTATGGTCTCCTTTCATTCTTTTCTTCCTGCCGCCTATATCTACTCTAACTCAACGGGATCATCATGCTACGGTCCTTAAGTACTCTAGTTCTTGACTTGTTCTGACTTTTTTTGGTAGATTACGTCCTACTGCTCTCTCCTTCTCTCAAATACCTTTCCACCTGAGCCATACTTACCTCACTCATTATACATTCATCGTTTCTTCTTGTAAGATAATTCCCACGCGTCGCGACCAGAGGACGCGTCATATTAAACTTCGCGCGTGACACTCCTTTATCGTCTGAGGGTCTGCATCATCAAAACTTCTATTCCACGACTATCATGGCCACATCAGCGTCCACATCTAAATCCACAGATACATCACAGCCTGTCGATACTTCGAAGGGAGAGAATCCGGCTGCCGTAGGAGTCCTAGAAGAGGATGATGAGTTTGAAGAGTTTGCCGTAGCAGGTTTGCAGGCCTCCCTTCTTCACGATCAACGAATTTTTTATCCCTACTATCAGACTGGGACGATTCTGAAACGGATTTGGCGCATCTGAGTGGTGTAGCACCGGGCGCTGCGAAGTCGGGAGGGGATAAACTCTGGGAAGACAACTGGGATGATGACGACATTGAGGATGAGTTTAGTGTGCAACTAAGGTGAGCATGGGCCAGTTTTCCTCTGTTTTGAATTCAATAGTAACGTTGTGGAATTAGAAATGAGCTTTCGAAGACCAAAGGTGCTGGAGACGGCAATGCTATGGAGCAATGAACGCCACACTCCCTTTAATCGAAGATCTCGTCTGCAAAAAGGATCATAATGAACATTGCCTACACTGGAATGAAAGTCTTTGAAATGCTCATAGAGTCGTAAGCCTCGTTGGTACGGCTTCGATGATGAGAGCGGTGTTTTAAGGGTATCCATTCAGCAAGAAGGCAAATGACTGCCTTAGCAGCGATATAATACTCGGATGAAGTCACCGTAACACTCGACTTGTGGATACCCAGCCCAGAATTGACCCATTACCAACGAGACTCCCATGCGCTTTCGGAGATGATACTGTGATGCTCTGCCTCTGCATCTTGCCTTCACTCAACTGCCACTTCACCAGATCAAGGCTCGAAACGAGACTAAATTTTGACACGGAACGGTAACCCTCTGAAATTGTTGATCTCAAAAATTTTCAAGTTCAGCGGACTTTCTTCCAGTCAAAGTACAATGATACCCCATTCCAATTTACTTACACGAAGAGACATATTAGACGATACAGCATTGAGATGTGATAATGGGGGTATTGATTAGGACAACCGTGTCATACGAAACGGTCAACTCATTTGTTGCTCATTTGCTTATGCCGCTACACTGTCAGCAATCTTCGTGTCAACATTCGGTTCCTTCTCGTCAATTGAAGCTGAGAAATCTGGATCTGTCTGCTTCAACCCCATTGCGCTCGTATCGTAACCGTTCGCCTCCAGATATTCGCGGAACTACAGTGACCAATCAGGACTGGAATGGACCTAATCGAAAAAGATGATTTACTGCACGGTCTTCCTCCACCATTCCGTCATGGGAAAGAGGTCGGATGAAAAACAACGTAATAAGAGCACTAAGGACAGCGAAACCTGTTCATGACTGATGAGCACCACACCGAGGACGCAATGATCATGATGTACCACTCCCAATCCAGAAAGGGCCAGTGTTTCCTTTGTCAGTATTGGCTCCTCCGAAATCTAGTTTTTTGTTCAGTGGCCATAAACGTTGCACCAGCAGTGTCCGAATTTTACCTTGAATTATAGGGGGGAAGACTGCAGAGGGTTAACCGGGTTTGTAAAAAAAAAAAGCACCTAGCTCAGATCACTCACTCCAGATTCCAATAAATGCTCCAACCTTCCCAATTGCTGCTGCAATGCCATAGAATTGCCCGCGCACGGCAGTGGGGCTACTCTTGCTAGCCAGTAATCCCAAGCAATTACCAGGACCAAGTTCTCCGAAACTGAGGAAGATGCCATACACAACCTGCAACTGGAGCGTAAGTAAGTGGGCATCATAGTTAAGCGGGTACCCAACAGCAAAGGCAGCAACATGCTCCGTCAAACTGAAGAATGATTAACAGGCACAGGAGATAAAGCTGTCGATACGTACTGTTTATAGAGTCCACTCATGATGAACCCAATCAACGCTTGAAAAAGGAGACCAGTGATCTCATGTTCCAAATCAGAAGGTTACTTAGATATCTCAATAAACTTGAGTACCATAGTCCATTTTGGGCCCAGATAGTCAACGATAAATGCACCTCCAATTGTGCCAGGCATATAGAACAAACTGGAAAGTGAATTTAGCATGTCAGTCAAATGCGTGTTGAACGACTCGGACTTGCTTGATGATAACGTTCCAGCCGAACACTACAGAAAGAGCAGATGATCCGCCAGTGACACTAACAAAAGATATGAGAAAGGGTCGGGGTATAAAGATAATCGATTGGGCTTACCGATCAACAATGATAGAGGAATATATCCCAAACTATCAACGGATTAGAGTATAGTTTGGTTGCAATGCCCAAATCGTACGCACAGGATACCTAAGGAAAAGAGGGGTAAAAATCGATTCTTGGGTAGTGATGGAAACATGCATACGTGATGATATCATAAAGAAACCAGGTAGCAGAAATCGCAGCCAACGAGCCCCCGTAGCGCTTGAGGATGAGCCGGTATGGTATTTTGGCATGTTTCATGGAGTCCTTCTTGTAACGGGTGGGCTCTTCCATGGATAGACGCCAGATAAACACGGCCAGTGCGGGAACAACCCCCAATCCCAAAGACAGGCGCCAGACAGCTCGAAGGTGGTGCTCGCCGAAGCTAGATCAAGTCAGAAGGTTGAAAATGTTGCATTATGGAAGAACGTACATCCAAAATAGGACCAGAGGCACAAATGCTGCGACAACGAAGCCGAAATCAATCATCGCATCTGAAATAATTAGTGATGGTCAATGATACAGACAGGTAAAGGTAATTCTATCGTACTTGTAGCTAGAGCAAACCATCGATGCTGAGCGTTCTTGTGAATGCCCTTTTCCTCAGATTGCTCCGAAGCAGAAACAGAGCCGCAAGGGTATTCCGCACCGACACCGATTCCTAAGAGGAAACTGAATGGACATGTAAATTGCAATTGTCGATCTGCCTGTGCCGTCATACGCACCGCATGGCACTGAGCATACTGAGGAGTCCACCAATACTGCCGTGAGCACCAGCAGAAGCAGCTGATAGCAGTGAAAATAGAGCGACAATGCCAGTAGCTGTCATCTATCAGACTTGAGGTGAATAACACACTCTGCAACTCTAGAAAACAACTTACCATCCCAAATTTTCTTCCAATCTTGTCCGAAAGGTAACCTAAGGGAATGATGAGGGCAGGCATGATAAGAAGGGTTAAAATTACTGACCAAAGGTCAACATGCCCACGATCGTTCCAGCAAAGGCGACACTACTCAAAATGCGGCTGTAGTTGTGGTGGGCAAGCTCATCTGCCCCGTAGATGCGGCTCAACACTATCAGACAGGGCGTCAACCAAACGCGAAATCATGGGAGTTGGAACTGACATGTATTCACTGGAGAAAGGTGAATAAGAAGCAGCAAGCATTGGACATGGCACGCACCACTTCCAATCACACCGTTAGCGTATCCTGGAATCAAGCAATTAGGGCGAAACTCATAAAATTTAAATACTAGATGAGATACATACCATCTGAAAATAGAGCAGTACCGCAACTATGAATCGCTTAGTGACGTCGTGATACATCATAGGGCATAAAATATGGCATACGCAAAGATGAGCGAGACGGTTTTGAGACGCTCCTTGAAAGTGGTCGCCATTCTTCGTAGTGAATCGTAGATTAGCACTGCTGTGGTGGTAAAGTGGCGCGAGTAGTTGGTCGTTAGGGTTTCTCGGGCATGGCTTCTTTTATATTATTTGAGCGGTGGAAGCGAAGTATCATGCATCATGGTCCATCAAAAGTCGGTCTTCTGCAGCACCGTGAGATGAGGTAATCTGCCATGCGGACAGTTTGAACACAGTATGTGTACACAGGATGCTGGAGTGAGTATCCGCTGGGGAATCGTCTGCACGGATCTACGCGCCAGTGTTTCTTCAGCAACGCACGTTTGTGGTCCGGTCGATAACCCTTCCAAACGCCCACAGTTGCGCACGTCGCCAGTGAGGGAATCCAATGGGAGAGATTGATGAAATTCGGAGTCAGACCTACATCGACGTCGTCACCGACCGTATGTTGAACGTTGATTCGGAAAATTTGATGTTGCCACTGTAAAAAGTATCTCGTTATACTTAGAGACTCCGTGGAAGTATAGATAGGTGTAGATGTGCGATGGTCAAGTTGTGTACCGTTCAGTTATTTTTAGATGCAAGGTGCATGTGATCATGTTGCTCCGATGATAAAAATAGTCATTGGTGCACTGACACAGACTCTTAGTGTTGTCCTCGCCAATTGCTTGACACAATACATATAATTTTGATGCAGGTACTTACTCAGGATACGCTCATACACTCCACATCGCTGCGCTGACCGAATCCTTGTCGATTTGTCTGCTCTCCTGCATTATCTCGTTATCAATTTCCTGCAACTCCTTTCGGTCATCGAATGGAGCTGACCGAACACCACACCCCTCCGTTCCTTGATATCAATCTTGTTGACTAAAGTCCGGGATGGAAGGGGAAACTTGAGGCTGAGAAGTGGTGGCATTAATGCGGCTCAAGGGTACGAGTTCTCGTCAGCTGCCCCCATGTAATGTCGTGACAGAATATAGGTCCAACGCTGCCACGCCCCGCTTGGGACATAAAGGGCGATGTGCTATGCGCACATATTTGAAGAGCCCAAATGACCAGATAAGTAATGCGCTTGATATTGACGTTCATTCGAACGGGCGTGTGTGGTTTCCGATCTGGCCGTGCATCGGACCAGTAAAATTGAGGTGCAAAGAAGAACATGGATATACAAGATGTAGATGGAATAAAAGGGCACAGTTTCAAGAAAGAGAGTACTGCTGAGCGGAAAGGGCTGTCCAGAGCACTTGAGAAATTCTGCTAAACGCAAATTCCAGTCTCCACAACGGGTCCCGCAAAAGGTGACGGGGCAGAGTGGATTCCAGCAGCTGCAAGTTTCTTGAAGATCTATGGCAAAAATTTGAGCGTTTTAGAAAAGTAATCTTATCTCTTTTACCTGGATGAAAACTTCCGAGGACTGACCACCACTAACAGCCCATTTTCCATCTATGATTGTCATTGGGACACCAGTTATGCCTTTTGATCGAGCCGCGTTGCACATATCGTTGACTTCCTTTTCCAGTTCATCCGATTCAAGAAATTTGACAGCCTAACACAATGTGAGCACCCATGTAAATTCGCACCAAAAAGGGACATACCTCTTCTCTTCCCATCAAACCAACAGACTCTGCCAAATCCGCAAGAACGCCTATGTTTGCAATATCCAACCCATCTTCCATATGTGCTTTGAAAACAGCACACAATATTGGGACTTGTAGCTTCTGACCACCCATCTTGTATGCTTTCTGACACAGTCGGTGAGCGCGAATGGTTTGGCTTATGACCCCCTTGAAAGATCTGTGACAAACATCAGTAATCTGAATGGGATTGTCCAAGAGAGCTGACATGGGGATACCCTTCTCTTCTGCCCATTTTGATACATCATTCTTGAGTTTGGAAAACCTCTCTTGGCCAAGATGGGTTGTGAGGAAGTCGACCTTTTCGACTTTGGGGGAATCATCATTCACTGACTCAGAGCATAGGAGGCGAAATGGCAAGTGTTCGAGCTGGAATGCTAGGGGGAGGTGCAAGGTATCTTTGCAGAATGTAATAGCATTGAGCAGTTCATGCTGGCTAATGCAGCAGTTTGCGCATACCTTGGAATTGTCAGAAAATGCAAGCGCTAAGGGTGAGCAGACTTACAAAATCGGTTACTACGGTTATTTTAACGACACGAGTGGCCATGACAGGGTTGCAAGATGATCGATACGGTTGGAATACGTTGGAATGGTTGGAATGATGAAGAAGGCCGAGCAGGTAGGTTAGAGGTTATGATAAAGAGCTCAGGAACATAGGATGGATAAGAGAAAGTGAGTCGCCGAGTCTTACTGTTTGCGATTACTGAGCCAAGACCGAGCTTACTACAACATGTAAATTTAAAATAGTGCATGATTACAACATAATTTGCACATAATCTCACGTAGTCCAGTTTTACTCCAAAAGGTCGTGTGGATCGTTATACTCAAGTCCCGCTGGCCACACCTCCTCAGATAGAGCCTTGTCAACCCCCAACCTCTCTTCCAACCACTTTATCCGATGCTGATGTTTTGCATTGGATTTCAACATATGTCGGCTCCGTCGATCGAGCGATGCCGTTGCAAGCGGCTTACCGGACTCTGCCCGCTTGGAAATCATCGCGCAAAGAGGGTCCACGTCAATGGTCTGTAGCTCTCTCACAGCGAGACTTCGCAAGCTGGGCCAGGGTATGAGAGTGTCCGAGTCTTCCGACATTGGACATAGCATCTCGTAAATGTCTGGCACAGATTCATCGAATCCCAGGTGGACCACCGCAGGGAATGCAGCAAAGAGGTTAAAAATCTCAGTTTCACCGAACGCGCATGAATCCAAAGATAGGATCTGCACCGTCGGGATTATATCAGAATCGAATGTATCCATGTCTAGGAGCGAAAGTGATTCGAGGGCAGGCAATCTTAAGAGGCTCAGTAGCCGGTGAGGTGGTGCGCAGGGACCACGTATCCGCAAAGACCGTAACAATGGCAAACGGATAGGAGCTGTGATTGCTAGCGGATCACGAGGGTGATGGATGCATAACTGGTTCATGGACAGGTTGACGAGAGAAGGCAATCCTTCGAAAACTGTTTTGAACTGATTATGTGTCATGTAATGGCGCGTCCATCCGTCAAGATGAAGTGTGGAAATGACATTTGAAGCGGGATGCATGTTGCCCAATGCCAGGCCGGCAAGCCGCACAAAAGAAAGAGACGGCGCACCGGCCAATAGAATTTGAGGGCAAACGTGTCGGTAAGCTACCCGCGGGGAGAGCAACCCATCCTGCGGTGTCCCGACATGGAGGGACAAATGTTGCAAAGCAGGCGTGATGGCAGGGCGAAGAAACATGTTGATGTCGTTGACTTTCTCCCTTCTTGCCACTATAGACAATCTTCGCCAACGTTTCGAATGAGCAGAAATAAGTTCGAGGTAAGGCGCTACTTCTTCTGTGAGGCCAAATGAAAGTGAAATATCGAGATGACACGGATCAGAACGCGTGAGGTGGGCAGAGAGCCTTTGAAGTGTGCGTCCGCGGATATGGCTCAATGGCCGAATATCCATGTCGATGTCGTTCCACAAAAATGGGGTTGCCAAAACAACCTGACGCCAGCGGCTCGAAACATGAGAAGCTAAAACGGTAAATGGATATTTCGCCCTCGAGGTGAGCTGGTGGGATGTGGTCAAGATGATCACGAGGAGTTCGTTAGGCAGCTTGTATAGTGGGGTGATCTCGTTGACGATACTAGCATGCCTGGATTTTTGTTCTCCAAGTTCTTGTTCGACGGCGTTGACTTCCTGAAGCAAATAGGTTCGCTTGGACTCTAAAGTCGCAATCGACTCTCCAAGTGAAATAAGTACTTCTTCTCTGCTCATTTTTTCCTCAAGAGCGACGCCGGGCTCTAACAGATGCCACTATTGAAGTTAAGAAATCTCAGACGAATGGAAAGGATGATCGAAGGCATGACTTACTACATGGTTGCAGGTAGTAATTGGAAGTTGGAGAAAATATTTATAATTTCATAATTTCATGTAACTTCGTCTACATTGACAACCTGACAGAAACTTTACATGATGTGGTACGGTAGAATGAGTTAAATGCTGCGTTCTCCAAATCCCTCTATATGTTGAAAAGTAGACTACGTCAGGTTCAGCTCTCTGTCGAGCTGTAGGGCAAGTTCAAGATCTTTCAGTTCTTGCTGCCTCCTCTGCGCTGCATCTTCCTCTACCCGTCGCAGAGCTTCCAAGCGAGCCACATCTGGACCAACCGTAGGTGAAAAGGCTCGACCGGCAGGAGGTGAGCGTTGGGGCAGGGGCAGCGGGGTTTGGTATCGCGTTGGCAAGTGTTGACCATAAGGATCGAATTCACGGCCGCGGGGGTAGGTAGACATATAAGGGTTTGTTTCCCTGACGGGTGGGAGGGCAGGCGCAGGGATATAAAACCCTCCAGACACGAAGGTAGGGGAAGCGACAGTGTCAACTCTCGATTGCGTCGGGGAAGTGTTAGTTATGTATGGGTTGATCGAAGTGGAAACTGGGTATGGATTGTGTGTATGGTAAGGCGAAGGTTGCCCATTTTGAGCTCCAGGGGGTATTACGCCGTGAATATATTGTTGTGAGGCTGTGACAGCAGGAAGTACATAGGGATTATTCAGTGATGGAGGAGCAGTTGACAACTGCCGGATATGGCCAGATGGTGGAGAATTTGAGCTGGTTGGAGGCTGAGCACTTCCTGGTCGCAAAATTGATGGCAAAGGGGCCGTCAGTGGATTTCGCGAGGAATCTAAAGATGAAATTGGAACGCCAGTAGCTTGATTCGAAGTTTTATGTTGTAAGACATCAGTGGGGCGCCTTGAGTGATGGGGTTCATTCCTTATGTTGGGAGTGGGAGTAGGTCTTGCGGGAGCGAGAGAAGGAGGGAGGATAGGAAGGGCGTAATTAGGAGTGCTCTTGCGAACCTGAGTGGATGTTGAATTTTGTGGAGGTGGAAAATTAATTGCCTGACTGGGTCGAGAAAGTCGATCCGATCGTAGAAGTTTAGAAGGCCTCCGCTGAACACCCTCCTTCAAGTATGATGGTACAGCAAGCCCTCCCATCGCTACAGCTGGCGCAACCGAATTGGCATAATATGTCATTTCAAGATACAATTCACCACGGGCTACCCCGTCAATGTCCAGGCTGATCCAGTCTATAGTAATGGAATGAGAAGTAGGGAATGCAATTGTGCGACGACAGCTCACCATCGAATTCTCCAGTCTTGAGCGTATCAGATATGTCGACCGTGCCTCTACCCAGGAGATCATCTGATCTTGGTTCCTTCGAGAAACATGCTACCTCGAGCTTCCGAGGCTTGCCAGCACCATTCTCCAGAACAGCGAATCTTAATTCTGCATCCCACTCTGGATGCTGGCCACCCTTGATGTCTACATGGGTTTTCTTTGTCACTCCTGATTAAAAGTTGTCGACGACGAAGTAACGAAGAAATGGGTAGAAACATGCCATTCAGCGTGGCTTGGGCGAACGCATCCTGTTTTCGAATAGAATGTTTATCGTTAAGGTTCCTGGCCTTGAGGATCACGACGATAAGGGTTCCCAGCTCCAAATCTTTAGCTGACATTTCGGGCTTTTAAGAATGGGAATACATGGATATGAGTCTTGGAAGCGAAGTCAAGTTCAAAAGCAGTTCAGCGCGGGCAAATGCGAGGTATCCCTCAGAGAAGCGCTGGCAAAGCTGTGTGCTTAGCATTTTCTGTGCCTTGATGGTTGATCTCAGAAATATTTTATCTGATAAGATATTATGGGGTCAAGACGAGTAGCTAATCTTTAAGTTCGTTCCACACAGGGTCATATTGGATCAGGTTTGGGTAAGGGCTGTACACCATCTGGGTCGAAACATTTGAAAAATCCGTCGATAAGAGGGAATGAAGGTTTCTCACATCGCGGTAGGAATCACGGATTCGCATGCGTAGAAGACATTTCGACGAGACAAATTTGCTATCTGAATGCAACCACAACTTTCGAAGACGGTGGTGATCAGGAATGACCGATTCCATGTGTTCCCTTAATATTTGCCATCCCATACCACTGTAATGCAAACCGAGCACCCGAATTAATCGCTGGATATGGTTGTGCACGAATGTATGATAGAACTTGGGGTAAATTTCGTCCAACGTTTCCGTCGCAATACAGTGACCAGGGAGAAACTGAAAATCGACCCCCGTGGACATTCGGAGAGTGGGAGGATGGATGCGGAGTCCACCGAGGTCGCGAATAACAAACCCGAGAAGTTCCCCCGTCTTCTTATCGAAGCGAGCCAGAAGATTTTGAGCATGGGCTTCAAATGCAACCCCGTTATAAAGAAGGGCCGGCAGAAGAGCCTCACATGCGATGCGAATGTATCTATAATTTTCAGGGTGGTCAGTGCTGATAAACCATTGATGGCTGACAGTTACCTGTCCAAAAACTTGGCGCAGCTTTGTTCAGTTCGTAAATTTAAAACGTGCTGAACTGCTGACATGGAGGCAGGGATTCCTGAATGATCCGTCTCTAAAAGAGCAGCACAGACAATAACAACCTCGCCAACAGCGGGTTGATATTCCTCTCTTATGACAACGGTCAGGTGCTTCGCAATATCAGGATCGGGGGTGTGATAGATAGCGCTTGCAGGTTCAAGCTCGACCGACAGAATATCTCGATTCATCGAAAGTTTCGGGACAATTTGTGACGAGAATCGGGGACCAAAGTCCGCAGTAAAGTGGGAGATGGTTCTTAACGCCGAGGATATTTTAACTCCCACAGAAAGCTTTAAAGCCATTCCTGGAAGATGACGAACGATGACCGTCCTAGTTTACACACATGTTTAGTGAGGCAATTGTATACGGGCCGTAGTACGAACCTGATACTAGATTGGGCAAGTCCTGGGATGCAGATATCCTGAAGGACTTCGACGTCGGGAAATTTCGCGAGGATGTTGTCAACTTGAAGTTCGTGAACTGGCAAAAACACGGAGGCGTTGGTTGGAGGTAAACACCGCCCCGAATAGTCCGCAGCCTTTTGGGCCAGAGACAAACTGATGTCTTCCATATATCCATTGAGGAGCACACTCGATCGTGGGACTCTCACAAAGCGGATCAGCGGGTGATACCAGTCAAAATCTGGAGGGCCATTGTTGACCATCCTAGCCCGATGCATCTTTTGAAAAGAGTCAGGCCCCCGTAGGTGTTCTACCAGCAAACAACATACTGGGTGTGTTGGGTGCCCCGCCAGGAGGCTTTGTTCCCACTGAATGGAGGGAGATTGTAGAGAAGGGCAGATAGGCGGGTTTTGATAAGCCAGGACTTGACATGTTAAGATTACTTTCTACGTGTGCATGCGGAAGAATCAATGTCACCTTGCCACTCAACGGAGCTTTGGAGCTCTTTCTCGATACTTTGACGGAGAGATTCTTCGACCGCTATGTGTTCAACACATCTTCTCCATAGCGCAATTGGGTCCGAGGCAATGTTTAGCGTAGGAGAACAGTCGATATTAGAGATATGGGAGGTAAGGCAAGCCAATGTCTTTACTGGAAATAAATACTATCTGCATGGTCAGCATTGATATAACGCGGGCGAAAGCATCACAAACATTTATATCCTCTATTGGAGACCGTTCAGTTGGTTCATATATAACGGGCAGCATATCCAAAGGGTCGACAAGGCCTACGCGACGTCCGTACGTGTGGAGACAATCGTCCTTCAGCAGCACGGGGGCATGGTGGAGAGGTACGACAACAAATATATCATTTGGATTCAGAGGGTCGCTCGGCAGCAGCTTACGTGGTGAGATAACGACCATTATGCCCGACGCTGGGTAAGAGCTTTTTGTGGGAATGTAGAAGGCGGGAAGTAGCTTTTCCGTTACGAGGCATGATATGAGGCGGGACATTACAGCGAATTCTGCATGTTGCCGCGGAGGTAAGCCAGATCCAGATGACATATCAAGGTATAAAGTGGGAGTTGTAGGCCTGGGACCAATGAGTGTAGTAGAATGTTCGACGAGAATTTAGTGGCAAGGCCTGTAATCCAAACGTCAATCAGGGGTAGACTTGGGGCAAAATCGAAACTCGTACAAAACGAAATAAAGGGGAAGAACTCGAGGCGGACACGGCAGGGAAATTAATGTGCTTTAAAGTGCTTGCAGGAGACTGCTTGTCGTCTTGATGTCGACTTGATGGAGTTTGGATGTAGTTGGTAGGCTAGTCCTTGAAGCAAGGTGTCAAGGGACTCCAAAGCCAACATAAGTTGTTAAAAATGCGTACCCCAAGGCTCAGTCAGAGTTGTGATTGAGGGGGTCCAGATATGATCGAGGAGATGAGATAGTCTGGAGATGAACTGATGAAGTTTTATCTGATAATCTCGGGTAGATTCGGTCCGATTGAACCGATCGGCGATGATGCAATTCTTAGCAATGACGTTGTCGGAGCCGAAGCCTCACGGTTGGACGACGGTAATCGCCCCAGTCATGCAGTATTGTCAAACTGCTTTGCACCCTACTTTTGTTACTGTAACTTTTATTGGGCTGGGTTGGCGTTCGCACGAGGTTGCACGAATGGGAATGAGATACGAGCAGTTGGGAAAAATGGAGGAGAGATTTAGCGTGCTGCCAAGTGTTTTCGGGACCTACAAGGACGTTCCGCTGATGCAGAGAAAAACATCGAAACGCCACTGTCTGTTCACAAAGTCGTCATAGATGCATCTTAGTAGATACGTCGAAACGAACTACTTATCAATATCAAAACTCATTCTTCGGCACCTTGATAATGTATCAGATTGGGAAATGGGGCATGCAGGTGCTGTTAACTGTGTAAGAGCGAAGTCTAAACTTATAGGAAATAAACTTACAAATCTGTACATCCCTGCCATTCGCATGCGCAGAAAACATTTCCCTGGAAGGGATGTCCTATCCGGACAAAGCCAGGCCTTGTGAAGGGGATGGTCCTGAGGTATGCTTCTCCCTAGTTGATCCCGTACAATTTTCCAGCCACGTCCATTGTAGTGCAATCCGAGGACCCGTATGAGTTGCTGGAGATGGTTGTGGAAAACTGTGTGATACATTCGGGTGTACACGTCATCCAGATCAGCAGCTATAATGGAGTGTCCATCAAGGAAGTCAAGCTCCACGCCAGTGGTAGCCAGCAGAGTCTCTCGGTGGACGCGAAGTCCACCAAAGTCTCGGATGATAAACCCTTTCAACTCTTTTGTGTGAATGTCGAAACGGGCTACACAATTCTGTGGATGACATTCAAACGCCACTCCATTCTGAAGCATTGGCGGGAGAAAAGCCTGGAAGAAAACCTGCACAAACCTGGCATAACGTGAGAGCCAATCTCCGTGAATCGAATGAGAACGCACTTTTCAAACCAAAATGCACGTTTGTCGTCATTGTCGAGACCAAACACGCGAATAACTGAAGGAAGATGTCCATCGATGCCTGCGTGCCCACTCTCCACAAGAGCGGTACAAACAATCAAACGTTCTTGCCGTTCCTCGCTCGTACTCTCAGGAGACTCTCGAATAATTGCAGAACAATGCTTTGCGATTTCCCCATCTGCGTGGCCATGCACCACACTGGCCAGTTCCTTGGCGACGGTGACGACGTTGGGATCCAATGCCAGAACGGGCACAACCTTGGCGGAGAATCGAGGTCCGAGATATGCTGACTCCGGGGATATAGTTCGCACTGCGGAGGTGAGCTTGATACCGACTCCAAGTTTGAGGTGGAGATCGCGGTATGCATCTGGAACAAGAACTGATCTAGGCAAAAGACTGAGTAACAATGTCGAAGGAAGACATAAGAAGTGTACCTTAAACTTTGTTGTGCAAGCAGTGGGAGACTGAATTGCGCTGGGTAAATGATGGCGTCGGGAAATTTGGCTTCGATGTGAAGCAATTGTAGTTCATGAACGGGCACAACCACATGGCCATCCGGGGCACTAAAATGTTGACCTGAACTCTTCGTCACGGCGTCAAGGATTGGCTGGGACAAAGCTTCGAAGTTGTAGGTGACTTTTAAGTTTTCTCTTGGTACGGATATCAGTCTAAGCTTTGGGTGATACAGATCGTAAGATCCCGGAAGGAAATCAGGGAGAGGTGGTAAAAACCGCCGAGTTTTGTGCATCTAGCAGGGGACCGTTAAGATAATCGGCACCAAGAAACAAAGTGCATCGCACAGGGTGGGTCGGGTGTCCTTCTACGATTGACTGTTCCCAATCGATGCTGGCGGATGTGAATAATGGAGCAATTGGAGGATGCTGGTAAGAATGGGCTGTCAAGAATTGTCACTCCATAAAATCTTGCCATGTATTACGGAGATCTGACTTTGCCATTTTACTGCGCTGGATAATTCACTTGCAATATCCACCAATAATCCTTGATCTAAATTTATGCCAGTAGCGAAAGTATTCCAGAGAGATATAGGATCCGTGCACAGGTGCAATTGAAAGGGTTCGGTGATCGTCCAACCTGCGCTCGCGAGAGATTCAGCAATGGAAGAGCACAACTCTTCATGCTAAAATCCCAGATAATAAACGCGACAAATGAAGCTGTCCGTGAAGTTGATTCACCTCAGATATCCCCTCAATCACTGTCTTGCTGGTAAGGAACACCAGGTGATGTAAGTCCTGTGGATCCAACAGCCCGATTGCCCGACCTCGACTTGACTTCACCTCGCCTCGAAAGACGGGGGGGTGGCGTAAGGCAACAACAGCGATAACATCCCCCGCATCGAAAGCGGTCTTGTCTGGATGCACATTTCCTGCGAGAATAACGGCCACACCAATAGGTGCATTGGCAAGGTGGAGTGGAAGGTAATACGCCCTAGTAAGAGATTCTGTAACGAGACATGAAATGAGACGTGCGGTGGTAGCAAATAAAGCACGTTCAAGCGGAAATGGTGTGGCGGGTGTTGACATTCTCTGCTGCAAGAAAGTAGTTGTTGAAAGTTTATACATCGGAGATCGAAGAAAATGGTCAAGTGGCATGCGCTCATCCCAGGCCTAACCCTGAATATTGAATATTGCAACATTTCAAATGACCTTGATGGCTACCTCCTTAGAAGCACCAAAGGTCTGCAATATCCGCATCTCATTTGTTAAAGCTAAATGAACGTCTTCGCAGTAGGAGAGGACAAAAGCAAAACAGAGGTATCTCAAACGCAAGAAGGAACGTCGAAAACAGAAGCCTAAGATAGAAACTAATCATGAAGACGGAGCGAGACCACTGGATCCAATAAATCCCTCAAATCAAAATGCAGAATCTCCACAAACTCAAGTGGTGTACGAGTCTAAGAAAACTCAACGCCCAGTGAAGCGTCCAAGGCTGGAAGTTGAGGACGTCGCAGTACTAGATGATCTCGTCGCTGAGGAAATGGAAATCGACGAACCAGTGGGAGATTTCGAGCCATCAATCAAAGCGTTACCATCCTTTCCCCTACCATCATTACCTGACGCACCATCGAAATCTGTTCTTGCGCTTCAAGGGTTAGACCAGGCTCTAATTGACGCGGATGTCGTTCACCCATCGACTATTCTTCCAATACCTGATGCCGAGGACGATGATGGAGGGACGCGTTTGAGCGCCAAGATTCGAAAGCGTCTGAAAAGCATTGGTATTACAGAGCTATTTGCAGGTAAGTGTTGATAAGTCTTCGGTGGTCCAAGCTAAACGAACCACACCTTCTTATTAGTGCAGACGAGTCTCTTGCCGTTTCTCCTTCCCCATGATCCGCTAGCCAGACGTCTTTATCTTCCCTATGATCCTCCAAGAGACGTTTGTATTTCAGCTCCCACAGGTAGTGGGAAGACCTTGGCCTATGTGCTTCCGATAGTTGAGGTATTTTCTTCAAGCTTAGAGTACGAAGGCGTTTTAAGGATGGTGCATTAGACTCTTTCCCCACGTATCGTCACTCGCTTGCGTGCACTTGTGGTGTTGCCTACACGAGATCTGGTCTCTCAAGTCCGGGAAACATTTGAAGCTATCACCAACAACCGAGGTCTTAAGGTGAGTTCCTTCGTCGTAGATATGGACGTTTTTTCCCACTTTTTTCTATTTCACAGATCGGGACGGCTACAGGTCAGAACTCCTTCGCGCATGAACAAGCACAATTGGTGAATAATGTGTTACCGAGGTAAACATCTTCTTTATATTCGCCGGACACCGACGCTACCCTAGCAATTCAGCATCCAAGGAGGTTCTAGCAAAGTCGACATTCTAATATGCACCCCGGGACGATTGATGGATCATCTTATGGGGACGCCTAACTTCTCTTTACAGCACCTTAGATTTCTTGTGAGTCCTTGTTTTGGTGGGAAGCGGCGTCCTCAATCTTCCCTTCCGGCACACAGGTGATTGACGAGGCCGACCGACTTTTGGCGCAGTCTTTCCAAGACTGGCTGTCGCGAGTTCTCGCAGCTACCAGACCTCACGTAAAAAGCAGTTCCTCTTCGAGCTCACCCTCTCCACATTCCCTACCGGAATCGGATGGACTTTCTCCAGCCTTCTTACAAAGGCTGTCCCTTCCTGACATTCCAGCATTTCAGCATGAAGAAAAAGAGACTTCCTGTCAAAAATTGCTCTTCTCGGCAACCCTTACGCGAGATCCTGCAAAGATCGCTGCTCTGAACTTACGAGATCCCAAATACTTTATTGTGCAAAGCAGAACGGATGGCGAGGAGCTACATGTCTTAGAAAACTATTCTATGCCACCGACGCTAACCGTTGAGTTTCTTTTTTGAAGTTAAAAGAGTTATTATCTAACGAGTTTCGTTGAACCTCCAGGAGCATATGATTGTATCTAATTCCTCGAAAAAGCCGCTGGTTTTCTTCCATCTCATTCACCGACAAAAAATGAGAAATGTGCTGGTATTTACGAAATCTGCCGATTCGACAACGCGTCTCGTCCGTCTTTTTGAGTTTTTTGAGGAGGCGCGGTTGGAGAAGGAGCCTGGAACCGCTGGTGAAGAGTCAATCATCGCACGCGCCTACTCCAGTGATCTCCCTCCTAGCGAGCGAAAAGCCATTTTAGACCAGTTCAAGGCGCAACAAATCCATATGTACGTCAAGATTCCCAAGTTTTTTGCCGAAAAGTGCTAACATGTTCGTAATCAGTTTGATTTGCTCTGACTTGATTTCGCGAGGCATAGATATCACCCACGTATCCCATGTCGTGAATTATGATGTACCTGTCGACATGCGCAAGTACGTTCACCGAGTTGGACGCACTGCGCGTGCAGGCAGAGCTGGGGACGCTTGGACGCTCGTCGAAGAACAGGAGGTTTGTTTTTCACATTCTATGCGACGGCTATATTGAAGCAATTTTAGGCACGATATTTCAAGCAGATGTTGAGCGACGCCGACCATCTCAAGAAGGTTAATAGGATGAGGGTTAGCGACAAAGACCTGGATCCCTTACTTGCCTCTTATACGGTAGATTTCATCATTCGATCCATTAATGGAAAAGCAAACAATTCTGTTACAGGTTGCACTTGAAAAATTGAAAGAGGTATATACAAAGTCGGGGTGACAAGAGGTAGAGATCATATGAAGCAACCCGAATTAAAAAAAACCAGATCAACCTAAGAGCCCCCTGACATACTTGAGCAAATCCTTACCCTACAGAACACTTTTAGTTCTGCTCGACTTTGGTTTGTGCAACATAAGACTCACCCCTTTGCTCTTCACTCCAGCAACCATCGCCTTGACGTTATCGACTTCCATAGGTTCTGCAATCCCATTTGTATTGGTTGCATCGTCCAATCCACGAATATGATATTCCACCATTTGTCGTTGAGCCATTCCGTAGCGAAGGACAACAGTGAGAACTGCACGCCAACCGTCCAGTGCTCCATTTGTCCCCTGCAAATTTGAAGAGGATGTCGTTGAACGTGTCAGCTCGACGCGAGAAGATGAGGATGATTCCTGGACTGGTATAGACATAGATGGGACGACAGTAGAGCGGACCACATATGGACAATAAGAACGATGTTCTTTCAATAAATCGAAGGGGCGTTGGGGCATAGGTTTTCTGGGACGTTGTGTGGAAGGCTTGTCAGGATCTTCCTGTGTGTGGACTTTCTGCTCGGTGGTTTGGCGAGGTGCAAAAGCCCATAGACCAATCCGACGCTGGCATAGGTTGCATTGCAGCAGTGCGCTGTCCTTGGTTTTTAACAAGTTGGATGGTATTTGAAACGATATGGCATCCCCTTTGCTGGCTGGTGGCGGGGTTGCTGGTCGCGATACTGAGTTTGACATTGAGGGCGACGCAGGGCCAGAGGGTACTGCGGAACTTGTTCGTACCGCTGATACCCTCCGAGAGGCGATCGGGGGTGCGGACTTGACAAGAGTCCAACCAAAAAGAGCGGTCAGAATCGCAGTCTCCGACGGTTCCTCTTCTGGTTCTTCCACTGCGGAGGGTGAGGAAGCAGGAGACTGATGATCAGCGCCATTCGGCGTGTTGTCAGATGTGAGTCGCATGGGTGGCTTGAATGACGCCACAGCCGTTCGAAGTGAACTTAGTTGAGATTGATTCTGGATGGACTTGGAGTGAGGAAGGTTCTTCACTTTGGACGCAAACGTACCAGAGGGTGCTTTATCGTGACGTCTTCTAGGACTGCGTTCAAAGACATGGCTGCAGCTTTGACGTCCCTGACCATCACCGTTGGTGATTGCAATGGGATGCAGTAGATGGAGGCTAGAGAGAAGCAACCACTTGTCAACGTTGGAAGGGAACGCGGTTAAAACGACGTACGGTCACACTGGCGCGTTTTCCAAGGACACCGATTCTTATGAGCCTCCACCAAGGATATTCGTTGTCTCTCAATTAATACATTCGCTTGACACGATCGGGTCAGAAAAAAACGGTAAAGACGAGCTTACCTTCCTTACCAGCATCTCGATTCATACCCTCCCTTCCTGCGACAGCCCAGGAGCTACTGCATAGGCCGCAGACCAATCTATCTTTGCCGTCATTGGTCCATCCGCACTTTGCGGCAGCGACCGCATCGATAGCTGATGGTTTGTTTGCATAGGTTGTAAGCCTGAATGTCGAAAGACGGGAAAGAAACGATGGAAGGGACGATGGGCGGTACTCTACATTACTGGGGAAGGAAAGGGAGGGAGAGAAAGACTGAGGTTGTGAAGAAAATCTGAATGGGAAAGCATTCTTCGTCCGTGTCGCAGCTCGCGTCAGAATGGCAGTCAGGTGGGGAGTACTCTTGCCCGGCGTCGCTACAGTGCTATGGGGAGATGACAATGAGGGAAACAAAGAATAACGAGATGAACGAACGGTTGACTGTGTTCTTTTGATTTGATGCCGTATTTTGCCAAAGTTGAGTAGAGAGAGTGCGAAGTGTTGGACCTCTTCGGTGGTGGAGGACGATGCTCTGTCGGAGCGACAGCATTGTCTAATATTTGGAATGCGTCGTCGAGCTTACGCTGGGCAAAATTGGCATTGGTGAGGTTTTTTTACGAGGAGACACCTTCTCACCTTGGTTGTTCGGATGTTGGTCGACATCAGGTAACGATCATAAATAATGTGTCTACTAAATTTATTCAAGTACTTTATTTTACAACAGCCCTTTTCCGTTTCTTGATAATACCCATACGACGTGCAGCATTCCGTTTCTCTCGCTCCTTCAGAGCTATCACCTCTTCCTCTTTCAAAATACCAACCACCTTCTTGGCCGCGTGAACGTCATTCCGTAGGTAAAATGCTTTGATGAACATCTTGTACATGGGTCGAACATGTTTCTCGAATGAGATGTGCGACGTGAGAGAGGGAAATGACAACAGTACTGGGGACGACGGTGGTGTCCCAAATGGCACACCATGGCGTTGATGCCATTTTACAGAAGCTGGATAACCCTGCCGTATTACTTGATCAAAAAGCCGCTTGAGTTTCTGCGAGTCAATCCCAGTTCGCCATTTAAAAAGAGTCTTCAGAATAATGTTGAGCGTGGCTCGGTCAGGAACAAATCCATAATGATGCATCAAAAAGTCTTTTATCCGCAAGGTCTGGCGAACCAATCGGCCATTTCGTTCCTCGAGGCTACGTGAGGGGCCATGGAGGATGATGTTTCCAATCACAGTGCAAACTTTTGAATCCAGTTTGTGAAATGTTCGTGCGAAAAGCTTTCGAGCGGCGTGAGGTCGATTTGCGTTGACTAGCAGAGACACCGCGTGCCGAATGGTCGGTCCGTCTTCAGGGACTGCTGTAGCGATAGGAATGATGTGAAGCTTGTTGAAGCGATCAGTGGGAATTCGACGGAAATGGACTGCTCGAATCAACATATCTCGGCGAGTCCGCCTTGTGATGCGGTGGGAAGTTTTCCGGGCCAGATTGTGGGCTCCCGAGTTGTGCAGAGACATGGTAAGCTTTCTTCTCATATCGTCCAGTGGGCGAGAAGCAGCACCGCTCTCGGCGAGGCGGAGCAAACGGAGGGCAACACTAGGTTCGCCGTGCGCAACCAGCTGACGGGCCAAGCGAGTGAATACACGCATGGTAAAAAAACCCGGACTGCTGTGATGGATGGCTTCAATTATGTCGACAGCCACAGCGCCATAACGTGTTGCAACCATGACAGAGAAAAAATAGCGAATGGGGTATCTGGACGTTGGCGCCGGTGGCAAGTGAGCGTACAATTTTAACATACATTTACCCAAAACTTCCACCAGAGATACATCAGCTAACTCTCGCCGTTGCGTCTGAAAAACACGAAGGATTGAAACCAGCAGATGTTCGATGTGTGCTCGTGGAAATCGAGGCTCCCAAAGGAAGGGAACCAAAAGATCCCATTCTTGTGTTGCAATGAGGGCCAGGCTGAGGACTCGAACGGCGCTGATCGATGGGTATATGCCATTGGTTTGACTGAAAGAAACGAGATTGGCACCCGTTTCAACGTCTTGTGAAGCGTAGAGAGTAATAAGCTCCGTCACTACTTGATCTCTCCACTGTGTGCCCGTAAATGCAGATGAGATACTCGAGAAGATGCCTGACCAGTCCCGTCCACGGCATGATGCCGAAGCCATTACATAGGCGGCGATAACGTACGCGGTTTGAGCGGTCATGACAGATTCCTCGCCCGTTCGGTCCGTCCACAACGAACGTTCTTTGCAGTACCGGAAACATCCATCGGTCAACGGTTTATCAATCGACAATGCGGCAATGCGAAAGAACCCTGCGACAACCGAACGCGTGACGTCGATTGGCGTGCGAGAAATATCAATTTTTTTCCATACTCTCCATAAGGGCCTCGAGATTCCCTGGACTTCGTTTCGGAGCAGAACATCGAGTTTCATTACCGAAAACGTCTGTTCCAAAACTGCAAGCATGAGAATGGTTGACCACACGGTGTTCTTCGTCCTCCAAGCACTGTTCAGCGACAGCCCAGAGGCTAAAGAGGACTCTCTCAACAACCTGGAGACTGACAGCAACAAGAGATTGTCCCAACGCGCATCAACAGGCAAACTTGGCGCAAATGCTTCCTTCACTTGTTTCACGGCCCATTGCTTGAGCGAAATTGGAGAAAACTCTGGGCTGTAACCAGGAAATACAACAGAAGATAGGATCGAACCCAGCTGAGAAACACTATATGTTTTCAGATGATTTCCTTTGGGATCCGACGACATCCGGAGTGGTGATGATCGCGTGACGTTAGAAGGAGGGGAGGTCGCGCGAGTAAACACCATGTCCAAAATTTCAGCTTTGAGTTGCAACGGTAAATCATGCCCCCTTTGAGCTGTGGCTTGCCAAAACAGACTGGAATAGTTGGAAGCTGCGCCTGGATGAAGTTTGAGCAAGTGACTGAGATGCTTCAAGGCAGTTATTGACCATTCCCGGTTCATGCTCAAGAAGGTGCGAAAGTATGGCATGTGGATCTCGCTGTGGGGTTGATGGCGAATCTTCAGGTACTGGATATTCGCCAGAGAAAGAACTTCACGAGTTGAAGCTGCAGCGATACAGAGCATCAGAGGATTGCAGCAAGAAATGATGTTCCTCTCACCTGTAAGTGCAGATCCATGAGCTACTGTCTTCAGCAACGCCAGCATCATCCAATAACGATCAACCTCCTCCAAGTCATACCCCAAAAGTTCTTTATCCCCAAGGACTTTCAACATAAATTTCCAATGAACAGCCTCACCCTCCGCCCCTCGACTACCTTGATCTTGTAACATACGCTGAGAATGATATACAGAGTGCACCCGACCCTCATCGGCCAGAAGGTGCGTTCCACAAATCCCCAAAAGCTCGGTAAACTGCACCGATGAAAGGCAAGAGAGCATGTCTTGACGCTTCGCCCGAGTATACAAAACTACAAGAACATTCACAGAAGGAGAGTCTCTCGAAGATAAAATTTCACTGAGGGTCGAAGCACTCAGTTCGTCGCTCACAGTCTCAAGCGAAGAGAAGCAGGCGGCGGGTTTTGCAAGTTCAGAGAGAGGGACGGGCTCAATGTTACAAGCATCAAGCTTGTTTGTTGAGAGGGATTGGGGGGCAGAAACAGCTGAACGTGCAAGATGCGAGGGTCGCGTATTGCAGCATCGTTTTAAGATGTTGCTATGTGTGTGAGCACAGATGGGCGGCCTAGATGCACTTGACGAAAAAATAGAGGTCGAACCGACGGGTTTGCGTGCGTAGTGGCTAGGTCAAATTCAATATCATAACACCCCTATGTAGGAGTGAACATACCGAATGCCAATACTTGGTGTAGCGCTCCTATCCAACACACGGACAGGAAGTTGGCACCATCGCAACATTCCATTGCATAGAAGCAATTTCGTACGTCGCGGCGAGGGGGGAGGTCGTGTATTTCCAACAATAGGCGTGCTCTACAGTCGAGCGCCCCTCAAAGAAAGGTCTACAGGCCAAAGAGGCCGTGACAAGCAATCGTTGAAGAAATTTGAACCGATGCCAGCGAAAGGCGTTCGGCAATTACCGCAGCGGGTGTTCAATGACAAACCTTAACGTTCTTCCCACGGGAACCACCACACAAAGTTTCGACTCAACTTCGTCTTCACCCTCAACAAGTTGCCTTGAAATATCCATTGGCACTACCAGGTACGTTTAGGACGCTCCATAACATCACACCTTGTTTTCTTATTTTGTTCTCTAAGCGGCAGAGGTCAATCGGGAGGCAACATCTTCACTTAATCCAAAACACTGTTAGTCTCATCCTATAGACCAACTCTGTTGGTTTGGCTGATAGACCCTGCAGATAAATCAAATTTACAATGGGTGCTTCTCGTGCTGACAAGGGAATCTACTTTGAGAAATTAAAGGAGCTTCTCAACAAATACGGTGCGCTCATCTTATCTTTCCTCTTTCTCGTGGTCTATCTTAACTTAGACATGTCCCAGCCTCCATTTTCTTGGTCAATGTCGACAATGTTGGTTCAAATCAGATGCATCAAATTCGTGTAGCCCTCCGTGGCAAGGGTGTCGTCTTGATGGGCAAGAACACCATGGTCCGACGCGCCCTTCGCTCTATCCTAGCCGAATACCCTCAATACGAGCGACTCCTCCCCTACGTCAAGGGTAACATCGGATTCGTCTTCACTGACGAAGACCTCAAAGAGATTCGTGAAATCATTGTCGCCAACAAAGTTGCTGCCCCAGCTCGTGCCGGTGCCTTTGCCCCCAAGGATGTCACTGTCCCAGCCGGTAACACTGGTATGGAGCCCGGCAAGACTTCGTTCTTCCAGGCTCTCGGTGTCCCCACCAAAATTGCTCGTGGTACCATCGAAATCGTGTCCGATGTTAAGGTCGTCGTTGCCGGGACACGTGTTGGAACCTCTGAGGCAACCCTCCTCAACATGCTTAACATTTCACCGTTCACATACGGTATGACTGTCGTGCAAATCTTCGATCAGGGCAACATTTTCTCTCCCGATGTTCTGGACATTGATGAGAAAGAGCTCATCGACCGCTTCTTGTCTGGTATCAAGACGGTTGCCGCCATTTCATTGGCTCTCAACTACCCGACTATCGTCTCGGTTACCCACACCCTTGTCAATGCCTATAAAAACCTCATCGCTATCTCGCTCGCTACTGAGTACACGTTTGAAGGTTCTGAGAAGGTACGTGTTTTCTTTGTTGGATTGTGGTACAATCCACATGATTTAATTTAAAATACACTGAAAATTCGGAGCGTCTCAAGGGGTGCATTGTCGATTTCTTTTTTATCTGATTTTTACGATGATTGACGCGCTTCCGTTGATAATTATGCTCATTGTTCAATGTGCAGGTCAAGGAGTACCTCGCCAATCCTGATGCTTTCGCATCAGCAGCTCCGGCTGAAGAGGCCGCACCCGCTGCCGCAGCGGCCGTGGTGGAAGAGAAGGAGCCAGAGAAGGAGGAGGAGTCCGACGATGACATGGTGTGTTCCTTCGGTAATCCTGTATGCAGTAGGTCGAGACTCACTCAGATTTATAGGGCTTCGGTCTGTTCGATTAGAGGGTTTCCGGAGTTCCGCATCGTGTATCTGAACATATTGTTGTGTTGTACTGATGAAAATAATGATTTCCTGATATTGCGGATGCATTTGTGGGATTATAGTGGAAGATCCGTAAGGGGAAATCCTAAGGATGGCTTGCCATCTTGCTCCACTAAATCCACGCCGGTCCACTCACTTTTCTCCCGTCTTCCCCCGTATTGCCCCAGGCCGTTTATCCGGCGACCATCAAACGTTCATCGAGGAGTAACTACATAGTATCGGATTATCATTCCCAATCGGGCTTGTTCTACAGATTCTTGTGCATTTTTATTCCTATATAATTTCCCCTCTTAAAGATGCCCTCCACACAGCCATCCCCTGACGCGCCTCCCGACATGCACATAGGCCAAGGAGGCCATCTCATTGTAGTCTCCAATCGTCTCCCGATTACCATTAACAAAGATGCAGCGGGCGAGTACCATTTCAAGATGTCCTCTGGAGGGCTCGTCTCCGCCCTCTCTGGTTTCAAGAAATCCCTTAACTTCACGTGGATAGGTTGGCCTGGCTTCTTCATCCCGCCGAAAGACCGCCCCGTCGTCGACAAACGTCTCATGGAGGAGTACTCCTGCCAGGCCGTCTATCTTGACGATGACGTAGCCGATCGCCACTATAACGGTTTCTCGAATTCCATCCTCTGGCCCCTCTTCCATTACCACCCTGGAGAGATGAATTTTGACGAAGAGAATTGGTTAGCGTACCGCCAGGCAAACATGCAGTTTGCTGAAGCCGTCCGTCAGCAAATTAAGCCGGGCTCCATGGTCTGGGTTCAAGACTACCACCTGATGCTCCTTCCGATGCTCCTGCGCGGCCTGATTGACGGACATGAAAATGTTGGCACATTCACCACAGAAGAGCTATCGAAAATCACTGAAGGGGTGGAGGGTGACCCCACTTCAAGCCAAGCTACTGTTCCTGGTGTCAAGATCGGGTTTTTCCTGCATACTCCATTCCCGAGTAGTGAAATTTACAGGTGCGTCAGTCGTTCGTTTACAGTATCCTTCTTATTAATAAATGTTGGTGTAGGATATTGCCAGTGCGGCGAGAAATTCTGCTTGGCGTCCTCAGTTGTGATTTGATCGGGTTCCACACCTACGATTATGCACGGCACTTCCTTTCGTCTTGCACGAGGATTCTGGGTCTTCCAACAATGCCTAATGGAGTCGAGTTTGAAGGGAGGTTAGCTCACGTCGGTACGTTCCCGATTGGAATCGAGCCGAGCAGTTTCATCGAAGTGTGTGATGTTTATGAATGGCCAAGTAGCGTGTTGTTTACCTTGTCTCTAGAACTTGAAAAAGCAATCTGTCAAGGACCGCATTTCTCAGCTCGAGCAACGATTCGGAGGCGTGAAGGTCATTGTGGGTGTTGACCGCCTGGATTATATCAAGGGTGTTCCCCAAAAACTGCATGCGCTTGAACTCTTCCTAACACAGCATCCGGAATGGATCGGCAAGGTATATCTAATTGATTGTTCTTCCCTTGATTCGGTTCCCAACACTTTGACTAGGTCGTACTTGTGCAATTGGCTGTGCCGTCACGCCAAGATGTCGAAGAATACCAAAATCTACGATCTACTGTAAACGAGCTCGTTGGGCGTATCAACGGCCGGTTTGGCACTGTCGAGTTCATGCCAATCCACTTTATGCACAAGAGCTTGGCGTTCGACGAACTGTGCGCTCTGTACGCCGTGAGTGACGTGTGTCTTGTTTCTAGTACAAGAGATGGTATGAATTTGGTACGTCTCCGTATATCTACTTGCCGGTGTTTGTGCTAATTGCTGTACAAAAGGTTTCATACGAGTATATTGCTTGTCAGCAGGCACGCCAAGGCGTTATGATCCTCTCCGAATTTGCTGGCGCTGCCCAGAGCTTGAACGGGTCGATTGTTGTCAATCCTTGGGATTCACAGCAAGTTGCTGACGCTATTCACGAAGCAGTGACAATGGATTCAGCAGTTCGCGCTGAAAACCACCGAAAGCTGTTCAAATATGTAAACAAATACAGCGCTGCATTCTGGGGCAGCAGCTTCATCAAGGAAATGAGCAAGATTGATGCGGAGGACGTCGGTAAAGAGGGCCAAGCTGAGTTAGAGGTGAAGCCAGACGATACGGCGGGCGAAGGTACCGTCATCACAAATGGAACCGTCCCACTTACACCCAGTCCTGACACGGACGTCTGAGCAGAACAAGTAAAGAGCGAATCACGCTATATTTTTTGTGGATTATTTATTCTTTTCGTATACACGGTCACTAGACTTGTACAATCAGACTGAGCGTCATACGAGCGGAATATCGGTTGTTCAGGGGAGGAATTATAGTATCATAGAAACGGTCCCAACTCACACTTCAATATCCAATATCCATTCTAGCGAGACAAAATGCGATTGCGAAAGGTTTATCATTGCATAAGTATCTTTGTTCTTTACATCCCATCCATTTATGGTAGGCAGGTTACCATAAATGGTCATTCATAAATTTTGGCCCTTTTCCTCAAGCCCAGGGTAATACAAAGAGTTACCAAGAGCTAGATCTCAGGCTATCTACTTGTATCATCAATGTATCATTCCTTTTCAAGGCGATAGTAGTTTTGGAAGAAAGAATTTTTGGCCAAGCCGAGTTTTGTGGTGATGCTCAGCATTACTATTGGAACAATACACGTATAGGCAACGTTGCCGGGGCATAGCCTTCGTCAAGCAAGGCTGTGTGTCCACGACGTCCGACCTATTTTATAGTGGCCGATCTATTAAATGGCTGCGGAAGCCCTCAGTCAAGAAACCTTCTATACGAAAAAATATCGAAGATTCGAACGGCTTAAGTATTTCTACAGTCACGGCAACGTTGGCTCGGACTTGCGGACGAAAGATGAAACAGCTTGAACTAGAAGGGCTGGCTTTTGCAAGTCAGAAATGAAGACATTCACCCTTAATTCAATAAATTCATACCAGTGGAGCGCAAGAATTTCCTATGGGACCTCAATTTTTTGCCATTAAATTGGTCAAAGTTGCATAACCAGAATTGCCACTGTCGGCTTGGAGCCCGATCTCTCCTTGGCCTTCCACATTTGTATTATTTTTCAACCGTAGCGAAGACAATGGGTGGTGGCTTAGGCGTCGTCGTCATATGCTTTCAGAAATGCGGCAATAAAAACAACGATACAATTCACCTGCATTACGCATGGTGCAATAAATTGACAGGGACATCGATCACATTCTGCCACAATGCTCACGAGAATGCTTGTCACCACACAACTCGAAAGCTTAAAATGCCAAGAACTTATAGCATGCCCTTGTCTTTGGAGCAGAACCAGTACCTCTGACGTCGCTTTAAGTACGAGAGTCGTAACAAAAACACGAATGAAAGCCTGAGCAATTAATTATTGTCCCAGACTCCTGCTAGGAGCTTATCTATGACGACGATGGAGTTTGTTATCCGGTTTACAGGCGGTGAGAGCGACGTCACGGACAGCGGCGATAGAAAGACCTCGGTCCAAGACAGGCCAATGTGAATCACCGGACAGAGCCGAGCCGGAGCGCTTTGGAGCAGGCGGCTCAGATCAATTGCGTAACTGACTCCTCCCCGATTGTTTGTAAGCGCCCAAAGTTATAGCTCGCGCCTCCCGCCGTCATCATCGTAGACTGGTTTAAAAGCTGTTAACCGCAGTCCTTGGCGTAGAAGCGGGTAGAAGAACGCGAAAATAGGGGAGCGGAGTCTCTGGGAAGCACGGCGAGTCTCAGGTGGCGCTACTCTTTTTAGCGAATTCAAGGCTGTGCGGGTGCTTGGCAAATCGGCAAGTATATCAACCAGGCGTGGTAGTTTCAACCATTTTCTCTTTCTGGACCACCATCGACTATGGTGGGCAGTGCAAACAGTTCACGAGGCGATTCTAACGACAACCACGCCATTCCCTCCATTAACATAACCACTGATTCGTCGACTCCGGCTCTGATCATTTTGCCAGACGTCAACCACAACGTGTCTACCTTGCAGTCTCCAGTTTCAGCAGGACTTCTCTCTCCTATCTCTTATAATTCTCGTTCATCCTACGATGGTCCTCCCTCTCCTGCTTTTTCTGACATCTCAGATACTGCTTCCGCCTTGACGACCCCCCCATCTCCAACACTTTCGAACCATTCTTCAGTGCATTTCCAATCATCTCTAGCGCTTCGCGACAACAAGCCTGAACAAAAGTCGGGCATGTCTTCCCTCGGGCTTCTGAACCCAGACTACGCGTCGACCTCTGGTCTCTCACACCATCGAAAACTGAGCAATGCAACCTTTACGAGCATGACCGAAACCGAAGGGGACCATGCAGATGCATTTGATCTTCGGCACATGAAGTCAAATGCGACCTCTTTCACTCACGTTGACTCTCATTCCGTTTCGCGGGGTTCTCACAAAAAAACGGACTCGCAGGAAGTTGAGTATCAGGAGAGGAAGCCGAAATCGAAAGGCGAGCATGAGACCGATGGCGAACACAAAACCGCACATCAGAGGGAACTCGCTCAAGATGAAGCCATAGACTGCACTCCATTTGAGTTTAAACCCTTCCAGCTTGCCCACATGCTCGACCCGAAGAGCCTCGACATGCTTGCGAGCTTCGACGGCACAGTTGGCTTACTTCGTGGCTTGGGGACCAGCGCAGACCACGGATTAACGAGCCCTCCCCATCGGACGAAGACAGTGAGTGAAAGTGGCGAACCAGGGGTGCTAGGGGCAGGACAGGGTGCTTCCCACAGACACGACTCAGAAAAGGGTGGCGGGAATGACCCACTGGTTCCTCAAATTATGCTTACTGAGCCCAACGGCGGGATTTCCTCGCCGACTGAGGGCGAGAATCCTGCTGCGCGGGCGACATTTGAGGATCGCCGAAGGGTTTATGGTGAAAATGTTCTTCCTCATCGGGCAAGCAAGACTTTGCTGCAATTAATGTGGATGGCATTGAAGGACAAAGTTTTGGTGCGATCATATTTTCGATGTTTCACGTGCGAATATTCATTTGAACTTGTAAAAGATTCTGTTGTCGATTGCTGCCGTCGTTTCCCTCGCCCTGGGTCTTTTTCAAGACTTGAAACCGAACAGGGATACAACCGAAGCGCCTGTTGATTGGGTGGAAGGTGTGGCCATCATGGTCGCTATTGCTATCGTTGTAAGTTTTTCCCTTCCCCATATTCTGGTAATTTTTAAAAAAAAATCTCGCGTTCAAGGTGATTGTCGGTTCTTTGAACGATTGGCAGAAAGAGCGTCAATTTCAAACTTTAAACGAAAAGAAGGAGGAGCGTGGAGTCAAGGTCATACGCGATGGCGTCGAGAAAGTCGTTGATGTCAAGGTATCGTGTAGTCGTTCTATTTTCATTTTGTCATGAAGGACTAAATTTCGTTCATTTAACAGGAGGTAGTAGTTGGTGATATCGCTCTCCTTGAACCTGGTGAAATCATTCCCTGCGACGGCATCTTTATCTCTGGTCACAATGTTAGGTGCGATGAGTCTGGCGCTACCGGCGAGTCGGACGCCATCAGAAAGGTTCCCTTCCATGATGTTGTGCAGCTACACACGGCACAGGATCCGCACGCCGAACACACCGACTGTTTCATGATCAGCGGCAGCAAGGTCCTTGAAGGGGTTGGAAGGTACGTCATCGTGGCTGTTGGTACCAAGAGCTTCAACGGTCGAATAATGATGGGTATGGGTCACAGTTCCTTGTCCTCTTGCGTTCTTCGCTCAATTAGCCCTCCTATTTTATCTCACAGCCCTTCGCGGCGACGCAGAGAATACTCCTCTCCAGATCAAACTGAACTACCTCGCTGAGCTTATCGCTAAGATTGGTTCGGTTGCAGGTCTCCTGCTTTTTATATCCCTTATGATTCGATTTATCGTACAAGTCGCGAAAGGCGACCCGGCCCGGTGTGTAGCTGGCCATTTCTCTTTTGGTATTTGTGATATTTACTCAATACAGGACTCCGAATCAGAACGGGATGGCTTTCGTCGACATATTGATCATAGCTGTTACTTTGATTGTTGTTGCTGTTCCTGAAGGTTTGTGGAATTTGCCTCCCGGTTGCCGCATCTTCTCACTCTCGTCATCATTTAGGCCTGCCTTTGGCGGTAACTTTGGCCTTGGCTTTCGCGACGAAGCGTATGACAGAAGAAAACCTTTTGGTTCGGGTGCTTGGATCCTGTGAAACTATGGCCAACGCCAACGTGATATGCACCGACAAGACTGGTACTCTTACGCAAAATTCCATGACGGTTGTTGCTGGCTCTCTTGGCATACACGCCAAGTTTGTTCGCCAACTCGACGACAATGCAGCTCGTTCAAACGCCGAGGAAATGGAACAATCCACCTCTGGTTCCGAACAGATCCGCAAGCATTATGAGGACTTTTCTATTGATCAGGCCAATTTGAACACCATCCTTTCTCCGCAACTTCGCGAGTTGCTCAATGAATCGATCGCGGTTAACTCTAGCGCATTCCAGGACATTGATCCAGAGACTGGTGAAAAAGTCTTTATTGGGAGCAAAACCGAAACCGCCCTTTTGCAATTCGCTCATGAATTGGGATGCAGGGATTACAAGGAAATAAGAGACGCTGCGGACATCATCCAAATGATTCCCTTCTCCAGCGAGCGCAAATTCATGGGCGTTGTTGTTCGGCTTTCATCTGGAAAGTTTAGGTTGTATGCAAAGGGCGCAAGCGAGATACTGTCGAAGGAATGCGTGCAACATGTTGTGGTCCGCAATCAACAATCCGAGACCGTTAAAGTCAACGAGGAGGTCGAGGTAGCGACGATCGATGATCTGGCGCAAGACAATATCAGCCGCACCATTATTTTTTACGCCAACCAAACCCTTCGCACCATTGCCCTCTGCTACAAAGACTTCGAGAGCTGGCCTCCTCTGAATACGCAGCTTAACGAAGAAGGCGAGGTACGTCAGCTTTTTTGCTTCCTTGTTAAACACTCAGTAATTTTCTTGACAGGTCCCCGTGTCAGCATTAACCAAGGAGCTTACGTTGATTGCAATTACTGGTATCGAGGATCCCCTTCGCGAAGGTGTTCGTGACGCTGTTTTGAAGTGTCACCGCGCGGGTGTTACGGTGAAGATGTGTACTGGCGACAACGTCCTCACTGCCCGATCCATCGCCACGCAATGCGGCATTTTTACCACGGGTGGTATCATCATGGAGGGTCCGGTTTTCCGCAAGCTTAGTCATGTGGAGATGATGGAGATCGTACCCCGTTTGCAAGTTTTGGCCCGTTCTTCACCGGAAGACAAGAAGATACTCGTCGAAACGCTGAAGCGCAATGGAGAAATCGTTGCTGTGACTGGTGATGGCACCAACGACGGCCCCGCATTGAAAACTGCACACGTTGGCTTCTCAATGGGCATTGCAGGAACTGAGGTCGCGAAGGAAGCATCCGATATCATACTCATGGATGATAACTTCGCTTCAATCGTCAAAGCTATCATGTGGGGTCGATGCGTCAACGATGCCGTCCGCAAGTTCCTACAGTTCCAAATTTCGACCAACGTCACTGCTGTCGTCATTACCTTTGTCTCTGCCCTTGCATCAGTGGATGAGACCTCGGTGCTGTCCGCGGTTCAATTACTCTGGATCAACATCATCATGGACACCTTCGCTGCACTGGCGCTGGCGACTGACCCCGCTACAGAGAGCCTTTTGGAACGCCTGCCTGATAAGAAGACAGCACCACTATTTTCTGTCGAAATGTACAAGATGATTCTCTTTCAATCCTTGTACCAGATCGCCATCATCTTGATCTTCCACTTCCTCGGGAACACCATCCTTGGGTTTGATGGCTCTGCACACAGCGATGATGTCGTCAAGACACTCGTCTTCAACGCCTTCGTCTTCGCTCAAATCTTCAATTCTGTGAACAGCAGGCGGCTTGACAACAAACTCAATATTTTTGAAGGCATCCTCAAGAATCGCTACTTCCTGGTTATTACGTTCATTGGTATTTGTCGCTGGTTTTCCTTCGCACACTGATTCTAACCCCATGTCATGTACAGAAATTGTTGTCCAAGTTCTGATCGTTTTTGTTGGTGGGGCTGCATTTCAAGTGACACACATTCCTGGTCGTGAATGGGGAATTTCCATTGCTCTCGGTGTTGTCTCCATTCCGTTGGGAGTCCTCGTTCGCTGCCTTCCCAACGGCCCGTTCGAAAAGCTGTTTACCCTCCTCGGTTTGTTTGGAAAGCCGGAAGTCTTGCCCACCAGAAGACCAGACGCCGATACATGGAATGGCGCTATCACTCTAGTTCGCGACAATCTCTCTATCTTTGCAAACATCCGGGGCGGGCGTGTCCGATCTTCGTCTGTCGTTGTTAAGAGCCGGTCAGCACGGCTTAGCCAGGAATTTCCACATCTAAGAATGTAAGTTTCCAAGTCCCCTCTTTGTTCACTCATTGATTTTCATTTATTTTCAGGTCCTCGGTCTTGACGATGGCGCCTACACTAATGGCAGGGGCTGTGGCCACTGGTGGATGCTTCCAGCGACGAGGAAATCTCTCAGACCCAGCTCACGCCGACCCTTCGAAATCGTCAGCGGCGCTATGGGAAGGGAAACTCCAGATGCATCCTGATACGCCGCTAGATGATCCAGTGTATCAACGCTTTGCAACAGGAGCCCCCAATCTTGCATGAGGCCCATCCGTTTTTGTTTTTCGACTCAAATTTATGTCAAGCGCAAACGCGCTACGACAATGCCTGGCTGCATTATACCTGAAACCCATGATACCCCCCTTGGCATATACACACATGGGTATCAGTCGCACTATCGCCAGCTCTTGCATCGCGTCGACCGCAGTACAGTCATGGCACGCTGAGCTTGCATTCTGCTAAACATCAAGTGGTACATAATAATCAATCAATCAACACATTTCTGAGCATAGAATCTTGCACTCCACCCATGCCTGATAGACACATTCACTGTAGCCATACTTATAACTTTACGTTACAAACATTTTATTAAATCATGAATCTTCGCCATTGTCCCGTTTTCCTGATATAGTAAATTGTAAACAATGCCGCACGCCCAGCTTGTCCATTAACCACGACGGCCGCAACCCGTTGTGCAGCCTATCGCCTGGAACTGCACGTACGACTCCCGAGATTAACTTTGCCCCCAGTAGGGGACTCCTTTTCCCATGTCTTTCTTTTCAAATACCGCAACAAACGCGGCAACCACCAACGCTTCTCAGACCGCTGAAAAGGATGTCGAAGTCGCAGACCCGCCCACAGACTCAATATCCTCCTTGTCATTCTCAAGTCAGGCTGACTACTTGGCAGTAGGAAGTTGGGATAATAGCGTGCGGATCTATGAGGTGGGAGCGGGTGGACAAACGCAAGGAAAGGCAATGTACCAACACCAAGGGCCCGTTCTAGATGTGTGCTGGAACAAGGTACGGGATCTGCTCTTCATTACCAACGTGGAGCTCAAAATGTATAGGATGGCACAAAAATATTCTCTGGAGGCGCTGACAATGCTGGTCGCATGTTTGATGTGACTACAGGCCAGGCTTCGCAAGTCGCGCAGCACGATGCTCCCATCAGGGTAGTCGCTTGGGTAGACGCACCTCAGTCCGGAATCCTCGCGACGGGAAGCTGGGACAAGACCATTAAATACTGGGACCTGCGAACACCAAGTCCTGTGGCCACTGTACAACTCCCAGAGCGGTGTTACACGTTTGATGTCCAGTACCCGCTGATGGTCGTTGGGACGGCGGAACGTCACATTCAAATCTTCAACCTGACCAATCCTAACACTGCTTACAAGGTAGGATCGGACGCGGCAACAGATCGTTTTTCTTACTATTCGGAACATTCAGACCATCCAGTCCCCTTTGAAGTGGCAAACACGGGTAGTTTCTTGTTTCACCTCGTCAGCGAACAGTGGCTTCGCCGTGGGTAGTGTGGAAGGCAGGGTAGCCATCCAGTAAGGAAATTTTCGCCCAGTAATGCTTCTGTCTAATCGTATGCCAGATATGTTGAAGAAAAAGACGCGTCGTAACGCTCCTCACTTGTCTCTGTATCTGTACACACTGACTGGCTTTCAGAAACAACTTTTCTTTCAAATGCCACCGACGTGATTCAGTCCCCAACGCGAAAGACCAAGCGTTGGTATTCGCTGTCAACGACATTTCTTTTCATCCTGTTCATGGAACATTTTCTACTTGTGGTCTGTCTTTTATGCCCTAGCGCCCTCGCCCTGTTCAAAATTACCTTCGCAGGTTCTGACGGTACAATCCACTTTTGGGACAAGGACGCTCGCACGCGTTTAAAGAGTGTGTTGCGAATAAAACCTTCTTTTATCTTTTTGATCTTAATTTCGCATGTTAGCTTTCGACGCCGCTACAGGACCTATTTCCACCAGCGCATTCAACCGTAACGGTTCTATCTTCGCCTATGCTGTTTCCTACGACTGGTCGAAAGGCCATTCTGGAATGACTCCGGGACATCCTAACAAGTTAATGCTGCACGCTTGTAAAGATGAAGAGGTCAGGAAGAGGGCTAGAAAATAATTGACTCCCTATCTTGCATCCCTTTCATGTATCTTCACGTTGGCTATTTCCGCAATCTTGTATCTTTTACCCTTGCTTCTCATCTAAGATTTTGCCATTCCCTAAAATCTATATTGAAGCAGATTGAAGCTCATACAACAAAAGTACGTCAACACGTTCTGGAAATTAGAGGGCGAGCTTAGCGAGAACCCTGCTTTTTCGTCATTTTCAAAGCACCCCAGATTGTGACCCCTACGGCCAATCCAACGCATATGAGGAGAAACAAGGCGCCTAGGCATCTTTTCCCCCATTTTACCTCTACCTCTCGAACGCGAGTGAGTGCATTATCACATAGCTCCAATTTCCCTGGTATTCGTTGGCGACGATAGGGTAAAAATGGTAATCGAATCGAGTGGGAGATGTAGAAGGACCCCAGGATCCACAGAAGGGGGAAAACTAATATATGCCTGTGAAGTGAGCATCAACTCATTAATCGTAATACAAGAAACGCATACGAAAACCCAATTTGAAGAGAAGCTTAGATTGGGTTGGAGGATCTGCCCGCGGCGAGATGCATGAACTATAGATTGGGAGATTTGAAACTGCAGTATAAGACGGCGGTGGAGCATCGCGCTCAAAGGGCTCCGGTGTTGTGCTAGTGGGCAAGTGAACGACGAAGGATGGGTCATTGCGTGCCGCTTGCAGAGGGACAGCTTGGTGCCATACAGGATTATGGGTCGCTGTAGGTGGCTGAATAGCTGGGATATCGACGACCCAAGAGTACATAGACTCCATGAAGAGATAGGTGAGACATAGGCGGGCAAAGAGTTTCTTTATGTATAGAGACAGCTGCGCTAGTGTCGGACAGGGCCATGAAAACTAGCGACCGATATCGGGATTTGAAGACATGAGACGTTGGGCCAGGGTAGCATGATCGACGCAGCAGTGGGATTTAATGCGGGCTATTGTGTGGACCATGATCAAGTAGTCAGCCATTGATTCACTTGCCTTTGCAATATGGTCAACAATATGGTCAGGAGTCAGCCAAGCCTTCCCAAGCTGTAAGAACATGAAGCGCGTTTCTGTGGGCCCTGAGCTCTGTGAGAAGTGTAGTAGGAAATGTGCTTGCTTGCGTTGATCCCGTGCCACAGTGCAGGTGGAAGATGGCCCAGATCAGCTCTAGATCTCTGAAGTGGCGTCGCATTTGCAAGTCAGCTTCCTCGAGGCCTCACGTTTGTCGTAAGGCAAGGGTGCTGGAGGACTGAATCCGATGAAAAGGTCGTCCAAGTCTCGACCACAAGCACATGTTCTCTTGATACTTCGAGGGCTTGTTCGGGCCAACAAGCTAAGCCTAAGTCGGGGGACCCAAACAGGCCCTAATGACAATGTACTTTTGTACTGGCATAACCTTGAAGGGACCGTTGAGAGAAGAAAAAGTGCAAAGAAGCGAAATATACACCCGTGGAAGACGTTTTCATGTTTGCTTGAGAATGGCCGACTTCAACATCGTGAACTGAGCGGAATCAATTTCTACCAAGTCAACGTGATCGAGTTCTGTGAGTTACACAAGCACACCTATCTTGACAAAAAATTAGAGAACAGTGTCAACTTGAGGGGTCGTAAAGTAGGGATTATGTCCTGGTTACATGCAGATGTTCCAAAGCGGTGGTAGGCGGTGATATTATATAGGTTTAAATACAGAGCGACCGATTATGGCTGATTTACTCCTTCTTTAAATCTGGGATGTCAAGCAGAGGATCCAGACTCGACTCTGGTTGTCGGTATGAACCTCCAACACGATCTGCCCAGGTGAAGTACTGCAAGTATTTGTGTTGAGAATCCATAGAGTTGGGTATGGTTTAGAAACCTACCTGGCCGTAGTTCACCGTAAAATACAGATGGTGCAAGGTATGATGTGCGGGTCCGTTAATAACTTTTTCAAAAGCGTGTCCTGTGATCATGTCCGAGTCATGGATCTGAAAAATATTATGAGGCGTCCATTCTGCGCACGCAAGGTGAAAGAGAAACATACAAAAATACTCCAGAAGTTGACTGCAACAAACAGGCCAAGGTATAAGAGGCGATGCAGAGGGAACAGGAAAATAAATAGATGGTATGGGACAGATTGTAAGTATCCATCCACAGGATGGAAAGCATGCGATGCAAAAGGTGTTGGAACTATGCAGGGTTGAGTTGCGTAAAAAATGACTGGATTGCAAGATACTTACTGAGCCATTTATGGTGTGGTTTGTGAATCATGCGATAAATCACGGGATGATGCAATCCCCTATGCACCCAATAAATTCCATAATCCGTGAACAAAAGGAAGCTAGAAGGAAGATTAGAACATCAATTAACCGTCGGGAGAGGTAGGACGCACAATGGTACAGAAGCAAAGAGATAAAAGTAGCCGTATGTGTCGATGCCATCATACAGCTTCGAATATCCCATCACCTCCGCCTGGAACCAAGGCAATGTCAAGAGGGTCATCATTGGAAAGGCGCGCAGGCTCGTCTGTATCTCCAGCTTGACCTGATTCTTAAGGAACCGTGGGTGTCGCATCATATCATGGTTAAATATGAACTGATAGGACACCCATGCGAAGAGGAAGTAGAGAATGTGGATGCCGATGAGAGTGATAACAATGAGGGTGGCAAGTTGTCTTGGGATGTACTCTCGAGGCCAGGCAGATATTTGCGGCAAGGTGTACGGCGGCGTGATATTAGCCGCAGAAACCGGTGGATGTGGAAGGTAAGATATGAGTTGTGTCCATGAGGCCGGCAATGAGACCGTGCCGAATTTTGAGGTTGCGTTTGCGGCATAAGACGCGCCGTGCAAGCGGGTGAAGGCGTCGAGGGGGATGAGGGCGGCGTAGACCCTGTCAAAGACAAAATCGTCAGCAATTTTGAGCACGAGATCCATGAAAGAGGGTTGTGTAGAACGACGGGAAGGGTGAGCTGGACAACGGCTGCAAGCGACGGCAATGAACAAATATCGTAAACATGATCTTATTTATTATGTCTCCGGCGCAAGCATCAGGCCACTATTTTTTTAAAAGTACGACCACGTGACGTCATTTTTCAAGCCATTTATAACTACAACCAAACTAAGTGCAACTCAATTCAAAGATCCCCAAGGCCAGAAAACGGGAACTGATCTACAGCACGGAGTCAGATTTGGCACGGTCAGAATCAGGACGTTAGAATTCACCGCTTGTATTCCTGCCACTTCGGGTCGCTTCCAAACTTTTTATCACCCGCCCGTTCAAGCGGCGGCACTCCCGAGACCTTGCGAAGTAAAAACCATGTGAAAAGTGGACTGATGGCAGCCAATGCGACAGTGCCAGTGGGGAAGAAACTCCTTTCAAGGGATGCAGCTGACAACGCCCAAATCCCCGTCCAGATGCCTACCTCTCCAACATAACTGGGATACAATAAGAACAAAACCTAGTAGAAAGGAATATACACGTACTTTGGGTGTCTGCTGATACTCCACAAGCCAGATGTTATGAACTGTTCGTCGTGCTCTTTAGCATCCTTCGCGCGCCGCCAAGCCGCCTTTTGTCTATCGGCAATGACCTCGAAGAGAAAGGAGCCAGCATATATGCCGAGTGTCGTATAGTCACCCAGGCCAAGGGCGGGATGAAGCCTGGCCGGCATCGCGTTGCAAAGGTAAACAGGAAGTCCGACAGCCATGATCCAAGTAGCTTCGCGTGGATTGATTGAGAAAAAGGATGGAGAAAAGAACGAGTTTATTACCTTGAGCAAACCAGTAAAGGGCGAACGTTACCGGTTTTTCTTTGATTTTGTCAAATCGCGAATCGCCACCAGCCTTGATGGCTCTCTGGTGCAATAATTGAAAACGTGAGACATGATAACGCGTACTGCAACTGACCATGGCCAAATAACTCCCCAGTCGGATGCTCCAGATCCCAACAGCCGCTGTTAACAGCAACTGCCTCGGCGCAAAGGTCGAAAGCGCTGGAAGGGGACCAGGAATGCCATCCCAATACTTTGCTTTGAGAAAGGGATAGTAAAGGGACAGGCAAGTGGTCGAAACCCAACCAACGGCGCCTCCTAAATCATAGTAGGTTTCATTTTGCTGAGGAACGAATATGAGGGCAAAAACTGCAAAGAAAACTGAGAATTTAGTAAGACAGCGGTGACGAAAAGTACATACGCGCTTGAAGGGCGTACGAATGGATAGCCGTTGGCAGAAGACGGGAGAAAATAGACATGATTCAAAGTGGGTGATTAAGAGGCGTTAAGTATCGCACCGGTGACGTCGGAAGGTAACAAGTGCAAATACGGTGACATTCAGTCGAAGGCGATCCGAGCCTGTCGTAACGTCAAAGCAGGGTGAATCGCCGCTGGTGACCGTATGTTCCATCTTTCGTGCACGTGAAATTCTGATTTCGCCAATGTTTTAACGCACAGTCAACTGATGCATTTTTACCATTGGCACTCGCGATTAGAACCTTGGGACACTTGAAGGAAGCGGGGGTTGAGCGAGCAAAAGGTAAACCCAGCCTAGTCACCTATTCATATAAAAAATCTATTCTTCGTGGCCGACAACAAACAGGTGTGATCTACGACATCTAGACAGCCTTGGCCTTCACCAGCTCTAAACAACAATGATCAGCCTGACGGCTCGAGACTTGTAAGCAAATAAACTTACGTTCCACCTCCGCAACTGCGCTCGCAAGAATTTCCTGTTGGGTCTTTGGTTCCTTGAGAGAAGCCAGAACTTTGTCGATGACGGTTTTTGTCAGATCGGCCTGCTCGCTCTCCTTCAGGTGCTGTTCGTATCGCACCCAGCTGTCGAGGACGCTCTTGATCTCGTGTGCAACAGCAACCTTTTGCTGCTCGACAAAGTTGGAGGCTTCAAGCTTAGCCGTCTCCTGCAAATTTTTCAAGTCAAGTCAACGGTTGTAAAGATCACAAGTGAAAAGGGGACGTGCCTTGGAGAGAGCGAAGAGAGCCTCGGTCATGGAGACGACATCTTTCATCTGGCCAACGGACTCGATACGCTCCTTTACGGCGCCGGTATGCTCAGAGCGGGCAGAGTTGAGAACGTTTCTGATTTTTTGGATGTGACCCTCAGCCCATTGGCTGTATGGCTCCCTGATGACCTAGTGGCAAACAGGTGAGCCATTTGAACATCACAAACACCAATCAGGACCTACCTTGGCGATGTAGGTGAAGACGATAATGGAGGCAATGAGAACGATGGACTCCTCATTGACGACGTAGAGTTCCTGGGAGATGGCAGCAGCAGCAAGACCGGTACCAAGGACGGCAGTACCCGTTTTGGTAATGAGGCCAGGTTTCGAGGGGAGTTTGTTCACGATTTCTGACGCGCGTTCAGCTGGAGGAGGGGGGTTGGACGAGCTGGCCATTGAACGACTGTTGTTGACATAATCTGAGTGATGATATGAGAGTAAAACGGCGGCGAAAAACACACGCATGGATGCTCTGAGGGAGAGCTGCAACCGCTCTTGGTCGAACTGCACAAAAATCAGAGAGAACCGTTATATAAATTCAAAATACACACCGGCTGCTCGCAGAGAGCTAATAGCAATTCTGGAAGCCATTCGGAATTTTGTCAAGGCCAGCTGGAAGGAGTACTACGTTCGTGAGAATATTTGCCCGACTTTACACGACATTCAAAGGGTGATATCGTTTGAAAGTAATAAGAGCAAACAACAGACAATATGATGTAAGTGTGTGTTGTGAATGTTGAACTCGGTTGGCGTCAAAGATAACTCTGAGATAACTCGAGTCTCCTTGTATTTCTTGCAATTTTTCTAAAATTGTAAATGCTAATAGATTGATAGCACTCCCACGTTCCCGCCGTCCATTACAATCGCCGAGCTTCTCCGCGGCCTGCCCGCCCTACTCTCGTCCCACTTTTCCTGTCGCGGTTTACATGGATAATCCACAGCATTATCAACCTCTGTCACACGCCCTCTTGCCAACAACTCAGCCCAGGTCAATATATTCCCCATCCGCAATGTTTGTACCCCCACCAGAAAAGTCCCCCACCACCGTCGAACCCAGTCGAGAGGAGGAAGAAGAAGAAGAGGAGGAGGAGGACGATGAAGGTCTTGTAGAGGAGCAGTTGAACCAAGATGAACCTGAGAATACCGGAAGCAATCCCTCTTCGCCTCCAACAAAACCTCCAAAGTACGCGTGAATTTCCTGACATCTGATCGTGTTTATCAATTTCCCCTATTTTAAATTTTCATTCTCAAGCACACTGGACACTCAGGCCGTGCCAAGTAATCAACCTTCGACTGAGCAAGAGTCTGCCCAAGAGCCTGAAAGGAAACGACGTCCAGGCCGACCAAGAGGTTCCAAAAATAGGAAGGTTCGCGCTGGCCAGACCTCCTCCAAGCCAGACGGCCCCGCGTTTTATTATCAAGGTCACACGACAGCTCGTCCTCCTCAACATCCGGATGTCACTGCACAGAACCAACAGTATTACGAGTTCCAGTGGCGCGTGCTCAACCTTTGTGCCGAGTTCTATGGTGCTGCAGAAGAGTTGGTCGTATGTTGCTACCTTTCACTTTACACCCACACTTTTATTGATATTGCGACCATCAAATAGAAAGGCACGTCGCCTACCGTCGTTGCCCAATGCTATCATATGGGTCCTACCAGTAAGGTCGACCCTTTATACATGTTGGGCGAAGCAAAGCGGATCTGCGATACTCTGGTCAGTCGTGTTGTCCATCATATATCTTTGGGAACGTTTACTCACTACCTTCAAGCTCGCAAATCCTTCCCAGTTAGTTGTCAATCCGCCACCGTCTTTATAACCCTCCCGTCATGCAATCACTCATGCAGCCTCAGGCGGCGCCCATAGCTGCCACTTCTACAAGTACAGCTCCTTCCACTAGCAAGCCAGCTTCGGCTGCCGCTTTGATTACTAACCCACAATCTTTTGTAGTCCCCCTGGGCGCACAACCTCCTTATGCTTCTCCGTTCCCTGTCTACCCCCCTCCGCCCCCAGGACAATACGCCACGACGCCATATTATCATCCTCAGTACCCCTATTCTACCTCTTATTATACTACTACGCAAGTGCCACCGATTTCTTCAACTTCAACGCCATCGCACGCAGCGGCCACCACATCTTCCATCGTCTCAACTCCGACGACTACCATTTCGACGACGACAGGAGCAATAGGGGGCAACCAAGGTCCATGGTCAGACGAAGAAGTAGAAAGGTTAAAAAAGCTAGCGGAGGAAAGCAAATCCATCGGAACCAATGGAGAGGTGGAGTGGGATTGGGTGGTGCACCAATGGGGAAATGGTCGATCAAGGTGTGTATAGAAGACTTTGATGACTTCCCCGTATAAAAATATTTCATTTAGGCATCAAATTCTCCTGAGAGCGACATCACTTGGTTTAAAAGAAAGCACCAGCCGGGGTGTGAAACGGCGTCGGGAAACAGAAGGGCCAAGCGAGATAGCAGCGAACTCGCCGGCAGTCGTGGCTCCAGCCAACGCGACTGCAATTGCTTCTCCAGCTCAAAGCGCAACGCCGACCGCTTCACCAGCTTTACAAAGTATACAACAACCACCCTCCAAGGGCCCCACCACTACATCGAGTACACCGTCAACTGCACCCTGGCCAATGCCAACCGTCGCTGGCAGCACACCTGCTGTCATTGCCGCTTCATCGACAGGTCAAGATCCGCAACGGACGAGCTACTATCGTCCTCGTCCGAATCAAACAACGGATACTCCGACAAAACCTGCCTCACAAGCCAACTCACATCACTACGTGTACACACCGAACGGCCATGCTTCACGATCGGGGAAGGAGCCAGGAAAATAAGTTATATATCTGCACGAAATGTATTCTTGACGCCCTGCTTCTATGTCGAATTACTGTCGAATAGGTGTTTTGTAACTTTCTTTACTTATGTTGTATCAAGGGGTGTTTCTCGGACCGGAGGCAAAGCGCTAAGCCACTATCTTCAAAGTCACTACATACAATGTCTGGCACACCTTCGCCTGCTGGTTCACGCGTTCCGTCCACCGCCAGACCACCACCCTCGCCGCTGCGCTCCGCTTCATCTTCAGGTCCCATTGCCGCCTCGTCCTCCAGCAACGTCGCGCAGCTGGGCTCAGCCCCTGCTGCTACCTCCAAACGCCCCCCAATAGCTTCCTCTACGCCTCCACCTGGAGGAAAAGCTCGCGCGAGGGATTTGCTTCGAAAGCATTATGGGTTGGGTGTCGGTGCTCCCCCTCCTCGCACTGGGAACCCTGCTGACCCGATGGATCTGAGTACGTTCTGTACCCATGCTGATTGCATACCCCTCTGACCAACTCAACGTTCAACTCTCGTCAGATTCTCCAGCGTTCGACGCAAAGAGCTATTACGAACAACTGATAACGACGTCGTCGTTGCCTGCTTTGCTGAAACGCGAGAATGAATTCATAACAGGTGCAGATATTTCCTTTGTATATTTTCGCGTCATCTAATGTATACGTCCAGAAATTCGACAACTGGACAGCGAGAGGCAGTCATTGGTGTATAATCACCACCATGAGCTCATAGCGGCGAGTGACACCATCGCAGCCGTGAGTTACTGTTCGCTTTGAACCTACGACGATTACAGTTCTTACAAGCTATGTATCTAGATGAAGACGAGAGCGGAAAGCCTCGACGGCGACCTCGACCTACTCAGAGCTGCTTTTTCTGAAATATCACGGCTTTGCGCCGAAGTGTCCTTCGAAAACAATGCTGCGAGCGATAGTGGAGAAACAAAAAACTCATCGGACGTCGTTCCTGCTACATAGCATGGGCTGAACGATAAATGCCCCCTTGTCAGCTTCAAACTCTTTGAAGTGTCGTGACAAGTTCTCATTGTAATTTGCCACGAATTTTCCTACAAGAGGTGGGATCATACCCATGGAGAACAGTCAATGAGAGTCCCTCTTTTTCACACATGGCCAGCCACTCGGTAACCAGGTTTAATGTCGCCTTCATAAAAGTCTCCTGAATTTAATGGTATATAATTTACGTTGAATCGATTTTGAGCACCAACGGTAGTTCTTCTACTGAATCAGGATCTTCCATGCTAAGATAAGGTAGAGGAGTCTACGACAAAGGTTAGTGCTGGTCAAATAAATAACAGGGTACTCACAGCAGAGGGTATACCGCGAGTATAATGTGTTGTTGCTCAATTTTAGTTCCATCCAGGAAATGCAATGAACGCGGCAATGTTTAGGGGAGCTATGCAAGAGCCTAAAACACAAAGGCCTTGGAAGAACGAACTGTGTAGTCAAGTAGGTCAACAACGACTGATTACGCTGAAGTAGGCCCAACTTCTATTCTTCCAATCACTCCAAAGTCTTGGGCGTACCCTCCGGACCAAGCAGCGCCTCTTCTTCTCCCAACGCGCGAGGCCCATCACCCACCCTCGTATGAATCAACCCCTTAACGGCCCCCACCTCCCTCTTCAACGCCACACCCACATTAAAACCCGGGGGAACCGCCGCCTGAGCATTCACCTCAGCACCCTGCGCGAACACACCCAAATTATCCTTGAACGTGCCCTCCTTCTGGGGGAAGAACGAAACGATAAGCTGGATGATCTCCTTGATGTTCTTCTCCTCTGTATAAATGACCGCGTTGGGGCCTGCATCGTACGTATACGCCGCCTTGTACCCCTGACCATTAGCAAGTGAAAGACGGTTATACTCGACGATGACGGCGATGATGGCGCGTGATACGTCGTTCAAGTAAAATATGGGCGGCTCCGTGTCCAGCGCGACGGCGTGGAACTGGTTCGAATCCGCCATCGTAATCCTCGCAAACGTGTCAAAGTCCTTCTCCAAGATCGCCTTTGAGATGTCTTTCATGCGCTGTGGGACGACGGCCTTGATGCGGTGTTGGAGGAGGGGGGACGTCTCTACCGTCAACTGCATGCCGCTCGTTGAGGATGTGCCCTTTTTGTCGTCCGATACGACGCAGATGAGGGCGTGGATCTCTGGCCAGTGCGATTGGGGTGCTACTTGAATGGCGAGGGAGTCTGATCCGTCGGGGTGGACGCCTTCCTGCCATGCGACGAAGCCGCCGTAGAGGGAGCGACAGGCGGAGCCGGAGCCTTGTCGTGCGATGATGGAGAGGGTGGAGGGGGAGACGGGCAGGGCGTATAGTTGGGCGAGGGAGGCGACGAGGGCTGCGAAGCCTGATGCGGAGGATGCGAGTCCTGCGGCGGTGGGGAAGTTGTTGTATGATGCGATGTGGACTTTGTATGTCGATAGCTGATGATCGGAAATTAGAGCATTTCAGAGACATAAGAAGATGGATGGAAGAGCGTTCATTACCTTTGGCGCGGTTGGGTCCTCATTTTCGACAGTTGCCTGACGGAGACGCTTCAACTCGAAGATACAAGTGGCCAGACGGCCCCCTGGTTTAATCTCGTCTTCCTTGCCATTGAGCCATAAGGTATCCTTGACGAAAGAGGGGTCAGCACGGGAAGTGGTGGTAGATCGGAGGTGATCCTGGTCGAGGGTGACGGAGAGGGACGAGTTGGTGGGCAAGATCAGCTTGGTGTCGCGCTTGCCCCAGTATCTATTGTTATGATTTACATAAAAATCAACATACCCATGGACGCGACCTCGACTTACTTGATGACGGCGATGTTGACGGGGGCAGAGGCGGTTGCTTGATATACGGTGGACATTGTGGGTGGGGATCAAGAGATGGTGCACTTGGGTTTCTTTTTATTCAGAAAGCCCCTTACTCCGGATTTCAATACATAACAAGCGCGCATTGCTTGGATCACCCTGGGCCTTCCACCAGGGTCGACCAGGGTAAAGTTGTTTGCCAGCACCTCCGATGCCCACTGATGAAACAAGACCAACGAACAGCGGCGACGGAAAGCCCTCTAGGAAATGTTTGTCCGAGGATGGTAGGGGTGAAACCAAGCCAGTGAGCGTCCACGGCTCCTCATTTTACGCACTGTTGTGTCTTGACCATCAAAGTAGACACCTGAATTGAAACCCGGAGCGCGTTACAGTGCGCCTTTCTCTATCCTTTGATTGTAATTGGCATTAACCACTCGCCCAGTATACTATCGGTTATACACCAGAGATGGTCCACTCGAATCGTACAACCCCATCTACTCCAACGACCACTTTATCAGCCGGATCGTGTCCTCATCAGTAAGACCCCCTCAGACCGCCGCCTCTCTGTTGAGGCATCTCTGCAAGACTGAGGGTTTAGCATTACAAAATTGCGCCTTATTTCAATCTCTCTCGGAAACGGCAGTTTTAGATGGTTCAATCCGCCTCTCGCTTCAGGGGACTACTGGGCCAGGCGCATCAGATCTAGATCCAATGGCGCTGGTTGTTGATAAACGAGCCGCGGAGAGGAGATCACAGGTAACGAGTGCCATAAGACCGCGAGAGCTATTTGAACGCGATTGTGAACAACGTTACGGTGCAGCTCTATGATGTGTTATTCGAACGTCGACCTCACAAATTTTCAGTGTACTATCGCGTTTACGACGACGACGGTGACATTGTTTCAAAAACGTCTTTCGACGAGAACAATCCCTCTTTGGGCCGTGTCAACACTCTTTCTTTGCCCCCGCCTCACACTGTGTCTTCCTTGAAAATTTGCGTTATCATATCCGAAGATCTATCAGGCCACAATGTTCAGCTATTTCAGGATGAGGGCAGCGACTCTGCATTAAACGACAGTGATGCGCTCACCCTCCTCTCTGATACGTTCCCAGGATCTATGGAAGACCGGCCTATAGCAATTACATATGAAACGGGAACGCAAGATGGTGAGGATTAATGAATTTCAGGACTTAGTCTCGATGGAGATTTCGATTAGGTTCAGGTGACAAGGAGGATCCGGACGAGACACAACAGCTGAAGGAAGCATTGGCACAGATCAAGAAAGAATTTGAAGAGGCAAAGCTAGCACACGCACGTGAGCTTGCTGAGGTAAGAAAAAAGGCAAACGAGGGCGGTAGAAATGGAATCTCACCCGCGATAGTGAGGTTGACCGTAGTAAGTTATTGAAAGACACCTTACATGACAGGAAAATAGCCTTCAACCTTCACAAAGAAACTCAAAGCCAGTTACAGTTGGTGTGAGCGACAATGGTATCTGTTCTAAGTTGTTCTAAAAAGTCACCTGCTAGCTGCGCTCAGGGATGATGCCAGATGGCACTCAATGAATGAGGGGGATATTTTCTACACGGATGGTATTTCCAGAAAGGAGACGTTGCGCAGCGGGACCTATGTCCAAGGTATCTATCGATCTCTCTCGAGTTATTCCTTCTGCTGAAGTCGTCCACTATAGAATTGGATTGCTACCTGGCGACAGACTCTTCTGGAAAACTGGCTTGTAAGTACTATCCTGTCTTCCGCTTCATTATCGCTTGAACTGCTCGATCTTACTGATCCGCCGTTCCATTTTTTCTAGTTGTTTATTTTGGTGACTAGATGCATCGTGATCCTGGAACTTTATCTGTGACGCGAACTCTTTCTTAGGTCATTGTCTCGTTACTCGTTAATCCAGTTCAAAGATCGAAGGTGAGAACCTCGCAAGAAAAACGCCACGAATTTTCCTACAAAAAAAAATAGGCGGGATCATATGGAGGTCAACGACAGTTGCTCCTACTTCCTACACAACAGTTGTGGGTTACCACTTAGTCACCGTGTAATGCTGCCTTCATGGATGTGTCCTGATTTTGATGGAATATAATCTATTCGAGTACCAAACGTAGCTCTTTTACTGAATCAGAATCATCCATGCTAAGATGAAATAGAAAAGTCTACGACAAAAATTAGTGCTGATCAAATAAACAACGGGGTACTCACAGCAATGGGTATACCGCGAGTATGATGCGTTGTTGCTCAATTTTAGTGCCATCAAGGAAGTTGACCGAAGCTAAAATGAATATCAATACCGGGTACCAAAAGAGAGGCGTTGACGAACCCCAGATACACCAAGCCCATGCCAGTAGAGCAATCGGGGCGCGAATGTAGATGATTCGGACAAAACATGCAATGAACGCGGCGATGTTTAGGGGAGCTATGCAATAGCCTAGAACACAAAGACCCTGGAAGAACGAGCTATGTAGTCAAGTAGGTCAACAACGACTCAGGAGGCAGAAGTAGGCCCAACTTACACTCTGCCGCCCAAGAGCTGGCATACGAGTCAGCCAACATGTTGTTTAGGAAGCGGGTAAATTACCTTCGCTTGGACTGTTACAACGAGGGCGCCAAGAGAACAGATAACGATGACACTTGTGAAAACACCCAGAGATTGCGAAGGAGGTGCCTAAATTTCGCATGAGGAACCTTGAAGACGCTGACAACAAATGACACGAACGTTAATGCTGAGCATTATACCCAACGTAAGGCATAATAGCAATGGACCCCAAAGGTCCCAATCCCTGTTGAAACACCATCAATGGCGAATGACAGGTGGGTGAGCATGTCTGACCGCAGAACTTCCCGTCCGCTGGAGCGTCGTGGATACAAGACTTGGACAAGCTTGGAATAGATGGACATCAGGTCTCGGGCCTGCTCACTGTTTCAGCTACGATAAAAGGCGGGTCACAGGACGCATTGACGCACAATTGTGGCCGTGACTGGCTCATCTAGAGTATCACCTCCAGAAAAGCTGAGGAGATGATGAAGCTCAACGAGTTGTATATAGAAACACGCTTGTAGCTTACCGAGTCTCTACCCGCACACCACCAATCGTCTGCCTTGTCGCAGCCCTCCCTGTAGCCTGGGGCGAAGAGCTTCCTATGTTTCCAGAAAGACCTGAAGTGCCTGGTCTCCCATTCGCCGATGAAGGTGCGAGTTGCTCAGGTTCGAATCTAGCGCGTCCCTTCCCTTTATTTGTGAGCGGTGGCGGGGACTGCGCACTTGCTAGTGCTGGATGTGCGAAACTTGGTATGTTTTCCTCGTCAAAGTCGTCGTCGTCGTCATCTAAACAACATGGTCAGTAACCAGAATTACACTCTTTGGTAACAGATTACCTGCTTGTATGAATTGAGAACTTGCTGTAAGGGGTGTTCTAACCGAGTCCATCGTGTCAACTGTTGAGCAGGATGCCACAGAAGTGTCACTGTCACGCAACAGTCACAGCCCTGACCCTCGTCACACCACTGACGCGTCCTGGTCATTTGCATCCTTTTCACGACATTTAACTATGGTATGTCAGTTTTCATTGCGAATGCTTTTGAAGCTGACCGTAGGCAAAGGGAAACGCACAATCAGGCGCGAACCCTCCCGCGGACAACAACCGAAACACAGACAAGGATAAAGGAAAGGCCCAACAACCTCAGAAGAAGAAATGGGAACCCCCACTGCCCACTCGAGTCGGAAAAAAGAAGAGACGTGGTCCCTCTGCAGCTTCAAAGCTTCCAGCTGTATTCCCCACAACGCGATGCCGTCTCAAGCTACTTAAGATGGAGCGCATCAAGGACTATCTTCTCCTTGAGGAGGAGTTTGTGCAGAATCAGGAGCGGTTGAAGCCGGAGGCGACTCGTGAGGAGAAGAATGAGGAGGATCGGTCAAGGGTGGATGATTTGCGTGGCAGCCCCATGGCGGTAGGAACCATGGAAGAAATTATCGACGACGACCATGCCATTATCAGCACCGCTTCTGGCCCCGAACACTACGTCTCTATCATGTCTTACGTCGACAAGGATCTATTAGAACCTGGTTGCCAAGTACTCCTTCACCACAAGACACAAGCTATTGTTGGTGTCTTGCAAGACGACGCTGACCCCCTGGTTAGCATCATGAAGCTCGACAAAGCTCCAACGGAAAGCTATGCAGATGTCGGAGGACTCGAGAATCAGATTCAGGAGATTAAAGTGCGCTTTCTGAACATCAATTGATGGTGCTTGTGTTAACAAAGATATTGTCCAGGAATCTGTGGAGTTGCCTCTTACACATCCTGAACTGTACGAAGAAATGGGTATCAAACCCCCCAAAGGTGTCATTTTGTACGGCGTCCCTGGTACGGGTAAAACACTCCTCGCGAAAGCAGTAGCAAACCAAACGTCTGCGACTTTCCTTCGTGTGGTGGGCTCGGAGCTCATCCAGAAGTACCTGGGCGACGGACCAAAACTTGTTCGCGAGCTGTTCAGGGTAGCAGAGGAGCACGCACCAAGTATTGTATTCATCGACGAGATTGATGCCATTGGCACGAAACGGTGCGTTTCTATGTTGCAACATTCTGAAAGCCATTTCTCACAATTTGTCAGATATGATTCAACATCAGGAGGCGAGCGCGAAATTCAACGAACAATGTTGGAACTTCTCAACCAGCTGGATGGCTTCGATACTAGGGGAGACGTCAAAGTTATCATGGCGACAAATCGCATTGATTCCCTCGATCCTGCCCTCATCCGCCCTGGCCGCATCGACAGGAAGATCGAGTTTCCGTTGCCCGATGTGAAGACGAAGCGACACATCTTCAGGTGGGCCGATTTGACACGCTATCACTCACGATCTTTCACTCAATTTTATTTTATTTTTGATGCAGGCTACATACGTCGCGTATGAGTTTGAGTGAAGATGTGGATCTGGAAGAGTTCATCTTGACAAAAGACGACCTTTCTGGGGCGGACATCAAGGCTGTTTGCACGGAGGCTGGGTTGCTTGCGCTTCGCGAACGGCGAATGAGGGTTACGAAAGCCGACTTTACTTCTGCGAGGGAAAAGGTGTTGTATAGGAAGAACGAAGGAACACCTGAGGGCCTGTATCTGTAATTTATTCAAGTTTTTGTCCTCTTTTCTTCTATGATCATTATTCTGCCCTGCGCATAAGTTTTTCTTCCAAGATGTAAGTAACTATGTGGTCCGTGTGGCTTTATAAAAAAGCAATGTGGGGTAACTAAATCAGTATGTAAGTATGCTTGAATAAAATGTGTGTAACTACGAGTTAAGATGGTAAAACAGTGTCCCGTAAGATAATTCCATCCGTCCGATTGTCTTTCGTGAGTAGGCATACCTAAAAAATCGTGCATGCTAATAAAAGATCGTACTATTATGTATTCAGCAGCCTGATACCAAACGTCAGGATGCGGACTATAGAACCGAAAAAAAGCTCACTTTAACCACAGCTTCCCCCCACCGCTCTTCTCCCTAACAAGCTCCCACTCCCTCACACCCATCTCACACCCACTCAACGCATCCAATAACACCTGCTTCCCCTCCCTCGTCCCCTCCCCCTCCAAAACCCACTCCCCAAACCACCCATCCCCCATCTCCCCCTCGCCCCCCGTCCGCATCCTCACCACCCTCGCCGTCCACGCATGTTTCTTCACAATCGCGTATCCACGGGGCGAATGGGGACTGCGCACCTTGGTCGATGAGTGGATGAGCGTCAACTGCGGGACGTCATCGCATACGGGCAGCCGGGTGATGGTGAAGGTCATGTTGGTCAGCGGTGGCATGATGTGTGCGTAGTAGAATGGAGTGGGGAGGTTGAGGGGTTCGTATAGCGGCAGCACGTCTGGTGGGGTATAGGGTATAAGGAAATGGCCGTTGAATATGAGCCATTTCCGCTGTGCGTTGGAGTTGCTGGGTGCGTGGTTGCTGTTGGGGAGGTACGACCCTCTCCGGTGGAATGATGGATCTTGAAGGATGTAGTTGTCGTCTGAAGAGGAATCGTCCGTTGGGGGGACGTAGCCCAGGTTACAGATGATATCTCCCGTGGAGAGATGGTCCCATAGTCCTGACTCGACGAGCTGCCGTTCACAAAGGGGTACACTCTCCGATTCGTGTTCCAGCTTTGAGCACGGCACGAACACGCGGAGTATAGGCGCCCGTATCCGCGATGTAGCCATGTTCAGATCATGAGGAGACGCCATACGGATTGGGGCAGGGTACTCTCTCCCAACAAAGGAATTCGTCGACCTAGAAAAATGAGGCGGGGACGGGCTTCCCGAGACGGACGAGTCGCTCGAGCCGTTCGTCGCAGCAAATCGACGAGGCTGCTTGAGTGACCGTGAAGACGACGGAAACGCACTCTCCGCTGGTTCACCCTGAGAGGTGCCTCGACGCCAGGTACTGGAATAGATCTTCAATGCACGAGGCTCTTCCGGCGGTGGGGGCGACAGCAGGGGTGTGTCCCTGTTCCGGAAAATGGATAGTCGCCGTGCCTTTTTGTTGATCACGCTGTTATTACGCGAGATCATGGAGGAGACGGTATCTGCGGATGGACGCGAAGATGACGTCGCCCTAAGAGGGTGGAGCGCGGTGGAATTCATGGTCAACTCGTGCTGGTTCGGAACTGACCGATGCCGAGCATGCTTGGTTAACCTCGAGGGTCCTGCTTCCGTCAGGGGTGGAGCCGAAGGGGGTATGGCGAACGATAGTGGTGCTGGAAAGGTCAACTCGCGGAGGTTATCGACAGGGGAGAAGCGGGATTTCCATTTTATTTCTTCTGGTTCTACTGGCATAGGTGCGGAAGAGCTGTGTACCAGGGATTGCAGGAGGAGGACGAAACGAGAATGGGCTTGGCAGAGAGCCACGAGTTTTGCTCGCAGATCGTCGTCTTCTGTAGAAGGGTAGAGGGTTGTTAAAATACGGAGCGAATGCATTGGATAGCGGTGGAGGGGAACCCTCTGGGATATCACTACAAAAAATGTCAAAGAGAGCCAGGTGGAGCTAAGAAAAACTGACGAAGCAAGTCGAGGTCTCTGACAGTGATCTGCACATCCTGGTAGACACGAAGGTCTCGATGGGGCAAGAGGGCAGCATAGGAGGTGACAAAGCGAGCAAGAATAGCGTCTCTTAGGTGCAAAGAGTTGATCAGGTTGTGAAAAGCTTTGCAGGTGGTAAGTAGGGTGTATACATCGACCCAGTCAAGGTGAACAAGGAGAACTGAGAGGGCCCCTGGGCTGGAGAGGAGAGGGAGCAACGAGGAGCGACGGGTGAAACGGAGGGAGATAGGGGTTGGAGGAAGAGGTCTATTCATTATGCGGGGATGGTTTCTCTGTTGGAGAGAAGGCATGATTTAAAGCGCGGAGGAGAGAGACAAGTTTCAGACGAGCGAACGTTGAAAAGTCCCGCAAACGTGCAGAGCTAAAGTGAAGCTTAGCCCAATTTAAATAACAAATATGCCCTGAGATGTCGCAATTCATCGATGTAGGCCGACATTCATCCAATAGACATCATTCCGGTTGTTGACGGAACGAGTAAAGAGCGGTGAGCGTCGTGGGAGTCGGCCCGTCACAACACTTGTACCTCGACTACATTCACACATGGTACGTAGGCGCTATTCCACTTTCTTTCTAATTCCTTCACCTACGCTTTTCAAGGACCGCAATGAGCTAGAACGTGAAGTTTTTGGAGGCTCAGAGTCAGAACTATCATCCGATGAGGACGAAGGTGCGGCCACAGGGATCACATCAACACAGCTTAACCACATTTTTATTATAGACCTCCAACCACAGCTTCAGCAAAAGGAGCTACCGCGTGCGGTAAAGCCACCCGTTGATGACTACGAATCGTCAGGGGGCGACTCTGACGACGACTATGAGCAACAACGGCCTGTTAAACCCACTAAGAAGAAGCGGCTGTCTAAGAAGGGTCCTGAGGATGCTGAACGACGGCCGGTACAGCGTAAAAGAAAGAGAAAGCAACCTGTCGAGGTCGATTTGAGCGAGTTGCCCCCAGAGCAAGGTATGATTGTGCTACTCTTTGAATTCTCTGGTACTTTAATTGTTTTCCTAGCAAATAAAATACGACTAGACATGCGAATAGAGGCCATTTTAAAACCTAAAAAGGCGGCGAGGCAGAGGAAGAAAAAGGCCAACGAGGAATCATTGGACAGTTTCGCTGATGACGAGGTGGCGAGGCTTCGAGAGACGATGAACGCCGCAGCTGATGAAGACATCCGGGCCAACAGCGAGAAGCAGCCAGCGACTGCCAAACTTAAATTATTGCCAGAGGCGATGGAAACGCTCCGAAAGTGGGTCCAGAGGGGCAAATCACTGTTCATTTGATTGACCCCTTTGTTACACTAGGGTCGCACTGGCACAGTCGATGATCGACAACAACCTTTTGGAAGCAGTACGGAGATGGCTTGAACCCCTCCCAGATCGATCTCTACCTGCGCTTAACATCCAGCGTGAACTATTCAACATCATCAGGAAGATGGAGTTCATTGACAGCGCTGTTCTGAAAGAATCCGGACTTGGGCGGGTCGTTCTTTTCTACACTAAATGCAAGCGAGTTACAGGTGATATTGGGCGGATTGCGAATGAGCTTGTGTCGACGTGGTCGCGGCCCATCATCAAACGATCGGCGTCATACCGTGATCGAGTTGTGCCTGTTGCGCAAGAAGGCGGGGATGTGGACATGCGGGCTGGGGAGAGGCTGAATGCGATTCTAGCCCGAGCAAAGGAGGGAGAGAAGGGAAGGGTGAAGCAGAACGCTGTGATGATTCCCCAGAGGGAGTTGGGAAGTTATACGGTGGCGCCCAAGATGAATGGAGGGATCGGGCGTGTGAACGTGAGCGTGGATGTGGACATTGAAAGAAGGCGAAAGAACGCGGAGAGGCTTCGAAGCTTGACTAGAAAGGTGAGTATGAAATGATATGATATTCTAGTATGTATGATATGATGAACACGATGCAAAACACGTTCTGAAGATCAGGGGCAGTCATAGTCGGAGCTTTAAAATGAGATCGCGTCCATTTTTGTATGGTGTTATTTGCATACACATACGCTTCTACGCCCTTTGTTCACTGCCCTCCTCGCTGCCCATCCGTCTTGCAGCTAATCAACCTTGTCTCTCTTTCCATTAACTTAATCAACATGCAGACACGTCGTTCAACTCGTGTCTCTCCCCTCGCCATTGTTCTTCCCCATCCTCCCCTTCCTCACCGTCGCTCATCTCGTCTATCTGCAAATTCAGCTCCTCAAACACCTCGAAGCTGCGGCTCACCTATCTTTTTCGCTTCAAATAATAGAAAGAGCACGGACAGTTGGAATAGCTCCAATGCCGACGACATGGAATATGACTGGAAACCAGAGCAGGTGCTGCTTCTCTCAAGGGTCAGTATTTTCTTTCCCCCCCTTGCCCCTAGCTTCTTATTTCCCCCTCCTTGCAGACTTTAGACGCCCTTCCCGCTCATCTCGTCACTCCCTTTAACGGCCCCATCCCTCCTTCAAACCTTTTGGATAAAATCGCACGAGGCGTCTCTCAGGCTAAAGGCCCAGCAGACTGGCCACATTCCTTGCGCGCTACACGCGTAAAAATAATCGAGCTGTGCCGTGCCAAGGCCAGAGAGGAAGAGCAGCAGCGCAAGGTCATTGAAGAGGAGGTCGAGGTCCCTTATTATCACGACGGCGAAGAAAATCACCTGCGGGATGGCATCCAGTCCAGAAGACCTTTGTACAGGCAGTCCAGCATGGATTTCATTCAGATAGACGCCAAGGAAAATGATAATATTGCAAAGTACGTCTTTTTTTTTCTACTCCAAATTTCTGTTTAACATACTTTTTACAGACTCTCCAATCGTCTCCAACGCACAGACCGTAATAATCCCACTTATCACCCCTACTCACGCACGCGTTCGCCTCTGCACCGCAGAGATACCTCGCCTCCCCTACTAAGTGACCTTCCTTCCCTCATCAACCCATCCACCCCAAGCTCTTCCACCCTCACCAGCCTTTCCTCACTTTCGTCCCATCCACGTGCCCTACGTCGCACCACTTCGTCCCTTTCTTCGGCCTCCATCTCCATGCTTAGCAACAGTAGCAAAGGCATCTCGCTGGCGGACCCACGCGTGCAACGTGTTCTCCGTTCGGATTCTTTCTGTGCGCCCCCTCCTGCACCGCCCCCAAAGGACACACTTCCCACCTCCATCGGCTTCAAGCGGGCACCCTCTTTTGGTACTTTGGCCCAAGAGGCGAAACGCGAGGCCGAAAACCGGCGTCATGTGAGAAAGGACTCTGGATCTTACCTTTCTTCAGACGAAGAAGAAAAGATACGTACCAGACAGGCTAAAAAACCCAGGACGAAGGCGGGGTCTCCCTCATCCGATGACAGCCCTGGGATGGCCACCCCACCAGCATCGTCGCCCATGAGCAGTGCACCTTCTCCCTTGATGGACAAACCACCCTTGCCCCCAGCCAAAGATAAAACTCCTCTCAAGAGTAGAAGTAAATCCAAGGGCATGGTCGCTTGTTTAGAAGGTACCCCAAAGAGTCCCAAGCCCAAGTCTGCCGAGAAGAAGGAGAAAGCGGCTCGACCCATGCCTATGAATTTGCAAAGGAACCCGAGCATGTTTGGAGCCGAGCTTCCCCATCTTTGCAACCCCTCCAACACCCCTGCCGTCGTTTCGCCATCTCCGTCCAGTGGGAACGCGAGCAAGGCTCAAGTGCCACCTCCTGCGACTGCTATCCTTACAAGGTCTCCGAGTAGTATCCCCGCCAGTCCAACTCCTCCTTCGACCCAGAAGGTCAAGACGTTGAGACGAGTCCGTCGTCTTGCTCCAGCTAGGAGAATATCATTTGGCAGCCTTGTTGCACCTGGGGACGAGGCGGATGGCGAGGGTGAGGGCGAGCATGAGGAGAAGTTGGCTCTGGGGAGCGCTTTTCAATTGCATTAGACGAGAGGGAGGAGGTAAGACGCTCGGAAGGAAGAACCAGATGGATAGGAAGACCGTTCCCTTCCATCTGATGTACATTGTGTAACACTAACATCGACCGACGCTCGTTCGCTGGATTCGCCCGACTCGGGATAAAACGACAACTGTTCTACTCATCATCACCACACCCAACCCACCACGCATACCATGGCATCGCAATTCACTCGGACATATTTTTGCACTCATAACGGCGACCATCGACTGCTCGCCCTCATCTATTTTGCTTGCTTGCAAAGTCATTCACAACATATCAATCTCACATCTACTTCTTTTGACGATTGTCTCCTTGACAATTGCTCCCACACTCCTTCTCTCTCTTTTTTCGGATTTTTGAATTCTTGGATCACGACTCGCTCGTTTTCGATCCATGCACACCCTCCTTCTCTCTTTCTCTCTCCGTCTCGCATATCTCGATTGTACAATAAGGGTCAAAAGTTTCATTCCGGATTCATATCCCCACCCCTTCACACTCATTGCATTTCCATATTCACGGCATCGGATTCCGCCACCAACCAAACGCTCACTCTCCTTTATCCTTTTTCTTTTCCATTTAGTTGTTCATGCATCTATCTCTTGCTAAATTTACGACATCATCCATCCATCCACATTGCACCCACCGTCACAACGCATCCGTACTTATCACATCATTCAACGTTGCTTGCCTGCCCGTTTTCATCTCCATCGCGACCCTTGCTGGCCGCACACAACCCATCATCTCCCATTCCCTCTTTCTTTTTTTACTCACCTGCCGTCACTTTTGACTTTTTGTTCGCATTGTAAAAACGTTTTCTTTGTCGCGCATAGATCTCGGTATCATGCCCACGCGTTCTTTCTTCTTCACATAGTTATTCTGGTTAACGTTACTATGGCGTTCTTTTAAAAAAATTCTAGTTTCTCCATTTTGCATATCTCTCGCCAATCTCACGCATTTGCGCTGGAATGGAGAGAGAGATGTATTACGTAACAACAGTTACACAGTGCAAGCAATGTCAAAAATTGAAAAAAAAAACTGCAATGGACGACGACTTGGTTCTCAACATCGCGCCTGATGATTATATTCAAGCAACAAAAGGGGGAAACGGGAAGAAAGGTGGAAGATGGACGGATAGGTGAGAACCTGGCATTCTTCTTCAAGATCGCTCTGACGATTAAATTCGAACAGGTTGAAAGCAAAACGCGTTGCCAAACGAAAGCCAAGGACCGAAGACTCACTACCGACAGAGGATGTTGGTCCTCCCCCAGCCAAACGGGCAAGGAAAGAGGCCCCTCAACAGCAGCAGCCCACCACCTCCAATCGACCCGCCAGGCCAACTCAAATCATCTCATCTCTTTTCTCATACAATCCCCAGGTTGAAGCACCCGCAAAGGTTTCTTCACGCCCTATTATTGGAGCACCTAGCAATGCGCCGTTGTTGGATGCTTCCACATTCTCCGGACTTGGTTTAAATCCATTACTTATATCCCATCTCGCAAATAAAATGAATGTTCACAAACCTACCGCGATTCAACGTGCAGCCCTGCCGGCTTTCCTTTCTCCTGCCTTGGATACGGCTGCTGCCCGCGACGTGTTTATACAGTCGCAGACAGGTTCCGGCAAAACGTTATCTTTTCTACTTCCCATCATTCAAGATTTGTTGCCCTTGAGCTCTCTGTCCTACATCGATCGATCCATCGGGACGTTGGCGGTTATCATTGCGCCTACCCGCGAACTCGCCAAACAAATATCCGATGTGCTGGAAGCTCTTTTGAAGCTTCGCCTACGACCAGAGGAGGATGGTGGGACGGGCGAGTCTGACAACTCGACACGTTTGACTCGGTGGTTAGTCTCAGGATTGTTGGTCGGTGGCTCTACCCGGACGCATGAGAAAGCAAAACTGAGAAAGGGTGTGCCTATCCTCGTTTCCACACCTGGCAGGCTGCTTGATCATCTCCAAAATACATCGTCTTTCAATGTGGGGAAATGTCGCTGGCTGGTTCTTGACGAGGCTGATCAGCTCATGGATCTTGGGTTTGAAGAAACCATTAAAGGCATTATTCAAGGTCTGGATGGACGGCGACGACTTGCGAAGCAAGCGATCGCGGAAGGTAAAAGCGCAGAGGTTGGGGGCTGGGATTGGGAACATCGTAGGAGGACGATCCTTTGTTCGGCCACCATTCGCGAGGAGGTTCAGAAATTGGCTGGGACGGCACTTATTAATCCACTTATGATCAAGGCCACTGAGGCGGACAAGCCGACGGATGTATTGTCAATGGAAGACAAATTTTCTACCCAATCCGAAACATTTACCCCTCCATCTCAGCTCTCACAGAAATATGTGGTCGTGCCATTGAAGCTGCGCCTCGTCGCTCTTGTTGCTCTCCTTCGAACTTTGGTCGCACAAGCCCAAGGCAATCGTGGGACGAAGATCATTGTTTTTCTGAGTTGTACAGACTCTGTTGACTTTCACTGGAAACTTCTTGCGGGGTCAACAATGGACGATGATGTTGAGCCTTCCGCAGATGATTCTGAAATCGACAGCGACGAGGACATTAAGGCTGAACCCCAGACAAATCCCCTAGCTTCTGAGCGGGTTCAAGCCACATGCTCCTTTTTGCCGAACGTCTCCGTCTATCGACTTCATGGATCCCTTCCCACTTCAACACGGCTTGCATCAATAAAAGAGTTTTCTGGTATCAAGGGCAAAAACAAGGATAGCAGCCAGGAAGCCTCATCCTCAGTCCTTTTGTCCACATCCGTGGCGTCGCGCGGTTTGGATCTTCCTCTTGTTCGTGCGGTGATCCAATATGATCTTCCAGCCGAGGGTGGCGCGACTGAGTACGTTCATCGCGTTGGACGTACTGCACGCGCTGGGAAGGGCGGTGAAGCTTGGAGCATAGTTGGTCCAAGCGAAGTTGGGTGGGTGAAGTGGGTAGAGGAGAAAATGCAGGGTAAAAGCACTGATGATACCAAGCAGAATGCTTCTCTGACAGGTGTGGCGGTGGAAAGTCTTTTACGGACAGGATTTGGAGGCAAAAGTAGTGAGTATGAGGAGCGCGCAACCGAAGTTCAGCTGGCGTTTGAGCGCTGGGTTCTACGAAGCAAAGACGTATGTTCCGTTTTTAATGCTTGTGCACATTCATTCTTAAAGTCTGTTTAGAATCTTGCGCTGGCAAGGAATGCCTTCCTTTCTTACATGCGGGCCTACGCTACCCATCCATCGAGCGAAAAGCACATATTCCATATCCGTCATCTACATATGGGGCATCTTGCCAAAGCATTCGCTTTGCGCGACGCTCCGACAAAAGTAACTGGTACTTCCCAGAAAGCAAAACAGCCAAAACTCCGTCAGTCTAAAAGTCAACGACCGAAGGAGATTGCTGTGAAGGTTAAGGACTGGGAGCAACATGACGGCGATGCGGAAAAACGTATGAAAGCCATAGTTCGTGCTCAAGGTCGGCTCACGAAGAAGGGAGGCGTGATGACCAGCAGCGGGGCGTCAGAATTTCAGATATCAAGTGGAACGGCGTTGGAGAAGCTGGTCCAGGGAGGTGACTATTAGCTACAATTGTTACATTATGAGCCATGTACGCCGTATAGTATGGGAGAATGAACATGTACTAAAGTTGGCGATCAATGAAAACAACTGTGACCCGAATTTGAATTCAAATTGCCCATTCATGGCGCTTCCGGACGCGTCAGTCGTCTCCAAAGTTTCGATCCTTGAGGACATGCACATCTCTGAATACATTGCCCCCAAGTCGTAATTCAAGATTGCCGTATGGCATATTTGGAGGTGCTGTGATTGCCAGCGCTTCACGTAGGACCGTTGTAAGTCCCCCAGCGCTCTTCACCCCTCTATACTTCTTCCTCCACGTACACCTGGCACGACAGAGCGACTACGACAGAAACCGGTGAGTACCTTGCTTTCTTCGATCCGCCCAAGACCAGTTGTTGTTATCCTTACATGCACTTGAAATGGTTGTGTCTGTGGGCGCTCCAGCAGAGCATGTATTTGCATCGGTGAAAGAGGACAATCCCGTAGGAGTCAGGATGACTTCTGCGGTGTGTACGTGAGGGATGACTGCATTCAGATCCATTTATTGACCCGTTTGTAGCTCCAAGCTCACCCTTTGGGTCAGGTGAAATGAATGCTATCCAGCAAGCAATCCAGCGAGCAATTCTGACTGCTATATCATTCCAGCGCCGTTTCAACGAGACAGGAAACGCCGACGACATTGCTCAAGTAGTTTTTCACTGTGAAAATGCACTTTCCTTTGGGCTTGATCTCCCTCCTTTCGCTTACAGCTTCTTTGGAAATGCATACTTAAGTCGCTTTACATGCCTAGGCGAAGTTCAGGATCTTGAACATGCCATATCCCACCACCAGAAAGCTGTCCAATCCACTCCTTCTGGCGATGCTGAGCTTCCAGGTCGGTTGAACAACCTTGGAAGTTCGTATTTACGTCGCTTTGAAGCCACTGGTGATGATCTCCAGGATACTGAGCATGCTCTATCTTACTACCAGAAAGGTCTCAAATCTACCCCTTCTGGCCATCCTGACATTCTTAGTTTTTTAAGCAACCTTGGAAATTTGTACTCATGCCGCTCTGTCCGCACTGGCGATCTTCAGGATTTCGAACAGGCCATATCTTACCACCAGAAAGTTGTCGAATCCGCTCCTTCTGGCCATGCTGACGTTCCGCTTTGGTTTTACCATCTTGGAACTTCATACTCACGTCGCTTTCAACGCTTCGGAAACCTCCAAGATATTGACCATGCCATATCCTACCACCAGAAAGCTGTTGAATGTGCTCCTTCTGGACGCACTGAGCTTTCGAGTTGGTTCAGCAGCCTTGGAAATTCACACTTACAACGCTGGGAACGCACCCGCGACATCCAGGATATTGACGATGCTGTATCCCACCTCCAGAAAGCTATTCAATCCACTCCTTCTGGTACTTACCTTGCAGGGCCGGAGTTCAACAATCTTGGAAATGCGTACGCAATTCGCTTCAATTACACTCTTGACCTCGAGGATATTGACCATGCGATATCCCTGCAACAAAAAGCTGTTCAATCCACTCCTTCTGGCCATGCTGAGCTTCCGGGGTTGTTAGATAACTTAGGAACATCGTACTCACGTCGTTTCTATTGCTCTGAAAGCCTTCAGGATATTGACCATGCCATATCCTACCACCAAAAAGCTATTCAATCCACTCCTTCTGGCCACACCCGGCTTCCGGCTGGGTTTAACCACCTTGGAATATCGTACACACATCGCTTCAAATGCACCCGCGACCTCCAGGATATTGACCGCGCCATATCCTACCACCAGAAAGCTGTCGAATCCACTCCTTCTGACCACGCTGACCTTCCGGGTCGGTTCAGCAACCTGGGCAGTTCGTACTTAGATCGCTTCAACAGCACCAATTATTTGCCCGATGTCCAGAACAGCATTGCTTCATACCGTCAGGCTGCTGAGGCAAATGGCGCCCCATCCATTCGCCTGAAGGCTGCCAAGGAAGCAGCGATGCTTTCTTCTGACCATGACCCTTCCCAATGTCTAACTGACTTCGCTCTTGCCATTAGTTTGCTCTCAGAAGTTGCTGGGTTGGAACAAACAAACAATCGCCGTCATGCTAACCTTCGGGGCTACTCTGATCTTGTGGGATCTGCTGTGGCAACTGCTCTCCGTTTCGATAGCACTAATCGTGCACTTGAATGGCTTGAGCAAGGCCGCTGCTTGGTGTGGAATCAGCTCAACCAACTCCGTACCCCAATCGACAATCTCCGCATGAAGAACCCGTCCTTGGCCAATCGCTTTATCGAGATCGCAAGGGCCCTAGAGTCCCATGGAACTCGTTCAGCTTTGTCCCTTCCTTCTCTACACCCTACGCTTGTAGAAGCCATCCGCCTTCAGGATGACACTCTAAATCACACCATCCACGCTACAGAATATAAGCAACTGCTTGAGGAGATTCGGGCTCTCCCAGATTTCCATGACTTTCTTCAGCCACCCAAGGCCACCGACATCCTCTCTTCGTTACCCAACGATGGTCCACTTGTCATATTTAACATTCACAAAACCCGGTGCGATGCTTTGGCTGTTATAGCTGGGATTGAGGAGCCTCTGCATATCCCTCTGGAGAACTTCAGTCTTGTGCAAGCAGAGGAACTACAGGAGATCCTTCGATTCGACCTACTCAAGCAACGGGAGGTGGAGGATCAAGATCGCATGCCTCGGCGTGTTCGACCTAACCCATCATCCATGTTGTTTGTCCTAAATGAACTTTGGCGCAAAGTTGTCCAACCAATTCTTGAAGCGCTAGGATACTCTGTAAGGTGTTGCCTATAGTGAAATCATTTGTACTGATCTTTTGCACTCTCAGCTCAATCCCTCAGATTGTGGCCGTATATGGTGGTGTCCAACTGGCCCGCTTGCTTTTCTTCCACTCCACGCAGCTGGGATATACGGCGCAGCACACAACCCAGGATCCTGTGTCTCCGATTTCGTGGTTTCGTCATATACACCAACTTTCCGCACCCTCAACGATAGATCCACTGCATCATCTACCTCCTCCAAATGCACCAGCATCCTCCTTATCAGCCAACCAAACACCCCAGGTCTTTCCTCAATACCCTTGACCCGAAAAGAGACGCATGACCTTGAAACGTTGATGAAAAGAACTGCCATTGAAGCGCTACTGCTGGAGGATTCCAAGGCAACTGTAGAGAACGTGAAGGCAGAGATGAAATCTCGTAGCTGGGTTCACTTTGCTTGCCATGGAGTGCAAGATGTCCACCAGCCTCTCTCAAGCGGCCTCTGTCTCCACGATGGCCGCTTGGAGCTGCTCGAGATCATGAAGCAGAAAATCCCGAACCTGGACTTGGTTTTCCTTTCAGCATGCCAGACAAGCAAAGGAGACCTCAAATTATCGGAGGAAGTTGTCCATCTCGCTGCTGGTATGCTTGGTGCTGGATGCCGTGGTGTGGTTGGTACGATGTGGAGCATTTCGGATCTATATGGGCCGAAGTTCGCGGAGGAGTTTTATCAATATTTGCTCAAGGAGAAGGGATCGGAGGGATTGGACAGTACTCGAGCAGCCTACGCCTTACATTACGCTACAAGGAAGGTTCGAGAGATTCTCGGAGATGATGACAACGCATTCCTGACATGGGTTCCGTATGTGCACTTCGGTTACTGATATCTTTATTTGTTTCGTCCAAGGTTGTCTTTACAATTTCATGTTCCTATTTCCTCGTACAGTATCCTACCATGAATTCACATCTCTCGCTACCATAATCAGTCCTCCAGTTGAGAACGACCGTCGCTGCAGTGTCGTCCTTACAGTTGACGCGGACAGACGAAATCGACAAAAACTATCAAAGTTTACCATTGAATTCTCCAAAAATACATAGTCTCAATCGATGCGGTAGGGCGTAAAGGTGTGCGGGCGATGTTGAGAACCTTGCATGGAGTTAGGTGATACTTATCTTTGTCAGGCTTGAAAGCTTGATCAACAGGTTACAGGACTTATCCTAACTTCTGACTACGTAGACCCAAGACTCCCAAAAGTCATGAGAAATCCGAGATGGCCTTGTCGGAATACGACTAACCCCCCTAGAGAAGGGCGACTGTTGTACGAGGCCTTTCAGGTCAACATACGTCGACGTGACAAAAATTTTGAAGAAGGTAACCTCATTTGGATAAAATTCGATAGGATCTCCGCCTTCGGGGCCATAGCCGATCATGACTGCTTGATTCTCACTGAGTGGTCCTTCTTTCGTAGGCTCTGGATGGTAGAAACTCTAAAGATATCGGTGAGCGTTCCGTTACCTCGTGCCAAAGGCGAGATCCACATACCGCAATTTCGTAGGTGGATGGATCAAACCCAAAGACATAGGGAAAGAGAGGAGCTCGAACGTCGCGAACGCTAAGAGTAAAGGAGAAGTAATGGTTCAGGTCTGGGAGCTTCGCCGCTGCCGAAACTTTGGGCCCCTTCTTGATATTGGCCCGTGGCATTAGCTGCTCTCCAGAGATAAAGAAGTTTTCCCCGTTGTTGGCCGGAAAATAAGAGATCTTCGTGTTGAGTCCATGCCACTGTCCAGGCAGTGGTGACAAACATTCAAGTTTGACCATTAGTTTCTCGCCTATGATATTGAAGCGACTTTCGCGAAGAAGATGAAAATTGAAATGAGTTACGGCGGCAATTATGGCAGAAGTCTCCGCATTTGGAGTGGAGAGGTCTGCTTGAGCATCTTGAGGTGTGAGTAGAATGACTTTTTCGGCATAACGAGGGATAAGTCCATCCCGCCTGTCCAGCTGCGTTCTTCCTTTAGGGGATTGAGAAATTACGATATCGTAATCCTGCGAATCTGAAGGACGATCGTGTGTCAGTTGGAAGAACACCTTAGGGTGAAGCTGATTCCATTTGGTTACTTGGGCTCTCGAATAATCCTGGAGGGTCATGTTGTCAGGTTTTTTGAAAGCGCACCTGAGGGGAGAAACTTGAAACGGCTTCAAACCTTGAAGGCGCTCCTTGCCGCTCGTTATGGTGAACTCTGTCTCGGCATCAACCCCATGAATAGTGCCAGCAGCCACTGAAAATGTCCCGTCGTCGCGTAATGACACCAAGAAATGACGACCTAGGTCTGTCATGCTGAAAAGAATCCTAGTCTTGTTATCTCCCTCCACATATGGTGTCTGCTTTGGTAGCCGTAGCTTGTTCTCCGGCTGCTCCAGAGTGTGGAATAGACCGATATACGTCGTTTCGGTAATATTTCGTCCAGGTTGTCGGAGAATGTCAAGGAGGAGGCTTGTGAAAGCTCCGGCATGGTGGCCAGCTGTCGAAAGACATGCTTCATACGCAAGCTCGTTGTGTTGGCATGCAGCAAGGAGAACGTGCGATGTCAATGGAGGATATGGAGTGTAAGGATCATTGATTTCTGTGGGAAGAGTAGGATCGGTGTTCCAGATGTCGTCGTCCAGCCCTGTTGGATAAGACGACTCAGGAGGCGCGATAAATCGTGACTTCTCTAAATCCGAGTCTGGTATCCGGCCCATCCCGCCAGAATGACACGAATCGAATATTGCTGTCTAAACTGCGATATTATAAGAGCTGGAATATGAAAATAACAACACTGACGATGTTGTTTCCTCTGAGAACGGCCAGCCGGCGCATGAGCGAGGCAAAAGTGCGATCAGGAATTCCGCGTGCTCCCATCCTGTCGTCGTAAGGACAGATCGTTTCTATATGGTTCCCTGCAGGGTAGTTTTCTTCGGAAATTTCGTAGCTACCATGACCAGCGAAGTAGAAAACTATGGCGTCGTTCTGCTGTATCTCTTGATTATTAATGAGATGTTCCTCAAAAGCGGATAAGATATTCTGTCGCGTTGCTTGCGTATCACGTAGGTGTTTGATGTGCGCTGGGTTTGCATGAAGAGATTCTGTTAAAAACGTGTAAACATTTTCGCTGTCGTTGACGCATCCTTTAAGCTTGCGAATCTTCTCGTCCTGATAATTATCGATCCCGATGATCAGCGCAAATAAGTGGTTGTTGATGCTATCTGGGTGGACAGTTGGAAGCTGATGTTGCTCGATGGCCTGGTCTTGGCCAGGCTGGTCACTGCGGATAAAGTATGAGCAAAATAACGGTTAAATTGATATGTTTGCTATGAGCTTCACCGTTTTGATCCAGAGACGATTGAAGGCTTTTTGTGCTCAGGTACCTTTGAATTCTCCTTTCCGTGACTGAGTACAAATTTTAGCAAAATCGGGGAAACAGCAGAATTACTAGATAAGTATCACCTGTAATCCACATCGGTAGAGTTCAAACTGAGGAATTGGTCGTCTGGACGCTTGGGAGTTCGGAGGGACGAAATATAATTGGCCAGCAATTTCAATTGCTGCCATACCACATCCCATAGCCCCCGGACCGCCGAAAAGAATGCGAAGTGAAAAAAACTGCAGGTTGATATAGCCTGACATTGTTCTAACGGATGAGATGTATGGAGGTCTTACCTCACTGTGTATCCTTGGTCAACTGGATTTGCTAAACTGGCGTCGTGCTCCATTCGTATGCCTTGGACAGCGGGTCCTCGACCCTCGCGCCAGACTTACGATAGCTCTTCGCGGTTTGTGAAGAAGTCTTCTTAGCACAAACATCATTTTTGTGATGATCAATGAAAACCTCATCCGCAAGGTGAAGCAGGCGTGCGGCCAACAACAAGCTTCGATACCTATGGGTTAGCTGTAACACCCCTTCCATCATGCTTCTAACCTAAAAATATAGACCTGCTCCTGGTCATGAGCCGCACAAGCTGCGATCAGTCAAAAGCGTACCATACCTCGAAGTTGTGGGCGTCACAAGAGCAGAGCAGGAATCTAGGCTACCCAAATACTACTCTTGGCATGACGTGCAAACGTCATGTGAAACGCCTTGAGAATGCTGGGGAATAAGCGCTCCTGCTAAATCCTAATGAAAAAGACATCGGGTGGCAGATCTTAGTGCTAGTAGTGGCTGACGCTGGCCTGCCCAAGGCCTGCCGGTGCGAGTGGCTGTCACTGTGTCAGTGCGAGGCGCGCATGCCACTGGCACTTATGATAATTTCCGTGTGTCATGGTAACGTTTTCTCACGTATTTTTATCAAATTTTTATGGTGGGTTTCTTACAATGCATAAGTAGAACTCTCAACTATGGCCTGTTAGCAGCTAGGTAGGCGTATAACTTATTGTAAGAAAGGAAAGGATTTTCCATGCATGTTAAATTAAAAAAACACTGATAGGAAGTAATTCAAGAATTGGAGGACAATTCAGAAGTCAAAAAAGTCGGAATGTAAGGCAAACCCCAGCGCACGAAAGACCAAGTCATCAAAATTGCCTGCAAAAGCGAGATTAACCGTAACCGAAAGTCCAAGTGGAAGTTGAGGTTTTTTTGGTGACGGAGATAGGAGTCCTAACTTTCAACTACGTAGATCCAAGATTCCCAAAGATCATCGAGTGCTGTAGACACCCTGCCCGGCATCTTACGGTTGACAGAGAAAGGCTCTTGTTCGAGGCCTTTCAAGTCAACATACGTCGTGGTGAGAAAGATTTTGAAAAAGGTAACCTCGTTTGGATAAAACTCAATAGGATCTCCACCTTCGGGGCCATGGCCAATTGTGACTTCTTGATTCTTACTGAGTGGTCCTTTTTTCCATGGCTCTGGATGGTAGAAACTCTAAAGATATCAGTGAGCATTCCCTTACCGAAGCACCAAGAACGAGGTTCACATACCTCAATTGTGTAGGTGGATGGATCAAAACCAAACACATAGGGGAAAAGAGGAGTCTCATTGTCTTTGATGCTAAGGGTAAGGGAAAATAAACCTTTCACGTCTGGGAGTATTGCGTGTCCTGAAACCATACCCGAAACGTTGTCCGTGCTTGCTGAAACATTGTCCGCACTGAAGAAATTCTCTCCATCGGATGCTGGAGAATAACTAATCTTCCGGGGAGATGAGTGCGAAGCGACCAAACGCTCAAGTTTGACACCCAGGTAGTTGTCAGCGACAGTTGGTTTCCTGTGGAGAAGGTGAAAGGTGAAATGAGTTATGGCGTCCGCGATGGCATGGTTGGTGTCACGTGTGCCTGGAGCTCCTTTAATTTCAACAAAACCTGGAGCATAACGAGGGATAACTTTATCACGCCTTTCCACCTTCCAGAATCCATCGGAAGATGGAGTAATGACGACATCGTTACCCTCCGAAATTGAAGGATCGCCAGGTGTTTCCTTCAAGAGGACCTTAATAAGCGGCCTATTCAACTTGATTACCTTGGCTGTAGAGTCATCCCGAAGGGTCTTATCCAAGTCGAGCTTGTGGAAACTGGACCTGACGCCCGAGACTGTATGCGGCTTCAAACCTAGAAAGCTGACGTCGCCACTGGTGATGATGAACTCTGTCTCGAGATCAACCCCGTGAATAGTGCCAGCAGCCACCGAAAATGACTCGTCGTCATGCAATAACACCGGGAAGTGATGAACAGGGCATGTCGTCTTGAAGAGAATCCTGTTTTTGTTATCACCCTCCACGTACGGCGTCTGCTTTGGTAGCCGCGACTTGTACTTTTGCTGCTCCATAGTGTGGAACAGATCGATATACGTCGTATTGGTAAGATTACGTTCCGGATCTCGGAGAAGGTCAAGAAGGAGGCTTGTAAAATCTCCACCATACTGACCTGTCCATTGATGTGCCTCATACGCAGGCTCGTCGTGTTGGCATGCAGCAAGGAGAACGTGTGTTTTCAAAGGATTATCAATTTCTGTGGGACGACTAGGCCCCCTGTCCGCGATGTCGTCGTCCAGCCCTGTTGGATCAAGCGACTCAAGAGGCGCTAGAAATCGTGAATTCTCTAAATCTGGTATCCGACCCATTCCTCCAGAATGACAGGAATCAATTATTTGCGTCTAAACTGCAATATTAGAGAGGCGCAACCTGCAGATAATGACACTGACAATGTTGTTTCCTTTGAGATTGGCCAGCCGATGCATGAGGGAGGCAATAAAGTGATCATGAATTCCGCGTGCTCCCATCCTGTAGTCATAAGGACATATCATTTGCAGCATGTTTCCGCCAAGATGTTTTCCGCAAGTGCCGTGGCCACCGAAGTAGAAAACTATCGCGTCGTTCGGCTGTATCTCTTGATTGCTGATGAAATGTTTCTCAAAAGCGGATAAGATATTTTCTCGCGTCGCTTCCCCATCCCGTAGGTGTTTGATGTGCGCTGGGTTTACGTGCAGGTACTCTGTTAAGAACCTGCAAACATTTTCGCTGTCGTTGACGCATCCTTTAAGCTTGCGAATCTTCTCATTCTGGTAATCATCGATCCCGATAATTAGCGCAAAAAAGCGGTCGTCGAAGACTTCAAGGGCAGTCGGAGGTTGCACAATTGCCTGCTCTGGACGAGGGTGGCAGCTGCAGAAAAAATATCAGTAAACATGGATGATAACTTCATGTTTGCGACGAGCTTCACCATGCTAATTCAGAGACGGCTGAAGGCTGTTTCTGCTCAAATCCCCCAGAATTCTCCTTTTCGATGGAGGGAGGTTGACTGAGTAAGCGTTAGCGAAGACAGGTAGATGGCACAATGATAAGATGGGCTTTACCTGCTCGATTCGCTGTTCATAAATGTTCAAACTCGGGAGTTGGGCGTCTAAACGTTGGGAAGTTTCGCAGTATGGGATATAAATGACTAGCAATGGGGGCGCTCAAAGTAGAATAGAATGGTTCTCCTTGCTCGTCAAGGTCCCAAGGTCATCCTTACACATGTGCAGTGCTAGGTACAATTAACAGCAGTCGTTTGCATATTTCCGTGAACACCGAAAGTGGGTGATGTGACTTACCTGCCCAAAAAAGACATTTTCCAACTTCCTGAATCCTGATGACCAGCCTAACCAACGGGAACAGAGGCGGAAGAGAACTTGGCATTCTTCCTCAACATCGCTCTGACAATTTGATAACAGGATGAAAGTAAATCGTGTTGCCAAACGAAAGCCAAGGACCGAAGACTCTGCCATCCTTGTTTGCGATTGTATGAACGTATCCAAATCAGGAGAAAGAAAAGCCGGCAGGGCTGCACGTTGGCTGCACGTTGTATTGCGGTAGGTTTGTGAACGTCAGGTCAGAGCGTCTCGCAATGCGAATGCCTTGGCAAGATGCCCCATGTGTAGATGGCGGATATGGAATATGTGCTTTTCGCTTGATGGATGGGTAGCCTGCATGTAAGAAAGGAAGGCATTTCTTGCTAGTTGTTTGGAACGCAAGTCGTAGCGCGCGACACGTCTCTTTTACACGCTCACAGCACATAACCTCCTGGGCTCTATGGCACACTACCCATCGCAATCCCCGCCTCCCCTTCGCCACCCCGTTCCCACTCATCCGGCGTATATTCCAGAACCACCTGCCACTCCCGGCTCTCCCCAAGGCTACCAACGATTCTCCTCCTCCCCCAGCCCAAATATTGGTCCCATCCAACATGGCTACCCATCTCAACAAACTCAACACGTCCCAGCGTACATCAATATGCCCTTCCAACATTCCCAGCCACCGCACGGTCATATTCAGCAACAACAACAACACCAACAAGGCCCATACCAACCCCAACCAACCGTCGCACACGCCCACCAGCCAGACTATGCCGCATGGGGGATCGACGGCACCACTGCTCAGTTGGGTATGCAGCTTGGTCATAGCGCAGTTGCTGCTGGTCAAGACTACGTACAGCGGAATGTACGTCCATCTCAAAGTTTCAATGCAGATGCTCATTGACACTACTAGTAGTTTGGAACTGTCTTCCCAGCAGCCACACAAGTGAAGCACCACTTTAATGTGTCCAATTCCTATGTGATGCGAAAATTGAGGGTTCTGCTCTTCCCGTGGACGCACAAGCCTTGGGCGCGCAAGATACGGAGGTCAGAGCATGGTCAGAGCGAGTGGCAGACCCCGCGAGAGGATATTAATTGTCCTGATTTGTACATCCCCGGTATGGTCCTCTCGTTGATTGTTCACCACTCCACGGCTCACTTTTTTTCCCCTAGTTATGGCCATCGTAACCTACATCATCCTCACAGCCCTACATTCAGGCATCAATAACAAGTTCTTCCGACCCCAGATCCTTGGCGAATCAGCTTCCCGAGCTACCCTCGTCGTTCTCCTCGACTTTGCCTTTGTGAAATTAGGTTGCTATTTTCTTAATATCAACGATTCGAGCCAGGTCGTCGATGTGTTTGCGTATGGCGGGTACAAATTTGTCGGCGTCATTGTCACGATTACAGCGGGTTTTCTGGGGCTAAAAGGCCCGCTTTGTCTGCTGGTTTTCGTTTATGCTTTTCTGGCAAATGCTTTTTTCCTCGTGCGTCCCTTTTTCTACCCTTGCCGTTTTCGCCTAGGCTGATGAGACCATGTAGCTTCGTTCCCTGCGCTCAATGGTACTCCCCGATCCTTCCATCTCGATAGCAACAAATCCGAACCCAACAACGACGGCTACCGTCAATCCTGCCCAACGTCGGCGGAGAATCACATTCCTGTTTCTAGAGGCGGTGTGTCAGATCGTTTATATGGGCGCTTTGGTGAGGATTTAGAGGGGGTACATACATTGGTGTGTAATGTTTTGTCTGAGGGATTTTGGTGCTAGAGTTTGTCGTTGTCCCAATCTCAGCAATTATGTTGTCCATGAGATCATGTATACTCTCACTAATTCTCACTCGTATTCACCCGGGAGCTAGTTTCTACATCTCTTGAAGTATGGCTGGCAAGGTAATGCATGTCAATCCTTCCGAGCTGTCAGAGCTGTCTTCCTCCAAATACCCATTGTCGAAGGCCATGGTGTTACTCTTCATCCTCCAAACAAGCTCTGATACCTCAAAAGGCTTGAGAGGCCACGTCTAGCAGGTGTTGCAGACTATTGATGTCCATACCATGGTAAGTGGTGCAAAGATACGCTAGGTCGCTCTACCGCTTTTATGCAGAAGGCAACCATGGTTGAATGACGCGACTGATACAACGGCATGGTTTGGAGGTTTACTTCGTTGAAGTCCAACATTTGCGTTTATAGTACCTAGGAAGGTCCATATCAGTTACACAAAATCATCACTTGTGTCCCCTCAGCCTCCTCCGGTCTCCCTCAACGCGATTCTCACCCCATTGTAATTCGAGTTCTGCATGACGCCATGGACTTTAACATACCATGTCGCCAGTTGGGTCCAGAGGATATATTTCAATTTTTTTGGGGGCTCTGAAGTGTTACGTCAATACATATGTTTCCTCTTCTCTATAAAGGCACCTGTAATAAAGGTGGACATGTCAAAATGCATGAAGCATGAGGATACATCATCGTACCATACACCATGAAACCCCGAGGTATCGGGCTCACTCTTCGGAGAGCTGTGAAGCCCCGAGCTGCTCCGCTTTCGCAATTTCCTGTCTCCGGTGCTTCAAAATTTCTGCCCGCTTGTCGGCCAAAAGCTCCGCCGCACGAATGTCCCACTGGTAAGCCCAATATCCTGCGAATCCAAAGGTCGCCATTGCCACTACATGTCCTCCTGGATCTGCGGCGCGAGAAGGGGTAAACAACGCGAAACGGAGCAAGGGGAAGGAGTGTGTGGCTGACTTGAGAAGAGGTTTCGTTTTTGAATACCTAGCTGTCCAAAGCGAGCAGCTAGACCGAATGTTGCGAAGCCTAGGATGTTGGCAAGGAGCGACATTACGACGGTGGTACTATGAGTGAGTTCAGTTCCTGCCTTTGTTGTCGACAGGTATACACAAACGACACAGCCCCAATCACTAGTACTCCTTAGTATCGAAACACATTGAAACTGTCTTCATCTCGTCTCTCATAATTTACAGAAATGTCCGACACTCCAAACTTGTCGTCGCCCACAGCTCTCAAGCTCGCCACAGCAAAGCAAAAGAAGGAAGTAGGCGATCAAGCTTTCAAGAACGGCAATGTCAAAGACGGTATGTAAGCGCGTCCAGCCGATTGAAGTGAACAATATCATGATATACTCTTGCTAGCTTTGAGATCATATCATGAGGTAGAGCCGTTATCCAACATGATGATGTCCCTTTGATCTCAACGTACATCCAAGTCATTAATGTTCCTTGTCGGTTTAGACAAGTATGTTCTTGTCTTTTATATTATAATCCAAAACCGCTGTTCTAAATCAGCAGTTCGCCAGAAACGCGCTGCAAAGCATCGGGATGGCGTCAAAGTCGACATCGGGTGATCCAGTTGCCGACGCGAAGGAAAAGACTGAAGTTTGTGCCATTTCTGCGTTTCCCCCTCGATATCGATCTTACTCAAACAACCGCAGGTGGATGAGATTGTGGAGAAGATATATGCAAATATGGCAGCGTGTCACTTGAAGAACGAGAATTGGAAGAGAGTGGTAGAAACAGCGGATAAGGCACGTCTAGCTGTGCGTTCTAATGTTCCATGGGATTAACATTGGCGTCTAGGCTTTGGCAAAGAACGAGAACAACTACAAAGCAATGTTCCGCAAAGGAAAGGCGCTGGGAGAACAAGGATTTTTCGAAAAGTCGGTAAAAATCCTGGAAGATCTCAAGTCCAAGAACCCTACTGGTGCGCATAATCGAAAACTTGACTACGTTGTCTCATACGAGGCTGTCATAGAGGCTGCCGCTGTGGACCAAGAAATTGCCCGACTACGCGTGATCGATAATGAACGCGAGAAGGTCCACAAACAGAAGATGAAGGGTGAGTCCACATTCCTGGCGCCTGATCGCGATTCTGATATGTTGAAACTAGGTTTCCTAAATAAAGGCGAGAAAAAAGCAGCGCCGACAGCGAGCGCTTCTGATGCAGTGTAGGATTTTGAGTCGAAATCCATTTTGGATCTTTTTATGTTGTATCATTGCTCTCCATCTCTGCTATCTGTATGAGTCTTCTTGGAACTCCACCCTTTTTATCGCAAACACGTTTACAGACCTCAATTACATCCACTTGCAGTTTCTAAGTAAGCTTCACAACCTTCCTGTCAACAAAATCGTCGACATTGAAGCCATCTTTCGGAGCCACTACAAATCCTGCTTTCTCCAAAACACTGAAAGGGATATGTCACTGACGAGCGAGATAAATTTGACGATGCATACCTCAAGGTGTCCGTGAGCACCTTGGTTGGTATGGCGCTGCAGTCCTGCGGATAGCTGACGGTCTTGAGCCAAGCCTATGACAAAGGTCACTCCAAAACGACGCAAATCAGAGGACAGCTTCAACTTCAATATCTTCTGCGGGGTACCCAAAGTTCTCCTTGATAAAGTCGACGTTCTTCTGTACTCGACTCTCTTCGGAGTCAAACGCTCGCACAAAGGTGGAAAGCTCCGTCAAAAATGCTGTGACCGCTTCTGGGGATGTACGCTCCGGATGGGCAGCAATCAACCATGAAGGCCATGGGGTAGGTACGGAACCAATCTGTACATAATTCTAATTCTGACATACTTCCGCAGGATTTGGACACTCACAAAGCGCACTTCTCCGGCATCGACAAACGGTTTAGTTGTGAACCACTCCCACATGAATGCACTAGTAGAATTGTCGTTCACGGAGTCGATGAGTCCACGTATGTCGTTGTTCACTGATACCCGTTAATTTTGAAACGAATAATTGATGAAATGCGCATTCTGAACCTTGAAATTTCAGATCGTCTGTCGGCCATCCCTGCTGTAAGGCCATTACATAGGCCATTGTCTGGCTGCCACTGTATGACGCCATCGTCAGACTGGAATCCGTTGAATATAAGGACCGACAGTCACCTCCCATGTCGCGAAATACCCAGCGTGGTTCCCTTCAAATCAGAGATATTCTGGAACTTGGACTTGATTCCAGTGATCACGGCCCTACGAGATATCTGTCGGTAGTCCGTTGAAGAAAGGAGAAGGTATGCACCAATTCAGTGGGGTAGAAACGAAGCTGCCGACTAGCTTGTACGCTTGGGAACCTTTCGCTATTCCGGAAATCAACGGGTCGGTGAGAGCACTGTATCCATATCGATGTGAGTATAAACTAAATAAGATGACATCGGGCAAAGGATCACATTGCAATGTCGATCTCGTCATTCGTGAGCCTAGAAATTAACTGGCCCGTTCCACCTAGTGTTCATATTAATCAGTATTACTTGCATGGAGCCAAATTTAAGATGGTCCTAGTAAGTACATACTTGGACATTCAAGTAATGTAAAGGTCTGCCCTCCATCTTTAGAGGCGAATTGGAGAAGTGGGCTTGAGAAATGTTCTTTAACTTTAATTCCGTTTTGCTGGTCAAGAGATGCCCTGTGGAGGAGCGAGAAGCGTACCGTAGCCAACTCGGAGAGGCATGATGAAGGGCTTTTCGGCGTTTGCCGTGCGCGATCGGTTGTACTAATTGGGGAATGCTTTACTGGTCAACAACTACTTGCTACGGTACAATCGATAGATTCTTCGCGACGCTCACCTCTGCCGGGCATCTGAATGTCAACCAAAGCCGCCGTCACAACTCGACTGCTCAAGAAGTATTATCAATTTGTAACACCCTTGAAAGAGTACCTCGCCAACATACTCATCTCAGACGGCGTGGACAATGAGTCGTCTGTTCACCTAGAAACCAAGGACGACTCTTCCTTGTATTCCGAGCTTCTGGACGCATCATACATTGCTATCAAGGGAGAGGCTGCCATTACTAATGGACGCTTCAAGTGCTTTCCTGTCATGACGGACATGAAGGAGGTTAGCGTTGCAATACTTTGAGACCCTCTCATTGAAATTATTGCAGGTGATCGACCAAGCGCAGGAACGTTTGTTTAAGTCAGGCCGTTCACAGAACGTTATTACATTAGGGTATCGCCTTGTAAGTGGAAGCTTTTCTGGTTTCCTAATTCGAGTCGAACATAGCTCTAATCAGGCCTCAAATGATGGCGACCGCGGCAAGAGAGACATGACGCGCGTGGGGATCACCAATTTCTTTGTGAATACGGTTATAACTACGTTGCAAGAACCTCAGTGGGATCTTCTTCTGCGAAGGTCAGTCATACATCTGTATGCACACATAACCTGCTTAAGAGGCCATCAGAATTGGAGTGGACGCGATGCTTCATCTTCTAACAGATACATCTCTGTTTTTATCCTTACCAAATGGATGTTTCTGCCAAGTTACTGGGGAGCCCATCATACACATGATACCGGCTATTTCACAGGTAGAAGAGAGCTGTCTTCAAACCCAGAATGTCATTCCAGCGATAGCAAGCCAGAAGCGACCTTTGTCTGATTTACCTGGCCAAAACAACAAGGCACGGAAGCGCCGGAAGTTAAATCCCACACACGGTGGTCAAACGCCACACTCCTCGACTGCCCCCGGCGTATCCAAGTATGTTGTAAACTTTGACAGAGAAACATGTGCCAAAGCTAACATTTTATAGACCATCTTCGGCAGACATAACCTTCTTCAGAGCGAAACTTTTCTATGCTCGGCCAAACTTCATACCGCACACGAAGCGAATCGTTGTTGGTCTTCCCCTCAAACGTAGGCGTCTTGATATGTATTTCAGACTTTTCTTCAATTGACAGAACGTCCACCGTTCGTTAGACGTATTAAACCGCCTCAATCCTTCACACCAAAGCAAAGTTGAGGTCACTTCCGGTGATTATGTCGATCCAGATGCTAGAGAGCAAGCCGCAAACGTTCGGCATCTATCGAAATACATTTTTCCTCGGCAATATAATCTATCCAATCCATTTCGACCCTCCAGCCGCAAGGATGCATATAAATTTGCGGATTATTCCGACAGGGAATCCGAGATTAAAGTACGAAGGGTTTGAATCTTTTTGGCTCGCCACTGATAGTTGCAAAGGCTCGAGGAGCATGCAAGACTCCCAAGCGGCTCAAAAACATCCTACCCCTTATTGATAGATTGCTTTGGCGCCACGGAAAGACTGCTTACAAGCCTCTCATGGAGAGAGTATGTCCTTCAAAGGTAATGCTCACGAATGGCGGCACGGGCTCTTGAGTTTGATTTTTTCTACAGCTTCAAATTACTGGCAATATTAATGCAGACAGCAGCATGATTTTGGTGAAAATTTTGTGTTTCAGTCAATCTGGACCGTGATTGAACTTTCATTTGCGTTCAGGAAATGATGTCAGAGCGATCTATTCAGTTGCTATCTCAAGCTCAAGGAGCAGGGAACATTTCGGTCGACTCCTCTAAAGGTTCTATTGCCCCGTGGGGGCTGAGTCAAGCCGAAAGTCATGCCAAAATGAAACCACGATTCGTCGAGTTTTCGTGTTCTTACGTTGAGGTTCGGTGGGGTCGGCTACGTTGCAATAAAGTCTTACGCTACACTCTAGGTTTATCGATACGTGGCATTGGTCACAGATGCTGTCATTCCAAAGTCATTCTGGGGGAATTGTAGCAACCTCGATCTTGTTCTTCAAAGTGCGTAATCCAGTCTCAATTGGGCGTTAGACTCAACTGTAATGCATCTACAGACGTGAAGCTCTTCATCTGTAGCCGTCGCTATGAAACTCTCACCCTGCATCGAATTTTGCAAGGCTTCAGCACATCAGCGTGTGATTGGCTCTTTCCGCCCGGTGGAGGAGCTCAGAAGCAGAGCAGGGTTTCTGTTTCAGATGCGCTGAAACGCAGAGAACTTCTAGAAGAATTCATTTTTTGGTACTTCGATTCCTTCGTCTTGCCACTCCTGAAGGTATTGCTCTTGTTAGGCTGAACATGAAATATGATTCACCTATCTTCCAGACAACTTTCTACACCACCGAATCGTCGGCATACAGAAACAAGATTCTCTATTTCAGACAAGACGACTGGGCCACTTTATGCCGCCCTCTCATCGATCGCCTTGTGTCTGGAACGTTCGAGAGAATCCCAGACGTAAATCCCAGCTTGCTTTCCTCCTGGAATCTACATACTTACGTTGGTATCCAGAGTGAAGCAACTGAACTCCTCAGACAGAGGAAGCTAGGTTTTTCCCTCGTTCGATTGCTTCCAAAAGACACAGGTGTGAGGCCCATTGTTAACTTACGTCGCAGGCCTGCGCCAAAGGTCCGTGTTTCAAATGCTTGAATGCCTTTTGCCTGAACTTCGCCAGGGCTCGTTTGCTGCTGAAAGGTCCATCAACCAAATTCTTCAGGCCGCCTTTGATATCCTAAATTATGAAAGGGTATGGATTCTGATCTCAATTCACCACAAAACCGACTGGTTAAACAGGCCAATCAATCACCCCTACTTGGGACATCTGTATTCGGCCCCGATGACGTTTACTCGAAAATTAAGGCGTTCAAAGCCGCCTTGCCCCGTGATAACAACGGAGACATGTATGTGCCAAGGCCGATATATGGGCAACAATTGATTTTGCCCATGTAGTCCCAGACTTTACTTCGTCAAAGTAGACGTGCAAGCATGCTTCGACTCAATTGACCAAACAAAACTGCTGCATATTTTGCGGGATCTGATCTCCGAAGTATGTGGATAACCTCAACTCACGGAGCTAGCTCATATGTGCCCATAGGATATGTATATGACCCAGCGGTATGGACAGGTATCGTCATCGCTGGGGAGACCCAAGAGGAAATACCAAAGGAATGCTATACCTGAAGGTATTCAATTCTCTCCTTTCACGTTCACACGTTGTCAACACCAACAGGCGAACACCCCCATTTTCTTGAATATGCCACGGAATTGGCCGCGGCGTTGCGGAACACCATTTTTGTTGACCAGGTACGTCTTGTAGCGAAGCTGGGCCGTGATCTAAGTGCTGGCCCAGTAGGTCGTTTATCCAATATCGAAGAAGCGGGATATACTGCGGCTTCTCGAGGAACATATTTCTGAGAACATTGTCAAGGTGGGCACCCCGTTTTATTAATTCATTGTCTTCTCAGCTAGTCGCAGATTGGAAACGGTTATTATCGCCAGATTGTCGGCATACCACAAGGGTCGATTCTTTCCGCGTTGTTATGCTCTTTCTTCTACGGCGACCTAGAAAAGAAATTTGGTCAATATAGGGATGACCCCCAGAGCGTATATCTAATTCTCTTTTCGCTTGAATTCCCATATGGATAATTTTTGCTTAGGTTCTTCTTCGCTTGATCGATGATTATCTTTTCGTGACTACAAGCAGATCAAAGGCTGTGGGCTTCCTGGATATGATGAACAAAGGTATTGGCTAATTCTCATTCGTCAAGAAATTGTTATCTCATAATTGAGCATCAGGACATCCGGAATACGGTTGTTTTATCTCCAAAGAGAAGACCTTGACGAATTTCGACTACGATAGCCAGATTCTCAATGTTGTAGATCCACTGCAGCGATGCAAGTTGAGATTTGTTTCTTGCTTATTTCTGACTCCTTAAACAGTTTCGGTAGGCTTTCCATGGTGTGGCTATCTCATCAATATGGAGGATTTGTCTATCTCTGTAGACTATTCCCGGTATCACAGCTGCGGTGCGTATTTCCTTTCTTTTCTTGAAGAAGAAAACTCGTTCCAAACCTGTGTTATAGGTATTAGAAGCACTTTGACTGTGGAACGAGGAAGACGCCCAGGAAAAAGCTTCATACTCAAGATGATGCAGTGTGTTCTGTACCATCTCTTGGCTGGCCCTCTCTGACAATGTCTTCTGATCTTAGATTAGCGAAAGCGAAGGCCCACGTCATTTTTTCTGACCTGGATATAAGCTCTGAGCATGTGGTGTATCTAAACGTATACCAAAATTTCCTGCTGGCTGCAATGAAGATGCGTCAGTACCTTCGCGAAGCGGTCGCCGTGAAGCGTAATACATTATTTATCCGCAGTAAGTCTTGGTGATATCTTTCACTTCACAATCTTATTCTATGGGGTAGACACCGTTCAGCGAGCTATAGCTTATTGCTTCTCAAGTATGCGTAATCAAGCGAAAAGGGCTTCGAGGCGATATACCGTGCGCTTCGATGTACAGAAGCACGCTGTGTCGTGGTATGTCCTATTTGTTGCAAGCCGGGCACTGGGCTGACATTAGGCAGGCTTGGAAATCATGCGTTCTACTTTATTTTCGGCCGGTATTCCCACAATTACGCGTCACTGTTGAAATCGCTTGAATGGGAACTCTCTCGCCCACGACACCGCAGGTACTCGAAACGATTCCGGAGTCTTGTCAAGGAGGGTCAATGTGGGCTTGCTGAAATACGCAGCTGATTAGTCGTGAACGACCGGCTCCGGGTAGTCTATAACCTAGTACTTGTGATGTGAAGTCGAGTTGTTAGACCTGTGACAGGCCCTATCATGTTCGTAAACTCACGATTCTCGAGGGTTTCCTCATATAAGGACTGGTCACGAGTCTATCGAGTTGTAATCTGTTGGCCGCATCGCCGATCACGACCATGCGATTGCTCAGCCTCTGATGTTTCAATATTATAAGTCTCTCTCACTATTTAACTTGGGCCCACGGTTCTTCACTCCCAAACTCTCATCATCTTTTTCCACCACTAGCCGCCTCATGTCAGATTCTGGATTTTATTCTCTCAAGGCCGAGCGTCCTGGAGGCAAGGAGTACTCTTTCTCCGAACTGAAGGGAAAGGTTGTGCTCATCGTCAACGTTGCTTCAAAATGGTGCGTCTACCACCAACCCGCCGTTGGCTTCTTCGAACTTACGACGCCTTTCAGCGGGTTCACTCCACAATACAAGGGACTGCAGGATTTGTACTTGAAGTACAAGGATCAGAACTTCGTCATCCTTGGGTTCCCTTGTAACCAGGTAAGCCTTAACCAACTTTCCTATCTCCTGAATGACGTCATTGCCTGAGTAGTTTGGAGGTCAAGAGCCAGAAGACGACAAGGGGATCGAAGAGTTTTGCACGCTCAACCACGGCGTCACATTCCCACTCATGAAAAAGTCCGATGTCAATGGAGACAATACCAACGAGGTCTACAAATGGCTGAAGGAAGAGAAATCCGGGATCTTTGGGCTCACGAGAATCAAGGTGGGTATCTTTTGACACTACAATTGAGGTCAAGACGCTCAAGGCATGAAAAGTGGAATTTCGAAAAGTTCCTCGTCGACAAAGAGGGGAACGTCGTTCAACGATGGGCGTCCACGACGACACCACAAGCGATTGACGAGGAAGTTGCGAAACTCTTATGACTGCATGTCGGACCGCCATCAAAGCTTTAGTTTTGGGAATTTATGAGATATATATTCAACTTTGGTAATCTTCGGAATGTAGATATACGTAGACCGTACACGAAATGTTTCTGGGAACACGGAACAGTGCAAGCGAACCAGCGAGTTCCCACGATTCCCAGGAATGAAACCGTTTACTGACTCGGACTCCCTTTGACTCCCTCTAATGTAATGAATGCCCCGCCACTCACTTCCTTCCTGCCAAACCATAACATCCAGGAGATTACGGAGTGATTCCTCATATCATCCTGATACACGAGAGGCCACACCGGCTCATGCGACGGTCCAGTATCGATCCTGCCATGGTGGAAGATGATGATTCAGGCTCAGGTCTGTCACTATTATGTCTTGGGGATTGGTTGTGCTAAAAATTAATATAGAACATGACATGGGAGATGACTTCTATTATCAGGTTGTTCCTCTTGTGGGACTTCTTCCGGAGCAGGAGTTGCACGACATTGGGACCTTGGAGATTCACCGTTCTCGGATTCCCACACAACTTTTCAGGTCCATCGTCGTTGACATGGATATCATGTTGATGCAGTATGGTGCCCCCTATGAGCATAAAACGGAAGAGGCAATGTCAAGGTTCTTTTCTCCAGTGCGGATGATTTAGTTTTTTCTCATGCATGTCCTTGAAAGTTCATTATAACCACCAGATCTTCAACCACTTGGTTAAGCAGTTCGGCTTTGTGCTAAGGAATAAACCAGAGACTATGGTCAATGATTGCATTGGTACTCATATTGAGTACTTCTTCAAAATTTATGGTGCTGTCACGCTCCTCTACATCGAGATGAGGCTCAAGGTGGGAAATGACAATGAACGCTTGAAGATTATTGCCCAGGCTATAGCTGAATGTGACCGTAAGTGTCATGTGTCTCTGGCTTACATTTCTGCTCCTGACCTGGTACAGGCTGTTACCTTGAGAACTCGACCGGGGGTTATTTCCTGCCCATTCACTGCATTATAACGGATGGCTTGCATTACGAATTTTTCAAGTTTGACAAACACCTAAAACCATCTTTTGTCCGTGGTTGCTTTTCTGGAGACCCGGAACACCTCCGGCGTGGCCTGAAAATAGACGACTACTCGCGTATGGAAACTACTCTTCCCTTCATTCTGCAGCTTCGTTGTGCATGCGAGGCAGTCTTTGATGTAATGCTGAGCGCATATATTGAAGGCTTGAAGGCAAACTATGTTCGATCAGAAGAAAGGGGGAAGAAAGGTTTGACAAGACCTACTTTAGATGGAGGGGATAAGGCACTTCAGTCGGCTGGCCGTGCGTTTGCAGCGTTTAGGGAGGCTGAGGTTCAGCGCAAGGATGGTGATCTTGATTCCGCGGATGCGACTGCAGATCAAGCTCTTCTTGCACTACAGGAGAGGTATGAATTTTACTCTCATCTGCAGTCTGATCAATCATTCCTTACTCCCTCTCAGCACAGAAGCAGCCCCAATTTCATACAGATCAAAATTCATCATGAAGGACTGGGATGATGTTGAGGTTAGGAAGGCATGAAATCACACCTATTGGCAGCAGCACTCGTACCAAAAAGTTAAATTATTAAGATGGGTTAACCCAGACGCTCAAAACACGAAAAGTGGAATTACGAAAAGTTCCTCGTTGATAAAGAAGGGAACGTCGTTCAACGATGGGCGTCCATGACGACACCACAAGCGATTGACGGGGAAGTTGCGAACTTCTATGACTGCATATGTGCTGGACCGCCATCAAAGCTTTAGTTTTGGGAATATAGATTCGACTTTGGTAATCTTCGAATGTAGATAGAATCTATACAGTGCATGGAATAACATTGTTCTACTATGTCTAGTGCGAGCGCCGCGTGACTTTGTTGGACTGTAAGTCTGTAACCAACATGTCTGGGCAGTACCTCAACACCATCACAGAAAATGCCTCCAGGCTCGGAATGCGAATACAGGAGTCGTTCTCGGAGCACACAAGGGACCTGACTGTTGGCCGCGGCAGCCTTGCCTACCTCGATGCAGATGATAAGTCCAAGCTTCTCAATATCCGGAAGCAGCTCGACTCGAACAGCGACAGAGAAAAACTCGATGCAATGAAGCGACTCGTAGCGGTCGGTTCCCACTAAACTTTGCTCAATCACGTCTTCCAACTCGTCGTACCACAGCTCATATCGAAAAACCGCAACGTGTCTGAATACTTTGCCCAAGTCGTTAAAAACGTCGCTTCCCAGAACCTCGAAATTCGCAAGCTCGTGTACATATACCTCCTGCGCTATGCAGAACAGGAACCAGACCTCGCGCTGCTCTCTATCAATACCTTCCAAAAGGACCTGGCGGACAGCAACCCAGTGATCAGGGCAATGGCATTGCGCGTGTTAAGTGGGATAAGGGTGCCTATGATTGGGAGTATCGTCGTTTTGGCTATCAAAAAATGCGCAGCGGATCCGAGCCCTTACGTTCGCAAGGCAGCGGCATTGGCCATTCCTAAATGTTATGAGTGAGTGGAGTGCATGTATGCCACATTTACATCTAACTAATGGCATGACACAGATTAGATTTATCCCACCTCCCTGCGCTGATCCAAATCATCACCACTCTCCTGCGTGATCGCTCTCCACTCTCCCTTGGGGGCGTAGCAGTCGCGTTTGCGGCCGTGTGTCCAACCCGGTTTGACCTGTTACATCTTCAATACCGGAGGCTTTGCAAGATTCTCCCGGACGTTGATGAATGGGGTCAAGTCGAGCTCATGAATTTGTTACTTCGATACGCACGCGTAATGCTGCCGCGTCGGGATGAGGAGGAGCTGGATAAAGATCTTCAGCTTTTGCTGGCGTCAACCGAATCGGTTTGCTACAGTCGGAATCCAGCTGTACGTTTATTGTCGTTGGCTCAATTGGCAATACTTACTCAAGACTAGGTTGTCTTAGCGGCGACAAAAGTGTTCTATTATGGTGCACCCATATCGCAGCTGCCCAAAATTGTCCATCCCCTTCTTAGACTCCTCAATACGTCCCCAGAGGTGCAGCGTGTGGTGGTGGTATACTTGCTGGTCATCACTAAATCTGCCCCTGTAAGCCCAGATGATCCATCCCTTGCGCGGCCTGATGAACCGTTTTAGGGCTTATTTGCTCCATTTTATTCCCGGTTTCTTGTTCGTTCAGACGACTTTCCCCAACTTAAAACAGACAAAATCAAACTTTTATTGAATGTGCTAACTGTGGACAACTACCAAACAGTTATGAGAGAATTTATAGTAGGTCTCCTGTGTTGTCTTGATAACTCACCGTATTCATCACCTTTATCAGGATTACGCTGACGACACCAACGATGAAGTTGTTGCAGAGGCCATACGAGCCTTGGGTCGATGTGCGCGTCAAGTTCCAGACTCGGTACAACAGTGCTTGACAGCATTGATCTCCATGATCAAAAGCCCCCACGGTAGGTGTGTTCTACATACATGTTATCACCTTGAGATTGATTGTTAGCACGCACAGACGTTGTGGTCAGCAATGCCGTACTCGTGCTGAAATATCTTGTCCAGACGCAACTTGACGTTAACTCCTCATCTGTCGCGAAGACTACTCAATCACCACTCTCGATCATCTCCCATCTTGCCCGGAGAATCGACGACATTAAGCACGCGCAGGCGCGAGCTTGCATTCTATGGCTTGTGGGTCAATACGGCTCTTCTAATTCTTGTGACGGGGTAGCAGAATGGGCACCTGATGTGCTTAGGAAGACGGCCAAAACCTTTGGAAACGAGGTTAGGATTCATTGAATTTCAAATCTGCGTCGGTTCTGAACGTTCATCCCCAGGCGCCGCTCGTCAAATTGCAGATCGTGACTCTCGCGGCCAAGCTATTCATTATGTCACCTACCGATCGGACACTTGGCCTCCTAAGCCGATATATATTCTCGCTTGCCCGCTATGATATGAATTATGATGTGCGTGATCGAGCAAGAATGGTCACGTCATTGTTGGTTGGCGTAGCTCCAAATTCACTCGTCAATGGAGATGAACAACCAGAGGAAAGGAGTGGTGTCGTATTGAGAAGGGAGCAGATTCGGTTGGTTTTATTTGAGGGTAAATCAGGGGTGGTGAACGATGAACCAAGTCATTTAGGTGCGCACTTGTTTTATTTATTAAAGATTAAAATGTTGAGAAAGGGTACAGATGATGAGAATGTAATGATAGGGACAGTGAGCGTTATAATAGGCAAACCGATGCGGATGGACGATGTGTTACCCGACTGGTTGGAGAGAGGCGTTGAATCATCACTGAGAGATTCTGAAGATGACGCTCTACCGTCGGATGTACCATTGGCGCTGTCATCTGGCGGGAAGCAGCTGATGAAGGGCATCCTGACACCACCTGTTGTTCTTACACCGAGTGGAGGGTCGTCACCCAGGAATGGTGGGGCATGGAGAGATCTGGATTCATTCTATGCGGATGCGGAAGAGGAAAGTGGGGAGGAGGAGGAGGAGGAGGAGGAAGATGGGGGCGAGGAAGAGGACGACGACGGCGACGAAGAAGAGGAGGAGGAGAGTGGGGCGGAGGAAGAAGAAACGGGATCCGAGGGAGAGCGGAATTCCTAGAATGCAATTGATGACATCATGGTGGGATTGCGTCATATAAATAGGTTGGGCTTGAATTTTAATTTGTGAATGCTCCGTTCCAGTTCCCCGCCCACCCCAGCCAGCGGACACACAATCTACTTTGACGCCATGTCAGATATCTCGCCTACAGCAACAATGCCTCCTCCCATTGGCAACGAGTATCCATACAGCAACACCATCCCAGACCAACAATCAGACACCACAAAACACCCAGACATCCCTCACCGGGAGAACGACTCCATTCCACAGGAGAAATCAAAATCAGACGTTTACGGCGTGGAACATCCCAACGGTTCCGAGGGTTGGCTCCCTACTGAGCAACAGTCCACCAGGCCTGTAGCCGAAACAACCGTTTCCCCAGATCAACAGCAGACCCAGACCCAAACCCAGCAAACCCCTAGTGTCGATGCTGGTCCTCCTGCTTCCTACGCTGCTCCAAGAACATCTGCTTCCCTTGCCCGTTCAGCATCAAAGAAAAGTGCATTTACCAGCAGCGAGGGAAAACACATTTTTGGCTCTGCCTTTGTAAACGGCGCAGGCACAACCGGTCCTTTTTCGACTGTTGAGGCCGACGAGGAGCTGCTCAATCGCGCTAACGAAGCGGAGACGAATTTATCTCCGAAATCCAAGGCCAAAATCTATAAATCTGAGGGTGAGCCGTGGTTTTTATTTTCATGAGTCTCGTGCTCAAGAATTCACTCAAGCTCAAGACGGGAAGCGGTTGTCCAAGATCATCAGAGATGAAGGTAAGTTGGAGCGACAAGCGCTGCAGAACACGATGCGCGAGCTCGAAGAACTCCAGATGGCCCAGAAACTGGCAGTCAAGGCAAGTTTTCTTGTTCAACTCGCGTTCGTTCTATATATTGAATGGTCCATGGCGTTAAGAACGAAGCCACCGCACATGGTATACAGGCCAAATTACTCGCCCAATCTAAGCGAGATGAAGCAGCTTTTCTCGCTGCAAAGAGTCGATATGAGACGACCATGGCGAGACTTAAGGCGGAGGAAGCAAATGTCGAACGAGTGCGGAACAGTGCGCGCGAAGCTACGGAGAGGGTACAAGACAAGTCTGCCGAGATTGACGGCCTGCGTTTGACGTTTGGCGTCGACGAGAGGGAGCGCGAGATTAAACTTTCACAATTGAAATCAGAGAAGGGAGCCACTGGTTTCTGGCCACTTCGACAGTGATCATCGAGCTTTCCTTTGGTTACTTTCATTTTTCATTACGACGTGTATAGTAAGGTGTATTACTGGCTGCGATGAGCGTTTTTGTGTTGAGCTTTAGATGAAAGTAATCATGACCACTTCAGTCTCCTGAATGTCAAAGCCACTCGACACGTCAAGCACCTCTACCTCCACAGTCCCATTCACAGTGCCATCAGGGGTTTCATAGCTCTGACCACCCCATGATAACCCCGAAACATCATCCGCATGTCTATCAGCTGTCATTTCAGTCCTTTTCTAGAGTGTATTATAAACCAAATTCACTCACCCAATAATCAGTCGCTTCAGGCGCATAGTCTCTTGCGCTTCAGAGGCCCAGTCCAAATCAATGTGTTTACTAGCTCGGTTACCAGAGTTCGTCCTCAGGAATGCCTGCGAGTTTATAAAAACTGCGCGAGCGAGCGTCGTGCCTTCGTAGAACGCATATCCGGACACCCTTGTGTCGTTAACGTTGAGCTCAATCACCACAGTGTTCCCACCGTCTCCAATCGCTTCAGCAGCTATGATGGCAGCGTAGTATTGGGGTTGGACGTGGGGTGGCTGTGGACTAGGAAGGATCGATCCGTCTAGAGTTGACCGTGTGAGGGTGACAGGTTGAATCTAACGAACGTTTAGCAACTAGTGCATGTCCGCGCTGGAATGCCACAAGCGTACCAGATTGTACTTGAATCCTATTCCTTGATGGAAGAAAATTCTTGATACTCCTAATTGTGAACTAGATGGCGTAAATCTTTGTGCGTTCGACTTTCTGGGGTGTGGACATACGCAAACAGCAGATAGTCCAATGTCCACAGTGCGGCGCCCGCTGTGTTACTAACTCCGGGCGTTCCCTGTGGTCAAAGGTCGTAAACGACGATCGACTAAGAATTGATTGTTCCTCACATGACATGAAAAACTGTTGGTTTCTCCTAACACATAAGGTAGACCTTGCGCACGAGTTGCTGCGATATCAGGAGAGAAAGATGTCAAGTTGCTTCTAATGTACGCCTTTGTCATCAAGTCTTGCAATACCGCACCATTCCCGAAACAAAAGGTACCGCTGTAATGGTGTTGCGATATCCTGTTGTATCCGGGGTAGGTCAGCAGTGAAGAACGGAGACAAAACAAAGCGAAGTATCGCACATTGATATCGATTGCCCTGGCGTTGATGACAGGATCCCCTCGTTGAAGATGGCCTGCGGGGAAAAACCGGACGTGGAGTGAGAAGACCCAGCAAACGCCGCTCCCCAATATAGGGGGCCAGGAGCGTTGGCTGCCGAGATATTGGCTGCAAATGAAATCCATCTGTGGCGTTTGTCAGTTATATTGGACCAGTAGAAGTCAAAGCATATACTCTTTGACGTATTGTGCCGAGGTGTACGTCTTCGGCCTGGCGCCGTTATTCATGTACAAATCTGCTTCGTTGCCTATCTCAATTGCATCTAACACGATACCGGCACTCTTGATCGCGGGTGCATGGAATGCTCTGATTATCGCCTTTGCTTCCAAGAAGGCGGCTGTGATGTTATCTTGACCTAGGTTGACACCCCAGATGACATGGGTATCTGACAGATATGAGCAGATTAATGGAGGTAGACGCGGCACACAGACTGTTTGGGAGGAATCGAGCAGATGCGTAGAAAGAGTTACCAACGGTGATATTCGTCGCTTCCGGGTAGGGTACCGTCGTAGACGGTGCAGGAAAGATAAGTTGGGGGGTCTGCGATGGTTTGCTCGGTCAGATGATGATGGAGAGACAAGCAAGTCTTACCTGAGCACTAGGGTTAAAATTTGTGTGATCCTCGCTATTAGCGCCAATCCTAATTTGAGGTGGCACCCCGGTCAAATCTTGCAAATTCTCCAGTGTGTTGATAAAGAATTGATTTCTCGACGTCAAGCCCACCCAGTCCGTCCAGCGGTCCTGTTCAATTGAAAAGGACACAAAGGATGGTGATATCTTCGGGGCTCTAGGGATCGGCGGGGCAGTTGGGATTGACACGTCGAGCCCGGAGGTAATGCGGAGAAAGAACAAAAACAAAATGGACAAGTGCATTGAAGGCACCATGGCTCGACGTTGACACTGTCGTAAGCCCTTGCCCTTATATCTCCTCAGGACTGTTGCCTCCCGATTTTGCGCGTTGTCCCTGTCCGATGGAGGCTTTGAGAAGCGAATATCGAAGTGCTTCGTTGCAAAAATATGTAGGTCTGCCTTCAGCGTGTGACAGCGAAAGAAGTGCGCAGAAATTCATATCGATAAGTCCGAGCCCCGGGAGAAAGTCCACAATTCTCCCCCCTGATGGGATATAGAGAAACTCTTACAGTGTGCTTCGTTTCAAAAACCATTTTCCATTACCAGGGAAAAGTTTTAGTGTCGAGAAAGTGGCAAGTAGTAAAAAGTGCGTTGAGCAAAACAAAGGAAAGAAATAGAAACATAGGGGAACGACTTACGTAATAAAGCCAGGGTTGCTTGAACCGAAATTTGATGTTCCACAACGCTCAGCTGGGAAGCGACGTAAAACACAGGTCTCGACCCTCAATGCCTCATAGCCATCACTCTCATTCCGGCCAATTTTGCAAGCATGCTTCTGGTTCTTTGGAAGAGGTCGTGCTGGAAGCTATCCATCAGCAGTTCCAACTCTATGGTTTGACGGAGCACGTTCCCCGATATCGTTTGGTCGATCTATATCCAGAAGAGGTATACTTGTCGCTGAACCGCTCAATTCATGTTTGAATCTTCTCGATCAACAAGGCAGGAGAGACAACAGATAGTCTTGCGAAACAATTCGAGAGATTCTTAGTTGAAGCCCACCGCTTGAAGACTCACTACGCTTCACAAATTACAATTTTGGTGGGGCTCGAGACTGAATACATTACTGGTCAAGATTTCGATGGCCTGGATTCACTTCTTCAGAAGTTTGGGGACCGGGTGGAATATGTCGTTGGGTCCGTTCATCATGTCGACGGTATCCCCATCGATTTCGACCAAGTTACCTATGAACGAGCGCTGCATAACTTCGGAGATGGTGAGACAAACGCCCAGGAAGTTTTCTTGTCGGCGTACTTTGATGCGCAGTATCAATTGCTTCAACGATTCAAGCCAGAGATAGTTGGCCACTTTGATCTTTGCCGACTCTACACACCCGATTTGCGATTTCTAGAGTATCCTTCTGTTTGGGAGAAGATAACTCGCAATGTGGAATATGCAATCGGATACGGAGCTCTCTTCGAGATGAACGCCGCCGCCTTTAGAAAGGGGTGGGAGACTGCCTACCCGGGCAAAGATATCGTACAGGCAAGTCAAACGGCTCTCGTAAAAGCATAGACTGAGTAGTAGCACCTTAGCTCATTTTGAATCGCGGAGGGCGTTTCGCGCTATCAGATGATAGTCACGGACCGCGGTTTGTTGGACTCAACTACCATCGCCTCCTTGATTATCTACATGCACAAGGCATCACCGATATCTGGCTTCTTCAACCCTCAAAAACGTCTAATGCCGCTGGAAGAAGCATACGGCCTGTCAAATTTGATGGAGAATGGTTAGGACATGAATTTTGGCACGGAAGGCCGACACAAGCCTGACACTGAGTTGAAAGATATTTAAAATCTTTTCTTTCAATCTATCTATCTAAGCAATTTTTTTCCGCCGGAATTATTAAGAATTTGTGGGGGTGGATAAATGTTGAAGGATGGTGATATCTTCGGGGCTTTAGGAATCGGCGGGGCAGTTGGGATTGAAACATCAAGCCCAGAGGTAATGCGGAGAAAGGACAAAAACAAAATGGACAAGTGCATTGAAGGCAGGGTACCATACTAGCTCGACGTTGATACTGTCGTGTGCCCTTGCCTTTATATCTGCTCGGGACTGTTGCCTCCCGATTTTGCACGTTGTCCCTGTCCGATGGAGGCTTTGAGAAGCGAACATCGAAGTGCTTCGTTGCAAAATATGCAAGTCTGCCTTCAGCGTGCGATAGCGAAAGAAGTGCGAAAAAATTCAAAAAAAATTCATAACGAAAAGTCCGAGCCCCGGGAGAAAATCCACAATTCTCCCCCCTGAGGGATATAGAGGAAACTATTACAATGTGCTTCGTTACATTTTCCATTACCAGAGAAAAGTTTGGGTGAGGAGCAAGTGGCAAGTAGTAAAAAGTGCGCTAGCCGCGTTGATTTACAGAATTGATGTTGTCGGATGTTTACATCGCTTCCGTGATCAATAGTCATGCAATGAACTTCCGAGTACCAACTTCAGGATGCGCCTAGCGTCCCTCGTCCCCTCCATACCTATAGAGGTTGTCGCGCATTTGGAAAACTCCGGATTTCGTACAGATGCGGATGTCCTCTTTACGCCAGCATTTGATATTTTCACAGTTTTGCCACCAAAAACACTCTCATTGCGGGACGTCGCGGAACTTATCTCACGGGTTGAAGAACTCGCTTCTGCTGCTGCCGTTCCCGCAAATGATCTACTTCTCTTGGATAATCTAGCCCGCGAGCAGGATTTTGATTTGTCCACAGGAGACCCTCAACTTGATGCAAACCTTCTTGGTCTAGGTGGCCGCACTGTTATTGAAATATCAGGAGACAGAGGGTCTGGAAAAACGGTGCATTTTGTTGAAATTCTATAATCCTTCGCTACTCTTGCCAACAACGCCTTCTGGATCTTAGGCTTTTGCTTTGAACGTTATCCTCCACCACCTGACCTGCCACCCCAATGCCACCGCCGCATGGATCGACACGACAGGAGACTTCTCACCAAAGAGGGCTATCCAGGTACTCGAATCGTATGCCGCAGAGGTTCCAGCCATTTTCGTTCTGTAGGCGATCTAGCTTTGGTTTTACGATACCTCCTTACGCAGGCACCTTTGGCGGCTCTTGAGCGACTACAAGTTTCATTGGCATTCGAGGTTGAGGTTGCTCGGGGAATTCTCGAGGAGTTGAACCAACTTGGCAACGTAAAATTCATCACTACTATTTTTTATACCGAACATTGACCAGATATTTTTGTCAACTCAGCTTCGATACATCGTCATTGATACAGTGACGTCACTCCTCAGTCCTCTCCTGAGCGCGGGATCGTCGCAAGGTCATGCTATGATGTCCGAGTTCATGTGCAATCTTCGTACCCTTTCGCAAAGCTGTGGCATCACAGTATTGGTAGATCCTCCTTTTGGGATATATGAAAAAATCAAATTAACTGCCAATGGCGAAGGTTATCAACAGCACAACGAGTATCGACCCAACGGGTACTGCACCCTGGACCGGACGAAAGCCCGCACTAGGCCCGTCATTTGCATTCATGACGGACGCTACGCTGTGGTTTTCTTCGCAGGCTGGTACCACCAAAGAAAGTCATGATGATGCCACTTTAAACACGATAGAAATACGGAAAGCGAGGTCGATGGTACGTTGACTAATCTACGTAAAGGAGCTTACTCACACTACACCTCCCTCAAGGCATCCGGATCACAGCATACATTCAGGCTTCGGAATAACATAATCTCGTTCCTGCCGTGCTGAAGCGGATGGTCTTCGCCCGAGCGTATCTCACCTGCTCGATTTGCTCTCATCTGGAACGTGATACCTCCTTCGATGCGACTGAACAACTAGGAGAGGTATATTTGAGCACATTCATTGTTCTTAATGAGTACAACCTTTCAATAGTAAATTATGCTTGTAATCATTTACATGAGGCGCCTTAAATTTTTGAGAAAGCTGAGTAATTTTTCCAAGCTCATTGTGTTTTCAAAAACCACAGGATTGACGCAATTACAAGTGCCAAGAACGATATCTATTTTTGCGTATGAGTGACGCTACTTCCTGTGAGGTGCCTTCGGAATGGCGCCATGGGCAACGTGACAATGTATTTCGAATTACCTTCGTTATAAAGCAGGTTTGGATACAGGCAAACGCCTCATCTCCACGTTCCAGTTACCTTCGCGTCATGGCAGCCGCTGCGAATTCTAACCAAACTGCACCAACCACTAATGATTTGAAAGCGAAGCTGGCTGACAAGCTGTTCAATCCCTTCTATTCGCCTCCAGGTGACGATGACGGTAACGAAACTTACCAATATGCAGAATTTAAAGTGAGGTTGCCCGATACAAGTTACCTTTTCTACTGACGCTAATTCATCAGCAAAACCTGATTTTCCCACGTAGACAGGCATAGTGCTTCCGCTAATATCATAGTTTCCCATAGTTACACGCCAAGTTTGGCTAGATGCCCTAGCGCTCCACAGCGCTCCACAGCACTGTGTGGGTGTAAGCTTGTGCTATACAGCACTACAGAGACTTGTGCCGTTACTATAGGGTGCTATAGAGGGGCCTCCACTTTCTACCCAGCCCTTATAGGGAGTCAAACTACAAGTATACTAGATTTCAGTAGAAAACACATTCCCTATTGTATATGAATAATTTATGACCAAAATACGCCTGGAATAAGAAGAAAGTACCACACTGTCCAGAGATTGATTGACCTACAAAGATTGCAACAAGAAAGAATATGAAGTATCTTTTGCAAAACATGTTCGTCTTTTGTGATTTTTTTTGCGTTGGAAAGTGGTGTTCAAGCCGATTCCAACGCGTCTATTTACGTAGCATTTAGTTCAAAACTCAAATGGCTTTGGACCAATTACTGGTGAAGAATCTGCCTAAAAACGGTAAATGTTATCGGAGGTCGCCTTAAACGTCGAAATATTAGGGGCTCTCAGACCCGTTTTAAAGCTCTGATTTGTGCGTTTCTAACAAGCCCAAAATCGCATGAAACGGAGCAGAACTCATGATGATAATATATATTTCAGATGTCTAATACAGGCCAAATAGTTTATGCTACAGTTTGTGAGGTACTCCAAATTTTTCTACGCCGTAAATTGGATTGCATTCGCGTGAATGAAGCGATTAAAATAAGCCTACATAGAGGCCAAACGGTGTAATACTCGTGAAGTTATAGCTATGAGCTAGCCTAGAAAGTGTAAGTGTGAATTGATGGAAGTCGGTACGGTTGCGGGAAGTCACGTGCCGTGCTCAACTCACATTTTCGAACTTAGACAACTTCAATTGTTACTACTACTACCAAAAAACAGGAAATTTCGGGAAATCATCGAAATAGCGGAAATTTCTGGTAACAACTGCAAATTTCTTGGAAGGCTCGGAAATTGTTCAATAATTTTCCAATATGAATTTTATATTTGCCTGATTACATGGTGCCATCTACAATTGTGAATGCCCACCTCGAATGCCATGCTTTCTGTGAAAGACAGTGACAGGCGACAAACAACTTCAAGTCGCGAGACAATTCGTTCAAGTCCGTTGAAACTCCGACATCATGTGATTATGTTGAACTTTGAATTTCCCAACACGGAAATTCATTGTTCTTCCTTCCCACCACAATGTTCAACTTGTCCTCGACAAACGGTGTCCTCCCTCGTCGAGTTACAGCATCCTCCCTCCCTCGTTGACGAACCGCGTCCCTCGACGAACGGTGTCCTCCCTCGTCCATGAACGGCGTCCTCCCTCCCTTGAAGAACGGCATCCTCCCTCTCTTGAAGAACGGCTTCCTCCCCCCCTTGAAGAATGGCTCCCTGCCTCCCTTGAAGAACAGCTCGCTCCCGTGAAGAATGGTTTCCTCCCTTAAAGAAAAGATCCCTCCCTCATCGACGAACGGCTCCCTCGTCGACAAACGACTCCTCCCTCAACGAATGGCTCCCTCTCTCGGCAAACGGCTCCCTCCCTTGACGAAAGGCTCCCTCTTGACAAACGGCCCCCCTCCCTCGACAAACGGCTCCCCCGATGAACAGTGTCCTCCCTTGATGAACTGCTCCCTCACTCGTCGACGAACGGCATCCTCCCTCCCTTCTTGACGGACGGCGTTTCTCCCTCGATGAATGGTGTCCTCCCTCCCTCGTTGACGAACGGCGTCCTCCCTCTCTCGTTGATAAATGGTGTTCCCCCTGCCTTGAAGAACGGCGTCGTCCCTCGCTTGTCGACAAACGCATCTTCCCTCTGTTGTCGACGAACGGTGTCCTCCCTACCTCATTGATGAACGGCTCCCTCCCTTGAAGAACGGCGTCCTCCCTCCCTTGTCGACGAATGGCGTCCTCCCTCCTTTGAGTCCTCCCTCCTTTGAAGAACGGCTCCGTCCCTCAACGAACAACCGTCCTCCCTTCCTTGTTGGCGAATGGCATCCTCTTAGTATCTTTAATACTTGATACTCTGATTACATAAATTTGATATACTGCAGTCATTACTATGTAGAATATTAGGATATCTTGTATAATGTAGTAGTGCAGACAATAAACTTATTTTTTCGTAACACCAGTTCTGTGTAAAAATCATACAATATGGTATTAAAATGAGCAGAATGTATGCCCCCCCTCTAGGAATCTGCAGACCCCAGGGGTTGCTACTGAGGGCTGCAGATCTGCTTCGTAATTCTAGGGAGCACTATGAACTGGCTATGTGTTTCTATGAATGGCTGCAGATCTGCTCTGAGATTCTAGGGAGTGCTGTGTAGTGGCTGTGCGTTTCTATGTAGAGCTGCATAGAACGCGCAGGTGACTGTAAAGGTGATACCCCTTTCTATGGTGCTATGGCACTACACAGCCCTGCCACGTGCTGCCTAGCTCACCCAGGTTTTGCTGATGTTTACCTCAGCCATCTTTCCCTGATATCTCATGGGAGCCTTTGACCGAAGTCAAAGTCACCGAGCGTGGGTTATTCGCCGATCCCGCGAAACGGAGCCTTTGCGATGCAGCGAAGAATGTCAACCACTTGACTCCGGCAATAGGCACTGAAATTGAAGGTGTAGACCTTCGACAACTTACTGATGTCCAAAAAGATGAGCTGTAGGTTTATTTCCTTCGGCCATGCTTGTGGGTCACCTGATTTATATTGTAGAGCATTGCTTGTGGCCGAGCGGGGAGTCGTCTGTGGGTTTTTTGTTACCATGAACAAAGACAGAGAGACTTACCTATTGGAAAAGTTTTCCGCGACCAGGAGATCGATATACACCAACAATTGGATCTTGCTCGTTATTTCGGGCCACTCCATAAGCATGCCACAACTCCGATACCAAGGAATGGCTTGGAAGAAGTTCACGGTGGGTCCATTATTTCATCGCTAGGCGTTAATATTCATTCCTTTTTAAAAAAAATAGTTGTCTATAATGACGCCTCTCGTCGACCAGACCCGTCCGCTTTTTCGAAACTTGAGCTCTGGCACTCAGATGTAGGATCTGATTTTACGTAACGGTTTTTTGCTCAAATACGTTGCGTTATCAGGTTTCTTACGAACTTCAACCCCCAAGTATAACCTCACTCAAACTCATTACTGGCCCTGAGGTTGGCGGTGACACACTATGGAGCTCCGGGTAAGGGTTTATAAGATTACCATCCGGATTGTCTGGTCTGACGCGAGCAATGTCAGATACGCACTTTATTCATCCTTAAGCCCGGGTTTACAGACGTATCTCGAGGGTTTGACGGCGGTACACAGCGCCGTAGCCCAGGCCGACGGTAATCGTGCCGCTGGACTTCCCGTACGCCGTCAGGAAATCGAAACCATCCACCCCCTTGTTCGTGTACACCCCGCTACGCAATGGAAGAGCGTATACGTCAACCCAGGTTCGTAGTCGGGACTCGGTTGCCATCATCGCTTTCGATCAATTAATTTTCATTTTTAAGGATTTACGAGAAGGATCGTTGGCGTCCCGAAAGCCGAGTCGGACGCGGTCCTGACGTTTCTCTTCCGCCAAATCAATGAAAATCCCGATCACCAGGTTCGCTTCAGATGGCGGCCAAACTCGATTGCGTTTTGGGATAACAGGGTGCGTTTTGTTCAGTCCATCATTCGTGTGCGACCGTTTTGAAGCTCGTAACATATATAGATCGTCACGCATTCAGCCACGTTCGACTTCTGGCCGGCTACACGACACGCTCTTCGTGCAACGCCTCATGGCGAAAAGCCCACGTCTGTCAAGGAATATGAATTGACGACTGGAAAGCAAGCAAAGGATAGGCAGTTGGAGATTTGGAAACAGCAAGGCGTTGAAGTTCAGAAAAAGGAGGTAAACGGGTCCGCGAAAGCTAGAGGTTGCAATGATTGACCGATGCACCATTGTGGACTTTGTGCGGATCTGATCATTATTCTACGATAAAGTTATTCAAAGGGTCGTTGACATCATACCGCACGATGCGATCAAGTGCGATCGCCTATCTTCGATAACGATCAATGAGATCACGATAAGCCAGATTGGTATTGTCGATGAGATTACAGAAAAGTTCGATACTATGCAAGTAAAGTAGCGAAAACTATCATAGAAAGTCTGACGCACAGAACGAAAGCAATAAGGTTCAAGACGGGAGCGTATACTTGTGTTAGACGAATTAGCAGAATCACTAGGAGAAACTAGAAAGGCTGTAGGCTCGATATTAACGTGGCGATGTGTGGGCGGTGGAGGATGGGTGTTGCGAAGACCTCATGAAAGATTGATGTTGTAAATGTTCAGGTGCATAGCCGCGTCCTGAAGTTGGGGCTACCGAGGTGGCCCAAGGAGGGGGTGGCACGGTGAGGGATCCAGGTGGAGGAGCAGTATTTTGGTGGGCGGGCTGGGTTGGTGCGTGAATGGACTCTGACGATACGGCAGACTCTTGCGGAAGCATCGAAACCAGTTGGAAGGAACCTTGATGATGTTGGGGAGGTTGTCCCGTCTCCATGGGTGATGCAGGCTCGATGGATTGATTGGATCGGGAAACGCCCTTGCGGGGCTGAGTCTTATCAGATACGTCAGCCGCTCGAGCTGAAGCGCGCAGGGTCTCTAGATCGATACGGGGTAAATCGCCATTGCCATTGCCATTGGCCTTGTCCCGTTTCCGCATCAATTTGGCATAATCTGTGGATGGTGAGCACAACGTCGTTATAAGTAGAAAGAACATACGCAAGCCACATGCGTTACACAACGTCCTCGCCCCATCCGGACCTCGCCTCCATTCAGGTGTTTCTCTAATATTGCAGGAATGACATTTTCCGGGAGGAGTAGCCCGCTGACCAGACCAAAACGCGGAAGACAAACCAGGATCAGTTGAGAGAAGGAAAAGTTTTCAGCCAGAAAACTCACACTCCTCTTCCGATATTTGCTTTTGGGCTGTCCCGCAGAATTATTGGCGCCAGCAGCACTGGTTGCACGTTTCGTACGGATAATTTCCATGTCTTGTTCCGCTGTTGTTTGAGCTTTGTCGTTGGCACCCGCATGCTGCTAGCAGTGAGCATTTGTTGAAACTTTTCAGCAGCATGACCCACATCTGGAAACCCAGAGGACTCTGCAAGGGGAGTGACACCGTCTTGTGACATATCTTCCCATGGGCGCTTTGGAAGTCGGGTATCATCAGGAGAGACGCGACCAGGGTCGTTGAGGAGCTTGGCCCTCTCAGCTTCGGGCAAATTAATGCGCCGATATTCTTCCAGCAGTCTAACGACGGCAATCGCTCGTTGGGACATCTCAGCCAACTCATCTTGAGGCGGCTGTGCATGAGGCATATTGGACTGGACTTGGGCTTAATCCGCAAATTAGACATGATGATTGATCTGTTGAAACGTTACATACCATATCGGTTTGCAAATGAATACAAGGCACTACAATGCTTCGCGATCTGAGAGCTACATAAGCCCAATCATCCAACAATCGTGAACCTACTTACTGCAGAAAGAGCGTCATTTCTTGCTGATGGGACTCGTTCCAGTTCGACAGCATTGTAGGATGCACGCGTTTCAATATTAGTTGGGACGATTGCGGTTGTTCTTGAAAAGGGAGGTTGCGTTTGATGTTGAATGACATGCTGCTGGTGCTGCTGCTGTTGATGCTGCTGGTGCTGCTGCTGGGCCTGCTGTTGTTGGGCGTGAAGCTGCGGTTGCGGAGTCATGACCTGAGGCGGTTGCGGTTGATGATGAGAGACTACGTGTGCATGAGACGGCAGAGGTTGGTGAGGATGGATGTGGGAATTGTGCTGCTGCTGTTGATGCTGTTGCGGCTGAGGAGGAGGTTGGGGGGGAGGTAATGGATGGAGTTGATGATGGTGTGGAGGGAGATGTTGGGAAGGCTGGGGAGCATGATGCTGGGATGGCTGAGGTTGGTGGTGGTGTGTTTGGCCCCATGGACCTTGGGGTTGCGGGGCCGAGGGTGGAGGACCAGGGGATGGATAAGGATTCGCAGGGGCGGGTTGTGGCTGATGATTAGGGTGTTGTAAAGAGGGCGGCGGGCGGGAATGGATATATTGTTGCTGATAGGCAGCATAAGCAGGATGGGGAGGTTGATGGTTATGAATCTGATCATGGGGAGGAGGGGGCGGGGGATGAGAAGGCGGCAAGGGTTGGGTTATGTGATGATAAGGACTGGTAGGGGGTGGCTGTGAGGGCTGGTAAGAAGCATACTGCGTGTACGAATTCTGTGATAGAAAAATAGAGTGTCACGGCATGCATCTCGAAAGCAGGCAGCTGCAAGGCAATATTACTTACGTGAGAGGGACGAACGTCACGGGGCACATGGATGCTCGCTGAACTTGTTCGTGTACGTTTTGATTGACCGGGCGATCGCGGAGGGACTTCGTTGCGCGAGGATGGGCCCATAGTTAGAGAATTTGAAATTGAGTTGACTTGAGGTTGGAGAGGAACACCAGGTTGAAGGTAGGATGCAGGAGGGTGCTTGGACGAATATTCGACCTTGGGAACAGTGGCCTCGTGGCCAGCTGACAAAGGAGGAGTGTGTTGTTGGTGAGGGACGGAGTGGGATTGACGAGGCCATTGGTGAGAATAACGAGTAGGATGGTCCTGAGGGGTGTTTACGACGTCTGTGGGTGGGGAACCTTGAAGTCCGGGACGACCTTGTCCCAAGTCAAGATTCCTAATAGAAGGGAGACGCGTGTTTTGAGCAGCAGCATATTGTGCTGACATGACAAGTGCAGGGGAGAGAAGACTCCTGGAGAACTCCTGGGTAGTGGATCGGCGTAGAGATAGATCAGAACAAGGTCTCTTTTTGAATCTGAGTATATGTATCTCCCGATGACGGCGGATCTTGTAGGAACAGAAAAAGAGATCCAACCATACATACAAGCGGAGCCTTAATTCTTTCATGGCAGTGCCTGATCTCATTTGCTATCTTAAAGACTACGATGCCTCATGCAAGAACGCAGCAGATCATCGACCAGATATAGTCCAATCGATAAAACACAATCGAGATTACTCTACTGACGCCTATTTTTTACCCGAGCTTGATCCTTGGCCAGGAGGCGTGTAACTCGCATACCCAGTTCCGCTATTATAGTACGTGGACCCGTTGGGATTCTGATAGTAGTAGCTTCCGTTGCTGGACAAAAGTTAGACATATAATAACCTAAACGGAAAAACATACGTGTTGGAATAATGATATCCACGCCCTCCATCGTCTGCCTGACGACTACAATAGTGGTTACCCTGTTGTATGCGTTATGGGAACATGATAAGTCATAAAGAACGCCGAGAACATACTTGGTCGTTGGTACCACTACCAGTGTAAGAGTAACCTTTGCTGCTTTTGTTGTCGGTCATATTTGTAAAAGATGATTGGAGTTTGAGTTAAAGAGGAGTGGCGACGTGGCGGCGACAAGCGCGACATGTTTTATATTACGTATATGTTCACGTGATATGTCACCCTTCGTTACGTCTCGTGAAGCGCGTGACATTGACATTACCTTTTGACCATGACCGACTCTGTTCCCCAGACGGATGTTTCCCGTCCATCTGCCCTTCCCACAGCAAATCTCTTGCAGCGAGGAACAGCTCAGGCAGTTGTTGACCAAAACTCTGCCGAATACCTGGATGCCATCGAAGAAGAATGGAACAAAAAGGTCGATGTAGAGGTAGAAACTCTCGTGGATGGTATGGTCGATCTCGTCGGTCTGGCATCGGTGTGTTATATTCGACTTCGCCTGCAAAGTTAATCCTGATACGCATTTTAAGATTGGAGACAAAGACAAGTTTTGCGTTGCTCAAGAGTCCTTCCAAGCACAATCAAGGGCCGAATCTATGGTAATTCACCCTGCAAATAATGCTTTTACCCGAGTCTGTTGATCACTTTCGTCAAGGTTCGGGCCGCGAACTCTCTTCTTTCTATCACCCATTCGATGAAGCTTCTTCTTCTACTTTCTGACGAAGCTCAAATCGCGCACAGACGCGATGCAGAGCTCAAAGTTGTTAAGGAAGAGAGCGAAAAAACAAAGAAAGAAGTAGCAGCTCTCCTGGATGAGCTTCTAAGGCAAAGAGAGTCAGATCAAAACATCAGCTAAACTAGGCTGGTATACAAGACTCGTCATCTCTGATAAATACAAGATACAGGCGTCCAAATCCAAAATCATATTCCCTCGTCAATCTTCCGGCCTCTCGCCCCCCAATACTCGGTACATAGCTTCCTCGCTCAAATGTTTCGCCCTGATCCTTCCCTCCCGCAACCTTTCCAGCCCATTTCTAATACTTCTCATGTGGACCTCCACTGGGATCTGCGAGCCCACGAGATCGGGAGCCGCCACCCGTTCTCTCAGGTCCTCCATATCCTCGCTCATTGACTGCAGCGTCTGCAATGCCGCCACAACATGGACAAGTGCTTGTTTCCGATATACATTTAGATCCTTCAAGAGGATCAAATGCTTCTCGAAGCCTCGCAGCGTCTTCCTATTTCCCCCCAATTTTGTCCATAGTTCCACGAGAAGTTCTTCCTTCGCCGTGGATAAGGAAGAGTCTTCCCTGGTAACCATTTCTTGAAGCGTTGTAAGGCGTTCTTCAAGTGAGTTCAAGTTAACGAGACTAGTCTCTGCCTCCAAGATCAAGCGTTGCATATTGCCTGAAAGGACATTCATAGCTTGACCGAACGTTTCGGCCACAACCTCTTTTGTGGATCGTCTAGCAGAAGTCCAGGGAGAAAGGGATTGCAGAGAGAATCGAGATGGCGCCTTTGCTTGGGCTTCCTCGATTGCATGCAGCGCATAATCATTCACTGCCATGACGCTATATGAAACTTCGATCAAAGACTGGCAGAGAGGCATGATCTATCTTCACTTACTTGTCAACTGCCCCGCCAATCTTGGAGGTGAGCTTTTGTAAGCCCCTCCCGGTTTTCTTCGCATCGTCTACAAATTCTACCAGGGATTCCGCCAACATATCTCTCGACTTAAAGTTGCTCACGCGAACAAGAGTCACCAAATCTGTAGTGGCCATCTCCGCCTTCTTTATCTCCAGTGATAACGATGATCCACCAAGAGATTCTTCGAGTAGTTCCTCGAACGTTCTGCTTTGAACGTCCACGAGCCTTGAATAATCAGCCCAACGTGGTGCTTGTTGGTCAGAATCCGCAACACGGGTGTTGCGCCGGCAGATCGCCGTCCTTGAAATGCCGGGAAGGATGCAAAGAGGCGCGAATGCACCTTGTATTGTTGTCCACGCCTGGACTAATATGAGAGAGAGCAGAAAGAGGCCGAGAAGGACGGAAAGGGGTTTGCGCATAAGGAAGAGGGCGGTTCCAACGACATCGAGCAAATATCGGCCAGTAAACACTGCTCCCTCCAACGCGCTCTTCGCTATCTGCTCCTTAATCGCAACACCATCCGTTGAAGATTTAGGGTTCGCAATTTGCTCCCTCGTTGCAACACTCCCTTCGTCTGTTGGCGGTTTAGGAACTGGTGTCGCGAATTGTTGCTTTCGGGGGCTACTTCCTGGTTTCGTTCGGCGCTTACGAGGCGTTCCACTTCGATTCTGTCGCAATGGTGTGGTATTTCTCGACTGTGTCGTCAAATTGTCTTCATCTTCCCAAGCGCTGTCGTCAACTGTTGGCGTATCTGCTCCCTGCATAATGTTGAGAGCAGCATCCACTTCGTCTTCACGTTTAACGTCCCTCGCCCTTGATCGTGTTTGTCGCATGCTGGATAACTGTGTCATGATAGATGGGACAAATCTGGGGGGCCTTTTGAATGATATTTTGGCCTCGAGGAGTGCGGCTTTCAGCTGGCGATGGCTGGACGATATCCAGGCGGCGGTTGCCTGACGAAAGCCAGGTGTTCAAAAGCGCTTGTTGATCGGCGGAAAGTCCATTGATTCAACTTCAAGATTATTAGATAAAGACACGTGGACAGTTACATCATAGCAAGAGCAAACTACGTCACTGCCACCCGTTCGCTTCACTTTCGAGCTGCGATGTCGTTTCTCAAAAGAAACGAACCGCCTCCGCCCTTCACTAGAGAGGACCGGAGTCGCTGGAGGGGGATATCGGCCTTCATTTCATTTGCAGTCTCATAACAACAGTTGAGCCTGTAGAACGGACCTTGGCAACAAAATTCGACGTGGAATTGGATAGCACAAGAATCGCCATGAAGGGCACAAAGTGGATAACACCCTCTCGTAATCTCTATGCCAGCTTTCTCGTCGTCTCTCCCCTCGTCTAGGGGATATAACTACCTCTTATGATTGTTCACCAGTGTCCTTCAGGAAGAATGGTGTTGACCTTTTCGAACAACGACAGTGGTTACAATAAGCTTTAGAAACCAGTGTTCTCGACAACGATGCTCAACGGCCGCTTTCGGAATGAAGATTTAGACGACGCATCCCAACGAGACACAGCTTGAATGGCACACGACGGTGCATACGGCGCACATCTTGAAGATATATTATACAGAACATAAGTGGTAATTATGATGGCGAAAATCAAATATTACAATCACGAATGGAGTTCCTTGATAGTGATGATGGGACGCAAATGAAGAGCATTGTTCATTGAGTCATGTTACGAGCACGAACGCCTTCACAATTAAGCGTGTAATAATAATGGCGTGGCATGGCAGTCGTTGCTCTAACAATACGCTACCAATATACATTGACAATAATAAAACGGCGCATCAGCTCGTGAAATAGCTGAGCTAGCTGTGTATTCATGCGGAGCTTGGGTGCCCGGTGCAAAGACAATAAGCATCATCCATATCGGGCGAAGATCTTGACAGTGAGCTGGCTCGTGCCGGAATCTAATCTCTTTCCCGTTCGACTGCATCCACAGACAATAAGAGCACAGAGCAAAATGTCTCCACGGAATCTTCAATCTTTCTCAGCATTCCCCAGCCTTTCTCTCCAACACATTCACCGCTCTCTTCCACTCCACTTCCACTCCACAGCGCGAAGTCGTAAGCCAAACATTTTTCCGGTCTGGTATACCATACTCATCTCACCCAGATATATCATTAACGCCCGTTACATCTGACCAAGATGATGTCCTATGATATCGTGAGTAACTGGCTTAAAATTTTCAAGATGAGCCGCTAAGTTGCGATTAAAAGAACGGTGCTAATCAGGCCGACATGCCAATGACTACCGATGTAAGCAAATTATCTACAAAACCGGATCTACGTCTTTTTAAATTGAGTAAAACAGAACTATAAACGAGCAGTCTTTCGCGCTGCACCTTCTCGCTTTTCCGTAGAGTTTCTCACTCCCGCCAAGCAAGGTATGCGTTAATAAGTCCTTCGCACCCCCCCCCTTGCCACTGATCATCGTTGTAAGGTGGTGCCCATAGCCATGGCATGCGTATATGCCCACTGTCTCTGGGGGACCGGGCCTCGATCTCTTCGAGAAGCTCATCCTCAGACTACGACGTTTGGCGCAGATGGGAGGACTGTTTGTGGCTCCAAGATACCCTTGAATCGGAGTATAAGCGCGCTGCCAGGGAGAAACGCCAGCGTCTCCTCCAAGGCAAAGGCGTCAAGAGCTTCAATGGAATGTACAAGCAAGACATGGCCTCATCTTGGGAGTCACTACCTCCGGGGCCAGACCCGAACTCTGTCGCTCGCGACATCCATCAACACATCCCTTTCCTCACCAAAAAAGGCACCCTCTTCCGAGCCAGTCTAGCCACCGTCGAACAAAGACAAAGGGAATTTGAAGGCCTGATCGAAGCCCTGTTCCGAGATGATATGCCAGCACTTATCAAAGAAATTCGTTCCAGTCGCATAGTGACCGATTTCTTCGGCTATTGGAGGCGGGACTATGACCTGGATGAACGCAACAGGAAGGCCGGAAAACCCCGTAGCTCCGTTACAGGCAGTGTCTTTTCCATGTATTTTTCCACTTCAAACCCAGACAAAGCATGCGCCGATACATCATCTCCTGCGAAGAAATCACCGCGAAAATCAAAGGAGAAGGAGCGGCCTCACTCAGCCGTGGCGTCAGAGACAACGGAAGAACCTGACCAAAGTTCTAGAAGATCAAGTACAGAGAGTGCCGATGCGTGCACTTCAGTCGCCCCAAGACGCCGCGCACTGTCTAACTCCTCAGATTCGTCGTCCTCACAATCTGACATAAGTTCAGGTAGCTCTGCGGTTTCAAGCACGCCTGCGATCGCAGATGAAGCACCCTTTGTCTTTGGCCATAATCCTATTCAGGCATCAGATACCGCCTTTTCTGTATGCCCTCTGCTGGAGCCTCTTCGTGAGGAACAAGAGGACCTCGAGAAATGGCGCCGTGAAGACTTCAAGGCTGCCTATCTCCGCAGACCGAAAACTTCGGCCGGTGACCGTCCCTCAAATCGGCAATGCTCTATCTTTATCTCTCCTCCCAACGTTCCCGACTTTCTGGGAAGTGCAGGAAATAGCCCCACTGATGAAACTGCGTTTGCTGGTCAGTAAATTTCTTACACGTTTTTTTTCGGTCAAAACGCTGACAAAACTATTTAGATTCCAGTATTCGCGAGTCTTGGCAAACGACGAGCTCAAATGCGACATTATTGGAAGGCCTGGGGTTGACCACAGAACCTTCTTACCGAGCATCGATGGCCAGTATTGCGACGTTTATGACGACAGACTCCGCGAACGCTGTGATACCCCTGACACCAACAACGCCACGCCCCAACGTAGCTCAACCCTTTGTCAAAGCCAGACCTCGAATTTCCGAGCCCGTTTCTTTGTCGGATTTCGAGATGTGGTCGGAGATCGACGAAGAGGACAGTTCCACAGCTAATCTTGGTAGCCACTTTTTCTATTAAATTTGCTGATTCATCTGACCCGTACTCCCAGATGAATTCCCCCGTCCAACCTCGTTCATTTCGGATGGTGCCGATAGTCGGCCAGAGACACCACTAGGGCTCTTTAACAACGACAGCATGCCAGAGGCAACTGACGTTCCTGAACCCGCTTCACCGACAGCTTCGACATTCTCGGAAACACTTTCAATCTGCACTACGACAACGGATCTCTCCACTTCCACTGCGACAACACATACTTCCACTTCCACCACGACAACACATACTTCCGTTTCCACTGCAGCAACAGATATCACGACCGCGTCTTCTACATCGTCATCTTACTCGTCAATTCTGTCAATCAAAGCAGCTCATAACAACTCGATTATCATGCTTCGCGTTCCTCGCGAAATCACTTTAGCGGACCTTAGGCAACGCCTTTACAACAAATTCGTTGGTCAAGAAGGCATTCCTCTTTCCCAATCCTTCGTGGTTGCTTGCATGCTTCCCAAGAGTTCAACCGCTCAGCGCACGCGTTCCTCGTCAGTTTCTTGCGCTGCCAACGAGGCGCACATGGAATTGATTAAATCTCAGGCGGAGTGGGATCTAGTTACTACCTTCATTGATGGGAGCAAACTCACGCTTCGCATCCTTGACGGTCCTTAATCTCACCGAGTTTTCACGGTCCTTATTTTTTGTTTTGTTTTCGACGTCTTCCATATAGTGACACTTATCTTTTGATTGATTACCCATTTATTCTGGGCCATAATGTACCCAGCTTCGTTCTTCTACTTTATCAATTAAATTCATTGTGGACTATGTATACATTATAGCGTATGTGAAAATCGAGAGCGTCAGAGTCAAAAGTCAGGATAGCATCATGCAGCTTGAGCCGACTTGGAAGGGTTTACCATAGGAGCCCCTGGCGGTAACGTTGCTCTCGTCCAATCCGGGAGGATACTTTTAGTCCTTTGGGGACTTTCCATTGTGACGTCCATACTATCCTCATCATTGCGATTGACATCATTTTCGTCCCATTTCTCGCGGGCAACCTCCACTCCTCCTGTTTTAAGCGACCCAGCCAATGAGCCTCCAACCCATGCCAGGGTTGACGGTGAAAATGCAGGCGCTTTCCCAGCATTAGCGCTTGCTCTATCTGAAGTAGGAGGCGGCGGAGATGGGTTATTCAATATCGCAAAATACGGGACAAGAGGTCGCAGAGATGCGTATTTATCGTACTGTGGTGGAGCAGGTCTGTTATGCCTGTTAGTTTCCCGTGTCTGCGCCAAAGGCGGTGCGATAGAATGAAGAAGTTCGGCGTGAAGGCGGGGTATGAAACCGGGTAGCATAGCCGTTCCTCCTGTGACAAGTATTGACGAGGCCAATGTTTTGCGAAGATCAACAGGAACCTGCAAGGATAAAAAGTGTTACTTGACGTTGAAGTTGTATGAGGTGGCATACCTTAAGCAGCGCGTTCAATATCGTCTCCGCCAGACTACCTTCGTCCACGTCGCCACCTTCAAAAAGAACTTCAGCTGCGCGTTCACGTATCCAACCGGGAATAATCAACGTTCCACGACCCGTGCCAGTTTGTTGAGAGGGGGGAGGTTCCACCCGCATATGGAGGTCAGTCGCAGTTGAATGTCTTTTGTACATTGTAGCGAGCGCCTGTAAATGGCTCTCTCCACTAGATTTATTCATTGGACGTGTGTGAGAAGAAGGTATAATGGAAAATTCGGAAGAATCCCCATGAGATGACACAACGCTGTCGAAGCCTGAATGGGAAAAGTCGGACTCGGAGTGAGCTGCGTCGCTAATTGGCGCATCCATCTCGGATCCGAAATCCTCTGAGGGTGTTTCCCTGCCCGATGTTTCATTGGCGCCCTTCAAGATATCACCAACAAAGCAGCAGCGCGTTTTAATTTCCTCGACCACCTTAGCCGTCAGGACATCCTGCGGAACGCGGGTCGAACGATTTGCCGCGGGAATGTTGACAGCAGCGCTCAGAGATGTGGGCGGGGGGAGATATGTTCCAAACATGAGAAGAAGAGCACGAAGATGTGAAGTCAGACGGGAGCCGGCAAGGGGGGTTGTCTGCAGCTGAGGAAATAGAGGCCTTGCAGCGAATATCTATGCTTCTTCGATTTAGGCTGAGAAACGGTGCAGAGAGTACAAAAACGCACGGGTAGAGCGACAGACTCGAGATGGCCACAGTCAAGCACCAAACCTGTTATTCGTCCTATGGCAAGGAGAGACAGAAGATGACTTGACGCGAAAGACACGGACGGAACCTGACTGACTTATCGGCTAGTAATATCGAACTTCAAAAGTCTTTCGTACCTGGTTCTCAAAGAGCAGTCGAGCGATGGTATCCTTGATGTACAAAGGCAACAATGGGTGTTCTACCAGAATCACTTTCCGTGCTTTTGGGTCTGTGAGCAACGAGCTTTATGGAGGTATCAGCGACTGGAATGTAGGAGACCGGAAAAAACGCACTCGTGAAAAACAGACCGAAGGGAAGTTTGAAGCCGAATTTCCAGTATCCTGTCCTCCTCCGCTCTTTCGACAGGATCCGCGGCGCGTCCGAGGTTCCATAAAGGTGAACCGTTCGCTCCTCCAGGATGGAAAACACTGCGAGGTTTACCTTCCCCACTAAATCCTACTTTCCAAATTATAGAACCAGGGTCAATGACGACTCTGTCCTCCACGCCATATAGCGAGTGTCGTCTTGTCGTTGTGTAATGTGGCGACGCTTGAACAATCCCCGCCCCTGCAATGCGCGAGGTTGCTGGCGTCGTCGGGTTGAAGGTGGTCTTGCCTCTGGGTGTTGCAGGACTTCCGGACATGATCGAGCTAAGGAAACATTGTCACGCATTCGGCATCAATTCACAACGAGTACAAATTTCACTATTCGCGAGTCCATAAGTATCTATTTTACGTATAAATAGGATGTCAAGCTGCTCTCTAATGTCAGCGCGCAGTCGAGAACCGGGTCGCAAAGATCATGATCGCAAATGCCCAATGTTCGAATTGTTCCTTCGACATAAATAACAACGCCTGCGAAAGAACGGCTTTGATAATCTGGGCTTGCATTCCCTAATTTTGAAGATAGATAAGTCGCCGACGCCGCAGAACTATGCTTTGACATACCTGGTACCACCCAACGAAGCCCTCACGTTTCCAAACACGAGCCAAAATATCAAGGGCACCAACATGCTTGGAGTGTTCATGGTGATAGCTATCTGGATGTTGCTCCTCGTCCCCAGCATCCGCCGTGCGGGCTTGAATCCGCACTTTTGCCATAATGTAAGGATACGTAACCTACAACTCGGCGAGTTCTGAGCGAAATTTTCGGTGATTACAAAAAAACAACTCACAACGGTCGCCAGAGTTTTGCTCAAGGCACCGACGAGGAAAGACAACCAAGGGGACAATTTTCCATTTCCACCTGGCCGTGCAAGAAGCACCAAGCTTTTTACTCGCTCGAACATCCCGTATGTGATCGCAGGGTTTACCGTCAGCACCAGTCCAGGTTTAATTCCAAGCCACAAGCCGGTGACGCCCTCCTCCCTGATAATCTCCCGAGCTACACTTAAAAAGGAATCATCTGTTGGCTCGGTCGCATCACCGTCCAGTTTATCGGATCGGCCAATTTGTTGTCGTGTAGCAATAACAGAGACAGGGATGGTGAATATTTGGGCAAGCCCTCCAGCAACAGCACCCAGCAGCAGCTCAGCTGCAGTCGACAGAGGAGGTAACTTGGACCCTGGAGCTAGCTTTGAGGTCAAACGTTTGATGTAAGAAGTCCTGACGAAGGAGTAGAAAAAGAAATAAGCATATTCTGAGGTCGGAGGTTGATTAGCGTAGAATTCAACGAATCAAGAACAACATACGCATTGAGAATGTGTTGAGCATCGTCGCGCCAAAACCTCGATAGAGCCCCATGATACCCTCCTTGTGGAATATCCGTAATATCACGGACAGCATCGATAGGTTGCCCTTCCCCTTGCCTTTCGCGTCGGCAGGTAGAGCTTGTATCCTTGTTTTGGCACTTCAGGTATGGTCAAAACCTTTACGTTCAAGTATTCAAATGCGAGACGTACACATCTAGGGGGTAAACAACTCTGCTTTTGGGTAAGCTAGGGCGACAGGAGGTAGATATATACTCACGCAGTGCTGAAGCAACCTCCAAGGGCACCAGCCAAAGCTGCTCCAAATGGCGTCAAGTGCTGGACGGGTTTTGACTGGGCAGGCATCGAGGGGTGAACGACCGGGTTACAAGAGTGGATGGTTAAGAGGGCCGGGTAACGGCCATCGTTGGAGCCGGAGATTTTGACTTTCAGTCAATTTCGATAGTGCTGTTTGGGCCAGTTTGGCGCTAAGCAGTCCTCTTCTGCCATGTTTGTGCAAAACCCCAACTTTCCCGATAATCTTGACATCCGCCCCTCTATCCTGAACGGTGTTGTTCGACAAGGCAAAGATAGCGAGCGCGTCTTTGGGGTAGAAGCTCAAGAGGATGCAATTCGTCTCTACGGGATCGCTGGAAGAGTATGGTAGATAAATCTCCGAAAAGGGCACTTCATATTGCACCTTTGATATCATCGCTTGCAGGGAGGCGGCGTACGCGTTGTCTGCGTATGTTTCTCCACCCTCGGACTGGAACTTTGAACCCCCTTTTGTTTCGGACGCAGCAAGGATTCACTCTCTAACGATGATCGAACTGGGATCTGGTTCTGGGTTGGTTGCTTCGGGTATCATCAAGACACTCGAACCTCGAGATCTTTTCATCGCTACCGATCTTCCTGAGGTCTGTAAAAAATATTGCCTGCGTGCCATATTCACGGACTTCAACTTTGGCATAGGTTTGCCCGCTACTCTATCAGAATATCTGTTCGGTAACCGATGGTAATGGCGTGGGGGTCATACGACCGCTTTCTTGGGGAAATGTTGAGCACGTCAACGCGCTCAAAACAGAGTTTTTCTCGGATTCGGCACGGGGCGGACCCACGCATATTATTTGTAGTGATCTGGTAGGCGTCGATATCGGATAACCCAGTTTTATTGATCACTCAAATTCATCTAGGTCTATTTCCCAGAACTCCTTGCCCCACTGCTTCGAACCCTTTTAAGCCTTTCCTCCCTTCGACCTTGCACAGGTAATGCGATGGAAATTATTTTTTCCTATAAAATCAGAAGCCTCGCAAAGGAATCCCTTTTTTGGTCTGCGCTGGGTCTTTGGTTCAAATTTGAACCTGTCATTGTCATGAGGGACGGGGAGGAGTGGCGACGCTTCGGCTCAGATTCCGAGGACCCAACATTCATCTTCGTTGCTTCTCGCCGCGCCAATTCCTACACTTGGCTAGTACCTGATGACGACAATGACCTTTTACACGGCGTCGGAGCGCATGGAACAGCTTCTCGCAAAGGGGATGAGACATTCGAGTCTCTTTTACTGATGTCGCTGGATGAGGGGGAAGTTTTCCCATAAGGGATGCTAATACAGGGTGAACGAAATATACCCTCTTTCATTGTGCATCGGAAATGTGCCTATGAAGTCATAGAGCCCTGGCATAACAAAAAGGGTATCAAATACAATTAGTTGGTATAATAATAAAGGAGTGAACGACAAAATGATGGGTAGGTAGGTACAAATGTGGTCCTAAAAGATAAGAGGGTAGAGCTACAACGAGTAAAAGAGTGGTACTGAACCGCGCCCAGGCGTGGACAAGCTGCATCGATAGCAATAGGTTACATGGAAAGCACTGGTTAGCGATGTCAAAAGAAAAGTGATGTGAGTTCATATATGGATAAATGAGTTGAGAGCCAGAGGAGCATGAAACTCGTCATTTCGTCGTGGAGTAGGATCATAAGCGGGAGGGGAGTAAGCATGAGGCCGGGGGCCTTTTGCATACATGGTGGCGATTTCCACCTGTTCCGAAAGGAGGACGGAGGCCTCTGAAGTGTAATTGGCGGCCTCGAATGGGCATAGGACAACGGCGTACTGGTCAAGCAGAGTCAGCAACACAAATAACCTTGTCGCCAACGAGCAGACTCACAGAGATACTGAAATGGCCCATTTCTGATGTGGGTCTCAGGTCCTTCGCCAATCTGATTTCCCCCTCGAGATGCCGAGTGAGAGAATCGCTTCTGGCGTTAGAGGAGGGCCACCAAATAGCGGTACCCACGTCTTCTACCGTTTCGTTCCAGGCAACGTCCCTCCTTGACGAAGAAGACTTGTTGTAAAACCTGACTCGACGTCGTAGACATACGACGATGGAACTTGGCGCGGAGAGAACATCAAGGACTGGTGATTCAGACCCTTCTAATGTCATATAACAGGGTATCACGCTCCCTCTTGTATAACATGTTGGCTGAGCGATCGACATCTGGAAACGAGTTGGCAAAACAGTCTGTTTTATCACAGCAATTAAACTCACGGTACACCTCGCTTCGACTCTTCGACTCTTGAACATGACGCCGCGAACTGGTACTGTCCGGAGGGTTTTCCAGCCTTCTGGGTCTGTACTTGGACCTGGAAGTGGAAGGGCGTCTCGATATACAAGCTGGCGAAGAAGTGAGGGAGCATCAGGCCTCGTGCTGGGGACATAACCGAAGGCGGTCTTGATACTATAAAAATTATCAATATGACGAGGAAGGGACCATCAGAAACCTGGCATAACTGACATGTTGTCGGCGCGGAGCTTGCCTCTTGAAACTACCACCGATAAATCATACTGAACGCTAACCTTCGTGTGGCGCTCCAGGAAAGTCTCTGGGAGGCGATAGGAACGTATATCTCCGGCTCCTGTAGGAATATTGACAGCTCTTGGGAGGGAGATGGACAAAGGCCATAAGCAATGCCCGAGAAGCTTGGAGCTTGACGCTCCATCTGAGGGTGAAGGTACTCTGGGAGTGTCAGGGGACTTTGACCAGATGGGGAGTGTCTGGCTAAGGAATACGAAAGAATCCTCTATGTTCGCGCCAGTGATGATGCGACCAGTAACCTAGGGTATCCGTACCGGTGAGTCTCAAGGCATTAAAGAATGATAATGAATCTCACGGTGGCGCTGATACTTTGTATCGAATCACCCTTTTCAGCGAAAAGTTCTAGTTGGCCAGTGATGTTTTCCTTTTCAAAGAATGTGGGTAGCGACCTGGAAGACTTGGCGCTGCTTTGGACCTTGAGGGTTATCCAAGGTTTGCTCTTCCCATCCGATAGTTGAAAAATGTGCTCTGTGGCGTCGCGGCGAACGGCAACTGGCTGGATGAGACTGTTCCGACGGGTGTAAGGCGGGAGCTCAGAACCAGACAGTGGTACCGGACCAGGTCTGGTGGAGAATCGCTGATATCTAGGAGGGGACAACACGTCCATAGAGGAATGGGGGCGAATCGCAGCATTGGAGGGAGGCTATATACTGGGACTTTGACCAGTAGCAACCGAGTAACAACAAGCTATTGGCCTATTGTGGGTGTCAAGAGGTGTCAAGGGATGAAATGGAGGGGGACCAGTATTGACAGTTTTGGATAATTGTTTATTGAAGATGATTAGAGGTGATTCGCAGAGCTCCTAGGGACAAACGATGTCGTAAATGCGGTAAGGAACAGCCTGAGATGTGCAGGGATTTACCACGGAGAACAAGAGGATCACCAGATTCTGATTTGATTGCAATCTATCGGCACGTGCTCGATGCTACCTCCCTACAATAGCGTGTACCAGCGCAATACCAGCGCGTTTAGAGCGTGTACCGGACACTGATCATGACCACTCACAATTGTAAACTCTACTCATCTCACCACACTTACCATTCCTCGGGTTTACCCTCGCCAAAGTTGGAAATTCCCCCACCGGCGATTAGCAGCGGTAGCAGTGCATTCAACAGCGCTTCCTCCGTCACGGCACCTCGAGTCGACCTGAACAAAAGCTCACTGCTTCCATTCCATCGTGGAATTTTCAAAGTCAATCAATTGAAGGGTAATCTACGCTGGGCTGGGCCGCGTGTAAGAATCACGTAGTGCGTCACGACATGTTCGAATTCTGTGAGTCAAGTTAGTGCTGTAAACTGTATCATTTGTTCAGTCTATGATACCACCGAAGCCCCTTGACTCTAACGTAACGCGGGTACAATAAGACATGAAAGTACTCACAAGTAGCATCAACGTAGCATCTGAGTTACTGAGCAGCATGTGCTTGGGAGTTGTGATTCGTGAAAGCCGCAAAACGCGTCAGCACGAAGAATATTGATCAGATACAAGAGTGAATGCGACTCGGGGCAATGATATACACCATGGCTGAACTAGCGCTGAACCGCTAGAGTAACATAGATGGGTGGGTCTGGTTGTTCGAATGATGATTAGAATTTACAGAATGTCGGACCGCCCGCTGACCAGGCCACGAGCCTCAGTGCTACAAGCCTGAACGCTCCCTCGGAAAACGCCGCTGATGCCCTCACGTGCGGCCATAGCTGAACGTGACGTAGTGAAGGGTCCGTCGCGTTAATGTATCATGTCGCGTCTCGTTTCCGAGCCTCTTGTAATTATCACACTGCTCGCAAACATTCAGTTCCACATATATGAAGAGTCATTGAATGCATTAGACACATATAACACATCATGCATCATGCTTAAGTTGGGTGCTGGACTTGTTACTTGCTAGTTTTGTGGTTATTGGTTGTTGATTGGTTGATGCTTAGCTTGACTTTGTAAGTTCTTCTTTATACCTTTCACTATCCATTTGTATTAGAACAATGTAAAGTTATTCCTCGTGGAATCCGTTACCGTCGCCACAAAATGCGTATCATAAAGCGTATACAGCGCTAAGTTCTAACATTCTATTTGGTAACTGTTTGGTGGTGTTGATTCCGTCACTCCGTGTCATTTATAGAAAAAATTGAGGTATCTTTCACAACAGTCGTTTGAAATTTGAAAGTATCCCTGTTTTCGAAATTCATGGCATTTTTTTTTGAGATGTAGGTTGTCGCGACAAAAAATCTACGTAAGTTGCTGTGTAGACTTGTGTAGAGCGGAGTCTCTGATGAGCTGACGGGCTTTGCCGAATGATGCGGTGATCGTTCCCAGGCTACCAGCCTCAAGGCTAGTAGCCGACTCTTCGGGGGGTCAGACGGTCCCAGAATTTAATATGCTGGTATCTCTCACGTGCCGGACAAAGTCGGACATCAGCTTGCTAGCTTGAGTACGTCTGCTTTCACCTAACATCTACTCCACGCCCCACGGACCAAGGCTGACGGCTACCAGATGTATCGAGCAATCCCTGTCTCGAGACAGGTCGCGTCGACTTCTGGTCGGGGAGCTGTGCGCGTTATTCGACGGGTGAGCCTAGCTCTCTTTTTTTACTAATTTTCCTGCTAATTCTATCTCAGCGTCTTGCCACGGAATCATCGCCATTACCAAAAAAGAAAAGGGGAATTGTTCGGAAGGTGTTTTGGACAACCACAGCCCTCGCCGGGACCTTCTACGTCGGCAGCGCGTTTATTGGATTTAATAATCAGACCTACTATGACTTCTTCTCCGACAACGTCCCTCTAGGTCAATCTATGCTGGAGTTTGCCGAGAGCCATGGATGGGATACACTCACGGTTGACGACGTCGTCGAAGGTGGCAAAACCGCGGTAATTTCAACCCAGCGTTTCATCACCGATACAATCAACCGTACTCCCAGCTCACACGACGTTGTCGAGTCTGCGAAAATTGCGGCGGAGAAGAAGGCTAGTGAGGCGAAGGCTGCAACATTCAAAGTCATCAGGGAAACAAAGGCAAAGGTCGAACCTGTCATCGGTCATGTCAAGGAGGAAATTCGTGACGAGGTAACTAAATTGTCCCACAAGGCTGAAGACCTCAAAGCATCTCGGGGAGACCAGCTTGCCGGCGAAATGGCTGAACTTGTGCGGAGGGCTGAATTTGCCATTGCAGGCAAACCTTACTCCCCGGACAGCACGACGCCTATACCCTCGCCGACAGACGTCACTCCTTCCACACCATCTCCACCTTCAAAAGAAGTTGATATCACCGTTTATAGTGCTCCCCTCCCACTCGGTTTCGAACCCCCTCCTGGCTTTTCTCGCCCTTCACCCCCCAAAGCGGAAAAAACGAAAGGTCCGGAGTCAAAGCCGGAGTCGGAGGATGTTGCTGCCGTCACCCTTCCGCTCGTTGCATCTGCCATATCCTCGCTGAGTGCATCGGAGCCCATCATCACGCATCTCGCGGGAACCATCGACAACCTCGCTTCCTACCTTGAATCTAATCCCAAGGCTGCATCGAAAGCCGCAGACGTTCTTGAGTCAGCCAAAGGTGATCTTGCCGCCCTCGTCGAAAGAATCGAGAAAGTGAAAGAAGAGGAACGTTCTTCTCTCGAGGCAAAGCTCGACGAGCAAACTAGGGATTATACTCAAAGACTTCTTGAGCTGGAGATGGAGGCACAAGACAAGCTTGATGGTCAGGAAGAAGGTTTCAGGAGATTCTTTGAGGAGGAGAGGGTGAAGTTCATTCAGGCGTACCGCGAAAAGTTGAATCACGAACTCAGGACTCAAACTGAGCTCATCAATGAACGGTACGTCTCAGTTACGTTTACTTCGCTTCCTCTAACCTGACATTTGACAGGCTGAAAGAAGAGGTTATCGCTCAAGGCATCGAACTCCAGCGACGCTGGATTCGTGAGATCAAGGTTCGCGTAGAGCAGGAGCGAGGCGGCCGTCTCGCCAAACTGGACGAACTATCTGCCCAAATAAAACGTCTCGAAAACATCGCTCTTGACAACTCGACATATCTGGACGAGAACATTCGCATTCACGCTCTGTGGTCTGCTCTCCGTGCATTGAATTCCTCCGCAATCTCATCACCCGTTCGAAAACCATTTCGTGAAGAGCTTAGGGTTCTTCGACACATGTCGGCCGCGCGAGAGGATCCCGTCGTTACCGTGATTCTGGAGAGTTTGGAGGGCACTGATATACCTGACATCGGCGTGGAGCCATTTGCCGATCTGGCATCCTGGTTTGCGAGCGAGGTAGCTCCCAAGGTATCTCAGGTCGCTCTTGTACCCGATGAGAATGCAGGCGTTCTCTCTTACCTTGCCAGTCGTGCTCTTTCCAGCTTGCGGTTCAAGAGGAATGGGCTCGTAGAAGGAGATGATGTTCTCAGCGTTTTGGCAAGAGCGGAGTATTACCTGAATGAGAAGGATCTGGATACTGCAACGAGAGAACTTAATCAGCTAAAGGGCCCCGCAAAAACACTGTTGCACGATTGGCTAGAGGCTGCACGGCGAAGATTAGAGGTGCAGCAAGCCCTAGACGTAAGTGCTTCCCATCAGAACAGCGTCTGGTGATGAATCGATTAACTGTTCATCATAGGTCATTCAAACTCAGGCAACCTTGGCCTCATTGCTTGTTGTTTAGACCATCACATTCCCGAATAGATTATGAGAAACCAGAAACCTCATCAAACACACTGTAAGAAATATAGAGAGACAGGTATAAACTGATAAGCATCGTTAGAAGTAGCTTGGCTGATTGCCCATTGGCATATTATTGTTTGACATTGGGGGTGGGGATACTCCTCCTTGCATGCCATTCGGGGGATATGGTGAAGCACCTCTGTCGCCGGCATTTGGAGGGTATGGCGATGCAGCTCCTCCCCGCATGTCGTTTTGCGGGTATGTTCCTCCTTGTTGAGAGAATGGCGGGGCAGGTCCTCCCTGCATCCCATTCTGAGCAAAAGGCGGGGCAGGTCCACCTTGGGCAAATTGTGCGGGAGACGGTGGTACTCCTTGCATGTTGGTCTGAGCAAAACCTGGCGTCCCTTGCGGCGGAAAAGGAGGGGCTGGTCCTTGCTGCATATTATCCTGCGGATACGGTTGCGGTGTGGGCTGCGATGGCAAAGAAGAACCTCCCATTGCGCATTCACAGATAACCTGTGCCCGCCTTACAACCGTCTTCAAATGATATTCATATCGCGTTTCATGGAAAAGGAATAAGAGAGCTTACTTGAATGTTTTCATCTGGCTGCCCCGGAACTGAAGCAGGTCCCCTTGAAACCTTAACCAGGCCAGGGAAAATCGTGGCTCCAACTCGATCTAACTCGCCTCTTTCACTCTTCAAACATCGTTTGACAAGTTCGATCTGCCGCGGATATAGCGTACTTCCTAGTTCTGGAACAAAGGCGCGATAGAATGCATCACTGGAGCTGGATCCCGAGCCATGCAACATGCGAGAGAAGGCGTATGCAGAGTCGAGAATAGATACGCCGCCCGAAGCTGGTATTCTGGCGTTGAGGAGCTTCATCAATTCCGGTATCTGCTCATACAGAACACTGAGGGACATGTCCGGCGTACACGATTCAACAGCGGCAGAAAAGGTCTGGCGGCGCCAAACACAAGCAACAGTAGGGTCACCTTGAAAGGACGCACAATTAGGAAATATAGTGATCGCAAGGACTAAACTCACGGGCGAATATGTGCTCGTGGATTCGAGTTAGCTGAACGTTCGCCTCGCTCGAGTTGGTAACGATGAGGCAATTGATAATTCCTTCTGAGATCGTTTCAGCCATCGCATGCCGCAGGTAACACTGGACCTGCATCGGCGTCGTTTCCACCTGGGTCACCTCCAACCCGTTGACAACATCATTTAGAATAGAGGCACAGATTTCTTGGAGTGGGGCTGGAGGTGCTCGGACGACATCTGCGGCCCATCGATTAATCAATTTATCGAGCTGGGATGCGGCGTTCTAGGACATACAGCGTAAAATCAGTCGCCTCTTGCAATCCAACTGGTAAATACCTTGATTGAGAAATCGTCAACGGTATTGCCTCCTTGACCCCGAGTTGAAGGGCCTGGATTTCCTTCAAGAAGTGTGATCCGTGCACGCAATTGTGCAACCTGCCGTTCTTGCTCTTCTAATTGTAATCTTTGCTGCTCTACCTTTTCGTGGGCAATTCGCTAAAGGACGGAACTAACAGCGTCAGATCTGGAGACTGAAAGTTCGCGTATGAACGAACGAAATTGGTCAAGGCGTAGCGATATTGATCGCCTGAGACGACATCGTTTTGCTGCGCTTGAGCCTGTTGTTGCTGAGCCTGATAAGATGGCGACTGCTGGTATGCCATGCCAGCGACGATGGGAAGACGAGAAGATACGTAAAGTGCCTTGAGGCGGTCATAATCACTTGCGGTCAGATCATTGATGGTGCCCAGATTGAGTAACAGGCGGGCCGCGTTGTTTGTCTTTATTTCGTGTGCTTATGTAACACAGTTATGCACAATTGCCTCATGACGTCGTTGGCGTCTGAGACAATACGTCACCCCTATTCCTTGATATTTAATCCCGCAAAACCTGAATCGATGCTTCTTTAAAAAACACAATGACTACACCAGGAGATTGTACCTGCCAAACCAATTGCGCGTGAGTAGTCTCTACCACACAGTACTAGCTCTCTTAGTCTTCTCTGTCCAGCTCTTGTGGCCCTGCGGGCGTTGGCTGCACATGCGAAAAGGACCACTGCAATTGCGCAGACTGTCCTAAGAAGGCCCATACCGCTCAGGTACTTTAAACCACATTCATCTTCTATGCCCTTGGTTGATCTGTTTGTTGCTCAAGTGCCATTGCCAAACTGGAGCGGGAGACAGTTGCGGGTGCTTGACAAGCAACAAGCCTTGCAACTGCTCGTAGATGAAATGTTGGATGTTAATCACTTACAAATGTATTGTAACCGCAATGTAAAATAGCGAACGCTTGCAGATGTTGGTCTTGATTATGCGTAGAACGGCAGAGAATGATTTATGATCTCGAAATACTCTGATATGCAAGGCTAGCACTCTCGTACTCTGTTAGAAATATCTTTTCCTGCTCGTGAACCATATACCTAGAATAATGGAGTGAGACAAGAAGCCGTCCTGAATGGAACAGCACCTACAAAAGCAACTCGCTAACATAATCCCGCACCAAGTGAACCGACTCCGCATCTAGAGAGGAGCTAGCTATCATATTGGGAAGACTCACTGCGCATGTCAACGTTGACCATGATACCAAGAGCGAAACAAGAAGACGTACCAAGCATCCTCAGCAAATGCTCCGCCCCATATATCTGACTCATTTCCTTTTCCTGGCCCGCAACAACCTTCGGACCAGTCCAATATTGTTTCCGGATCTCAGCGTATTGGGGCCTTTCAAAACGGTAAAGAAGGTTGGCGCCAAGGGCACGGTCAAAGTAGCATTGAAGGCCTGAGAGAATCGTTGGAAGGACAAGCCCTGGTTCACGGATGCTAGTGACCATAGTCATTCGCGAAGACGGAAGAAGAGAAGGTTATAAAATACTGCGGAGGCTTTGTCTTGAGTACGTGATCCGAAAAACTTGTTAGAATTTCTGCGACGGTTGGGCTGCGTGGGAGTGATACAAGCTGAAAGATATGATAAGATGAGGAAGGGAACATGAGGGGCATTGAGGACCTGATTGTTTTTCGTCACCGCTTCCCAGTCGTCAACTAGTTTGACCTTGAGGATTTCTGGGACATTGAACCGTATATCAGGCTTTCTGCTGCTCTCGTCCTGTTGGAACAGACGAGGAGCTCAGGGAAATCGAAAGCATCTGACATATAGGAACGTACCTCCTCCCTGGCCCTCTTCGTCCCTCGAGTCCCGTCTTTCCTCGCCCCAGCTCGAGTACTTGCTCCGTCCTTTATCGAGCCGCCGGCAACGCTTTTATTCTGTACCTTTGCTGATGTAGAACCGCTCTGAGCACTAGGCGCATTGCTTGCCTGCAGTTGCTTTTGCAACGCGATATTTGTCTCGTTTAGCTTGAGGAGACGGTGACCAGGGACCCATTCGTCCCACCTAGCGATGGATGCAAGGATACATTAGTCGTTGGATTTTTGAAAATGACATGATTGCCGATCCCTCTCTCTCTCTCTTTCGCACTCTCAACATCTCAAGCTACAAGGACGGCATCGAGAGAACAGAGAAACAGGTCCAATTTGAACGAAAACAGAACTTTTCGGGACCCACGTTTGTTTCCATCCCTTGTAATGCACGAAATAATGAGGGCCCATGACGCCGGTGAGTGTGGTCGTTTCGTCAAAAACTGTTGTCTTAAGGACCTTGGCTTCATAAACGAGGGGTCCATGGTAGCAGAGAACCCTTTCATTGACGACAAAAGTCAAAGGGGCTGACGCGCCTGGTGTTGACATGTTGATGCTCAAGGTTGAATCCAGTTCTGCAGACGAGATCTAGTATAGGAACGATAGCAGTCTAAAGCAGGTAAGACCGAAGATAGACGAATGGCGAACTTGAGAAAAGTGATCTCTATTTGTTCGAAACAAACAGAATGTAGCTACTACCGAACACACAAACTTCCCATACCCAGGTCAGAATTGCTGTCAACAGGTTTATCATAGCCAGCAAAAGGATCTCTGACGCTCCCTGTCTTCGTTCGCCAAAGTTGGGTGTACAACGCCTTGACCTTCTGTAGTTCAGCGTCAACAGCCGCCGTTTTGCTTGCAAGGGCTAGGAAGGTCGCATGTTGCGCTTGAAGGGTAGCCACAATGCCTGTTTCGACAAGAGTCAAATCAAAGGCAAGCTGATAGAAGTCAAGGTATCCAAACCAACCTTGCGGTGTTTGAGCTTGATTCGCAGACGACGTAAGTTTCCTTTCAATTTGCTATCACGAGTAACGTTCAGGCGGGTAGTAGTAAGTGGAAAAAGGTCGCACCTCGATGGTTGTCTTGTACCAAGTCAGCCTCTCCCGCATTTGATTAGTGACGCGAGTGAAGAATCTAAAAACTTTAGTAAATATAGAAAACGTCAGACCTCAGAATCTCGTGCTCACTCGAGGGGATACCGAGCGTGGTCCTTCAAATAGCTTGTGCCGCTTTGTGGATTCCTAAACCCATCGATAATGCGTATTGCGATTATGGTGTCTTCCACTGCTTGATCCACCTTGGCTTTCAGATCTTGAGTGTGGTGCAAGTCGTTCCGTATCGTCGTTGCAATATTTATGAGATCCTAACAAGCCTTTGGTTTTTGACACACGAAAGAAGATTGAATGTGAAGCACCTTGTGTATGGTGCGAATTTGTTCTTGTCCTTTTGTAGGTTCCTCACCTAACTTGCGTTGATGCAGGTCTTTACTTATCTGAACCCGACCTTGGATATGAGTTCTGAACAGAGATCAGACAAGATGTAAATAATCACAGCCGCGCATACCTACTCGATGCTTTCCAATATTTGCTTCACATTTTCAGGAAGGTCATTGAATTTAGTCGATTTCGTGAAGAGAGGTCCAGTGGGTTGCAGAGTATTTTGGGGGCTGGAACGTTGGTAAATATCACTGACAAATGGTTGTCAAGTTTTTGACTTACACAAACCTGATGTGCAAAGAAGTGAATAAAGAGGAAACAAAATATTTTAAGAAGCGTACTGTTGTTGTTGCTGCTGCTGCTGGAGCTGAGTTTTATTTCCAAATAACGGATTGCCGCTTGTTGAGCCGAAGCCTCCACCAAATGCACCACTTTGTTGAGTGGGCTGAGCCTGAAGGGCATTTGTGGTTCCTCCTCCAAAAAGCCCTCCTTGCTGCTGTTGTCCCGATGTATTTCCGCCAAACCCACCGAACACATTCTGTTGAGGCTGTTGTGTAGTCGTCGAGCCAAATAGACCTCCTCCCGTTGCACCCTGTTGCTGTTGTTGCTGAGTGGACTGGCCGAACAAGCCTCCTGCAGATTGTTGTTGCTGAGGTTGAGGATTCTGACCGAACAAACCTCCTGCAGATTGTTGTTGTTGAGGTTGAGGATTCTGACCGAACAAACCACCGGCAGGTTGCTGTTGAGATGACTGGCCAAACAGACTCCCAGAAGGCTGCTGTTGCTGAGAAGGTTGGCCGAATAAACCTCCCGAAGGCTGCTGTTGCTGCGAGGACTGGCCAAATAAACCCCCAGAAGGCTGCTGCTGCTGCTGCGAAGGCTGGCCGAATAGACCCCCAGTCTGCTGTTGGGGTTGCTGCTGCTGGGAAGGTTGTCCAAACAGGCCTCCGCCTCCGGCTGCCGGTTGAGGATTTTGCTGATTCTGCGCAAACGATCCGAAGGCCGATGGTTGTTGTTGGCCTTGCCCTAGGGGTGGTGCATTTCCGAGTCCAAAGGTTGAGGTTGAAGGCTGCTGTTGCTGTTGAGGCTGTGGATTCCCAAAGATGGAACCGCCTGCTGGTTTAGAGGCGAAAGCAGAAGACCTATAGTACTCTTTAGAAAAATTAAAACGACTTTTTGTGAAAAGACGACCCACGTTGTTGCAAAGGCCATGGTTGTGAACTGAGAACAATGTTATTTACGTCTTTGAGCAATACGGACCGAGTCCTAATTTAGAAATCCTCACAAAGGTTGCCTCAGAGTCAGAAGCTCGCCAATTCGTTCAGAGTTTCTTATTTTCTGACAAGTGATAAGAGTGCTATCAAGTCCTATCTCCGTCATCTGGCTGGCGCCAGGTACAAAAAGCCACTCGAACGCCACAGGATTTCCGCGATCGTCTCATCGTGTCATTTGCTCAACCGTTTGCTCTTCCTCACGCAATTTTTGTCGACAAAATCAACCAGTCAGCAATTTACCATCTCAGTGATCTCACGCTAGGCTCCCCAGGACACCATCATAGCAAGCGGCGAGCAAGCCAGGACACGTGGGACTAGTTCGAACCTGAACTCTAGACCATAGACGCGCAATTTGACTCGACCCCACATTTCTCTCCAGTTCCTCTCTACTCTCTCTCCCTTGCTCTTCCTGTCGATCCTTTTTACTCTCTCTAATCTAATACAATATGGCCCCAGCCGTCGTCCATCCCGCGACGGTTACTTTCATCGACGAACAACCCCACAGAGCGGTCAACGTCGATGCTTCTGCGTATTATGGTGGAAGCGAGGCACATACGCGTTCTCGAACTTACAGCCACGTAAGGACTTCCTTTTCAATACGCCTGTAACTCACGACGCCGTCAAGTCCTACCTTCATGGTTACAACCCCAAAAAATTGCCGGCTTTCCAAGAAGACTGGCATCTACGGCCACGTCGTATGTCCCATGATGAGAAGAGTGTTACAGCCCCACGTCGCTTCCTCATAGATGTCGAGGAGACTATCCGTGTGGTGCTCGAACAGGAAGACACAGATGGTGACTTCCAGATAAGCGTTACAGATGCTGGGCCAAAGATGATGGCCCTTGGGACAGCAACTAGCAATGGCTTCAAGACCTTCGATATTAGAGTTGGTGGCTTCTGCATCGCCTTTGCTTGCTTTTGCTAATGTTCCATAGGGTACTTATATGCTATCAAACCTATTGCAAGAGCTGGCCCTCGCCCGCGATCATAACAGGAAGCGCATTGTCCTCGACGAGGCGCGTCTGACAGAAAATCCTGTGGACCGTCTATCTCGTATGATCAAGCATTCGTTTTGGCACTCCTTGACTAGGCGCATCGATGGCGAAGGTCTCGAAATTATTACCGCCGATCCCAAGAATCGAACGGGACGCGTAAATCCAAGAATATATGTGCCACATGGCGAGCCAGCTATGGCTGAATACTATCGCCAAGTCGCAAAGGACAAGCCTCATATGAACCTCGACGTCCAGGTTCTGCCAGAGAAGCCCGACGATCCCTTGTTCGTAAAAAGCCTGAACTCGAAGCCTGGAATTCTGGCTTTGGCTATGAATGAAGTGGATGACGGAAAAGGAGGGAAGACACTGAAGGGCATCCCGTTCATTGTTCCAGGTGCTCGTTTTAATGAGGTTCGCATCAAGTTCCTATGCAGTTATTCATCATCAAGTGCTCATATCTTGATTAGCTCTACAACTGGGATTCTTACTTCATCGCTCTTGGACTTCTCGTCGACGGCCAAGTAAGCATGGCCAAGGGCATGGTGGAGCACTTCATTTTCGAGATCAAACACTATGGCAAGATCCTGAACGGAAGTCGTAGCTACTACCTCTGCAGGACCCAGCCTCCCTTCCTGACGGATATGGCACTTCAAATTTACAACCAACTTGACCGTTCAGATCTTTCCTCGAACCGCGAGTGGCTGAAGCGTGCTATCCAAGCTGCCATCAAAGAGTACCACACCATCTGGGTAGCGGAACCTCGCATGGACCCAAAGACTGGTTTGTCCCGCTACCGACCGGACGGTTTGGGCATCCCTCCGGAAACCGAGGCTACTCATTTCACGCACATTCTTGAACCATACGCCGCTAAACATGGCCTCTCCGTTTTAGAATTTAGCGAAAAGTACAACGATGGCGTTTTAAAAGAGCCAGGCCTTGATGAATACTTTTTGCATGACCGATCAGTCCGGGAGTCTGGTCACGACACGACTTACAGGTTCGAAAAGCGCTGCGCTAACCTGGGAACCATCGACCTCCAATGCTTGCTCTACAAGTACGAGGTGGATATAGGCACTGCCATTCGTGAGGTCTTTGACGATGAACTGGAATTGGATGAAGACTTCCCACTGGCCCCGTTCCCGCCTTCGGTCAAGTCTTACGCGAATCCTCATCGAGAGCGGTCAAGGTCCAGGCCGCAAACAAGTGATGAGTGGTTCGAGAGGGCAGAATTTAGGAAGCAGATAATTGACAAGTATCTATGGAATGAGAACAAGGGCCTCTACTTTGACTACGACACTGTCGCTGAGCAGCAGATCTTGTACGAGAGTGTGACCGCGTTCTGGGCACTGTGGGCAGGATGTGCGAGTGAAGAACAGTGCTGGAAACTTGTGTATGTTCTCTTATCTGTTTCCGACATTGACCTGATCATTCAATATTCTGCTCTTAGGACTCGATCGTTAAAGAAGTTTGAAGTTTTAGGAGGGCTAGTGTCGGGGACGGAGGAATCGCGCGGTAAGATCTCCCTTGACCGTCCCAATCGACAATGGGATTACCCATATGCCTGGTAGGTCTCTCATAGTAGTTTCTGCGAAGTGCCTCTGATTGGCAATGAAATAGGCCTCCACATCAGATTATGACCTGGGTAGGATTAGAGCGTTATGGTTACTTGGACGAGGCTCAGCGTTTGGCTTATCGATTCCTCTACATGTTCGTGTTATCATTATTCTTGCCTACTACGGCTGATCTATCACCCTGTCAACAGGATGACCACCGCATTCGTTGACTTTAATGGAGTTGTGCCAGAGAAGGTAAGTGTCTGTGAATGATTGGTGATTTCAACCCTTATCGCATAAACATAGTTTGATGCAGTCAAGCTCTCTCATCTCGTGGACGCCGAGTACGGTAACCAAGGCATCGACTTTAAGATGGTGCCACGTGAGGGTTTCGGGTGGATGAATTGTTAGTTGTTCTCTTATTCTTCTGCGGAATATACAACTGATAACCTGTCCTGCAGCTGCCTATCAAGTCGGTCTCTCGTTTTTGACTAGTCACATGCGCCGAGCAGTGGCTGCTTGCACGAGTCCCGAGGTCTTCTTTGGTGCCGGCGTTAGTGGAATCAGCGGAGAGACTGCTCAGTCCACGACAAATCTGCCACCGACGGACCCTCTCTTCCTTGCAATGGAGACTTTAAACCTTTCTTAATAGGCATAAACTTTGACCAATACCTTACATCCCCTCAATTAATCATCAGCATTGAAACCAAGTTTCCACTCTCGTTCCCCTCATAGTACTTTTCCTAGATGCAAATAAATAGTTCGTAGCTCTGACGGGTTCCAATGTCATTCAAATTACAAACAAATAATAAGCAATCCGTAGTTTGTGAAGTTTTTGAATCTCTCCTTCCTCCGTTTGGATTAGTCCCCACCCCTGCTCCTTTTGTTATGCCTGATGCTCCCGACGGCATTGGCGGCGTTGCTCGTCCCTCTTGTTAACCTGTTCACGCGCAAATCGTGCCAACCTGTGCAAGAATCTCGTCCTACCTTGAATTTCGAATTGCGACATCTTCACGCAGTCGCTTCAAACTCTTCTCGTATCATCTTTGCGGACGTATCTCCGGACAAGCTACAGGCTGTTCAGGGTTATTCGAACGGCTCATATCCAATTCGCACGCGACCGATAACAACTCATCGACCATCGTCATTCTCCGCATTTGCTCGAGCCCGCACACGCGCTTTGCGGTTTGGAGAGAACGAATGGCTAGACTGGGAGGAAGAGGAGGTTCTCGGACCTGACGTGGAGAGTCGCGAAGTTCTCCTGCACCTCGCGAAGATGACGAATAACGCGTATGTGGATCCAGATGATCCTGCTTGGTACGATTTGAATGAGGGTTGGAATACTGTTCGTGGCTCTCCGACATTTTACCTGAACATGTAGTTTTTAACGTCACTTCCCCAGTCCTACCCGTTTGGATGGGAGCCCGATGCCGATGGGTTTCGTGGACATGTATTTGCGACTGCGGATAACAGCACAGTAGTTCTCTCCATCAAAGGAACGTCTGCGAGTGTTTTCGGAGGGGCAGGACCGACCGCCAAAAAGGACAAGTTGAACGATAATCTATTATTTAGCTGCTGCTGTGCGCGGATAGACTGGACATGGACCACAGTTTGTGGGTGCTATCGTGGAGGATGGAAATGCGACCAGAATTGCTTGGAACGCTCACTTATTGAAGACAGCTTGTTTTATCCACTTGGTACAGTGGGTTGGATCCTCCTAGCTCACAACTCGCTTCTGACATTCTCTACCTCAGGACCTGTTTAATAATATTTCATATATGTAGTAGGTACCTCTTCACTCGATGTTCGCCACTTGCTCAGGTTGTCTTTACATCAGTCCAGAATCCAACATATGGATTATTGGTCACTCTCTTGGGGGAGCTCTGGCGAGCCTTCTTGGCGCAACTTTTGGCGCACCCATTGTAACATTTGAATCTCCTGGAGACAGACTTGCATCAACACGCTTGCATCTTCCGTCGCCTGTGAGTTTTTTTTTTTCGAGTCCGATTTTTGCGTATTTGACCTTAACCTTCCAGCCGTCGACCCACCACATCACACATGTTTACCACACAGCTGATCCTATCGCAATGGGAACCTGTAACGGAGTGCTATCTTCTTGTGCGTTGGGCGGATACGCTATGGAAACACGGTTCGTTTCCTTCCCCCCCATCAGGTTTATGAGCTACCTCAACCCAGTCCTGTCAGATGTCACCTTGGAAAATCAATCGTATATGACACAGTCACCAATGCGTCGTGGGTGGTCGATATACGCACTCACGGAATTGTTAGTGTCATAGAGAGGCTCTTGTCGGATCCTTGGCCTGCCAGCGTGGAGGTTGGCAGAGAGGTCCCAGAAGCCACGGTCGAGCTCGACTGTTTGGTGAGCCTCGATTACGTTCAAGTTCTCCATGCACCCATCTTATTTTTTGGCTTAGGAGTGTTTTAGTTGGGATTTTGGCAACTATCCAAAAACATGACGGGTGGTGCTAGCGTTGTCTTGATTCCTTTGTCGTCTTTAGATTAATGGGCTTATTGATATGATATTCTTGAAGAACTTTGAAGAATGGGTAAACAGAACGGCAGTTCTTTCGTTGGCTACAACACCAGGACGATAACGAATAATGATTGTCATTTGATCAATGATCATGAACGTGATAGTGATACTTCCATGTAACTTTCATGCTTATCCCCATCACGATTGCTCATTCTTCATCTGAGCCAAAACTACCGCCGGGCCTAGCGAAGATATCACACGATGAGATTGTCCTCGTCGAACTCCAAGGCACCCTCGAGGTTGAGTCTAACCATCCTAAAGAAAGAAATGGCAAACTAGTGGGGACATTGAACATTGATGAAATCACGGTATTCATAGAATCACCGTCTTTCTCTTACGTCGCTCCAGAGCTGACTGGACCCTCAGAACAAACCTACTCTCCTCATCGGCCACCACCTTCTAGAAGGGAAGATCGTTTCGCTCCCAAAACCTCTCGCAATACTCCATCGCAGCTCCGTGCGGAGCTCCGTTGATGTCGACTCAGAAGACGATGTGATGGATGGAGGTCTCGACTTTGAGGAGAAAGAAGAACAGCGTAGCCCAGCCTGGTCTGTGGTGGCAGTTGTCAAAAAGAAGATAATTTTCTCCAAACGGCCGATGCCTGTGAATATCAGTTGAGAAAGCTCCAAAGACAAGCGTTTCAAGGCGAGAGGACAGTGCCAGTATTATGCGTATGCAAAAGTTTCTTCATAGCATTTTCACCTACACATTTATCGGTACAAATACTCCTTAATATACAAGTACAAGTTGGTCGCTTCGGAAATAATGGCGAAGACGGAAACGGAAGGAAAGATTCAGAGAGAGAGAGAACAATTAATCTCAATAGCGGCTTGCAAAATGGCCTAGAAACATATAAGTATATCAACAATCTACATGAGCATTGTTAATGACGAGCGAACGTACGTGATGGTTTCTTTGTCACGCCATATCACAAAGGGAGATGCGTTTCAAAAGAATGACGATCTGGAGGTGGCCGAGATTGGAACGCGACAAGAGAGATGAGAGTTGGAAGTAAGATCTGAAAATGTGAACAAATAGTACAACGATGAGACTGCAACGACCCAGGAGAGAAAGGTCCACGCTATATACAGTGGAATGTCATAACGAGTTGTCCTGGTCGCAATATGTTGTGGAAATACACCTCACAGACGGTTGCGGGTATCATGCTGCGAAGGAAGGACAGTTGGGAGAGCGGTTAGGGTAGGGAAACGAGTGGACGGATAAAGATAAGCCTAGGGCAAAAATTCAATTAAAGCCATCGAAATGGCCTTTGAGAATCCGCTCTCCCATAGGAGAAGGTGCTCGACGAGGCTTGGCACCCTCAGCGACGGTAGCCGAACGACGAGGCTTTGAGGTGAAGGGAGCGCCTCTGGTCGTAGGGCTTACAGCTGTATTAGGAGGAGGGCTCGGGGGAGAATTGGAGTCAAATTGCGGCTATCGGAATGTAACGATGAATTCTGATTTTGTCTCATGATTGGGGCAGATGAGACTTACCTTGGTGAAGGCGGAACTGCTCAATGAGAGCCTTCGCAAAAGACCTGTACCTCGTTCCTGGTGAGAGTCAGGGAGCGTGGTTTGCGGTTGAGAGAAGCGATTTGCTACTGTCGCACTGGCTCGACGCGCGTGCGCGGCGACAGGTATCTCCTTTTCCGTTTCTTCGTCTGCTGATGAAATGCAAGTAAATTTCACATCAAGGATCATATAGGCGAGATAACAGGTACCTTCAAACACGGGGGCGGTTCCAAACTTGCGTTTGAAAGGGAAAGTCGCTGAAGATGGAGTCTTGGTAGGGGACTGGGCGAGAAAATAGGAAAGAATGGGAGAGCTTGAAGGCGAAGTCTGGGGAATAGAGATCCGCTGGGAACCTAAAGAGCCAGAGGGCGGTGTGGAGAGATCGAAGGTAGAGCTAGCCGAACCTGAGGACGAAGAAGAAACTGAGACTGAACGTGCTCTGGCCCGTGAAGAAGAGATTGGAATTGGGTCAGAGTGCTGAACGTTGTTTGAAGTGTTATCAGGGTTTGAAGCCATTTAACGAGAAAAATGAAACAGATTACTGAGATGATGGGATAAAGAAAGGAAGGAAGATCAATTCCATTCCTTGCTTTATATATCGTCACTGTCGTAAGTATTTCGAATCAAGTCACGTGGCCAGTATCCGTATTAACCTCGGCCAGCCTGCGGAGCCGCATACTGCCATAACCCCATGATCTGGGGAAGTCTAAATATAGCAACAACAACTCTCATGTCTCACCCATATCGCAAGAATATATTTTGAGCTACTAAGGTATCGCCGTAAGAGTGTACACGAAATTAGAGATACAGTGCGGTAACGACGGAGAAAACCAATGAAAAGGACTGACTATACCATTACTAAATGACTCCCAAATTGTTTGAAATGCATGAATGAGCGTGATGAGACGGGGTTTGATGGGCGTGGGTTTGAGTTCGTCAAGACTGTCCCTTAAAAGGACATCGAGGTATAAAGTCTTATGAAAGAGTGATAAGAAAAAAAAACAAGGAACCTATCCCAAGAACGCAAGCTCAGTCATTCGCCTTGATTCTTCGTCCTCGATGTTACAAGTCTCCAGCAAGATGTTGCCACGATTGTACATGATGGGCGCCACAGCCCGGCGCTGGATCGTTGGCGAAGTTGGACTGGTCAATGGTGGAGACCGAGAGCGATTGAGGAAGCTCGGCGAACGTGGACTGACCGGCACTGGTGAACGTGGACTGGTTGGCACCGGTGACCGGGAGCGGTCCACTGTCGGCGAGGGAGGAAGGTGGGACGTGTTGTACCCCTTCAAGCCGTTGACATTAATTTCGAGGTTTGCCTTTCTCGTTAAAGTGCCGACGACCGACCGACGCATGCTGGAAAGCGATGACGAAACTGACCGTTTTGACACCGACGCCTTGTCAGAATTGTCAATTTCTACCGCAGTGCGCTTGAAAGGGTTCAGAGACTTTCGACGGTCTGGCTTGACGTCCGTGGGGTCGGTCAAGCCTCTTCGCTGTGTCCGTGGTGAAGAGACGGGCACCTCTTCTTCCGCCTTTTCTTCCATTATCGTTTCCGCAACAAACCCATTGGAAAAGGTCTCTTCAACTGGGCTCTCAATGATGACCGGAATATTATGACCCTGGTCAACCGTCTTCACTTGCAGATTGCCAAATTTTCCATTCTCCATGCTTCCCATAGACTCCGACGTCGTAGAATTCGTCGTATGCGAAGTGCCATCTAGCGATGGAGTCATAAGCGAAGAAACGGACTCTTCCAATGGGAAAGAATCAATCCGGACGTGACAACTTGGTGTCTCATTGGGCAACGAGTCTGAATGCGTTGTTAATATCGCCGGCGGCGTGAGAGAAAGAGCTGGCGTCCGCGGAGTTGGCGAAGCTGTCGTCGCTGGTGTATGAATTGGTCTTAGAGTAGATGCGCCACTCGGGCTGGCAGTTGACTCTACAGAAACTGATGACGATAGAAGCGCGGAAGTAGGAGAGAGATGTGACTTCAAAGAGTCATCTGAAGGTGCAGGAGAAGGAGGCAGCGACGGGTATACATATTCTCCTATTTCCGATGGTACCTCTGGAATAGGTGTAATCAGTGCCAAAGCTTTCAGAGACAATGACATAGATTCAAATAAGGAAATTTGGGAGGAGAGGTCGCTCTCTGCTTCTTTCGATACGTCTGTCGCAGTGGGAGATTCAGCGACAGTGGTTCGGGAAAGCTGAGAATTATCTGAGTCTTTCGATACGTCTACTGCATTGAGGGATTCAAGGACGGGAGTTCCGGAGGGCTGAGAGCTCTCCGATTCTCTCGATACATCGGCCGCATTAGAGGATACAGAGACGGTGGCTTGAGAGGGCTGCGAGCTCTCTGAGTCTCTCGAAACGTCGGCCACACTGCTGGAGACTTCAGGGTAGGCAGCTTGGGAGGGTTGGGAGTCCTCTGACTCTTCCGGAATTCCGGCCGCATTGGGGGCTTCGGCCACAGGTGTGACGGTAGCTGATGTTGGAGCTGTTGCCTCAACGAAGGATGACGATGGGGTTACACCAAACCTGAAGTTCTGTAACCGCTCTCGTTGTGATGACTCCACGTCCTGATTCTTTGCTTCCCATTCTTGTTTGACGAGATCGGCCGCCGACATGACTACGTCAGGATCATCAGACTGCGGTCCAGGCTCCATTCGCTCCAAAAGAACTATGGGGATGCGTTTGTCTTGTTCCCTCTCCTGTTGACTGAGATCCTTGCTGGACTTTAGCGGAGGCAGCAACCCTCGTTCGCGGAGGGCTGCATCGCGTTGTCGTTTAGCATGAGCACTCGTCACGACCGGAACCCGATTGAATGGGCGTTGAGCGGGTGGAGATTTAGACGAAGATGAACGAGATGCAAACTTGCTCGTGAGGAGTCGCACAAGCCGCGATTTTGTGCGTGGGCGTTCAGCCGGATTCTGGCTACGATTAGATGTTGAGAAGAGAACTAGAATTATTTGAGACAAAGCGAGCTCACTCTACTTGTACCTCAGATTCAGTAATTTTGACTGGATTCTGGGTGCTCTTTCCTAGCGCACTGGCGTGGGAAAGCCTATGAGAATGTGTATTCACAGAGAGAGTGGAAGGCGGACCGACCTCGGAGGAGAGCCCATGTCTGTCGCCCTTTTCACGTCCTCGAATTCGTTAGAGATGTCTTGAAATGCAGCGGTATTGAAGCGTTTCGAGCGAAGGATAGTGGCAAAGGGCTGTGATTTGCCAAGTTTGAGAGATGACGCTTTGAGAGAAGGGGGTGGCGAGGGAAGTCCCTTGACACGAAAGGACCTTAAGCTAACTATCTCGTCGCTGAACAAGCGCTGACCAAACGGACGCATGGAGGCAGTGGCCATGCAAACCCCGGTCGCCAGAAAGAGAATGTGACAGGATAGCTGAGGACATGTGAGCACCTCAGATTATAAGGACGCGGAGGTGATGGGCATACCGACAAGGGTCGATCACCACACAGTCACCTGTTTTTCGGAGTCAGCTGTCGAACTTGGCACTCTTTGCTCTACTATAAAGAAGAGAGACTTTCCTTCAACATTCGAAGTAATTTCTCGACCCACCCAATTGGACGAGACCAAGAGTCAACTTACAACCAGTCATTCCAATATAAAGGGGGTCAGGTAAGACCTTCGCGTGCGAATCTTTACGCCAAGCCCTGCACATATCAAATTTCAGCTAGCACGGATCTGGGGAAATGCAGGGGTGCTATGATCGCAAATCAACCCCATGATTATTCCTGGACGCCTGCAGGCAGTACTTAGAGTCCATAAGTACCCAAAGAAGTTGTTGCTCCAAAGTCCTCGTCATCAACAGAACTCAAAGCCTGAACGTTGAACCTTATTCACTCCCGCGCGCAATCTCCACAACGGAGGGTCACGCGTTGAGAAAGAGCTGTGGGCTCACCCTGTCGGATGTGTTCCGAAAATTGAGAGAAAAAAACCTCCCCTGGTTGTTTCATACGGAGACCGGAAGACGGCTCTTTAGAGCAACATTCCATATTTATCAAAAGAATCCATATCTGCCGCAACAGTCCGTCCGAGCCTTACATTTTAGTGAGTGATCATGGTCTTCGGTTATATGAGTGTAAGAATGTAATCTTGGGCGTCTACTTTAGCTATAGGATATATACTAGACTTTAGAGAAAGAGTTAGCATTTTAAAGTCGGCATTTCAAAACGTATACATGCCTTGACGGCTGAAAAATCAAGAAACCGACCTTCATAGACCAAGAAATCGCAAAGCAGAGACGCCAGGGCCCAGGGGACACCATGGATATCATCATATGGCGCAAAATCAAATGATTGACGAGACTGGAATAATGGATTCGAGTTTTCCCCTATTACTTACTTACGATTTGAAAAACTTATGGGCCAAGGCCAAGGCCGCGTGTAACTTTACCAAGTGCCAGTTAAACCTGTAAATTCAAGGTTCTGGAGGTCTAAAAAGGTGAAGAGGATCAGAATGCACCTCAAAGATGCGTTGTGACGTCCACGTGTCACTCACCAGGAATTGCACAGCCACCTCTGCTACATTTCTATCCTTTCCACAATGGCTCTCCTCGCAGATTCATCCAAGTCGTCAGGAGCAAGGAAGCCCCTTGGAACGACAGAATTTGAAATCTTGAAGGCATCACATAAGTAGAAATGTTCAGCATTGAGCCTTGTCCGCAACGTGACTGACCTACTCCTAGGTTTTTGCGGGACGGGGAAGAAAGGGGTTCGTCTTGGGATGAGCAACTCGCCGCCAAGTATTATTCTAGTTTGTACCGAGAATTCGCATTGTGCGATCTCAAGCATTTCAAATCCGGGAATGTACGTCAAATATCATTTAAATAAGCCATCTTCCTGGGCACTATATGCTAACCCATCTGAGTCGTAGTTTGCGATGCGTTGGAGAACGGAAGAAGAAGTCCTTGGAGGGTTCGGGGAGTCAACATGTGGGAATACGCGCTGTGAATATCATCGAATGGCGCGTGAGATTACCCTCACAACGATGGAGCTGCCCTTTGCATATGTGGAGCATGGTGAGAATAAGTCGGCGTTAGTCAAAGTGGTCCTTTGTGGAAGCTGTGTGAGAAAGCTGATGTGGAAGCGGCGGAAGGAGAGGGAAAGGTCAAAAGAATGTGGAGATGAGGGCCAAAGAAAGGAAGAACGGGGGGCGCGTGACGAGGGAAGGGAGAATAGAGGCGAGGATCGCAGCAGGCGCAAGGATCCAACGGTAAAGGATCGAACCTGTAAACGAAATTCTCGTTCCCGTTCCCCACGACGTTGAACTTCTCAGACGGTTCATTGTGCGCTGGGATAGCGATTGTCCTTGGAAGAGAAGGTCGTGATGTAAGAAGAGCCCCAATCGCAACGTATACGCGTAAGTCCAACGTAAACCTTTTGGTTATGTACCTACGACGAACGGCAGCGCCCGAACGTTGGATAAATTACTTTTCGGTTTCAGCCTTTACAAAAGGCCACACTTTCCCTCCATCCTTTACACCTGTAGTCAAGCCCATTACCTTGTACTCCGTACCCATTCCAGACTTACTGACAAGCCTCTCTGCGGCATCACGAATTGCAGTTTTCCGTGCCTCAGCCTTGGCTGCGCGTACCAATGAATCAAGACGAAGCTGCAGGCCCATTTTCTCTAGAAACATGTACTGCGGTATTGGCCCATGGACCGTGACTGTAAATTGACATATAAGCAGTTGTGAATGGGCAGGGAAGTAGCCGGGCCAACCTAGATCTTCAACGGCTTCTCTGAGATAGGTGAAATCAACGTTTGAAGTGAGATCACAATCACCGGGCTGATCGAACACGTCGACGAGCTTGTGGTTGCTAAATGCCTTCGCAGCCGCGGTAAAAAAATGCAAATTGACCTTTCTCATGCGACTTACTCGAAATGAATCCCCAAACACATGGTCATCTCCGTAGTCAATAATAAGACCACAACCGCCAGGCGACCGCGATGATTCATCTTCCTGATTCTTTACATTTCCCAACAACAGTTCTCCTACTTGCCTAGCCGTCCTGAAAGATGTTGGAGAAACCTCGATTGAGGAGCCTATAGGTATTTCCGAAAACCTGGGTGAAGATTGGCCCAAGAGAGTAGATGTAGCTGAGGGCGAGCGAGAAAGAACCCTACGCAACCGAGAATTTGAATTTGTGGTGGTTTTCAGAACATTGGGTTTTTCAACGTCCGTTTGGCAATCCCCAGTCGCATTGTAGTCAGGGTTCGCATCAATGAGTACCTCATGCCACCCAGTTTCGGTTTTCTGATGTCTCGTTCGTCAGTCGTGTGGGTGAATGTCTTGAAACACTCACCTGAAGAGTGTGTATTGGCAATGCATCGAAAAATTCATGGGCGAAAAACATTGTGTACTCAGAAACGCTGGGTGGGATGTCGCTCACGGAATGATGCCAGTGAATGTCAAACTTTGCTTGTCGTGAAGATGAACACAGTTTTGCTTCTTGCAAGGAACGCATTGAAGAGCTCGTTTCAACGAGATGTACGTTGATGGAACTATTTCCAGGTATTATCCGCGAGATGACCTAGAAATTTAAATTTACATTTTTGAAAGTGAATCGTAGGAAACCAGAGAGACGAACTCGTAGGACATCGTCCATCAGCGTGCCCCTGCCTGGACCAAGTTCAACAAGTCTGACAGCGGCAGGCCGTCCCGCATTTTCCCATTGAGACAGCAACCAGACACCAACGAGCTGTAATCACTAGCCGATCATTACCTCTGAGACTCTCACAAGAGGTAAAAATCCTTCATACCTCTCCGAAAACCTGACTGATTTCAGGACTCGTAATAAAATCGCCTCTTGTTCCGAAAACAGGGTGTGACGGGTTCATGTAATATCCATGTGTAGGGTGGGAGAGGCATAGTTGCATGTACGTTGAAAAGGGGATTGGACCTGTTGCCTTAATACTCTGTCAACTCCTGCGTACAGAGGTTTAAAGAACGCGTCAAATACCTTGATACCGTCAAGGATGATTTTTTCGACCTTTGACACGCTAGCAGACAAATTGTGATTCATTCGCCGGGAAGGGCGGAAATAGGGTCTTGAGCATGGCGAAAAAACAGTCCTCAAGGCTCGGCTCGGAAAGATTCGATGTAACATAACTCGGTGCATTCAACAGAGGTGGCGGAACCGGCTTGTGACGCAATGTGACTGGATCTTTTTCTTTTTATTAGCGCGATCATTCTGAGTTATCTAATCCATCTGAAAGCCTCCTATCCATACCACTACAACCATGGCTACCCGTATGCTTTCCTTAGCTTCTATTTGACGTCGCATCTCAACGGTTTATAGGTCTCCAATTTGAAAACAGCAGTGACATCGGTGTTTTCTCAAAATTAACAAACAGCTACTGCCTAGCTGCAATCCAAGGCAGCACAAATTTCTACTCCGCGTTTGAAAGCGAACTCGGAGATGTTATCCCAATAGTACACACCAGTATTGGAGGAACGCGAATCATTGGTCGACTTACGGCTGGTGCAATACTTCACATTTATATGTATCATCAACTTTACTCATTATCTTTCCACTAGGCAATCGGCACGGACTTCTAGTCCCTTCCACAACGACAGACCAGGAACTACAACATCTGCGCAATTCGTTACCTGACACTGTCGCGATTCAGCGTGTCGAAGAACGTCTATCTGCATTGGGAAATGTTATCGCGTGCAACGATTACGTCGCCATGGTGCACCCAGATGTAGACAGGGAGACCGAAGAAATTATTGCTGATGTCCTCAAGGTTGAGGTGTTCCGGCAAACAATTGCAGAAAACGTTCTCGTTGGAAGTTACTGTGCGATCACGAATCAAGGTGGTCTCGTGCACCCAAAAACTAGTGTACAGGATCAAGATGAATTGAGTAGTCTCCTCCAAATACCTCTGGTGGTACGCACATTTATCTCTTTTTTTATCGGGTAGATAAATTGATCTCGAACCCCGAAAGGCTGGCACGGTAAACCGAGGTTCAGACGTTATTGGCGCCGGCCTTGTCGTAAACGATTGGTGTGCGTTTACCGGCTTGGAGACAACGGCAACAGAGATCAGCGTGATTGAGGCAACGTTCAGTAAGTCCTTGAAGGTTTGGCACTTGATTCGATGATATTGATCCCATCCCCAGAGCTCCAAGGACAGGATTCAACAGCAGTAATCGGGGAGATGCGCGACTCACTGATAGACAACTGGGCTTAATACTACGTTGCATGCGTCTTTCAACCTATATCATCATGTTGTTTGCGGCCTCGCTATCGGCCACGCACACAAAGCACGCCGAGTCAGATCACAGTTGCAACCAGATCACACAACAATTCAAGCAGACGATGAAGCTTGTCAACTGTGTACGATGGATTTTCCGTCTGTTTTTAGCTATACCACTGCCAGTACATGTCAAGTCGATTACATCGGCCATTTGAACTTTATCATGTACCCGATATATTGATTGACATTTGTGTGGCGCCGCTGGATTGCCGCTGGACCATCGATAAACCTTTGCGTGCCACTCCTTCGAATGTCAATTTGAACGTTATCGTTGAGTTCAGTCCTCAAAGGTGTTTTCCAATGGTCCACCCCGCTATTACTCCACGTACATGCGAAGTTTGTCGCAAAGGCGAAGAGGAGGTCACACTTCAACGGTGCTCCACTTGCAAAGAGCATAATTACTGCAGCGAGTTTTCAGCGACTCTCTCACCCTCAACGCCACTAACTCAGTCTGTTGTCATCAGGCACCGCGTGTCAACGCGCCGACTGGCCCACTCACAAACTTACATGCAAGAAACCAGTCGTGTGGTACGATAAGCACCGCAGGTGTCGAGACGGAAACAAGCACGAAGGGCGCTTGGAACTTATCACTTGGTCTTGCCCATTAGAAGAAACGGGATGGGGACATGTCGTTGAAAACGAAGCTGCCGATTTCAAGCGAAAGTTTGAAGTTCAGTATGGTGGTAACGAAGAGAGGTTCTACAAGTACTGGCCGCAGGGATTCCGCTGGACGTGTTGTGGCACAGACGCTGGAATGGATTATGGATGTGATCATCATGGGTCAGGCACGCAGCCCTGTACTTGTGACTTTTGCAGGTTAGTCAAGGGGGTGCTTCAGCTTGAGCAACTGCACACTGACTCCATTATTGCTACAATTTAGGATGGGTTCACCTCTCCCTGAAAGAATTTACGGTGAACAGAGCGCATCGCGGATGGGCCTTGCCCTCAGGCGTGGCCCAGACCGGCGGTCTTTCAATGCCGGCCTAGCAGCGATGTCTGCGACTATGCGTACAATGATGGGCTTGGAAATGTAATACCCGACTCTTGTGTGAATTTGAATTTTGCTGTTTGCTTGCTTCTTGCTTCTTGCTACTGTCACTGTCAGCCTCATGCTATCCTCTCCCTTTGAATATTCGCCTTCAACTTGTCCGACGACCTCGTCTTACAGTCATGATTCCTTGTCGTGTAAAACGTAAACCGCCTCCAGCCATCTCCGTCGCAGAACGTTTTCCCTCGCCGGACCCTTCTGATCCGTTTGCGCCTCTCTGGGTCCTCAGAAGTAGAATAGCTAGCCAACAAGATCGCCAACATTCTATCGAGCTGAGTCAGGCAACACAAGCCACCCAACGTCTGTCGCCGGAATATCGTCTTTGTGAAGTTCGAGACGGGGAAAGCAGTGGCACTGAAAGCGATACGACTGTGCCCCATGTCAGGTTCAAACCTGTCCGGCGACCTTCTCGTGGCGGATCTGTCAGGCAACCTTCTCATGGCAGACAGAACTCTCAGAGGTTTGGTCGATTCCTTGTGCAGAAGACGACACTGGACGACGCCACTACAGCAAACAAAGAGGATTACAAGCACATCCGTAAGGCCTTTATATCACGCCCTGTGGTCTCCATGGTTCTTCAAGAGTCTAAAGAAAAACGTCTGGTCCCCGTGAGCGACTGCCCGATGTACGAAACTTCTGGACCCATTCCTGAGTCTTTGAACACATACGATGCTTGCAATTCCGGGCGTTTAGGACACTCGCAATCATTCGACGCTGGTCGCGCCAAATCCTCGCGCAAGCAGTCGCTTTCCTCCTCGATCTCTGCCCCATCAAATTTCTTGAGGAAAAGAAGGGTCTCCATCAAGCCAGCAGTAGCTTCCAGCGTACTTTCCGATTCATCCTATGTCAACATATCAACTCCTTCCCCTGCACCATCATATGATCACTCTGTAGAAGATGCTTTCACCTCCCCGCGTCCTGCACCAAGTCCTCCCAGCACGCCGCCTTTCCTCGCTGGGGATTGTAATAGTAGCTGCAATGGCACTGGTTCTCTCTCCCAATCAGAGTGGGCTATTCCCCCGTTATCACAACTCAGCCACGCTGCTTCTCTTTCCATGTTCACTGAAAATGGCGATCGTATTCTCTTCGGCTCCATCTTCGCCCAACACCGCACCATTGTCATCTTTATACGCCACTTCTGGTGCCCTCTCTGCCAGGATTATATGTCGTCCCTCTCGTCTCTCGTGAAGCCTGAGATGCTACAGTCAAACAAGGACTCAATTCAGGAGGTGCAGTTGGTGGTCATCAGCAATGGAGCGCACGCCATGATTGGAAAATACCGCAAGATTTTCCAGCTGCCGTTCGATATATACACAGACCCTTCGCTTGCGATCTATACCGCGCTGGGAATGGGCAGGGACAAGGGTGGTCATGCGCGAGAGCATGGTCGTCGTCATCATGGCAGCATCTCGGACGGTTTGGCGATGAGTGCTCATGGATATATCGAAGAACAGGAAACCACCGGTGATGAAGACTACGTCAAGCATGGACTGGTAGGCGGGATTGCCATGGTCGTCGTCAGAGCCTTCAAAGTAGGCATGCCTGTATGGGAAAAGGGTGGTGATATTGGACAGCTTGGCGGCGAGTTTGTTTTTGGACCTGGGTAAAGCGACCACTTTCTATATCATTGCATTTGAGTTGATGTTTCGCTCCACTAGATTGACGTGCTCTTACGCGCACCGTATGCAGAACACGAAAGGTCACGCACCTATCAGAGATGTGCTCAAAGCTGCTGGCGTTGTTTTGCCGTCACTACAGCCTCACCAAGAGAGTTGGAAGGTCCATGCAAAACGAAGCGCGAACCAGTCATTCCGACGACTGAGCGTCCGACGAAATTCAACAAGCAAGAATGGAACACTTAGGCGGGATTCTCTATCGGACGCACTGGCAGCGAGGAGAGCGAGTGAACAATGGATGGACAACAGACAAAAGAGTTTGGAATTGTTACGGGAGAGGAAGAATCGGCGGCGAGGCCACGGTTGTACCGTTGGCCTGTATGAAAGTACCAGCTCAGGCGTGAGCGGCCTCTCGGACGAGTTTACGACGGATGAGCGATTTGGGGATTTGACGAGGCAGTAGCATGTATTTCAATCACGATCCTTGCATGAATTATGTTTTACAACTATGGTATGACATCTAGAATCCGACATATGTATATATTGTCCCTCCAGCCACCGCAAGCTAGAATGCCCGTCATGTTCGAGGGACAGGCTCACATCTACCGTATGGAGAGCCCGTCGACGTATCAGGTTCCAACATCAGCTGTTGTCCTTCGTCAATAGAAGAAAAATGGAGAATTGAAAAAATGACGGACTCGAATAGTTTGAATGGTCGTATATGCCGCAGCGATCAAACCAAAGACGATCATTGCCATATCTGCCAGTTTCTGCTTTCGTGTATGTGCACAAGCCCTGTAATGCAACATTGCAGGATATACATAGCACAGCGGCACGCTGAAAAGAAAAGAAAAATTGAACGAAGAACAAGGAACATGCATGCAGCTCGTACCAAGCGAAGCTACCAACGAAGGCAACAAATTTATCCAAATCAGCTGCACCGAGCCAGCTGATGATCGTGCAGATGGCCACCATACCAAACCTGAAGCAATTCTTCAGCCACTTGACTTTGGGATCAGCCTTTCCGCTTCGCGTAAATATCCCGTTCTCGAGGATCCGAACGGCTGGGAATAACTGGAGCGGCACTGAAAGGAGGATAGCAAGTGCGTAAAGGAGTTGGACCTAGCCAACATCATGAGCAAAAAGCGAATAGACGATAAACCCAAATGGTCTTACTGATTGCACCATCTTACTCGACGAATCGAGGTTTACAAGGACTACAGTCTGAATTTCTGATCCGAATGTAAGATACGCGAGAATGCCAGCGCCTCCGAATAGGACTACCCGCAGAAATGAGAAGCGTATGACGAAAGCAAAACAAAAGCACGTACCCATTAAGAACGCCATGACCCCTGTCAACGTCGCCGGGAACTTGTGCGGTTCACGCATTGCGTCAGTGATCGGGATGACCTAAAAGACGGGTCAAAATAAGAACGAGTCAGATTCGGTAGTCATACCAAACCAATCCCTTCAAACGAGAAAACTGCTGTGCTGGGATGGAGATAAATTATTATTTTCACGTCGATCAGCTCGCAAAACTCACCCAATAAACAAAGGGAAATCCTTTGGATTGAAGAGTTTGACTTCCGCAATTCCACGTTGCGCGATGAGAGAAATCTCGCTCCCAAAAATATATACCAAACCGACCAGTATAAAGCCGTCTGCGATGAGTGCTGTTGTGCTTAGTTTTGCCAGATCTCGGATCAAAACCAGTGGCAGAAAGACGCAGAGCTGCATCACAATGAAGTATTGAACGGGTATTAGTTTTGTGCAATTGGTAACGCCCATGACGAACGCCTTTAAAAGATGCGTGTCAGAAAATTAAACCCGTAACACCAAAATATAATGATGATTCTACCTGAAGGTTCTCAGCGACGAAGATTGTGTATGCAGCAACAAAGCCCAGTTGGGAAACAACGATTGACCCAAGAATCAAATAGCGCATCCAGGGCCCATACATAGCTCCGCCAATGTCTAATAATATAAGTCAAACAGAGGAGTAGGAATGCGAGAATTGACGGACCTCCAAAGCTTCCACGCACGACAAACTTCGTTTTGACGAGGAGAAGGAAAGAATAGAGCGATATACAGGCGATAAAAATGAAAGTTAAGGTGGAGAAGAGAAGGCCCCCGTTCAGGAACCTAGAGCACCATCAGTTAAAATGTTGTCGATATTCAAACAATCACCCACGCCTTGCCCAAAAAAAGAACGCCAGTCCCTATGAAGGACTTTAACAGCTGTAGGGATACTGGTTGGTCCTAGAATGCGTGAATCGATAAGGAAAAGGAGATACCATTAAGACAGCTTGGGTAACGGTGGCATTTCCAGCCGGTCCGACAGAATTGCGCCTGCGGCGAGAACGCGACCTCGACCTCGACACCGTTGAAGATGTGAGCAAAGGTGTGGTTTCCGCAATATCGGACAAGCTTGCGGTCAACGTCGTAGATGGTACGCCTGCGTCAGCTTCCTCGTCGTCCTCTTTGCCTTCGTCTTCGTCCTCTTCAAGGTCCTCTCCAGCCTGGAAAACGGAATTACAATGGATGAAGATTGCGCAAGGATGAAAGCGACATACAAAATGGCCAAACAAGAGCAAAAAGTCGATAAAATTATTCAAAATTTGGGGTTCCTCGACTCCCTGCTCGTTGGCACGTAATATCATGTAATTTCGTCTAAAGCCACCAGGCTCGTGAATATGCTCAAAGGCGGTAGGCGGGGGTTGACTCGGACCAGCGAATGAAATCGAGCGAACCCTGCCAGCTTGACGCCGCTGGTCAGCATGCCATTTATAAATGTCATGGCTTGTGTCTCCTTGAGAAAACATCGTAGGGTTTAACACATGAGGGACTCACGTTACATCAGCCCCAGGAGCATCATATGGAATGGGAAACGGTTCGGAGTCCTCTCTCCTGGGGGTCTTAGCCCCGCCCGCAGACGATCTCCTTGAACGTGAACTACCAGGCTTTGAGCCATTTAAACTCCCGAGGTCCGACCCTGTTGCTGACTTGGCCTCGAGTAGAGCTTTCGTGCGTAGGTCCTTGGGCACTAAATGTCTGCCCAATATTTTGGCTTTTTCCTCGTCTGGTAGGTCGTCCAAATCAAATACGGGTGGGGTGTCGGAACCAGGTTGGCGAGATGCCGAAAGGCCGCCTACAGCCTGAGGAGCCGGACGGCGAGGTGGCGAGTCAGAGTGAGGTACTAGAGACACGGCTGGAGATCCGACTCGATTGCTGAGGGGCGTCTGGGTAGCTCTCAGAGGAATGTTTGGTGGAGGGGGAGTGCCTGCATACTGTGCACGAAGAGCGCGAAGGTCCGGAGTGCCGAGGGACGGTGTATACGACGATGGAATCGCCTCACTGTCCTTAATGTTGGCAGGCTTGATTGTGACAGGCAGTGAAGGGGAGGCCATGATTAACGAGTTGTCAAAGTTGCCTGCTCAACTGCTACTTATAACTTACGTAAACGGCTTTAACTCACCCCACGTGGCTGTTCTTCTGTTTTTTACCCACTGAACAACAGTCTCTGCCAAATCTCTACCCTCTTTCTCTCGCTTCTCCACATCTATCCCTCTAGCCATATCGGATCGCTTCCTTCTCTTCAATGCTTTACACTGGGACCAAGCGTCTTCTACAGCCGATGCCCAGTCACCAGCTTCATAGGATTGGCGAGAGAGTTCAATGCCAACCCCTTCGCGATCAAGAAGCAAACGCAAACCATGTTCCTCAATGAATAATGGCCTGGAGACTACCCATTGGGAGGCATATCAATTTCGTACAAACCCCATTAATCGGCGCCAACGCACCGTAAACGAACGCGGTGCATGAATCGACACATTCCGATACGGTCCCATATCCCTAATGAAAATTCCATTGACTGCGCCAAGCGCCAAGAACAACAGAAACCACCCACCAATTTCCCTAACAATACGTCTCCAACGGCAGTGAGGTCCGGCATGTAGACATCCCTCGGAGCTACGTAAAATCCCTCGGGTAGCTCTGCATCTTCTCCTTCGCTTTGAAACGCCCACTGTTCTTTGGTCACTCCACAGACAATAGCTATCCACGATGGATCTGGTAGTAGACGCGCCTCGAATGCACCATCGTCTTTGAATTTCGCGAATGTTGAAAGTGCTGGGGTTGGAGGGGTCGTTTGAATAACAGGTATCCCGTTAATCGACAGGTTGGAATATGGCTTTGAGGCAGGAGGTGCACCAGGAACCCAGAGACGATGGCTTGTCGCAAGACGATTCGGCATCATGGAAAGATGATCGAATTTACCTGGTGTGTACGTGCATTCTGCGAGAGCAGCTGAAAGGTGCAGGTTAAAGTCGCCAAGATCTGAAATGCTAGACAATTGCCCATTATTCCACCCTCTTGTCGGAGTTTGTGTTTGATCGCCGTTAGGTTTCGGGGACAAACCTAGGTCCTCGCGACTAGAGTTACGACTACTGCAATTGCTCCCTGGTCTGCTGGGTTTTCGGAAAACCTGCCCACCGAATGACACAATGAGAATTTTTGTCGTCGACTCATCGTGAAGGTGCTTGGGAATGCCAATAGAAGAAAGCAGACTCGAACGGCCTTCAGGAGTATAAACAATTCCTTTCGAGGTCGGTGACCGTACGAGAAGCGGCGCGGATATGATTGAACGAGTGGGAAGGGGCAGGGGTGAGTTTGGAAAAGGGAGACTTGGGTGGAGTTCGGCCTCAGACGGTTTTTGACGCAGAAACGTAACAATTTCTGGATGGATCCTTTTGCTATTCGTGTCGATCCAAGCTGGGGATGGAAGTCCAGGAAAGATACTGAATGAAGGGATCGGTATAAAGCCAGGGAGAAGCACCAGGAGGTCTGCGCATCGATACCCGGTGAACATTTGCTCAACGAGGGGCTCGAGCTCTTTGGCAGAAACTGGAACGTCTGGAATCGAGTCGCTTAACCTCTCTGTGTCAACATAACCTGTGTCGTCGGAATATATTGATCCCGATTCGTCAATCATGGGAGTCGCAAAATAGCTGTATACTGAATCAAAGGAGAAGTTTGTGACCAAGATGGATGGTATTCCGGCAGCCTTTGCGGCGAGACTAAAATTCAAAGGGTATCGGCGTCCACGTGGACTTTCTAAAGAAAATGACGGACCATCCAAGGAATACAGCATCGCTTAGTACGCCTTCTGCGTGGACATCAAGCAGCCACTGTCTTTCCCTCTCTAACAAGGCATCCTTTTTGTTGAGAAAGAGTTTCAATCCTTCAATGCTCTTCTGGCGATCCACATGATATCTATTTCGAATTCAGGACGCAAGTGCCAGTGAGAGGTAACAATGGGAAAAAGACTTACGCCAACGGTTGTACTACGACAGGATCAATTTCAGCGTAGCGATAAATGGCGCCCTCGACAATGCAGTCGGCAAAAACGTGCTTTGGTGCAGAGGAAACGATATGCACTGTAAGCTCCTCGTTGAGACTGAGAAGATGTCGAGTTAAAGCAGAAACGCGAGTTGCGTGACCATAGCCTGGAACCAAGTGAGGTTAGTATGACTCTTTCGCTAGTTTTGCAGAACTCAACCATGTCCAGAACAGTAGTAAACCAAGCAGAGACTCCCTGGCTGGTCAACAACACCAGAAGTGGGAGCGGTTGCCATTAGGGTGAAGATGACGGACAGCGACCAGGACAAATTTCAAATTGAGGAGTTGTCTTCAGGCTGTATGCATGGGGGTCGGGAGGCACCTCTAGACAGAAATGTTGTCTTCATATGCCCCGATCTGAGATCATCGGAGTTACCCTTTGTGGTGCTTCTCCCGTCCAACGACAGCCAACGACCCAGGTTACCACTAAGCAACCCAGAACCACCAGCCCAGTACTCAAAGCACCAGCGTACCAAAAAGAAAGAAAATTTCACAGATAAATATGATATGATCCCATTATATACACACAATACTTGTGCTTTGTATCTTTTCAAGAAAACCCGACTTGGGTATGCCGGTAAGCCAGTCGCAACGGCCTTGGCGCGCTACGCGACTCACGCAAAGCACGACGACGACGCGATCACGTGATCCACGTGCCAAGACACGGGGACGAGCGAAGGGGGGAGGGGGAGGAAGGGAGGGACTTACACCTTCAGCAGGCTCGCATAACACCTCGTTACTCATGAGCTACCCCATCATAGTCTTGAGGAACCCAGCGAGCTCGATCTCGTCTCCGCCCTCGCCGATCCTGAGGTCGCCTAGTGATTTGAGCCAAGAGCCACTATTTAACAAAGGAGGCAGAGCAACGAACCTGGACCGCACCCCAGCCGTCCCCGTACCTCCCCGTCAACAAATCTGCAAACTCCTCACCTAGGCAAGCCCATTCATCCCAGCATAGCCTCCTTGGAAATCTTCGCCTGTCTACCTTCTTCCGTTCCCACCCACCTCATTTCTGTCCTCTCCTTCACCCCTAGCCTTCTTCCCCTTCCCTTCCACAACAATCTCCCGCATAAGGCTCCCCATACCCATTGACAACTCCTTCGCAACCTTGGAAGAGAGTACGTCCTGGTTGATCCTGAAACGGTTGTCCCGTACCAGGCAAGAGTGGAAAAGGGCGTCTATAGGTGTGGGGGGTTGGTGCTTGAAGAGGAGGAGAGAATGCTTACCGTTGAAATCATTGGGCGCGACGACGGGTTGATGCTTGTGTGGACATGGCGGAGAAGAGCAGACAAGAGGTAGTTTGGTGTTGTTTATGTGGGCTATGTCCTTGGTCGCACGTATGCACTATACGGTCTATAATACCCACCACAATGTTGTCCTTCACGCCCGACGCCGACCTTGAGCTCCTCTTTGACCCAGAACTCATTCCCGCCGATGTCAAATCTCAGCTTGGGCCCGATCTACACGTTCGTCATTGCTCAGCGACCGCTGTACAACACACTGACCCCACGCAGATACGTCCACTAGCCAAGACAGACTACACGCGCTCACACCTATCAGTTCTCTCTGTCCTCACCGTGGTAACCGATCCCGGTGTGGAGGCATACTCAGCGGCCTTTGACAAGCAGCGCCTCTCTACCTCCACTTACTTCACCCTCGTCATAATCCACAAACCCACCGACCAGATCGTCGCCGTCGGCTGTGTCTTCATCGAGCAAAAGTTCCTCAGAGGCCTTGGTAAGGTAGGCCACATAGAGGATATTGCGGTGGATAAGAAGGTGCAGGGAAGGAAGTTGGGGTTGAGGGTTATACAAGCGCTTACGGCGATTAGCGAAGGGCAGGGATGTTACAAGACGATCTTGAATTGTAGCGACGATAATATTCGTAAGTGGAGTGCATGCATGTTTGATGACCGGCTGACGCCTTTTGGGACAGCGTTTTATGTCAAGTGCGGGTATCAGAAGAAGGAGAATGAAATGGTTAGTTGGTTTTAAGCCCGCTTCGCTATGCCTTTGTTTTACCCTTTCCGTAACCCTGCCGCTCAACCACTTCTCGCAGGCAAAATACAACCTCGCGCCAGCGCAAGAGGCACAAACGCATACACCTAAACTGTAGAACAGATTCCAGGTGCTGGACGTCAAACAAAACGCACGCAAACTACGTAACGGTGAAGTTGTACTTGGACATTGACTTGGACTTGGATTTGAACCCCATACATATTTATTAGGCCGAGGGCCTTAGCTTGTCGCGTTAGTGTTGAATTAATATTTACATTTTCATCGAGTTGTCCCCGCATCCTTTCAGATGATCAGGACAACGATCACATTCAAACTAGGGCGGCAGAAAAAAAAAACTCAGAGTCATTCAACATTGTCCTCATCACCATGCTCCTCCTAAATCTGTCGCCAATCACCAGATATTCTGTCGGAGAAGTTTTTCAATCAAGTCGATGTCTGTGTTTATATGTTGAACGCGCTCGAAAGCTAAAGTTCAAACTGCATACACACCTCCAGCGCTGTCACTTACTCCAGTCATACTTTCGTTCTGGGCCGTGGTTTACGTCTGCCACATTTGCCTTCAAGGCGCGGAACTCGCAGACATCCGCAGCTTTGAGTTCGAGGCGACAAAAGCCTTCCGAGTCGGGGAGCTCGTCAGGATTACTACACAGGAATAAGTCGTCAGTTCCATTGCGTATTCGCTCCGCTCGCTTCTGCCATGCGTTACTCATGGCCTTCTTCTCACGACCAGCCGTGGCGAAGACCCAAATTGCGTGCAGCATATTGCATCCGCCAAAGATGCCCATGGCAACTGCGAGACGGATGGCTTTAGCTGGTTGTGGCGAAGGACATGATGATTCGAATGCATTTGCTATTAGACCCATGACAGCAAAGAGGATTGTCCTACGTGCCTTCAGCAAAAAAAGGATAATTCCTGGCTACTTAATACTCACCAAAGCATCCAAGTGAAAGGAAGGGCAATCAAATCAACTTTCCACCAAAGGCCGGTCTTGAACGATGTAGGTTTGACGGCCTAGAAAGTTGCAGAAATTAATTGACGCCATTACATCGGAGAAGACATCCTGACAAGCGTCCACTCAATGGCCAGGAAGCTCTCGTCCATGTGGTTGAACTTTTCAAACAATGCGAGACCAGAGCAGAATCCATTGAAGGCTGAAATAAAGCACCAAGATAAGAGCATTCGGGCCACAGAAAATGAACTGGCATGATGGTAATATAGGTTTAAACCTGTCAATCTTAGGATCCATACGTTTTCAATGGAAGAGTTAAAGATATTTTGAATGCACTACGTACAGGGCAACCACTCCGCAGATGACCGCCGCTGCAGCGGCATCATTTTCCATTTGTGCTTGAAAGACCCGCCACCGTTCCTTCAAGGAAAATATGAAGTGCAGCTCAGATGACGGAACAGTCTGCCGTTGTTGAGAGGGTGGAGTCTCCCCTCCACTGCCTGTTTCGTTTGCCATTGCAAGTATTTCCGGCAACGACGACACATCGAAAACGCGATCTAGGACTCGAGCAACATGAACACGATATGCTGACCAGCTTCCAAGGGAGAGGAAACGGTAAAATTGCATGAGAGATGTGGACACAATGTACTTGTAGGAGAAATTCAACGGTGGAGCAGGGAAAATGCTGTCCTTATATGTCGAAAGCTTGCCATTTCCATAGCCAGAGTAAAGCTTGTAGTAGGGCGAGAGGTGCGATTCATAAAGCTTAGCCAGATTCCCTGGATCCGTAGGGCGGTGGTCTACCATGTCTTGCGGTAAAAGATGGGCGTTACATTTGACTGCTGGCCGCGTTAAAAGCGAACATCAGCGGCGCTTGAGCTGCGCACAGACCTCGGACAGATTAGCGCATGAGGATCCCTCTCTAATTATAACAACACCAAATAAGGGTTGTGTTTGAACCTTGCCACCTCCGTACACCGACCTGACGGGCTCGGTAGTGCGTATTTTTCTCTCCGAGAATATTTGGATTCACTTTCGAGGGTCGAAAAGGAAGGCCGGCAAAGTTTTTTGAAGATTGCAAAATAAAATAAAAAATGGTTGTGTCCCGGCCTTCATACATTTTACCATCTTCATTTGCCGGACCTTGTATAGATGCAACAACGCCACGTTCTTACAACGTTCTCTACATCGACCTCCAAGCGTCATTATCATAGATCAGCATTGTTCTCAACGATGGATCACAAACATCCAAAGGATGTAATGAAGTCGCTCTCCTTAGATCCACGACTCTCTTCCGTTCCACCCCAGGTGCAAAATGCAGCCTTGGACTCGGGCAACACTCGTGCTCGCCCTACATCGATACCCCCTTCTATGAACAAACACAGACGTCTTCCAAGTGATTCTCAACCTTCCAAGACCTCTGCGACTGGCCCATCTGTAGATCTCGTGGAGTTAATAAAGCGGTCCGAACCTTCTGTGGTGAAAGCAAGGACAGGAAGTGTATTGTCAAGAGGCTTCATATTGAAGACGGATCATTACCCATCTGGTTAGAGCTCTAGCTTTATTCCATTCAACTCGTTAACGCGATGTCAAGGTCGTGCCCTTGATCTGGACCTTAACGTTCACGGCGCACCGAACTTTAGAGCTCCTCGTATCGGTGGCCTCAACGTCTTTGGTGCTGCACAGCCGCGCACTCAAGGTCTTCGGGCAATCCTATCTATACTTGGCTGTCGTCCAAACACGCCCAATCCATCTCATGTTGTGTGGTTCTCAACGCGGGAAGAACCTATAGGTACGTTTTTCCACCTTCAGGTTGCACCTTTAAGGGGGGTATCGTTGGAATGGTGCATGTTATCCCAGGCCATATTCTACACTGTCGTGAAAGTTCAAAGAATTGATTGCATCCCACTCTTCTACCTTAGTCTATATCTCTGGTCGACCTTTTGTGTTGCGAGATGCGTCTGAGCCACGGCGCACACTTGCCCTGTCTGACCGCGCGGAAAACCTTGAAGCTATTGAGAATAGGCTGAAGAATGACATTCTTCAAGAGGCAACAAGGTGTGTTGCGAATTCGGGGAATGGGAACTATAATGTATCACCTCAATAGATATGGTGGAGTGGTTCTTACCCACAATGAAGTCGGTGCGCAAAGTTTCAATGATGGACAATCATTCCTTGAAATGTATTACAGCGGCGGATAGCGGCGAAGGAGCGATTTTACCTACGTGGACTGCTGTTGACAATAACAATGTCAAGACATCTCGTGAACTGTGGGAGTACATGAAGAGTCAAGGGTGGAATGTAGACGTTCGTCCTTTTATGAACTTTATCTTCTTGCCATCTTTGACGCGGTTCAACGCTAGTATCACCGGTGCAGTTTCCTCTCAACTTATCCTTAATGGGAAACTTAGGTTTGAGTTTAGCATTCCCATTTCTCCAGATCGACCCATCGAGGTAAGCCACCTTATCGTTGATACTTCAAGTAAATGTATAAACCTTTGCAGGACAATTACCTTGATGCGTATCTGCGCGTTATCAAGGCGACCGATCCATTGGAAACGGCCTTAGTGTTTTCATGCGGCATGGGCGCCGTCCGTACAACATTCGCAATGATTGCAGCATCCTTAGTCAGGCGGAAACAACTTATCTCTCGGGGAATGCCTGATCCATATGCATTGAAACCTGTGAACGGACCCATACCCATCTCCAGTCCAGGATCCAACACGGTGAGCAAGGCACCCCTCTAGTATCTGGTTCTGGCCGTTGATATTTGCATAATCGCCGTAGCCCACTAGCATGGTAGATATCAATCCACTTTCTGTGAAAATGTATATTCACATCATTAAAGCCAACAGAGTCTAGGATTCTACTTTCCCTTGAGCAAGCCAATGCGCAACAGGAGCTCAGCAGGTCGCTCCTTCGATTAACCTACCTCATTCAACAATGTAAGCTTTGATTATTGTATAAACTGCTCACGGCGATGATTTCCGCAGGCCTGCAGCAGAACAATTCCCAATCTGCTATCGAGTTGCTCATGACGCAACCGACACTTCTCGAAAATCTTCGTAAAGCGCACATGGGTAATTATAGTGTAGTCCTAAGCTTGCTGGGATGTTTAGACCACGGCTTACAGGCGAAAAAACTCGTGGACCGTATCATTGACACCAGTAGGTTTATCAAGAGCATATATCACAAACAATGTGTTCACTTCACCATATTCAAGCCGACCAGGTCACTAATCTGCGCGAAGATATCTTGACGTACAGATTGAAATATTCCCTTACCAGTCTGGGCGAGGCAACGGGAGAGGATTTCCTCAATAAAGCCGTGAAAGCTCTGGAAAAATAGTGCGGAAAATCCTGTTAACCTCTAAATTTACACTCTTAATGGAAGCTGTCTAGTTTCTTCATGATTGCCTTCGCGAGCTTTGTTGATTCCCAGGACAATTTCAATGAAAACTTCTCTGATTGGTTGAAGGTTAGTCCAAGTCTACGGATTTCTCATTCATTACTAATAAGCCTCCAAGGCAAGGTCTGAGATTTGGACGTGCGTTCCGTTTTCGCAGGCGTTGAAACGTCGTTGTACTAATGATGTATTCCATGGATGCTAGCCAAGTAATGTTCCTTCGTAAATCATACGGCTCGCGGTTGAACGTGTTCGCGCCCGTGAACAATTTGTCGACCCTTTCCAAGACCGGTTCCGAGCAGCGATCACTCGTTCCTGGGAAGAGGAATGACGTTGCCATTGCTGGGGGCCAGATCCTTGGAGATGAATACTCCGATCATGTGGTCAAGGTGCAAGGCAATTTTTCCAGTGTTAGGGTTTTGTTTTGACAGCCACTCAACAGAATCGGAGTGGTATTATTTTGAGAGAGAGGTGAGTTACATTCAACTTCTTGGAGAAAAGCTCTAAAGCCCAATGGATGTACAGCACACTTCTGAAGTCTGACCAATGGCTCCGCGAATCACACCACGTCGAGCATGGGGTACGAGGCGCCATTAATTTTCGGCAAGTGCCCGGTACCAACATCTATGCATTGGGGCAACCCACAACCGAGGCTATCGACGAGGTGGTCCAGCGTATCAGGCGAGAACATCCATCTTCGCAAAAGGTTGTCTGGATCACTTTGCGAGAAGAGCCCATTGTTTATATCAATGGCGCCCCTTATTGCTTGCGAAGGGAAGGGTTTTCTTTGAGAAATATGAAAGGTAGACTTTTCTTTTTCTTTGAATTACTGGTACCTTTCTCATGATTGAACCAGATTATGGCGGCATTTCTGCATCTCGATTGGAGGTTTTGGAAGAAAGATTGAGAGACGACGTTATCGCGGAGCTGACTGCGTTTGGAGGGAGGTGAGGTCGTTTTCGATCAACTACAGCAGACAACCGATCCTGCGACTACAGACTTCTCCTTCACACGGAGACCACAGATGGCACAGTGGTGCCGGTGTGGGAAGAAGTTAAAAGCGAAGATGTTCTTGTCTTGAAGGACATCATGGCATCTCAGCATAGTATCGGGGATGCCATCCTCCAATACAACCGGATTCCTATCACTGCAGAGAAGCCTCCAGATTTTGCGGATCTTACTGATTTAATTGAGGTAGTGTTGCGGACGCCAATGGACGTTCCAATTGTGGTGAATTGTCAGCTCGGCCGAGGAAGGAGTACCTTAGCATCTGTATGTTTCTACTCTGCATTTTGTTCACTGATTTATCTTCAATGATTTCGATCACAGATTATACTGCTACTCATCAAACAATGGCTGCAGATACACCTATCCACCACAACCCCTCCCCCTCGACGTGGCAGGCGATCAACCTCCATGCTGTCCGCACCGAATGTAGAGTTGCCGAAGATGCGACACTCATATCAAGTAATTAACAGTAAGATATGGCACCACAGCAGTCATCAGCTAACACTCAATGACTCCCAGACCTGTTACGTGTTGTCCGCAAAGGGCCTGCGGTGAAGAGTTCGGTCGATGACGCAATTGACCAATGTTCTGCTGTCTACAACCTCAGAGAATCCATAGAGGAGTCTCGCGTACTGGCAGAACGGTCGACCGACGAGAAACAGAAACGGACTCACGTCTCAAAAGGTATTCGTTCAATACAATAAAGTTAAGATTGGTTGTTGATACAAGATATAGGCCTGCACAACCTTCGACGTTATTTCGAGCTGATTGTGTTCCAATCCTATCTGCAGTCAACTGAACCTGACACGATGGAGTCCTTCGAGAGTGTGGAGACGTTTGTCAAGAATCGCCCAGGTTTGCGTTTTGCTCGTCATTATGCTGATCACAGTACCCACTTCTTTGTCTAGTTATTAAAACTTTCGAAAAGGAGCTCCTCAGCGCCGGCTTGGATGCCCTGAAGCCCCTGGAACGCTCTACGTCCAAAGAAGGTGTTGCAAACCCAGATGAAGTCACGAAAGTGGTTGTCAACCGCTCCGGCAGCATCTTGTCTGCATCCACCATCCTGAAAAGCGATTTCTTCTCCAACTTGCAGAAAATGACACTTCCTGAGTACGATTAGAGTATCACTCCTTTTCTCTGACTGATGATGTATGCAGAAGGATCGAAGGGTCGCCAAACTTTCGCAGAGTTCCTATGGGTCTGCGCCCCATAGTTTCTGGGCAATCTCCTTCTATGGATGGAACAGATTTCGTGGTCGACGACTCCAGTAAGAAAGTATGCGGAAGGTGAGGTTTTTTTCCAAGGTCAAATATTCTTTTTCTCATTCTCAACAGTGGAATGCCGACAGTAGAGGGGTACGTACGACACTATCTTGAGGTGTTTCTTCTATGAGCTCTTTGCTTCTGCTGCGATAGATTGAAACGAGCTCTCGAACGAGTTGATGCGGGTCCAGGTGGCAAGAACATAGTTTATTGGACATCATTGCGAGAGGTATGTTAATTTACGAATTTGTAACAGCTTTTTGATCGATTTGTTGAGGAACCTGTGATATATGTCGCTGGAAGGCCGCACGTACTTCGCTTAGTCAATCGGCCCTTAGAGAATCTTGAGTAAAACCATTTCATTAGAAGCCTGCCCGAAACAGTTAATCGCCTTCACAGAGCTACGGGTGTCACAACCGCGATGGTGGAAGGGATGGAAGCGAGCTTTAAGAAAGATGTGTTGCGCGAATTGCGTGAAGGAAACGGCAGGATTCTCTTGCATGATGAAGTGGAAGAACGACCTGGAGCCTTCTCAATCATACCTATCTGGGAGATAGTCTCGGAAGATGAAATTCTCACTCCTAGAGATGTATTCCAACACATTGCAAAGGAAGGATATCGGGTAAGGAACATACCTTTCGAACGAAGTCCAGTTACTGACTACTTCTCAGATTGACTACGGTCGTGTCGCCATCGTAGGCCGTCATTTTTAGATTCGTATTTATGTGCTCATGAATTGAAGACTGACGAGCAAGCACCCCTTCCTGGCGCACTCTTCCAACTCCTCAACCGCATAAGATCAGGTATCTCAGAAGCAGGCGATTTCGTGTTCAATTGTCAGATGGGCCGGGGCCGGACGACAACGGGCATGGTTGCTGCGTGTTTGGTAGCATCGACGATGAAATTCGGAGAGCAGCAGAACGACAAAGTGGCCGAAGACCTCGCCACGGAGATATACGACCCAATGGATGGCCCATCGGAAGAAGAAGCCTATCTTGCGGGTATGTTCAGGCTTTGAGCGATATTGAATCATTCCCTGACAACCCTGCGAAGGCGAGTACAAGACAATCTTGCAACTTGTTGGGATTCTCTCGCATGGGAAGGTCGCCAAACGGATGACGGACCGTGCAATCGACTTGATGCAAGATGTCCAGAATCTTCGCAAGGCAATATACGAGTATTATCTGTCCTCCCTTGATTGTTATGCATAACCTCAAAGATCTTTCATAGTTACAAGCTCAAGGCAGAAGCCTGCGAGAAGGGTAGTGCTAAAGGGCGCCAACTTGTCAACATCACCGTGAATTATCTGTGCGTTGTTCAGTTTCGAGCACTTTTGCGTTTTTACATCATGCTTATCTCGCGGTCAGATATCGCTACGGCACACTCATCGTCTTTGCCAACTACCTCATAGAGATGCGGGAAAAGCAGGGGTTCGGTGTCACCTTCCCAGAATGGCTCCATGAACACCGTGAAATCACCAAACTTCTTGAACGGAGGTCTCTCGACTAGTGTCAATTTTTCGGAAATTGACATGATCGTCATCAAGTAATCTTGTACATTTGTTACTGTAGCATCCACCCCAAAGTTCTAGCTGCAAAGTTCGTGACTTGTGCGAAGGTTATGTGTGAGGCGTCGAAATCATGACATATACAGAGGGTATATATACGCCGTCCAAATTCAAAAAATGGCACGAACTAAGCCTCCACCAATCGCGGCACCTATGAAACATGAAGATGATATACCGATAGAACCTAGGTAACTCACCAGCACCAAAACCAACACCGCCAGCCGCAGCTTGACCCATCTAAAAGACCACATGCCATCAATTTCAAGTCGGTGTTGTTACGGCTAACATGACGGACCGTATTTCCATATTTCCCAAACCTGCTCTTCTTCTCCTCTGTACCCTCTTTCTCCTGTAGACCCAATGAATTTACACCCTGCCCTGCTGGTGGTGGCACATCGGAGCCATGAAGCGCGGCACCGAAAGGCTTATAGGGCTTTCTAGCCGGAACCGCAGCAGCTGCAGCCGGTGCAATCCTCTCAACGTAGCTTGCTGGAAACATCGCTTGTTTGCCATTGAATTTTCCCACCCACCAGTCTGCATTCGTCTCTTCGACAATCTCGATAATGTCGCCGGAGGAAAATGACAAGTCGTTGGGATCCTTGAATTGATGTCAACACCACCCCCCCTTGATGAGCACAAACGTGACTGCGCTACTCACCTGTCCATTCTCATTGTAGGGCCACAATGCCTTTGCTTGTTTCACACCCGGCGCTACGGGAGCAGCTCGGGGCGCAAGTGGCATTCTTGCGATACCATTTGTGATCTGGGTGACGCCATGATTTGAATTCGGGAGCTTTGTGAGGATGGCAGATGCATCTGCCTGGGATATATAGGCATGGGATGCGAGAAACTGTACGTTTTGCTCGACCTGCGAGACGACGTGGGCCAATAGTGCAGCAGCTTGAGAGTCTTGAGGAGACATGGGGATATGTGGCTGTGTTGGACAGTTCTCTAAAAATTACCACGATGCCCTCTGTAAATCTGGTCAACGCTGTTCCAACATTTGTTTCTCTAGAAGAACATAAAACTCTCGTTGCATCCACTCCAGCATCTTTCAATGACATCCCTCCAGTTCTCCGACACAAAGAAGACAACGTCGTAGTCACCTTGAATCCCCCTCTCGATGCTTTTGATGGTGCAACAGGCACCCTCTATGTCCTGACCAGGTTAGCACAACTCTTTTTAATTTCTTGCCTCACCATTAACCCATCAATCGTCCAGTGTACTCGTTTTTATGTCTTCTGCTGGTCATGGCTTCCAGATTGAGTATCCAGCTATCACCCTACATGCTGTTTCACGCGCAGATTCACGACCATCTATCTACTGTCAACTCGACGAAGCCTATGGACGGGATGTAGCGGCATCAAATGAGGACGAAGATGACATGCGCGAACTTAACATAGTTCCTCAAAATGCCGATTCGCGTACGTTTCCAATTTTTTAAGGTACGCACAATCTAATCTTTTCGGATAGTCGATCCTATCTTTGAGGCTCTTTCCCAATGCGCGGCCCTTCATCCAGACAAGCTCTCCGATGAAGATGATCCGGATGATGCCTTCATTGATGCCGATGGCTCAAACTTTGAGGTCTTTACCGGAGACGAAGATCAGGAACTCAGCGAAGTCGGGAGGGTGCGCAGCGCTTTTATCAACGATTCTCGATATGCGCCATACTAGACCCTTTTTTTTCTGTTTTCCCCACCGTGTGTAGGCGGCCCTCGCTCACTTGGAATCTATCATTGACTATCCGGCATCTCATGATCATTCGAATAGCACAGCGGACGACGTGGAAGGGAGTGACAAAGATGCCGAAGCCCAGACGATTGAGCCGGAGACGAAGCAGTTACAGTAATACAAAGGACAATGGGTGTATCTAAAAGACGAACTCCCCCGCAGCGTAGGATGTGCAAATCATTAACTTGACTTTTGACCGAATAATCCAGTGCTCAGCTTAGGGATACTCGCCGCCAATGTGGTCGGTGATGGATTATTGAAGGTCGGCAATGGACCCCAATCAAATGCAGCTGCTGGTGTTGGCGAGAACCCTGGGGTTCTTTTCAAGGGAACCGAGCCGTGCTTTTTGGTACCGCTCCCTGCGCCTCTCCTACCTGGAAGAGTCGGAGACGGGTTGAAATGGTCCTCTGGAAGTGTCCAATCTCCCAATTGCGTCTGAGGGGTAGACAGTGGAGAAAACAATGCTCCGCTCAAAGGAGTTTGGAATGCGAACATGGCGGAAGAAGAAGCTTTCTGAGGCGTCTTGAACACAGTTGGCGGAGAAGATGCCAAGGCGGCCGTATTGTTTAGCAATGGCTCCTTGCGAACAGACAAGAGCGCTCGTTTGAGCCTTTGGGCAGAACGTTCTGCATTCAATGCCGCCGCCGTCGTGACCGCAACATTTGGAGTGACGTTGTATGGTCGTTTGGAAATGGCATCAGGAAGACGACTGTCCCTTGTTTCGGGATCGCAGAACTTGCCATGTAGATTGAGCTTTGCTATGCGAGCCCCCAATTTGGCAACGTCGTTGGCCTGCTGTTGGATCGCGACGTCGATGTTCCGGTAAGTACGATTGATAGTGTCTAATGACGGTACTCTGTGCATAGAACTCAGTTACCATCAGTGAAGATATAATTCTTTCTGTACCTGAAACTTAATTTTCCTGTTGAAGACTCCGATAGTTTCTTTTTCGAAGCTTGCAAGTGTGATTCGAGTTTTTGGATACGATCTCGGAGAGTCTGTTACAGTCAATACAACTTCCCAGGGTTGGCAGGAATCGTCACACTTACCCGAATACTCCTTCGAAGTTGAGTTTGCGTTTCACTGTGTTCAGGACCTAGAGTCCTCGCTCTCAGCATCTTAGAAAATTCGCTATCGTTCTTCGCTTTGTTGAAGCGGGTAATTTCTTCTCGCCTGGTCCCAGCTTTGAAGAGTTTAAAACAGGCTTAACAAAAACGGTTTAAATACAGACCTTTAAGCATGCTACTTTGAAGCTCACGAAGAGCGAGCATTTCCTGTTCTTTGAGTTCCTTCAAAAAGACAAGATCCTCTTGATATTGTAACGAAATTTGACTGAACTGGTTGGCGTCGCCTAAATTCCATTTGGTCGAGTCACTGAGATCGGACTTCTTCCGTAAACCACCTGCCGACTTGCTCAGTTCCGCTCGCTTCTGCGTGACAGCCTGAGCACGAAGACGAAACTACAACCAGAATGTCAACCAATTCGAGGTGTTTTTGCATGAATACTCACTTGCTCTAGTTCCTTCTGGATGGTATTCACGAGGAGCGCACACTCCTTTTGCATTCCTTCTTCCATCTTAGCGACGTCGGACTGTACAGGGGGTTTGGGAGGGGTGAATGGTGTAGGAAGTGGTGATGCGGTAACAGGAGCTTTTGGGGCAAATAGACCAGGAGTTTGGGAACTAGCTTGCACGGGGAAGAGACCCTGCCCTGATTGCGTTGAGCCTTGTGTGCTAATCATGTTTGTAGAGAGTGGTTTCATGTGGGGAGCTTGGGTTGGAGGGGGCACTTTCGCTCCGAAGATATTATCGAGGAGGTTAGAAGGGGCCGGATGCACGGGGTGACTAAATGCCACTCGAGGCGCTGGCTGACTGGAAATCGCGCTCTGGGGAGCAAAAGCAGACACATTGAAGCCTATGGAGGCTGGTAAAGAAAATGGAGATACCGAACTCGTGACGGATGATGAGGAACCAAAAAACGCAGGTGTAGACGCAGGTCGCACAGTCCCGTCTTGGCCCGCAGGTGCTCTGGGCTTCCCGAATAAGGTTGGAGAAGATGAGACCAAAGGAGGGAGAATTGCAGGTGTTGCAGAAGAGACCACAGGGGTAAGAACTGGCGTGATGGTTACAGGGAGGGTAGCCGCAGCTAAAATGAGTTCGTCTGAGATTGGCGTTGCCTTGATGCTTCCAAACGACGATAAGAGTGGTGGGGTCTTTATCCTTTTGCTGGAGGGCTGACCGTCTGAACTTGAATCCGCCGGCAACTGATCAGAGCTGATGTGTAGGACACCGAAGACTGGTTTGGGAGACACCGGGGGTCTTGGTGTGGTCTGGTCGTCATCGTCATTTCCGGACACAGGGGCACTTGCAAGCGGCGAACTTCGCGTCGGACGTGTACTGGGCTTACCGAGCCCCAGTCCAAAAGTTGTTTGTAAGGTGGTAGAACTGACTGCTGTAGATGACGCAGGGCTTGGGCTAGATAAAGGTCTGCTTTCCTTCACTGGCGTTCCCGGTGGTGTTGTACTGGGCGCTCGGATATTCCTTGTAGCCGGTCCGTCTTTGTGCAAGGCGTGTGGAGGAAGAGTTACTTCAATAGCTGGAACTTCAGGCTGAGGAGTCGCAGAAGGAGACCGAGATTCGGGCAAAGGTACTGTGGTAGGCACAGGAGAGGGAGAATGTTCACTTCCTTCAGATTCGCTACTCTGTCCTTCGGAATGTTCGTCGTCCTCGTAAGAGCCATCGGAGCTTGAGCCAAAACTCTCCGACAGGAACGACCTATCATCGTCGCCGTCTTGAACATCTTCCTCGACGTTTTCTCCACGTGACATCATTTCACCTCCACTTGTATCAGCGCCGACTTCAACAAAGGAACTTCCAGCGGAAGAGATGTTTCCTAATGATGGCTCTTGAGCGACGGTCTCTGGTGAGCCCGATGTTTTTTTCGCGTCTTCCGCCGTATTCTTTTCTGCGCCCTCCGTGGCACCTGTTTCCGCGGCATTCTCGGGAATGTCTTGCTTTACGTTGTCCTTTGAAATTGCAGGAGAAGCAAAGGCGGGAGTGATTGGTGGAGTGACCGCATCTTTAGTTTTGTTGCTATCCGCCGAATCAGACGTTATACTACTGTTTGAGCCCAAGATGCCTGGAGTTTTGAAAGCGGTGGTGGCCTCCTGAGGACGAGCAGCATTTTGGACGTCGTTGTCCCCAATTTTCAGTAAGTCCGAGAATGACTTCTTTGGTCCCGCAAACATGCCAAAACCCGAAGTTGTTCCACTAAATGCACCAAATCCTCCAGATTCATTAATCTTAGCTGGTGATGGCGATGGAGGGGTAGCTGGAGCAAACGAAGATTTGTTGGCGCCTCCGATGAGAGATGGAGACCCAAAGGCCGGTGCACTAGATGGTCCTGCAGGGCTTATAGAAGGTTTTGTTGCTGTGCTCAAGTTGGAAAACACAGAAACTGGGGCGGGTTTTGTCTCGCCAGGACTCTTGAAAAATGGGGAGGTCTTGGAGGTGCTGTCACTGCCGAAAGCTCCGAAGCCTGATGCTGGACGGAATGCAGCTGGTGACGTCTTGATATTAGCGAATGCACCAGAAGTGGCAGCTGGAACGCTACTTTTGAACGCAAGAGGGGGCGGTGAATTGTTATCCAAAGCAAAGCTTGGTTTGTCATTGGAGGAAGGTTCAGGCGATAGATCGGGGGAAGAAATTGGTGCCTTAGTAGGGCTGCTAAAGGCAGCCGAAGCCGCCACCTGAGAAGTGGACGCAATTGGCGTAGTGAAAGTGTTTCCTGAACCAGATGTAGATGCACCAAAAGCTGAGGTACTGCTACCAAAGGGAGACGCAGGCTTTTCAGTGGAAAATGCGCTCGACAAAGCAGCAGTCTTTGTGGCTTCCCCAAAGGCTGTGGGCGTGTTGGACGCAAAGGCGCTGTATCCACCGCCAGCAAGCGACGGTGCAAAGGCTCCACCACTTCCGCTCTCCGTCCCTTTTTGCGTTGCCCCAGAAAATGCTGCCGGCGCGGCAGAGGCGAAAGCACTAAACCCCCTTCCAGCGCTAGAAGAAGCAGATGAGAGGGTGGGTTGAGATACCTGACCAAATCCTGATTGCCCAAAACCAGATTGTCCGAAGCCAGATTGTCCGAAACCAGATTGTCCGAAACCGGATTGCCCAAAACCAGATTGTTTTGTCAAGGCGGGGGACGACCCACCGCTCAATGACGATCCAAAAGCAGATATAGGTTCAGCTGGCTTTTCTGTGTTTAGATTGTTTGCCGATTGAAGTTTGCTAAAGGCGCCGAATCCAACAGCTGGCTTCACAGGTCCTCCAAATCCAGAAGCAGGTTGCGCACCAGGTTGAGACGCCGGGGACGTTGAAAACGACCCAAAAATACCGCCACCTGGCTTTGCACTCGACTGGGATTCAGTGGATCCCAAGGAAAGTCCACCAAATGAAGGAGTTGCGTCTGACATCGATGCTTCTCGTGTTATACTACTACTACTGGACGGAAAACCAGAAGGCACAGCAATCGAAGAATTATTGTTCGCCGAGCTGCCCTGTTCAAATGAACTTGTACCACTTGGAGCGAATGCTGATAGACCACTTCCATACCCCCCAAAGCTAGAAGAGAGGTTTGGGTTGGACGACCCACTGAAACCAGAACCTGCGCTCTGCTTGGTGTTAAATCCTGAAAATGCACCAAAGGAAGTCTGGCCAAAGGCAGGAGAGGCTTGCGACGGGACTTGACCAAAGGCAGAGGTTGGTTGTCCGAATGCAGGGGGTTGTATGAAAGCCGAAGGAGATTTCTGTTCGAACGCGGCAGGCGGCCCAAATGAACTAGTTGTTGCTTGACCAAAGACGGAAGCAACAGGTTTCGGGGGATGGTTCTCTTCCGTCGACATCGAAGCGTCTGTTTGACCGAAGTCCGACGCTTGACTTTGTGACCCCTGGTTAACGAGAACACCAGCAGCCAAACTTGATGGCGTGACCATCAATGGGTAGGGCTTTGAGCTATCCATGTACCATCCTTGCAGTGTCCCATCGTTAAGGTACGCGTACATGATAGGGGAGCCAGTGCTGGAATCTGTAAGATCGGCATTGAGGGCAAGCAACATAGTGTCCTCCATTGACTTATCCAGCGGCAAACTTATAGGGTTATCTTGCGATTGCTGATACCATTGGCTTCCACCGTGGGCTAAGACCTCCAGGTCCACTGACGACCTGTCACAAACTATTAAGAGTGATTTTGCATCGTCCACATTCGTTGCATCTCCATCCCATCTTGGCAAAAATAGCGTATAGGCACTTTGTAATGGTCGGTCTGAGATGGGAAAAGGATGCGTGGGGGCGTAGTACACTGCCGAGGAAGACTTGGTGTCCAGGGCAATGATGTGGTGTGATGGGCCAGCTGGTGAGGAATAGCTTGTTCGGAAAGTATGACCGGGCCCTAGCCAATCGAGTGATACAAGATTCGCGTCCGCCGTAGGTGGGATGTGTTTATGAGGGCTGGATCTGTTGACCAAAGAGTACGTCAAGATATCGCCGGTCTGCAAGCCGATTGCAAGGTGTTTGCCCTTGGGAGACCAAGAAACTGACGGTCACATTAGACACAAAAAAGAGGAACAGAAAGGAAGCATACGAACTAGCCATGGGATTCGGGCTGGAACCATCCGCAACCCAGCCGCCTTGTAACTGTAGCCCCATATTCAGCAGCTGCACCATGCCATCCCCAAGCACGGCTACGATATCAACCAGATTGGACTCTGTTCCTGGATTTGGCAGGATTTGGCGAAGAGGACCAGACTGGAGTTGCGAAATGACTAGAGGAGCAACGATCCCAGAACCTGGACAAAGTAATGCGTTTGCATCATATACTAACACTGAGCCCGTCTCGAGTCCGACCACCAAATGCGTGTCACGGCAAGCAAATACAACAATATTTGGTCTACCCTGCAATATAGGTAGTGTTCGCTTTGGATGCAACAGATTTTCGCCGCCTTCTTTCGCCGTCTTGCAGGTCGAGCGTAAGTCATCAAGAGTTGAAAAGATAAGCTCTGAGTGTTGATAATTAAATGTCAGAATACTTATCGCAATACAAGGCACAAACCAAATGAAGAGTTGTTGGACTTGACCCCAACAAACCATCCTTTGGCATTTGTAATGGCGAGCAGGCTGTAGTGGGTTGAAGGCTCGGGGTTAATGGCTCGGGATAGCGATAGTCGAGTGTGTTTGTTCAACAAGCGAAATGATGGATACTGTCATGATGAAAATTAGGGAAGAAAAGAAGAGTAGAATAAACACACATTGAAACCGTCTGACGGACAATCCTTGGGTGTTGGCTCAATTTGTATTTGAGACTGATTGGGACGGACTAAAGGCGTCAACGTATTCATGTTGGAATGAGTTGGGTCTCGTTCAGCAATCGTGAACGCAACTCGGCGCGTCGGAGTCGTTGTGCAAGAGTCACCTAAGTAATTCGAAAGGTGCTTGTTGCTCTATAGCACGTGATGGACTTATTGACCCTGATGTTGCCGTCTGTTTATGTGCAACCATATCCGATATCCAGGTCCCATCATGACAGCCTCGGCACCTCCTTACACACACATCTTCTCCCAAACAAAGCAGAACGTAGAGTTTTTGATTTCCCAAAAACAGTTATCTCAGAATGATGGTCAAGATATTCTGAACAAGCTTTCTGCAGCATTTGAAACTCCCAGCAGCGACAAGTCAGCGCCGTCTCCGATCTTGTCGCGAGCTAGAGCACTTTGGGGATTTAACGAAGCCAGACAGGTGAGGTTTCGCTTTTCACACTCCGGTTGAGGTGAGTAGTCATGGACGTCAAACAGGACCCAAACGATCTTTCCTTCCGGGCTGGTGATATCATCGACCTCATTGAAGACAAAAATCCGGACTGGTGGACAGGTCGGTGCAATGGGAAGGAGGGAGTATTCCCTTCCTCGTATGTGGAGAAATTGCCGAGGGTGACCACTCCCCCTCGCTCAAATCCCTTCCCCTACCAAGAGAAATTCCCAGTGACACCCGTTGTCCCAGCTCCGCTGCCACCATACCCTCCACCAAGCCAGTACCAAGGACCGCCAAACCAGTATCAGGCGCCACCAAATCCATATTATCAAGGTTCGGGTCAAGGTAATCCGTATCCCCAATATGGGGCGCCCCCTCCGCCTTCCAGGCCAAGCACCGTTATTGTGGAACAACAGCAACCTCCGAAGAAACATAAGTTCGGTGGAAGTTTAGGAAACACGGTCCGTCCATGTTTTGCATGTTATTCCCCTTGGCTCAGCGTATGAAATAGCTGGCACATTCAGCCGCAGGTGGTGTAGGATTTGGAGCAGGTGTGTTCCATTCAGATCTGTCTAAAAAGACTCATGACATATGCCCTACAGGGTCTGCAATTGGCGGAGGTATCATTGACGCATTGTTCTGATATCCAGACCCAGATTTGGTTGACAATAGAAGTGTTCGTACGTCTGTCCTCATGTCGCGATTTTCGTTCTAACCTCCATTTCACAAGACTTTTATCCTTACCATAAGTTTCAGCCGCGGAAGTCGTCTCAAATACTTAGAAGCAAACCCGCTTGTACTCGAAGACTAAAGGAGGTAAATTTTAGTTGTACATAAATTTGTAATTGATAACTATTGAACTCTCACACGTCTTGGTGCAAGACTATCAGAATGACCATAAATATCCCGCAAATTCCGAAGGATGCTATCGACAAACTCTATGAGGAACCAAAAACTTGCATAAAGCGCTTGCCGAAACACCTCGCTACCTTAGAGCGTATGTGTTTGTGTCCATCCCTCATAACAATGAAATCTTTTGCCAATGGAACCAAGTTCTGCGCCTTGATTACTTTTTACACCCGTCGAGCAAGCCTCTGCCGGTCTGGTGCTTTTTTGTAATCAAGAGGGATATCCACGCGTCCTTCTGACAACTCGGTCGAAGGCGACGAGGACACGCTAGTCAGACCGCGTTTCTTCATAAAAGTGGATGAGACGGATCAGGATCTCGTTGCAACGGCTGTGAGTATCATTTTACAGGTAATGACTTTGACTTGAGGTCTGTATCACAGTTATCGAGAAGCTCAAGACGAAGTCCAGGACCCTCGAAAGTCACCTTTGAGGCTGGTTCCCGAAATTGGGCATTTTCCGGTTTTCAGTCCGTCGCATTTTTGGCGAAACCTGTCCAAATTGCACCTGGCCTTCGCCAACTTTGTCCGGACTTTGGGAACAGGCCTATCTATGCGCAACATTCATCGCGATGACTCGAACCCAGGACCTCCCACACACCACCATGCTATCTACAACTTGACCGACAGCCCACACGTCAATACTTGTCCGTTTGAGATTTGGCCTGACGTCTAGCCGCGAAGACCTGTCAAGACTTTGGATCCGGCTATTTCGCTCGCAATGTCCAATTCCTGTCCGAATGGCGCCTGGCCTAACTGTTTTTTTATTTTAAAATCGTCCGGAATAGAGACCAGCCTCCAAGGGGACTTTCGGGGGTCCTCGAAGTCCTCGGTGGATGAAATATGCATACAATCGGCGTCCTTCCACCATTCACCTTGCTTCTAAAACTCTTTGTGACGCCAATTGTTGCCCTCCTGTCCCAGCCAAAACTCTCTGAAGGAGAGGTCGCACACATTTTGATTCAGTGTCATCCCAAGTTTGTCTGAACACGGAGACATTCAGAGTGAAGACTGGCCTTCTGATGACGAGTTCTATGTAAGTACAATTATTTTCCTCTGTTCTTGTCTAAGTCAAATGCAGTCATCATAACAAAAACGTCTAGTGATTCTGTCGTACATACCTTCGCCAGCATCGTACCGAATGCATCCATCAAAAGCCAAGCTTACAGACAAGTATCTTGGTGAGCGGGCTCATGTTTCCATCACTTGCACACGCTCATGCGTTATCTAGAAATAAAATTTGCCGAAATCGCGTATGCCAGGCCAAGGTCATACGAACGATATGCTCCAGCCTCCAGGACAGTGTTGACTTGACCCCTTTGACCTGGTCAACAAACAGGGTCAAGTCAATGGGTCAGTCAATAAAGGTCAAACAGGTCAAAGTCACGCCATTGGAATTTATGTAAGTCAATTAGAGTAGGTCTGTACCTCAGTGTACCTGAGTTAGTAACGGTATGTCGGTACTTAATGTTGTGAGGAAAATCTCATTGACTGGCATTTTCAACAATCTACCAAGTCCCGAATGACATCCTGTAGGTCAATTGAAGAATATCGCGGATGTTGAATTAGGATTGAGTACAACAAGTACAAATATGGCGTCTATTTAAGCAACAGCAGTGGCATCCCCCATCGATTGTGTACTCTCTCCTCTTTAACTTGACAATTCAACGGCAAAACCGGGTTTCACTCCCACATCACTCGTATCCCAGCAAGACGGTTACTGTCTCGCTCCAATTCTTTGACTCTAAGCTCTGTCTGCGTCAGCATCCGTTCTCTGCGAAATGGCACTCCATTCTGGTTCTGTCTTCTGCGACGGATCTTCTCGCAAACGAGCTAGACAAATTTCCGAAACGCCTCTCCAAGATCCTACTCCTTGGGAATATCATCCTACGTACGGCATCGTTCATCTCGCGGGTTGTACTGTCTGCAATGCCTACACCACCCACCTAGTCGAGGCTGAACGACAGTCATCCTTCCAACTCGCCTTGAAAGATCGTGATCGCAAGCACGATCTTTATTTTTTTGATGGCGTAAGCGAAGGTCGTCGTCGCCAGCGCGATGACAACGAGTACCTCTATGAAGAGCGGGAGCGCTATAGAGATGAACGCAACGAGGCTTTGGAAGAGATGTCGCGGTACAAGGCCGAATGTCACTCTATCCGCGTAGAACTTCGCTTGTTGACGAGCCGGCTTAATTCGACACAAGATGAATGTGCTGTCCTTCGCCGTTCCTTGGAAAATACAAGTAAGAATCTAAAGGTGGATCAAGCTCACCGATCCTCGACGATGGAAGGAGTGGAAATGGATGCTATGCCTTCATGCCCACAGGATTCTTCACCTCGATCCAATCCCACACATACTCCGACTTTGGCCTCCCCACCCAAGAAAGAAGTGACATCAGATCCTAACCTCGATGGACCTATTTCGGGCCGTCCTCAGAGCTCGTCCGCTTCTCGAGGTCACTCCACGTATGCCGCAGTGGCTTCCTCTCAACATTCCGTTACACCGACGACGGCAACAATTCCGAAGCGACCAAAGGTTTCTCTCTTAGATCATCGTGTTGCTAATTTGCCTCCAAGGCCAAATGCTCCTCTTTCACATATTGATTCCAGGCTCACGACGGCGGAAATCGCGAACGGCCATCAAGCTGCTCGCGACCCAAAGACCGTTGGCCAACTACAGACGCTGATGATCGCTGCTCACAAACCAGGCAACGATGGGGCACTTGCAAGAATCAAAGCGTTGTGTGCCGAGGCTCACTCGACACCTCGAGAGAATAAGACAGAACTTCAGAAATACCTCTTGTCCAACTGGCGCAATCCAAACCTATTCACAGAATCTGCTCGCATCGTACCTCTTGTCCCAGCTAAAATGAACCCACGGATGGACGATCCCGTTGAAACGTGGTTTGCATATCTTAGTACCCACCAAGGATCGTGGCCGCGCGGTGTTCGCAGAGACTCTCGCAACCGTCCCTGCATGTCTGACCTCAAGGCTAGCCGCACCGTCGCTCGGCTTCGACCAGATGTTGATTCTACCGGAAGTGTCGCTTCTCGCTCAGAATTTTTGGCATGCGTCACCGAGCTATTTTCCACGCCTGGGGTCTATAAAAAGTATATCGAACAAAATGGTTTGACAGTTGCTCCAGCTGTATCCTATCGCCCATATCCTGGCTTCACACCTATAACACTTGATGGTGTTATCCGCCACTTTGCTGATTGCGGAGTCACGGTGGAAGCTGCTGCTGAAGAGTTTGAGCCTTGGTCGCGGAGTTATCTAGCTGCTACTCCTAGTCCGAATGGCTTTCGAGCTAACGAAAGTGGTACCTGATAACGATCGATGAGGTATCTTCTCGGTTGGCACTTTTCTCCCCACAGCTGGTTCACCGAACGAAACTGTATTATATCTCTTCCTAAGTATCAATTTGTACAATCTGTAGGATATTGATGATTGGTAGAATGTTCCAGGAATGAATACACTCTGTTGAGTCATAGTGCAATGGACCAGAACGAAGAGCTTGTGTGTTTGTCGAACGATGGGAGAAAGAAAGTCAACTTTCTGTAATCAAATATGTGTCACCCCGATCTCATACCGTGATCTTCACTCCAATCACCCGGTTCCTCAACGAAATATGCTCACTGACTAGCACACCTTCAAGCATGGCATCGCTCTTTAAACATCTCCGGGTTCATCAGATATTCGGGGCGAACACCGACGTTGGGAAGACAATCTTGACAACCGCTCTGGTTCTTGCATCCGCGTCAAGAAAAATTCCTGTCCATTATCTCAAACCTATCAGTACAGGACCGCTAGAGGAAGCCGATGACCAGTGAATGTCTTGAATTATGCGTTGTTAAACCATCACTAACTAGCCTAGCCACGTCAAACGCTATGGCCGGCATGAAGGAAGTCTCATTTCTGCCGAATGTTTATTTCGCTATAAAGAGCCAATTAGCCCCCATCTTGCCGCAAAATTGTCTTCTGGAGATGAGCTAAACTTTGTGGGTATTTTGGTAGAATAATTTCTTTGAGCAATTTGCTGACAATCCTCCAGCCCTCTGACGAGACATTCATTAATGCCATCGCGAATCGTATTCGAAGATGCGCGGCAAACATCAGAGAGCCCGCACACATGTACGTAGAGACTGCAGGAGGTGAGAGTTACTTCGTTGTGAGTTATTCACACCTTTGGTTGTGAAGTTGGTTGACATCCATCTTATTTAGGCATCCACAGTCCCACCGTCTCGGGCACAACCCAAGTAGATTGTTACCGGCCCCTCTTTCTGCCAACTATCCTGGTTGGAGATTCAAAACTTGGCGGAATATCCACGACCATTGCATCATATGAGTCACTTCTTTTGCGCGGATATATCATTGATGCCATCGTAGTCTTCCGAGACCACTACTATCGAAACTGGGAATATCTGAATCCATATTTTCTAGAGCGTGGTGTGGAACTTTTTGTGGTCGATCCACCACCACCCATCCCGACTGACCCGTCGAAAAACCTCACAATCACTGAAAACTACTATCAATCAATTATCTCTTCAGAAAAAGAGGATGGAATGGCTGCTATTATGAATCATCTTGATACCAAGCACAAAAATCGCCTCAACGAATTGGAATTCATGCCTAGACGTACCCTCGACACCATCTGGTGGCCCTTCGTTCAACACGGTTCTATACAAAAGGAGGAAAATGTGACTGTAATAGACAGCGCTCACTCCGATTTTTTCAGTGTAACAAGACAAAATGCTTTGCACGACAAATCAGTGAACGAAAGCGTTTTAGCTCCAGAGTTTGATGGTTCTGCATCTTGGTGGACGCAAACCTTTGGACACGCTCACCCGGCCCTAACACTGGCAGCTGCAAGGGCTAGTGGTCGCTACGGTCATGTCATGTTTCCCGAACATATTCACCTCCCCGCATTGAAACTAGCTGAGCGCCTCGTTCACGGCGGTCCCGGAAAAGGCTGGGCTTCGCGTGCTTTTTTTTCGGATAACGGCTCAACCGGAATGGAGGTGGCCCTGAAGATGGCCTTAAGAGCCTTCTCCGTCCGACACAAGCACGAATTGGAGGGCAGAAAGAAAAAGGAACTAGGCGTTTTGGGATTGAAGGGAAGTTATCACGGTGACACGATTGGAGCTATGGACGCCTGTGAGGAGGGCGTTTACACATGTGAATGGCACAACGCGAGAGGTTACTGGTTTGAGCCTCCAACTGTCGGAATAAGGGATGGAGTTGTTACCATTTCTATCCCGCCTGCATTTTCTGCATCCACGCGCGGACACGATATGAAAGCAGAATCCCTCTCTTGGGTTTATGACATCGAGGCTCGCTTGCGCTCCCCCCTTGCTTTGATGTATGGATCTTTTATCCAACAAACCATGAAAAAACTTGAGCAAGATGGCCCAAAGTTAGCTGCCCTTGTCCTTGAGCCTCTTGTTATGGGAGCTGGAGGAATGATCTTTGTCGACCCCCTCTTCCAACGAGTCTTGATTGATGTGGTACGAGGAAGACGCTCAGGGCCTTCGTCCGAGTGGTCAGGATTGCCTGTTATCTTCGATGAAGTGTTTGTTGGGCTCCAGCGTATTGGAATGGAAAGTACCAGTGCTCTGCTGGGTGTTCATCCTGACATCTCCGTGAACGCAAAGATCTTGACAGGCGGTCTCGTCCCCTTAGCAGTGACTTTGGCTTCAAACTCCATTTTTCAAGCCTTCTTGAGTGGTAACAAGGCGGATGCTTTGTTGCACGGGCACTCCTATACCGCCCACCCCATTGGATGCGAGGTGGCAAACGAAACGCTTTCATTGATCGATAAAGTCACAGCCAGTGACAACTGGAAAGCTGCTCAAGCGAAATGGGATAAGCCTGATGGAAGTCTGGGAAAGGTTTGGAGTTTGTGGGATCCCGTTTTTGTCACGGAGCTCTCCAAACTTGAGAGGGTTGAAGAAGTTATGACAATGGGATGTGTATTATCCATTCATTTGAAGGACGCATCTGCTGGTGAGATTCCTTTTATTCCGTACGCTTGAACAATTTCTCAAGTGTAACAGGCTATTCCTCTGATTCTGCCCGGGCGTTGTTGGAACCACTCAAACGTTGCGTGGATATAGGTCCAGAATTCTCATCTGCTCCTGGCGGTGCGCCATTTGGGATTCATTTTAGGACACTAGGAAATGTCGCCTACTTTATGACGAGTCTCAATACATCGCCTTCGGTTATTAGTTCTGTAGAGGACAGAATTTGGCAGGCCATAGCAGAGTAAATTGAAAGATATGCTACATATTCTAGCTTCGCCAGTACTGAGCCAAGTCATGTATCCTATCGAGAACCACAGTAAGGTAAGATGTCTCATTCAGTAGGTCCTCAAAGTGCTTGATGGCGTCTTCTTCTGTTAGATCTAATCGGAACTTCTCTTGGATTTGTTCGTGAACATCTCGATGTTTGATGTCTGGGATATTCGCATCCACCATGAGAGATACCAAGTTCAAAATAAGATTGGCGCTTTTCCGAAGAATAGTGAAGGCGGTGAAGCAAAAGTTCTTGAAGCGCATATAATGGGGGGACTGAGGACCCCCCATACAGTCGACCATCTCTTTGCAAACCTTTACAGGTGGTGGGAATGGTTTGGGATCTCGCCCAAGAATATATCCAAAATCGACTACGAAACTCGTCAGCCAGAACTCGAACATGATGTAAAGCCATACCATGAAAGAAATGACCTTGTGGCATTGTCAGACGGAGGTTTGAATCCGAAGGAAAAGCCACGTACCATCGGGAGCAACTAACAGGTTATCAAGATGACGATCTCCGACTCCAAGTAGGTACGTCACAACGCAATACCCCGCTGTGTCAAGGTCAGTCTGTATTTCACCCAAAACCTGCTGGCAAAACACACCACAGCTGCGTACAAAGGTATCGATCACGCTTGGTTCGACGCCCCAGGTGCCTACACTCCCTTCATCAGGATTACTTACCCTAAGATAATTCAACAGATTTCCATGCTCGCTACAAATAGCTGCAATAGTTTTGCTCGGGATAAATTGGGCCATGCCTTGCAGTGGGCCTGTCGCAAGAACGTTGTACGGGCTTAATTTTAGATCTAGATTTTCCTTTCTCAACAACTGATCCATCAGAGTGAAGAGTTGGATGACAAGTTGATCCTGGCGCATGTCATCCCCATCTTTGAATATGATTGGATATTCCGAGCCGTCTGAGCATTGAAAAAACAAAAGGAGGGGGTAGAGGTTAGACTTGAAAACCGAAGATTTTTCGGCAATTATTCCAGTAACTTCTATTGTCGCGTTGAGAGGAAGTGGAAGCGGGGGCATCGAAGCAAGATTGTTCTTCGAGTCTGAGATAATTGACCGGAGCTTTTCAATTTTCTTTGGTCGTGGGTCTTTCGATGTGCGAAGTTCTCGAGCGCGTTTTGCAAGTGTATCGACCATCAACCCCTGGCGGCGCATGAGCTCACGCCTCTCGGAGCCATTGTCTGACTGAGATGATAGTGTAAAACGGATGGCAGAGGTTACTCCTTTACATACCTCTAAGATCTTGTTCATAAACCTGAAAACGACGCGGCCATACATCTTTGCCATCACCCTGTCTTCGAGTGCTACTTCAACCATGAGATACCAGTAAAGCCTGTTGCCCAAAACTGGGTTTTTCACCCCCCGTCCGATGAGAAAGTCGGTCAACCCACTGTCGTCGTAGGAGATAGCACTGGTCGTCGACCTTGATGACCGCTGATCGCTAGCCGTGCTCTCGAATTTGAGGGATTGAACAAGTTGCAGCAGGTAGAGCAGTAGCTCCTGTGATCGAGTTACAATTCGATTGCTAGATCCAAAGCCAATATGTGAACATACGTCATCGTCCGCTCTGCTGAGTTGTTTGACTGCAAACGCTCTGACTCTCGAATCTAGGGTGCCTGGTCCTAGTAATTCGAGTGCGTCGTCCGTATCGATTTCTGTCCATTGAGGCAACAATTCCTCCACAGCTTGCTTCACTTCTGACGAGTCGCGCCACGTAACCGACTTCAAAAACTTGGTCAGACCTCGCTTGTCCCTGGCAAGATAGAAACGAAATTTCCAGATGAGGTCCTTTTCTTCCGATGTTAATTGTTGACTAGGAGAGTAGTTGAGGATTTGCTGTTGAAAGTTTCAGAATGGGAATTAGATGAGTTTGCCACAGCTTACTCCCAGATCGTCCCTAATTTTAGCGTTGGGTTTTAATTCCCTGTCGTAAGGGCTGCTTCGGTGACTTCGCACTAAACGACGATGTTTGTCCTCGACTGGATTTTCGTGCATGACATCTGGATCGACAATACTCCATAGGTTCGTGTCATTGTCAAAGGAAGATGATATTGAAGGTGCAGCAGGAGGTTGAACGACCGCCGAAATGGTTGTAACTGTTGACGGAGGAGGGGCAACTTCCTGAATGTAGGGGTTATTGATGTGATGTTTAAGTCGAAAGGTGCTTTACCGGTTCGCTGAATATGACAGGAAAATCAAATCGTGGCAAGTCGACATAGAGGAAGAGGTCGTCTGATTTCTCCGTTTCTGCCTAGGCACGTCAATGAATTTACGATCAACCACCTGCTAGTCTTACTGCATGAATCTCCTCCATCTTTCTGAATGCCATTTTGTCAAGCCAGTCAGACTTCGGAAGGTCGCCACGCTCGTACTTCTTGACAAGCTACACCCGAGGCAAGTGAGCTTCTGTCGTCACTTAGCAACTACCATGTCACCTTCTCCAAACGGCCCATCTCATCTGGTGTGGCCATCTTGCTGGGTGTTGTTGACTCGACCGACCCGTCCGCCTCCAATCCAGGCCAAAGGAGCAGACGGTGTTTTCCACGCCGGAGCGTCCTTGTTGTGTTTTAAAACTACATAAGTTACAAATATTCAGCAGCAAGCTTACCACTTCTTTCCAAACAAACGAAATGTTGACCCTCCTACCGGCACGGCAGTTCTCGGTCCCCCGATGTCCCAAACGGTGAAGGTGATCTGCGAGCTTAGTGGTAAATCACAGTAACGGATTGGTAGCGTGATCCATTCATTCCATCTACGCCTATCTAATTAATACCCTGAAAGTAAGGGTGAGATACGCACGTATATGCATTCTTGAATGATTTAAAGGATGTTCGGAAGGGAATGGTCAATGGCTTGTTATCAGCGACGAGCTGGCAAGTAACGTAGAGATCTGAAAGTGTTCTTGAGCCTGTCGTTATTACACTCCTCTGGAGCAGATTGAAAAGACACACGGTGATTGAATACCGTGAAAGCGAAGTTCGGGGTGTTGTAGCAACTCCGTGACAGACTTTGGCCGTCGAACGCCTTCAAGCTGAGATCTGTCATTTGTTGAATAAGAAAACGAGCCTTGCGAAGAGATGCGAACGCACATTCTGAACGTTACGGGGTGCTTGATGTCTGACAACTTTGCAAAGGTGAAATCATCCCGATTATCTTTATCCATGTTTCCCGGTATGAGTTGCAGAAGCCAAGCAGAAGCTTGACCGTTGCTTGAGTATGCTTAGTCAAAGACGTTTGAAAGCAACAAGGCCACACACAGATCTAGAACGCTCCCCTTTTTTTTGCTCCAAGTCAATCACAAGCTGTGCGTTGAGTCATGAAGCTTTCCTGTGAGTCTTTCTCATCGACGCCAATCCTTTTTGCTCACTAACATCTGTTCGGCTAAAAGATTAGTTTGTTTAGATCATCGCTGCTGCTTCCGCTTTTTGTTATCCTGATCTGGTACGTAAAATCGCGTTTAACTATCTGCATCACCTGAGCAGTTTTTTATTATCAAGCAATGGCTTCTCTATTCCAACGGGAGTTGCTGGACTGTGAACATTCCCTCTTCGGATCTCCTCCTCCTTCACCAGGTAGGTCGCCGTCGCCTACGTTGGCGCTCCCAGGCTCGACTTGTAGTGAAATTGGTTTGAGTGCTACACAAAACGTGGGGACCATTGCACTTCCTGGTTCCCAACATTTTTCTGAACTTCCCCTCAATCCATTAGCCTTGCCGTCGAGCCTTCAGCAAGCTCGTCGGCCTCCGGCCCATTCAAACGTGTCACAACGGCCTGTGTACAATCACGTTTTCCATGCTGCGGCAGGATCAACGTCATCTTCTCCTGCCTCATCCCGCTCTTCATCTCAAGGCCCTCCCCTGAGGAGCAAGAAGAAGGTCATGAAGGCCAAATCAAAAGAGTCAACCCTTCGCCTGCCTGGCCCAGAAATTGCTCTCCCTGATCCATCTGCTCCACCACCGGCCCATTTCTTGCGTAACCAGACAGCCCTTCTGGGGCTGGCGGGTTTGGTAGGTGGCATAAAACCCTCTAACCTCTCCATGCCACGCCACATCCGCGGGGCAACCTCATCGAACCCCATTGTGATTGAGGACGAAGATGACACACCCACCCTTGGCCGCACCTCCGGATTTCGTCAGCCTTATCAACAAGCAATCGATCCAGCATTGCTGCCAGCCCCCAGCAACCAAGATATTGTGTCTATGCTAATTCGGCAAAAGAATATTTTTCCAGTGTTAGAAAGCATCCTCAAGCTCATCGCTGCCGGGTCTCAGGACCAGCCACAAGGTTCCCAGCGTCGTTCAACTTCGCAACAACCTCGCGAGCAGACCCCAGTGTCCCACCCTGTAAAAAAACGAAAGCTCAATCGTGTTCCTGCTGGAGCCACGGATTGGGATGTGCCATACCCTTTTGAGCAAGGAGAGGGCCCAGATGCCTACCAAACAACGTGGGAGCGTGAACGAGGCAAGCAGTTAATATCCCAGCTTGTCAGTATAATCAAGACAGCTGCTCGTAAAGCGGCCACAAAAAAATATCTAAAAAGTCAAGAAACCACGAAACGAGGCTTAGGAGAGACGGGCGAACAGACGTTAGCTGGAACTTATCCAGTGAGAAGGGAAGGAGGTGAAGAAGTCCGCGTCCATGGATATTATAAACCAGAAACTGCTGTTTATGGTCTCGGCCAACGTGTGACAACCCAGCAAGGTTCAGAAGTCTTGACTGACGCTAGTAATGGGAGAAAAGGAACACAATCTGCAGCAGTTGGTGTTACCCAGTTGAGCAGACCCCTTACATCACCGGAAACGCAACCTCAAACACCATTTGACCAATTCATATCCTCCCTTCTGGCCGCCTCTACAGATCAAGGCTCGTCATCCCACGTTTCCCCAATCTCAACAAGCGCGCCTCCAGATTTGCCGCTTGGGGCGAGTGGAAATACAGAGTCACTGACTGTGCAAAGTCAGAATGAGGGGGATGATCGGGTCCTGTTTGATAGTTGGATAAACGCTTTGCAAGCACTACCTGTGCCTTCTGAAGGCTTTTCGCAATCGCAACAGCCTTCGTCGTCTGATGCTCCGCCTTTGCATTCATCTGATGACTTCGGCTTTTTCGACCCCACCCTTCCTTGCTTTGATTGGAACGGGGCCTTTGAGGAGGGCTCCTTGTCCTCCATTATGACGGAATTTGGCTCAAGTGGCATGAACGTTGGTCAGCCAACCGTTTTTGCTGATATATCGCACTTGGCTGAACAGGATTATCTTATTGACCCTGAACTCCTGGCAGTTTCAAAGCCCAACAATGAACGGCGTTCCGAAGAGAGTCTACCAGCTTCCCTGGCCCCTTCACCAATACCTTCAATGAGCTCCTCTGGTGACTCGGATCCCAAGACACCTACCTTCTCAGGGTGGGACATGACTTTACCTGGCATTGATGTTGATGGATCAGCCATGCTGGAGGATAGTTTAAGGCTGAACGAAGGTTCCCATGGACTTCAAGGCATGTCGCAAAGTGCTCTTTGGAATAATCATCCTGATCATTTCCGTGAATTGCCAGGCAATAACGAATCGAACGCGTCCGGGGACTTGACATTTTTCAATGGTGCTATGAGTGTGGATAAAGGAAAAGGAAGGGAGGTGGTGCCGTCAGCCATCTCACTTTCAAGTAGCACGGTGTCCGACGCACAGGAAGCAGCTTTCCGAGCTCTGCTCGCGGATCAGGGAAGCGAGCTGTGCCTTTCACTGCCGAGTTCCTCCCAAGCGTCGAAAGATGAAGTTTTGAGACGCGGGCACGAAAGAAAGAAAAGATTGGAGGAGGAATTGCAGCGTGTAAGGCTTCAGTTGTGGGAGACGACCGTAGAACAGGCAGCACTTTCACACTTGGTCAATATATGAGTTACATTACTTTTACTATCGCTAGTAATACGATTAGGACTTCAACTCAACTTCAACTTCAACTTGATTCCAATGATTAGAACATTTGATCAACCACGTGTTACACGCGACCTGCACGCGACGCGACGCGCCTGAGAATAAACAAAGTTCAACTTTATTCGCTTCACTCATGGTGCTACGCTCAAGCGATGTAGTTCCCAATAATGCTCGAGAGGACCAGCGACAAAAATACCGGTCACAAGTTGCCTCGGCGCTCAATGAAGAAGATGACCCTCTGGCAGTTTATCATCAATTTGTGCAATGGACAGTCAAAAACTACGGAGAGAAAGACCCCAGCTCTGGGTTACTGGAACTTTTGGAAGAGGCGACGGGGCAATTTAAGGAAGACCCCATATATAAGACGGATCTCCGATACTTGAAGCTTTGGGCACTCTACGCAAGGCAGATGGATCGAGCTGGTGCCATTTCGATCTTCTCGTTTCTGGTGGCCAACGAGATTGGGACCTCATATTCTGCGCTATACGAGGATTATGCAACTTTATTGGAGCAAGATGGCAGGTGCGCCTAGTAGGACTTACGACAAAAGCATCTGCGCGCAGCTAATCCTCAGTATTTAGGCTACAGGATGCAGATATGATATACAAGAAAGGCATTAAGCGCCAGGTACGACCGCTGGAGCGTTTGAAGAACAGATATCGGGAATTTCAGGGCCGGAGGGGATCTCAGCTCAGTGCTAACTCGCCAGGATCGTCAATACCCAACCCACAGGTGACCCAATTTCATACCACACCTGCATCTACATCCTCAACGTCCTTGCCATCCTCATCCACTACCAATCAAGTTATTCTCAATTCTACGCCGGCCTCGCGCTATGCAGTCATGCTTGCTCCTCCAGCTCCTGGCAAGCGACCAGAGAAACTAAGATTCAACATGTCGCTTTTGTTTACGGATGATCGTGTTGAATATTGTATACAAGAGTCCAGGGCTCGCTCTATGGGCCTTTTAGGAAAGAAATGGCCTCCCCCATTGACCGACTCCTCACGATTTTCTGCCTCATCCTCTTCATCCTCTTCTTCGGTTCCTGTCGATTTCAACGATGATGGCCAAAAATCTACCAGATACCTTGGGAGCGGAAGGAGAAGTTTGATAGGTGGTGGACCAGAACCGACAGTAACGATCAATACGAAGGAGGCTTTAGCGGATGTGTTTGGAATGTACAACTCTCCAGAGAAGACAACGAAGCTTGCTGTCCCCGGAAGCAAGTATGCTCCCCTGAAAAAGATTGAACCCGTGACCCCCGTCGTTCCTCTGAGGGCCGCGTTTTCACGAGAGAACGATAATGGGGGTAAAGCGAAGCCACCGACAGGTAAGATCAATTGTCCTTTTCATTGCATTGATCCGCTGAGACCTCTTCAGGATTCCAGCCATTTGTAGATGAAAACGCTCAGCATCGGACGACTCCTGCAGCGAAGGTTCGTCTCTTCTTCCCTTCAGTACCACCAAATCTCAAACTCATAAACCCAACCCGCAGTTTACACCTTTTGTCGATTCACAACAAAATAAAACACCACTCATTACGTCCAGGCCTGCGCTTCAAGCCAAAGGACTAATTACCCCGGCTGCAAAAGCCAACCCGCTGAGTCTTAAGTCTGTACCAGAAGAGAAACCATCCGAGGTTGTATTCTCTAAAGTTTTCACTCCTGCTCAAATCAAACCTGTCCCTCTCGCTCCTCTTCGAGATGTCTTCACCGATGATCATGGGAAACCCTTGCCTAAACCAAAATCCACTCTTACTCATGAGCGAGCTAAATCGCACCACGACCTATCATCTCATCCTGCAGAGGGCCCTCGATCCTCTCCATTCACACCGTTCTTAGATGAAAATTCGCAAACTCCGTTCAAAGTCTTTAGTCGGCCTCCGGAACAGGACGAAAACGCTAGGGGTATAGCAACTCCAAAAACCCCGTCGGTCTTCACGCCATTCGCAGACTCCGGATCAGCGTTCAAACCGTTCAAGGATACTCCTTCATCAACTTTCAAGCCATTTATTGATCAGGAGGCTGTCGAAGACAAACACCCGTCAGAACTTTCACTGATTGCAGCAGAGCCTGAACTTCCATGGACCAAGTCGGTCACAAATATAGAGAATAGCGACGAGGAGTCAGAGGAGGATAAGGTGGAGGAGGCGCAGTACCTTGACCAAGGTGATTACGAGGAAGAGGATTCTCAATTGGAGCAATACGAGATACCCCTGGCGCCTGAACACCTCCCAGAGGAGTACGAGGAGGAGCATTCTTACCAGGAGGTGCCACTAGGAGGTCGTTTTGGTCAGTTCAATGTTATGACACCCATCACCGAGCGAACCTTTGAATTCACCACGAGTACACGAGGCGCTACACCTAGTGGTCGCTTCGGGCACCCATTACAAGATGGAGAAGGTTCTCCCAAATCCAGTGTGTTTATTCCTCCACGGCGCGACGAGCATGCGGCAATCGAGGCAGCGGAACGGCTTGCAGCTGAGCTGCAGCATAAGAACGGGGAGGACGACGATGAACTAGAAGCAAGCGACTTCATTGAGCCTTTGCATTTGCAAGTACCCCAGCGTGACGACCCTGATATGGCTGTCATTGAGGAGAGGACGGGCTCGCTCAGCCTTGGTGATACATTAACGCTGAACTCTAAATTCCGACCTCCAAATCCATGCAACCCATTCGACCCCCCAATTTTGTCAACCCTTCTCTCGCGCATCCCAACAGACCCATACTTCCACGATTTGCGAGACCAGCCTTCCAAAAGACTGGATGAGCTCCAGAAATTCTTCAAAAAAAGCAGGAAGGCTAGTGGGTCCAGTAATAATGCTGGCACCCTTGAAATGTCAGCTTGTTTCCCTTTGACGTTGGAAGGCAATAGATTCAACGTCTCAGAGAAAATTGGAGAAGGTGGCTTTGGGTGCGTTTTCAAGGCTCGTGATGTGGGCACGCGTATGGGTGACGAGGATGAAGATGAGGAAGATTACGAGGAGGAGGACGAAGAAGGATCTTCTCTGGTCGCTCTTAAAGTTGTTAAACCAAGGAATCTTTGGGAATATCACGTCCTTCGAAGGTTGCATTCAGCTTTGCCATCTTCCCTCCGACGGTCTATTGTGCTCCCCCACGCGCTGTACGCGTACAATGACGAAAGTTATCTTGTCCTCGACTTTTGCTCGCAAGGGATGCTTCTCAGCATCGTCAATAACGCCGTCGCAGCTGGGGTCTCGCAAGCTGGTGCTTGTCTTGACGAACTTTTGGTCGTGTTCTTCTCCATTGAGCTTCTCCGTATACTAGAAGGCATGCACAGCGTTGGCATCATCCACGGCGACCTGAAGATTGACAATTGCCTTTTACGATTAGAAGATATCCCAGGTGGTAATTCGGCTTGGTCGAGCATATACCAGCCCTCTGGCGAAGGAGGATGGAGCTGCAAAGGTCTCAAAGTCATTGACTTTGGGAGAACTATCGACACGAGGCTGTTTCCACCTGACCAACAATACGTTGCTGAGTGGGCAACAGACGAACGCGATTGCTTCGAGATCCGAGAAAACAGGTCTTGGACATATCAGACGGACTACTACGGTCTCGCTGGGATCATACATTGCATGTTATTCGGCAAGTACATTCAAGCAAATTCTGTGGTGCCTCTTTCGCCTGGGGAACATCGATACAAGCTCAGCACTCCTTTCAAGCGTTATTGGCAGACAGAGTTGTGGTCTAGGTTGTTTGACGTCTTGCTCAATCCTTGCCTCGTTAGACCGAACGGAGAATTGCCCGTCTGTGACGAGCTCAGTGCGCTACGGAGAGAGATGGAAACCTGGTTACAGTCCAATTGTAATCGGACTAGTAACACTCTGAAGGGCTTGTTGAAGAAGGTGGAAATGTCCTGTTATGTTCGTTGAACACATCTGTATTTATTGCGCTTGGTTGATATTTTGCCCTATGGATGTTCTCTACTGGATCCTTATCACGCACGGTTCTAGAATCCACAGGTACGACATAGTAAGTAGTAGTGGTGCTAGGTACATGGGTGTTCGTGGATTCCAGAAAGCATAGGCGACTAGAAAAAAAACCCTGAAGGATGGCGACTACAACATCAATGTCTGCTCGAGTGTTCAAGCATGTCCGCCCATCTGAACGGGCGGTGCACCATCGTACGGGTGTGGGGCGTTGGGCGGCGGTGGAGGCATCATCATCTGGTAAGGCACTGCGTGTTGCACTGTGGGCATCATGAGCATTTTGCAAGTGTGCAGATAGAATGTGATCATACACTGGGGACTCTGGTGGTAATATGGGTGGGCATGAGACGGAATTGGAGTAGGAGGCATCGAGGGTCGTGGCCCAGCACCATTTGGAGGAGGTGGATATGCACCAGGAGGTGGCTGCATGTATGCTTGAGGGGCTATGTGATACGTGTTACAGATGATTCTGAATTCAATAGGTAGTTCGCTTACGCGGCATCTGGCCCATGGCAGGAGAGTACATCGCTATGGAATTATAGCCGTCAGATTATAGAAGCATGCTGATTCAAGAACGAACCGCTCGGAGGTGGCATTCCAGGAGGGTAAGGCATATGTTGCATGAATGGTCCTGGCATGTACGTGCCAGGGGGACCAGGGGGAGGCATTCCAGGCATCATTGGCTATAGGTTGAAAAGAATTAGAACAGGACGTAAAATCGAACACATCACAAACTTGTCCTGGATATGCGTAAGGGTACGCGTAAACATATCCACGCTGTGCGGCTTGGGCTGCGGAATCTTCCTCGTACGAGGGAGGCGGCATCGGGGGAGGAATGGGTGGGACCATGTGGGGGTGCTGAGAGGGGTGTTGCAAAGGGGGGAACATTTGCATGTATCGCTTGCCATTATAAGGCCAAATGGCAGCTAAACCAAATTTATCATCAAGAGAGAAAATGCTGCCTGCAAGTTATGCCAACTTACAGACTTGCGAAGCATCTACCACTTTGTTGTGCTTGAAAGGGTTAAAGTCATCCTTGATGTGGACTGGCGGACTTTTCTTGAAAGGTCGTGTCCCGTAAAAGGGGTTAGGCGTCGAAGGGCTCTATTGGTCGGCACTTGAGTTTCGAACTGCGACCACATAGATATACTTACCGATTCAGATTTGGGCCTTGGAGAGAGGGACGCCGAAGCGGATGGTGTGGGATTTGGAGAAGCAGAAGACTGGAATATAAGATGGGTATGTCAGAAAAACAGAGGGGGCAGATGAGAAAGCCTACCTTTGCAACTGGCCTGAATGAAGAAGCGTTGACGTTCAACCTGTTTGCGGCGGTGTTTGGCGATGCGGGCGTCTGAGCCGGCGGGCTTGGCGCTGCTGTCGCCCCGTTGGTGTTTGAGGTGGTAACCTTGGGCGTAGAAACGCTAGCTGTGATAGATGGATTCGACGGCTGCTTAGCTTTCCCGCCCTTGAAGGGTGGAATTGACTGAATGAACATGTTGACAGCTTTTTTGTTTGTGGGCTCTATCGTCGTCTTCGTACCAGTTGTCACCTTCTGGGCAGCTGATGGTGGGTGTTGGCCAAGATTGCTCGCCACAGTCTTCGATGTGGGCAACGCCGCACCAGGTTTGCGAGCAGAATCTGGGATCTTAGCGCCAGCGACGACGCCACGAGAGGCAGTAGCAGGAGTGGAGGCACCGATGGACCTTGCTTGAGCTGAGGAAGCATCCTTGTTCGCTTTCTCCCGGATTTGACGTTGCTTTTCCTCGTCTTTTGCAAGAATCGAAACAAGGTCGTCAGGGATGGGTTTGTTAAGCTAGAACCTGAGGTTGAGAGCCTCCGAGATGGAACCAGAAGAGCAAATCACGTACCTTGAAGTTCTGACTGAATTTGATCAAATCCGCCATTCGTTTGTCCATTTCGCTTTTTACGAGGGCCTGTCGTTTTTGAGTCAAACGTTGTTTCTCGTTTGTGACAAAGTCACGGAAGGCAGGGAGGGGATCCGCTGGAGGCTGAACGGCAAATACATTAGCTGGTTGGAGAAGAGTAGAATGAACATGAGCTGATTGCCTTGTTAGAATTATTTGTAGCTCCAGGGCCAGGGGGGGCTGGAGAGGGAGGCTTAGGGGAGGATGACGATTGCGTTGAAGGTACAACGTTGGAACCATCTGGACCATTCACGGAAACCTTGGGAATGTCAGGTTTCGTTGCGTTTGCCGCGTTGTTGACGGGAGGAGAGAGGCCTCCTTTCGTCCGAGCACCTGGAGGGACATAAGCATTGGTCCCTCGGACCACAGCACCATATCTACGAAGAGAGTAAGAATTTGTGAAGGGGTCACACGTGTTAGACCACGCACTTGTCTTCCTCATTAACGCCACTATCGTCAATATTGAATCCTCTTTCTTCAGCAATGTGCGGGTTGTTCGTCGCGGCCTTAGTTATCTCAAGTAAGAATGGCAAAGTTGAAATCATCAGTAAGTTGGACGAACCCCGATAATCTCATTTGCAATGCGTTGTGCCTTGCGCTCCCGTTCCTTGAAATCTGGTGCGCTTCGATCCAGCTTTGTCGTGTATATGTCTTCGTCGAAACTGGCTTTTACACCGAAAAGTTGTTCGTTGGCAGTGAATTGATCCCAGGATGTATTTCCGGTCGAACCAGGCCCAAATGTGTCATCGTCGCCGGGAGCAGTCAACACAGGAGGGACTGAGCCGTCCCCACTTGAAACCCACGCTTGTAACTCGCGTTCTCTTCCAAGGCCTTTCTTCTGGCTGATATCAGCATCTGTTCGGAAAGCTGAAGATGTATATTAAGGGTTTGCAATTGGCTACATTCACTTGGGAAAACCTTACAATCGCCATTTGGGATCTTCGCGTCGGCTGGTCCCGAGGTCCAGGACTCGATATTGGTGGATGCAATAAAAAGGATATCCTTGAGAGAAGCACCAGGGTTTGTTATTTCCTTGACGTCCTTTAATGTAACTCCAGTCGTGTCGCCCTCTGAGCTTGTCGAGAAGATGACGCCCTCATAACGCTGAGATGTTTTGGTTAAGAGAGTCACCGTGGTACCCTGAGTAACTCCGTCAGGTCAATCGAATTCATCGGGAGGTTAAGCCTACTGTCAGGCCGGTGAGGGACTGCAATATGCGGTCACGAGCGGCGTCTGAACGGGCACCGTTCTGGTGGCCCGGCGTTGGGGTTGAAGAAGCGGGGGGCGCTGGTTGCGGACGAGGAGAGCTGCCTGAAGGCGTGAAAGTAGGGGAAGCTCGTGCACCAGTCCATGCCTGGGGACGACTGACGAACGATGAATTGGTGGGATCAAAGATGCGGGAATATAAGAGACATACCGAGCTGGCTCAGCAGCGCCTTTCCTAGCGGGCTTTGATTGTCTCGCTGTGGTAGCCATAGAAGAAAAGGCAAGGAAGAAAAGAAAGAATTAAACCGAGGAGACGTCGACAGCGGCGAGTGCGCGACGAAAGAAGATAACGATGAAGAAGACAAGAGCTTTACAGTAGACAAAAGCTTTACGCTCTATAACGCCTTTTGAAGAAGAACACGGGATATATGACAGAGTTAGAAACGGTCACTGTGGACGCGAGGAAGACGATGAAAGGCTACAAACCTACAACCAACTGCCGCTCAGAAACAGCGTAAACAGCGACAACGACAACAACCGTCACATTGTCACAACACTGCTTTCTCAGGGACCCCGACCACCGCCGTACACGCTCATTGTCAAGCCCAGCGATGATCAGGCGTTGAGCACGATACAACCTTTCGAATACACAAAATCTATTTCTCGTTGGGTGTAAGTAATACCGCATGTCCTACTTATTGATTGCGCCTGTTGATTCTAGAAGCTAACGTACCTTTCGTAGAGGTATGGGCTGTGTCCAGACACCGCAGTGGCACTGTCATATAAACCGTTGACGGCCTTCAGCTTCAAAACATGTATCATCTTCGGTTTCCTTTTGGCAAATCCATTTCTAACACCCCAGTGCGCACGCAGACTGTCCCATCAGAGGACTTTTCGATAGAAGAGCTCAGGCGCTGGATCCGTTCGCCTGGTACACTGAAAGAAGTTGACCTTCCCCGGATTCATCAATCCATTGATCATCACGAAGCACATCTCCGCTGGTTAACACACGGTATAAATCAGGTCTAAATGGAGAGGACAAGCAGCGGAGGATGTTGTGGGCTGCTGTGGAAGGCTGACCCCTCCACGTTGCTCAAAGAGGAAAGGGAGGGGGTAGATGCCTCGCTACAGCTCAGGAAATCATTGCTTGCCCCAATACGACGCCTACCACCGGAACTCCTCTCAGAGATCTTTGTGCACTGTCTACCAAATAAACGTTTCGTGACACCCTCTCCAACATCCGCCCCACTTTTCCTCGGACAAGTGAACGCTCTGTGGAGGAGTATAGCCATCTCCACGCCCAAGTTATGGTCGTCCCTGGAAATATCCCGTGAATTATGCAAGCCAGACCGCTTGTTCCCATTAATGGAAACATGGATAGCACGAGCCAAGGGACGGCCTCTATCTCTCTCCATCAAAGGTGGCCTGTTATCAGCAGAGACTCCCCAAGCCCGATGGCTTGTAGCACTTTTCCAGAAGCATACTACACGTTGGCAACATTTACGATTTGAGCTTCCAGGGGGCGTGCTTCCCATGTTTATGCCATCGCTTTCCCTCCCCGTGCTGGAAACATTTGAGATATATTCATCAGGCCTTACAGAGGCTTGGGTGCACGATCTCTCAAATGCTTTGTGCTCTGCATCGCGTCTGCATCATTTTGTGTGGGACAACAATGTGTGGCAAATCTTGCCACTTCGCTTGCTCTGGTCACAACTAACTCGCCTCACGCTAAATACCGCTGTCAGTTTTGACCAATGTTTGACGATCTTGAGGGAATCTCATGTATTGACCCACGTGTCATTCCAGAACGTCTCCGTCGTTGGAGTTTCCGGCTATGATCCCATCTCACTTCCTGGTCTCATTTCCCTTGTTATATCTGCTCAGGAAGATGCAAATAATGGCCTCGCTTTTTTTCTCGACCTGCTGACCCTCTCTGGTCTTCGCGAACTTCTCCTCAACTGCCAAGTTTGGCCGCACAAAGCAGTGACCTCGTTCCTCCGCCGCTCACGCTGTCCGCTCGAAAGCTTCAATCTTTTCTTTCCCCCTGTGACGGAAGCAGAAATTACGGAATGTCTTGAAATCATTCAAGCCACTTTGGAAGAGCTCACTATTCAAACTGACGCTGGCGAAAGCATCCAGGGGGCCATCACCGATTGCATTTTGGACCGCTTGACAGCTGCGAGAGGCAATCACCACACATTATGCCCAAACCTCCAAGTCATCGCCTTGTATGACTGCATCTCATGTACAAGTGGCCGTTATGCGCAAATGATAGAATCCCGTCTGGATCCATATCTTCACACACCTACAATGAAGGTGGTCGAGATTTATGAAACCGAGGTGGAGCTGGAAAACTTGAAGGAATTGAGGAAGCAAGGTTTGATATTGAAGATATACTCTGAGACGACTGCAGAGGCCCTTGACCTTCTTCCAGAAGAGATTGCTCGGCTGAATAAACTTCGTGAAGAAGGGTTAGTATTGCGGGTCTACAGGCCTACAGGACATTTCGGGGAAGCGGATGATTAGCTCCAAATTAGCTCTACAACGACATATTTATTCAGTGTTTTCGCGTACTTGCATTGCTATGACATTTGTCTTTACATAGTTATAAGAGAAGTTGGACTTTTTGGACTACGGCCAATCTTCTGATCTAGCATTCGGCCTTGGACAACATACCAGACAGCACTGGCGAGACACGTCGCGTAAGGATCGCCTTGAAGAGCATGCCCGCAGTTGGCGGTGAAGGCGGTGAACACTGAATGGAAAGTCCAGATATGCTATGTAAATGCCATTTCTGTTTTGCCCTTTTTAGTCGGGTCCTTTTCCCTATTACTGTGGCTACCTGGTGGCTACGCCGCTACACGAAGCTATCTCCACTAACCTCCCCCACTGCGGTGAACGTCCAGCACTATAACAGTGCCGAAAACACCAAGTAGAAAAGAACACGCAACTAACAAAAGCTAGAACGATGGATGAATCAAGCTCTGGCAGTCATGTAAACGTGGAGGTAAATCATCGTGCCTCAGCTACAACGTACTACGGAAATTGCTTACACATGAGGTTCTTTCACCCACAGACCGATCTTCGCCCGCCGCCGACAAACGATGGAAAATATCCTTTGAAGTTTTCACCACAATCTGCAGATTCCTTCATCGCGTTCCTTCCTCCCGAGATCCTTGCCGCCATGTTTGTGTACGCCCGACCTACTCGTCGTCTCAGACGCAAAATAGCTTTTGAAGTAACCCTCAGCCATGTATGTATGCAATGGCGCGGCATCGCACTGACGACCCCCGCCCTTTGGACCACCATCGATATTTCCTCGACTATCTCCCTAAGTTGGGTGCCCATCTACCTTCAGCGCTCTGGAGATGGAATTGCGTTAGATATCCGGGTGGATATCTATGCAGAGGACAGACTGGTTCGCCACAGTGCATCCAAAAACACCGCCGTTGTGCAAGCCATTACGGATTTGATTTGGCTTCACATTGGTCGTTGTAGGTCTCTCCTTATTTTCACTTTTCACGAAGAAACAGCATCCCTCATTCTTTCCCGTTTGCGCAACGTTGCCGCGCCGCTCTTGCAACGCCTACGCATCAACGCGGGTCGCGTTAGTCGACCCTTTGCAGATCCCACTGCTGCTGCTGATTACATCTTATCTGGCGGGGCACCACGGTTGAGATTTTTGGAGACAGAGACGATGCAATGTTTTCCCTTGGCCAACCTTGCGACCCTTCATCTCCATAGGCTCCAAAATGCTGAGCCCATGGAATATGAGCAGTTGACGCAGATATTTGCAGCTCTCCCCGTGCTATCCAACCTTTCCATCCGCGCGCCGATGCACTCATCGCAGTGGCCTCTTCACCTCACTTCTCCTACCTTCCACATGTCGTCCTTGAGATCGCTCATGATTTCTAAAGATTGGCTTTTCGCAGCGCGGTTTTTGCTGTCGGTTTCAGCACCTTTGCTCCAGTCTTTGTGGTTGGATTGCTTGATGGACGGCTCGAATTTTTTTGATGCCCCTCAGGGGAGTAAGTTCCCTGTGCTAAAGTACCTCACCCTCACGCCGCATAATCATATTCTCTCCATCATCTTCTTGGCTGGCATCTTTCCGACAATAACTCACCTACATCTATCCTATGTGAACTTGTTGCATTTCTCCCAGTATTTCAAGCTTGCATTGGTCGCCGTGCCAACAATCTGGAAGCAACTGGCTACGCTGATTGTGACAACCAGGAACATTGATCACGCTCATAATTTTTTTGAAGCCCTCTGCCGCATCCTCCCACACCGTCGGCGGGCAGAAGCTCCTTTCCGAAGTCTTTTACTGGATGGTGACCTCTTGAGATTTCTCCTTGCACAGAAGTCTGACCTGTTACACGAGCATCTTACAATGGAAGAGTTGCGTAAAGATAATTATAGTGAATACTGGTGGGTCGGTCGACACGACGATACAGTTGATAGAATAGGCGTCCCATTGATTGGCGACCCATGAGTATGCTACGATAACATAAAATTTACACAACGAACAAAATAAGAATGAAGTGAGAGAGCTACGGATACAAGGAGCCTACATACAGATACCAAAAAAGAGACCGAGATCTACAAAATATAGTGGAGAATACACGTCTTTTGAGATTTTGATGACATAATTCTTATGGCTCAACCAAAACCACTGGCAACTCCAGGCGACAATTCTTCTAACTCACAAGGCACAAGTCATCGCGCCTTAGGCTATAGTACCTGGCATCTGCTGTAAAATTGATTCTTCACACCCTAAGTCTCATGTTAGGTTTCACAACTTGGCTGGCAACTCTTATCTGGTTTTCCATTGTCGTTCTGAACACCAACTTCATTGAGAAGACACCACCCTTGAAGCCGTAGGTACTCAACTCTTCTTCTCTGCTAATTCCTAAACCTTTACTTCACACAGACTCACAATTCCAGGTAGACGTGTAGACCTCTGCTCTCCAACCCCCCTCGACATGTCGACTCAGACATGTACAACAGCATGCACAACAGGCCCTGAACGATGGGCATCTCCCGATATGTGGGTTGATGCAGTCCCACAACCCTTTACAACAAATGAGTATGTACCTTTACATGCCTTGTTCTCCTCTGATCTTTTTTTGCTTCTCTAGGTCGCGTCTCATCATTATTGGGACGGTGGCAAAGGTCAAAAATCAACCAAAAGCACTTGATGGTGTGGACTTTTTTTCTGCCTTTAAACCCCTGCTGAGTTATATGCAGCCCTAAACACGGTGCTTATTGACGTTGCAAACAGGATGTTAAGGGTTCTAAAGGAGAGGTGTGTGGAAGTGGCTTCAATGCTTCTTTCTCTTCTTTTCTCTTACATATTGCTTAGAAAACCCTATTGTGGGCCTTACGCTGCCAGCTACCTCTCAATGTCGTAAGCAAAAAGTCCTACTTTGTTTGTGCAACATTCCTCATTTCATGCAGATCATATGAATCGTTTGGGGGCTTTTCCCACATGTCCCGGCTTGCCACAAACTTTGGTAAGCACAAGGGGATGATTGGCTGCTTGATTCTAACACTTCAGATATATTTCCAGTGGTTACAGCCTTTGATATATATTTTGGTATTGTTTTCAATTGGAAGTGGATCAATGAGGTAACTTGTATACCTCCCCCGATACTGACCTTTCTTATGAACTTCTATTTAGATTAATATTATAGCTTGCGAGAGTGGAGTTTATCTGGTCAGTGCTTGACCTTTTCTGGTGACGCGGTTTCATCTTAAACACCCCATCCCAAGCAAAAAGAGGCACTGATTTAGTTCTGGTGCAGGTGATAAAACTCATCGAATTCATTGACCTCTATGGTGACTCTGTGTCAATGTCCAAGTTTAGCAAGATGTGGACACAGTTCTTGCTTGGACAGCCAATCAGCTTCCCAACTCAGCCTGATTCTAGGATATCTGCATTGATTCGGTGGGTCCTGTCTATTACACAGTCCTTATATTGCTTATAGTTGATGCAAGTGTGGTGATCCTCATTGAACCATCCCTCCCTGTTCCTTCTCACCTGGCAAGATGGCTTGGTAGCTGCCCTTGCTTCTATGACCAGCAGCTGGTGGCTCCCAAAGAAGACTCAGAGAGGAGGATGTTTTTGGTTTGTAAAACCAATATGGTTAGATCCACCCACCATGAAGCAGGGGTTGATGGTGCAGAGAGTTTTGAGGGTGATGAGCTGACAGATGTCATCCAAAATTTTGAGAAGTTTATCAATTCTTAGAGTTACAGGAAATGATTCCAACATAGCTTACATCCAACATGTCTTCATGATCCCCAAAAGACTGACAATACTTGTTTGAACATGTACAAGACTTGACAACAACATCAGTAAACTGGTGAAAATCCTCAGTTCAATCACATTCATACTATAAGTACATACTGTGCCTTATCAGGGCTTAACTCATTGTCCTCGTTAAAGACTGAGTTTCACACTACTGTACTAATCCAATCAATTCGTCGGTCACGCGTCACAGGCGGTCCGAAATCGACGAAATTCTAAGCGGTCACAGGTCACAGGAACCAGCGACGAAACCACCAGGTCAGTCAGAAAAGGAACAAAATTGGGGTCTTTTTTCATTAGAAATCGATTTTTTCGCCCTCTAAGTCTCTCTAGCAAAGTTCTCTGAACTATTTTAAATTATCTAAGGACAGAGGGCTACTCCGACATTTTGACGAAAATTTCCGGCAGTCACACCTTCCCCGGTGACGCGACGAAACCAAAATTTCGTCGCGTGGGTCACAGGTCACAGGGTGCGACGAATTGATTGGATTAGTACAGTATTTGTTATTTTTTTGACATTTTCCATTAGATGTATTTCCCCTCTTTAAAAAAAGAGCCTGAGATCTACAAAATACAGTGACCTGGTAGTGGAGAATACACGTCCTGTGTCTGAGGAGATGCAGATATAGGGAAGCAGAGACGAAGGCTGCAGCTGCCGAGGGACTCTGAAGCTATTCAGTGCGGGCCGTCAGAATAAAACGTCAAATTCGCAAAGAATGAAGAGATTGCTGAAAACCTTCGAGGCTTGCATTTTGGACGATCACGACAAAACGTAGAGGGGAGACAACGATCCAGTGATTCAACATTTGGGATGGATTATACATGGCAGCGACAGGTTGACAGGACCGCCGAGTGACGTGCAGGACAAGGGGGATTCCAAAAAGCGGTGAAGGGAGGGAATAAGCGTCGGATGTGATCTCAAAATAGGACCGTGGGCCATGGCCGAGTGGGGGTTATCCAAAATTGCCTGTCGGGAGGCCTGTTTCGGTTGAGGAACAAGAGGATTCAACCCTAGATAGCCTTGTTCAAATTGCTGAATGAGATAGAAACTCTATGGCCGTGTCCGCGTTGTCTGCGCCGTAAATTTGCCGTAAGTTCAAGTTCTGCACAGAACCACATCAAGCAAGAGGCAAACAACGCGTCAACAAGTTATTCAGTCCAACTTCTGTCACCCGTCATGTCCTGTTCTAAACGCGTCCTATCAGCTCCTGGCCCCTCAAAACCACTTACTGACTCGTACACATACCATTCTCCAACCCCCACAGCACCAGGACCGTACATAGTAGGCGTGGATGAAGCAGGCCGAGGACCTGTCTTAGGACCGCTCGTTTATGGCATCGCATACTGCCCAGCTTCGTACAAGGAGGATATGGAAGAGTTGGGCTTTGCGGGTAAGTACTTCTATATCCTTTTACACCCCGGGCTGAATTCGTCGTAGACTCCAAGACGTTAAATTCGGATACGCGGTTATCACTACTGAATACCCTCAGCTCGCAGCCCGAAAACTTGGGATGGTCTGTGAGAGTTGTAAGGTATTTCTTTTCGGATGCACCTTGTTTCGCTCGTTTCTAAAGCACGTACAAGTCCTCAAGCAATATCTAGTGGAATGCTTTGTCGGCCCCCTACAAACTTGAATCGACAGTCCCAAGACGCTACAATTCTACTTCTACGCGAGGTGCTAGCAAAAGGCATACAAGTCTCGGAGGTGTGTACGATAGTTTACTTGCTTTTGGCGCCTCCATTCAGAGTTTTAGCAAGGTCTACGTTGATGCATTGGGCACGACAACGACATATGAAGCATACTTATCCTCCCTTTTCCCTGGTATTGACTTCACTGTCACGACAAAAGCCGATTCCAAGTTCAAGATTGTAGGAGCCGCCAGCGTTGCGGCGAAGGTGACGAGAGACGCCTGCGTTGAAGGCTGGACTTTTGAAGAAAATATCGGAAAGGAGGGGGATAAGTGGAGCAATGCCACCCTTGGTTCGGGATATCCTTCAGGTTTGAGTATTTGACCGTCTTTGAGCGCACTCACAACTTTCATTGCTAGATCCAAACACTCAAGCGTGGCTTAAGGGTTCAGTCGACCCCGTATTTGGCTTCCCCAAGCTTGTGCGGTTCTCTTGGACAACGGTCAAGGTTATACTTGAAAAAAATGCGCACGCGGTCAAATGGTCGGTGGTTATATCTGCAACCCTCAGCTTGCATTGCTTAAACTTGCCGTTCTGTAGGACTGATGAAGGACAGGCTTCTTTAATAAACGCCTTCGAGGCGGGACAAGGACTCGATAAAAATCGATGTTCAGTTACAAAAGACCTCCACATCACAAGCCTGATAATGCTGTAGAGGCCCTCTATAATGGATACCTGGATATAGACGACTGCGTCATTATACACGGTGGTTTAACCGCTAAAATTTAAACGACACGTTATAGGACATAATGAATGAGTATAGTACAAACGCAAAATCACCGTCGCTTCGGTGGGGGTGACCCTGCAGCCTCTTGCCCCGCTTTCCTCTTCAACCCTAAACCAAATGCCACCTTGGCGCGGTCAGCGGGAACAGGCGTTCCTCCCTGAGACTGTGACGGGGTATCGACGGCAGAGGATATGCGGGAAAATCCAGCCCTGGGTACAGGAGAACCAGAGATGCTGTTAAGGCCAGATGGACCTGGGCTGCTGCCAGCAGACATGATTTGTACCGGCGGCGCAGGAACAGTCATAAACCCAGCATCTGCGGCTGGTTTTGAAGCTTGGTTCTCCTTCTTCTTCTTTGCTTTCTCGGTCTTGCCTTTGGCGAGCGGCTGAGCGTCTAAGAAGTCTTCCGCCTGTGGCACAGCGCTGTAATGATTCAATGATCAGCTATGAATTCCACTCGCAGCGCATTGGCTTACCCTCTATTACCCACTGATAAGACGAAATGAGCCTGACCAGCCTTCTCTTGTCTCTGTTGGAATGCCTTGTTCATACTCAATGGCGTGTCCCCACTCGCCATCGCTTCCTTTTTCTTCTCCTCGGCAATCTTCTTCAACCTTTTCTCCGTCTTCATCTTCCCCGAACCTTTTCCGTGGAACTTATGGGATAGAGCTTTCCAAGCCTCCTTTGGTGTCAATGCACGACCAAACTCATCGTAATAAACGATATTGACATCGGGTTTATAGTCTTTGAATGCTTCCATCTTATCGCGAGCGTCTTGTTGTTCCCGAAGTCGATTCTCGTACTCTCGTTGAGCTTGGTCCTTATTCGAGCCTCGAGACTGTAACCGATCTATTTCGCGCTGAGCATCGCGAAGGCGTTGATCGGCCACGAATCGGTCTCGCTCCAGTTGCCGCCTTTCACGTTGTCCGAGTTCGGCTGATGGCTGCGCAATGATACCTTGCTGTCTGAGAATGCTGAGCGTCGAAGCCATGCCAGTACTGAACGTTTGCTCCGACGATGTCCCAACCCCGTCTTCCAAACTAGATTTATCTAGGTCGACGGCTAGTCCCTCAGCTTCGACGGACCGAATCAACCCATCGACAGCTTCCATCATGGCCATGTCGTAGTCTTCGTCCTCCTCGTCCTTTACTCTGACCTCTCCTGCTTCCAGTTCATCAAGCACGATATCTCCAGAAACCATTACTTGGTCTCTTGAAGGAGACCGTTGTGGCTCACTCCGTCCATTTGGTACAGGAATCTCCTTTGGCTCCGGTTTAGGCTTGACAAGAGGTTGATTGCTTCCAACAGCTCGAACAAATTCTGAGGTGTCGTCGAAGGTCAGGCCAGTTTCCTCCTTATCATCATCGACAACTTCTACCTTGAGAGAAGCGTCCATTTCTAGCTCCCTTCGTTCCGTAACTGTAGATACGCAGTAAGAAAGTCAGCAAAAGTACAAGAATAACTGCATTTGCTTACTCTTTCTTGCCAGCTCCTCAGGCGTCAACTTCTTGGTTTTCAATAGCTTTGCTTTCCTTGAGCGCGCCAAGGCCGCTTGAAGCTCGTCGTCGTCAACAAAGTTGGCATCGAGATCTCGAACACGAGGAACAATAGGTTGGTCAACATCCATCTTGCTCTCGAGTATGTCTTCAACATCGGCAGGAGCACGTCTAGAGGGTCGTTTCTTCTTTGTCTGTGTGACTTATCAGTGCATTGGTACGTAAGGCGATAATAAAAGGCACACCTTTGGCTTCTTAAAACCGAAATCACCTTCCTGTAGGTAATCTCTGGTTTCGAGGTTTTCTAACGAAGCAATTATCAGATTTCCGACTTATCCCAAAGTAAACAGAGGCGTACTGGCATAATCAATAGTCAAAAGTGATTTATTCACCGCAGCTGTTGCTGCTTGCCTCTGTTCGGCCTGCTCTCTTTTACCGGAGGTGATTGAGCTGCCAAGCCGGAAATCCTGAAGATTTCCAAATGAGAGTGATAGTCATATCAAAATAAGGTGCGCTTACTGTTTCCCGGGTGCCTTCAATGTCCTCGTCATACTTTGCCAAGACGGACCGTTTCATAACACCCTGATTACCTTCCGTGAATTCGTCATCGTCGTATCCCGTGTAGTCGCGCTTTTTGATCTTGAGCTCTTTAATTTTCTGACGACGTTCCTCTTCTGCCATCTCCACATTCTGGAGCTCATCCTCTGTTCCGACTGCATTAGCATCAACGTGCAAGAAATGTCCACTTGACTCACCTTCGTTATCAAGGATACGGCTATCTTTCAGGGTGAGTATATGGGCTTCGCCTTCGTCCATGCCGTCGAAGTCATGGCTGACCTTGAGACCAACAAGATCACCTAGCAAACAACTAGCGTATTGGCAGAGGCAAGAAAAGCCAGTGAGAGAACATACGTTCTGAATATTCGGGCTCAGAAGCCTTGTCCCTGTTATCTATTTCTTCTTGTCTCTTTTTCGCAAGTTCCTTTTCTTTCTTCTTGCTTCTCTTAATCCACTTCAAGGTATTGTCGACATCCCCTTCTGCATCACCCAAGGTTGCACCTTTCAGTGAAGCGTTAAGTTCCCGTCGGTTTCGTACCCTAATGAATCAGGATGCGTAAGTATCAACACTCTTATACGAAATGGCCAGAGAAAGAATGGAAGTTATGGTGACATTTTAGGAAAAAGAGGACCCACTTGGTTATGCGATCTTGAATTGTCCTAAAACATAAAGAATCAAACGAATGCCAGCATATTGTGACTTTCGTACGCACTTTGCCTGCCGGTCCTTTGCCTCTCGGTCGCGTTGCTTTGCGTAGTTATCCTCAGCCTGTTTGTCTTTATCGTCCGCTGGCGCCTTGTCGTCGGTCAAAGGCTTCAAACCGAGGGAAATACGAATCTTATTTGTCTCCTCCAAGCTTATGCTCTCTTCCATTGACATGCTGGGCAAATGGTGAAGGAAGGGTGTGTGATTACGTGATGCAATAGTGACCTGAAGTTGTCACGTTCTTTGACGGTTCACTGAACTGAAGAAGCCCAACAGCAAAATGGCGTCCTTCGCGTCCCCTTTTCGCTCAACATACCGCTATCTCGTACATTTTGTTCACAATTCGCAGTGTGTTTCTAATTGTCTCTTCATATAGCAACGACAAGCACACGAAAACCCTGTCATCTTCTACTCGTGCATAATCGGAGCCATTGGTCCTGTCATGGTTGTCGCAATTCCACCCATACGGGAACGTTTTGGATACCAACCTGCGGAGATGGTACCTACGACTTACCCTCGTATGCGATATCTAATCTGGTGCTGTTTCAACACTAACATACACGCCCAGTCCCCAACCGGCCAAGGAGAGCAGTAGCTGGTTACGAAGACCAGTAACTTGAAAGAACCCCAACTTGTTTTTTTCATAGATCGAACCCTACTTCAGGCCGACTGCACACCATGCTTGTACTTCAATTCGCGGAACATTTTTGTTCACCGATGATGTGCGCGTTTCTATAGAATGATTTCCTGAGAGACGAAATACGCAAGTTCCATAGATGCGATCATTGTATCCGTCATGTTTTACTTTCCTCCATCGACCCATCTTGACCAATCCGCCTTTGTGGAGTCGCTCTTTCACGTCGTTTTCTGGGCATTCTGGATTATTGCAGAATTCAGATGTGATGAAGATCACGTTGGACCTGACATCCAGGTAAACTTTCAGGGACTTAGACTCCGGTCGGCGGTATTCTTCTCAGCAATTATAAGAGATTACAAGAGATTACAAGTCGATACTCCAGCTTTACCCCATCGATGCCAAGATCTATTGCGAATTCTTTCATCTCCTTTTACTCCCTTACTCCCCGGTGCACAAAGCCCCGCAGATTGATTTACGATATATCCCTGTCCACCACTGTGTAACTAACAAGGGATGAGGGGTCATCAGGGGCACCAACATTGGGTATTGCCATCCTTCGTACAAATTGCATTTCTGTGCATTGCGGTCGTGGTTCATGTGAACGAAGGTCAGGGGTTGAAACGTTGAAAGATTTGTTTTCTCGAGATCTACAGACATTAAAGTTTTGCTGAACAGTGGCATTTATTCATGTAACATTGTCAATGAAAAGGCGACTTCCGTTCGACACAATAACGTCACTCACGCCATAGTTGGGCAAGTACGAGGAGCGCGCCACAACTTACGACACAGAGGTAGCCTATTCGATCACTATTGATGCCAGAAAGCTTATCACTGCATAAAATCGATTCAGTGACTTCGACATCTAGATTCTACATCCAGTCGACACCTAGTATTTTAATTTATTTAGTCATCTTGGTGTGTATATGGTAGGACTGCAGATACGTACTCATTTAAGATTTGTTCCTAAATGCAATGCGGCCTCCCACCACAGACCAGAGGCGGAACTCCGCTACGATACGCTGTCAATGGGACTTACAGCGCTGCACCTAGCCGATTCGAATCGGGTCAAAAATGTTCAGTGCGTGACTGTGCGTGACTACATCTGCAAAAACGTTGATCCTGATTCCTGATAGTCTAAAAATAGATACGCCATACGGTGGACAAGCTCATGGGCTCTCTTGCACCTAACAAATTTCGAAATTCTGGCGGAGAAGAACAAACCCCGCGAAATCATTGCAGTCACTTGTGCGATCCCGGATCAGGGAGGTCGAACGAGACTAATGTCAGGGGCCTGAATCTCTTTCCCCAGAGTCAATCGGCCCCATGGATCTAGTATTCAGGATGGTCCCCTTACTCATGACGCATGTCCCGCATTGATCTACTACTCATGGATAGCTAGTAAGAGCTGCCGAGAGCTCGCCAAGGTCACGATATTTTGAATTTAGCTGATGGAAAGCCGCAATCCAAAGAGTAAAGTCTAGTGGGGACCAACCGTTGTGACGCGACGAAGTTTTAGAGACTGCCCAAAAATAACTAGTTGGCAGGAATCTCCAAAGCTTTCAAAGAGGGCGAGGAACAAAAATACTCTGAAATCTGTCGATGGCAAGATCTAGAATTAACAAGGATGCTGCGTGTCCGATCCCGCACTTCGTTTGCCCCAAATCTAGGAAATTCTGGGGCAATCTGTGATCGAAAACATACAGCACCCGCGCCCTACTCCAGATTACTCCTGGGCAGTTTATCAAACATGCGGGGAAATGGTTTTCATCTTTGTTTACCGATGTGACGGGAAATCCATTTCATATAGCTGCACCTCGATACTCCTGTCGTGGTAGAATATAAAGCCACCTCTCAGATAACGAAACCACCAACCTTCCACTGGTCCAACATGTCTAACGCTCCTCTTGTTCATTTAAGCGATCTCCAGAAGCGACTGCGCGTATTTGCTGTCTGGGAGAAGGTCAGGAATGACGGAAAGGTTCACTGGGCGATTGAATGTTTCGCAGAGATGGCAAGTTCAGCGTACATTAATGCCACATTTGCAGCTGACACCCTTTTCACCCAGTTTGGCGTATTTCTCTATGTGTATTTTGGTATGTTGGTTTCTCGCTGGGCAGGCCCATTGAAAGCTAAGATTTCCTTGCTCTGTAGGTTTAGGATCAACGGCAGGCTGGGTCATTGGAAACATCATCAAGGAAACCAACCTCTCCAGTATGACACATGTTTTTGTGGGTTTCACCGCAGTCCTAATATTTTATAGGCATTCTTCAAATTGGACTTGCATACGCATTTGGTATCTGGTTCGCTATCGGCCTATGTTCATCTAGCTCGGGTGGTCACTTCAATCCTTGCGTAACGCTATCTTTCGTTGTGTTCAAGGGCTTCCCAAAGCTCAAAGCTTGCAGGTTAGAAAATCCAGACTTCGCTCGACAGGTCAAAAGTTGACGAACATTGTTTGTGCAGATATATCATCGCCCAAATCCTGGGGGCATACATCGCGTCAGCTCTAGTCTACAGTCAATGGAATGTCCTTATCGAAGAGTGCACTCTCGGCTTGATAAAAGCAAAGGCGTATGACACCACAATGTTTACGCCTAATGGTCCTGCAGGGATCTTCGCCCTCTATTTGGTCCCTGGGGCCCAAAGCGTTCCGCGTGCCCTGCTCAACGAATTTGTCAATGTAAGTATTATCAGTAAGAAAAGGAGTGGGACGCTAACCTCGCCCGCTGACAGTCAACCCTCATTGGCATGATTATTTGGGCAGCTCTTGACCCCACCAACATGATGGTTCCACCCGCTATGGGCCCTCTCTTCATTTCACTGGCATAGTAAGTCATGCCCTGATGAATGAACTTGACCTTGTCAATTGAAAAATCATTCCGATAGTGCCGCCGTTATCTGGGGATTCGCCACTCCCGCGGTGGCACTCAATACAGCTCGTGATCTTGGTGCCCGCCTGTTCGCCATGTCAATTTGGGGAACCAAAGCTGCGGGTAGTGGATATTCAGCTATCGCTTGCCTCATCAACATCCCCGCCACCCTCCTGGGTGTGTTCTTGTATGAGGTGTTCTTCACCGATTCGGACAGAGGTAAACTTTTACCAATCTTGAACGGGAAAAAATTGAAGCATATTTTTTCAACAGTTGTTTCTCCTGCCGCACTTACCATCATGAATGCACACGCCAACCACCGCCGGCTCCATCACGGCCATGGAGAAGCTGACAAGCGTGACTCTACCGAGAAGCCTACCATCACCACCTATGAGCATGCTGGTGGCAATGGCGTAGAGGTTTCCCATGTTTGAGAACTCTGTCACATCCCTCAATTTTGACCCGAGAAGTACGAAGGAACGGTGGTAATGAGTACAATTTGGTTTCCCCAGTCGCCAGTGTAATTTCACTACGTTGCTTAATACAAACACCATATAATGATAACGATGCTTACGTCTCAATATTCATGATCAACTGAGAAGGGCAGCAGTCGTTAGCATCGCCGATTCGCTTTCACATTGAGGCTTGAAGCTTGAAGGTTCGCTTACTCTAGCTTCATGACATCGTGTCGCCATCGTTTCCAGCAAGATCCGGTGGAGCTCGGAGGAATGCCTAAGGTCAAAGGTATCATACGTCCGTGACCATAGGATTAAGGAATAATACCGCACCTTGAATAATTGTGCGTTGCGAGATGTCGTTCTTTGAGTCCATTGGCGGTAGTATTCATCCGACTTTACAAGGAGGTTTCTTCAACTAGAGCTCTCGCACAGGGTTGTGAGCACGTCGTGAGCTGTCGTGAGCTCATGAACCAAGTTATGTAACTTTATCCGTACCAATTTACAAGGGTACCGTAAATTCTGTAAAATCGCCTTCCGCCAAATTCTTCGCTTGACGTCCCTGAGGCCTGACGGCCCATCAATCCCATATCCCGTAGGGCCGCCTGTACTACCCATACCACTCGTCGCCGCCTGCACATCTCCCACTCGCCCACCAGTCCACTCCTTACTCATTTTCACTTCAAAAACACAGCTACATCGACCTCCACCGCCTCGAAATCACCTTCCAGGTTCCGCCCAGTTAAGACGTAGTACGACAATGGAGAAGGTCAAAGCCGCCACCGTTAATGGAGCGTAGATGGGGAGAAAGAGTCTGAAAAGAAGACCCAATCCTTTTACATGAACAGTGGTACGTGATTCATCCGGCTACATTCTCGAACTCGCGTTGACCCTTTCTCTTTACTGATTTCAAAACAGACTTATCCCTGGTTCTACAACAAGGCTATGGCCACCCTCGTCAACAGTGTTGGGCTAGCCAGCTTCCATTAGCTGCACAAGAATATCATGCTACTTCCCTCGCCTCTGTCTCATACCCCGTGAGGCAGGTAACGATACCCTTTTCCCTCCACACCGTCGTCCTCCACCCCACCTCAAACATACACGCATTCATTAACACCCTCCGCCTCCAAGACGAATATAGCCAGGTTTCGGACAACGCACAGATGTCTGAGTGTCAAGAAAACCCTCGAAAACAAGTTTGATTCCTCTCTGGCGACATACTTCATTGACTTATGACACAGACTGTGGCGCATATTGGAATTTACACATCCTCACGCCCCACCTTCCTCTACGTGCTTTGCTCCTGCGTCAGTGATGCAGCCCCATGGTCGTCTGCTCTCCCCCCTCTTTTGCAGCTGCGCCGCACACTTCACCGAGCGCTGTCTTGCGACCTACATTGACTCTGAGGATTTGGTCTAGCTGTCCCTTTGTCGCCTTGTTGACATTACAGTAAGTGTCATTTTTATTTCTTCAGATGACAGTCCTTGCTTATAGTTGCGAAATTGACATAGTACTACGTGCCCCCGTCACTACGCCTCAAATCATTTCAATATCAGCCTCGCCACCACGTTAACATCATCGGCTCGCGACTTGTTCACATTCGGAGATGACGGTGTGCCTGCGTGCACCACTGACGGCGATCATAAACTAAGGCACCCTGTGTTCTGGCACTCTACTTACTTTCAGATTGTACAGGGTGAGATGCCTTTGTGTTTTTTTGCTGTTGGGGTGCATCTATACATGGAGTAGAAGCAGCATATGTAGCTCAATAAATTGAATAATCTAACGTTGTCTTTTATGAGTCTCTGGAAGAAGGGAGTGCCAAGCTTCTGAACGGGCATGGTAAGGGCTGGTAAGGGACTTGAGATTTTACAGGGACGGAATGCTTGGCCAAAGGATAAATCTGTAAATCAATCACCAGGGTCCAGCTCGCTGTAATTTCAACCATTCGGCTCCTGGACCGCGCCAGCTCACTGTAAATCCCCGTAAATTGAACCCGATTTACCGTAAATTCTGGGAGTGTAAGTTCTTACGGCTTCTTACCACTACTTACCCACCTTATTTAATACCTGTTTCCTGTTGGTTAATTCCTGTGTGCATCTGTATTTACAACACAGATGGTTAGGACTCTCCCCCTTCAGACGAGAAAGCCTTGAAAGGTGTATATATACTACTTAGGGCCACAGGGACTATAATGGCTAATAGATGGTCCACTTCACATTATAAAAACAGACGCGACGCGACACGTTGGTTCTATTTGGTGTGCACGTGCATGTGTTCCCTCTGGTATTATATATACTAAACGCTAAACACTAGAGGTTGACTTCGTCAACAAAACCTCGCTTCTGTATTGTAAATACATTAGTGAGAGTTCTTAGTACACCCTCAGCTTCACCCAGCGAAAAAACTTCCAAAATGTTTGAATTGAACTCAACCATTTTCCTTAACATAAACCTCATTTTTAATCTTATCCTTTTATTTTTTGTTTCTTCATGAGAACTCCGTTGGAGCATTGAAGTTGAATATCTAGGTTGTTGATGGAGGCCGCTGCTCGTCGTCCGGCCTTCGGCCGACTCCTCGCAGCGGCAACGAGCAGTGTTATCAACTGTAAGCATATAGTGAAGTCATATTATTTGCACCATGTTTGTGGAAGAGTGAGATGTTTGTTCCAATCTTGAACAATATGATGCCCGCTACGTAGTTAGCGGGTCTTATCCTACGAGCCACCAAAGCTCTTGCGTGGGTAAGTTTAGCCATGTTTGCCCCCCGGTTCAACCCGTGTTCCTCCACCATGTCCTTTTGTTTCCAGCTCGACGGCTCTCCCGTTTCTGTTGAGCTTTCGTCTGGTCGATCCTATGTGTCTGTCGCTTGTTCGAACCGTTATGGCTCGTTTTTCTTGCAAATCCAAGGCACACAGCAAAGCCACAATGACTAGGAGGCCACGAAATCAAGATTAAGCAGAAAAGTCAGACACCCCAGCACCCTCAAGCTTTCGCGTAAAGGTGTAAAGCCGCCGATGTTGGCACTTGACGAGGGTCCCATCAATCGGTCGTTCATTTAGAACGTGGCTGGCCCTCCAAGAAGCGGAAGTATGCTCACCGGGGGAATTTTGAATCACTTGCTGAATGGGTTCAAAAGTGGAAAAAGTGAGTGAATCAAAAGCTTGAACATTCTGAACCAACCCCTCGCATTCTAATCTAGTGGGTTTTTTGTGATATTGAGTGAGTTTGTCGGACTGCCAACCTCTGTGCAGTGACACGCTTACAATCGTACTCAGGAGAAGGGGAAGTGTTACATCAACGATTAGTGGCGTGATGTTAGAGCATTGAGAAACAGCAACGGGCTTAGGGCAAGCTGAGGGGAAGCCTGTTCCTCTGCAGCTTCTCATTGGGTAGGCTTGATTCAAGTTGTCGGTCTCTTTCCCTTTTCTTCTTTTCCTTGCCTGCCGAGCGATGAGCAGCGTTATTCGATTTATGTATCATAACATCACTATAATTATAAACAGATTCAACAATGTGGCGGAGGTTGGGAGAACCTCTAATTTATGTGTCTACTGCTGCGAGGAGCTGGCCAAAGGCCGAGCGACGAGCAGCGTTATTCAATTTATGTAACATAAAACAAAACCAATAGTTTCGAGCGGTCGGCGACGAGCAGCCAATACCAAACAAGTAGATGGTCACTTTACAAAAAAATCCATTTCCTTCTCCAATGTGAAATGCTAGCACTCCTTGTAGCCATCAGACAGTCACATAAATGAACTTTTTCTGTAACCCCCGCAAAGGCAAGTATTATTTGGATTGGTCAATGGAATTTAAGTACCTAATCGCGGTAGCGGGCTTTGCGCCCGAAGGCGCGCTGCGGTGGTTATTATATGACCAGCAAGTCCTATTATTTGCGCCATGTTTGCGGAAGAGTGACATGTTTGTTCCAATCTTGAACAATATGACCTCCAGAAAGTCCTATTATTTGCGCCATGTTTGCGGAAGAGTGACATGTTTGGTTTGCTTAGAAATATGAAGCTGGGAGACCTAGCTAAAGCGAGGTGACTTACAGTTTGCTTACAGTAGGTTTTCTGCCAATGATGTTGATTCCATTCTTGTACCATAAATCATGTTTTTGGGCTACTGTATTGTAATATAATCAGTTTTGGTGTAAAGCTTGATCATTGTTGTTAGAACGAGATAAAGATCAGAAATTTCACAAATCGACGGCATCCAGGGAATTTTGACGAACAGCTCTGTAGCTTGGGCCCAGGTTTGATCTCGTAAAGTTACAGGGACGGCCTTTAACATCCCCTGCAGCTGTCTGGAATCCAGTTAGTTCAGCTGTCGTTTGAGCACTCAAAAGGGCGCCAGCCGGCAAGTCAAGGTTAGTGAACTCACCAAATGGCTCAAGGAGACACGCAGAGGCTGGGATGACAGCGTGAGGAACCAGGTGGACGAAAAGAAAGAGGGCGCGTTGCTGCAAAGAGGCGCGCGCCCTTTCACGAACATTCTGATGATGTTATTTAACTACAAGTAGATGAAAGGAGGGTAGATGAAAAAAGCAGCCGACCATCTCCTCCGTTCCAAGCTCCCAGGCCAAGGAGCAGACCAGGCCCGCACGCCACGCCCATTGCCGGCAAGGTAAGTGGGCGGTGTTGGAAAAGGACTAGTATACCCTCAGCCGATGGAAGAGCGACTGTATATATCACTGGAAACCGTACCTAGTATACCCTATGAGTAGTACTTGAGTTAGTCCAATGATATAGTAAAGGCGGGATCCGTTACTCACCTCAGCCGATGGAAGAGCGACTGAGGGAAGGAACGAACCCCTGTACAGTAGTTATAGTAGTGGTTACGTAACACGATCATCCTCGATCACGATCTCGGATGTAGACTTCAACACTCCTCCTCAAATCGAGGATCGGTGAGAGGGTAAAAAGAAAAGAAAGATAAAAGGAAAATAAAACAAAATTGACGAACATGGGGGAGATAGATGTGAGGAGAAATAGATAGGTGAATCCGAGCGCCGGGTGCATCAAAACCCAGTGGGAAAAAGCTACTGGCTGGCAAGGTCGAAAGAAAATCTACTTAGGTTGAAGAAGATTAAAAATCGAAACGCCAACCAGAAATGCTCCTCCTCGCACAAGTATCACCGGAGTCCAAGGAAAGGCCGCAGGCGTGTAAAATCGGGACGAGGCAGCGCCTTGGTGAAGATATCAGCGACGTTGTCGAAACCGGGGACACGCCAAATGGTGAGGGAACCGTCGTCCACGCGCTCGCGAACGAAGTGATGACGGACGTCAATATGCTTGCTCCGTGAATGGTGGGTAGGATCCGAAGAAAGGGCCTTGGCACCGTTGTTGTCACATAAGAGGACGGTTGGTCCGGGCTTGAGAAGGTGGACTTCACGAAGGAATTGCCGTAACCAGAGGGCTTCACGGCTGGCCTCGCTAAGAGCAATGTATTCCGCCTCAGTGGAAGAGTTGGAAACAGTCTTCTGTCGGCGCGATGACCAAGTAAAGACGGCACCACCAACGGAGAAGCAGTAACCCATAGTGGAGCGGGTGGTATCTGGGCAGTCAGCATGAGATCCGACAAGATCCAACTCGGGATCACCTCCTAGAGTTAATGTAAGTAAGCGTGTACCCTTAAGATAACGGACAACACGTATGGCAGCATTCCAGTGGGGGCGACGGTAGCAATCAAGGAATTGGCATAAGCGGGCAACGGCGAAGGAAATATCTGGTCGGGTGCCAACCGCCAAATACATGAGCGATCCAACCAAGGAACGGTATGGGATACGTGTCAAGTCATGGGCATCACCAGGAGAAAGGGGAGGATCGGAAGGTGAGGGACGGGTAAGGCTTTTCGCGACAGAAGGGTCCATTGGAGTAGAAATGGGGTCCGCATCAGACTGGCCAAACTGCTCGATAATACGGTCAATAAGTGCAGTTTGAGAAATGGAGACAAGACGCTTAGCCCTATCACGACGAATGGCGATACCCACGCAAAAGCGTGCCTCGCCAAGGTCAGAAATCGTCCAGAGGGATTTGAGCTCCTCCTTGAAGGAACGAGAGGCTTCGGGCGAGCTGGCAGTAATCAGGAAGTCGTCAACGTGGACAGCGGTGAGAACAGTTCCCAATGAAGAGACTCTGTAATATACACATGGATCAGCGTGTAATCGGGTAAAACCCCAATTTAACATAGCTTTGTGCATCGTTTTGTTCCAAATGCGCCCGCTTTGCTTCATGCCGTACAAACCGCGCTGTAAGCACCAAACCCAATCCTCCTTACCAGGCTCCTCAAAGGATTCGGGTTGCTCGAGGTATTGCGCTTCGTCAGCAGGAAGGAGACCGTAAAGGAATGCGGTCTTGACATCGATTTGTTGGATATCCCAGTCTTTAGCAGCAGCGATATTGAGAAGGAGGCGAATAGATTCCATGCGGGCAGTAGGCGAGGTGGTATCGCCGTAGTCTTGACCAAAGATCTGTTCATAACCCAATACAACAAAGCGAGCCTTGTGCCGGACGGGATCACCAAGTTCATCGCGCTTGAGTATCAGGACCCATTTACCACGCAAAATTTTGCGACCTGCAGGAACGTCAGAACGGGGGATGAGTTTATAGACACCCATCTCTTTGAGGCTCTTCAGTTCATCCTGTATGCCAAGCGTCCATTTGGCGGAATCAGGGGACTTCATAGCCTCGCGGAAAGTGGGTTCATCAGGACTGTGTGTGTTAATAAGAGGGAATGCGAGCTCAGAGGCGTAGGCTTCACAGAACGCAGCGAAATCTGCTTCAGAATCAAGGTTAATAAGAGGTGGTAAGGTATCATCTGGAACAGCGTTAGTAGGCATGGAAGGAGTCTGAACATTGTCGACATTCGTAAGTGACGCTCGAAGGTCGAGAACTTGTTGACGTCGTTCAAACTTGGCCTGATTTCGTTGTTCTTTGAGGCGTCGACCAGCCTCACGTGATTCAATAACCGCTTGAGCAACCCGCGGAATGTTCTTGATGCCTAAGTTCTCAGCAGCCTTGGTGCTGGGAGCCGGGGGACGGCCAGATCTGCGTGGAAGAATGTCAGTGTTATCAGCAGGGACAGGAACAATGTCATCTGCGGGAACAGGGACGACATCAGCAGGGTTGTGAAGTAAGGGAACAGATACTTCAGCTTGATGAGGGAGTCCAGGCTGCCAAACGGGATGGGAAGCACTAGGAATGGACTCCTCCTCATCTTGGACAGAGGTATGCTTGGGCGAAGAAACACTGGAAGAGGAAGAAGGGGAAAGAGATGAGGGAGAGGGGGATCCGGAAGCAGTAGGTATGGTATTGATAGGGCCATCCGTCACAGGGAGGTCAATGATGCGACCAGGGTGAAGTGGATGGGAGACATCGTCTTTACGCTCGATAAATTTGACGTGGAAGGATTCAAAAAGTCGATGTGTTGAGGGGTGGTAAAGGCGATATGCTTTTGAATGGGGGGAGTAGCCAACGAGGATACATTCGAATGAGCGTTCGTATATTTTTGGATTGTGTTTGAGGATGAGCGCAAACGCGCGTGATCCGATTTCACGTAGATGGGATAAATCAGGTTTCTTCCCATGCCAAACTTCAAAAGGTGTCCTGCCAAGGGTACATGTTGGTGTGCGAGCAGATAGGTACCCAGCTGTCATGGCAAATTCATCCCATCTATTGGGTGGTACGTTTGGTGTTGATGCACGCATAGCGCGCATTCTATTCATGATAGTGAGATGCATACGCTCAACGCGTCCGTTATGGGCAGAGGTGTATGGTGCAGTGACCTGTAAGGTATAGCCATTAGCATCGCACCATGCGTTCATCGCGTCGGATTGGAGTTCTCCACCATCTATAGGGCATAGTATGGTATCATTACCCCAGTGCATCAGAACCTGCCCAGCACCCACTCACCCAGACGGAAGCCCGCGTATATATGACCCCACCACCACCAAAACGCGTCCCATGGTCTCAACACACCTTGCGACAACTCAAACTTGTTCTTCCCGGCGCTGCGATCACTTACTACCTCGGCACTTTCCATGAGTTCTTGTGGATTTTCAACGGGGCAGGAGGATCCTTGGGAAGGCTTGTCTTGTTCTTTGTTGGAACGCATTCAGGAGTAACCATCGTTGATTTCATACAGAACAGCAGCGCTGGGTGCTGCTATACTCGGATTCACGACCATTGTGCTGTTTATTTACGTTCTTATGATGCCTTTGATAACTGGAGAAGAACCTAATGTGCGTCTGTGCTACCTCGTCCCACATCTCGCTGACCAACCACAGTATCAATCGTGGCGGGAGTCGGGCGTGTTGTCCTCTGTCATTCCTGTGAGCCCCGTTCTGTTTGCTACAGGGTTGCATATGAAACTTGAACTGCTTTTGTTCTTTGCAGCTCTTAACAGCTTCGATTGTCTTTGGCTGGCTTTTGACAGTGATAACCCTCGGACAATGGTCAAGTTTGGGCTACGTCAAGGGCGTTATTGGGGGTACGTTTTCATTGGGCTTCTGGTCGGTGAACGATCTGATGGGGCTGTGAAGTGTCAGCGGTGTATGCTTTGACGTTTGGATTGCTCGGTCTGGTTCCTGTGCCGAAACCTGCTGGAGTAAAGAGGAAAGCTTGATGTAGAATAAACTCATTTAATTTTTGCATTTAATCTATCTGATTCACGTGACGCGCCCTCATTGATCTGTGGCTTTGGATCCTTTGGCTATCCTCTCTTTCCTACCTTTCACTACTCACGATCGAACCGTTCAACGCCAGATGTACGGCACCTACAGCCAACAATTGACGAACAACCCCTTCATTAACGCCTCAGATCCAACGCATCCTAGTTCCCGGTTCCCCGACATCTCGTCTCCGGTGGATCCCAACTCGCAGTACACATCATGGGATGACAGTTCAGTCCTGCAGCAGCAGCAACCTGCCCACTATCAACCCCAGCAGCAGCCTCAGTATGCCGCTGGTGGCTATTTTAGCCCTCCGTTGACTCCTGGTTCCCAATATCCCGTGGGTGGCACTGCATTCCAACCTACTAGTTCCTTCGGCCAACAGCTTGGGGCACATATTAGTGGGACCAGTTACGGATACCTGAACGGCCAGCAGCAACAACAACAGCAGCAACCTCAGAGTGGATATTACCCCGCTCCACAGCAGCAACTCCAACCTAACAATCAAGGATACCTTGCACAATTCGATCCATATGGGCCTCTCGCCCAGGGTTGGGAGGGGGCTTCTCAATCTCAAACCCAACAGCCGAGCGGAAGCCACATCTCCACGCCGTTGGCTGGAGGAGGAGGCGGTCTGTCGGCGTCCGGGGACCCGCATCCGCGGGACTACATCCGAACACACAAGGCAGAAATCGAGTCCTGGGATTCATACGCATGGAAGCAGTTGATTAACACCTTTGAGGCGCTCAAGAAAGCCTGGGAATCCCGAAAGATGGAACTTGCGGGCAGGGTAGAACAACTGAAGATGCAGATGCAATACGGGGGCTATTATCAGGCCCAGATCCAGCAGGAGGGGTCGAGATTATATGGGGTGCGTTCCTTCTAGCCCATGCGTGTTTGTGGTCTTTGCTCATTCGCCTCCTTGCGTATGCATAGCTGCTGAAAGATGCAGAATCACATTTTGGTGGGTGTTCAGAAATCTCGTTCGAGCCATTGCTCATCTCCTCTTTCAAAGACTCCGTCGCCGCCTCGACTTTCCAAATGGAAGAGGTCTTCAAAGGATATCGACAATCCGGTGATCTCTCAAGCAAACGACGCGTTCGCGAGGCAACGAATGCTGCACTGCAAAGTTTACCAGAATGGCCTCAGCCATACCAGTGATATCGTTATTCAATGACTTTCGTGTCATCGGGAATACCATCATGTTATGCCCTATTACTGACTCTGCGAACTCTGTTGTAAAGCATTATGAAGCATTGTAATCACTTTGATACACAAGTTTGTATTTCCGCATCCATTTCACAGTACCTGTACATGAACCAACGCTTGACATCTTACTATCTTTATTGGAGTTGAATATTAATTAGAGCGTCGACGTCGTTGCTCGTAGCAAGGTTCGGAGTCGGGAATTTGAGATGTCAACACAAATTACCACACAAATTATCTGTTAAAGAAATCATTTACAAATATAATACATGCACAGGGAGTCAGAGCGCGAGAGACCACACATAAGAGTTACATTGCAGACCTTCAGAGAAGAGTCGCGGTCAGTGGTCAAATCACTCGGTCATGGCAAGTCGCCCTCCTCAACTTCGCCTCCTTATTGGTTGAAGCTCGCCGACACTTCTTCCGGCCCAATTTGCCCTCCTTCAACCAAGCCTTCCCGTCATCCTGCTCTCTTTGACACATTCGCCACTTCTCCGATTCCACCAAAGTCTGTTTCAAGAGATGTGCGTTCTTCTTAGCAACATCCGTTCGATCTTTCAAAAATTCTAGGCCAATATTCGTAAACTCCCTCGCACGATCCCGCGCCCTCTTGTTGCGGTACTGGAATTGTCCTTGAACCTGGTCGCCGAGCTCGCGGACTTGATCGCCAATCTCACGAGCTTTGCCCTTCGATTGCTTGACTATATAGTCCGCTTGGACTTTAATTGCGTTAACGAGCTCATCCATAGCCTCAACAAGCTCCCCAACATCATTATTCGCGGCTTTGACAAGCGCCTTGGACGTGACGCCAATAGCGTCGGTGATAGTATTCACCAGCCTGAGATTCATGGCCGTCGTCGTAGCCTCAGGCTGTTTGGCATGGATGATGGTGAGGGGTGACTGAATAGCAGGCTTTGGTGCCTCGGTTAATTGGGTATCGAGAGCAGAATAAACCGAGGCCTCCTTGGAAGTCTGCGGTTTAAGCGCGATTGAGTTGCACTCCCGACATGCCAAAGCTTTGGAAGAGCTCACAAGGCTCGAGAACAAAGACGTCGAATGTGTAGACGTGAGAGATAGCGAGGTCGTGCCTGGATGATACACCGACAGCGCCACATCTTTCAAAGTGGATGCCGAGGGCGTGTTCCTCAATTCCGTGGCGCTGGCTGGGATAATGGATTGATTGGATTGCACAACGAGCCATACGCTACTTTCCGAAGTCAAATTTCTAGCTGTTGGAGTTGGGACTGGGACGGATGGTTGGAACGCGGTGTTGAAAGCGAAACCCATAATCAACGACATCAATGCGAATCTGGATCTAAATAGTGAGCATAACTTCCGAAGATGTCGTTCTATAACTCACATCGTTGCCGCGTTAACGGGACTCGCCTGTTCAGATACAGATTTGGTAACAGTCTTCTTAGGTTTGCTCGAGAGCGCTTGGAATGCTCGATGAACCTGTGGGGGCGTGACCGACCCAAGTTCTTCACTATTGAAAACTGAAAATTTGTTCTCTGCATCGAATTGTAAGATCTTCGTGAGAGGAACAGATAGTAGATCCCAGTCATCCTCCGCACTAGCGGCGATATCCTGGGGATCCAAATTCGAGCCGAGAGCGGCCCCTGAAACATAAACAGGAAGATATAAAGTGTGCGAAGACAGGAGTGGAAGGGTGGGAGTAGGCAAATAAACAATGGCCAATGACGATTTGTTTAAAATGTCCTGATGGTCAAACTAAGAATGAAGTGAAAATGATAAGAGAGAGATAGGTGCAAGCAACGTACGGCTTCACTGGGAGGGAAGTCATTTGTCCTATCATATACGGTGATGGCGTCGTAAAAATTGGGTGCGTCTCGAATTTGTTTCTCGAGGCGCAATGTTTGGACCAGGTCATTCCCATTCTCAAGTGACGTGAGGAGGGTGTGGCCCGATGCGATGGCTGCCTTCCGCACCAGATCCTCGACAAAAGACCACTTAATCTGAGAGGAGTAACCATACAACACGATGTCTAATCCATTCTCCGTAGTAGGCTTAGGAAGGGGAGCCTCGCGACGCTGGACCTCAGGCGTGACAGAAAGATCCCGAGGCAATGGGCCGATCGTAGGCGGCGTCATGTCAAGGTCATCAGCGTCACTGAAGGTCATCTCTGATGGTGAAACATCTTCATAAGACCTGTTTAGTTCATCGCGAGAACTTGTGAGGGGATCGGGGAAAGACAAGCGCAGATCGCGAATGGACGTGTGGGCGCTCGATGAGTGGCCGGCCGACGAGCGAGAGGCACTCAAAGTACCCATCAGGCTTTGGTCGAGGGCATCTTTGACACGCTGGTCTTCTGCTGGGTCTTGGTCGTTGTCGATATCAGGTATGAAGGCTGTTGGCATTAGTTCAGCCACGGCCGCAGGCAGTGGCACAGTATACATGCCAGGTGGAAAGGCGGCTGCTTCATCCTCGCTGTCGTCAACGAAGCCCTCCCAAGCTTCAACCTCGCTGTCCTTTGAGCTCCCCATACTTATGGAGGAACGTCTAGAGTGTGGCCGAGAATTCAACTCATCGCGGTCGCTGTCCTGGGAACTTAAGGAATCATTGAAGTCGGATTCATGACCGTTAGCAATATCAAGCCAGTCAGAGTCGGATGCGTTGTCGACCTCTGACATTCCTGACGGTAGAGGACAATCTGGTGTTTCGTAGGGGGTCGTGGTGTGAAACGGGTCAAAGGCGAGTCACCTTTAAATAGCAATCACTGCCGGCTTTGGCGGTGCTTGGCTGAGGTCACTCTTATCTTATCTTACAACACACGTCGATGACATCGCTATCGACTTTCTTGTTAAGTTTTTACTGGAAAATAAGCACTCGTGCGGAGTCTTTCTCAGTTTAGGCGATGTACAAACTGATCCAACACGGGTGTCGTGTGAGTACGCACTAATGTAGGAATAAATTACAGACCGATCTCGGTCACGTGATTTGCTTCTATATTGTGGCCTCGCACAAGAGTCATTTTGCGTTAAATTGTGCTTGACCTCTCGAGACTGTCTTTTTACCATCCGGCGCACCAGAGCATATGCTCAAATTGACGTTCTGTGAGCCACAAATCCTAATGGAACAGGAAATCGACCAGATTGTTCAAGCAATCACTATTGCCTCTGATCCTACTCAAGCCTCTCTGTACCAGCAGGCTTTGGCTTATATTTCCACCATCCAGCAAAATGCAAATGAAACCTGGAGGCTTGCGCTACACATCTTCGTCGATCAAAACACAGAGGGCCATCGAAAGCACCCTGCACAAGCCCGATTCTTCGCTCTTCGTGTTTTAGATGAATTCTTTGACAACCGGTAAGTGGCTTCTATCGCGTCTTTTGTCAGTGGAATATCGCGACAGATTTATTTTGGTATCGCGAACCTCCGCGACGTTGGATGCTTGTGGTGTAATCGGGTGCACGTCGAATGATCGGTTTTGAATGTTGTGTGGTACAAAACGCTGATCTTTTTATCAACTTAGGTTCGAACCTTTAGATCATGAATCCTTTCAGGCGATACATCAGGCTTTGACTGCATATATTCAATCAGAATATGTTGTTGGATCTGCTGAAGCGGACGCTTCATGTGAGTCAGACTCCTACGCTATCGATCAAATCCCCAAATGATCTTTCATTCTAGTCCTTCGAAACAAGTTTTCTCATACACTTACCCTATTCTTCCTTTGCACATACATCGACCAATGGCCTTCATTTTTCACCGATCTTTTCACCCTCATCAGACCAACGGAATCGGCAACGCGTTCAAATTTCAATCGACATATTTCACTCCTCTTCTTCCATATTGTGCTCGAGATTTCTGGGGAAGTAGCAGACCAGATTATCAAATCAGCGCGGCCATACAATGCTGCTCGACACGCGCGGGATGCACGGGTGAGGGATGCGGTCAGGGACAGAGATGCTGCTCGCATCAATGCAGCAGTTCTAACCATCGTGGTCGAAGGGGCGGAGCAGATGGCCAATCTACACAAAAGTGAGACCTCCAGCCGCGGCCCGCGGGAACTAGAGGGTGCTGTCGAAGTTGTTGATTGGGGAATCAGGACATTTGGATCTTATGTTGGTATGCCCTCTTCTTTGTATCGACCTCGTCTGGTGAAGGCTAATGAGGCCGTTGTAAGGTTGGATTGATATTAATCTGACTGTCACCCCAACCACGGTTCCCCTGCTGTTCAATTTGCTCGCTGACTCGTCATTACCCATCCGCTTGGCGACATCTGTGTCCCTCCTGCGGATCGTTTCGAAAGGTCTGAAGGAACCGGGGGACAAACTGCAGCTTTTGAAAGTGTTGTCCCTCGGCCAAGTTCTTGACGCTTTAGAAGCCAAAACCCGTGCACAACAAATTGAAAGAGGTGACGACAGAGACGAAGGAGAGGAGTCGTATCGAGAAGCACTTGGAAAGTTGTTGAATGTCTTGGGTTTAGAGCTGGCCAAGTTAGTAGATGTGAGTCACACGAGCAAATAAGCTGCTTGCCACTAATAAATACGCCCAGGATTGTTCGGACGAGGACATACGTGCCGAGGCTTCAACCTATATTACGCAAATCCAACCTGTTATGCTACGCTTCATGGCTGATGAATATGACGATACCTGTTCCACAGTGTTTCCACTGCTACAAAATATTCTCACTACCGTACGTTGTTGGCTGATGCAGGTCTATTGATTGACAACTCTGATTGTAGTACAAACGCCATCGGAAAATATCTTCAAATCCATTAGATGAATCGAAAAGATCTTTCCTGGCGTCTCTCCTTCAAGTCTTGTTGGCAAAAATGAAATGGGAGGAAGACGCCGATCCTGAAGATGCTGACGAGGACGATAACGCCGAATTTGACAAAATGCGCAAGGTCGGAGAGATTCTATCCAGTACACCTTCTGTTGCAACTTTAACACGGCTTGTAAAGGAATTACGCACTTTCTTGGATTCCATCCTCGCAATTGATCAAGTTTTGGTCACGGATGCGGTCAAAACCCTCGCGCTCGACACCATTACCGCATTCAAAAATGGGGTCTCGATCAAGTGGAATGATGCTGAACTGGGCGTTTATCTTGTTTTTATTTTCGGGGAGATCAATAAGAGTATGTGAATCAGACATTTCGAACCATCTTGGCTCATAAGGACACGTATAGCGGGTGGAAAGGGTCGTGCAGCGTTCTGTCAGGCTCCAGCCGTCGTCGACAAGGACAAAAGAAAGGCCACAGATTATTCCGATTATCCACTTACCACTCATGGAGAGATGCTCTTGGCTCTCGTTCAGTCGGGAGTTGCATCGTTTCCTCATCGGACCGTGTCACTGCAATTCTTTGAAACCGCTTCTCGCTACACCGATTTCTTCAAAATACGTAAAGATTGCATTATCCCAACTTTGGAAGCCATGATTGACACTCGGTAGGTCATCCATCTTGGCGTACGATTGATATCAGCGAACCTCTTTTAATTTCAGTGGTCTTCATAACGAAAATCTCAACTTTAGGTCCCGACTCTTTTATCTTTTCCATCGCTTTATCAAAGAGTCTCGAAATGAGATCCCCCCACATATCAGTGGCAATATCATCGACAGCATGCGTGACCTGTTGTTGATTGAAGTAGAGATCCCAGCGGCCGAAGATACAGAAATTGATCCTCTTTCAGAGGCCATCAAAAACAGTCAGTTCGACTCGCAGCTCTATCTCTTCGAGACAGCAGGCATCTTGACTTCCCTCCTCTGCAAAACACCGACGCAACAAACCGCTATGTTACTCTCCCTTGTGAAACCGTTGATGGACGACCTTTCAGTGAGCCTGCAAGCATTCAGCAAAGGAGGACAAGACCTCCTACCCATAGTCAAGGTCCACCATATTATTATGGCCCTGGGTAATATTGCAAAGGGATTCCCGGATTATCCGACATCTATTCCGGAGGGGCATATCTTACCACCGCTAGAGATATTTACAGAAGTCGCACAGGCCATTCTTGTCTGCCTGGAGGCTATGAACGTTTACAAACCTATTCGTGATGCGGTACGTACTATGCCATGTCCAGGTTTCTTGCTCTGAGTGGCTTTTTGTAGACTCGGTTTGCTTTCGCCAGGATTTTGGCTACAACTGGACCAACAGTTACAAGCTATATACCCCAGTTGATGGGTAATCTCCTCGCTCACTTTGAGCCCACCGAACTGGTCGATTTCATGAATTTCATTGGACTTCTGATTCATAAGCTTCAGGTTAGACATTGATTTAAGTTATGACAGTCCCTCTGACTTGTCGAACGATTGGCAGAAGGACATGTTCGACGTTCTAGATCAACTTATCGGCCCGCTCAGTGCCCACATCACATCTCTTTTAACACAACCTGTATCGGGGACAGACGAACATCGTGCACATATCGAAACCAAGAGGGCGTACCTTGCATTACTCAACAACATCATGGCCTCAAAACTAGATGGAATTTTTACCTCAGAGCGTGGGCTAATCTCAAGCTCTGAACACTGCTCAACGACTAATATTAGCACTCAGGAAATTCGAGCAATTTCGAAGTACTATTAGAAAGCATGCAGCGTTTGGCTGAAGACGTTTCTGACCCTGCAAGTGAAAAGACTGCCATCATGTTCCTCAACCGAAGCGTCACCGTTTGGGGTCAACCCTCTTCTTCGGAGAATGGTCGGGAAACGGGTCACGGCTTACCCGGATTTGAACGGTTCATCTACGAACGACTAGTTCAGACTTGCTTTCGTGTTCCTTCACTACCTCAATTTAACTTGAAGGATGGCCAGATGATGGTGGTACGTTGGTCATTTTTAACCTTTGTCGATGGTTTAATATCGCTATCTTAGGTTCTTCATGAAATAGCAAATTTGCTGCAAGTTATCTGCAAAATACGTGGTCATGAAGCATACAACTTCTTCATCTCCGTCTTTCTTCCGTCGCAAAACTGGCCATCAGAAACAGCGCTTGATTTCATGACAAAATTACGAGACTTGGACGGCAAGGGTTTCCGTAAATACTTTACTGAACTCATCAGGTCCTCACGGACATCATAGCATTACCATTTCTTAGATTACCTTGGCATTTCTTCCTCCTCTGCATTTAATTGTGTGCTTTCCTCACTTACGATCACATGTGTTGTTTACATAGTACTTTACTTGAAGCATCCCAATCTAATGACTGCAAACATTACGATCGACCTGCCAACTTCACTGTAGGGAAACCGTGACTCGATGGCCACTGGTCTGTCCTTCCACAATCTCTTCTGCCTTAACCTCATCATTTGCATCTCATAGCTTCACGTCGTGGTAGGCCGAAAATAGTGTGTAGTCAGAACTGCCGCTTCTACTCGACCTATCTAACGTTCATTGTGATGTCAGAAGCCTCCGCGAAAGGTGTGTGTACATAAGCTGGTTACCTACGAATCATGGCTCATCTTAATGTGAAGCACGGTCCAGACTTTTCTGCCGAGAAGACATGGTTAGAGCTGTCCAAGAATATACGCGAAATACAAAATCATAATGCTTCAAATCTATCCTTTGAAGAGAACCATCGGTTCGCTTACAACATGGTCCTTTACAAGCAAGGTGAAATGCTCTATAAGGGCGTCAATCTTCTCGTTGTGGAGAACCTAGAGAAGTTGGCCAGAGAACAAGTTATACCCAAGTTCCCCACGGGAACAATCAACGATTCCGCTCAACAGAGTCTGGCAGGAGAATTGTTACTCAGGTCGTTGCGGGATGTTTGGGATGATCATGTAAGTAACATGACGAAGCTTGGGCAGATACTGAAATATATGGTATGTCGTTGCTAGTCTTGTGCTATCTCTCAGTTTCAAGGGTTTCGAAAAGGATCGGGTCTACACCAAAACTGCCGATGTTCCGGAAACGTGGTCTAAAGGGCTCGAGCTGTTTCTCAAACACATCATAAAATCTCCAATAAAGGAACATCTTACTACCGCCATCTTGAAACAGGTCAAGTACGAACGGGATGGGTATGTCATCAACCGTTCGGCCGTAAAAGGTTGTGTGGACGTATTCTTGAGCCTTGATGTTGATCCAGATGGTTCGACGACGGTCTACAAACTTGACTTTGAACCTCTGTTTTTGAAGGAAAGCGAGAGCTTCTATGAAGCAGAGGCAGATTACCTGCTGACTACTTGTGATGCGTCAGAGTATCTTCGCAGGGTATGTCTCCTCTCCCAGTACGAGATCGGAAGTTATTTATTTCGTTTGACTTGTTTCCAGGTGGATGCTCGCTTCGTCTCCGAAGATTCACGCACACATCACTATCTGTCCAGACAGACATCTCCTTTACTCAAGCAGATCTTGGAAAATCATCTCCTCACTCCTCACCTAGCCACTGTAGTCTCGATGCCCAACTCTGGACTGGATGTCATGATCGACGCGGACAAGGTCGAAGACCTTGCTCGCCTATATCGCCTTTACAAGATGGTTCCCGACGGATTAGCGTGTTTGAGGCGTTCATTAAAAGAGTCAATTGCCCGCCGAGGAAAAGAGATCAATGATACATCTTTGGGAGCAGAGAGCTGCGATGTGAACGTCGGAGGCGAGGGAGATACCGGTTTGAGAAGCCAAGACAAGGGCAAGGCTAAAGCGCGGCATCCGAACGCCAGCGCCCTTCCAGCTATCAAGTGGGTCCAAGATGTGCTGGATCTTAAAGACAAGTTTGATTCTTTGTGGAAACGTGCCTTTGATAATGATCGAGAGATCGAGAGTTCTCTCAACGAGGTTAGTTATCTTGCTTATGTGACCCTGGAGACTTAATGCAATGAAACGTGACAGGCTTTTGGTTCCTTCATTAATATGAACGAGAAATCGTCAGAATTTATCTCGTTGTTCATTGATGATAACCTTAAACGTGGTCTCAAAGGAGTATGTTAAGTATTGCCGCCTCTCAAGCTGTTGCTAACACCAGTCTAGAAAACCGAGAATGAGGTTGACGTCGTGCTGGACAAGACCATCACAGTATTCCGATACATCTCCGAAAATGACGTTTTTGAGCGGTATTATAAGGGCCATTTAGCGAAACGTTTACTATTGGGACGATCGGTATCCGACGATGCAGAACGTGGCATGCTGGCAAAACTCAAGATCGAATGTGGATACCAGTTCACTCAAAAACTTGAAGGCATGTTCCACGACATGAAATTGTCCGCCGACGCGATGGTGACCTACCAAGAGCACCTGTCTAAAACGACGGTCTGTTGAGATAACTCAATCTACGTATTAAGTCTTACTCCGTCCAGGCTCCCGAAATCGACATCAACGTTACAGTCATGACTTCGACCTTTTGGCCAATGTCACATTCAGCATCCCCCTGCAATGTATCAGCGGAGATGGGGAAAGCGTGCAAATCTTTCGAGCAATTTTATCTTTCAAGACATTCAGGCCGTCGGTTAACATGGCAGTACTCGCTCGGGAATGCCGATGTTCGTGTAAGGTTCAAAGCTCGAACCCACGATGTAAATGTGTCAACATTTGCCCTCGTAATCCTCCTACTTTTCGAAGACCTTCCCAACGAGGAATTTTTGACCTATGGGGTACTTAGACTCATGCGATATCGTACCTCTATTAATATCAATATCATCAGGATATCAAAGAAGCTACGGCGATAGAAGACCTGGAGCTAAAGCGACATCTTCAATCATTGGCGTGTGCGAAATTCAAAATCCTCAAAAAACATCCACCCGGCCGCGATGTCTTTGACGATGACTCCTTCTCCTTTAATACTGGCTTCACATCGTCAAATCAGAAGATTAAAATTAGTACCATATCTTCGAAAGTGGAATCTAGTGAGGAGAGACAGGAAACTCGTGATCGTATTGACGAGGAGCGGAAACATCAGATGGAAGTTCGTCCCCTTTGCGTCCTCTATCGAGCATCTACTCAACATCTCTTCACAGGCTTGCATCGTCAGGATCATGAAGGACAGGAAGCACTTGTCACACAACGACCTCGTTAATGAAGTCACAAAACTGTTGCTGAGCCGATTCCAGCCAGAGCCTCTGGCAATCAAAAGGCGAATCGAGAATCTGATTGAAGTTTGTCCTCTTGTTATGATATTTGCTTCCGTTTCGCCTGACCCGTTCTTTTACAGAGAGAGTATCTTGAGAGATGCACAGACCGCAAATCGTATAACTATATGGTGAGTTCACAAGGCTTTCTCGAGTAAATATTCGTGTTTGATTCTTTTCCCTCCAGGCATAAATGGGCATTGTGACAACTGTAGCATTCTCTCCGTCGGCGTCGTAATTCTTGTAACTATATTACCCCATTTACAACTTATACAATAGATCAACAACCTGTATCAGTCAATCTGCAAGAAATTTACATAAAGTCGCTGAGTCCACCTTTGTCTTCACACACCCTCTATCAAATCGACTAACTGCACACAGCCAGGATGACAGATCCTCCTCCATCAAGATGACAGGTCCAGAGGAAAAAGAGGCCAGTGGTAGGTCTACACCTTGGTCGCATTCAAAGCAGCCTGAGCAGCCTGCTCCGCCGCCTGGACTGACTCGGGGGAGGTTGCATTATTCCAGTTAGATCCAGTCGGAACAATCGTGGCATTCCCAACATCCGTTCCTTGGAAACCAAAGCTACCGCTATTCAAAGACCCATCGCTGTTAACGAGGCGGATAAGATGACTCGCGATGTTTGCGTCGTATCCTACGGCGCGGTTGCTTTTTCGCGCTAGGTCTTTCTTGAAATCCTTAACGCCATTGTGGAACTGGCTAAGAACAATCGTTTGCGTTTCTACCTCGCAAATTTGCTCGGTAATTATCCTAGACATGATATCATCAATACTTTGGTGACACGGCAAGGTGCGTGAGCTCCTACCTTTTCGCCATCTCTCGGAGAATGACAAGCTGCTGTTGAATGATCTCGACACGCTGTGTTTTGCAGACAACTTGCTTCTCCTGGACAACAACTTGGCCATTTTTAGAACCGTCAAAGTTACTGATACCATTAAAATCGTCAAATCCTTGCAAAGAGGGGATACCGCGCCAGTTGCTGAGCGACACGAAATTGTTACTTGGAGGACCGTCAAGTCGTTTCGCTGATGCACATCAATGTCAGGTTCATTCAAAGCGACTTCGGTCGTATCACTTACAAAGATTCCATAAGGGTGCCCTTTCGCTTGCTACCGGAGAGCAGAAGCTACTAGGTAGGATTGATAATACGGATATCGCTACAGCCAGGAGATTAAGAAGTTTGCCCTGCATGACGAAAAGGATGGAGGTAGAACAAGTTCTGCAAGCAAATCAGTTACTTGACGCATCACAACGGGTATGTTATCAGTAGTTCTTACCGACGAAGTATGAGCTGAATAACGAAAGCGAAGGAAAAGGGCGGCGAAAATGGAGGGAGGCTACCTGGCCTGAGAAAAATGAACGAAGTGAAGAGAGGCAACCTGGCCAGAAAGCAGTCTTAGGCAGTGACGAAGTGAGGGAATTGGTCTGCAGGCAGTTACGAAGATGGCTAACTTTTATACCTTTCTTCAGGAATGTTTCTTCCGGATCCTAGCAGATGTGTATGTAGCCACGGCGATCATCTATTTGATGCGCTGTAGTACGTTCCTCTGACATTCGCATCACGCTGGTGGAGGAGCTTGGAGAAGCAGGCTAGTGATGAAATATGACGGAATTTGTTGCCATGTTGGCACTGATCAAACAGTGATATCTCTTTTTGAATTCGTGAATTTGACAACTTGAAGGCTTGCCGCTTAACGCAAGATACTTGATGGTTCCCTCCAGGCTCCAGCTGACCATTTGGTGATCGTTGTTGAGTTGGGAACATGAACATGTCTATTTTCAATCAAATCAGCATTCGAAAGTCCACATTCGTATCTGAATTTCCAGGACCCTCTCGTTCTATGGCGCTACTAGATAGGGTTGCGCACCAGGTCATTCCTAGTTTGTTGTACACATTAAACTGCCTCGTTTACTGGAATACAAATTGATTAATCCTGCAGAGCATTAGTCCAATATATCAATAAAACAATGCAAACGGCTACTTGGAACTATGGAGTTCCACAACGATGTTGATTATCATGATGATCGTGTAAGAGAAGATCAGAAGAATCCCCCATCTACGAGTAAGGAAGTAATCATTCAAAGGGACGAAGATCAAAGTAGCGGCTAGCAGAACAAGGAGGCCAATCGAGCTGACCAGGAGTGTGTGCGATAACTCCAGTGCGTATGGCTCTGAGTTTTGATGAATGACGTAGGAGCCTGAGATGCCGACACCCAGAAGAATGTTGAGCATGGGACCGCCGAAACACGCAGAAAACCCCATGATGGGAGCGAAGACCTTTGTTGTCGAAAATGGGATCAGTGTAATACACGAAGGAACAGAATGATTACGTACCGCCACGCTCATGTTGGCGACGAGATCTGCCAGAGAATTTCCAACAGCAAAGATGGTCAAACCTATGATGGCATCCGACAATCCGAAGATGAAGCCAAAAGTCTAGGGGAATATTAGTCGTCGTCTGATGAGAGGGTGAAATTCTGGCACCTGAAGGACATTGACGACCTCGTCGGCAATTGCCATGATCCAGACGATGGAAACAAAGAACCCCATTGAACAGCGAGCGATTCGGGCAGTAGGATGGTTGCCCTTGTCAGCGAAAACAGCTACTAACGTGCCGAGTATGAGACCCGAGACGAGTGTCACAACCGGCAACCAGATCTTCGACGTCGAATAACCTGTAAACGGTAAGATTATGATTTCCTGGCATTGTAGGGGAAACTGTATACCAAAAAGTACACCCACACAGAAGAGTGGTCCAAAAATGCATTGTGCAGCCATCAGCCATTTGTTGAAGGACATTTCATGTAGGTTCTCCTCAACTTCCTCCTCTGCTATGAGTACGCGCTCAATGCCCTCTTCTTCGAAGTCAACGAGGCGTGCATCCATATGATGAAGCTTTTCCCGCCCTTGACTGCTACTCTGATAGGGTGTCACAACGACAGGCAGGGTCAAAGTGAGAAGTGAAACGGCAGGAGCAGCAAAAAGGCATGCAATCTGACCCAGCAGACTTTGCTCTCTGAAATGGTGGAGTGTAGGAAACAGAGTGTGACGCAACTTTCCCAACACGTTGAACACGCGCTGTCTTCGAGTGGGAGGTATATAGACACGAACTTCACTCTCTCCATCAGAAATTGTGGGTGAAGCGGGTGTCCGAAATATGGAAGGAACTGGGGTGTGCGTGCCATGGCTCGAAACTCCTGTGAAATAGTCGGCCGATTCGTGCGGATGTAGATGCTGCGGGGAAGGCGAAGGTAGATGTCGACGAGGCCGCTCGTTCAAGGGTAGGCCGTTGAGTGTTTCGTCGTCTTGACTTGACAGTGAGGTACGAGGGGACCTCGAGTGAGATCGCAGCGGATGGGAATGATAGTGTCCGCCTGCATACGGTGTAACTGGACTCTCGAAGATGCTCAGCGACGGACCTGCCGCTTGACGTTGAAGCGAAGCCACTACTTCACGGAATTCCAAAGCACCAACTAAAGAGAACGAAGGCAGTTGTGTGACATATTGCGATGGCGATGGTGATGGCGTTCGAGAGTATGGCCGTGGAGGGAGATTGGTCTGTATTCGGGGCGGAGCGGGAGCAGAAATCGCGCGGGCCCTGCTCAATGACGGGGGCGCCACAGTCAATGAGTTTGATGGAGGGCTGTCTGGATTTCGATCAGATTTGTCTGTGAAAAGTCTCCGGCAAGACTCACCGTTGTCAGTGTATGGTGCGAGGATGGGTTCATCCTCGTACTCTGCCCGTATCATAGCCTCTATTTGCCGCTTGCGTTCTTGTTTCCGCTCCCACCAGGTTCCAACAATGACAGTAAACACATACACCAAGTAAAGGCCAATAAGCATGCCCGCCTCCCAAGGAAAGATTAGACCATCCCAAAGAATCACCAACATCATGGCCACTGCCATGGCAAAAAAGCAGACGTCGCGCAAGAAGGGCCTTGGATGAACCCGAAACGGTTTGATAATACACATCGATCCCACGACACACGACACGATGAAGGATGCGGCGCCAACGAGCTCACCTATCGCCAAACTCCCTGAACCCGCTCGCATAGCGGAGAACGTCGAGAACACATCCGGACTTCCATTTCCAAAAGCCAAGAGGGTGACGCCAGCGACATTCTCGTCCAGTCCGAGCAGCTGAGCAATCGAGGCTAGATTTGGAGTGAAGAAATCGGAGGCACTTATGCCTAATGTAGAAAAGAGGAAAACTAGCCAGACCAAAAGGCCTGTGAACGCCAGAGGTCGGAGGTTGACGTCTGTGCAAAGGTACTGGTGCAGGTAATTGATGCCAAGGAACGTATCGCTTGGTGGACAATCATCTGCTACATGTCTGCACTGTGCGGTGATTGGAAATTCAAGGGGCCGACACTGGCAAACGTCTTGTTAAAAATGAAGGGAGCAATTTTGGAAATTTGTAATTTCTTGCCTCTTTCTTACCACTGAACGGGTGTACTGTTTGTGGATTTGCTAGTTGGTATGATATCCTCCTCACAAGACTAGATTGCTCAATGAGTGGGCTAGGTTGCGCATAGCGACTTCGAGACCATAGCAAGCAATTTACAACAAGAAGAAAAGGAAAGATCAGCCTAGCCGGGACTGGCGACATGAGGAATGGAAAGGGTGGGGCCTAAATGAGGAGACTCGTGGGTTGTGCATGCCAAGAAGGATCTCTTTGCTTATGTTGCTTCCAGATGGTCACCATCCAGTCGAAACACAACCACACAACTTCGAAAGCACAAACGTAAGTACTTAGCTTTGACTTAGCTTGTTTATATAAAAACTAAACGTTAGTACTGGGGTACGTCCTTCTGCTCATACTGGTACATGCAGTCGAAGTGGTCTGCACAATTTCATAAAACGTTAGGATTTTGCGTAATCCATGCACGACATACCGTATTATGTCTGCCTTCCTTGTCTACGCCTCCCAGTCCATGCCGGTCTTCACCTCCTCTCGTACCCTGAAAGCGTTACCAAAGGTTGAATGAAAAAAGGAGGACCTACCAGCGCCAGACTCTCTGTCTCGTGATTGTGCACAACAGAAGCAACGTTGAAACTCGTTGAGTCTAACTGCTCGGGACTACCAACTCGGGGCAAAGTTACTCTGGAGTTCAGAGTCGCGAGCAACGAATTTGCATATACTTGACGGCTTTTATTCAGGTTTGAATGAAAAACAAGTGAAAAAGGCGTACGTTTCCCGATGATGAAATCGATCGCAAAGGGATAGAAGGAATTTGGTAGTATCAAGAACTAGCATCTGGACGTTAAAGACGATGCTTGTGTTGAAAGTGGGTTGCGTACGATGATCATCTCAATAACTGCTACCGCCCTGTGTATTTAGAAAGGCCAATCAGCGAGGGAAGACCAATAAAGAAAGGAATCCCCACGAAGTCAAAATGCATCTGTTGATAGCAAATACGATTAACCTGTTGATGAGTTGGTTTGTATCCTCAAAATCGGATCGATTGCTGTCCAGTAGAAGACAAAGAGCCATTGCGATCAAGATATCGGACAAAATAGCCAGTACCCCAAATGGCAGCACCGAGGAAATCTGTGGCAAAAAATCCGTAGGAACGTTGAGGGTGGATTTTCAGATGAAAGGACTCACTGAGACCTCCCGTAGTCGAGCAAATTCCCTTTTGATAAAACTATAGGAAGGTGAGTCCGTTGTCGCTCGCGGGGACCGCTTTACTCACAAGTATGCAACAGTTTCTGCATGGAAGACTCGTGAGACAAGTATCAAAGTAAAATATCCGATTGATTTCACCCATTCCAAAGCCTAGAGAAATAAAATCAACATCTTGAAACATCATAACCAGCTTCAAAGAAAAGATTTACAACAATGCGCCAGAACCAAGAATCCAATCAGACTCGATACCCACCAGCGCTTACTCTCTGGGCAGACTGATCGAGAAAATGACGTCAAGAAAATAAAGGATACAAAAGAAAGGACCACAAACGCTGGTGTATTCGGTGTGTGAAAAAGCTAGCGATTAACGCCGTTCAGGAACATGATAACATGAATAGAATCAAAATGACCTTTGAACAACAAATGCCATGAGCACCTGCGACGCGTCATTCCACTTGGGCAGCGATCGGAAATTGCTCTACCCACATTGATCGCGATTGATGTCTGAAAACGAGGAGTTGAAATAGCGGACTTGCGGGCTTGTTTAGAGTTCACAGACATACATATAGTGACCTGAATATTTTTTTTTAAATGTACGTTAGCGGAAAATGAAAAAAAAACGTACCATGTCCCACTGGCGAGGGCTGCGAGATTTCCGAAACCCGTGATCTGACGATTTGAGCGGGAAGATATGAACCCATAATCCCACACGTACAAGATAAGAATGAATGGCATGGCACACTGTAGAATATATTAGTCACTGAGGACAGAGAAACCTTCTACTCACTGAATATTACGTGCAACGTGTCCAGAAACCTTCGTGCGGGGATGAATGACTTGAGGGACGCACGCGACGTTAGGACTGACCAGATTAAAGCAACCTACAAGCAAATCATCAGAACAGGCGAAAAAAAACAAAGAACCCTGGTCCATTTACCAATAGTTTTATCCAATAACTGTCCTTTGGAAAAGATAAATAGTAGAAATACATCTAGCACGGATTAGAGTCGCGACCGCGTTTCTTATGGAGAGCGTACCTGTAGAGTTGTAATCCCGTAGATAACCATCGTTATGAACGACCCAATGAGCATGGCGCCTAGAAAATCAGAACAGCGCCGTCAATCTCAGCCGCTGCGATTATCAGCACAAGTAACTTGGCGAACCGAAAGTACTGTTCATATCCTGAACAACTGGTGTAGTCATTTTTACACAGATCGCTAGCGAAAAGGCGGGGAGGGGAAAGGGATCAATGCGAACTGATGATAAAGAGAGCTCCGGCCATTTTTGGAGTGTGTGAGGAAGGGAAAGAAGTTGTTGGAGTATATGTCCGTGCATAACATTTAGAGTTGTATAGACATCATGATATGATCGAAATCACTATGTCAATACATTTTCACCGCAAAATTCAGTCACTTTCAGCGCGGCGCTGCGTCTTCTTGTCTTCTCGTCTTCTAGTGCCACCAGGAGATAAACACGGGGCAGGTTATCAATAGACCTGAATAACGCGCTAGCTTGAAAGAGAATAGCTCTCAACAGGGTATGCTTCGTTCTCGGAGCAAGTCATGATCACATACGGCTTTACTGGGACCGCGCACCGAAGAATGACCTGGTAACCTGGTAAATACTGACCAGCTGCAGATGTGAAGGCAGGTTCGCTCAACCTTGAGCGGCTCAAGGTTCGCTCGTGATCATCAACGTGTATCAACCTCAGCTGATGGATATGAAGCTTCTTTAGGCGCCTATTTGACCCTTACGAAACCGACGCTCTGAGGCTGCGCAGAGCCACGAAAAGCACGGAAGCGAATTAGAATTAAAGAAAGAACATAGGGAATTTGGAGGGTGTTCACGAGTTGTTATCCCTAAGTAACTCCCAGGAAGATGACTCTGCAGCGAACGGTTGCGTTGGTAGCTCTCATTCTGGCAAGTTGTAATCCTCCCATATGTGCAACAATTTTGATGGGTTTTGCAGAGCGTTATATGGTACCGCAGCGGGGACGTCATAAAAAACTCCATCCTCTTCAAATCCACTTTCCCAGTCGGGTATGTTGCGAAAAGTAACTACGCCACAGATTGCCTTCCCATTGGCAACCCGACCGATACACCCGAGGAAAGCCTCAAGTACTGCGAAGACATTGCGTTCTGGGAAATCCTTGATAACACAGGAAAAGCGGAGAAACGTCTTCTTCTCGCCAGCTGCGATCCTGGACGAAAATCATGGAACACCGTCATGGGTCCCCTCCACGATCCCAAACCACATGGTGCGCTGTGGGTTCACGTCCCACCCGAACGGGGTTCTTCTTCCACCCCCACCAAAGCTCAGAGAATCACGTTGAAGAACTATCCTGAGGGTCACGACTTTCACCCGCTCGGACTCGAGATTTATCCTTCGTACGGAGGCAACTCCTCCAACCTCTACGTCATCAACCATTCACGCGAACGAACGGTGATTGAGCAATTCCTGCTCAATCCCGCCGACCCAACAACCGCAACCCACATTCGCACTTTGACCTCTCCATATTTCATCTCCCCGAATTCGCTAACTCTGACGTCGCCAGACTCGTTCTACGTCAGCAACGACCACCTCTTTACACGCCGCCTCTTCATCCTTGGGCATTTTCTGCCTATCATCGAATCAATACTGGCCCTTCCTCTAAGCTTCGTCTCCCATATCAACCTCTCCCCACCCTCCTCATCCAACGACGACGCCATCATCATCAAACACACCTTCGCAGCGCTCTTCCTACCTTTCCCAAACGGCATCTCCCTCTCTCCCTCTGGAACGCAAGTAGCTCTGGCTCTAACGTCCCAAAACAAAGTCCTCTTCTACGAACGCGATCCAGCCACCAACGTACTCACCAAACGTACACACACCATTCCCGTCCCATTCTGCCCTGACAACGTTCGGTGGACGCATGGTGGCACCGACGACGAACTGATCGTCACAGGTCACCCCCACTTCCCCTCCATCACCGCCGTCGCCGCGAACAAGACGGGGGCGGCGTCAGCTAGCTGGGTAGTTTCCATCCATCCCAACGGTAACACTACGGACAAGCCAACAGGCAAGGGCGAGTTCGATCTGGATGCGCCGGTGTCTGCGAGTTCTAAAATCTCGGGATGGTCAATGACGACGTTGTTCCAAAGTGATGGGTCGGAGGAAGGGTTGATGACGTCCTCGACGGCGTTGAAGGATCCCAAGTCTGGCGTTTTGTACGTGTCTGGACTTTATGACGAGCGGGGTGTGGTGATGTGCCGGCCAGCAAAGTAAAATAATGTCTTGAACCAAACGAGGTGAAAAGTAAACTCTTCCATAGAATGAATATATTGTACTTGGGGACGAAGAAAGAGAACACTGGGCAATAATGTAAAAAATGCAACAAAGGGTTGAAAAAAGGAAGATAATTATCAAAAAAGCACAACGGGTGTACGAGGTGTACAGACAGAGGGTCATGACGTGATGGATGTATCGCTGGGGTTTCTACTGCTGGTGTTGTGTGGTAGTACAGAGTGTAAGCGGCGACAGAGAAGATTACGACTACTTGACACAGTTTCAGCGTGATAGATAGGTGAGAGAGAGAGAGAGAGAGAGAGAGAGGAGACGTGAGAGCCGACGATAGCGAGAGCGAGTCAATAAGATAAGTAAAAAGGGCATGATTGGATTTCGTCATTTAGAAAAAGTTGGGCAAGAACGACCTGGAGATAGACGGTCAACAAGTGGTTAAGAGGAAGAGAGACAGTATACTTACACAGCTCCCATACCAACAGCAAAAGCTGCAAGCCCCCACGCAAACGACTTGGTTCTGGGTTCGAGAGTGAACCTCCTGACTCTGCTGTTCGTCGCAACCGGCCTCTCAACAACCTCTGGTTCCTTGAACTCAAACTTGAACGCTGGCTCGTCTTCTTCCCTGGCCCTCTTTAACTTTGATGGCCCATCTACCTCGTCCGAGTCTCCCGATTCCATGCTCTCATCCTCTTCTTGCTGCTGCTGTTCAGCCAGCTTCTTGGCATCCCTCTGAGCCTTCAGATCAGCAATCAGCTTTTGCTGCTCCAAAACATCTTCTTCGTGGAGATCTGACCCTGCCACATCTTCCACCACCGTCTCTTCGGATCCTCCAGGAGTGACGACCAACTCATCCTGCTTCTTCGGAGATGATCTGCCGGCTTTGGGCGTCTGGTTGAGCAAGGAGGTCAGAGGGGCCATCTGGGCAGCGGATCTCGGAGCAGGGCTCTTCGTGCGGGCAGATCGTCGGGGGAGGGGCTTTGAGGCCTCTGGAGATGTTACGGGAGGCGTGGGGGCGGGCGATGAATCCTTCCGGCGTTTGAGGAGATTTGGCCCGGGACTACTTGGTGAAGGAGTCGGTAGAGACTTTGTAGCTGATTGCATGGGTAAGGGAGGGAGTGCGGATCCTGCATTTGATGGGGGCGAAGGAGCTGCGCTGACCGTGGAGGCGGCGGCAGCAGCAGCAGCAGCGGCCTTACCTGAACGGCGATAGTTGCCTTTGGGATCGGGGGCAGCCTCGACAACGGAGGAGATGATATCATCTATCTTGTACGCATGGCTAAGCTCAAGAGCCACGCTTGGACTGACCCAAACACCCGCAAGGCGGGTGATGTGGTTATCTTTAGAGGAGCCGTTGTTCCCGGAGAGATCATAGTTGTCCTTCACCCACTGAACTTCTGCTTTTTCGTCGTGCTCTGGGGCGTTGGGGAAGGCTGCACGGAACATGGTGGTGAGGCTGATGGCGCCGGTATCGAAACGGCGGAGTATGAAGGCATGACCGGACTCCTGGGAGGCAGAACGATGAGCGGCGGCGGGAGAGATCGCAGAGTTGAGTAGGGTCACCGTTGGAGTCTCGATCTTCATCCTACCGACCTGGATGTGAGATATAAGAAAAGTGAAGGATATTATGATGTTGATATATGACATACCAAGATATCCTTCCCTTGACAGTTGAGAATCTGGTACTTTACTGGTGGCAGCTGATCTGGTTTGACTGTGTTCAACAGTGAGGTGGTGTCTAAATATCAAGCACTGGAAGTGGACGTACTCTGGCGGACATGAGGGTTTGCGTGGCTGAAGGGTAGCGGAGGTCTTGTCATGATCATATTGAGCTGAGGGACTCTGAAGGAGAAAGATATGAAACGGACTTGATCAACAAACAGACGCGACTTTCACACGCGTGGAACACGTTGTCAATGTTTACACTCGTTGTTGCGCTGTCGACAGGCTTGTCCAGATTTCAGAAGACACAGTCGTGAAATGCGGCCACGACTAGGACTCCACCACCTCTGAAGCACTCGCCATGGAGGTCGTCTGGAAACAAACCAGAGTTGCTGTCCCACCCAAGAGACGCACCATACAACATCATCACTCAGAAGGAAACGGTCTGACAGCCAACAGCTCCGGGTCGCCTGGCCCTTGCTGTCTTTCTTTGAGAAGCTCAAAGTCATTCTAACAATGCGTCTTTAGCTTCGACGCATTCATTACCCTTCGAGTAACAAAACTCCTGGTCTACTGGGTCCGATGCCCTTATTTTGCAACGGCCTTCAATTCGGCTATCATACGAAAGGTCTATTCCCAACAATCTCCACCCTCGAGACTTACTTCCAAAAGAACATAAACGTGCTGAAGACCGGGCCTCTCGAGGTTGGGCACCTTCCCTTCAAACTGCGAACCCCTTGATACGTCCACATTTGCCTAGTTGGTTTTTACGCACTACGAGCGGGACATGCGCAACTTGCTGCTAAACGATCAGCATGTGCTGTGGGTCGTTGACCGGGGGTTTTCTGGTTTTTATCTGCCTTGGTATCTTGGCATGGTATATGCCTCGCAGAAGGACCATGATTTGGAGAGCTGAAAGAGATTCCACATATGGCAAAGCCGGGCTATGGTTTCCACGACCATGTAATTTCATCCCCCAGACTGTACAGACAGTCGTGGGCATTGTGAACTGGTCACCACGTTTTATGTCAACTCAGAATGCCAGATATTGCAAGATAATGCCAGGTCCAGTTAATATTTGAACCAGCTGTGTGTACAGTAGCTCATTCGTCTAATGATAACAATTTTAAAGCGTTAATGTCGTAGCACCAGTATTCAAAAGGAATGAATGAATGAAAACAAATATTTCCCCCGTCGCGATCAAATCAAAGCCCATGACCAGCTGCGGCAAATGAAGCAAGCACATTCCTGACTTCGACGGCTCCAACCCCTCCCGTAGTATAGATCACATTGCTGAGCTCAAACCCATTAAACTGGCTCGCTGCGCAGACGGTGTACGCGCCCATATTGTCAAACCCGAGCCAGTCGCCCACCTGGAGCGCCACAGGGAGCGTGGTCTTTGGGCTAACACAGTCAATGGAGTCACAGGTAGGGCCCCACACGCTGCTCAGGTGGCTGGGCTCCGAGTCTGCAATGTGGAAGGAGCCATTCATGGACAGAACATGTGGGTGGATGACCTGGTGGTCGAATAGAATACAGTTGAAAGCGCCGTATACTCCATCGTTGATGTAGTCTAGGAAGATAAGGAAATGGTTAGAGCAGACACAAGCAATAAAACTAGAAAAAGAGACGTACACATAACCGCTGGCTGGTCGGAGGCTGACTCTGATGGTCCCTGGGCAGGAGGCCCTGCAATAGGGGCCCTCCGTGCAATAATATTGGCAGCCAATCTGAAAGCCTTGGAAACATAAAAGCGGCCTGGCTCCGCAATAATCTTTATGTTACGTCGATCAGGGAAGTATTGTTCGATCGCTTTGTTCAGATAGTGGGCTGCTTGCTCGAAGAGAGTATCTTCGAAGCCACCACCAACGTCCAGCAAGCTGAAGGTGTACCCGGCGTCCTTCCCCATGTCGAAGACGGCGCGTGCACGCATTATTGCGTCAGTGTACACCGAGGGGTCGTAGCACCCGCTGCCAACGTGGAAACTAACTCCAATGACATCAAGGTTTAACTCCTTGGCTTTGGCCAGCAGGCCAGGGACAGTAACGAGTGGGGCCCCAAACTTGATCCCGAAAGCGCAGAGGCTTTTGGAGTCGTCGGTCAAAATGCGAACGATGACCTTTGCGCGGGGATGGGCGCGGGCAATCTTGTAGAGTTCGTCGGAGTTGTCGAACGTCATCATGTCGACCCGCATTTTAGCTGCATTGCGAACGAAGGAGACCGCCTTGCATGGGTTGGCAAAGATGATGCGGGATGGGTCTATCCCCCCAACATTCAGCACTTGGGAGATTTCTCCATTAGAAGCACAGTCGAAGCCGGTCCCCAACGCCGCTAGAAGGCGGATGATATAGGGATCAGGATTGCACTTGACAGCTGGAGAGAAGGGAAAGGACAAGACATGAACTTGGGGTTGATAGACGGCATGTTAGATAGAACAAACCATAGAAAGGTTGGATCTCTGGTAAGCATGCCTTCCAGCGTTGATGCTGATAGTAGACGAGGCTCAGGTCCGCGACGAAAAAGGCTTTTTCGGCGTCGGGTTCATGGGCCGCTGATAAGCGAGATGCATTCATGATTCCATTGCGTAGGTGAACCTCGGGATGACCTTGATGGAGAGGGGGTAGGTTGGGGAATATGGCGTCGCTTCCAAAACCATGGGCATCGTTAGAGAAGGAATTGGCGCGCGCGCACACGGACGGAGAGGAGGAAATAATCTCATCTACCAACGCGTTATTGGTCCAAGTAAGTTTTTTGTCATGACATAAAGTATACGGATTTCCCGAAGAGGAACTGAGCGAAAAATCGATTGCATTGACGGCAGGGAGGGTTTCCAAACGAGACATTGCTTTTCCGATAGATGTTTTGATCAGATCTATCAAGCGTACGGATGTGGTTGGGCGAGTAGAGCCTTCCAGTGGTGCTAGATTTTTGCGGTAGAATAGATGGGTTCACCTAAATTACCGAACCTAACCGCCACGGTCGATGGCGAGCCGGGCGGGAGAGGAGCGGCAAGATTTAGGGTGTCCTCAGTCGATGCGGGTTCCTCGCTCCCTGTGCAGCGAGGAAAGAGCTTGAAGGGCGATAGCGACGTTGGTCGGAGGCAAAGGGAACAAACGAGGCAGTGAAAAAATTGTTGACAGGCAACACAAAAGATAGCCAACACGTGCTCCAGTTACGTGTTGGTGTCAAAGGTAAACAGATACAAACATATGTCGAACCAAATCTCCGAGTCGCAAATTATATCATTTGCGACATGAAGCTCAAAGATTAATGTAGTTTTGAGGCTATGTATCGAAGCGCTACTTTGTAAATGAAGAGCGGAAGAAAGGCCTCTCGATTTGAAATTCTACCCCTATTTTACATCAGTATTAGTAAGGGAAGCGAGGCTTGAGCAACTTGAGAGCAACTCACAATTAATTGCCATTTGGATGCTCGCAGCTCGCAAGAGAGAGTATGGTTCATTCCTTCCTCCGACATTTTCCCTCGTTTAATTTTCCGTGAGCCAGCTGTTTGCTCATTACTGTCAAATTACCGTAAGAGACTTTCAGGCTATGAAATTCATTGACGACAAGTGAAAGATGTCGACATAATATTCATAATACGTATTAAGACTGCCAAAAGTTGTGGTTCACCAACGGTTGGAAGATTGGGAAATTTTAATGTCTGGCCGCCAGATTTCTAGCATACTTTTCCTCTTTCTTCGTGGCCAGCCACCAGAGTACGTTGGAATGTGCGCAAGCAACGGCAGCAGCAACCTGGAGTAGACCCTTCTACGTTCCTTACGACCCAAGACGAAAATTTCGAGCAGCGTGGACGTCGTAACCGTTGCCAACGATGAAATCAAGTGGAATATTCTCCACGTGATAAACGCGTCCATCAAGACACGCCGTTCTATATTTACACTTATGTTTACTTTTATTTACACCCGCAAGCCAATGAAGTGACTTCGCCCAACGAGCTCTTCCTCAAGTTCCTTGACACCTCTCCACCACGCTACTTTACCTCGTCGGTTACCCATATCTGCATGCTCAACCATCTCCCGCACAGGAACCATCGTCACAGAGCTCCCTTGGATCGTAATAACCGCCGCAGACGACCCACTTGCATGTCGTGACTTGTGTGCCGGCTGCTTTTGCAAGACGGCGTGATGTTGCTCCAGGAACGCCATGCACTTGAGCGAAAGCCGTACTCCCCGCGCTCGGTCCATTGGCGATGGGATGCCACCTTGCAGTGTATGCCCAAGCGAAGCAGATCGCGCATCGAACAATGCTCCTCCCTCCTCCTGCAACATTTTTGTAATAAATGTCGTCGTGTATACACTTGATGACGCTTCGCTCCTGCAAAAACGTGTACCGTGATCGATCTAATTGCAAAAAGAGGATATAACCGTACCTGATTACCAGTCGTCCTTCACTCCGGCCTGGAGGATCCAAGGTATACCTCGTCTTTAAGAATCGCACGTCCCTCCTCAGCATGTCTAGATTGATCCCGTCTTCGGGTGTATACACTATATTTGCACCAACCTGGGTAGGGGGAATGATTAGGACTAAAACACAAGAAAACGACCGTGCCTACCGCCAATGCCCCCATAGCTGCAAGATACCCACACTTGCCGCCTTGCGTCTCAACAACGAACACTCGGTCACGGCTCGCACTTGCACTCTGCTTAATCGCATCGCATGCATCCACTAGTGCATTCAAACTTGTATCGCTTCCCAGACTATACTCCGTCATCGGAACGTTGTTGCTAATCGTCGCCGGAAGGTGAACCATCGGAATGTGGAATGCAGGATAATGCTTCCTTCCTTCCTCGAGCAGCAACAAAGCATTGAATGCCTCAAACCCTCCAATGATCAAAACAGCTTGGAAATTGAACTCCTGGAACTTTGATGCCATCCCCCCAATATCAATGGAGGGTAATGCGCGATTGGTACCGAGTTCAGATCCTCCTCGCGCCATCCACGCATCAACGCCGAGCCATGACAGCTCGTCAACGTTGTCGTCCAACAATCCACGGAACCCATTGTGTACAGCCAGTGGTGTATGTCCTTGTCGGAGGCAGTATCGCACCGCAGCACGGGTCGCTGCATTCATACCGCCAGCGGGCGCTCCCATACTACCAAAACGTGAGGTTAAACAGAAATCAATTGGTGCACGACTTACTGGATGATGCCCACACGTATCCGCTGCAGTTCTTTTCAGTATCATTTCAGAAACGCCATTGAACCACTGACCTGTTCTTGAGGTAGCTTGTCCGACTCTACGTACAAGGACGACGTTGCCATGAATCCTTCCAATGCTTCCCCAAACTCAGGGCCTCTCAATTCCATAGCCTTGTCAAAGTCCTTGTCCCTGACAGCCTGTCCGACAGCCTTTGTCTGTGCCACAATAGGTGAATACTGGATTCCCTCTGAATGGCCAAATAACGTACTAGAGCCACCGCCTCCATCAACGGCACCCGTGCGATCTTATTCTCGTGCACACCAATCATATACGAGGGAGTCTCGGGCGTAGACTCGAGCAATGCTTCGACGGCTTCGACGCCCTGAAGCGTAGGCTACAAAGTCGTTATATTAATGCCAAGTTCAAAGACTTGTAATAGCACATACCAGAATTCGATCAGTCGCGCAAGGTCTGCCTCCTCGTTGGGTATGGCCGAGGGTGGTGACACGGGTATCTAGCCCAAGCCTCTCTGTAAGCACTTCCTTGACATACTCAGCGCGGATAGGGTTAAGGTCGGAGTCCTGCGCCCCCTCAGCTACGATGACGATGGTCTTCCGTTTCCCAACTTCACGATGCTGATGATGCGATAAGGCAAAAGGAAGGTATGATAAACCAGGTACGAACACGGTGGATCTTTGCACACATCTCGTCCTCCCATGGCATTTTATAGGGAGGGCGTTCAGGAATGAAGATAAAGTCAGCGCCACCGCTGAAAAATCAAGGATTAAACGCGAGAGAACACGAAGCAAGGGGAACGCATACGCGATGCCCGCCATCAACGCCAACCAACCACAATCCCTGCCCATCACTTCGACGACGAAAGCACGGGAGTGGCTGTATGCGGTCGAGTTAATGTTGTCGATGGCTTCGCAGATACGCTGGAGAGCAGTGGGAGCGCCGATGGTCGTGTCTGTCATGCACATATCATTGTCGATGGATCCCACCAGTCCCACGATACGGAGATGGGTGTGGGCTGCCCGTTGTTCGTCAGTGATCTTGCCTATGCAGGGCTATGAAAAATAGTTCTCTCTTCGAGTGGAGTGATGACGTACCTTGCGAATGCAGATCGGCGACGAGCTGAGGCCACTCGGATCTGAAGACGTCTGCACCTGTGAGGGAGCCATCTCCTCCACAGACGACGAGCGCATGTATGCCCTCTTTGATAAGGTTGTGGGCGGCGGCAGTTCGGCCTTCGGGAGTCCTGAAAGTCTTTGACCTGGCTGTGCCAATCAATGTGCCTCCCTAGAAAAGTCGGAGTCGATTTATATGCACGGATATCGTACTACTCACCTCTGCAAACCAGCCTCTGACATCGTCCCATCCAACCCTAACAATGTACCTTCCTTTGAGAGTTCTTCCACCCACCCACTCACTCGTTCCGTCTTTCAACAAATCCCCGTCCCCGAAGCGTAAATTGTGCAGTAGGTTCTTATCGGGATCATTTTGGATAAGAGAAGGCTTTTGAATGATTTGTTCGAGGTTGTGGATGATGACGGGGTCCACCCGCAGGCCATCGGCATTTCCGCGAACGAGACCTTCGTAGCCTTCACGCACGACGAACATCTCGCATCCTCTGGAATTATTTTACTTTGTAAGGGCTGGTTGCATTGTCTGATGATGAGGGATATGCACTTGAGAATACCAGTTTTAACGACTGAGCGCACGACGGCGTTCATGCCTGCGCTGTCGCCACCCGATGTGAGGACAGCGATCTTCATTGTGAATGTAGGTTGATAACGAAGAGGGACTCTGGAAGGACTACTCTGGGTTACAGATTTATATAGGCCGAGTCTAAGCGGAGCAAAAGACCGAGCACCCTTAATAAAATTACACACGACATAGTTGTGCCTTTGCCACTTGCTTTGCCACACACGTTGTGCACTGTTCTCTTCCCCAACTTTTATCACTGGAGTCACTGCTAGACTTTTTACGCTGGAGCGCTCTGAGATTCAACGATATCCCCACCCCACTCCGGTCAATATGAGAGCACACTATCGCCGGAGGACTGTTCCCATCGATCCAGCAGAGCTCGCAAGGAGAATCAACCATGTCTCGCAATCCGACCAGCGAAACATACCGACAGATAATCTGCCCCAGCAGTCATCATCTCCTATTTCTGCTCTCCCAGCAGAACTGCTCGCAGAAATATTCATTTTCTGCTTACCCACAGACCGATACCCCATTCCTACCCCAACAGATGCTCCCCTCCTCCTCACACAAGTCTGTTCCCTCTGGCGATCCGTCGCCATATCTCTTCCAGGGCTATGGACAGCCATCCATATCAACTATAAAGGATTAGAAGATATCCCAGCCACCATTCTCTGGCTCTCACGTTCTGCAGACCGGCCTTTATCTCTCTCCATCGCCATAGACTTTGGTGAGAAGCCCCAGCAGGAAATCCTCGACGCCATCTGTCGTCATTCCGCCAGATGGAAGCAGGTCAGGTTCGACTTTCGACACCTCTATTGTCCCCCAATGTACACCCTCAACTTGGCCGAGGGCGGCGTGCCCACCTTGAGCACGTTCGAGTTTCACGCACGAGATGTCAGCAACACCAACATCTCCCCAATCACTTGCCTCCTTTCAAACGCCCCCCAGCTGAGGGAAGTCACCTGGGTGGATGATCTCGCAGACACCGATACCCTCCTTGAGCTTCCCCTCCCCAGGCTTAGACGCCTGTCGTTGGCGATGGAGCATGGGAGTCTTGATTATCTTGAAGTTCTAGACCAGTGTGCCAACCTCGAGCATATACGGATCACGCGGCCCTGTCACGATGCCCTCCCCGCACGCCCCCCTTTGCTGCTTTCCAAATTGACGTCATTGAACATTTCCTACGACCTCACGGAGATCCTGGACCACCTGGTCCTTCCGGCGCTAAAACATGTTCGGATCCACGCCGAGCTAGATAAGCATTCACATTGGTTAACGCCGCAGCTTTGGGACTCGGCGTCGTTTGTGGCCTTGCTTGATCGCTCAGGATGCCCGATTGAGACGCTGTGGGTCAACGCGCCAATGGTGGAGGACACCCTTGTCAATTGCCTTAGAAAAACAACGTCGTCGTTGAAAGAGCTTTGTGTGGGTGGTCTTGAGGTTGGGGATGCTACTATGGAGCTTTTAACGCCTCATGCAGTACACGAGGAATTTCCCAGTTGGTTGTGTTCCCAGCTAACCGAAATTTCGTTCGATAAGATTGCCGGCTCATTGCTGACGGAGATGGTGGAAGCGCGGCTGGAGTGCGCAGGCGGATGCAAGATGTTGAGGAAGATACGGGTACCTGAGGGTCACCCAGGTGTTGATAGACTGCGAGAGATGAGCGTACAGCGGAAATTTGAGTTCACGGTAGATCTCATCCCGCGCAAGGGGAGCAGGAGGGTTGGACCTAGGAAATTCATCTTCAGGAAAAAGTTGTGTTCAAGTCGATGAGTGTATGATACCGATGCATACTTTTTATATCTACCTCCTCTTAGAATCACACTCCATTTTCCATTTTGGTACATTATGGTTCATCTCCGTCTCAAAGAACGTGAATCCAATCCAAACCCAAATGTCAATTTTATTACCGCACTCCCTGATGATAACGACGATGCTAGGCAGCTGTTGCGTGCGTTGGCGGCTCAAGTACGCCCTGTCATGAAGGCCCATGGCTTTGTTGTGAATAGTCTGGAAGAGGTGTGTGTTTGTAAAGGACTCTCTGCGCGTGCCGATTTCGACCAAACTGCAGTACGAATATAATCAGGTATTCGCGGGGAGGAACTGGAATAACGGAGAAACGGTCGGTGGGTGTTGCTTCGGCTTTTGCATAGTGGCGTAAGTAGACCAAATGGTTCCTATTCAGAACTTGTCCTGCGACGTCCGGGAGGCTCGTTCTACCCCGCATCATGGCTCATGAGCACTCTCTGTCATGAGGTTCGTGGTTATCGCCATTCACTCAGTCCAACTAACGACATGTTCTAGTTGGCCCATATCAAGGTCGGTGCCCCGCCCCCAGATTCTCATGTTCATTGGGCATTGAAACATCCCCGCGCAGCATATGAACCACGGACCTGCATTTCAAGCCCTTTGGAAACAACTTCGAATAGAAGTGCGACAGTTGCAGGACAGAGGATATTACGGAGATGGTACTCAATTCACCCATTGAAAGAAACGTGCCATTTGGCTAATACGCAATAGGGTACTGGTCTGCAGGTACCCGCTTAGCCGACTCTGCCAGAATATCTGGACAAGGCATCGAAGCGGGCGACTTGCCAGAATACATGGTTAACCGCTACTATCTATCATACTGGCCTCTTCTACTTTTCTAACTCTGTCATAAACGCAGTGTGGAGGCGCACAAACCCGAACACGGCCCACCGCCCGCCGACGACGCGTCACTCGGGGCAAGCGACGCGAGGTTGTACCCTCAAATCATACAGGGCGACAAACGGAAAGAAAACGCAAAGCGGGAGCTCGGGTTACTTCCAAGTACGCGTTCACTGGTGAGGGAGCATCGTTGGCTGGCGGCAGTCCGGACGATACAAAGAAAGGGAAGGGGAAAAGGGCGCTGAGGTGAGTTTCTGTTCAATTTCACGAATGATCGCTATTTACATGTTTATAGTAAAAGAGGTCGGGAGGAAAGAGCGTTGGCTGCTGAACGAAGGTTGGGCGCGTTAATGGGGGAGGCATCGCCTTCACAGCCGGTCAGCGGGTCAGAGTCTTCGGACGATGAAGTCGAAATCGTCGGCGAGACGGATAAGGATAGAAGGGATACGTTGCTCGCTGCTAAGCAGGTTGACGATCTGGAGGTGTTGGATTTTGCCACGTTGTGGAAGGATTTTGAGGGGGAGTTCGACTTTGGTGTCAAGCCTGAGGGTTCGAAGCCGACAGTATTGGTGGACGACGTGATTGATATCTCGTCTGATGAAGAAGGGGGGAGGAAGCCTTGTGACCTTCCCGTTGCCTCTGGATCCACTTACACTAGCGGCGGAGGGAAGGGGTTGAAGAAGGAGACGACAAGAGCAAGAGTACTTGACACAGGTAAAGAAAGCTGTTGTTGGTGCTTCTTCTATTCTCTAATCATCTATCCGCCAAGTAGAATCTTCACGGGCCAAAGCAACAAACTTGAAACCAATTGGGATCGGTAAAATCGTGCAGACCGAGGTCGACCTGCGCAAGAAAGAATCGTTGGGATTGGCTCCCGTCAAAGGGGCAGGACGAACTCTTGGTGGAAGCGGTAAATCAATACCAAAGGATCTTTCACCAACATGGAGTTGTCACATATGCACGCTGTAAGTCAACAATTCTAAGACGGTTCAACCGCTATTTGATACTTCCGTCCGTAGGGAAAACAAGCCTGGTCATCTGGCGTGTTCTGCCTGTGCAACACCAAGGGGCCAGCAGCGACTTTGATAACAAGGTTCCGCCGACTGGACACTTGTAAACTAGCTTCATTCATTCCATTACCTCTATCGTATGGACAGTGCAAAACCTGTCGCCTGCCTACGTGTACAAATGAATTACAACTACCACTGTAGTTTTCTGGGCTTACCTCCAGCAACTGCGCACATTAATTAGCCACCTAATCAATATATGATCAAAAGGCAATCTACGCACAGGATCTCATAATTATCATGTACAACATGCTCCTTGCCTCCGAAGGAAAGATTGGCACCGTCCCTGCACAAGAAAAGAGTCATCATTGAGTTGTATACCGAAATGAAGAGTGGACAAGTGACGTACAAATGCTTTCCTGGAACCTTCAAGCCTGCCACCGTCCCCAGGGCATGATACAGCTTACCCCCATGTTCCTCATAACCACCTTCGATCAAAAGATTTTACCTCCAACGTTACTTATCAACCTGCACAATCTCTGATTCATAATATGATCCATTTACAACCTTCACTCACGAATCCCATCCATGGCACACTACTCAGAGTCCATGTCCATCAACATCGGCTCAACCCACTTCCTCTCCCTCCCCCGTCCAGACGTCCTCACCGGACCACCTCCAGGCGTCGTCGACACCACCACCCTCGCAGCACACGACTTTGACGTCGACACGCGCACAGGGTTCATGCCCCCGCAAGCACCGCTACGTCGCTTACCGGTGGATTGGGAGCCTTGGGAGGAGGCGTTGGATGATGCTGTTGGGAGGAAACTGCAGCTTGGGGATAGACTTGATTTGGATGAGGGGGAAAAGGTGAATTCGGAGGTGTGGCGAGTGAGTGTGAGGGAGGTAATGAAGTGTTTTCTTTTCTTGGTTGCGAAGACTGATTTTTTTTTGTTTTTGTAAAGCTCCCCATTCTACCGATTACACAACTAAAAAAATCAGAAGTCCTCCTACGCAAAGCACACCATGTCCTCAGGTGGATAATGCATTTCTACATCCACTCCCTCCCACCACACACCCCCATCCGTATCCCCGCACCTTTAACCCTCCCCCTCCTCCAAGTCTCCGCACAATTACAGCTCCCGCCCGTCCTCACCTATTCCGACGACGTCCTCTACAACTGGTACGTCCCCAACAACTCGGATGAGATGATACCCACGCATACTTCGCCCTTGAGATGTCAGACACTGTTTACGTCTACGAAGGACGAAGCGGAATTTTACCTCGTATCGGCTAGGATTGAACTGAGAGGCGTAGATGCGCTGGAGCTCATGCGGATGGTGATGGACGAGGCTTTCGTCGGGGACGATATCGCCGCGCGCCGCATAACCACATACCTAACAGAGCTGGCCGGTGTGATAAAGGATCTTGCGCAGATATTGTCAAGCGTGAAAGGTGGGTGTGACCCAGATGTGTTTTATCGGGACGTGAGGCCTTGGTTCCGCGGCGAAGACTCCAGTTCGAGTTCGAGGGGAAAGTGGGTGTTTAAAGGCATAGAAATGGACGAGACACTCAGGGAGCCTAAGGAATTATCTACTCAAGCGCGAGCGCCCTATTAGCTCTCTCAACAAACTCCGCCTTCAAACCACCCTCATTGGTCGTGAACTCCTCAAACCCGAACGTCCTACAACCTTCAGGAGAGCTGACATCCGCGAGGGCACCCCTTCCGATGAATTTAGACTCCCCTTCGCCGCCAGGGAAATCTCTGTAATAAAAAATATGAATTAGGAACGAAAACGAGAATGGGATGAGAAACGTTCGTACGGGGGTGGATGGCCTGAAAGAAAGTTCAGTCGCTGATCTCTGAGGTAACTCGCGCTATAATAAAAAAAGTGTGAGGTACAGAAATTGAGGAAAAGACAATAAACGACTCACTTGTGAATCGTCAGCGGCACAGCAGGAATATACAAAACCGAAGAGTCGCCCAATCCCCTATGTTGCGCCTCCACAGCATGAACGACATCACAGTGCCCTTTTCCACGAGATCAGTAACGGGGAACCGAAAAAAACAACAACAAAAACCCACAATAAACCTGATCCCCCGGCTCAACCCTCGGCACACTAACCATCGTCCTCCCCAACTTCAAATGCGGGTGAGTCCGCTCATTCAATTCCTGCGTCTTCCCAATACTGCTCCCAGGAAACCTCGGTCCGTCAAGGTCGACTTCCCAATCCTCGAACTTGAGAGACGTGGAATGTGAATTCTTGGGACGGAAGAAGGGACGAAGGATGGTGTATGCAGTAGAGAGGGAGAGCATGGGTAGGACGCGGAGTGTCCCTTCGTTGGGACCTGTGCTGGAGAGCGACGTCCATCCTTGCCAGGCTCGAAAGACGGAGCATGCGTTGCTAACATTGAGCATAAATCAAAGATAGTATAAGACGGTTGAAAAGACGTACGATGCATGATACAAATCCAACTTGGCCTCAACCCTCCCCGACGCATCAAAAGGATCATGACTCCTCCACACACCCCCACCCCCCAATATCCTCCTCCACACCTCCCGGTACCCTGGGTCCTCCCACCGCTCAACACTCCCACCATCAACATGAGGCCCCAACGTAAACTTGGCATCCCCCGGCTGGCGGATCCGGAGTCTGTCAAAGTAGGATAGGGGTGTGTCGAGGCTTATGGGGGTGTTGGGGTTGGATATATGCCAGAGGGAGAGGAGGAAGCGGTGGGTGGAGAGGATGGAGGGATGAGTTCGTGCTTGGATTTGGGGTTTGGAGTTGTAGATTTCGAAGATTTGGATGTTTTCTGGGGGGAAGCCTGGGTAGGATGTCGTTTAAATGATGGAGGGGGGAAGAGGGGGGGAGGATATACGCGTACCCTTGACGTGACCAGCGTTTCTCGCTGCGTAGTCTTTAATTTCTTGCTTCCAGCGAAGCGCTTCCTACTCCCCTCGTTGATCAGAATTACCACCAGGAGGGGACGAGTAACAAAACGAACCTCCTTGGGTACACCATCAGTAATTACAACCGTCCCCACCCTTCTAATCCTAGAAATTTGCTCTTTAGACAATCCTTTCTCAATATCGCGATAAGAAACTCTGGGAACAATCTAGCACTCTCAACCAATCAGAACTCCCCTGCTTCACAAAAAAAAAAGAGACAGCTAAAACTCACATCCGAACCGAGAGTTGAAATCTCCTCAACCGCAGGATCAAGCTCATCAAGCACGTCTCTCCAATTCTCAACTAACCCCTCATGGAAGATATCCCTCTTCAAACTCATGAACCGCTCCGGTAAGACGTTATGTTCTTCCCCAGTGAGCGACGTAAAGATCGCAGCGATGGACCCTTCTTCCTTTGGCGCTCGTCGGGGTCGAGGGGGGGCTGCCACGGACGCGAGACAACGATATCTAGAGAAGCTGTGTTGCACGGATCGTCTCAGTAATCCGTGCATGGTGGTGGAATGCAGTTGAGGATAGCCGTTTCGCCGAGGAAGACTCCATATTTATGAGTAGAATAGATATAGACAAGATATAGCGGTGAAATTCCTCCGAGGTATTTCCGAATTCCGCCCCACCTGCACCCACAGAATCAACGTCTGCGTGGATACCCACTCCTGGTTCCAACACCATCAAGCTCGACCCCACACATGCCAACAGTAGGCACATCAGGCAACCGAGCTGCATCCTTCAACTTTGACGGTATCCTAACTATCAGGGAACTCGAGATCGTTGTCGCTGGGTAAGAGGAGAATCTCGGAGAGCCTTTGCGTGCCGTCCGGGAGGACGTGGAGAAGGAGTGGGTGGAGAAGTATGATGAGGAGGTGAGGAAACGAGAGGGGAAGGAACGTTGGGCAGAGGTGCTAGTTAAGGAGCTCGATAAAGAGAAGAAGGGATGACACTTTTCATTCCTGTTTATATCTTCCCTTGTTGACTGTGCCCCCCATTTAGTCGAGGACGAAACTGGAGGAGGTTGAGAATCAGCTACTTCCGATGTCTTCGTCACCTCCGCTTGCGCCTGTGAAGCTTTTGGGGTGCAGAAGGGTGTGGTGAGGGGGGTGTTGGGGGATAAGGAGAATTTGGTGCCGAGGGTATGACTTGGACATGCACATGGACTTTGGTGATACATTACTACCAAACGAATCGCGCGGAAAGGATCATGTTTCCTCCATCAACCACCGCCTTGAACTCGTTCAACGGGAGTCATACAGAATCACATCCGGTGTATAGCTGAACGCCCAGAGATATATCATATAACACGGATACCACTCTATCTGCTGTTTCCATCAAACTCTTTTCGATTACTCTGGCGACGATTCCAAGGTATGTGATTTGCATCTAAGGTCGAGTTGTTTTCGTATTGACAACCACTCAGCAATGCCCAATCTTACATCTCGATCATTGACGTCAATACCGACATCTTCCAAGCTGTCGAACGAAACGTTGCGAGAGATTGCAGCATCAACACTAGCCAAAGTTGAGGCGGGTTCATATGAGGCTGAGGATGGGGCAGTCTACGATCTTAAGGAAAGCGCCAATTACATGAAAGAACACACAACCTTCTACCCTCCAAATTCTGACCTGGGCGATTGGGCTGCTGTCACTCCAAGCACCACACTGGCGGTCACTCAGATATTGCTGGCGGAATGCTCAACCTTGGAAGGAACACGAAATCTTCACGAGTCCTTGCTTTCGGATCCCACTGAGAACAAGAGAATTGGTGTTCTCAATTTTGCCTCAGCCAAGAACGCTGGTGGAGGTTTCATTAGGGGAGCTCAAGCTCAGGTTCGCAGCCACTTTCCAACCATTCATGACATTCATCATTTATCCACTTTTGTTCACATAGGAAGAATCAATTGCTCGGTCATCTTCGCTGTACCCCAGCTTAATAAATGACGAAGGGGCAAAGTTCTATCGAATCCACAGCAAGGACCCTCGGGAAGGTTACTACAGTCACGCTATGATCTATTCTCCCAGAGTCGTCTTCTTCCGCGACGATCTGGGAAATTGGAAAAGTCCAATCGAGGTGGACATCATTACTTGTCCCGCCGTCAATGCTGGTGTTGTCCGCCAATATTTGCGTGAAATTGGGAGTGCGGACGAGAGTAAATTGGATGCGGCGATGAAGGAGCGGATGGCGCGGATCCTCTACCTCTTTGAGAGGCAAGGGGTGAGGAACCTGGTTCTTGGAAGCTTTGGAACTGGTGTTTTCAGAAACAGGGTTGAACTCGTCGCCAGTATCTGGACAGAGCTTTTAATTGGCGAAGGTGCCCGATTTGAACACTCATTTGATCATGTGGTCTTCGCGATATTAGGCCACCAGACTTTCAAGACTTTCGAAACGATCTTCGGCGAGGCATCCGCAGTAAAGGTGGATGCGGTGACAGGGTGATTTTATGGTCTCAACGTTTTTAGTTCCGTGCGTCTTCTTTGTCGTTGTAATGCAAATGCCTGAATCTGCTTGAGTGGACTATCATTGCATTTTTGTGCAGCGCATGTTTGTTGAACTCTGCCCCAAGACCACAACTAGACCAGTCACTTCAGTCAACACCAAAGGCACCTCAGCGACTCCAAACTATCGGCTTTACACTGGACAGCATCCAGAGGACGGTCACTGATTTGTAGGCGACTAGTTCCTGGTCACTGCACTTTCGAAATATTCCCAGGCTCAACCTTTACAAAACGTTCACGCGTCGTGAACGACATATCCCTCTGATTTCACTACGAGGAGGAATGCGTGGAGTGGATAATACAATACGGCCGACTACAGGAAGCCTCGGAGAGCATTCCCTCAGGTTTCAGATGGCAGGTCTTGTCGCTCCCGACGCGTTGCAGGATATTGAAGTCGAGATCCATTTCTCGGACATCGTGGGCGCGGCAATTAAAAAATATCCTTTCATTTACTGGGATTGAAAAAATAAGGCAAGATATAAACGGAGAGGAAGGAGTACTTACGGAGAATGTGAAATCCGCGAAATCCGCTCCAAATCTATGCTCGATTGGAAAGGGATTTTGCAAGACGACCTTAATATTCCATCACGTACGAGGAGACGTGTATGCGCTCTGCGCCCCGTGAGCTTCCAATAAGCCACGTTCACACCATACTGGGTTTGAAGACCACCGTCGAGGTATCTCAAACAAGGGAGAAGCCACGTTGTACTCACAGAATAGGTTCCTCACTTCAGGCCACAGGTACTTGAAGGCTGCCAACAGGCCTCGCCCTGAGGTAGGTTTAGCGCTGAGTACGAGGATCAATGTGAGAAGGACAGCATCGAGCCCTCAGCCCGAGCTTGGGTAAACAACATGCGGGCATCTCCAGGATAACTCTTGCACAAGCCGTCACGCCTCGAGGACATGTACTTGACACAGGTAAAGCTGTTGTTGGTGCTTCTTCCATCCTCTAATCATCAATCCGTCCCGAGTAGAATCTTCACGGGCCAAAGCAACAAATTTAGGCCCCATTGGGATCGGTAAAATCGTGCAGACCGAGGTCGACCTGCGCAAGAAAGAATCGTTGGGGTTGGCTCCTGTCAAAGGGCCAGGACGAACTCTTGGTGGAAGCGGTAAACCAATACCAAACGATCTTTCACTCACATAGAGTTGTCACGTATGCACGCTGTAAGTCGACAATTCTAAAACGGTTCAACTGCTATTTGATACTTTCGTCCGTAGGGAAAACAAGCTTGGTCATCTGGCGTGTTCTGCCGAGGGGCCAGCAGCTTTGATATCAAGGTTCCGTCGACTGGACAGTTTTAAACTAACTTCATCCATTCCATTGCCTCTATCTCGTATGGACAGCGCAAAACATGTCACCTGCCTACGTGTACAAATGTCACTCGCAGTTTCAAAATTACAACTACCACTGTAGTTCTCTGGGTTTACCTCCAGCAACTGCGCACATTACTTAGTCACCTAAGCAATATATGATCAAAAGGCAATCTACGCACAGGATCTCATAATTGTCATGTACAACATGCTCCTTGCCTCCGAAAGAAAGATTGGCACCGTCCCTGTACAAGAAATTGAGTTGTACCGAAATGAAGAGTGGAACAAGTGACGTACAAATGCTCTCCCGTCTTTCCTGGAACCTTCAAGCCTGCCACCGTCCCCAGGGCATGATACAGCTTACCCCCATGTTCCTCGTAGCCACCTTCGATCGGTCTCCTTCCGGCAGGGATCCTGCCATGAGAAGTATGTACCCACTCCATCTGTTGCGGTACAAAGGGCAGCAGATCGTATCGACCATGATGGAGGTGTTCCCCACCCCCGTACGGCACATGCGCAGCAGGGGAGAGATGAGGGCCTACTTTGCATGGATGGACTGAGTTGCTCATGATGGCGGAGCCTAGGAAGACCGGGGAGACACCGTCGGCGTCGTGGCTTACTGGGGGGCCCAATTGATCATGAGAGGGCAAGAAAGAGGATGCAGTGTCCAGAGGAATGCGGATCCCTGATGGTGGTGGCTGTTGGGCTGCATAGGCGGGAGGCGGTCCGTGGGGCGGCAGCGCCCGTGAATTATGCTCAAATTTCTCTGGGAGAGGGAATGGTGGGGCAGACATGGTGGGCGAGTGCTGTTGATGATAAGGTTGATGACTCTGAGCGGAAGGATGGGCGCCGTTTTGCGTCGCTCCTTTCCGTTTGTCCCTCTGTGATGATTCGGAATCGGAGCTGGACGATTCGGACGAATCAATGCTCCTGCGTCGAGGTGACATGGTTGTCGCGATCACAGGGTGAAAGCGTTATATTCCAATCATTACTACAGGGTATGTAACCCAGCCTCCAGGTATACAAAAAAAATACAACAAGTCGTATCTTCCTTTTTTTCAACGACTCACTGGCTCTGGTGGACCGGGAGGCAGGGGGATCTCCTCGAATCCCAAATCACTTAATGTGATAGCGGGTAAACCGAGGGCAGACTTTCCTGTCGGTTTGCGTGTTGAGCCAATTGTGGCGGGCGATCTAGGTGGGGATAAACGAGCTTTCTTGGGTGTCTTGTCTTCAACATTATCGCGGACAGACATTGATTGGACCGAGCGAGTCAGTGAGCTAGGGAAAATTGAAGTTGAGGAAATTTCCTAAGAGTGTCGGCAGGCTCACTGTATCTCTTGATTCCGCGCATGGCTCCAACTCTTGCACACCTCCTTGAATTGCATCAGAATTCCGGCAAGGTCGTTATAGAACTGAGTCGTCGACGGTAAGAAGGTCCACTTGTATGAAAGGAGGGGCTTACCTTGTTGCCTTCATCTAGATTTCGAGTAATCTCCTTGTACTTGAAATATGCAAGATCAAGTGATTGTAGCGCAAGTTCTCGTTGTTTCACAACCGGATCCTCCAGCCTAGATCTCAGGAATGCCTCGTTGCCGTTCTAAAGATCGCGTTCAAATGTGTATCAATGACGACAGCAGTATCGAAATACAAACCTTGATATCCTGTAGGATGACACTCTGTTTCTGGGCAAGTTCAGACATGTCCATGAGGAACTTGTCGTACTTTGCAAGTTGTTCATCAGAAACGTCCTCAAACATGTGTGGCTCGACTTCTGTTAATCTCTCAAACCCAGAAGCTGCTCTGAGTATGATTGGCCGAATATCGTCAGCCTTAGCCAGGGACTGGGCTCGATGCGCAAGCTGCTTTTGATCTCGTCGGAGCGTATCAAGCTCTTCTAGCTTGACGCGAAGGGCGCGTGCGTGGTTCCGTGTCTTTCTACTTTCAGGCGTCGGCTCGACAGCGGAGGTGAAAGTGGAGGAAGGAACTGATGCTTCGAGATCCGCCTACAAAGATCGCTCTACGTTACAGACAACTTGAGTGCTGGGCTGAGTCACACACCTCGTCTAGAGTCAATTCAGTGATATTCGCCTCCCATTCGTCCCACTTTTGCCGGACTGCTGAGTCACTCCGGCGTGCCTGCTTCAATATTTCACGGTATCGTCTTTGTTTCTCAATCAGTTCCACGTTGGCTTCGTGAGATCGCAACCGATTCAGAGGTATCTCTTTCCGAGCCGTTTCGTCTTCTGAGGCTTCGTTATCTAAGATGTCCATTGCCTACAGGACATTTTGGAGTCAGTACAGCAAATAAGCAAGGTTTGGAACAAGAGTACCTCTTCTAAGATCGATTCATCTTGTTCCGCCAGTCTTTCAACGTCATCAAGAGCTGCTTGAATCTTAGCGGGTCCGTCTTCAAGGCGAACCTCCTCTGCCTTCCGCAACAGACTAGGAGGCAAGCCAATCGGGCGTTCCAGGGCTTCCAGTGTCGAAGGGAGGTTCAATTTTCGTAACTGGCTAACAAGGAGCAAACAATTAGCAGCGGTTTCTCTTAAGTATCATGGACACAACATACTCATCAGCTTCATCTTGAAGCTCCTGGGCAACGTCAACGACCCTCTCCTTCACAAACGCGTGTTTCCTGTCGTTGTATATGTCTGGTGAAGTCGAACTGATAAATAAATGTAAAGACAGGAAAATGGCGCGCTTACTGATCGCTTCTCTGGCCCCCCATCCAACGAGATCTCCGAAGATGGGACGTTTCGATCCCAAAATACTAGCTGGATTGAGAAGGCCTGCCGGGATCGTAGCCGCAGCAAGATTGGTTTGCTGGATAGCAGGCAGGGCTGATGCAGCAGGAACATCTTGGTGATATATGAGGTCATTGTCACGCTGAGCCCGAGTGAGGCTTTTCCGCACAGTTTCGAGTAGGGACTGAGAAAAACTTGAGTCTTCATATTATTCAACAATAATTTGAAGTACTTGAGCATCCTGTAAGACCGGAGAAGCGACTCTTCCACGTCTGGAAATGTCGTATGCTTCCTTCGCTTCAACCTGCGCTTGTCCTAGTCTTGCTAATTCGATCCCGTACCTATAAAAATATATGAGTTGTAGGCGTGTCAGTTTGAATCGGAAATGAACGCGAACCTACTGGCCTCAAAATCATCCATGCTCTTTCTCAGTTCCGCTACTGCCTTGAAGTGATGGGATTTTGCTTCTATGTGAGGCAGCCAGTCCTAGGAGGAGTCAAAATATAGACAGAAGACGAGAAGGGAAGCATACCGGAGGAAGAATATGTTTGACTGGCGGCGACGCCTCACGAATTGTAGTAGCGGCCGTTTCGTACAGGTATGCGGCCTATTCAGGTTATGAATTGTGAAACTGAAAACGAAAGAGCTTACTCACTCGAGCTGCAATCTTCGCAACGAGCGAGTTCTTATACTGATCTAGTGGTATCATAGGTATGGTCGAGAGTCACACTTTGCTGCTGCTTACTGAGTTTCGCTAGTTGCCAAGAACATTCCTGAGCTTGGGCCAACATCAACCATTCCAAACACTTAATAAGCCCTGGTGAGAGATCCAGCGGAATCTCCTCAACATCAGGGGGATATACGAGTTTCGGCAGAACGGATGATGACAAAAACGACAGAGTCCCCGCGGTTTGCTGATGAAATCGTCAAAATTACGAAAAGATGACATAGAGGTCGAATTACTTGATAGTTCGCTGCGGCTCGTTTGATGCCATCGGGGGTGGCGCGATCTTCTGACGCAGCTAGTTGAGAGTACAAAGACGCAAGGTTAAATACGACAGAGGCGCGTTCAAAAGCCAAATTGGACAACGAAATAGGAACAGCAGAGGGATTGAAAGCAGGGGTGTAAGGGATTGCCAGTTGGATCTACATGGGATGAGTTTCGTGTGCCACTGCGAGCGGCAGTGATTACCTACATCTGTGGGAAGTTTGGCTAGAATGGAAACAAGTTGAGCGTGATAGCTTGAGTGGTCTGAGAATGTATGCAGATAAATCAAGACGAAATTACACACAGAAGGGTAACATCTATTCGATTGACGTGAACTACGCCGCCTACTCCATCCTTTCGGAGATCCTGCCAGACTTTGAAGTCTTCTTTGAATTCATCAGGATGCGCTCCCCCACGTTCAGATATATAGGCGCGGGCTGCCTCCTTTATCTGTATCGTTTGTGTTTTCTTGAAAGGAATTGCAAGGAGGTTGGACATTTTATGTGAGAGATTGGTTCAAAGAACTTGATGTCTGTCACAGCCACCACGGCCCGGCGGACGAGCAAATTCCGCGCTACTCCGTGACGACTTGGCATTGTTGGCAAGCATTATTATTGTCGTTCGCTGAACAGCGTCAGTGCCAGTCTGGTGCCAGTCTGGTGCCAGTCGATGCTTCAAAGCTTCAGGCCCAGGCCTTACCTGCCAACGATATCATCCTATGTTTACTGCCGCTCTATCGCGCCGACCATGCTTCACCTAGCCCTTGAAGTGTTGATTCTGTCACTTAAAATATAGTCAATCACCCCAAACCACACCCTACCACGACCCCGTTTTCCTGCGGATCTTTTGTCGAGAAAGATATCTATCCCCGGATTTGCGAAAGGCCCTCGTACCGCAGCGTGTTTTATTCAGCAACAAAGACGCCTCGGGTCTCGGTCCTAATCATGATATTCTCACCCTCCACCACCTCGATCTAGGGTGCCAGAAGCATGGCCTTTCAGCGCTCAGCAGCCAACCCAAGGGAAAGGCACACCTCGTGAACCCTCGGGGAACACGCACATCGATCAACCGTTTTGGACAAATTTACCTCCTCCTGGAGGTTGTGGACTTTCCTGAAATACATTCACAAATCAAAGTCGTGTTCAAGTCGCGATCAGTGTCTCTCCTTCGACGCCCGCCTAACCTATTTCGTGAAGTTCTCCCCTTGGGACGTCAACGTGTTATACGCGACTCATCAAGACCGCGCCTGTCAACTATGCAACAGCAAATTATCAATTGACTTGATGCCAAAGTCTGCCATCTCCGTTGACAGAGTGACCAGAACACATAATGGCCTGCAAATTTGATTGGGTTCAAACATTGCGTGTTTACAATCCAATCAGTTACAAGCGCCTACTCAAGATCTTCTCACCGTTCAAATGTGATGAGTAAACACGATCCTCTCCTTCACTACTCCATAGCATACATGCGTTCTGGCTCGTGCCAGCTTATGTTGCTAATCTTGGCTTCTACAATCTCGGTTTCGCGTTTCTCGGGCGCTTCTCGTCACCCTCAGTTTCTCTCACGATGCACTTGTGCCGCCCGATTGCATCTCCATCTCAACAAATAAATGGCCCCGCTCCTCTAACAAGTTACTCCAGCTCCTCTCCACCAGACGACTACAAGCATCTCATAAGCACTTCATTGATATTGCAATTATACTCGACATGTCCATGCAGCCCCAACCGTACTCTCATCACTTCGCGCCTGCCCATACGGGAGCTCATCAGCCCATGTATGGGCCACCTCCACAAGGACATCAACCTCCCCCTTGCTATTCAGGTCCTGTGATGGGAAGAACAGGTGGTATGAACTTCACTCTGGTGGGTCTTTTGTTTCAAAGACGTCATAGGAGCGCTAACCCACTTCTTTTGAAAGGCAAAGAAATTTATCACGGTTTGAGTGACTTGATGCAGTTATGTGTGCTTCATTCCTGATTCCCTCTCAAGAACCAGCGCGTCGAGGTGCGGATTGCTGCCAACGGGTGGGTCATTGGGACGGTGCTAGGTGCTCTCAAATTTTTGAAATCGGTATGATTTCCACGTCAAACCCTACATCGTCTTGATATCGTTTAGATCTCTGGCATGTGGTATCATGTCGCCTACGAGACGGACGGCGGAAGGTTCACAAGAGATTTCCCGGAACATGATATTCGCGAGGTTCATTGAGTAATGTTTGCTAGGCAGCGCTGGAAGGAGGGCCTCGCCCTTGGTTCCCTTGTCCTGCGGTGATGTATGTGTGATTATTGTACCAACTTATCTATTTTACGCCGTAATGTACAACTATGCATCATGCTTGTCCAACGATATCATCTCGTTTCTGCACTTGCAAGCCATAATTTCTACAAGGTCTCGGGCGACCGTTATTTTAGTATGTGGGTGAATGAGAAGCACGCCAACACGGTTGAACTTCCTCGCCTAAGATCAACCTTATTAGCATGAGCCCTGCCCCGGGCAAGTTCAGACCGTGCAGCTCCGTGCAGTTAAGGAGGCGCGAAGCCCTATCCAGCCGCATCCCTGCTTGGACTCGGCCACGAAATCAAAAAGACGCCACAAGGGCCAGCATTGATAAGCTGTGCGGTTGAAACTTGTCTATTTGAACACAGCTTTGTGCAATGGCTGGACCTCTGTGGGAGACTTGCGAATTCTGCGGTAGTAGAACGTTTCCAGTCGCGCCAGGAATTATTTGTGGTCCTTTCTTGAACATTGAAAGTTTGTAACATTTTTTTTACCGATCCCGCGAAGAGGTTGACGGGCCTACAGGGAGGCTTGCATATTGGCGTAACACCGTTAATTTGGGCTTGAAATGTTGATCCATGAAACGTTAAAAGGGCAAAAGAGGCATGCGGCGTACGGCGTGCTGTGTGATGGGGCGCATCAACAACATCTGAACCTGTCCATTGTGGTCAGGCTAGCATTCCTTGGATCCGTGCAACGAGGCTTACAGACAAGTACGACCTGCGTAGTGGGCGTAAGAAGTGCGGCATTCGCCAGCCTAATCGGATATTGGGCGTGATCGATAATGGATGAGGAGAAAACCTGAGGGATATTCTACTGATTGAGTTTACTAGCAAAGGGTCGTCGGGATAACATTCTTTCGAAGGGTGGTTGTTGACGGGGATCACAGTACAAGGATCACATCAACGACCATGGAGAACATGGCGACGATCATGGAGAATGTTCAGAACAACGGAGAAAAGATTGAACACATGAAGAACGAGACAGCCAACAGCCTAACAGCAACCTCAGACCGGCTCAAAGCCTTGGAATCCCTGGCCACCGACACTCAGTCACGAATCGCAAACCTGGAAAACCGAGGTGCTGGACCCCAAACACGAAACACGGAACCCACCTCAAACCCAAGCCACACAACAAGCCACGCCACTGGCCCGACGTTCAAACCCAAAGGGAAAACTGAGGGAAACCCGGGACCAACCAAGAAGAGCACCAACCCAGCATCGGCCCATCACCCAAGCCGAGCGGTCATCCGTTTCCTGCCTGACGGGATTAGGGACGAAGACCGCCTAGACCCAATGGTAATAGTCAATACAATCAACAACGCCCTCGCCAACGCACCCTCCCTCAAGGCCAAGCACATCAGAGCCGTAACTGCAACCTACAATAACCAAGGTAACCTCATCGTCTCGACGCGTGCTGACCAACGCGCCGCAGATCTGCTCCAATACGCAGAGCTCTTCATTCCGCTAATCGACCAAGGATACAACACAAGTGTCATAGAAGACAAAAAATGGTTTAAGATTCAAATCGACGGCGTCAACACCCACACCATGACCAGTCTTGGGCCCAGGTCCATCCTGACCGCGGAAACAGTACATGAAGAACTCCTGGCATGCAACCTCGCCTACGCCCAAGCCAGTGACTCTATAGTTGCGCCCCCGCGGTGGATGCGAACCCAAGAAGAACTAGAAGGCACACTGAGGTCGTCCCTCGTGTTTGCAGTCGACGACGAAGAGGTCGCCAAAAAACTGTTACAAGAGAACTCCCTGGCCGCGTTCGCACGCCACTGCCCACTGAGAGCGTACCAGGACAGACCACCGGTAAAACAGTGTAAAAACTGCTGGGGGTGGGACCACAGGGCAGATAAGTGCCCAGAACCAACCAAATGCAGGCTATGCGCAGGCGACCACAGGGAAGAAGATCACACCAACGAGCCAACGTGCCGCAAATGCAACGCACTAGAGGAAAGCGACGGCATGGCCATCGACAGGAAGCTGTGCACTCACCACCTGCACTGCGCAAACTGCTCAACGGCAAGCCACGTCACCGAAAAGGATCACCCAGCAGACGCCAGAAGATGCCCCATCCGGCTCGAAAAGTACGGCACCGCTCGAACTAACGAACGCAGGGCTCTCAAGACGGACAATCCGTGGAAGGTAATCACCAGCAAAAAGCCCCGTAAACCCAGGGCGCCAAAGAGTACAACACTAACATCACAGGGAATCCCGCCAGAACAGCTAGTCTGCCAGAACCAATTCAGCATCTTTGATGACCCATACCCAGCTGCCCACATGGAAGAAGTCACAATTCCCCAATGACCAACACAAACCAAGATGAAACAACCACACGACCGATTCGCATAGCGCAACTGAACGCTCAGAAAAAGAAGAATGCAGTAATTCAACTCCTAAACCACCACGCTCATGACTTCGACATTATCATTCTACAAGAACCTGCATGGGGGTTCATAGGTAACGACGAAGGAAAAGAAGTACATGGGCCAGTTGCACTACAGGGGTGGAATCCAATTGCGCCAAACACCACCAGCGACACCAACCCCAAAAGACCCCGGACACTGACATACTTCCGCACTAGACAAGACTTTTCAATAACACTTCGCACCGATATCATAGAAGATAGGGACATCCAAGTCCTGGACATCGCCCAGCAAGGACAACCCACCACAACACTCATCAACGTGTACAATGACCCCAGGCTAGCTCGAGACAGCGCCCTCAACCGCATACGTCACGCCAACTTACCCAGAGACCACCCAGTCATCATCACAGGCGACTTCAACCTCCACCACGACCTGTGGGCACGTGGACCAGTAGGAAATGACGACGCAAGGACAGCTGGGGCAATAGTGGACTGGTTGTCGGAAGAAGGGTACACCATTTTAAACAAGAAGGGTGAGATCACGCACCCCCCACGTAATGCACGCGAAAGGGCATCTGTTATTGACCTCACTTTTGTAAACGGCCAAGCGGTTCGCGCAGGAACAGTCCAGGAATGGGCCATAGACCCAGGCCTGGCACATGATGCGGACCACTTCGGGATAAAGTTCACCATCGCCCATGGGCAAGCCGAAATCGACAACCCGTTGGACATCAAATACTGCATGAAGGAGGTCAAGCCCAGAGACTGGATAATGCAGCTGGAAGCCGCCATTGCCAAGTCCCATGAAGACCTCCAACCCCTCCTGTCCCACGAGCAGCTACAACCAGCCATGCTGGACAGATGTGCAGAAGCGCTGACAGAAGCCATGCAGAAAGCCACGGAAGCAACGGCCAAAGTCCGGAAACCATGCAACAACGCCAAGCCATGGTGGGACCAAGACCTTACAGACGCAGCCAACAGGGTCAGCGAAGCACGCAGAGAACAGAAACGACACCACGACATTGTGAGCTCCTTCAGCGGCGACATCAGAGCCCGGATCAGGAAGGCCCGCAACTTCTTCAAGAGACTATGCCGAATTAAGAAACGGGACTGGGTAAACGAGAAGTTGCAACAGGCCACAACAGACGACATATGGGGTTTCCAGAATTGGTCGAAAGGTACACGGAACTACCCATCCCCCCCCATTTCGAGGGGCGAGGGGCTTCCCAAGGCGGTGTCCCATGAAGACAAGTGCAACGCCCTCAGAACAGAACTCTACCAGCCACCACCACGCCTCGAGACGGAACACATCCCAGACCTCCAAAACCCACATGGGGATGACCTCCCCTACGTTGCAGTGACGATAGACGAAGTTAGCGAGGCGATCGCCGGCACCAGCGCATCATCAGCACCAGGTTACTCTCAAATAAACTACCAGGCGGTCAAGTGGGCGTGGAAGAGCAAAGATGGTAAAAAGTATATATTCCTGCTCATGCGGAAATGCTTAGAAGCAGGCTACCACCCGAAGGCATGGAGGAAAGCCATCGCAGTCGCCCTCAGAAAACCCTACAAACCTGACTACTCCAACCCCAGGGCCTACCGCCTCATAACCTTACTAGAATGCCTAGGGAAAATACTAGAGAAGGTCGTTGCGCGAAGGCTCACGTTCCTGGCCGGTAAACACGACATGGTACCAGCCAACCAGTTTGGGGGACGATCAAACAGCTCCACAAACGACGCGCTTCTCACGTTCACCAATGACGTCCAGTGCGCCTGGAACCACAAGCTCGTCACTTCAGCCCTCACCTTCGACATCAAGGGGTACTTTGACTTTGTGAACCACAATAGGCTACTAATCGAGCTCCGCCGAAAACGCATACCGCTACCATACGTCCAGTGGGTGGCCAGCTTTCTCTCAGACCGGGAGGCGGCGATCTGCATAGATGGGAAGAGGGGTGTGATGGAGCACGTTGAGAATGGTATACCCCAGGGCTCTCCAATCTCACCCATCCTCGCAGCCTTTTACACAGCAGAACTACTAGAGAAGTTCAAGCTCAGGGCAACAGCCCAAGCCGATGAGGACCCAGACAAGACGACGAACGTACACCTGATCATGTACGTGGACGATGGCAAATTATATGTGTCCTCGAAGTCACTCGAGACGAATGTGAAAAGACTCAAAGAGGCGTACAATGAGGCAGAAGAGTGGTTGAGGGGTGCAGGTTTGTCCCCTGACTACGCGAAGAGAGAGCTCATGCACTACACCAGAAGGAAAAATGATGGAAGCCCATCAATCACGTTCGACGACGGAGATGGAACTCGACGGGTGGTCAAGCCAGAGGCCACTGTAAGGTGGCTAGGGGTGTACTTTGACCGAAAACTTAGATTCCAGAAACACGCCGCTATCCTAGCGGCTCGGGGCGAGAACGCAGTCAGTGGCCTCACGATGCTCGCAAACACAATACGTGGCCTAAGCCAAACTCACCTCCGGCACCTATACATGGCGTGTGTATCACCGAAAATCCTCTACGCATGTCCAGTGTGGTGGACAGGCCACCAGTACCAAGTTAAACCACTAGAAAAAGTACAACGACGGGCCCTACGACTGATTTGCGCTGCATTCAGAACAACTCCAATCGAGGCGCTGGAAGTCGAAGCCTCAATCCCACCTATCAAACACCAGGTCAGCTTGCACGTCAAAAGATGCGCCATACGCTTCAACAAGCTAAGCGCCTCCAGCCCCGTCATCCAACGTCTCCCGAAGGCGTGGAGGAAGCCGGGGGAGAATACCACACCACCACCTCTTCAGCCCAAGCTGTACAACAACTCGGCCACTGACAACGCGAGGACAACAAACCTCCTCAACATCGCAAAACTCACGTGCCACGCACATGAAAGGATCGACCCCTACCTGGTGGCCCCTTGGCGAAGAACGGGTTCAAGCTTCGGCGGTCGAGTCCAAACCAACGCATGCAAACCGGAAACAAAAGATCAAAAAGAAAAACAGAAACTAATAGACAGTCATAAAGAAAAATACCAACAACTATCAAAGAGAAAAGAAAGCCTCGTAGTGTACACGGATGGGTCCATGGTGAAGAAGAAGGGATTTCCACAGGTCGGCGCGGGAGCGGTCGGGTACCATGAGGGAAGGGAGGTGTTTGTGGGGAGAATGGGAATGGGAGGAAGGGCGGAGGTATACGACGCAGAAATGGCGGGATTGAAGATGGGCGCAAGCTTGGCAGTGAAATACATTGCAAACCACCCGGAAATATCAACAATACACTACTTCGTCGACAACTCAGCAGCAGCCGAAGCCATATTCGACCCCAAGCCGAGGCCGGGACAGTTGTACGCAGCAAAGTTCCACCGCAAGATGGCCAGGTTCCTAGACAACGATCCGAGGCACACAATCGAGATAGCATGGTGTCCGAGCCACTGCAACATCAAGGGCAACGACAGGGCAGACGAACTCGCCAAGGAGGCTACACAGATGGCCTGGGGCGCACCAATCAGCACATCAAGGGCGTTCGCACTTCGCAGGGCCAAGGCCTCGACTCAATCCGCGTGGACCAGGGACTGGCAGAGGGCCCCACGCAAGGGGAGGTTCGCAATATCCAACAGGATTCCCCCTTCCCTCAACCCATCCAAACATTTCGTCGAACTCAAAGACCAGCGTGAAGTCTTCGGCCGCTTGGTACAGTGTCGAACCGGGCACGCATACACAGGAGAATTCCGCAGACAATTCTTCCCAGAGAAAACCACAAACTGCGAATGCGGAGTGGACCCACAGACGCGCGAGCACATTATAAGAGAATGCGAACGGTACGAGGACCAACGGGCCAAGCTACGTGATCACGACCGTGAACTGGCACTCCCAGAACTACTGGGAACCCCCAAAGGCATCACGGCCCTATCCATCTTCATAAGAGATTCCGGCGCGTTCACATTCACGGGAGAAAAGCACATGCCAAAAGAAACCCCATCCTTCCAGGACGAACCAGAACCCCCAGACGAGGACTCAGAAGACGATGAGTCCGACGCTGAACCATAACACCCATACGATGCCCACACCCAGACCCAATCCCCCGCGAGCGCAAGAGCGCCCGCCATGCCCCTAGCGTCGCCACGACGCACTCGACTCTGACCTCCAGTTCTCTGGCCCCTGCACACAACCCTACACATCTCTTATACAATACAGCTACACATCGGACACCCAAATTCACGTAATGGAAAGCCCGCACGACATAATTACATCTAAAAGGGAAGCCATACGCTTCCCGTGCGTCTTAGTACTAGACTACTTGTTGCACGTAAATCTCGAGATAATAAAAAAAAAAAAAAAAAAAAAGGATCACATCAATAGTGGATTGTTGTAAAGGACTGGTATCAGTGAACAAAGAGAAAGTAGTCAATGTCAAAGGAGATCCTGCTTCACTTGGAGGTAATGCTGGGACCACTTTGGGACCACTCCTGGCCTGAGCGCCCTAGGTTGGGAGAAAAATTCATGCGTTGACCTTCTGTTGACAATAAGAAAGAGTTGTGGCTGTGAGGTCGGGGTCTGTTTTTGGACTTTGCTATCATCTCACAGTTGCCTTGAACGTTCTCGACATACTTTGTCTTTCTCTCCTTCGCATTGATACCCAACACTCACAATCACTTCTTCTGTATCCTCGACACATTTACGCTGTTATCCCGACGCCAGCGCTGGAATCGCTTTGATTTCTTTTGCACATCACGTCTCCCCCTCGACCACTCGCCCCCCCTTTCCCTGATACCCTGTAACGCCAAACCTCTTAAACATGGCTTACCCTGATACACCAACCTCTCCCGGAGGTATGTCCGCCCGACGCCTCACCAATAGGAACACAAATCGCTACAGCGTTACCGCCCTGTTTAGCATGGCAGCGGAGCAGGATGTAGAGGTTGAGGACGACTTGGCACGAGGTGCGTACTATTATCCAACCTTTTGCGTTCCCTTATCTTTGAACAACAGCCCAGAAGCGTCTACGGGACCTGAAAGGAAAGATTTCTGCACAGTCCAAGAAGAATTTCGTTCTTGAGCGGGATGTCCGTTATCTTGATTCTCGTATTGCGCTTCTTATTCAGAATAGGATGGCACTTGACGAGGTGAGATTATTGTAAAAGCTACCCTCAGCTTCAAGCTTACGCGTCTTTCAGCAAAGGGAGGTTGAGCGTACTCTGGAGGAAGTAGATCCGACAGAGGGTCATTACCCAGATGATCGCAAAATTCAACAATATTCGAATCTCTTCTTTCTTCTGCAGTCCGAGCCCCGGCACATAGCGGCTCTATGCCGCCTTGTTTCACTTTCCGAAATTGATACACTCCTCCAAACAGTCATGTTCACGCTTTACGGAAACCAATATGAAAGCCGAGAAGAGCATCTCCTTCTCACCATGTTCCAGTCTGTCCTCTCGGCTCAATTCGAAATGGCCACCGAGTTTGGGTCGCTACTTCGCGCTAATACTCCTGTTTCTCGCATGATGACAACCTATACCCGCCGTGGCCCTGGACAAAGTTATCTCAAGAGCGTTCTTGCCGAGCGTATCAACAGCCTGATCGAGCATAAGGATCTCAATCTCGAAATCAACCCTGTTAAGGTAGGATAAGCACTCAATATGACCAAGGGCTAGCTTAGGGACATCTTAAATCAGGTTTATGAACAAATGATCAACCAGATCGAGGAGGAGTCTGGCTCGCTACCACCTAACCTGCCTCGCGGAGTAGCTCCTGAAGTCGCTGCCGAGAATCCCGATGTTCAAGCGATCATTGCCCCACGCCTCACCATGCTAATGGAAATAGCCAATAGCTTCTTGGTGACCATCATTGAAAGCATGGAGAGTGTGCCGTATGGTATTCGGTGGATCTGCAAGCAGATCCGAAGTTTGACGCGGGTAAGGTATCATATACGGTCCCACCTTTACTTGTTCTAACCTCGCTTGTGACCAGCGCAAATACCCAGAAGCTACCGACTATGCAATTTGCTCTCTCATCGGAGGCTTCTTCTTTCTTCGATTCATCAACCCAGCCATTGTGACCCCCCAAGCGTACATGCTTGTGGAGGGAGTTCCGGCGAAGCACCCTCGTCGAACATTGACCCTGGTATGTACCCTCTTGATTTTTTCTCCGTATCGTTTTTGAACAAGATGACAGATTGCGAAAATGCTTCAAAATCTCGCAAACAAGCCTTCCTACGCCAAGGAGGTGTATATGATGACCCTGAATCCCTTCGTTGAAAATAACAAGGCTCGAATTAACCAATTCCTCAACAACCTCTGCGAAGTTGGGGATTTCTATGACACTCTTGAGGTTCGTTCATCAACTCAAATTTCCGACTAAACGTATCAATCTAACTTTTTCAGATGGACCAATACATGGCTCTTTCTAAGAAAGATTTAATGATTCACATCACGATGAACGAACTGTACAACACTCACTCGTTAATTCTCCAACACATTGAAACGCTGGTAAGCTCGCTCATTCTTACGAATCTTCGTTGGTTGCTTACCGCCAGTAGTCACCCAACGATAAACAACACCTACGTATCCTCACCGACGAGCTTGGCTCAGCCCCACCCCAAGTTCCACGGAAGGAGAACCGGACGATTGAGCTCAATCTCTATAGCCGTTGGGAAACTCCGGTTCAAGACATTCAGAGTGCCCTAATGGATTCCGTGTCATCCAGTGACATGTTGTACATGGAAACCAAGTCCATATTCGTTCAACTTATTCGTTCTCTCCCTCACGCCGCTGAAAAGCGACCTTACAATCTAGCGGCCATTGCTGAGCGGGCTGCCACAACGAAGGATGCCGTACTTGTCCGCAAAGGCATCAAAGTCAAGGAAATGCTTCGCGAACTGGAAGAACAGAAGATCGTCGAAGAATCTGATGGCTATAAGCTGATGCAGGAAGAAGTGGCCGCAGAATTAGTCCATCTTGGAAACCTGAGGGAGAAGGTCGTTTTGGAAACCAAATCTTTGGAGGCCGTATACAAGACGATCTGTGACCATAACAATTATATGCGATCACAACTCGAGCAATACAAAGCGTACCTTCAGAACGTCCGCCTTACTGCGGTCAAGGACAAAGGCAGCACTACTGGAGTGGGCGTCGTCACCGTTGGTGGGAAGGAGAAAAAAATGACCAAGGCAGTTGTTTTGGGTCCCTATAGATTTACTCATGCACAACTGGAGAAGGAAGGCATCATTGTGGAGAGCAATGTTCCCGATAATCGGTATGTTCGATTTGCTTGTTACGATCACAGTGATCACGACGGCTTAACTCCACTAGACGGCCAAATATCTATTTCAATATTACATCACCAACGCCGGGGACATTTATCATTGCCCTACACTATAAAGGACGAGAAAAGGCGATTCTGGAAATGGATCTCAAGATTGATGACTTGTTGGAAAAGGTTTTTATTTCATTACCACTTGTTGCCACACTCTGACAGATGGTTGCATTATGTAGCAAAAGGATAACAAACATCTACTGGATTTGGAATACGTTCAGCTGAATGTTCCCAAGGTTCTGGGCTTGTTGAAAAAGGTGTTTGCTAAGCGGTAATTTCTTTGTTGATATAATCTCCTTAATCATCCTCCTTCCCCTCATCCATTCGTACTTGCGCGACCCGACTCTTCACCATGGTCTTATTGTCTTTTTTATTCGTTCTCATGAGCGTTGAGCTATCTTTCTTATGTCGGATGTATCAATATTCCCGAAAATGTTGTTTTCGTTACGTAACAATTCGCGCTGTATCAAGGCGTTGTCTACTACGCCTGTCGCCCCTATACCCTCTCATGTCTCTGAATTTGTTATCACCGTCTGCTACATTCATGGCCACTAAGCGAAAACGCGAGGACGATCCAGAAGTAAATGTTCCCGACGAAATTACTGGCGGCTATCACAACCGATGCATCTGCCAAAGTTGCTCTTCTTGAAATCTCGAAGAAGTACGATCTCAGGTCAACTCTGTTGCAACATATCTTGACTCGTCCGTTCATTTTGATTGGACTCTCGGACTCAGCTATTCGACTTGACCCATTCCTTAGAAGATGGCTTGAGTGTTGACCTCTCTAATGTACAATACGAGGACATTGCCTTTTTTCGTTGGACTCGAGGCTCATCGAAACCTACGCGATATCGCCACATTCGACCTCTATCGCTCGCGTATTCCTACATCACTTTTCAGGTCCATCGTGCAGGATATGGACGTCCTTTTGCATCAGTATGGGCCCCCTTTTGAGCACGCAACGGAAGAGGCGACATCCCAGTTCCTCGCCCCGGTAAGAAGAACCCTCTTCCTGTGAAGAAACTCAGACCGTCGTTCTCAGATCTTTAATCACTTGGTTGCTCTATTTGGTTTTGCCTTTAGGAATTTGCCAGAGTCTATCCGCTCAATTACAGGACGCAAGATCGAATATCGCTTCGAAGCATTTGGTTTTGTTGGGGCTCTTTTTATAGAAGTCAGGCTCGAACTTGGTGGTGCAAAGGAGCGAATGGATGTAATTGCTCAAGTGATAGCGCAATGCAACGGTCAGGCATCCTTTTTATAACAATTTGTGCTGATTTCGACCATAAATCTATGCCATAGCCTGCTTCAGGGACAACACACGACAAGGCCCTCGTATACCTGTATTTGGTATCCTTTGTGACGGGAAGGTGTTTCAATTCTTCTTGTTTGATGGCAGCAGCAAGCCTGTTTCATTCAGTCATGGAACCCTGCCAGGAGATCCTCTAGCTCTTCGGCTCGGGTTTGAACTGGATGACTTTACAGCGGCGGAAAGCTCTGGACCTTTCATTCGTAACCTGCGCCAGATATGTGAGATCACATTTGACCTGCTACTTCAAAGTTATATTTCGAGTTTGGATGCACATCGAAACCGCCCCGTTAGCAAGGGTAAGAAGGAAGCGAGGCAAAGGATGAGAACACATGAATGGGAAGAGGCTCTCTGTTTTGCTGGTGATGCATTAGAAAAGTTTCGAGCTGCAGAAACAATGCGCCGGGACAACCCCAATGAAGCAGACACGACTGCGCAGGATGCAATAGATATTCTCAAACACAGGTATGGGCCCTTCGACGTTAATCCACATCGCATCTATTGGCTTATAATCCAATCTAGCATAGATAAAGTTTCGGACATCCGGGTTGACAAACCAAACCTCATCATGAGTGGTTGGGACGACGAGGAGGTTAAAACGATGTAATCAGACTACGAAAATTTTTGTCCTCAAGCCTGTAAGAATTCAGATCAGAAAAATTGCCAAAAATTTTTACTTGTAGCTTCTTCAGAGAGATATTTCAGCGCTGTCTGAAATAACCCTCCTGCATTAATTTATCCGCATTTTGTCCATGAAATTATTTATTATTTCTGACATCTTGAAATCACTTGCCTGTGTAACTCGCAGTTCCATTGCTTGTTCCCCATTCACATTCAGCATCTCACGCTCTTTCTGCCTTCCGTTATACTGCTTGTGCACCGAATGTCTTGACAGCGATTAGAAAAAAAAGTCAAGAATGAGGCGTTTATACGTTTTGCTCCTGCAACTCGTTGCTTTCTCTAATTTCGTGCGCGCGACAACGGAGGTCTATGCAGGATTGAGGCATAGATTAACACCCCGCTCGAACCCGATCACCATTCCTATTCATGTACAATATTCTCGAGAGATTGGTGACAACGGAACAGTTGGTGCTGGGTGGGCTGAGGTAGCATCGTCTCAAGACCGGCAGTGCGTCTCTCAACTCCAATGCTTGAGCCATTTAATCATTCACGCTCAGGTCCTATTTTGCTATCATTAAAGCGGGGGCTATCAGTTTCAAGGTCGCTCTTGATACTGCGTCTTCGGACCTGTGGCTTGTCTCATCTGCATGCAATACTGATACATGCAGACCGGTCCCTCGGTATCCGCTATCGTACCAAAGCCCCACGTTCCTTCAAGTGAACAATAATATGACTAGCTTCAACGCTAGCTATGCGGACGGTACATGTAAGTGGGCTCTAATGATGTCAGTTGGTTCTTTGACTTAGTGGCAACAGTTGCGTCTGGTTTCCTTGCGAGGGAGAGCATCGAGTTAGCAAACCTTACTGTTCCTAATCAACCTTTTGGTGCGTTCTTTCTTACGCCATAAGAGTTTCGTCTGCTAAAAGTCCGATAGGTATGGTCACTAATTCGAATGTTTCATTGACCGATAAAGCAAGTGGTATCATGGGCCTTGGTTTTCCACGTTTGTCCTCCATTTCTAACTCGACTATCAACTGTATGCTCTCAAATTATCTCTAAAACTATCACCACTCACGCTGCCTGCTTCAGCTACGTCATTTTTTGCCAATTTGTCTCAGCAAGGCCTCCTAGAATACCCTCTATTTGCTTTCAGCTTGACGCGGAATCTTAGCGGTTCGCTATCGATAGGAATGTTCTGAAAATTTCATGTGGGGTTGAGTTGGCTGAACATGTTGTAGGCGCAGTTGACGCATCGGTGGTAGTCAATGCAAGTCAAATCGGTTGGAATAAAGTGGCACCCTTTCCGCCATTTGGTTCCGAGAACAACATTTCCAGTTATTTTCAATGGGCAATCCCATTATCTGGCTTCTCTGTAAGAATATTTTAACTATAGCAGTAGAAAACTCATAATTTCAATTAGGTCAATGGCACTCAAGTCGCCCCTCAACCTACATACCCAGAAATACGTGAAAGCTCACTGGCTCTATTCGATATGTGAGTGAGCACCTAGCCCGCGTTTTTAAGGCTCTGAACTTTACCAGTGGAACGTCGGGGATCTATGGGCCTTATCAAGATGTATGGCGATTGAAACAGCTTGATTCTCAACTTTGATCATAACTTTCAGGTCACCCGCCTGTATTCGCTTATAAACGGTGCACGTCTAGTGGATTCTAGTCAGTATTGTGATTCTTTCCTTTTGACTTGTGTCATTGAATGGCTTTGTTGTAGGTGGCCAGTGGGCGATCCCATGTAATACTCTTGCCCCGATTTCTTTTTCATTTGGGTGAGCGCTGCCATTTCAAGTACGCTGCTTTTCGCTTGAAATTCATTCATAGATCACGGAATTATACCTTACAACCTTCCGATTATATGATCGGACCAACGACTGGCAACCCAGACCTTTGCCTTTCATGGCCGAGGGCTCTCCCTCCCAGCTCGGATGGAATCGACTGGCAAATGGGTTAGGACGTGTTCACTCAGATATAGAAATGTCTACTCACTACTCTTTTCAGGATCGCCTTTTCTGCGAACCGTGTACTCGATATTTAGGTGATTGTTTTCGTTTGCTTTTTTTACTCGAGGGCATATCTGAAGGGGTCTAGTTTTGGCATAAATAACCAAGAGCCTCCCCTCATTGGTCTATACCCGCTGCAGCAACCCTCTAATTCCACAAATACCACGCAGTCATCGAATATCATTTCATCCATCTTCTCCGCCAACTCTGCTACCGTAACTACGACGCTACCGAATGTCCTTCTTGCCACACCAACATACTCTACCCCACCCTACGCGCTCAATTCATCCTTAAGCGCACCCATTGGGGTCATTGTGTCCTCTGGTCTCGCGACCAGCACCTATAGCGCGCTATTTGGCCAACAAACCTCCCTTCTCAACACCTCGGCGTTGCCAACTATCTCACCAACACCAACTGTATTTACTTATGTTCTGACGGATGCTGTGGGACTAGTGACGACTTCGGTCTCCACTCGTGTGGCTGCAATTACTCTCGGGCTCCCACCTGGTTGGAGTGCAGCATCGTCACTTCAAAGTTCTTTTTCTATGACCATACTTGGGACACTTGTCGCGTTTTTATGGACGTTGCACACTATTTTATGAATGATTTGTGTTGGCTTGGACTGACATCAGCTATAGCACCAGTCGAATGTAATCTAGATTTGATTCGTTTTTTTTTTTCGACAACGCCAAATTGAGTGGAAAGCAGCGAGGATCCTCTATGTGGCGACGTAGTTTCGCTGCAAAGAATTCTCTTGACAAGTCACAAAATGTTTTCAAGTAAATCTCCTGGTCATCTCTATATTCCGATGATAAGTCTATAACACATATGCCTCATCACCTACTATCAACCATCATGCGGATTTCAATATAAGAGCAGATGGAGTTGATAGTAATTGAGCCATCAAGCAAGGGTTGGGTGAGGCTTGAGGACCAGTACAGCTCGCCACAATTCTCATCTATTTCATGTTATTCAACGCCACCAAGTCATCTACAGAGAGGAGAAGCGCAAGAGCCCATGGATTCGACACTGGAGAAATGACGGCGAATTCGATACGCCCTTCAACAAGTCCAGATGGTTGGATGGGCTGGCGGTTGTCCAAACCTCGGCTCTCCAGCGAAGAAATGAACGGTGAAAATGAAGGCTACCGGTCTTCCTTAGCAGCGGTCGACTCTTCCCATTGTGTCCACCATGACGGCGTCGCTTCTTGTCGCTTTGATGCGAGACTTTCGATCTGTTTTTCCAATGTTTTATCGGCATCTCGTACAAGCTTCGGCGCTTCTGTTAATGAAAGCTGGATCATCTTGGCGTTCCGGGATCTGGCAATCGCCTAGGCGAGAAAACTCGGTCAATGCGTCGACGGAGTGATCGTAGGAGTACCAACTTCGCGTATTCGATTAACCATCATCAATTCTGAACTTAGCTCCAGCCACCCTACCACAGGAGCCCTTTCCTCTTTAGTTAACTCTCGAATGCGTAGATCGTCGTCCGTGACAACGCCGAGCTTTTCCTCCGTCAAAGTTGCAAGCTGCGTTAGGTTCCCTGGGGAGAAAAGAGTTTTCTCAAACCAATTCTCTAGGGCTTTCGCGATATCTCGTGGTGGAGAGAGTGAGACTGAAGGTACGTTAACACATTCGCTGATTGGACCGAACGTTTGAACGATTCCATGTGTACGAGGAGTACCCATGAAACCGCCTAGGTCAGTGATGCTCTCTTGATATTGACCTTCAGCCGAATCACGGTCGATTTGTTCAGCCATAACATTTCCCTGCGAAATTCGGTCAACAAAGACATCGGCAAGGGCAATTCTTTGGACACACCATGCTTCCGTATGCTTCCGTGAATAGGGTATGTGTGTGTGTGACCCCATCCGCCTGGTACTCGTATTGAGCCAGGTACAAAGGAATAAGAACAGGATAAGCGGCAGCCTATATACGACTCGATGTAGCCGATTTTTACAGCTGAGAGCTGACTTACTTACCATGTTGAACTTTACGGAAGAGGGAGAAAAGCGAATGTCCTCGTTCACCGTTGATGCACTGTATGAAAGAGATTTTGCGGCATCTAAAACGGTAAAGGGCGACACGTTGAAGGGTATGCAGGTAACCTCAGTTCCATTCTGGTGCAGCAGTTCTTCAGTGAAAGGAACGGGGTCCAAGATTCGGAGGATGTGTGGCCACAACGACACCGCCGACAACACTGGGAAGTCAGAGCCTGAACACGGTCAGCCAGAATTGAGGAGCCAGTGTAGCTCTTGAAAGTACCTGGGAGGTATCTATAGAGCCGCAGTCAGCCCTATTTGATTCCGAAAACTCGTCCGTCACATACGTGTTTTCGAACTGCACAACCCCAGTTCGCTAAGAGCATACAAAGTTCAGCGCAATTAGCTTCTCTTACAAACACACGCCAACCTCATTACTTTGGTGGTTGACCGTGGCTTTCAATTCCGCGTCGACGATCCAAGCTGGGAAATATACTGGAGTGATACGCTTTGGTAAAATTGGCTCGAATCCGAGCGACGGAAGAAATCGAGCAATAGCTGAGTTGAAGAACTTTGATTTGCACAATACTGCCGCGTAGGGAGCCAGATACCGGATGGCGTCGTCGGAGTCGTACGCAAAAGGAAAGGCTTGTGGTGAAGATCAAATAGGTATCGGAAGGTATGGCGATGTGCAGCTTACCGCGAAGTATGCGAAATGGATATGGAGCCGCGGTTGAAAAAGATTTTTTGAAAAGAGGTCGAGCTCCACGCAATACCCGACGACAGAGCATGGTCGTGATGAGCTCGGGTCAGTACTGGTAGCAGCTAGCTCCTAGTCCTGTAGCTATAGTCTTGTGCTCACAGGTGCACGTGTCGATCACAATTTACGACACGTCTATCTTATTCCGCTCATCCACTTGTTCTTCACCGTCCCCAGACTGTCTTTATTCTTCCATGGTTTACGTGCCTTTCTTCGTTCTCCTCTCTTTCTCTCTGTTCATTGCGGCTGCAGCTGCAGATCTCTACAAAATCCTAGACAGTGAGGGTCCACTTCTTATAAGTGTGCGCTCATTGAACTCCGTTGTCCAGTCCACAAATCTTCCTCTGAAAAGGACATTCGAGCAGCTTACAAACGACTGAGCAAGAAATTCCATCCCGACAAAAACAAGGAACCTGACGCCGAAAGTAGATTTGTAGAAATCGCGCGCGGTGAGTAGTTAGTTGTCGTTCTGGTTATGATGGTGAACTCGATCTTCTTTAGCATATGAGGTCCTGTCTGATACTACGGTGCAATGTGTTCTGGTTTTATGCTTGAACAACACTGACCTGCTGACTCCAAGAAACGACAAATATACGATAGACATGGCGAGGTGAGTTTGCTCCTTGACACCGCTTGCTGCCTCATCCGTAATTCAATTGGTCCTGAATTCTTTTGTTATAGGAAGGGTTGAAAGCTCACGAAGGAGGCCAACACCAGCAAAATCCATTCGACGTGTTCCAAAGCTTCTTTGGTGGGCGTATGTCGAACGCCTTGTTGCTTGGAATTCACATTCTTAATATGTTCCCCAGATCAACAACAACAAGCCCGTCGAGGCCCGTCTTCCCTGACGGAGTTCGAGGTTCAGCTTGAAGATATGTCAGTCAATCTCCATGTCACCAGGAAACATCCTAACGTTGACCTCCAGATACAAAGGCGCGAGCATAGACGTACATTTACAAATCCTTTCCATTTCCCGATATGTTCTTACGTCGTCACATCTAGTTTATGATCAAAAAGCGTATTCTCTGCGACCATTGTAGAGGTTCGGGCGCTGCGTCCGACAGCGATATCCACACGTGCTCTTCGTGCGGTGGCAATGGCGTCAAGATCGTCAAACAACAGGTACTTGCTTCAAACCTGCACCACTGGCTTGCTGACCTACTCGTGGGTAGATATTCCCTGGTATGTTCGCACAAAGTCAAGTAACATGTAACGATTGTGGCGGTCGTGGAACCGTCATCAAGAGGAAATGTCCTCACTGCAACGGCAGTAAAGTTGTCGACCATACGGCGCATTATACATTAGACATCACTCCCGGTATGCCAGAAGGGCATGAAGTTGTGTTTGAAGGCGAGGCGGATGAGAGCCCTGATTGGGAAGCTGGAAATGTTGTTCTGCGCGTGAGAAGCAAGAAGGACAAAGGCGGATGGCGCAGAAAGGAGAGCAGTCTCTATTGGAAGGAGACAATTGGCATTCATGAGGTATATCAACATCTTTTTTCAGACTTTCAAACCTGACAGCGCACTTTATCTTGTCCAGGCCTTGTTAGGATTTGAGCGAAACCTTACCCTCCTTGATGGACAGACTTTACCACTCGTGAGAAAGGGCGTGACTCAACCAGGTGCGCGCTATGACTTTCTTACGTGACTAGCGTGTCATCTAACTATCTTGTAGGTTTTGTGCAGACGATTAAAGGAAAAGGGATGCCAAATTTTGGGCAGTCCTCGACGGGAGATCTTTTCGTGGAGTACAACGTTATATTACCAGTGGAGATATCATCACATACCCGGCAAAGTGAGTCCCTTGGCTCTATCTCATTTCTAAAATGACCGTTGATTTCGAAATGAACAGAACTTGCAGAGGCTTTCCAGGTCTCACCATCCACTCATGATGAGCTATGATGCGCTCTAGAGTAGCTTTATATTTATGTAAGGCAACACAATCATTATTTTGTTGCTAGATTCTAGGAACACTGTCCAACCACTTAGGAAGGAATGTTCGTCACTCTTGATATCTTCAGATTGCGTCTTTCCAGGAAACAGATGCTCTTTCTCAGCTGGCGTCGATCTCGTTCATGACATCATCATGACCGTCACAAATTCGAAGAATGTGACATAGGATCTTCAGTAAACACTCTCCTGCCCTCGTTCCACAATGCAAATGAGCCTCTTAGGTCTCCCTCTTCCGAATTACGGAGAAGCCCTCTTGTTGCTGTTAGGCATGATCGTGTTAGTTATGGCCCTTACAACACGCACGTTGTTTCTCGGATTTCGACGTCCCCGAACAATGCAAACGAGCCTCCCAGATCTCCCCTTTCGAGATTACGCAGACGCAGCCCTCGACGAATCTGGTATCTATAGCACTGCTCAATGTGGTCGACGGCGCCATCCTAGGACAGATCTTAAGGCTCTCACACCATGGACCTCCTTCCCCAATGACATTCACAATGCCATCTTAGCAATCCCTCACGCACGCACCCCCTTTCACATTGATGGTCCGACATCGGACGCTTTTGTTGACAGTGAATTGACGATCCATCATCATGCATTGGACACATTACTTCGACCGGCTGCAAATGTGTTGATGAGGTTGGGGGTGAATGGACGTTTCGCCCAGCCAGGTGGCGGGAATAGTGCAATTGTTGGAGATCCAGATTTCTCGTGGATCACGTCTTCTGCATCACAGCCGCACCCGAAACTTACTGTACGTGTATCAATCCCTATCTGTGTACTTGTTAAACCCTGCTGGTGTAGGTTGAGTACAAACCTTGGTGGGCTGTGGACCTGCTGAATCTTGTCACTGCCTTTGATAAAAAGCTTGATGATGCCCTCAGCAAACAATCCTTGCATGCTCTCCATCAGACCTATGGGTATATGACCTTCAACAATAACAGGTTTGGAATCCTTACCAATTGGAGGCATGCCTTGTTCCTGCGTCGTGCTGAAACACAAAAAGGCAAGACTCTCCAGTACTATCTTGTTGAACTAGACAGAGCTGGCCAACCTATCTCAATGCTGAAAGCATTAGTTGGCATGGTGTTGCTTGCAGAGGACGACTGGTTCTGTTCGCCCCCTACCCTAGCCTCTGACCCTCCAGGACAAACCTTTGGAAAATCAGGGACTGCTTGGAATGACAGGAAGGTTGGTGCTAAAAAATACCATATGCAACCTGTCAATGGTGCATACCAGTGTTTTGCTATTGACTTTCGCTTGTGTCATTTTGACATCAGCTCCGCTCGCCACAGTGGAGAAAATGGTTGTGTAGTAACTGCACAACTTTTACCACCATCTGTTGGGCAACATGTCCTCCATGCTGTCTGCAAAGTTGTTGATGCCTTCCACAATCCTGATGCTGCAACTTCACTATATGATGAAGCCGGTGCCTACGCTGCTCTGCAAGATCTCCAAGGCAAAGTGATACCCAGACTGTATGGCTTCTATGAAGTTTGGGGAATTCTGCAGTTTCTCGCCCTAGAACCTGTTGGTAATGCCATCTCTGAAAATGAACAAATCAACCCGACACTTGGCACAAATATGAAGGCGGCTCTCAAATGCATTCACGACGCTGGCTATATCCACGGCGATATCGCGCGTCGTAACTTTTGTATAACCGGTAACGGCAAGGTCTTCTTGGTGGACTTGGAGACATGTCGACCTTTTGGGAACCCATCTGAGCCAGATGATGAGATGGATGAGGTAGACAGATTGTAGAATTTTTTCAAGGTAGAGATATCGACCCGGCGGGCTGATGTATAAAGCAGTTCAATGTGTTGCGCCGCCAATCGTAGCCTCAAGCCCGAAGCGACGTTGAACGAGATAGATGTGTTGCTCAACCAGGCCCTGCACGTTATTTAAGGGTTTGCGAAAGTACTTGAGGATAATTGAAGTTGTTTTATTCTGACCTGCAGACAAAATAGGTATCAAGGCATGGCCGCCTTCTACATCACCACGTGACTAGCAGAATTCCATAACCGAGTACGCCCTCTCCCCCTCCCTGTGCCATCCCACGGTAACTCAGAATTAGAACGTGTGGAACCAGCCATCACTAGGTCCGTAACGTGTTCAATTACCCCGCCCCACTGACTCAATCACCTCATACTCAACAGAGTGAACCCCCTTGGCGACTGGTTCATGTCGAAATAGTGCCTTGTTTTTCATTTCGCATACCTCGCGTGAGCATTAAGAGGAGGTTCTCAATACGAGCTTGACGATCCTAAGGGCTGCCGTTTTAGCCCCGAAAACAGGAGAGGAAATGGAAATGACCTGAAGTTCTTTCATCTCTTCCTTCAAACGCTGAACAGGCAAGCTGCGCACATCATCGAGAAGTGTTTCGATCCGTTTGAGACTGGCTTCACCAACGGCTGGGCCATCAACAGGACTGCGCTGACTAAAGAGCCTTGCTAACGGACTCCTGAAGCTGGTCGTTATTGCATCTGGAGATGCGAAAACGTCATTTGGAGAGAGTGTACTGATAACCCGTCGCCTGGGAGAAGCCTGAGGAATGTCATCCGGAGAGAGTGTACTGATAAATTGTTGCCTGGGGGACGCTTGAGGGCTAGAACCGACCCGAGAGCCATTCAAGCTAGGTGGTCGTTTTCGGCGTTCGGGCCCCGGCGATGTTCCGCTGGCGCGTATATCCTCCCTGGAATCGAAGGAGCGCAAGGCAGGAGCGTCGTCGTCGGATTCGTCAAAGATGTCAAAGTCTTCAGCTACCTCAACTTCGAAGATGGCATCATATAGGTCATTGGAGGCAGAACCCACAAGGGCTTCAACCAAAGGTATGTTCCTGATGTGACGAGGCAGGCTGTTGTAAAAAGAGTAGGCAGCATCCTTTCCTGACGATCTGAATCTTCGGCAGCTACACAAGTGTCGTTCGTATAACCCAATTACTATGAGTTGAGGGAGGCTTGTCAACTTGATGAGGAAAACGTTGGTAGAATGGAGAGCGCGAGGCGATAGAAACCAGCTAGCTGGTTTCAAAATAATCAAGGCGACAAGGTTAAAAGGCGGTTGGTATGAGAAGAGGGCATCAGACTTGACGCTGAGACAAGAGTCAAAGAAGGAATTGTTCGCCAATGAGCCTGAGCTTACCCTTCAATTGTCGATATGGTAAACTGGTAAAGATGCTATGATAACGAGTGAGCAAACTTTGTTTGGTAGACATCTTTGCACAAACCTCCTGTGTGGCATTCTTGTGTTGTAAAAAGCCTGGTGAGCAGGTAGGCAGTGACAAGCATCGTTATAGCATACCGAGTCGATCCTTGCAACAGTATTTGATAATATACAGATAAGGACTAAAGATTAGAGAGGGTTAGCCCGATCAGGCAGTAAAATGTGGACATACGCACTGGTCAAAAGCAGGGTGTTGGATAGCGCAGCAAAAATGGTCATGAGAATTGGGCCTAGAATTGGGTGAAAACTAGTGGCTTGATCAAAACTAAGAGAGGTATTCCCAAACCAGATCTGGACCATCAGCCAGGCTATTGAACTGATAGACCAAGAGGTCTGCTGGGATCTGTTATCTATGGCTTTAGGAGCGTTAGGGAGAAGAAGTTTGTAGCGAAGTACACTTACCAAGAGTCCATAAAGCAAACAGGAGGCCAGAAAAGCAGATGGCTGCTATGCCAATGAAGAACACAAATTGCGCTATCATGGCACGGAGAGACCTGTGTTCTTAGTTAGGTTTGAGTTTGATCACGGAAGGAAGAAGGGTGCACTCACAGCACAACTACATTGTCTGATACAGCGAAGAAGGCCAGCCTGTTCATGGGTCGACATCAAACGAAATGAATGATGAAAATTCTCTGGTACCTCGGGAATAGGATACAAGCAGCGCACGACAAGATGTCGAAAGCCATACTGGATGTTGACACTAGGAATTCAATTCAATAAAAGAATAGTACAAAGAGGGGTGGAGATCACAATCGTTGAAACTGAGGCCCTTGATTCTCAATCCAAGGTACGCAAGGAAAATAACAACAAGCGAGAAATCAAAAGCGTTCCAGGTCTATAACCACATGAAAGCTAGTTCGGTGGAATAGATATTCGCTCACGTTCGCAATATAGACTAAGTACGGCAAAGGATGAGATATGGATTACCAGGTGACGGGTGAAAGACTTACTGATCCAGCCATGTTCCGTCGCCGCGGTATATTCTTCCAAAGCAAATGCACTGCCAAAGATGATAAATGCTACCTCCCAATTTGTCAATTTCGTCTTATCCTGGGCTAGAGAATGCTCAAGAGCCCGAAATAATGAATGAGTAAAAGATAAACTGACTCGAGAGGCATAGTACAAAAGTAAGAAGTAGAAGGGCAAAATTGAGGAATTCGAAGTAATTGCCATATTTCGGAACCCTGAGTCTGATTATCTTGTTAACAAAGAGACAAGGGATACACGCGTGAATAGCCAAACCTATAGTGGTCAAGAAACGGGGCTGCTTGAGGGTCATAAATTTCAATTGCACGGGGTTTATAATTATCCGCCAGAATAGATCGATGCGCTGTGTGCGAGAAGACGACGGTGCCGTTATAAATATCGTTCACCACCTTTTGGGTCACGGGAGAAGATAAGAAAGCTTTGGCATCTGTTGAAATCGCCATCTGTGTGTACAGGGGTTGCCTTTCCGTTTTCGAAACAATGACAAGGAACGAACCTCTAGGGCGCTCTGTGAGGATTCGACGTCGCGAGCTCCTAAATTCTGCTCTACTTCAACGACGACCTCACGGGTCGCGCCAGCTAAAGGGCTCCAGCTGGTTGTCAGCACGGCAACCAGCTGGAAATAATTTGTCGCGAAGGGACCAAGAAGCTTGTAGGCCAGAATTTCACATAAATTCGCACGGGAGAGCATGACGCCGGCAAAAGCAAGGTTGGAATCTGATTCTGATAGGAAATATGACCGCACAACGAGACATGCGTATACGACGGCCATGTTTTTGAGTCGAGCATACTTATTCACGATTGGCCTGACAATTGTGAAGTTGATGTCCGCTGCGGTCAGCTGGCTAGGATGGTTGTCAGATGCATATATATATAAATGACATCTGAAAAAGCACTAACTCCCAACTGAGAGCACTGTCTGAATGTGAGGGGGATTAGAAAACATGGAACTGAATAGGCTGGGCACACCAATTGTGTTCTGTAAAAGGAAATGTGAATTTCTGGTAGAAAGACCGTCACGAGGCTTGCACATACGATAACATCCTTCTTGAGAGCTGGGATGAGGGGAAAGACCTTGACGGAAGCGAGATTTTCGAGCGTAGGTGCCAGTAAAGCGGACGACGGTTGCTCAGGATCCATAAGATGGGTGGATGGAGTGAAGAGCGGGCTTGGAGCGGGCGCTTAACTGCGTCAACAAAGGACTAGCCAAGCTTGGAATAGAGTGATTTTTAGGATATTATTGGGGACAGCTAAGTAGTGGAGTTGTGATCTTTTTGTCTTTTTACTTCGATGAAGCAGCTTGACGATGTAACTCGGACTCACCGTCGCCTGGTTATTGTCTTTGGTCCGAAAACAGAAGCTGGGTGGGCAAAGCGCCGAATCAAAGTGCCTGCCAGTGCCTTGTATTCTGTGCTTATAATCTCAACCCGGCCCCTTTCTTTTACTCTTCAACTGTGATATGGGATGCTGCTTCTCTGAACCCATTGACTTCGACAGCGAGGTCACCCTCTACCACTTCGACCTCCACCGCGCCGTCGGCAAGGGTGCCTTTGGCAAGGTACGGGTGGTCGAGCATAAACGATCAAAGAAACTCTATGCTCTCAAGTATATCGACAAAGCCCGTTGCATCAGACAGAAGGCCGTCGCGAATATTATCCAAGAACGTAGGCTCCTCGAAGAGGTTCGTTTCCTGGTGGCTTCCCGTTCCTTTCACTTAAGCCCCTTTGATAGATTGACCACCCATTTGTTGTCAACATGCGATACGCCTTCCAGGATGACGAAAACTGTTTCTTTGTTTTAGATTTGATGCTCGGTGGTGACTTGCGATGTATGTCCAGAGGCCCTCCCCCCGTTCTCCAGTCCTAACCTTTGTTCAGTCCACTTGGAACGCAGGGGCTTCATCAGAGAGGAAGTGGTTAGATTTTGGATGGCAGAGCTGTCTTGTGCTTTGGAGTACCTTCACCAACAACGTATAATTCATCGGTATGCACAACCTTTCATCCCCTTGATGTCGTTCTCTAACCTTTCTTTAGTGATTTGAAGCCGGATAACATTCTCCTCGATTCAGCTGGACACGCCCATATAACAGACTTCAACGTCGCCATACACTACTCTGAACGACGCTTGCACTCGAGCGTCGCGGGTAGCATGGCATATATGGCGCCTCAAGTTATCAACAAAAAGGGCTATTCATGGCAAATTGACTGGTGGAGTTTAGGCATCACCGCATATGAGCTTCTATATCATAAACGCCCCTTTGATGGTCGGAACGCGGAGAAGATGAGGGATTCTATTCTCAAAGAACCCCTCAAATTTCCCGATGATGCCACGGGCCCTCGATGTAGTGATGAAGCGATCTTGGCATTGAAAGGGGTAAGTTCCCAATTTTTTCTCCCTCTCCTCTCGTGGCTTAATGTAGCTTAGTTCATTAATCGTGATCCTACCACTCGTTTGGGCTGCCAACCAGACGGGCAAGGATTCGAAGACATCCGTCAACATCCTTGGTTCAGCTGCATTGAGTGGGACAACCTCGAGAGCAAGACCTGTCAACCACCGTTCGTTCCTGACGTACGCCACTTTGCCTTCGCATCATTGTTTTCACGGACTGACGCCGCATTGTAGATGAAGGCAGCTAACTTTGACGTATCTCACGAGCTCGACGAATTTCTGATGGTCGAGAAGCCTCTCACACATACGAAACGTAAGGCGAATCCAGACCTGGAGAAAATGAAACCTGAACTACGGCAGCTTGAGGAACAGTGTGTATATGACCTTGTTCCAAAATGAGATTGCTTACCTACTTCTCCAGGTTCACCGTGTATGACTTTGGCAGCTCGAAACGCATGTCGTACTACCCCCACAATCAACCCGTGGTCGCACTTGGAACGCAATCCGACAACACCGATCGCACACTGGCGCCATCGGCGAGTGCCACCATTATCCCGACGGCTACGGTTGTAGAACGGTCCTTGGCAGGCTCCCCGATGCTAGGAAGCGATGAGCGGCACACTCTGCCGTCAATAATACCAGTCTCCAGGAACCAACATGTCGCATTATGATTTCTGTGCGTTTCTGTCTTGACATGTACTCTCGTATGCTAACATAACGGAATGATAGGTTTACCCACACTACCGCCTATAATTATTACATGCCTAATGTCAGACACCAAGCTTTGGCATAATCTCGGAGGAACTGTTTGCATATCACTCTCACGCCTATGTTTTTTTCGACGATTTCTCTTTTTTGATTCTTCATATCTCCATTCTGTATTGGGAAACATCTCATACCTGCATGCCTTCTATTCGCACACTTCGCTGGTTCGACGCTTTCTGTAAACGACACTGTACTCTTAGCCAAACTACTGTACAACACATCAGTTCAACTGCTTATCTGAGAAACCTTTATTTAACCTGCTTCAGGTGCGGGAAACCCGAGGTGACTCATCTCACACTCTGATCTTCAACTATGTCAAACCCGAGCCCTCAATCGGACGCGTCTGACTCTGAGCCTGATGCAGGTTTCGTAATTCGCCTAGGAAAGATCCAAACCATTGGCCAACTCTACCAGAGCAAGGTCTTGCAGGCAGCTGCGGCGGACGATGTCCATTATAAGCCGAATTCTACCCTGCTCGGTCGCGTCTGTCTTTAGTGAGATCAATCGGCAGACGTCTGTGGGATGGTGAACCTAACGAGACTCTCGCTCTAGTCAAGGGAATATCACACGACTTGGACTGGATTCTATCGTCAATGCTGCAAATAAGAGCCTTCTAGGTCAGCAACACTTCAAAACGATTCACGATTAATTAAAATGAGCTTCATTCAACCTACTCAGGTGGAGGAGGAGGTATGTACGCCATCGTACTTGTTAGCTTTTGACTCAAAAGTTCCAATCGCAGTGGATGGCGCTATCCATACCGCGGCGGGACCAAAGCTGGTCGATGAATGTACGACGATCTACTTGACTCATCGATGAGTTCTCATTATAGTGGCGTAGGTCGTGGGCTGAATGGATGTCTGACTGGGCAATCCAAAATCACCAGAGGATACGACCTCCCTGCGTTCGTCGCTCCCATCTGTTCCCATCTGCATAGTTTGTGACTGGTTTAACAGTGCCCATGTGATCCACACAGTTGGACCTATCTATTCCTCTGAAAACGAGGAAGATAGTGCTGAGCTGTTGGCGTCTTGTTACAGAACAAGCTTGCAGCTGGCAGTTGACCACTCATTGCGACACATTGTTGGTGTTCGACGGTGTGCATCATCTTCCCGGCGTTGATTCCTTTTTGTGGCAGGCTTTCCCATCGATCTCAACGGGAATATATGGCTATCCCATCGAAGCTGCGACTCGCGTCGCGCTGGACGAGGTTAGGAAGTTCTGCGAATCGGAGGTCGGCGACAAGGTGAGTTTATGATACATTACACGTCTGGACGCTAACTAAAGCCTCCGTCAGCTGGATAGAATTATATTTGTGGTCTGGAGCAACAAAGACAAGGGCGTGTACGAGTGGGTGATTTTCTTTTGCATTCCGTCGCTTCTTTGACTGGTAACTGTAGGAAACTAATTCCAGAGTACTTTCCTGCCGAGTAGTTCAGGTCACGTGTATTATAGAAAAGTTGTAACATGAATGATGCTTTTTGCTTACCTCGATAATGGAGGTCGGATTTCAGAGATTGCCAATAGAGGTAAATCCAAGTTGCCAGTTTATCAGACGCTAACTCAGTCCGTGAAAGCTTCTCTATGAATTGCAGTTATGGGCGCTGTCGCCATCTCTTCCGCGGGTGTCTCGACGTTTATTTCACGTCTTCAAGTCGGCTTCACCGCACTTTCACGCGCAATACATATTATCGCGTGTCTGTTCCCCTGATCTCTCGGTTATTTATACGAGAGCTCTTCGATATCCTTTGTGCTCAGAGGGTGTCCTCAAATCGATCCAAGAACTCTTGGAGGGACACGAACATTCATGTACTTCTTCCTGCGAACTCCCTAGAAGGCTTTTTCGGACACTCATCCCTCGAAAGGACATATCCGAATGGAAGAGGGACGATCCTCCTCTTCCACTCCTTCGCTACCTCTACGACACCCCCGGAATTCCACCTCCAGACATCAATTCTCATTCCGGTTACGCTCTGACAAGAGCAGTGCATGCCCGATGTATCCCCGTCGTCCGATTTCTCTTAGACTTAGGTGCATCACCGGCGTACAAGAAAAATCTCGCCGTAATAGTGGCGATAAGGCAAAAGGACCTCACTTTGGTAAAGATGCTGGTCGAGAGAGAGGATAAAGCCTCTCTGAACAAAGGAACGGCGAAGAAGCGGAAACTCGAAGATCGTGTTCTTCTCGACTCCAGGATGTTGAAGATTGCTCTTGAACGCGATGCTATGGACATCGTGGAGTACATGACACAAGAAAAGGGCTTAATCCCAGATATACAGACACTGAAGACGATGATGATGTGATGCTTATTATCGTGGGGGGTTGTAGGATACGAGGCCTTATTTGCCTCCAAATATCATCTCCCTTGTATTCAGACGCATGAAGGTCAAGGAGATGTAATCAAACGACGTTGGTGCAGGTACAAGACATGATGCATGATGGATGGCAGAAAATCGTCAATACAGCTATAGTAAGACAACAGGAAAGGTGATGATAAAGAAAACCGTTGAAAATGCTCGTACACTCGTCGGGGCAAGTAATGCCTGGTAGATTTTAGATATCGTCGATGTCAACTTCTCCTTCGTCTCCAAACTCGAATGTACATTCTCCGTCTTCCTCGCCAAAGGTATCTGTCTCGTTAATTTTGGCGTTTTCGGGTAGCTCTCCATACGCTTTCACTGCGGGGCCGGGAGGGTCAAGGCTATGCTCATGACTCAGAATGAGATGGGGGGGGGACGTACGATTACGGGCCTCGTCAGCTGTATACTTCACGATAACATCCGCCTTGTCATCTTGGAAATCCCGCAGAGAGAGCAGCACAATGTCGCCCTGATTAATCCAGACCTTTTGATGGGCAGAAAATAAGTGTGAGGTGACTTCGGAGACTGAGATTGCAAGAAACGAACCTTTTTCCTCATCTTTCCTCGAATGTGAGCTAACCGCTTCTCCCCGTCGAAACATTGAGCCTCAAGCCGTCCGTTTCCGAGCATCTTGGTTACTTGAGCGTACTCTTGGCCATCCTCCCTGAAGACCAGTTCACGCTTGTCATCGTCGTTCTCATTCTTTCCACGTCTCCTGTTTTTACCACCCTGAAGAAGTTTCAGTCAAAGAGAAGCAGACTGTCTTGAACGATGCTCAGACCTTTCCCTTATTCTATTCAGAGTAGGACAAAAAGCTGTTAGCAAGCTGCTTGACAGACAGAAACCTGAGCGCACCTTCGGCATCCTTAGTTTAGATGTAGGTTTCCGCTGTGTCGCTGTTCAAAAACGGCGACGGGATAGCGCAAGTTGTAGTGCAGGAACTTGGCGGGAACAAGTCAAGAGATTGTCAAGATGAGTTATCAAAGAGCCGATGTTTGTCCTTGTTGTGTAAATGACATAACAGCTAACCGACACTCATATCATCCACACCTCGCGTCGACGCCTCCGCAGGACTCTTGCCCACTTTGTCTTTTCCGTTCAACCGCCCATATTTCACCTTCAACTTCTTTATAGCTTGTTGCACGTCGCCGTCCATAACTTGCGGGGTGAGAGCCATCGCTGAAGACGATTCGAGCGCTGTGTTCAGCAGCTCGAGAATATGGGGATTAATAGGGTCAATGCTGAGTGCCTGGAAGACTTTATTAACATCACATGACTAGATAAAATGATGCTTGCCTCGTGATACTTGACGATCGCTCGGTCAAGATTTCCCATGAGATGGTGAACCATCCCCAAAAATCCTAATGCAATAGAATGTCTAGGATCTAGTTCAAGCACCTTTTGGTATGTTATTCGAGCTTCATCAAACCGTCTGGAAAGGTATGTAGTTAGATCATGTCGCACTAGGCACTGAAGATCATACGTTAGTTTTCGGAAACACGTTCCAAGGTTGATATACGTCGTAGCCCATGATTTTTGTGAGCTTTGCGTGACTTGCGCAAGATCAAGAGCCTCTTGGAAAAGAGTTGCTGCCTTGGCATAACTACTCATTTTATTAACCCTCTTGAGGAGATATCAATGAATGTGCTTACTCTCCGTGATTATACGCCATGACACCCCTCTCGTTATAGAGCAGAGGATCGCCATCACACATGGAATTGGCGGCATTCAGTGCCTCATCCGCTAGGGCATAATTTGAAAGCATAATGTGCTCCATCCCAACGAACATCAATGGGAGATGTGAACTGAAAAGAGACATCAGGGGATTTGGAATGCACAACTTCTGGTACTTACCCAGTAAACATCCTCGCACATGTAGAGTATGCCGTTACAGCATGGTCGTGCTCACTCTCCAGTGCAAAAGTATGTCCAAATGCAATCCAAGCAGGACCAAATCGAGGGTCCATTAGCGAGGTTTTGCTACGCGAAAGTATGTTCATTACAGAGCAACACATTTTCACAAGCGTGAAAAATACCTGAAGTACTGGCGCGCTTGTGTCCATTTCCCACCGCTCAAGTACCAGACGCCCACTGCATACCAGCTGATTGGGTTCTCTGGTTCGCGGTCGACCATTTCGTGCGCCAGAATGAAGAGTTTTGAATGCAAATGGGCGAGATGATACATACACGCGATGTGCAGAGGCATCGTCTGGTTATGAATGGCGACAAGACCCAGAATTCTAAAAAAAAAATCAAGATCTATAAAAAGCGAGAATGTTACGAGATGGTCCCTACCTAGAAGTTATGGTAAAGCAATCAGCCCACCGGAAGTTTGCATACAATGCATCAGCGAAACTGAATAAAACATCGGGGTTGTCTCCAAGACCGTATTCCTCAACAAGGCGTTGCCGCGTCAAAGCATGCTCGGTTGTATGTTTATACTTGCGTAGGCGTGCCGTGTAGATGAGCTGAACGAATTGGGCGTCTTGCGGAGTTTGTGAGGTATATGCCAAGCCTTGCACAAATTCCCATTCTTATGTCAAGAGTAAGGTAACGGATGCTGAGAAAGATTATTCAGGCGCACCTTCATCTGGGGTCATCATCTCTCCGCCGACGAGTTGATCAAATGCATCATAGCATTTGACGTCAAGCGCAAGGGCCTCCATGAAACATTGCTTGGCTTGGTCACCGCGGTTCAGCTTAAGCATAAGAATGCCTCTCAGGTGGCACATGGAGGCTTCGACCTTGGGATACGTTCGTTTAAATCCTCAAGGTCAAACCAACGAGCATACCTTGATGCCGCCATCAACATTGGGGACTGCGGGGCCACTTCGACCTGAGAATTACTGAGGGTGGTTCAGGAGTGCAAAGCGCGTGATACGCACCAGAATCGCGGAACGGGTTTGCTTCTCCGAGCATTTCTGTCGCTTCACCCCAGTTTCCCTGCCTTACCTATATGATAGTGTAGCAGCCAATAATAATTGTAGAACACAAGATCTTACCAAGCATTGCGCCGCAAGGTATCTACAGGCGACACTCATGTCCACAAGCCGTGACACTCGGTCTTGCATTTCCTCAGGGACCTCGATCATGCCTCCTGGCCCCATCGGAAGACGGGGTATAGTCATAGGTGGTTGTGTAAGGTCGTGTTCACGACCTTTCCCTTTTGCAGACGCGAGCATTGACAGGTGCCCATTGGTGGTGGGTGGCGGAGGCGTAGATGGTCTTTTGGGCGGCGTCGTAGGAAACGGGCGCGTAAGGAGGCGTTCAGCGCGTGAATACTGGTGCGTCATAAAGTAGGTTTGTGCAAGCCAAAAGGCATCGTTCGGATCGTCTGAGTTTCGACATATACCTCAGATGCGTTTTGATTATTGTGGACGCGACGTACTTGTCCAGCTAAGAACCTTGTCTCCCCAAAACGCTGCCGTCTCGTAGAGATGTTGCATTAGTGCATCGTGGCGCCATAATCTCATGCGATCAACGATGCCCCATTCATACTCGCTCTCGTCATCTGCATCGTCCTCCGAGTCCTGGAATACATCCGTGGTATCGTTTGCTAGTGGGTGAGGGTGACGACTAGTACTTGATTTTGCTCGTCTGTGACGACGAGGAGAGGAACGCAAAGGCGAGGCTGGGAGTACAGATCGGTTTGGGTCCAAAGCAACAGAGATTGGGTTTGAAACGGTGCTCGAGTTGGCATCGATGTAGGAGTCAACAAGGTGTTGTGGACCGAAGGAAAAGCTAGAGCCAATAGAGCCACGATGGCGAGAACCAGAGGGCGAGGGAAGGTGAGGAATAGGTGGAATCACGAATTGGCTCGCTGGTGGAGGTGTCGAGGTCATGGTGGTTGGACGCGTCTCTTTATCTCACACAGTGCTAGTCAACAAATCTATTTTCGTACGTTGCAAAGTGGCTAGGATATCCATACGCATAACCGCAACATTTACCCCTCCAGTGTGGGTTCGGTGCCCAGAATCGAGGAGGAAGTCGCTCTTTCTTAACCACTTTGGATCTCCTCCTTTTATTGCGCACCAATTCTGGCTTAATTTCAACCACGGGGCAATCCATAGACCTTGCCGGTTCTGTTGTTGTTGGAGGTGGTGCAGCCCCTATAACGTACGGATAGTGCTCAACAGGAACCGGTGGCCTGGACTTCCTTGGTTGTTGAACACTTTGTATGATGGCCATCGGAGGTGGATGTTCTGGCAGATGTGCTTTTACGCAACACTTTTTTAATTTTGAACGGTACCGTAACTGTGAACGGTCAGTAAAATATGGGTCTCCAGCATTGAGGTTGACTTACTGCCTTCGGCTGTTGAGACTCCAACATGAGCCATTGGAAGTCAACTGAAGCTGATTCGGCTTGCTGCTTCCGCAACTGAGCTTGGATTTCATTGTCCTCACAATCAGGTTCAACGGTTCTGAGGGACGCGTCAAATTAATTTTATAGAAATAAATGCAGCACCGCGAACATCGGTGGAGGGGGCGGTGGCGGCTCCAAGGAAAGCTGAATGGGGGGCAAGGTTCTCGACACTAGCCGAAACACTAGACACACAGCGATCAGCAAGCCCACAAATTTACAACGTGTAATGGCGCACAGGTCGGTTTATCTGGTATTGGATCAGAAACCTCGTTGATCTTGACCTTGCATCGTTTCTTGCGTTTCGGCTCTGCCTCCTGTGTTGGCTCAGGTAAAGCACGCTTCAAAAGATGGTTGAGATGTTCAACCACTTCCAAGTCCACTTCCTGACTCAAAGAATGCCCCAGCCCATCGTCAATCGCAATTTCCGCCCGAGAAACGCGTTTTGCGTTTTCTGGCAAGAGATGGGGGTTTGAGAACCGTGGTATCATTTAGAGAGGGTGTTGATCCCTATTTGGCAAGGCAATCTCGTTTTTTTATTTCAGTTACGTTCACAACCTCAGGGCGAAGGATGGCTCCCACAGCAAAGGTCGCAAAGCCTACGAAGAAGGATAGTAAACCCAAGCAGAAACCTCTCATAACTTCTAAGGAGCAAGACTCCGTACCTTCCTCATCTAAACCTGCAAAATCGCTAAAGAGGAAGAAGAGTGAAAATCTGGTTGAAGATAATGATGTAGTTGCGTTGAAAGCTGGCAAAAAGACGAAGAAACTTAAGGCGCCTACTCCGGAACCCGAGCCGTCTGCGGAGGAGGAGGAACAGGATGTTGCAGCTGAAGATTCTGGAGAAGACGATACTCATCTGCACGGCTTTTCGACGGACGACGACAACTCTTCAGACGAAGAAGACATAGCGGAGGACGAACCCTCCGCATTTGACGTTGCTAAGCTACCTACCATCGCGAAAGACGACGCTACTGTCAAACGCAAGCTAGAGAAAGCTAAAAAAAATCCGGTACGCATCACAAATATTCAGAATACAACGTCGCATCTAGAAATCTTATCACGCAGGCGGGGGATCGAGGCGTTCTCTTTTTGGGCCGTCTGCCTCATGGTTTTTACGAGGAACAAATGAAGGCGTATTTCTCTCAATTCGGGAATGTGACGCGACTTCGCGTCTCGCGAAACAAAAAAGTGCGTCAACCTTTCTCACTCATCCACAGGTCTTCATAGTGACATGATCCCGCTTGCATAGACAGGAAGGTCGAAACATTACGGTTTCCTCGAATTCGATTCCTCCTCCGTCGCCCAAATCGTCGCTGACACGATGGATAACTATCTTATAATGGGGCACATTCTCCGGTGTAAAGTAGTACCAAAAGACGAAGTTCACCCTGAGCTCTGGGTAGGCGCGAATCGGAAATGGAGAGGGGTACCAACAGAACAAGTGGCTCGAGGAGCTCACAACAAGGTAAAATCAAGTGTACAATCACGCTTGGTGCCATTTCTGACTGAATTTTCTAACTACCAGCCACGCACGGAGGAGGAACAACGTAGGGCTGCGAGGCGACTTCTGAAGCGACAAAAGGAGCGGAAACGCAAGTTGGCAGAGGCAGGTATCAAATATAATTTGGAGGCCGTCGGCTATGTGAGTATGCTTGCGTTTTCCACCGTTGGTTGTTGTTGACGTCGACCTAGAAAAAAGTTGAGAATATAAAGGCCTAAAACTAAAGACACAGATCATGCTGCTTTGCTTTTTTATACCGCTTCGTTGAGAAGTTTCTTCTCCGTTCCTGGTAAATGTTTGTACGATGCTAATTTGACCATCTGCTGGAAATCCCTTCACATAACATTCGCATCAAGCGTGTGTGTTTCTACTGCCACCTTTGGCTACCTTTCGCCATCCACCGCAAGGACAACCGCACATGTGTAACGAGGTTTAACGCCCTCGATAGACGTGGGTCGCTACGAACGTTTGTACGCAGGTCCCTATAATGACGCCCGCTACCACTTTGCGATTTCGTTACTCGATTCTGTGTCGACATCCTCTCTCCCAGCTGCCAAGCGTTCAAATCTAAGATGCCACCCCCGATTTTGTGCGATGGATCTTCCACAAGTCCCATTCCAGTCACCATTGCAGTTCCCTGATGCTTGATCGGTCACGGACGGGCTCTCGGAGATAAACTGTACAGTCCGCCGCGCTTGCCTCAGGCGTCTTGCGTCTAGGTCTGTCTAGGTGGGGTTTTTTTGCCTTCGGGCAACTTCTAAGTTCTCAAGCCCTTGGATGGGATTAGAAATAAAATGTACTGTAGTCACTTCATCTGCTCAAATTTTATACCAGGAAACTTGAGGATGGGTAAATCGAGTTCATTCATTATTATAAATGCCATGTTCTATGTACAGATTCCCCAGATACAACGAAAAAGAGATTAACTATTTAAATTTGAGATGCGACGTATTACAAGGGATATCGCCGATAAAGTGAGGGTAGTCACTGCATGAAAGGGAATAGATATGGATATGCACAAAGCCGCCTATGACTGGGTATCTTCCGGCCAAGGCGATGAAGATCGTGAGAGGATACAAGCAAACGTTTCGTAAAGTAATTAAACGTCAGTAACGTTTGACTTTCTGCTGGGACCTTGACGAGGAACGGGATGTTAGCAAGGTTTGAATATCGTACAAAACAAGTATACTGACCCCTGACGAAACCGTCTTGGTTCTCGTTGGAAAGCTCTTCGAGCGACTGGCGGTTGGTTTCAGGCAGAAGGAGGGTAGAGAAGATTCCAGTCAACATGAAAAATGCGAATATCTCCAAGCTAGATCGAAGAAGTGAGGAAAAGCGCCGCAAAGGTTGAAACGAGATACATACATGTGCTTCACGAACTTGTTCGTGCCACCGATATCCTTGAGCTGGGCAAAGCCAACTTGGGCAACAATGGCGCCGAGCTTGCCACTGGCAGCAGAGATACCGTGCGCGGTAGAGCGATAGCGAGTGGGGAAGGCTTCTCCGGGAATGACGAAGGTGGTGGTATTGGGGCCGAAGTTTTGGAAGAAGTTGGCAAAGCAATAAAGGACAACGAAGCCCTTGGTGGCGGCAGGGGTTGCAGTGAGTTTGTCGTAACCGAAACCTAGATTAGAAGGAGTAAGCTTAAAATACAGATGGAAAACAAAAAGACGCACCCATGATGACAAAAAGAATGGTAAGGGCGATGAAACCCATAAGTTGAATGGGCTTGCGACCCCACTTGTCAATGAACAGGAAAGTAAACCAGTATCCGGGAATGAGACCACCAGCGGAGAGGATAAGGTTGCCAATGCAAATGTTCTTCAAGTTCTGGTAGACACCTTCGACACCTTTTTGCGGGGGCGTGCCGAAACCGATGGCTTGCAGGACAATACCGGAGTTAAGACCGAGGCCGTAGAAAGCAATCTGATCGACAAGTTAATAGACGAGCCACAGGACATGTAATGTGCTTACGTCGAGAGCGAACCAAGAGTAGGCACAACCAAAGAGGACCTTGAAGTTCTCCCACCTGCCGAAGTATGCCCTGAAATCGGCCAAGCTTGCTCGGGGGGCCTCAACACGTTGAACAAGATCGTCGTTGTCAACGCGAGAGGTGTTGGTGAGAACGGTCTTGATGTCGGCAGTTGCCTGATCGATGTTGCGCTCAATATCCATAGTGAAGCGGGGAGTTTCAGGGATGGTAAGACGGAAATAGAGAGCGATAACACCAGGAACGCAACCAAGACCAATGAGGATGCGCCACATGTAGTCAACAGACTTGAGGTTGGTGACGGAAGCCTCTTTCAAGATGGAGGTCTTGTAAGCGGCCGTGATGATGAAGGCGACCAAGGCGGCAGCTATGGGGTAGCGATATATAAGCAGATAGAAGGATAAATTGTAAAAACACTTACTGAAATTACCCCAACCCTGGTTGGCGAAGACGGCTGTCATCATGCGACCACGGATTTTGGTAGAGGCGAACTCTGAGGAGATAACGGCGGACAAGGGGTAATCACCTCCGATACCGATTCCCATCTACAAGGACGGACAGTTAGCAGACTGGATTGATATTGAAAGAAAAATGTAAGCTCACAAGGAAACGCCAGACGACGAGGGTTCCAATAATGTGGACAGCTTTACCATCACCAGAGAGGGCCTGGGCAAAGGTGGCGATAATGATGATCATAAGCTCCACACCGTCTAGAACAAGGCGGCTGAGCATGAGAGATGATCTAAAAATATACTTGTGCTTTCCAACTCACACATGCGTTTGCGGCCAACTACATCGGCCAACCAACCAAAGAGAAGCTGACCGACAAATGTTCCAACTGGGGTGGCGACCTTTACACCAAGATCCTGGTTTTTGTTAAGCTTTTGACCTGCGGAACGATTGGTCAAGTTGCTAGAGAATTATGATGATAAGAGACTCACCCTTGCCGTAAACATAGCCCAACATCGTCGATGCGATGTTGATCGCAAAGATATCGTAGCTGGATAAAACGAGGGAAAATGAGTTGAGAAGATGTAAGGAAAAACCCAATTGGACGCACGCGTCGGTGAAGAAACCGACACCAGCGACGACGCAGACTTTTGCGTGGAACCATCTGAAGAAAGAATGAGAGATGTGAAAATTGATGATTTTAAGAGGAATACGCACGAGAACTTGGCATTGTCCACTTCTGCGAGAGCAGCGCGACGACGCTCATCTAGGGCGAAAGCCGCATCGTTGCGGGTCGCGACCTTGTCACCGGAACCAACTGAACCTTTCTCGTGGAAGCTTGCCATTGAACTTGGGCTGGGCCGAAGGAAGGAGGAAGATAGCGCTTAGAGGGCAAGGCATCGAAAATGACCGCTTTAATAGAGGACGGTAGATTGGATGTACCTCTCCACACGATACAACTGCCAAACGACTGTCAAAACACTGATAATTTTGTACCTCGCACGTTCATTAGTCTCAGCCAATCACAGCACGCACGAGTATGTCGATTTCCATTTTGAGAAGGCACTCTTTTTAACATTCAACCATTGACCGCCTTGGCACTGCTGACCTCGGAAGGACGTTGTGGTGCAGCCGTGTAAGTTGTAGTCGCTTCTTGGCGATGAAGCACGTATTTTTCCAAAGGCTTGGAATGCATTTGGAAAACACTTGAACAGGCAGTCTGACAGCACTAGCGGTCTGCACGGTCACGATTCTTCATCGAATCCCACGACGCGACACTCACCCACTGCCCTCCACCAACACATGCTTCACCAAACAACCCGTCTGCGTGCCTTAGCCCTCTACAAGGAGCTCCATAGACTCGGAAGAGATTACCCTGATCCTTCGTGAGCCAGTTTTCCCTGCTGACCCAGTTGACAGTTTCAAATTCTCACAAAAGGTACAATTTTCATTCCAAGTTACGGAGTCTCTACGAGAGTGAATTATTTTTTATCCCCTTGTGTACACGTCTCATCGTCTGCCAGGAAACAGAAACCTTACAGATCCAGATGAGATTGAGAAAGCGCTGAGATTGGCTGAGTTCATCAAGAAAGGTGTGTTTGATCCTGTCGTTCCGCTCGCCCAGTCCATATGGCTTTCACATAGAAACACTCGCACTCTATTCGTTGCGTAAATACAGACATTTGAAACGAATGTATCCATCCCCGTCCGCTGGTCCATGTTGTCCTTAGCATCGCGATGCGCACACGATCTCCACACACGTTTTCCGTTTATCCAATTCGATCGGATTTTGGAAGTTAAATTGCGGCGCCAGAGTTCTTCCCTTCCAGTTTCGCAACCCGAGGCTCAACCAGACTGCCGATCGAGGACCATTAATTGATCCGAGTTCGCGCTCCGTTACCAAAAAGTCACTCTTGAGCAATCTTGAGCACATATCTCCCTTCGTTCGCCATTGCCTTCATCGTCGGAGGGTCTTCACCGTAATCAAGATGGACGTTTTGCAGAGCCTCAGTGAGAATTGGCGGTGCACAGTGCTGATACTCAACAACTTCGATAATGCCTCGGATCGTGAACAATTTGTTGGCCTTTTACCTTTTGATGCATAGGTTTTTATTGCTCACGCAAGATCCGATGATATATCTTTCGCAGTAGGGCTATTTTCATGCCCATAGCTTCCTATAGCTTCTCTCGGTATCTCGAGATATTCATGATGTGATCACATGACTGATCCAATTCGACTTGCTTTTTTTTGACTTGCTTTGCTGTTTACTTGGTTACTTGCACTCTCCGTTGAGACCCACTGAACCACGATGCCCTTTGCCCAATTTTATTACCAAGCCCAGCCCGTTTAACAACGGCACAATGTCGCCCTGATTGGCACATGTGCTCTCCGCTGGATATGGAATTCTGCGTACTGGAGTCTGGTGCGCAACAATGACATTTCCTGTCACCGCGAACCTTGCACCAGGAACCTATCTCTCGCCTGCGGCGGCCTTGAAATGCAGCAAGCACACACGTTCGCTATGTTTCGCGCTTCCCGTGACGCTATCGGCCTTTCCACACCGTATATCCGCATTCGCCCTGGTCACTTTGACAGTTCTGACTCAAGAAAAAAACGGAAAGGCACGACAAGCGTCCTCGCACTAAACTGCATTTAGTGAGGTCATTTCTCATTTTCATTTTCGCACTGATATATGTATTTGAATATGGCTTCAGTCTTCAGAGAGTACTCAAGTAGGGAAGAGTCGAAGTAATTGACTCGATAAGGGGATAACTACGTACATGGATAAAGACTTTACAAGACTTTACACCGAGACGTCAACTGACGCCGAACAGGAACCAGGGGGCATATGCCCTGGTTTTCCCTAGTCTCTGACTCGTAAATCTGGTATGATGTCATGCGTTCAAACTTCAGTTTTCCTTTGCCTCTTCTTCGCCCGTCGGTTCCCTCCATTTGAGCCACTAGAAGTCGCATCCGACGCCTTCCCACCTCTGCGCTCGTTCGCCTTCTGTAGCGCGCGTTTCATTTCTCCGTCTTTGAAAGTGGTAGGATCGAAGTAATTGTACGAGAACTCGAGTAACCTGCGCTTCAAATTAGGATTCAAGGGATGCGAGGATCCAACCATTCAACGTACCAGGAAACCCTGATCTCAGTTACTGTTCGGATGTACTGCCGGGTTGTGAGTATAAACTCATTGAACATGACCCATTCGGGCTCTGATCCAAGACTGCACGAAGGATGAAGCACAACAATCTGCATAGGCTTCTCGTGAGGAACGGACTACAGACTGGTGACCACGCCACTAACCTGCTCGTCCTTGGCAGTCACATAACTCCCTCCTTGCTTGTGGGCAACCTGCGTGAAGAGTCCGCACAAAAGGGTCTGCTTGATAGAGTCGTATGATCTCCTCTCGTCGTTGATGGAAAGTAAGTCCAAGTCGTTACGCTCCATGATACAAAGCAAGTGCGATCGAACATTGTCAGCTTGAGACAAAGCTCGCGCATTGAGATAGTTATCGGATGCCCAGCCTTTATTACGGCCGTCTGCTCAAAACGAAAATCAGCGGACTTTCACACAATATGTTACGGAAAGCCACGCACTTTGGACGTAACTGTTAAGTATAGACGTTGAGAAGAGTTAGATGGTCACTATCAGGGACCGACAGCAGTGCCTTCGCGGCGTCTGCTTCCTTGCGCTGGTTTGGTGGTCGTAACCAAACATTTGTTACTGAAGATATTATTAGCTTCTAGTTGAATTTGTCAATCAAGTAAAAACACATCTGAAAGCATGGAGATGATAGAGATGTTGGTGCTGCAAAAGTATGTCAGTTTCGTTTACTTCTCCTCGAGTACACGATACTAACTGACCTCTGTGTCTTTTGTCGCGTCTCCCGCGTGACCCTCGCCCTCGGCCATCGACAAACGTTTGGCCACTTGTTCCGCGTTTGAAGCACTCACTTAACGCGTCGACCTCGTTTAAGATGGCATGATGACCTACAAAATGTAAGCCATCGTAGACGAACCCGATAGAAGCCAACTGACCCGTGGCTGAAGTTCGTTGACGGATGTAGGACGCGTCAAACTCTTGCTACTTACTTTGTATGAGTGTCGTCCGCCATTGCTCATCCAGCGTTCTCTGCAGGCGCATTTCCTTTAACTCGGCTACGTGCTGCAACCATCCACGCGTTCTACATATCAAGGTTGCTCGTCGTTCGTTGGCGTCAAAGTAATCGGCTTCACGTGTTGCCTGTGCTTGAAATGGCGATGAGGTGATGCTGGACAGCGTTGGAAGTGAGCACTGAGCAGCACGGTGAATGAGGAATAAGGTGAGTGCCTACATTTTCGTTTCCGCCATCCTAACTCCCACATGGTGTGCAACACCTCTCAGACGCGTATCCCGGGTATCGTTTGCACTTCGATTTCAGTCTGTACGTAGTAGTGTTTGTGTTTCTTGCCCCGTTCTGGGTTGGTTAGTAGCTCGAGTTAGTCTAGTATACTTATATGCTTGTGAGATAAACTTAGACGCGTATCAGAGAGAATGAAGTAGCTCACTAGATAAAAATCGGCTTCAAAAGGTTCTTGATCAGCCTGGCCAGTTGATTGGGCTAAAGAGTGACTTGGGCGTGGCAGGATGGTGATAGAAAGCATTTTTGATGGACCGGCCACGCGATCGGGCGAGGGGTGCTTGTAGATGGTCGTGCAGGATATCTGTGAAGCAGCTTGTAACAAAATCAGAAGCGGATTTAAGGAACACACACACCAGTGGCGGACAAGGGCATTCCGCAGACACTCGAGGTTGGCTCGCGTAACGGAAAAGGCGAGAAATGGTGGTGGTACAGAGGTAAAGACGAATACCGCACGCGTTTAGGTGAGCGTCCTAGCGGTCACCAGCGTATTGTGACCGACGCCGTCACCAGAATCTGACAGAACCCCGCTGGGGTCTCCTCGCTCTACCTAAGTATGTTATGAGCCAGGTCAGCGGGCGGTCCGACATTCTGGTCTATAACGGCTGGTGAGGAGCCTACCATTGTCGCCTCAAGCTACCATTCCCGTCCCGTTCTTGACTTGACCCACCCTCCTTACCTTCGCCTGCCATATCACTCGTTGACGGAAACGGAAACTCTCTTCAAGCAACATACCAGCCTCCACCTCCATTGAAAAACTCTCGCGTCGCAACTGCTCGTGCGCATTCACGTCCACTTCGAATTCAACCCTCTGTTCCAATCTATTCTGATCATTCGCCAACCCTCTCAAAAGTTCACCTCGAATCTCCCAGTGCGACCAACTCTTCAAATCGATGTCTTTACTCAACAAACGTGCGCTCCGGCAATCGCTCCTCTGCAACTACTATCTACCTCTCAAAGTTCAAACCCTCATTACTCGCTGTTGTATTATTGTTGCCTATCTCCACTTACCCTCCTCTCCTAGGCACCTTTACGCGTTGTACTGCCTCCTACAACGTCAACTGACTGGCAACCTCAATCCATCTCCAGACGATCCTGTTCCATGACCTCCGAGCCAAAAGATAGCTGCCATATTCACGACCCTGGCTGGGTTCTCCTCAGCACGTCCTCGAACTATGGAAACCCTGCACTGAGTTGTTCGGGTTCGGTCCTGTCTCCAGCAGTGGTTACGGCATAGGTTATATCATCAAAGAGGACGGGATCTCTGTGTATGGTGCTTTTTCACCGTCGTTGCTGATGTTTGACGTTAGGTGTCCGGCAATAGCAGAAAAGGCCTGATCCCGAAAATGGGGATTTTGATGCCTCTGCACCAAATTTGTCTGGACGGGACCTGGCCTACTACACTCCAATTTCAAAAATTTGTCCAGACGGCCAGCTCAGGGTATTTCTTTCCCGCTTTTTTTGACATCTCGTCGATTTTGTCCGGACTCTGGCTCTCGGCAGCTGGATTGGCCCCCCCAGCTGTAGGGCCTAAAATCCATATTTTTTGTCCGGGTTGGGACCAGGGATTTCCTGCTATTGCCGGTGTGCATCCTCGACCATTTCGCAGGTTTAGGCGGAGATTGAATAAGCATTGTTATTCTGCAGAGATTGGACCAAATACGCCGGACTCGCTCTCAGTGACACTTTTCTATCGCATCGCAGGCCATCCAGTACGCCCGCAATCTGTGCCATTGGCAGCTCGGGCTGAACACGATTGGAGAAGACCCAAAAATTTGAGGATACGAACACGCTTGGGGAAGACCTGCAAGGTACGGCGGTACTCTTAAGCATTTCTCAACTCTGCATCCGACTTACTATACGTTCAAGGACAGTCGTCACGCCTTCTGATTGGCATACGCGACTGAACGTGTCTATGAATATCGAAACTATCAGTCTCCGCCCACGACGCTCAGTCTCGATTGCAATGAGTGAATTCCAGTACAGCCCCTTTCCTACTACCCGTCGTTTACATCTTGTTCGACGCCGCTTTCCTCCATCCTTACTACCTACCATGTCTCCGCGAAAATCACGCAACCTTTGGTGTTTTCTGGAAGGTCCACAGATCACGGGCACCTCGCATACCAATCTCAAACCACACCATGTCGTTGACATTCCTATCAAAGCTAATGTCTGTCGTTTAAGGGGGTTGATACAACAGGCAATACAACGTCTCCATACCGTAGATCCTGATGAACTGCAGCTTTGGAAGGTAGACCATTTCCTTGATACCACATGCGCCTTCTGACTTTCTCATTCAGCTCGATGTCGAGGTTCCTATCGACCCAGACCATAGTCTCGCACAGCGATTAGCAGACTTGGATGCCATCGCTACATGTTCGCGCGAGTTGAGCTCTGGAGAAGAAGTCGGGCTGCTATTTCCCAAACCGCCTTCGCAACAATGTCTACACATTGTGGTTAAGTACCCTGAAGTCGGGCTGTCTAGTGCGAGTGGTGAGTACCGCTGGCTTGTAGTTCATATATGAGCAGAACTGACTGATGATATCATTAAACTCCTCACCTCGATCGTCCTCATCACTCTGCTTGCCGCATCTGTTTCTCACTCTCAGCCTCTCGGAAGCGCACACGGTCTAAATCAGATGAAGATGGTAGGGCAACAAAGCTCAAGGATATTGGCAGGGGTGTGGCCATACAGACCTGTTATAAAGCGATCAAAGAAATGCCGGATATCAATTTGTCCGACCCATTGACATTTACAGACCTTCCTTACCCTTCGCTGCTCGCGATGCCTTTCCAGCGCTTTGGAGAAAACACAATCGGCGGCATCTCCCACTTCAAGTTTATGGGGCGATCTCAGTTTTGCGAATTGCAAAGAAGGATTCAGAACAACGACTTTCTGGAGGGGTCCGAAACCCTATACCTGTACGGGTCAGCTGGTGCAGGCAAATCACATTTACTTGCCGCACTCACCTATCAACTTGTTCGGGAAGGAAAACGTGTCTTTTTCATTCCAGACTGCTACAAACTGCTCCTGGATCCATTAGTGACGATGCAGAATGCATACGACTTCGCATACCACGACCCGCTTGATCCGGGAACCATAGAACCCTTTGATAATGTTGATCAACTGATTTGTTCCTTGAAGGGCGATCGAAATGTCTACATCATCGTAGATCAAGTGAATGCTCTGGAGCTCGTAGACGACAATGCTGATCGTGTCAACGAAACGAGGATCCAGATAACGAGTTGGCTTAATCTCTTGAGGGCCAGACACCGATTCATCTTCAGTGCTTCAGCCAATGAAGATTCCAATCGCGAGGCATCCAACAAGCAACATGGAATTACAGTTATTCCAGCATTTGGAGGCCTGAACTCGGTACGCTGATACATTCAGATTGTTCCACACAATAGTCATGGTTTGTAGGACGAAATCAACCAGTGGTTTATCCAGCATCGCGATCAAATTCCACACTTGTCACCTGAACAGCGGCAACAAGTTGAATATCTCACGGGTGGCATTCCGCTCCTGCTAATGTGCCTCACCAAAATTGCCAACTACGATGAACTGGAATTCAGGAAGATTCCTGACCTGGCGCATCTCGCATCCGAGGTTTGTACATTCGCAAAAAACAAACTCGCGACCCTGAATACATTACATAAGGAAACGTAAATGCACCCTCTTATTTCCCCTTTGATCTCCATTAACATTCCATCATAGCTATCTCAACATCATGACGGCATGTGTCCGGGGTGATCGTGTTACACTCAATGACCGAAGCTTGTATGATTTGCGGCACTTTTATGTCGACACCGAAGGAATTGGTCGCTTTACTTGTGGAATTGCATTTGAAGCGATGATGTCGATATTACGGACATACGACAATGCTCCGTTTCTGGATGAATTGTGGTATGACGCCGTTAAACGATCCGACAATCCTGTTGTTCGAGGGTTCTTGGCCGAGCAAATATGCCTCAGCCACATTGCCGCTCATGGTCTGCAGACTGTCCACCCTGCCCTTCAATGAATGTCGTCCACGCCTTTTGAAAATAAACCAGCCTTTGGCGAGCTTCTGTTGACTGGACAGACACTCCGTCTGTATGTCCCCTTGGCCTACAACTTTATGACTGTGGATGGGGCTATACTGTTGTTGGACTATGGCTCCAAGAAGGCCACAATCTTCACCATTCAGTTCACACTATCCCAGAGACATAAGCAGTCAGATGAGGAATTCCACAATAGGTTGTGGTCGACATGGATCGAGCCGCTAGTCGAAGCTGAGTTCACGGTCGATTCAACTTTTGTCTGGATAGACACAAAGCAGCCGTCTGAACATGTCAAACCCGAAGTCGTCAGAGGGTTCCGATCTGGCGATAAGGTTGTCCACCCCACGTATACTGTCATTCATGTGGGTGTAAAAACGGTTCATCAAAAACTCGCTATTGCCCTTAAGATACAGTAGACTATTGATAACAGCTGCGGAATGATATACGAGCTCAAACTTCAGTTTTCATTTGCTTCTTCTTTGCCCGTCGGTTTCCTGCATTTGAGCCACTAGAAGTTGCATCCAATGCCTTCCCAGCTCTGCGCTCGTTCACTTTCTGTAGTGAGTGTTTCGTTTCTCAGTGGTGGGGTCGAAGTGATTGCACGTCTACTCGAGTAACCTGCGCTTCAAATTAGGACTCAAACCCCGGTGATTTCAGTCACTGTGTGGATGGATGTACGGCTGAGTTGTGAATACTGCACGAAGGACGAAGCATAACAATCTGCATAGGCTTCTCGTGAGGAATGAACTACAGTCTGGTGACCACGCCACTAACCTGCTCGTCCTTGGCAGTCACATAACTCCCTCCTTGCTTGTGGGCAACCTGCGTGAAGAGTCCGCACAAAAGGGTCTGCTTGATGGAGTCGTGTGATCTCCTCTCGTCGTTGATGGAAAGTAAGTCCAAGTCGTTACGCTCCATGATACAAAGCAACTGCGATCGAACATTGTCAGCTTGAGACAAAGCTCGCGCATTGAGATAGTTATCGGATGCCCAGCCTTTATTACGGCCGTCTGCTCAAAACGAAAATCAGCGGACTTACACACAATATGTTACGGAAAGCCATGCACTTTGGACGTAACTGTTATAGACGTTGAGAAGAGTTAGATGGTCACAATCAGGGACCGACAGCAGTGCCTTCGCAGCGTCTGCTTCCTTGCGCTGGTTTGGTGGTCGTAACCAAACATTTGGAACTGATGAAGTCATTGGCTTCTGGGTAAAATTGTCAATTAAATAAGAACACACCTGAAAGCATGGAGATAATAGAGAGTATTTCGTTGCTGCATTTAAACTCTGGACTGACTACTAACATCTTCGCAAACTGAGTTCACCATTAGATGGCGTATGGACATCGAGTTTATTGCAGACACACCTGCGGGTCGACAGGGAAAGTCGCCATCAGAGCACCCAGTGGGGTGAGTCCGTCGTCATTGAACGCTCCCAGGTAATGAAGAATTTCTAGGGCTCGCATAATGGTCTCCGGAGCAGGTGCATCCTACCAAGCAGTTGCCTTGTTAGCCGTTTAAACTTGATATTGGTATCAAGCCTCACCAAGTAATCAAAATGAACGAGATCCTTTATACCTAGCTTGAATAGCTCCAGCACCGTATTCGCCAAGTTGCACCTCAAATTTTCAGGATGCGTTTGCTCCTCGAGGTCCTTCATGAAGGAGTCCTCGGTGTACAGGCGGAAGCACTTCCCAGGTCGAATCCTGCCAGCTCTACCAGCCCGCTGTTGAGCAGAAGCTTTCGAGATAGGCGTCTCAATAAGAGACTCCACCCGTATACGGGGGTTATATACCTTTTGCTTGGAGAAGCCAGGATCGACGACGTAAACAATGCCATCAATAGTTAAGGATGTCTCAGCAATGTTGGTTGACACGATAACTTTCCGACCGGGGGGACCGCCCGGAGTCAGAGGTTGGGGAGGACTACCGAAGATCCGCTGCTGTTGCTGGGGAGGCATGGATGAATATTGCGGAAGACACAAAAGCGGACCAACAGCCTCCGAATGCTGGTTCACTAGTTCATCTGCTTCCAACTTTATTTTCTTGCAGGCATCCTCAATTTGCTCTTCACCCGTCAGGAAGAGTAGTATGTCGCCTGGATCTTCAGCACGGTGGATCATCAGAACTGTGTTTATAGCTGCTTCCACAAAATCGCGCTCAGGCTCCTGAGTGTAGAAGATCTCGACTGGGTGTGTTCGCCCTGGCACCTTAAATAGCGGGGCCGGCGTATCAGAGCGAAGGCTGAAGTATTTCTGAAACTTGACCGCGTCGAGGGTTGCCGACATGACAATCAGCTTGAGGTCATAACGATTCTTCAGAATTGTTTTGAGGAGTCCCATAAGGATATCAGTGGCGAGGGTTCGTTCGTGTGCTTCATCCAATATGATTGTAGAGTAGCGCTCCAGATTAGGGTCGTTCATTGCCTGCAAACGAGGTTGAGCATGAATATAATGTGGACTATCAGTGGATTCGCCTCTCGAAGAAGCATTCCGTCGGTCATGTACTTGAGAATTGTCGTCGAGTCTGTCACATCCTCAAATCGTATCAAGTATCCAACTTCCTTGCCTAGCGAAACTAGAAGTGGTGTAAGGTGGTTGCAGCGCTGATTGGATAAATTGACTGTACCATCCATTTCCTCTGCGACTCGCTTCGCCACGGACATGGCAGCAACACGTCGAGGCTGGGTACATGCCACAACCTTGCCCTTGGTTTGGGGTAAATCCGAGTAGACAACAAATTGTGGGATTCTGCGATGGATCAGATATAATAGACTGCGAAGAAACAAGGCTTCGCACTGTGTTGTTTTTCCGGAACCCGTCTCCCCTACCATGACCAGAACCTGGTTATTTGAGTACTAAATAAAATTTGAAAAAATGAGGTGCGGCACATCGGTAGGGCAATAACATACCATCTCGTAAAATTCGTGCATCTGGCTGAAGACGGGACGCTTCTGCCTGGCCTTAAAGATCTCTTTGTAGGATGTCATGGATGGCCTTTTCGTGAATGGATTGATATCTGCGGACTAGGGATCGCCCGTGGCAGTAATTGACAGAGATCTGAGGTTATTGAGGCAAAACATGACAGGTAAAACCTGCTTCGCGGTCACATTCCGCGGGAGGAAGCCGTGCAAGGGATTCTTGGCCATTTGGCGAGGTGTTGGGGGTAGTATATGGAAGTTCGTCCGTTGATTCGGAATGTGAGCGAGTCATAAATATGTTTGATTGTGTAGGTCCACCATAATCAGCTGACACCAATGTGCACTGAAAGTGTTGTAAGTACATTACATTCTTCAGTCAATGCACCTTTATCAAAATTCCATGTCATTACCTTGTTACTCTAGACAAATCCTGGAGGTTGGTTGGTCGACTGTCGTGACGTCAAGCCTGATGTAAGTCACGAACTTCCAAGCATCTACCAGGCCTTAGATGATCTTGGCAACTTGCAAGGTCTTGGAGGCATCTGTAGGCCAATTCCAGGAGGGATCCCCGAGGAATCTTTGGCAGATCGTTATGTACGGCACGATGGGAGATGCATTCATAGCAGTCTGAGTCACTGGCTGATTCGATGCGATCACATGATCGAATGCATCGATGGAAAACTTTTGAATCTTTTTACTTCCAACCATCGCGTTCTTACTACGGTCACCACCTCGCAACCGCCTTCTTCCTAAGTTTATCTGAACTCCACGAGTATGATCTGCGATATTGGAACACGGAGGGGAAATGACAGAATCTATCAATTTGAATCAGTAAGGGCATAGTCATATCATAGTTATCGGTTGATTGAACGAATCATAGAATATTTTACACTAGTGAAACATCAAGCAGCAGCACCAAAGAGAAGGACGATCAAAAGTTCGAAAAATAAGTAATGTCCGAAGGGGTTGAAAAAGGGTATGATTGCTGGCTAGCGTTGAAATCACAGGTTAGCGTTTGGACTCTGCCGAAGCTCAACCAGAACTCACGTCGGATCCAGTTCAATAACCCTTCAGTCCTATCGCTCGAGCGCCAGCACCCACTGCACCTTCCCAGCCCATGAACCTCTCCGAGGTCATCTCTTTGGAAGTGTCGCGCGCCATATCGTATTCGTCTTCGTCGGATGCGTACATCCTGCCTATTCCTTTGGACCGAGCCCAAACAGAAATGAACAGGATGCGCTTCATCTTGCGGTTCAAAAAAAACCAATGGGAAGACCAAAGAAGAGCGCCTCGGCGTTTGAAGCGGATGTTGGAAAACGAGATAGAGTTTGGCATATCGTCGAAAAGTGTGTGATGGATGGCGGCCCGAGGTGTCGGCGGCGGTATCTTTGTATCACTTGAATGGCTCAGCGGCTTCACTTCGTCAACATCATAATTATCAAACTCGAAGGTCGGTTCGTCGTCGGATGATGATCCCTCATCAGCGACAGACGCAACGTCTTCCTCATCATCGGAAAAGTCGTTTGCATGCGGGTCGGAATCAATGTCGGGTGTATAAGAGAAGACTTCGCACTCTGAGAGTCCAATGACGTCGTCAATCATACGGAAGAGGGTGGGGTGGGTGCCCGATACTATCGGAGGGGGTGCTAAGGGGCTTAGAATGGTCTGATTGTACGGTGACGAGGAGCTAGGGACAGAGGATGGGAAAAAGTCGGAGGAGGTTGGGGGATAAGAGGAGTATGAGCGGGGGGCACTTGTACCTGCTCTGTGGGGAGAGACAAGAGTATTGCTCAGGGCGTTGAGGACGCCGGCGCCGCTCTCTTCCTTTGCGAACTGGGAGGGTCTGACATCTGAGAACTCGTAGTCTGGGAAGGCAATGTTGAGGGTGGCAATGAGGAGGTAAAGGGTCTTTCTGGAGGCGTGTTTGTCAATGGGACCAAATGGGGTCATGTCTGCCTCGCGGTCAAGGGCCAGCCACGAAGGCAAGGGCGGTGAATTAGATACGTCCTCCTGGTAGGCGTTCTCGAGAGACTTGAAGAGTTTCTTGTCGCGTTTGATGTTCTTGCAACTATATGCTTCCATGCGAGTGTGCACGGAGCATTCTGGGCCTTCGTGTGTCAGGGATTGCGCTAGGCGCGATAAAGCGGGAATTTCGATGTATTTCATGGTTGTATGTCGTTCAGGACGGCGACAAGGGTTGTGGGGTCGAATAAATGAGATTTGCGCTTGACTGCAGACTACAATGATGTGTGTGTGCACTTGTTGAAAAGGCATGGCATCGCGGCACTCATTAGCTATGTCGGCATCAGCACAAACGTTCGAAAGCCATTTACGCATGCGCTACATACCTCTCGAATAATCCAAAGTACTTATCTCGAAACAATCCTTTTGCCTGTAAAAAATTATTCTGTTATATTTTTTTGGAAGAGTGAGTAAGCATCCTTGCACTCCTTTCAATTCATGTGCAAGGTCACATGCCAGCAGCTAATTATCATATGAAAAGTAAAACTTGATAAATGGCTGCTACAACTTTACTTCACCCATCGTCCTCTTTCAAATGTCCGACGATATCAAAGTTCCCGGCTTCAACGTGCGTAATCTTTCCGCTCCACCTCCACATCTTCTCGTCTCACCCGGCCCTACCAGGCTTCCGAGCTCATTTCTGGCCTGAAAGACGTCTTTGAGAAGTACAGCGACACAGAAAGGCAAGCACAAATTAAAAAGGTTAGGCTTTCTTCCCACAATCGCCTTAACTCTGCCACTGACCTGTTTTTCAGACCAACGGAATCTTCGAGCTCCAGGTTTCAAATGACGCAAAGGAGACTGCGACATGGACGATTGACATGAAGAAGACTGGAACTGTCTTCAAAGGCAAGGCTCAACCGAAAGCCGACGTCACTATCATTCTCTCAGACGAGACTCTGATTGACCTCGCGAATGGCAAGGTGGCTTTCTACATCTTTTTTTTGTCGGCCGCTCGCTTAACCTCCATTCCAGCTCAACGGCCAAAAGGCATTTATGACTGGCAAACTGAAGACAAGAGGAAACATGATGCTCGCCACAAAACTTGACACCGTTCTAAAGGTGCTCCTGATCCGATTCTCCCCTCATCACCATTCTCACTTCTTGTCGTTTCAGGGTGCCAAGGCGAAGCTGTGATTTTGTATACTCCGCCGCACATCTTTATCTTAAAAATCATTACGATGATGGAACCATTTGCATTCGTGCCCCAGCCTGCAGCCCTGGACGTACAAGAACGGTGTATTATTGTAATGAGAGGAGAGTGTATCGCAATAAAGGCAACTAAAACAGTTAATGGGATGATATAAGTAATAAGGAGAGTCGATTATTCCAGCAAGTGAAATCGTGGCCAGGAAAAGAAATATGGACCTAAAACATACCACCGAAAAGCCCTCTATGACGCCGCGGCACAGGCTGTGGATCTGCGCGGAGGGTCGACAAACTGTTGAGCTGCTTCATAACCTGGAAGAAACATCATGAAATCTAATGATGAGAAAATCAAATGATCTGCGTACCTCTTCTAGCTTATCCTTCCTCTCTTGTAAATCCAAATGTCTTCTAACGGCAGGATTTTCACGAGCAAATTCTACAATCTCCTGCCGATCAAGGTCATAGAGCAACCTCGAGTCAATCTCACGAGGGAACTGGGGAGTCCTCAGTAAAGGTGGAACAGATATAAAGTATTTTAATTTTACCTGGTAGAAAAAGTGATCCAAGAGCTCAATGTTGATGAACATCGCAGAGGTGTACGCAAGCTTGTCCGCAACCACGTTTAAAAAGGCCTCTGGACAGAAAACTTCGTTTTGAGGGCCTGCGCGACACCGTTTCGACCTTAATGCAGCTAGCCGAAGCTTTAATATGCTCAATCTGTCGCTGTACATGATCGCGTATCGCGCTGAAAGAAAACAATGTCAGTCAAGGTACCTAGGTGACTAGTCATCAACATACCATCCATAATCTGGGCAGGAGGATATCGGTACGATTCCGGAGCTGCATCATCCGCCTCGATAACGGCACTTTCCTCACTCTCAACACCCTCCAAACGCTTGAGCGTTCTGTCCTTTTGCCTCTCTTCCAGCGCTTTAACATAGCCGATGAGACCGTTTAGCCTTCTCCCACCTCCCACCTTCTTCTTGATTTCCTTCAGCTTCGCCTCGCACATGCTCGCCTCGTTCTCAAAAAGATCAATAGCCCTCCCCCTGCCCGCCTCCCATTCCCTTGGCTCTACCTCCACCTCGTACTTGTAAGGTTTGATGCAATTTTCAACTTGATCCGACGTAAGCCCGATCCTATCGCGCAGAATCATATGCGAGAATTGGATGAGGCGTTCCGCAGCGCGGGGATGGAAGGTGAATGGCTCTCCAGCCGCTATTGAGTCGATCAGAGCTCGAAGGCCATCGGCTACCAGGAGTGTCGAATCTCGGCCCACACCGGATTTCGTTAGCAGTGATGAGGCAGCTTCGAGCTTATGTCTCCAATAGGGCTCGACATCTTCTGGCTTGAGGTTGGGGTCAGCACCGAGGGCACCAAGTTCCGGCGCCCTTTTGTCCAACCAATATAATTGCTCGAGGACATCCATGACTTTGTCGTCGAGCATACCCTTGAGTTTGGCGCGGATTTCCGGACGACGGAACTGTTGAGTGAAGCCCTTGAACCGCGATTTCAAAGAATCCATGGTCTCTGCCACATACGACTCTGCAGTTATACGACGGTCGTTGTATTGGACTTTGAATTGATAAGTGGCCTCCTCCAACTCGAGCTGGACGGCGTTGGTGATGCCATGGAGTGAAGAGGCCATGGAAGATTCGAGGACTTCCATGAGCCGGCGACGCAGTGTATCTGTACCAACCATTAGAGACGAGGAGCTGCCAAAGACGTCGTTGTGTGAGCCAAAGTAATCCCTCTCTCCTCGCTGAGCAACAAGAGCTGTCGAATCCTTGTTCGCCTTCTTTCCATGAGTTTTTGCCACTACCCCGACATATCCGAGATGGAGGGGATAGCGATTCCCAGCGAGTATAGCGGCGCCCTGTTCTGGAGGTACCAAGTCCATTTTTGTGATGACGCCGATAGTACGAAGACCGAGGGGGTCAACTTTTCGACTCGCCCTCAAGGCGGGGGAATTAGCAAGATCAACGTCGGCTGCGCAAACTGCAAGGATGATATTTGGCTCACGAATGTACTTATCGCAGAGCCCAGCGATTTTCTCTTTCAGTGATTCGGGTTGGTCAAGGGAGGATATTTGGACGTAGCCAGGAAGATCGATCAGTGTGAGGTCTGGAACGTTGGGAGAGTAGATGCGAAGGTCAATGGGTTCGTTTGAAACAGCTTCGCTCGCCGGCACAGCAAGATTGAGGTCGGTGAGCGTGCGCTGGATGTCTGAGAAGTTGGTTATTTTTCCCATGCCCAGACCTGGGAATTCACCGTACTCGACGGGGGTTTGGCCATCCTTTCCTGGAGTATGGATGAGGGTGAGCTCGATAGGCCGACGGGTGACCATGTTATTGCCTCTATATACAAGTTCAGGACGATAAGGCTCAGAAATAGAAGAAAGACACACTTCGGCAAGAACTCGTGGCCCACTATGGCCTCCAAAACAGAACTTTTGCCTGAGCTCTGGCTTCCAATTACGACAATGCTAGGTAACTTGAGCGCGTCGCTTTGGTCGATACTCAGAAGCATAGTGCGAATCTCGATGAGTTTCTTAGTCAGGTGCATTAGTCCGTTGTCTGAGTTTGGTTTGGAATCAGATGGTGAAGACATCGTTGCAGCAACGAGGGCTGCAATGGCAGCAGCATCCTTCGGTGAACCCTTGTTTGGGCCATCTGGTTCTTCGTCTTCACTCTCCTTCTTCCCTTTCTCTCCGCGTTCCTTTGCGGCAAACAAGTCCTTCAGAAACTGCGGCGTCTCAATTGCAGGAATTGCGGGCACTTCTGGAAGTTTGAGTTCGGAAACACGCGCCGTTATGGATTTGACACCGTCAGATGCGGTATCAAATATATCATGCACGGTATCCTGGGCTGAAGTTATCCAGGCTCCAGTTTTCTGCCTCACCTCTAATAAGTTGAGAATGAAGGACAGTGACTGAAGAAAAAGTTGGCTGAGACACACCTTCAAACTTATAGTTCGCATAACCCAATCCTCCGGCACCGATCGTAGCACCAGCAATGGGAACGCGAAAAGCGCGAGCAACAAACCTCGGAATCGAGGAGTAAGAGATGGCACGGATATGAACTTGACGAAGAGCAGCGTGCGAAGGGGTCGTATAGCGTCGTCGAAGGGAACCAGAAGCAAGAAAAATCGTAAATTGGCGATGGGTAGGCCGCGGGTTCTGAGCGAGTCTCCTTGAGTTGTTCAGACCATAGGTGACCGCCTTTTGTGGTGGTAAAATAGAAGCCAACCGCCGTTTGAAGGCGGAGAGCATGCCTATCGTTGTGGGTCTGTCGCTGCGGGTGGTGTTCAAGGAGCTACTTGAGAGTTGACAGCAACAGACATCGCTGACATAATAAACCAGATAAGATGCTATATTGCCTACGATACGTATGCGTACGGCTGAGGATATAATTACTTGGGAAACATCCCTTTCAATAGCCAAGAAAGAAATGGGATTATTCAAGTCCATAAAATACAAAGTCATATCACAGGTCATCAAACCTGCTCACATCGAATCAGCAATTTGACCATTTGAAAGGATGACACCAACCCACCTCTCTGGCATGAAAACCGGAGCCATCAGGCTCCACATGTACAAAAGCATACACACCCAGCTCGAGACTACCCTCATCCACATTGCTACCTCTGAGCGCCCAATATAAACATCCGAGTCCGGGTCAGCTGGACCATTGATGGGGTGCTTGGAAACGACGTTCCTGTGCGCGAAAGGAAGGTCAAAGGAGGCCACCAAGAACAAGACTGGGAAGCTCACCAGTCGGTTAAAAGCATGGCAACGTACATAGACGCAATGGCGAAGATGATATGGAACCAGGAATACTGTAACACGTGTGTGAGGGAATGCATAATAAGGCGGTGAAAGGAAGTACATTGTAACGTGTCCCTGTGCGTTCGTCGTCTCTAGTCTCGCCAAGATTGTCGTCTTCGTCATCTTCATCTTCCTCCTCGTAAAGAGCAGAGGCAGGAATTGCACTAACGGATGTATCGGTTTCAGAAAATTGTAAGAATTAAAAAGGTGACTGACCCAGCTTCAACAGCAGCGAGCAAGGCTTGATAGCGAGGGGACTCGGTCCTAGCGGGTTGTGTGGAAACAATGCCCAGTTCCGAGTGACCTTCATCGTCTGCGGGTAGCTGAACGCGCCCTTTCTTTCCCTTTCCTACCAAAGCGCGGCTTTGCGTCGCTGCACGGGTTGTGGAGTAAGCGACCGCCAAGAAAGTGAACACCCCTCCAAGGACAAGAACTGCTTTACGCGTGGTTTTTCCATCCCGTAGAGGATTGCATTGTGCGGTTTCATGTGTGTGGTTACTGACTGCGGAAACAATGAGGTATGTGCAATAGGCTGCAACCATCGCGGACTGGGCCAGACCCGAACGGGGGTTGTACTCTTGTACAACTGGGTGGACACACATGATGGTAACGATGACGCACAAGGCAAGGTTCAAAGAGATAAAGACACGGTTTAAGGTACATCCCGTCCCAGCAAAGTAGGCGTACAGAAGCCCGGTAAGCGTAATGGTAAACGCGTACATAGCCGCAGTCGAACCGATCAGCGTCCATTGCCAGAGGTTTGATGAAGAGTGCTCCCAATTATCCAGACAAGTTTCGGACCAAGAGTGTGCAAAGTCGACAAGGAGGACAAGGCCAAGAAGGATGAATATTGTGGCGCCGATGAGCGAGACGTAATTTCCCCAGAACATAAAGAAACCGTTAGGAATGAGGAAAGAGAGGCCAAGGAAGATAAACCAGAGGAGGACTTTAGGACCCCACCAACTGCGTATATTTAGAAGGCGATCCTTATAAGAATAGCGAGACGTACCCGTTCTGAATGGCAGAGCGTTTATCACGTGTATCTCGGACATTTATCAATACAGAACTGAGGATGAGATGGAAGAGGGAGAGGGCGAAGCAGATGCGATGCACCTACGAGGAGTCAGTAACACTAATCTTACGAGGCAAAAATCAATAGACGTACGGCGAGCACTCCGTAGCATTTCTCGCCTTTGCATGTCATCTTGATATAATCGAAACTCCACTTCTCGATAAGGCGGATAGCGGCGTCGGTCTTCATGATCCAGGCGAGAATGGAATTGAGAGCCAGTATGATCTAGAAGAAATCGTAAGATAAACCCTGTAGAACATCCGCATGAGTCCAAATCGTACGGCGAATCCAACACGGGTAGCAATTGAGGAGTTACAATTGCAAGACTTGAAGAACATAGATGCTGGGGTGCGTCTTAGATGGAGGGATGTCAGATAGGTATTTGCTCACCAGCTGTGGAGGTAAAACAGAAGGCTAGCCCACCCAGACATGAAGTCCCGATGGTGGTGAGACCACCAGCAATTGGGAGGGACATCAACAGCCCCATTGTTGCCGCAGTCGAGTTGGTGGTCGCGGTATAAGAGTAGCGTTGTTTGTGACGGCTTCACTTGACAAACAATCCCACTCAGGGAGTATCACAAGTTGATAGCCGTCAATTGGAAACAAGGGCGTTGTTGAACTTCAAGAGGCTGAGGACAGGAGTAGCACAAGAAACGTCCATTTCGTAGCGTAGTACGTACAGTTAGTACATACATCAAGTTACACATATTGGCTCTATAACCCATGCATTGACTATGCATGTCTGACTGCGATCGTCGTCACCCAACCGGCGACACAAGAGAGTTCGGCAAGCGGACATAACGAGCACGACTACGTAGCAGCTTCGGGGATTTTGTAATACAGCGGCTGATATATGCCATCAATAGTCTGAAGCAATCCAAGTCAAAGTAACCCACTGTGTTGAAAACATGATAGAAATGGCCATTCACGCCCCCCTTTGTCTCATCGCCGTAATACTCCATTGGGAACCACTGTCACTGACAGTAAGCGGATTGTTCTCAGAAAATGGAGAACGTACATGATCAACGGCTAGTTCCTCCTTTCTAGATCGCAGATACCTTGCTTCACGGGTATCGTTTGTTACCGCCTCGCCATGACGAGGGAGCACAAACTGTCCAATTTGCGTTTCCGTGTCCGTGATGATACCCCGCGAGATGCGAGCATATGAAGTACGGTACAATCCGCGATAGAAGATATATTCGCACCTAGAAAGGGTGTGAAGCCTATCTCGACTACAAAGTGCATCAAAGCGTACCATCGATCCAAGTCGTCCTCATCAATGTCGTGAACGTTACCATCGGTGACCATGATTTCGTATGGGTTGGCTGCCATACAATGTCATCTCAATGTTTCTAACATATACACGTATAAACATACGTCGTTTTGCGTGCGGTGTCGTTACCACATAACCGAGAAATATTACAGGATTAGGCGTCGCAGCCATAATCCGCGCTAGCTCGGTGCTTTGCAACTCGCGATCCAAAGCGTCCTCCTCTTGAGACAATAAAAGATATGAAACGCGTTACGTGGATAACACGGGTATGCTGACCTTGTCCATTGTGAGCGACAACCACAGTCACAGGTGTACCAAAGATATCGAGCACAGCTTCTATAGCGGGCGCGAGTTCGCCTTTAGGGGAGGGTAAAAGGTGGTGGGTGGTGTTGATGATGGGGAACTGGGATCGGTGAGAGTCGTGAGATTCACGTTCTCAGTGCCGACCAGGTACATACTTTCGAAAGCAGCACAGCACCCCAGGTGTGTGAATTAGGTCCAGGTCCGATGTCAACGTTCTGTCATTGGAAAGTAATTAAGAGTTAGTCGACGGAAGAAACAAAAAAAAAACTCACGTAGCCCATATCTTCCACAATCACCCTTGTCCTGTTTCAATTTCAGTATAATTAGATAAAAAAACGGTCGGTGTATGACTTGCAAGTCTCGATGTCCAAATGCTGTTCTCTGCGCGATTTATTTAGTATATGAGTGCATTCCCACAGAACGTTATACAAACGTGCAAATCCGTCTCCAGTAAGCCGACAATATCCAGTTTCATATCCCTGACAGGTGATTTCAGGAAGGTGACGAAGGGTATGCGAGAGAAATAATGTACCTAATCAGATTTCGGATTCCACGTTGACTATCATGCCCTTCGTTATCGATTCCAAAATGCACGGTCCATATACCTGCATTTATGATCCTAGGTCCCGGATTGAAAGGGTGTGGAGGTGATGCAGGGAGTCTGTACATGGTCACAAGGACAGATGTCACAGAGATACACACCAGCAAAGTCTTCGTGTATGACTGAGCAGAGCTAGAGATTGCGATTGCCGACCGTGACGGCAAGGAATTAAGCGCAGGGAAACGAAAGGCGAGTGCCAGGCATGCCAACTGTGCAACAGTTACCCTGAGGGACAGTTCAATACATACGGAAAGAAGGATAAGATGTCAAGAGAAAAACTTACAAATCCGTTCGTTCCCTGAAATACGAACCACCAGGGACGAATGCATACGCAACCGTGAAAATACTGGCTAGGTTGAACAAGCAGTAAACGAGTAGCGCAACGGTGTACGTCCTCGCCAGATGGGTTACAATCTTCACTCCACCCCCCTTGCCCTCAACCAAAGTAACAGCAGCTGCTGCAGCCCCTCGGAAGACGACAGGTACGATGGACATCAAGAAGAGTCCAAAGCTCAAGCCACCTGCGTATCCCAACCAGTCGCGGAACGTGTACATGATGTAAGCACTTGCAGAGCCAAAAACAAACCATATTGGATGGGAAAGAGGCGTAATAAAGGGAGATGCTGGAATTTCGCTCGCCGCCCCCAGACTTTCTGATAAGGCTGACAAGAAAACACCCAGACACATTACCACAAGGGTGATTGAGCCATGGGCATGTGGGAGTGGTCCTCTTGGTAAACGGTTCTCATACCCTGTCCATGAGATGGCGATCAGTGTGGTTGGGTCCGCAAGGAAGTTGTGTAAACTGAACAGGAGACTTCCAAGAGACAAAGATGTGGTAAGCCAATGTCGGGTTTTCTGGGGAGTCACGAGTGGGGCATTGACAGAAGAAGGAGATGGCAACCGCCGAGTAGCATATTCAACCAGGGCCAGGATTGCCAGTGTAAAGCCAGCCCTATTGTGCCCTCCGTTTTTGCCGTCAATGAAAGGCCACACTATAAAATGGTTAGTTTCATTGCGAAATGATACAGAGGTATCATAATTACCAGGGTTGTTGGAGTGATTGGCGTGCTTTGAAAGAGAGGACAAGAGGAAACCAAGACTGGCCACTGGAAGAAATTATATATAGGAAAGCTCGTAAAAAGAGGGAGACCCACAAATAGCCTGATATGAGGCGTCCTTTGAGTCACCTGAAATTGCTGCCCATTGTGCCACTTGCCTGAGCATGAGCACTATGTTCGCGATTGCAACCAAAACCAACCGGTTGAGCGGATCCGCGCACTTGAAGGCCACTAAGCCAATCAGGGAGATAAGATGAAGGGAAACCTGACCAGGATGGCAGGACACCAAATCGAGAACCGAGGGAAAGTTAAGTAGAACAGGAGAGAGGAGAGACAAAAGAGCAAGTTCGTTTCCCGCAATTCCGAGTTTCCAGACAGAAAAGTAAAATAACGTCGGGATGAGGGATGTGAAGATCGACCAGAAGATGTATGCTAGAATAACGTAATGTTCAATTGCACGTCAGGAGTAGGGCGCCAAAACTCACAGAGGTAACAATCAACCAAAAAACTGAATGGTCGACGGTGATTGGTTATGTGGCCGGTGAACCTGGCTATGGAAAGAGTGTTGGTGGCAGGAGCCAATACCGTGTTGAGTTCATGGTTCAGAGCTTTATCCATATTTTCTGAAACATTGACATTTTGCAAGTCAGGCTCTTTCCCAAGCTTTAGTCTGAGCATTTTATCAGCTTTCTATTAGGCAAGACGATGAAGTTGCCGATAGTACATCATGGGATCTGATTTAACAGATGACGTGAGACCCAAGGATATCTGACACTGTGGTTAGGTCCATTCAACAAGCGTGTCACAAAAAAATCACCTGAATACCACTCTCTCTAAACTCTTGTCCTGCCACTGAGTCATATAGAACATCGAAAAAGATAAGGCCCCACTCGAAGAACGCATAGCGGGTATACGCTATGAGAGGTATTGATTAGGAGCTGAGACCCGAAGTGGTGTTAGAGACCTACCTCCAGGTATCCGATGAACCTTGTGTTGGATGAAGAAATATACGAGAGGTATCAAGGTCGCAAAAAATCTGCAATTACACATTCATTAATACTCGGTCGATGCGTTAAGTAAGTCGTACTACGTCATCGCAATCCAAATGCTACAACATTTGAACGCAATCAATGCATTGTTGTTAGCGTAATGAAGCCAGAGGCGCACCGTTTACGTCGGACAGTCGAGGTTGGCGTGGACAGAATACCACCAACCATCCACGGAATATTGCAGACCATATAGATAATCATCATGATGTCATGGATGTCATGATCATCATTAGAGGTTATATAGACCCAACCCCCACACGAGAGTGTCCGAATGATACCAAAGATAAGAACTATGGTGGCCAGAGAGCCCGCAGAACGATGCAGATAGTACTGGATGAATACGAGTGCAAAGCGCGGGCCTATTTAGTGATGGTTTGAGCGCTTGTTACGAGACCGTAACGGTGAACAGACACAGACCAGATGTAAGGGCAATGAGAATTTGAAAAAGATTTCGTTCTGGGTACCAGTCGCCAATGCTGTTAAATTCTCGTCAACTCAAAAAATACGTCGGTAGGTGAATATGCACGTTGCAGAGACAGAAGGAAACCATTCATCTGGGTAAGCCGCTACTCCATTCTTGACAATTTTGAAGTAATGGCAGTAGCAACCAACGAGAAGGGCAGTGAGAAAAGCGGCGGAGGCAAGAACGGTATGAGCCCGACCAACGGAGGCAGCTGAAAGGACGAAGGGACCTTTCTGTTTCATGTAGGTCGACAACTTTACAGAAGGAGAAAGCTATTTGTTCATGTTGAATCCGAAAGCTCGTGCTTTCCTCGGCTCAAAGTGACGCTTCCTCGGGTCAACTTTATCACTATAGGCCTACCATTCCACCAAGTTTCTATCTCAACAAAAGTCATACTACTCAACTCATCCGCACTTTAATCATTGCTAAAATACTTTCAATTCATTCCTTACATCATTCCTACTTTGGATGTTTCACCTTTATATAGTACATTTTAAGTACATTATCCAATACAATAAAAGTCCTTTCGATGGGAGTGGGGACGAGTCTCGCTACATGGCATTCTTCGCCAGTGAAAAGACAATGGCTTTTCGGTTGCGACAGCCGACTCAAGTAATCTTATCAAGAACAGTTACCTCGTGCGTTGGAACTTTGACAGCACATCCATCCCTTTGCTCTTATGCCCAGTCCTTGAACATCACGAATACTCATGCTCTTCTCCAGAAAAACAATCCTTACAAAGGGTAAGAAGCCTCTTTACGCCGCATCCAGAGTAGTCAGCGCTTCCTGTGGCTCGGCTTCATCGGTATTCGCTAGATGTTGGGTCCATAGCACCAACAAAACCTCGGCTTTGCTCAGGACAGTGAAAAGCCAGGGTTTTCGAAGGGCTTATTCAGCCAAGTCTGGAGCAGATGGACCTACGAGCAGCGCAGGGGCCGGAAGTCAAGTTGCCCTGCCACTCTATCGTACGTCGCTTGTCTACTGAGGGGTCGTGTGCCAGCTTCACTCAACGCCACATCCAGGGAGACTCATCAACGCATGGACGGAAACACCAACGAAGTGGTACCCGCTACCGCTGGCAGTCGGCGCGTTGCTTCTCGTTGCTATACAGTATCGTAAGAAGGTGAAAAGGGCGCAGAAGGAAGTGCAGCTCGACGAAAACGGAATGGAAATTATCAAACTGAAGGGCCCATGGCATGTACGTCCCTATTCTCTCCCCCTCTTTCCTTCAAACTGATATAGTGCAGGTACATGTTCTTGGTGCTCTTCCGCTACGAAATATGTCACGGTTATGGGGCTATGTCAACTCGCTCGAGCTTCCTGTTTGGTTTAGACCCCATGGTTTACGGCTATATGCTTATGCTTTCGGTTGCAACCTCGACGAAATTGAACCTTCAGACCTTAGGGAATACCCCAGCCTTGGAGCGTTCTTCTACCGGAAATTGAAAGATGGTGTACGCCCTGTTGCTAAAGCTGCATTGGTAGGAATCACACTTTGTTCCAAATCCTCTACAGCGTCTGATTTTCTATTGTATAGGTCAGTCCTGCAGATGGGACGATGCTCCACTTCGGCACTGTGCAAGGCTCGCGTGTGGAACAAGTCAAGGGAATCACGTATTCGCTCGACGCCCTCCTCGGCGTGGAAAGACCGGGGAGTCCCTCCTCCATCACCTCCACCGTCGTAGAACACAACCGCGATATGTCTGTTGTCGACGACAAAGAGTTCGCCAACGTCAACGGCATTGAATACAGCCTTGACCAGCTCATAGGTACTTCCTCGGGGACTACTAGTCCAGGCACCACTACACCAACATCAGAATTGCCTCCCTCTATCCCACCTTCGGAAGATGCTGTGCCAAAGAAGTTCGGTGCCCAGGTCGATGCGTCTATTGTGGAACCGGAGAGGAGTATGCAGGATACACTAGTGCATGACGCATCTGTCGCATTGGAGATGGGCTTCAAACCTCCGCTGGATAAGAGACCTAACACTTACGTCCGACCTGGTAATTCACTCTTTTTTGCGGTGATATATCTCGCTCCTGGAGATTACCATCGCTTCCACAGTCCCACAGCTTGGGTAGTGGAGAAGCGGAGACATTTCATGGGTTAGTATCTCCTTTTCTTCCCACGTTGACATGGTTCACTCAAGTGCGATACAGGCGAACTGTTTTCGGTATCTCCATTCATGGCGAAGCGGTTGGAAAACCTCTTTGTACTGAATGAGCGTGTCGCACTCTTGGGACGTTGGAAATATGGCTTCTTTGGAATGGTACCTGTTGGTGCTACAAACGTCGGGAGCATCAAAGTGAACTTTGACAAGGTCGGTTTATTCGTGTATTATGTCCTATCCATTGACGCTAATGATCGTCATTCAGGACCTCCGAACCAACGTTCGAGGCAAAAGACCTCCTCCCGGCACTTACACTGAAGCCGTCTACTCGGCGGCCTCCCCGATCCTTCAAGGACAACCATTGACCCCTGCTGAGGAGATGGGCGGGTTCCGTCTCGGAAGCACGATTGTATTGGTGTTTGAAGCTCCAAACGACTTTGAGTTTACAGTTCACTCGGGGCAGAAGGTGAAAGTTGGGGAGAGGTTAGGCGATGTGGGCGACAAGCTGAAGACTGACTAGGAGGATCATTGGATTTGAAATGAAGCTATACCTTGCATCCATATGACGGGCTCGACTAGTCTTCAACGATACGTAGCATTTAAACGTAAGTATGGATACAATCAAGTCAATGCATACACAGCTCAACCTGTAATTTTTTCCGTCCCGAGTTTTCTTTTTGCTTCCATATCAAGAAAGACCCACTCCAAGTCCGATCTCCATGGCCATCCCCATTACCGTCTTTACTGGCTTTCTCGGCGCAGGAAAGACGTCGGTCATTCTTTCGCTACTACCCAAACTACCCAAGGACTATAAGGTGGTACTGCTGAAGAATGAATTTGGGGATGTGGAAGGTGCAGCGCTTCTATCTCCTTTCGCCGAAGTTTTCCGTGACCTTCCTTAGTTGACAGTAAACTCGCACAAGAGTCCAGTCTCACGGCGGTTAGTGAGATCCTCAATGGTTGCATGTGCGTACTGTATTTCTACGAAAAAGACAAGGGATGACAATAGATCAGGTGTTGTGTTCTTGTTGGACAAATGCAGAATGCGTTAATTGAGATACGGGGTAAGTCGATTAATTACTTGGACATAGACTGAAGCAAAGAATGTGGGATTCATAGATAAATTCCATCCAGATCGCATCATCATTGAATGCTCGTTCGTTTATCCATCGGAAGAGATGTGACGATGATTGATTTTCGCTGCAGAGGTTCTGCGTTTCCAGCTACGCTTGCGTTTCAAATACGTCAGTTAGAGCGCGACACGGATGGGGATTTCAAGCTCGACGCGATCGTGACTGTTGTAGATGCAGAGAACTTTTCGGGTTATGAAGATACATCTCCGACCGCCAGGATGCAGGCCAGTTACTCTGATATCATTTTGATTGTGAGTGACTTCCAGATGGGATGAAGTCTAATCACTCACTCTTGAGCTAGAACAAATGGGAAAATGTTTCCGAACGGGAGTTAGATGTGGTCATGGATCATTTATATACCCTGAACGACGCAACACCAAAGATTCGGTGTCAAGGACGGAATGGAGTGGATCCCAAACTGCTATTTGGATTGGAAACAAAGCTATTCACGAGTATAGAGTCGTGTGACATGGAAGACCATCATGAAGAGGTGGAGACGGTGAATGTGGTCAGAGGGGATGAAGACGGGGTAGAAGAGGAAGTGTTGGCAAATGGACTGTCGAAAGTGTCGAAGGAGGTAGTGTGGCGGGTCAAGGGATTTGTGCGACGAGTTGATGGGTGGGTGATTGTAAACTGGGCATTTGGGCGATGTGAGTTGAGAGGGTACGGTGGTCAGGATTTGAGTGGCAGTGTGCGCTTGACTGTAATGGGGGAGCGGGGAGAGGTGGCAAGGGCGGCCCGGATATTGGCAGGGGAACTTGGAGGTAGTGTCATCACATGACCTCAGTGAAATCACATGTATTACGGCGACATTCTCCAATTGCAATACTCTTCTATACCATGCTCTAAGCAACTTGGCAAGCTCTCATTCTCATGTTTTCGTACGCGCTATCAACAGGTGCTATCTACCTCGACACTCAATCAATCAATCTAAATTTGTTCACAGCGAGCACATACTTTTATCTTCCCATCGACGAAGAGGAGGACGCCGACATCGAAAACTATCAGCGTAAATACCTAACATGGATAGCAGAACCCTCAGGTTCATCCAGTTCGACCCGGAAACCAAACATATCTTCATCAACACCCTCAACCTGCTCAAAAGATCGAACAGATATTCTAAACGCCGTTCTATCCAGCCATGACCTCTACGCCATCCTTGGTGTCCCAAAATCAGCTTCCCTAGATAAAATATCTCTTCGTCGAGCATATCTTGCTCGGAGTAAAGATTGTCATCCAGAGTATGTCTAATTGTTTGCTTGCATCCTCTGTAAATTTTATCTGTGTTCAAGCAAATTCCCAAACAACCCCGACGCCACACACGCTTTCCAAAAAGTCGCAGTGGCATATGACATCCTTAGCAAGCCGGCTTCAAAACGATTATACGACACCCGTTCACCTAAATCCTCTTTCGACGTTTTCGCTGCCAGACCTACAAACTATGCGGAAGAAACGTTTCGGGGTGTTGTTCTTGGAGTTTTTAATGATTTTCTCGATGGCGACCTGGAGGTCATAAGGACACTATTACGTGAGTGTATCACATTAGAGTGGTATGACCACTGGATTTGACTTTGTTCCAGACACCGTCAATAACATGAACCCCTCAATCAAGCTCGGAGAGGATGGGATTGACTCCGTTCTTGTAACCTTGCAAGCCATCCGATCCCGTGCTTTAAGTCAGTCAACCCTCTGTATCTACCCTTTCTTTTCAACTAACTTCCTGTGAAGCATGCCGGACATGCATCTATGTTCTCCATGCAGAACTCATTCGACTTTTGGAAGTTCAACACGCATTCCGCCAGCTGTCCTACTTTGACATCCTTGGCCGCTCACGGCTTACCATTCAGCTCACACGCATCACCCTCAGTCTACCCATTGCCTTGGAACGGGCACTTCAGGAACAGAGTGCATATCAAGAACCTCTTGTTTCTAGTGAAGACCAGTCACAGCAAGAAAAACCCATATTTCCAAGGCGTGTCACACTTCTCATACGCGGCGTCGACGTTGTATTGGAAAGGATGGAGAGGATACTGAAGTAATGCTTGTTTCATTTTTTTCTTTCTCATCATATATCAATCTCCGTTGACTATTTACAATTACATTTCGCATGTGCACATTACTTTTCCATCTTCACATCTCCTCTTGACTGATATTTAGATATGCGACTCCGCCCCACATAGACAAATCGTTGACCTTCGTCAAGTATTTTAGATCAAATCATCTGTATTGTACTTTTATCTCTACTTTATTCCGTAGTGTATGGGCTGTATAGGCTGTAAGTTATCTTTGGCGAAATGTAACTCTTGGTCGACGTCCTTGACGAGTTTTATAGACTTTGGCAAACCAAATTGGGTGCCAACGATCACTTTTATGACAACCCCATCATCTCCTGCTCAAAACTGATCCTGGTGGAGTGTTCAAAAGTCAATTTTTTGCAAAGGTGTAACTACCTGTAAGTTTCAAGGGAATTGGTCTTACTGAAAATTTTGCATTTCGCAGTAGTTGTCTGAACAAAATTTCGAGCTTCATCCATGAATCCAACATGAATCCCTCCTCGCAAAGAGAGATTCCATTTCTGTTTTTGGGCCACGGCGCCAACCTGAACTTTTCAAGTTTCCACCGCACTCTTACCCTTCATCGATCCCTATCTATGGCCCATCGCCGGAATTGATTTCTGTTAGCGCTTGTTCGCTATATAATCAGCATGGCTTCTTGAGGCTTGTTGCCCTGTAATCGCGATCGCGTCTCTACCTTGCAAACATGTTTCTCTCCTGGGTGAATGTAACCGTCTCCAGCTATGTCGACCTTCTTTGGTACTTGACCTCGTCAGTCCCTTTTGCTGTGTGCTGGCTCTAGGTACTCACCATCGACGATAATCCATCGCCCAGAAAGCCCGTCGAAAAAAAAACCGACGATAAGCCCCAGCTTCAGCTGGCAGCGAAATCGTTCGTAGTTCTAACCTTCCATTGATGCTGATGAATCTGACGAGCGTCCAGCGGGCTTTTTGGGAAACTTTTCAAGCCTACCAGCACTCGCAAACCAGGTGATGACGTGCCTCCGCCAGTGGTCATTCCTGCTTCGGGGTTCGTCTCATTTATGATTTTAGGCCACTCGCATCTGTCAACGTAACTGATCGATGTTGTTTTAGGGGTCGGCCCCGTCTCTATGCTCTCATCATCGGCATAAATAACTATGATCACCAAAGGAAACTTCACGGCGCAGTTCCCGACGCTGACGCCATCAAAGATTACCTCGTCAACGAGCTAAAGGTTCCTGAGGGGCAGATTGTTAACCTTCGAAACAGCGAGGCGTCTCGTACCGCTATCATTGATGCCTTCAATAGATTGCGGGATCACCCCGATATCAAGGAGGACGATCCGATTCTCATTTACTATGCTGGCCATGGGGGTACTCTATCGGCGCCGCCAGGCTGGGAATCGGGGAGTGGTGCCAAAATACAAACCATAGTCCCACAAGATTATGACCCCACCGAAGGCAAGGAGGTTTACCCCATCCCGGATCGCACGATCGGTGGTCTGATTGACGGGATAGCAAATAAGAAAGGGAACAATATCGTCAGTGGCAACTCTTATATTCTGGTTTTCCCTCTACAACTTTTTATATACAGACTGTTGTCTTTGACTGCTGCCACTCTGGTTCAGGCACCCGAGATGACGAAGCAGAAGAACATGAGCGGTTCACGCGCGCAGCTGATTTCACGATTCCAGGAAAGCCGGTTGACGTTACGATTTCGATTCCCAAGGATCTCGATCTACCCATCTGGCAGAAAGATTCAGCAACTCGTGGAGCCAGAGTACCGGTCGGTTTCGTTAACAAGGGCGTGCGGTCGCACATTCTTCTCGCTGCTTGTAGTGCGGATGAACTTGCCAAGGAGGAGAAGGGTCATGGATGTTTCACCAGCGCCTTCCTTGCGTTGCTCAAGAACGTTGGCGCAGAACAGCTGACCTATGTCGAGACTTTAGACAAGATGGAGCAGATAGCTGGGTAAGATAAACTATGTGACTCGTTCTTTCGTTTGACATCTGCGTTGTAGCCAAAATCCGCAATGCGAAGGTGCCTATAGAGATCGCATTTTCTTTGACGCCAAAGCTCCTACCCCAGGCCGTGCATGCTATAACGTAACGTTCGAAAATTCCGCTTACATCATGAAAGCTGGCTCGGCGCATGGCATTGGCCATGGCGCTGAGTTTACCTTGTACAAGGACCAAGCCTCTCTTCTCACCACTCCACTCGGCGTCATGACTGTCAAAAAGATTACGCCATTCAAAACTGAGCTCGAGGCAAAAAAGCAGCCTGGTCCCAAGATATCTGGATCTGTACTCGCTCTGCAAACCAAGGCGGCGATCGCGGAGGACCTTCTGCTCCACGTTCCTCTCAACCAAGAACTCCTTCCCGTGTTTCAAGCTCTTGCGTCGGAGCTGCAAGGCACAGGTCCCAACTCTTGTAAAATTTCGCTATGCGAAGACAGAAAGAAGTCAAGACTCGAAATTGTAATAGAGGATAACAAACTGGTCTTCAACATCCTTGACCAGCGGGTTCTCAAATATGGTTTAAGCCGAATTCCATACACCATTGAACCGGACCCAGAAGACATCCGCCCCGTCTTGAGGGCGGCTGCCCATTACTATTGGCACCTCAATCGTACGCAACCGAACAACCAAATCCAGAACAATATCAAGGTCGAGTTTTATAAGCTACAGGAATCAGATACCGATTTCGACGAGGCTGGTAGTCCAGAACGATACCCAGTCGGAGACAATCTCTGCCGCCAAGACGTTATTGAGTTTACCGTGGATGATGAAGCTATATATGGGATCAAGATCGTTAACAACACCCCATGGGATTTGTATCCAAACGTTTTCTATTTCGATAACAGCGAACTGAGTATCAGTGCGGACTTTGTCTTTTTCGACCCGTTTCATTCACTGATATAAACTCTCTTCTGTTAGCGGCGTACTATAAGTGCAATGTCAGTACCAACTACCGTGTTGACGTCCCTTTACAAAAGAAGGGGGGGACCTTGACTCTCGGTTATGGTTCAGCGGGAGAAACTCCGTTCGAATATTACATTCCAGATAATCAAGACCTGGATGTCGGCTTCCTCAAGACATTTTTGTCTACAGAGCCTCTCGACCTTTCTAAGATCCCCCAGCATTCTCCCTTCGTTGATGCACGTGGCATGGGAGCTGCGAACAGAGATCCCACTCCGACTTGGGGAAGCATTCTCGTGCCTGTGGTCCAACATCGCACTCCATAGGCGCTTTCAAGACAATACCGCTGCGTTCTTGTATGACTTTACTTTGCTTTCTACATACTTACACTACCCTCTTGAATGCAAATTGATTCTCCAGGTGATCGTGGAAGAGTGAGAGTAGGTTGATCGAAGATGTATACGCATAAAAGTTACAGGGTGAAGACAAAATGTTTACTCATTGAGAAAAAGATGGTGACGCATAAGCTACTAGTTGAATAAATTCAGTCAGGTTGATGGAGATAATAGGCGACGAAGGAGAGATCAACACGAAACGCGAATTATCAGGATTAAGGGGGCGCATTGTAACCAGGCATAGCTGGTCGTTGGCCCTTGCGAATCGGGTCAGGCAAAAAACCTCAGAATTCAACCGCGATAGCTCACCACATTCATCCACATTTGCTGTTGTGGATGTAGGCTATGAGAGGTGTCTCTCTCTTCTGACATGTAGGAATCATGAGAGGGTTGAGAACCAGCTGCAGCGGCCGCAGCCAATATTTGCGTATAGTCATGTCGACGGTTTCCATTCGGTGTGACAGCCCCATTACCGCTTGAGGGTATTGGAGCTTCGGGAAAGAAGGGATAAAAGAGTACACTGGGCACTTCGACAAGTTGCTTGTTAGGCGGCGTAGACCCGCCACTGTGCGACCCATTCATCGTCCCAGGGGCGTTATTCATAGCTCGCGGCTGTGGGCCATAAACCATGCTACCGCCAGCAGATGCAGGATAAGCGGATAGAGGCGGAGTGCTCTGTTGGGATTTTTGGGCCTGTGACATAACCGTGTCCTCATCCCACTCAGGCTCGCAAAGGAGGACGGGGTGTCCCGTTGGCACGATGTTACGGAGATTAATGTCCATAACGCGCTCCGCGAGTTTAGCGATGAGTGGATGGCCTCCATTGACATCTTTCCGCTCCCATCTCCAACGGAATCGAGGAAGCATATCAAGAGCCAGCCAGAGGTCCTCCAATGCGATATTAGGAGGGAGACAGTCAACTTTCGACATATGGCCATATAATATAACCATGGCTGCGATGTGGAGAGGGATTGGGGAGGTAAAAAATGCGATGTTGGGGAAGCGGATAAGTTGGTTGTGGATGATGATCATATTGTGAGATGTAATGATGGCTGATAGTGTTTGTTAGCGTTAACCTGAACGTGACCATGCAAGCTCACCATCAACTAAGGCTTTATGTCGATGGGCGTACGACAGCTCTTTAGAACTGAACAAGGCCCGTAGAAGTAAAATGCGCGCTATTCCAACCTTCAACAGAGTGAGCCCCTCATCTTCCGTGATATTTTGAACAAGTTCGCTTTTTTTCTCCAACACCCAGTCGCTAGTGCCGTTGAAATAGTACTTGTATCGTTCTGGCAGACCACGTCTAAACTCGAGCATGCTCTTAATAATCCTGGTCGCATTGCGCATGATAGTGTCCGCAGCCTGCTTCTTTGGCGTATAGAGGGCATTGATGATGTCAGCTTGGATCTCAGCAACGGGTTGTGAAAGTTCGAAGTGCTCAGAGAAGTCTGAGAGACGTGCTTGCTTGGGCCGAGCGGGACGAGGCGTATTGGAATCTGATGGAGAGATAGCAAGCGGCCGGCCGAGGAGGATAGACGTGCCGCGGTCGTGCACAAGAACGATCCCCCAGAGAGTGATTCGCAATTGACACTCTTCTTCAGTGAAGAGGTGCTGATCTGTGGATGGATTCATTTGAGTGGTCGGATCATGATGCAAGCCGAGCTCAATTGACAATCGGACCAGGCTGCCAACAAGCCGCCAGAGCGTGCGACCTTGACGCTAGAAATATGGTAAATAACGCGGCATTACTTGAGAGCGAAGACCTCTACCTCAGTATACAGATACCAATGCAACAGGATCAGGGCTTGCAAACTAGATATGGTAACACGAAGGTCAGGTTTAACTGCAAGGGCTCGTTCGAAGAATTCATCATGCTGGGGCCAGTCATGCGGCATGATCTTTTTCGCAATGGCAGGTCCGAGATGCTGCATAACCTCAGCTTTGCTGTCAATATCTTCTTTGACCGCACGTTGATTGAGATCGCTGAGAGTGCCAAGGGCAAGGATCAGGTATATGCTGCAAACATAGCCAGGATCATGAGAAACAGTTTTTCCATCATAAAGGTCATTTAAGATGCGGTCAAAATCTTTACGAGAAAAGACCGGACGATGAGGGTTGAGGTGGGTAAAGTAAACGTCAACGATGTGTTTCACCATATTGCGATCCTTGGGCAACCAGACCTCAACGGTGGAGGCGTTCGACGTGGGCCTATAGATGGAGAGTGTGTTTGGAGCCCCACTAGACGTGGAATTCCGACGAACGGATAAGGCGACCCAATGAGAGGCGTCACGAGGTATAGTCGTTTCCCCTATGGACCGATCTCGACCTGACGAGAGACCGCTGGAGCCAACTGCCAGATCTTCTTTATCATGAGGTGCAGCATCCATAATATTGTTGACAATAGCGGCAGAAACACCAAAATTTTTGGCAAGGGCTTCCGTATTTGACATGTCGTTACCGTTCGGATCTGTGCCTTTAGTTGCAGTTATCCCGCGTTGAACTGGTGGAGGTTGGCCATGAACTGGCGTCGGTAAGGCCGTTGGAGGTGGTGGTTGGGCGTGCGGTGGCGGAAAGGCACCTGGAGGCTGCTGGAATGCAGGGTGCAGGTGAGGATGATAGCTTCCATGAGGTGGCATTGGCATCTGTGGGTGGTAAGGAGGTGCAGGGCCATACGGCATCATTGGGTGTGGATAGGGGGGATGGATGATATGACCCGGCGGAGGGTACATAGGCGGGTATCCTTTCGGTGGCTGCTGAGGGTGCGAGGGACCACCGTCGGGCCGGAAAGGCCTGATGGGACTACCCTCAATTTGGAAGTTTGCTGAAGGAGGAGGAGGGGCGATAGAGGAGACATCTATGCCTTCCCGAGCAATGATTTCGTCGAGGCTGTCCAAGGTGAAGTTGCTGTAGTGGTGCTTGAGAAGAGCTTCACACTGAGCAAGCTGATGTTCGATGCGCTCGGTATGACCGCGAGGAGTCAAGGTTTGGCGATGCCTATCCTCTTGGTGGCAGACAGTGCCAGCAGTTGCACAAGCAGTACATCTTGGGTGCTTGGAGTCGCACTAGAAGGCGAAGAGCGTCAGAAAATGTATTGACGGATAGGCAGATGGAAGTTGCCGTCGGTGTCGCCCGACGGGACTTGCCTTTATTTTCTTACTTCTGCATCTTGCACACGCTTCATGCGACCGACGGAGTCGTCGAGGTTCTGAAGACGGAGGGGCTTCGTCTCCATTTCCATCTGCCTTTCTGCGTCTTTTTCCTGTGCTTTGTGGTGTCTGCAAAGGTTGTTGTTGTTGTTGCTGTTGCTGTTGAAGTTGAAGGTGCTGGTTTGGGTCCATCTGGAGAGCTGATTGAAGGGATGAGGGGGGCACAATGGAGTTCTGAGGGTTAAGCTGAGTGGGCAACATGATGATGGACGGGCAGCAGCGAATTAAGTTGCTGGGGACCGAGTCTTTTGGCAGTCGCTGACCGTTGAGGGCGATGGGCAGACTCTCTTTGTTCTTGTTTACACTACCCTAGATTAGGGTCAATCCCAATTACCAAACAGTAATTATCTCAATTTCAGTCCCAACCATGAATATTCCCCCTCGTTTGACCATCGTGCCCAACGACCAGGCCTGCAATGCGTCAATGTATACTTTAGACACCGTACACTACAGCGACGATGATCGCGCAAGTGACGATAGGTCTCCCCTGCTTGCACCTGCCACCCCAGATTACGGCGCGACTTTCCCTCGTTCACCCGCTCAACCTTCGTCAACCAAAGTCATTCTCAATGCCACCCTTAAGATGGCGTGCATATTCGCCATCAGTACCATCCTTCTTGGTGGTACACTGTGGTTGGCGCTCCCAACCCTTGAGGAGTGAGCTTTTTTCCAAAGCACAGCCCCTCAGAATCCTCACGAATATCTTTAGAGCAGACCGTCCACTTTTGCGCATTCCAAAGTCCTTCGCGCAACTACAAGATTTAAATGGTCTGTTAAAAAAGTATCGTGACATTTACCCATACCGGATCTTGATATGTTATGTGATAACATACCTATTGTACGTTCAACTTACTTTCGCAATATCTATCTCTAACTTGGTATGTAGCCTCCAAGCCTTTTCCCTTCCGGGCTCGATGTATCTATCCATTCTTGGGGGTGCCGTATGGGGCGTTGCGCGTGCCCTGCCTCTTGTCTGTTGCTGCGTCGCTTCAGGTGCAACACTCTGCTACCTTATTTCAGCTGCTCTCGGGCCTGCTCTTCTCACACTTCCAAAGTGGAAGGCTATCATGGACAAATGGGCAATCAAAATTAAAGAAAACAAGGAGAACATGATATCTTTTCTCATCGTGCTGCGTATCGCCCCACTTCCGCCGCACTGGGTTGTCAATGTTGTATGCCCTCATGTTGGTATTGGCGTCGTCCCATTTTGGATTAGCACGGCTCTAGGAATCCTAGGCGTTAGCGTGATACACACAACGATTGGAGGTGGGCTAGATGAGATGACAAGCGCGGATGATTTCCACCTAATCAGCTGGCGGAATTTCTTCGGACTAGCAGCGGTCGTAATTGGTGTAATGATCCCTGTGGGGTTGCGCTACTGGTTCAGGAGGGAGGTTGATAGCGTAGCTGATGGAGAGGGTGCTCTGACGCTGGGCGGGGATGAGCAAAGCGGAGATGAGGAAGATCAGATTTTAGCGGTGGGTCCGCCAAGAACGGAGCACGCAAAGAGACAAGCTCTACTTTTCACAGACGAAGATGACCGTTACAGCTTTGAGGATGACGACGGCGATATCATCCTTGAAGCTGGACCTGACGTTGTGAGGAAAGGAAGTAACGCTGCCAGCTCAAGTAGCAGTCATCCGTAGTACCTACTTAACGGACTCGCGGTAAATTTGTGCCTTGTATCTGACATCACTTTCAGCTGCTCCCTGTAATTATATATAATGAGAAAGAGCAAAGTCCGAAGAACAGATATTGGTGTGAACGTGGGTGTGCAATGCCGTGAACACGCACAATTGTGGTTTCTCAATCTACTACGGTCGTTTCTCTTCGACTCTGGTTATTTTTCATCAACTGCAGTAATTACTCGTCGACCAGACTTATTTCCTGTCAATTTTCAATGAATTTCAGCGAAATCCAGCGTTCAATACGTTGTATTCCTAGACAAAAGAATTTGTGCATGTCAACTCCTGCAAACATTCGAGCTTGTCAGCCACAGCCCTGCGATTCCTCGTTTCGCTCCCACCACCACCTCCTCCCCACATCTCCCTCGTCTTCGCCGGCATCAATCCCCTCGCTGCCCTTCTTCTCATTGTCGCTGCCGTCCTGCTAACTTTCCTCACTACATCGCTCCCCGCCTCGTGCGGTAAAGGCGCCCTCTATCCCCACTGACCCACTTTGACAAACGGATAATGGCCGATCGACAGCCCCAATATCCCAATATCCCCAATTTTAATGTCAATATGCTTCAGCAAGCCCAACAGCAACAGCAACATCTCCAGCAGCAAGCTCAGCAGCAGCAGGCACAGCAGCAGCAAGACCCTACCACCTTCCAAGACCAGAATCATGTGTGGCAACAGATGCAACATCTCCAACAATTTCGACCCCGGAGTGGCGCTGGTATGAGTGCCCAGCAGGGAACTTCGCCTGCTCAGGTCTGTTCAACTATTCTTTATCCCAGACCCTGCGTCTAGTCGTTCTATCGATCCCTCTTTTTTTCCGTCTGGTAGACGCATGCCCCTTGCTTCGTAGAGAAGTAGCTTGCTTCCTCACCGCAGTGTGCAAGCCAAACCAGTTCATATTTCCAATCGTATTCTTGATTTCCGTTTCCGATGACTGACCTAAATTCATCCCATTGTAGATGGCTGATTTGATGAGAAGCCAAAATATTGCTCGTGTACAGCAACAACAACAACAATTTGGTTCGGGTATCCACCAGATGGGTGGTGGGGGTCTTGGCTTGGGTCAACAGCAGGGATTCCATGACTCCTCTTCCAACCAGCCACAACACATGTCAATGGGCTTTCCAGGCATGGGCGGGATGCCAAACACAGGTGTCAACGCAGCGACCCTTCAACAGCGCAATGGATCTTTTGACCCACAAGCCATGAGACAGCTTCAACTAATGGGACTTGCGCAAGGCCAACAACCAGGGCCAGTTTATGCCAAATTTAATCAGTCTCAACAACAACGAGATCGGGAGTTTCAGCCACAAGGCGTGAACCACTCGTCTCCGGGCGATGTTTTCTCCTCTCCAGGCATATCAAACGAGGCTATTCGTCGTCCTTCCCCGTCATCTCTGCCTTCGAGTCATGTTCAACCGATGCCCGCCGTTGCCTCAGGCTCACAACCACAGCCCAGCATGCCCAACTCTCGTTTCACTTTGTCTGATCTCAATACGCGTGCCCGACTTCTCACGCATAGCATAGCAGAAGCGGAGCGTACCCATCAGGCAATTGCCGCTCAAATTAACGCTCGGGGTGGTCAGGTCGATCCAGCGTCTGCCCAACGATTTACAGCGTTAAAGGCAGAAATAATGGCTAAAAAGGACAATTTGAATAAGGTCTCAACCATGATGTACGCACAACCTCCGCTCTACCGATGTCGTTTTTCTAACTGTCATTTCCGAAACTTGAAACGAGCAGTGTGAGAGGTCAACAAGGACAAATTCAAGGTGGCAGTGGCGCGGGGAACCAGGCCTCTTGGACGCTTCCCACCGCGTCGTTTGAAAACAACTCACAGCCAGGAAGGCCCAAACTTGGTCAGAACTCACCACAGCAGCAGCAACAACACCTCAACGGCATACAAGCAAGTCCATCGCTTTTGAAAGCGCAAGCCTCTCCCAACCACTTGATGCCTCAAGGCGCCGTTCCGACAAGATCTGTGTCAACCCCACACCAGCAGGCGCAACCAGGCGGTGGTGTTGGAGGTCCTTTCGCGAATCAAGTGGCGATGTCGGGGGGCATGGGTGGCCATTTTCCCTTGGCCATGAATGGACCGTCCGGAAATTCAGGATCACTTCAACAAGGCCAGACAGGGATGAATCCCTTTCCTCCACCGCTGGACAAAGCCCGCTTTGAGCAATCGTTTAGAGCTTATTGCTCGAAAAAGAACTTGAATGTCAACATACGCCAGCTACAAATTGACAATAGGCCAGTCGACCTTTATCAGCTCCATAGGAACGTGATGCTCGAATATGGTGTCAGCAAGGCGCGTCGTTTCTTTCCTAACCATGTAAAACGTATGGCTTACAGATTTTACTGAAGGTGGAACAGAAAGCGCTTTGGGACGTTATTGGGGGGCGTATGGGATTTGTTCAGTTTTCTGGAACTGAAACGGAACCAGCAAAATCTGGACCAGGAGTCGCACAGCAACTTGCCCACATTTATAAAGAGCTCCTGGCCGCTTTTGACCACTATTATATAACCACAGTGGTCGAGGCACGGATGAAGGCGCAGGCGCAGGTGCCTAGGAATCCTGCGCAGATGTCGCCTCAGATGATGCAAAATGTTCTTACTTATGCTCACATGACGGTCTCTGATTTGCATCAACGCGGGGTCCCGGAGAAAATAATCACGTTTGTGGAAGCAAATCGAGCCAACTTGCAGCGGACCTACGCCGAGCAGAAATCTTTCCAAAGCCGGTTCCGCCCAACAAACCAGAACGATCCTCAAGGATCGGGTGATCAGAATGGACCATCTGGTGGAGGTCCTGGTCAACAACTTCCATTCGGGGGGCCAGCCACGCAGCAAAATCCAGCTGTCTCACTAGGACATCATCATTTTTTACAGCAACAGAACGGGCTCAACCTCTTGGAAGGCAACAATTTTCTAGACAACCGACAGCCCCAGCAGAGACCGCTGCAACAGGGCCCGCCGATGCAAACTATGCGACCAACGAAAGAATTGCTAGAGAAGTCGCAGCAGTTTGTGCAGAATGTCAAGCGAGGGTTCAACACCACTAGTAAGTGATTGTCAGCTGTGGGAGTTTGGGCTCATTCTTATGAGTATAGCTATTCCATCCATGCCTACCGTCGACGTTCCTTTGGAACGCCAAGCTGAGTATCTTAGTTTGCTTAACACCCTCCATACCCAGTGTCTAGAGATTGAGCCGAAGCTTGCGATGTACTTGGTGTTTACTGGAAAAGATGAACCGATAAAGAGAATGGCTGCTATTGTGTGTGATGATAATTGTCTCCCCAGTCTCCATCTAATCAGGCACCGTAGATCTGCACCGTTGCGCAACAGAAAAGTTATGGAGCAAGTCGTTTTATTGTTACCTTCGACATGCTTCAGAAGATGCTTGCGGAGATAAAACGGACCACGGACGGATGGGCCCAAAGACCATTTGCACATCAGCCCCAACACCCACAACTAAATGGCATGGGCGTTGGCATTCCGACCAACGACGTTCCTCCTCAATCTCGTCCCACTATCTCTCATCCTTCTGCTTCTCTCCCCCCACCCCAGCCTCAGATACCATCACAATCTGTTCGCCCCCCAGTATCCCTTCAACATCCTCCCAATAAACGGAAAGCCGCACAGTCTTCGTCAGGTGGTCCCGTCTCCACCCCCTCTCCAGCGCCTGCCTCGACCCCTGCAGCTTCTGCACCTACCCCTACCCCGACTGCGGCATCTCCGCAGACGCCAAAATCTCCGAAAGGTAAGGCGCCTGCCAAACCCAAGCAACCACCCGCCAAGAGACGACCTTCAAAAGCCGCGGCGCCTCCTACATCTTCCGCTACTTCAGATCCTGCTCAAACACCTGTGCCAGCTGTTGGAAGTAACAAGCGACCTCGAGATGAAGAGATGACTCCACTTTCTAACGCGTTAAGCCCAGGTGATGGGCCATTTGGGGCCGCCAACGAGCCTTCACCACCAAAACGGGTAAAAACGGAATGGGATGCACCTCCAAGCGATGCTCTGAAAATGAAGACTGAAGCTGTGGAAAATATCAAGACTGAGGAAGACGCTTGCGTCTTCCTCGAGCAGATGACGGAGCTCATCAAAAAGGCCGCGGATGGCGAAGGACAGGAATCCTTTTCGTTGGAGTTATCTGAAACTTTCGAAATGATCCTCAAAGGTTACGGCCCTACACAAGATTCTTTGGATGGTGGAAGTAGCTTGTCGCTTCGGCCTGGAGAATTAGGTGACCTGCGTGCGCCGTCGCCCCCCGCAGGACCGTTGGCCGACTTCGAGGAATTCATCGATTTCTCAGGAACGATCGATGACGACGATAGTCTGTCAAAAGCTGAGACACCAGAGCTCGTGTCGTCGTCTTCGACAAATCCCAGCCCGGAGTCCAACTGCGAGCCAGACGCCATCCATCACATGCTGACCTCGTCGTCGACAATAGAAACTAAAACGGAAGAATTGCCTGATCTACTCCGGCTAGGACCATGGAAGGAGATCGATGGCGGAGAAGCTGCGTATTACCAGACTAGCGAATGGAAATGGGACAGTCCTATGCCGTCTATGGAGCAACCGTGGGCAATTTTTTCTTCATAATTTGTATTAGGTATTTTATTCCGCCTTCTGATTCTATCCTCACCTCCTACTCCTAATCTCCCACATCTCCGGGTATTTTATTCAGCGGTCTTCTGGAGTCGGATGTTATTTTGTTTTACCGTCACTACCCGCTCCTCTACTATTATCGGCTGGGCTTCATTTATCTGCTCTGTGTGTACTCCTATACTGTTGTTCTACTCGCTATCGATTTCTTGCTGACAAGCAGTCGCGGACGTTTGTTGATGCATCCAGAAATTGGAAAATATACACACATGGTAACAGAACCACTTGATAGATACAACGTGAAGTTTATGATATTGACTGACCCCCTCCAAAGGGATAGGATTTCCGCGCAGTGTTATCCAATATTCGAGCTTTAAGTGATGCTAGAGTTTGTTCTTTTGACTGTGGCGCGATTCGCCGAGAAGACGATGAAGGAATTGAAAGCCGATCCATGGCTAATCGTCTTGGCCTCAAACTCCTCAAGTTCTGATTCCTTTGTATTTCTTCTTTCCCTTTCATCCATTTCTCTTTGGCTTCCTGCACCATCTCATCATCGTCTTCAAGAAGACTCAGAGATGTGGGTAGACCGTAACGATCTTTGATGAGGTCATCCGCTTTCCTTTTACTTTGTTCCACCTTCTTTTCCTGCCGAAAATGTTTTCTTGCCTTTAAAGAAAGGGAATAAGGGTCTGCGTTGTATTGCTCCGAGACACTTTGCAATGACTCGAGGCGTGGGATTTGAACTTCATTCATGTTTTTAGTCGCCACAGCCTTTTTTTCGAGAGCTACAAGGGGGTCTACAGGTGCATCAGCCCGCTCAGTATCTGTAATTTTGTGTCAGCTGCAGCAGTTCACACCATGTCGTCGATTGACTTGCCATGTATAGCGAAGCCTCCATTTTCTTCAGGATTCCAATCCTCATCTTTCTGCCGAGCCCCAGATACCACCACATATCGGGTATTCTTAAAGTGAAGAACTTAAGAGAAGATTGATGAAAGTGAGCCACCTGAGAAATACCTTGGGGTCCGTCTGAATCTCAAACCAGCCATCACACAAATGGCATTTACATCGGAAAGAGAAGATTGGGGTAGAGTAGTATGCGCCTATTTTTTTCTTTTCGGCATTATATCGCACACCCATTCCAATATGGTTGTGGCATGTATCACTACAAATCATTAAACAAGCTACCGACAATGGGGGGCCATGTCACATACCACCAGATGTTGAAGGGCAGCTCAAACCGGGTTATAAGGATTCCTTGGTCAATTTTACGAGCCCGGTCACCAAGCGCGTGTTTGCCTGACCGCCTGCCGTCAGAATGTCTCCTGGCATTGGTCGTTCAGATAACTTGCCTCTGGCCTTATTCAAACTGCCCTGCGATGGATCATAGTCCGGTGGATAATACCTAAGAAGCTTAGTGTGAGTTAGAAACCCCACATTATGCAAAGTCAAAGACACACTTGTTAAATCCTTGCATGTTTCCGGAGACTGTGCTTGGGAAAGGATTGTATGGCGAGCACTGGAGTCAAGGTCGATAGCTTCTCTTATAAATACAGACAAACAAAGCATGCTTAAATACGTCCGTCCATTGCGATGTGGGTATACAATTACAGGAGGAAAGATAGCTCAAAGGTAAACTTCGTATGTACCAACCACAGGACGATGGTCGCTCCGACCTTCTAACCTTCGCATCGCGCGGTCGTCCAATGTATCATAGCTGAGGCACACAACGTCACCCTTACGTGGTTTAGGTGGGGATGGGAGATGGGGCGAGCCGTAACCTGTCGCAGTATCTAACTCCGGCGGCGGTGACAAAAAGGGGATAAAGCGCCATCGAGAAGGTGCTGTCAAAGGAGAGGGTCGCCGAGAGGAGTCCCCGGACGATGGACCTCGAGGCAACGCATCTTTTGGAGACAGATGAGAAGTAGGCCTCCCACGAGGATGATCTATTGGTATAGGGACAGTGGAAGGCGGAACAAAAGCAGAATTTCCTCGTTGTGGATGGCGTGCACCCTTCTCTAGGGCTGTTTTAGGCTGGGGCGGCAGTGAAGGCTTGGTAAAGATTGACTGTTCTTGTTTGAATTCGCCATCTCGGGGAGGGTCTTTGGGGGTTTCGACAACGATTCGTCCAGAGGATGTTCGGAAAGCATTCGCAAAAAAATTGCTAAGTCGTTTCCGGCCAGAAAGTCCTGGGACATTTTCTTCTGGGAGGGGGTCTGGTACAACAGTGGATTTCCAGAGGATTCGGTCACACCTACGCCAGGGGGTGAGTTCTCAGAGTAGCAAGATGGGGGATGGGAAAAAACGCACCAGCTTGGTACCCGTCTTTTATTTGACGAGTCATATACGCCACGCTCTTCTAAAATTGGTGTTCCGTCGTTGTTTGGATTGGGTTTGCTTGCATCCACCAGTATCATCGGTGGACGAGTATCGTGCCCATTTTTACCTTGGAGGTTGTAATTGTGATAATTTCGCGGCAATGGGAAATCTCCCACACCGCTGAGTGGTGAACTCGCATGTTGATGTTTCGGACGAAACAGCGCGGTTGGAGAACTAAGCGAGGGAGATAACAGCGCGAGCCACTTCAGTTTGGCTTTGCGTGTGCCGGCGGAAGCGAATGAAGCCTTGCTACCCGACGTAGCCATTGTTGGCGTTGATGGTGAGAGTACGCATTCTCCATCTGATTCGCGATCCCATACTTTAGACTTGACGGATGTTGAAGTAGATGACACCATAGATGCCGTCTCATTGGCCTCCCCGTTTTCGAGCTCTCTTTCCTCGAAGTCTGTCAGGGTGGTCGACTTATCTCCTGCTCTCTCCAGGCGCATTGGTTTGGATGCGTGCCCTTTGGAATATTTAGAATGGGGCGCCACGTCATACTTGAACGTTGGGGGGAAATTTATTGGTCCCTCATGAAAGCCTAAAAATTCCGTCCCTTCCTCCATTACTTTTCGCAATTGATCAAATGCAAGAGCCTGCGTGAATTCTTGGAAAAGTGAGAGAAATATTACACATGGGAAATGGGTGTGTATACCCTCGCGAGAGATAAGCCAGTCAGCGTGAAGTCGTGAAATATCCAATCTAAAGTTGAGGTCTCCGCAGATAAATGAATAGTCGAATTTGTCGGTAATGTCTTGATGAAAGTTGACAAAATTAGTAGAGACATCTCGTCCCAAAAAGTAGTACTGCATACCATCGGCCATAGAGCGGGAATCATCATTTGTCAGGAAATCATCCACATCAAGTTCAGCCTTCCATCACAATTACAGATATGGTCGACAAAGTGGTAGCGAGAAAGAAATACCTTGATTTTCGATAGATTCGCAAGTCTGTGCTTTAAGTTGCCTTCGTGGGCTATATTGAAACATATCAATGAGGGTGAGGAAACATTGGTTTCATTAACGCACCGGCCAGATGGGCATTTAAGAATAACAAAGTGGTCCCATCAAGATTGACACTAATTCCAACCCCTCCTTTATTCCCTAACCTTCCACCTATCAAACCTGCAGTGACAGCAGATTTAGATGTCCCTAAATATGTATGTCAGCATCTGAAGACCGCTAAACCACTCAAAAGCAGTGCCTCGAACCAAGGACTTGACATCACGATGAACGTAAATCGCCAAGTATATACCCATCAGTCTTTCCTTGGCCAGTAGCTGATATGGGCCCCTACGGTGCTCCTTGGATGACAGGCGTCGTATGAGAGGTTTTGGGTGCCCAACGTCGGAAACTGTTGGGGAAGCATTCCGAGCAGAACAACCCCCTCCACGACATAGCCACTCTTCAACCATTGAAGTCCAGCCGCCAGGGTGCTCATGTGGTGACATATCCTCTTGTGACTTGCTGTGTTTGCTCCTATCAAATTTATGCTGACGCGCTTTATCGGCGTCCTTTTCGCTATCGTCTAACTTTTCGCGGTCTTTATCTAGTAGTCTGAAGCCAGCTCCGAGACCCATCGGTATTCCTAAACTGAAAGGTTAAAAATAGAGGAAACGGAGGTCCTGAGGGCGGGTCTCTAACCGGATGATGTTGGACATTCTTGCCCCGCTCTGTAGTCTATTTGGTAGGTGAGAGAACTAAGCGGACTGTCCGAACAATACCCACATGACAATAAGATGGAACGGATGATCTGGACCTTCCGGGAGATTGGGAAGTATACCAGGTTGGGAATTTGAACTGTTATGAGAAGGGACTTTTCCCAGTAACTCCTGCAAGTCTCCCTGCAGGAGAAACTTTTGTTAAATCGGAAAGGAAGAGAACAAGCTGTTCGATCGAACCTTGGGCAAGGAGTCATGCATATTCCATGAAAGAACTCGTATCTTTAAGCGTTTCGCAGCCGTTTTAGATTGCTTTGGTGAGACGCCGGTTGATAATGACTCTTCCAGTCGGCCAGTCGATGGCCGTGCTACAGAAGAAGGTGACGTAGTGGAAAACAGCCCACGAAGACGCGGCAAAGCGATCTGTCGGCCTGTTGGAGCATTGTTAACCCACAGAACGCGCCGCTGTTCACAGTTTCTGACCTTTTCGCGTATGTACAACTACGGTATCGGTGACCCCTAGCTCATGAGGAGTTGAGTCCGCTGTCGATATCATCGAGTCAAAGGGTCAAGGATGGGTGAAGGATTTCATTAGAGTGGCGCAGTGGCCGTTGCCAACGAGGTTGAATAGACAACACCGGGAACCGGCCCGTTCCCTTTTCAGTCCCGCTGAACTTGCGCTGAACATTGAAACTTGGGCGCGACCGCTGACGCTTCTGTCTACATTTCGTGTAAGGACTGCAACTCGTGTTCTCATATTCGTATTTCACGCGATAAAATCAATGAAGTTTTGGGCCGTCAAGGATACTTTTGGCAAGTTGGCCCCAGGTCCTACCGAACATTAGGACCAAGAGTAGGATTATTCTGATACTGAATCGGCTTCCACTGGGCCAATCACCTTGAGTACATGTATCGTTAGGGGACTTCCCAACGAGGACGGCGAGTATCCCAGCTGGCAAGCAGCATACTTCAAGTTCAACTCCAAGTATATGCTGGCTTGAATGCAGGTCACGGAATTCACTCGGTGTCAATTTGGTGTCAATGTGCGGTTTGCCGTCCACGTCGCGTTCCGAACCATATCGCAATCCTGAAAATTTGCCGTGTATAAATTATCGAAAGGTCTGTCACTGTATGCAGTTCAATTTCTAGTTATGCATCCCAATCCTCTTTCTGAACACATATGGAATCAAGCAGCGGCACGTCAAACGGGCCAGCCGTACCAAGTCATCTTGGATCCCTCTTGAAAAACGAGCTATTCACAGCAGTGGCTTGAATCATATCAAAGACTGTCTCGCCAACTCCCAGGAACTTCTCTGCCACGGAGCGAATGGTGGGGTCTGGAATTGTGGATGCATCCGGTCTTTGAGAGAAATTTCAGAAAACGTAAGGGTGACAAGATAGAGCGAACTGACGCGAAGCCACTTGACCGTCGAACGCCAGCAACGACGGTTGACAGAAGAACAGCGTCGACTGTGTAATGAACAAGTCTGCCGAGTACCATTGATGATGAGGTAGTTGAGTACAGCAATTAGGTAGATTACGTAAATGAAAGTCAGTAAGTATATAACTTCGTAGTCTGGTAAGTAAATGAGTTACCACTTGCCAACTCCCCAGCCATTAAATGCAACCCCTCTGAGATTCCAGATCCCTTCTCGCGGTTGTGCGTTTCCTGCAGCATCAATGACCCGGCTGTACACCGTACCACTCTCCCCAACTCCATGTATTTCCGCTTCCCATAGAGTCCAGCTCCATTTGCCTTCTTTATACGTTACACGAGCACGGTGCCACGTCGCGCCATCGTCTGTCGTCAATTCTACAGTCGTTATATTCCCAGATGGACCAGGAATGCCGTATCCCTTTACAAATATTGAATTGGGAGAAATCTGATGCACAAAAGCAACGACAGAATTGAGTGGAAGCACTGTCATTGAGGGATATTTTGACCACAGAGGCTTCGCCGCCTCTTTGGTTTCGACCTATGGCTCTGCGATTGGAAACTACAACTGGAGGTACACATGAAATCACGTACGGTCGGTGGTAAAATCTTGTAATCGCGTTGTTGATAAAAATTTGGAGACTCGTCTTCAGAGAGTAGGATCGTGTCTACCCATTTCACCCAACGTGCACCAAGATACCCAGGTACAACGACACGCAAAGGCGCACCATGATCCGCACTCAACGGTTCGCCGTTCATCTGAGCTCTGTCAGGTTTTGGTGAAAGGACATGGAAAATATGTTTTTACCTCATATGCAATCAAGACGTCTTCGTCTTCACTGATCGCCTTTTCCCAAGGGATGGAGGCACCGTAGTATTCGTCGTCTTGACAGAGCGTGGCATAGGAGGAAAAACACACATGACGCGCATCTTGCACTCCCAAATGCCTCAGCAGGTCACATAGGCGCACACCTCCCCATTTGCAATTGGCGATAACGCCGTCCTTCCAAGGAACACCATGAACAGGTTTAACCAAACCCATTTCCTTCCTCCGAATGCCCGCACACTACAGAGTTTGCGTCATCCAGGACGTTGATTGAGAGGATTTCATACCTGGAGAACAGCGACCACTTCGGCCTTGTGAAAGGAGGTTCTGAGCTGGTCCATAGTAAAGCTTATGTCTTTGTTTTCGCCAATGACGACTCGCAGCTGGTAGGTATCATCATCGAACTCGCGTACAGGGCCATGATTCCGGCAGTAAACAAGATCTTCGGGAGTCAATGGGAATTCGACAAGTGCAGCAGCTGAAGGCTCTGCGTTGAACGGTGTGGCCGCCTGAACGTCGAGCAGATGAGAATGGGGGGGCTCATTAGTATAATCCATGGGGTTACAGGTATGTTTGTGGAAGAAATTGAGCTTTGAGCCTTTGACTCGCAGCACGGAAGGAGCATGGCTTGATCACGGGTCCAAAAATATCTATTATGCATTTCTACTCTATCTAAGGCTCCAGCGACGCAGGGAAAGTGCCATTTTCGCGTTGGTCGTCGAACTTGGAAATCTTTGAAACGACGTTCAGAGGAAAGAAGGAAAAAGACACGTTGATATCATACCCATTCATCTGTGGGTAGAGGGATAAGCGTTTTCAATGTAGTATGAATAAGGAAGAGTCGCACTGGGGCAAAGTGAATTGTAGGCCTTTTTGAATTGTTTGCAAGGGGCGTAATCTTCCCCCTTAGCGGTTATGCATTTGAAGTAGTCTGTGTAGTTCTGGAAACTTGAAGAGAGCTGTGAGCAGGCTGATGAGGACAAGAAATGTGCATACCAGTTCCTGGTCTGGTTGGTATTGGGGAAGCGGGCTGAGAAGAATAATAAGAGGTGTATTCCGGTGCAAGTCATGGTGATTACCGTCAAAGCCCACGGTCTGAAGGATGTATTTACTGAGAGATACGACAATGAGAATAACAACTGAAATAAAGAAGAGATATTCACCTTGACTCGGACATGTTCAAGAGGACGACGAGGACCAACTTGCAACCGTGTTTTGCCGGAATAAATATGTGCTTACGTTAGCACTTCCTTGTTCATGGATGCACTCAAGGCTGAAGTCGCTGCTAAGCGCAAAGCGATCCAGGATGACCCAAGCGCCGCTTCTCGTCCAACAAAGTACATGCGAAGAGGTGACATAGAACGCCTCAAACAGGAACAAGAAGAAGCTGCACTGCAGGCAACTGCTGCGTCACTGACGCCTATCGTTTCCAAGGTACTTTAGTGTTCGTATCCTATTCTCTGTTATGTTTCCTAATTCCCAGCTGGAGAACAGGCATCCTCACCCTCAACTTCAAAAGCACCCTCTGTAGCCCGCGAAACGGAGTCGCCTATACCAGAGTCATCTTTCAATATATCTAATGAGGAAACCATCAGGCGTCTTCGCGCAAAGAGCCAACCCATTCGACTCTTTGGCGAGTCCGACAAGGATCGCAGACTTCGACTGCGTGCTCTTGAGCTCATCGAAGAGAAAGGCACAGAACGTCAAGGGGGTCAGAATGACTTTAAGAAGGCATTGGAAGATGTTGAAAATAACGAGCGAGAATTGAAAAATAAGAACACGAAAGGGAAGAAGAGGGGCGATGCGGATCCTGGTGCCAACGGAGTCCTTGACCTTGCCCTCATCAAGACTGACCCGGACAAATTGTATCCTTTGATATATTACGCTCTTAAACGAACCCTCAAGGAATGGGGAGAAGCTATGGACGAACGACCAGGTTTGATTCTTGCTTCCTTGGTATTCAACCAGCCGAGCTGATGCTTCGTTACTAGACAACGTCAAACGTACCACTCAGGGTAAATTGGCTGCCGCAACACAGGTGCAATCCGCGGAATACTTAAAACCTTTGTTCAAGACTCTTCGTTCAAGAGTGAGCGTTGTTCTATCAAGTGAAATTTCACCACTAACTTCCCAAAAAAGTCTTTACCTCAAGACATGCTCGCTCGCATGGCCGAAATCGTGCATCACATGCAGAAAAGGCAGTACCAACGTGCAAACGATTCTTACTTGAGACTCTCAATTGGGAACGCGCCTTGGCCGATTGGTGTTACTATGGTTGGGTAGGTCTGAAACTCACAAACTGTTATAATTAGCTGATTTTATGATAGTATTCACGAACGTTCTGCTCGAGAAAAGATTTCTGCGGACCAGGTAGCTCACGTCCTAAATGACGAAGTCAGTCGAAAGTACATTCAGAGTCTCAAACGGCAAGTCATCCTCATTATGACCTTGTCTCTTCGGTCTGACGTTGCGTCAAGGCTTTTGACATTCTCTCAAACCAAGTATCCGCCAGAGGATATTTCTCAGCTCATGGGATAGGACTTGCCAGTCATCAGCGTCTGCCTTTCATGTATCATATTCCGGCCTTTACCTGTAATACTACCTATCGTTTGCCTTTCTTCCCCGTCCCACGGTCCTTCCCTTCAGCATCTCTGGCCAGCGCATGGCCCAATTCTGCTATATGTGAAAATAGCTTCGTTTTGTTCGGAAAACTTTCACCACAGACGTTACAGTGATGCTGGAAACAAGTTTTAGCGCAACATGACGAAGAGATGGTAACTACGCACCCCAGGCTCCACACTGGCTTTCTTCGCCTGCCGCGCTCTTCGTTTATCGCGTTTTGAAAGTTCTGATACATGAGCAGGCCCATCATTACTTGCTCCGCTTTCTTCCTCATCCTCTGTCCCAACAGCAATGGAATTGTCAATAATGTCATTCACTATGGGTAAACGTCCCAATTTTAAGGCTTTCCTCTCCGTGCGTGAAAGTGGTTCCGCGGGTATTTTAACATTTGCGTTGGTCTTGAATCTGGTCTCGCTCGCGGAAAACTCATTCTCATCTCCTGTAGGACTAGACAGAGGTGGCGTTGGGGGTAACGAAGGAGAGGCTGGCTGGGGATCATTGGCTACGAAGCTTGACTTGGATTTTGAGGGCGATTCTCCCTGACTGGTATCCTCCAAAGGTACGGATTCTTCTAAATCCGTCGTCGTTTTTGCAAGATCTTCATCTTCTTCCATTTCTCGTCGTAAACGCTCGACTTCCTTCATGTGCTTTTTACTTCGTTCGTGGCTGTCCCATGCAGCTTCGCTTCGGAACATCTTTCCGCAAGCTACACATTCCCATTGCTCATCGTCTTCTCCTTCCGCAGCTGCCCATTCTAGATCAGCATGAAGACCTTTCAGATCTACCTTTTGCCATTCTTGTTCAACATACGCATCCGAAGGTTGTGGACGACTGGACGGATTTGTTGCCGATGGCGTGGTTGATCCCGAGGGGCGAGTTTGCATCTCCGTCAGATGCTTTTTGTACCGCGGATCTCGTTTTCGGAGAAACTTGGCTAGGGACTTGAGGCAAGATATCCATGAGTCGCAGATGGTTCATGAATCAAATACACTCACTCTAACTGTGTCATTGTAATCCTTGCGGGCATCATCGCGGACTTTCTTGTTATCTTTTTCCATGAGCCTCGAGAAATTCAATCAGTCCCTTTTACGAGCTATGGCTGGAAAAAAGGCCAACCTTCGAGTGCGGCGATCGGGAGCTTCTGTGGATTTCCACTGTTCGACCCAAGAGAAATCTTTTGCCGTAGTAAAGTTCGTCCATACTGCGTAAAAAGATTTTGCCATATTAAGATTATCGCGCTCGTTCTTCGCAGACCAAGTCCATGTTGAAAAACCAAATGATGGAAAATCGGCATCGCTTGTTATCATAGCTTCCTCCGACTGAAGACGCGCAAAGAGATTGCGATATATGGTGAAGAAACCCTATGCAGTAGTAAACGCGATTAGTGGAATGGAATGGATGGTGGTAGAGTGACCCACATCTTCTCCGTCATCAAAGCCATGCCAAATGGTAGCGTCAAAAAATCGGGATAGATGCCGTACGGTGAGCCCTCGGTCTCGTGCAGGTGGCGCCGAGGCTCCTTTCCGGATGTTCTCAAAAACTTCGTCTGCATCTGCCTCGGGAATTAGAGAAGCTTTGTGCGAATCATACCAGGCCCGTTCCTACTTGTGATCTATGTCAACTGAAGGTTGTAGGATGACGGTATATCGGAGTTATATTACTTGTTCGTCGCTGAGGACCTGAGGAACAAGAATTCAGTCGATGAGCCTGTAAATAGCGATCTCCAAAGCCGACCTCGTACGCTTGTTGCAAGGATGCAAAGCGTTGAGTTGCCCCCTCAACGTCATCTCGATTCTTGTCTGGATGATGAACTAAGGCTAGTTGGCGAAAGGATCGCTAAATAGGTTCAATCAGAATGAAGATGCTGCTGGATATCTGGGAGTTGCATGCCTTGATTTCCTCTGGAGTAGCGTCCTCCGCGACTTCTAACAGTTGGTAATAGTCGAGAGGCTTTTCGTGTCGTTCGTTCCGCGTGGATTCGCTGGCGCCCATGTTTGGTGGTTAACAAGCTTGTAAAGAAAAAACAAATTGCCACCTCGGACGGTAGTGCTATATTTACCACCACCACCATGCCAGATTTCTTGGGCTCCTCCTCGTCCTCTGCCGCTCCTTCAGGTACTGCTCGTTTGTCTTCGATATTTATTGCTCATGTTATTTCCCGCTAGATATGGCTGCACAGAAAGAGGCAGTAATGAGGAATGTGCGCAACCAAATCGCATTGGCCAATGCCCAGGTTCTTATGAATGTACGGGTTTTACGTTTGCTATTTTGAATCTGGTTCTTGACCACCTTTATCAAGTCGAGCACCGAGCGGTGTTTCACGAAGTGCGTCCCGAGTCCTAGTTCATCACTGTCTAGCTATGAACAGGTTGGTGCGAAGTTGGCACATTGACTTTTTTTGCTAAAATATATTCTGCTTGCAGGCCTGCCTATCAAAGTGTATGGATCGTTACATGGATGCATGTAAGAGCCCCCCTTCGAAATGGCGTCTTTTGTTCTCCCTAACCTCTGCCTCAGTCAACGTCGTCAGCCGAACCTACATGTCAAGAATCAGCAGGGACCGTCTGGAGAATCAACAAGCAGCTGCCTTTCATTGAGGAAGTTTCATATTCCGACCTCAAACGGACTAAACTCCCGGCTCACCTCTGAAGGCCAGGACTTCAGAATGCCCGTTTCCTTTGATTAAAACTAGATTAAGTACATAAGTATTCAAGACGCGCTGTCTACGTACGTGTGCGGGGTAAAATATATATACAAAGAAATTAGTGCGACCGGACGAAATTTATTTCTACGGACGGGAGGTGTGTAAGGTGATAAACTTTATATTACCAACTGCCCAAGGTGTAGGATGTGATGAGCTGACTGTATATGTTGCGGTGAATTTATTTGCTGCGCCTCATGAGGCAGTAAGGTTCGTGGATTACTGATGGTAATTGCTAGAAAGAATGAAGATTTGCGTGATCGGGAGAGTGTTATGCATTATGCTCAAAATCCTGATCGAATTGTTGCGGGGGAAGACCATTGCCGTATGGAAGGGAAATAGACTGGACAGAGTAAGAAGCTGAGCGTCGCTGTAAAATGGGCCCATCTCCGTAATGGGAGGTATAGTTTTGGTGGTGATATTCATTGTAAGGTGGAGAATGAGGAGACCGCGATGTCCGCGGTTCAATACGTTGCAGTATTTGGCGAGTCCCATCGGCACCATAGAAAGATTCTGGGTTTGGCGGACTGAATTCTGTGCGTTTCCAGAACCGTTCCGCGTTCACAGGGGCCGAATGGCCGTATGGTCCCAACGGTGGTGTAGGAAGTGCTATCGGGGGAGACAGCTGAGCTGATCTTTGATAGGCCGACGGATGGTAAAGGGTTATCTCTGATCCCACTGACCCAGTGTTAAGGTCTCGCAAGAGATGGTTTAGCTGAACTGCAGACCCGATGAGCGTGTGCCGCAGGACGTGCGTGGCCTGCCGACCCTCAGTCCAGTCAGCACAGTTCTTCCACAAACGTTCAGCCGGAGAACTAGAGGATACATGCTCCAGATAAAAAGCAGGCGGCTGGGACAAGATGAAAGATGCCATTCCAGAACCTGGAGCCGCGTTCTGGAAATCGGTGTTGATGATGGTGTCGAAGGGTATTTCCATCTTAAACCCGTATCCAGCCGACTTGATGTACCAGGTTAGGCAACGCTTAACTTCGCAAACGTATGCCAGTAAAGCATGCTTGTCAGTCTGAGTAGCGATGCGCCTCCACGATCCTATGGATAAATCCGTGCAGGGAATGATGGTCACCGCTAAAAATAACGTAGGTTGAATCAAGTCCTTTATAGAGATGAAAAGATGCTCACGTCCATCTTCATGTATCAGGTTATAAAGTTCCGCCTCAAAGCCAGTTGAAAGCTCAGGCGGGGTATCTGGCGACAGCTCAGATACTTCGGTGACGCTCGACTGTTTACCCTCTTGCAGCTTTGCTTTTGCACGGCTAACAGTGTACGTGCTCAGAAGGGTACAGGGGATAACTAACATGACTCTTACCGATTCTGAAACCATATCTGCGTCTGACGCTCTTGCATACCCAATTGTTCACTGATCTCACGTCTTCGAGTGGCAGTGGGGCAGCGATCAGCTTTGAAATATTGTTCCAAGTGAACAAGCTGCTCTTGCGTAACCCGAGAACGTTTGCGTTTCTCTGTATCAGATTTTGCGCTCGATCCTGATCGGAACCGTATAGGACCTGAAGCTAGCTCCAGTTCGTCTTCACTCTTGACTCTATCCAATTCCTGAGGAGATTGATGATTGTCAAAAGAGATTGTTGTTGGGGAACGAGATGTGATGGCAGAAGTGGGTGAACCGTCGCTGCTACGGTCCTCGTCAGACTTGTGTACGACGGCAGCAGCGTCGAGACGAAGGGATGCCCTGCGGGAACGCATATCGAGTATGGGATATGGTTCATGACGAGCCATATGGTCTCCGACTACAAAGAACGCAAACGGTTAGCTTCCGAACAAAAGAAAGGAAGCAACTTACTTGATGGTTTGAAATACCAGACGGAGGACCTGGGCGTGTAAACGGTAGCCAGGTTATAAAGAATGAGGGGAAAGGCAGAGTGGAAGAGGGAGATCAAACAGTAGGAGGAGATATTAGTAAAATTGAAAGAGAATATACAAATGTAACTGAAAGAAAAAGAAACGACAGCTTTGACGAGTTGGAGAAACTTGAAAGAAAGGGAGTGAATGGGATACAGTGGAGGTGGCTCAGCCGAAAACGGCGAAAGTAGTTAGAGTTGAAACAATCTTACCATTAGCCTCGATCAGATCTAGGAACGGCCAGAAAGAATTTTGTGGTGGCAAGGTAACCTGAACTTTGAAGTCATCGAGAGTCATCGAGACGTTTGGCGTGGAGAACGAGGTAGCCGTAGGTACTTGTTGCGCAACATTATTATCAGATGCCATACTGGCGAAAGAAGGGATGTTATGGTTGAAGCGACGTGTTAGGAGGTCTTCTCCTTCCGTCTTGGCAGACTGGAAGATGGGATCTCGGCGCCCAACATCGAAAAGTATGGCAACAGGGACCAGCCAGCTTCAATATCACGGCTAAGACCGATGTTTGTACACTTGCCAATCAATATGCCGAAATAAATTAACTATTCTATAATATAATATTGATATTGCCCATCAAATATTTCGCAATGTCAATTATCGTGCTCCAAAGCACCAATTCGCCATACGGTGTCCATCTCGTATCTTCGTTGATTCGAGAAACTCTTCAATTTCTAAAGCTACCGTCTCCTACCAAGACCTCCTTCCCTCTCATCTCTCACTGAGTCACTGCCCGTTCTGTCACTCCGACACCAGAAAGGTTCGCATTACGTCATATACCTCCGGTAAACACTCTTCAGGTTGCTGCAGGTCCAGCTGCGTTCTCGCTTAATGCACCAACAGAAATTTCCGAGAAGCTCTTCATGAAAACTTACCGATGATGAGTGATTGCCCGATTCAAGCCCGATTCACCCAACTCCATTCGTGACGACGAGGACACTCAACTACGAGACGAGACGATTCCTGGCTCCCTCGCATCCTCCTTCTGGACGAAGAAGTGAGGATTCAATATCCAATATTCATTCCTGAACAAGCTTATCAGCCGTTCCGGGCTCTGCATACCGACCTTGCTTGCATTCCAGGGATTTGGAAAGGAGGAGCTTAAGCGCGAAGGATGATTAGGCCCAAGCCACCCAACGGCAGGAGGGATGAAAATTAGAGCCATACACAAGACGTGCGGTATGTGGCTTCGACTTGTTCATTTTTTGTTGGCTAATAACTGAGGTGAACGACACTCCACTCTCTTACATGGACAGTGGTCTCAGCACCCTCCTTAGTCACCCTGTTTTGGTCCAACCATTGGCCGTAAGTCTGACACCCAATGTTATTCAATTGTTTCTAATCTCTCTTTTATTGGTTCGTCCACTAGCTTTCCTAAAGTTGGTCAACTGGCTGCTTTCAGCACCTCCGTACTCATCCATACACACCACCCTGGTTCGTGTCCGACAGTTCACCATTCCGCCGCCAACCCAAGTTCACCGTTCCACCACCACCATTCCACTGCCAACCCAAGTTCACTGTTCCACCATCAACCCAAGTCTCGTCGATCTGAAGCGTTCCCACATCGGCTCGCCCGCTGCCTGTATATCAACGGGCAACTGTGCGGGATAGAGAGGTAACGCACTGAACTATCCAGCGCAACGTATACAGCAATACTACCCTACCGTAGCGGTACCCGGCTGTCGGCCCGTCGTGCATTCAAAATCATCAAACACGACCGTCTGCCTCATGACTTCTATGCGCACTAGTCAAGCCACTATGGTGGAACACGATTTGCGCAGCTCAACGTGTAGTTATTCTTTCCTCATCTGCCAACTTTCTAATCATCTCGGAGTTGACTTGACGTTAATATTTCAACGTCCCCATCTCGACAATATTTCCGTATAGACGTTCAACTCCTCTAACGTGATGACCCACCGACGATTTTCCTTGGGTTGCCAACGTCCTTTCGAACGCTGCATGTCTCCTAACACCCTTCCTTCCCTTTTCCTGCATCCTAATCGTTGTGCTGGACAGGTGTGACCACTGGCCAACGAGATCGCATTGTCACCTTTCCGCTCGACGTTCTACAGGCCAGAATTGTATGTTTTATATGTAGTGCGGAAGTTATACACGATACAACATGCTATACATAAGTAGATAGGTCTGTACTAGACTGCATAGGTTTTGCCAAGGTTTTGCGTAGTAAGTAAGATGTCAGCAATGAGGCACTGGTGGATCGGTAGTTTCACGGCTTCATGAAGAAACACTAATCTGAGTTAGCGCAGGTCAGTTAGACCTGCCAGTGGAGGTGCATCCGCTTTGGAAATCAATAGGAAATTGTTACAGGACAAAATATTTGATGGACAATATCAATATTATATTATAGAATAGTTAATTTATTTCGGCATATTGATCGGCAAGTGTACAAACATCGGTCTTAGCCGTGATATTGAAGCTGGCTGGTCCCTGTTGCCATAGAAAAGCCATGTGTCACCGCGATGACATATAGTCGGTTCAGTGGCGCAGCCGCTGCCGCTGCCTGGCCTTGCCTGGCGCGGGAGAATTGGAGACATCACGGGGCCAATCTGAGTTCTTGCACTGAGGGAGTTATATACGTCATTCCGGTTCCGTGCTTTGCAAACCGTTCCACAAAAAAGAGCAGCGAAGAGCCCTCAGAGATGTGACAGAGGTAGAATCTGAATCACGGGCAGGGCAGCCATTGTCCAATGCTCTGAACGGGTTCAGGAGAGTGGATTGGTTGCTGGGGACAATGGGAAAGATTTGAGCTTGTGAGGATCCGGACTAGGGTAGACTAGGGTGGACAAGTCACCCCGGAAGCGGTTGCCATGTGTGTTGCAGATGCACTGCGCAATGCGTCTGGCATTTGCAAAAGGAAGACCAGTCCCTGTGGCCTGAGGCCTGAGTTCCGGCGGCGAAGTCCCCTTTCCCAACCAATGAATGAAGTAGAGGTACTATGCTCGACCTGCCTGAGATTGACTATGCACACGGTATTGCAACCCGAGAAGGCGTCCCTCAAGGGATTTTTTTGAGTTTGGATAAGAGTGCAGGCACGAAGCTCCTTGACGGTTCTTGCTCGTTTCATGGACCCTGAAAAACCCTGTAAACCCTGTGGAGAGCAGGGATTTATATCATTACCATGCACTTTGGATGCATCACATTCCACAACACAAGAAGTGTAATTACAGAGAGTTGTGACTCTCTGCAGCTATGTACTAGGATAGGGAGTTGGACAATTTTGACTGACCAGTATCATATGGATGGGCGCCAGCGCAGCACAGCAAGTCCGACTGTAAAACCACTATGTCAGCACTCAACGGCGGCCAAGTTTTAAGAGGTCAAGAGTACTGGTAACCAGCTTGCCTCACACGGTCACTTTTATCTATGCAAAGGTAGCCCTTTGCTGTCAGCAGTTACATTTACGTCGTCGCAGTTGCACATCTAGAAGACGGATGAGTGGCCAATGTAAGAAGCTAGAAGGCAATCATTAAGATTGAAACGGCAAGATGTGCTTTCCTACCCATAGCCTTGAATAAGTCATGATACTTACGCACAAAAGACATGAAAAGGATACTAAAAATAAAAGATACTTGCACCCAAACCATAATACGAGAGCCAAGTGGCTTCCGTCAAGCCCACCTTGGCTTGAAGAAGGAACGAGAAGCAAGCCAGGTAAAATATACCTTCATCCCAGACGCTTAACCTAGTATCGTGGCCGCTTGGGATCTCTTTCATCGAAGCCGCCTGAGCCTTCGCGTTTAAGATCCCCTCGGAATCCTCCACTTCCACCGAATCCACCAGGCATACCTCCTCCAAGCGGACCTGAAAATCCACCTGGGGCGCCGTGTGGTGGAGGTCCTCCAAAGCCGTTTGAGTGACCATCAGCAAAACCATTGCTTCCTTGATAACCGATGCCACCGCCCCGCCCACCCCTAGGGAAAAAAATTTAGCAAAAGGGAGCAATGAAGTGGATGATGGTCCTGGTTACCTGAAGCCCCCTCCTCCACCAAAATCGTCTCGCCCGCGGAATCCACCGCCACCGGACCCACCTCTGAAACCGTCACCTCCGCCTCCGAATCCTCCCCTGAACCCTCCTCCTCCTCCTCTGTCACCACCAAAGCCTCCTCTGTCACCTCCAAAGCCTCCTCTGTCGCCGCCAAAGCCTCCTCTGTCGCCACCAAAACCGCCTCTGTCACCTCCAAAGCCCCCGCCTCGATCACGATCTCCACCAAACCCACCACGACCACCGCCAAAGCCGCCACGACCACCCCTAAATCCACCCCCTCTGTCTCCAAATCCTCTCCCACCTCCCATTCCGCCCCGGAAGCCGCCTCTCATGGGTGGAGCCACTACGGGAGCAGCTTCGACGACGCGCTTTGGACGGCCACCAAGGCCTCCTCCAAGACGACGAGGTTTCCAACCTCGTACTGTCCGCCCACGCTCCACGTCGACGAGAATTCGTTTTCCCATGATGTGCAAGCCATCGGACTCCTTATACGCGGCTTTTGAGAATGAGTCAATTGATTGAAAAGGGAGAGAGTTGATGAAAAATTGTACCTTTCATGTCACGTTCTCGTTCGTAAACGACGAATGCGTAGCCACGGCTGCGACCCTTTTTGTCGCGAACGATTCTGACTCGTTCTATGGTACCATACCCTTCAAACTCACGCCGTAGGTCTGTCTCTGTAGCCGTTTTATGCTAAAAATAAGATAAAGTAATGTCAGGAAGGTAAAGAAAAGAAGGGCATGGACGACGCCTACCAGGCGTGAGATAAACAGTGTTTTATAGGGATCCCCGACCGCCTCTGGATCGTCGGCAGGCTTGTCTTAAGAAGGGTCAGAAATAAGATTTGTAGGCTGGATTAGAACTCACAAGATGATTTCGCAAGCTTGAACTCTTCTGTCTTTTTGGCCTTGCGCTCTTCGCGTCGGATCTGCCTTTTGATTTCTTCTGCATGGGTAAACAAGGGCTCTTCTCCCTCCTCCATGGCCTCCGCTGTTCCGGAAGAAATGAGAGAGTCTGTGTTTGCTTCCTTGAGCTGTGCAAGAATTTGAGCTACACCATTGACGTGTTTTGTGCGGATACGGTCAATGTCTTTGTCGACAGGACGAGCGTATGGGAGAGGTGGTCTGGGAGCGAAGAGTTTAAGAAGATTAGGCGGGAGGAGATGGGTGCCAGGCATTTTAAAGGGAAGGGAATAAGGATAGGTATGTACAGGTGTAGTTCAAGTATGAATTTAAACTCCGACCTGTCTGTTCCTCGTCGCCGCCGTCGATGATCGTAAACTCCTTTGCTCGATGTTCTACTCGATGCTCTGTTCGTTGTTCTATTCGACGGCAGTCAACTGTGTCTAATTCTCTCTTTACTTCCTTTTTCTTTCACAACTCTCAATGGCTTCCTTCAAAATCTTACCCTCCTATTAGGGGTCCCCTCGAAGCCCAAGTTCCACCGCCTCTCTCCGCCTTTAAGAACGTTGAGGTACTCACTCCTCGCCGTCTCCTTAAAGTTTACGCCCAGCTATCAAAATCCAGGCTTACATTCCTTGTAGTTCTCACTGCAATGTCTGGTGTAGCACTCTCCCCACTTCCAACGACCATCCCTATTTTACTCTCAACAGCGGTCGGCACCGCTCTCTGTTCCGCCTCTGCGAACACTCTCAATCAAATACAGGAAGTTCCGTTTGACGCTCAAATGGCAAGAACCCGCTCCCGTCCTCTTGTCCGGAGAGCCATATCTCCCCTTCATGCTGCAGGGTTTGCCCTTGTCACCGGGATTGCAGGACCAGGCCTTCTCTGGACCATGGTGAACCCCACTGTCGCTGCCTTGGGAGCAGCCAACATTGTTTTATATGCAGGTCTCTATACCTGGATGAAACGGAGGAGCATTTACAACACCTGGGTTGGTTCCGTCGTTGGAGCTCTGCCCCCGTTGATGGGGTGGACGGCATGCGGGGGAAAGCTCCTCCCAAGCGCTACATACCCCATAGAATATTTCCTTCCCCCCATCTTGTCCTCCACTCCAGATCTTCCTGTCAACGTCGCGTTGGTTGACAATCCTCTTGCCCCTCTCGCCTTGTCCATATTGCTATTTAGCTGGCAGTTTCCTCATTTTAATGCATTATCATACATGGTCCGTGAATCGTATGCTCAAGCTGGATACCACATGCTTTCTGTTCTTTCACCAGCCAAAAATGCCCTTGTCTCACTCCGCCACACCCTGCTCTTGACCGCTACTTGTTCTGTTCTCATTCCCTTGTCAGGCCTGACGACGTGGACATTTGCTCTGGTCAGTTTCATTCCAAACGCGATTTGTGTCAGAGCTGCTTGGAGATTCTGGCGTCGAGGGGGTGAAAAAGAGGCCAAAGTAGTATGGCACCATAGTCTGTGGTATCTTCCCGTCATGCTGGGTCTCATGATGCTACACAAGCAGGGTATGGACTGGCTCAAGTGGTTGGGGTTACATTCTCAGAAAGAGGAAAGCACGGAGACAAAATCCCCATCCGTAGACCTATCTTGATTTATTACACGTTATAAAAAAAATAAAAGTTGACAGACATACGGTAAAAATCATCCATTGACTTTTGATTGTGCTTTCAAACCTTTTCTCTTCTTTTTGAAATCCTCAACTTTCTTCTTCATTCTCTCAACTCGCATATCCGCCTCCTCCTGCGCCCTTTCTTCATCCAAAACTCTATCCATAATTAGTTCCTTCTCATCCTGCTCCTTCTGCAACCTGGCTTCCACTTGATTTACCACAGGGGCTTCCTCCGACGCGGCCTCTGTAGGGAAGCCTGCAATCTCCGTAGAGGCGGGAACAGCTTCAACGAATATGGTAGCACGGTCATACGTTTCACGGTGTCTCTCTTCATCAAGTTGCATTAATTCGAGTTGAAAGCGCTCATATTCCAAGTCGATAGCAAGGGTTGGCTGCGTTGGTGGTGGTGCTTCGTCGTCGTCTTCCTCAAGGGACGCGGGAGCCCGAGTGGGATCAGAGAAAAAGTCGGCTGGAAAGCCGTTTGATGACAAGGGCGCTCCCTCAACCTTTCTCTTCTTTGCCTCTGCGTCCATGTCGACATTGTGTTCGCTGGCCTTTCGTTTGCCTTGCGTCTCTGAATCCTGCCTTCCATCCTCGTCATCGCGTGCTTTGGCAGCTGATATCTCCAACTCTTGTTTCAGGCGTGCCACATTGGTTCGATGGGCTTTGCTACCTAGATGACCTTCCCATGCAGATGCATGTTTCACGAGAGAGCCGCAAACCGAGCATTTTAGCTGCCCAGATTGGCTGTAGGCAGCGTAAGGATGTGAAATCTGGGTTTCTTGACGCTTGGCTTTGAGTAGTGCCCGCACATCTGACATTGTGAGTTAGCAGTTGGAGCGTGACAGCATTTATGTATTTTTTACATGACGACTTGATGACCAAACTTCAGCTTCGAATTCATTGTCCAACAAGCTCGGGTTCGACATGCATGAGATTCATGTACTCATTAGAATGTAAAATAACAGATTACTATGTACTCGGCACGCTCTACTGGATGATAGGTAAGTTAAGACTTATCCTTGAAAATCTTTTGGATGGCAGCGGTTGAGTAGGATTTCGGGCGCTCCAATGCTATGGAATTTCCATCAGCCATGCAGAAAGAGGGCACAAAAGGAGTATACGTACGAGCACCAAGAGCACGATCCCAAATCAACTGAGCAGCAACACCGAAGGCACGAGACACTCCGAAGAGAACAGTGTAGAATTGCATTTGATCAAGGCCATAGTATGTCAGAAGAACGCCAGAGTGAGCGTCGACGTTGGGCCAAGGGTTCTTGGCTTTGCCAGCCTGTAGTGGTGTAAGTCAACGATGAAGCAGGAACTGGAGTTTGCTGACCTCGAGCAAAATATCTGGAACAAGATTATAAATTTGACCGACGAGTTTGAACAGCTTGTCTTCAGGCAAGTGTTTCAAGGCAAACTCGCGCTGAGCGGTATACCGAGGGTCTGTCTTTCTCAAAACAGCATGACCGTAACCTGGAACCACCTGGCCAGCCTTGAGAGTCGACCAAATGTATTCCTTCACGGCCTCGTCAGAGGCATCTTCGCCAATCTTGGCCTGCATCTTTCGCAGCCAGATCAGAACTTCTTGGTTTGCAAGGCCGTGCAAAGGCCCAGCTAAACCGTTCAAGGCTGCTCCGTATGCAAGGAAGGGATCTGAAAGAGCAGAGCCAACCAATTTGCCAGTATGGGCCGAGACGTTTCCGCCCTCGTGATCACTGTAGGGACGGTTATTACATTATACTTTCGTGCGAAAGGCAAGAAACCATACCTATGGATGGTGAGGTAGAGGCGCAAAAGTTCAACAAAGCCATGATTCTCGCCGAATCCCAGGAGAGTAGCAAGGTTATGGGAATAATCCTTGGAGGGGTCGATGGCTGGCAGTTTACCTTGACCGAAAACATTGCGGTAGATGCGACCAGCAATATTGGGTAGTTTGGCAATGCTGAAGGAGGGACATGTAGAAAGAGAATAAAACCAAGTGTCCATCACTTACAGGTCCATCGAGTCCTCAAACGTTGGCCCCCAGTACTCTTTCTTTGAAACGCCAGCTTGATAGGCTTTGGCGAATGCGGAATCGTGATTTAACTAAACATAACAACTTTATCAGGCAAAACTGTACCAGAAGGGGAGAGGACTTACAGCTGTCACAGCCAAGCTGAATTGACTCATGGGATGGAGCGTGGGAGGGCATCGATCCAAAATTTCCTCCACGAACTCAGGAATGGCCGAGCGAGCCGCCCAATCTTTTGAAAGTTCGGTCACCTGTTCTTGAGTAGGGACCTCGCCAGTGACCAAAAGCCAGAAGAGGGCTTCGGGCAAAGGTTCCGATCCTCCCGGTGCCTTGGGCAAGAGCGCCTGGCATTCTGGGATAGTTTTCCCACGGAAGCGGATTCCCTCCTCTTGGTCACGTCAATACGGATTCAGGAAGGGCTGGGATAAAGCAACATACCCGCATCCAAAACGGAACCATCCCAGATGAGGGCAGGAAGACCTCTCATACCACTGAAGAAAAAAGAAGAAAAATGTAAGAAAATATAGCCGAAGAGATGGAAATGTCGTACCCATAGAGCTGGTCAACCACAACAGGGCCAAAGGCTTTTTTGCCATGCTCGGCGCGAGTGGCCTTGACCTAAGAAAGTTGTGGAGAGTGAGATAGTGTCCGTGAAGGATATGCTTGAACGAACGTTTTCAATCTCTGCAGGAATGAGCTCTGCGAGACGTTCCTTCAGCGAAACGGATTTTGAAGAAGTCGACGAAAAACGAATGGCGGGAACTGCCGTTCGTAGCAGAGAAGGACGCGACTAGTAAAGAAAGTGAGCCAAGGTTCTAGGAAGCAGCTAAGAAGTCCCAATTAACCTTGAGGAGGGACCGTACTGGTGCAGCCATGAGGAATTGAGTATTCGGAAGAAGAGGATGGTGTAAAGGAACAAGCCTGGGTGGAATTCCGGTCAGTGACGAAAAAGTTTAAACAGCGGGTCTCTCCGAATCAATTTGTTCATTATGTAATAACCAAATAACTCTGACCATGGCAAAACGAAAGCGATCGCAAGCAGCACAAGCATCCTCTAGCCACCCAGAAAATTCTCTTTTGCCCCAGGTAATCGTCGAAATATACACGCTGGTTTCTTTCTATATGACTTCTCTTTTTTTTCTCAGAAAAAACATTACCGTCAGCGCGCACACGCGAATCCGTTCTCTGATCATTCACTTGATTACCCGTCTTCACCTGGGGTCATCCACTGGGCATCCCATTACCCTGCCTTCCATGATACCGGCAAAGTTCCAGAGTTTGCTGACATTGGCTGTGGTTTTGGCGGGCTTCTGATTGCCCTTGCTCCCCTCTTTCCCGATGACCTTATGCTCGGTTAGTTGTCTCTCCCGGGGGTCCTTCACGACCCAATGATTCTTTCTAGGCATGGAGATTCGCGTTCAGGTTTCCCAATATGTCGAAGACCGCATCGCCGCCCTCCGTGTCACTGCCTCGGAATCTTCGGCTGGGATCGATGCCGCTCCCCATGACTATCAAAATGTGTCGGTGGTTCGTGCAAATGCCATGAAGTTCCTACCAAACTATTTCTCAAAACATTCTTTATCGTCCCTTTTCTTCCTTTTTCCCGACCCACACTTTAAATCCCGAAAACACAAGGCACGCATCATCTCTCCGACTTTGCTTGCGGAGTATGCATTCGTGCTTCGGCCAGGAGGGATTGTTTACACCATCACTGATGTCAAAGACCTTCACGAGTGGATGAAAGCACATCTCACAGCTTTTCCGCTTTTCGAAGCTGTTGATGAGGAAACGCTACGCAACGAGGGGAAAGGGCCCATTATAGACGCAGTATACACGAGTACGGAGGAGGGCAAAAAAGTACAACGGAATGGCGGCGATAAGTGGCTTGCATGTTTTAGACGTGTTGAAGTTGCAAGAGACAGCTGAAAACATTTTCTGATTAGAATATATGTATTATTCGTTCATACCATCGTCGACAGCCCGCTCTTGAACAAGGTGACCAGATTCCATCGCAGCGACCAAGGAGTTTGATCTAGCCAACACTGCCCTTTTCATCTCCCGGTGAATGACCGCTCCCGCTTCCCTAGCCAGCGTTAAAATTTGTTCAAATCGGTCAACGTGCAGCCTAGTCTCCATAGTCACAAGAGCCACTTTTCCTGTCTTCGGCATCATCGCAACGGTGACGTGAGGTGCATCACCCTCTTCCAACGTCGTTAAATCAAGCAGGGGGGCACTAGAATGCACACCGCCTGAAACCGCGCAGACAAAGTCGATCATGGGGATACCGGCGTTGATAAGTGCAAGCGTCGTGCCGTTGATACAGGCTTGCAACAACCCGCCATCTTGCTGTAGAACTTGAATGTAGATATCTATCTGTGACCGAGGGTAGAGATTTGTCTGTATAACCGGTTCAAAGGTAGATTTGATAGTCGATGCAAATTCTAGAATCCGTCTGATAGATTCAGTACACAGTTAGAAAATAGAGTCTTTCGAAAAATTCCGGACTGGAAAATGAGGACTCACTCACTTGTCCCCACGAGACCGTTTCCGTCTCTCTCCCGTGCTAAAGGCAGCTACAGCAACCTCCACATTGATATTTGCGCGGTCATGAATCGTGTGTGACCGTGATTTGGCCTCCCTAGGGCCGTATACGGAGACGAGTACCTGGGTGAGCCCGTGCGTGATGATCGCTGAGCCGTCCGCAACGCCTTGGGGAGAAAGTTCGATGATGATTTCGCGTAGTTCATATTGGCGTCGGCCATCAGAACGAAACCCTCCCTCGTTCAGAATTTCAATACGAGAGCCCTAGGAAGGATGGAAGTGAGCAAGTTCTGGAGGTGAGATTGGAATATTCTTACCATCGTTTTGACCGATATGGACGAGGTGACCGTAGCGCTGCACTAATATACATAGTGGCTCACACACATAACACCAAATTCAATATAACTTGCTCCCGGACCTCTCCTTTACCCAGCTGCGATGTCTGCCCCACTCGATGATCTTCCAATACCCACTTCAATCTTGGACACCGATTTGTACAAGGTGCAATCTTCAAGCATCTACATTCCTATGTTGTTGAGATCTTACTAATTAACAGTTGACCATGCAACAAGCGGTCCTACAACAGTTCCTTGAAGTACAAGCCACCTATCGCTTTTTCAATCGAGACAGCAAAGTCCTTTTCTCCCGTCACTGTGTTGAGCGGTTCCGAGCTGCTGTTTCTTGTGAGTGCTTTTTGTCCGTGCTTCTCTAGCTAACAGCGTTATTGCATTCAGGCTTTGCTCTCCTCTCGCTCACAGACGCCGAGCTTCAATGGCTCAAGGAATCATGCTCCTATTTAACCCCCGATTACTTGTCTTACCTTTCATCTTATCGGTTCAAGCCGGAACAAGTTTCGATTGAGTTTGTTCCCCTTTCAAGTGACGGTCAACAGGGTAACGTTGAGATTTTGGTGTCCGGCCCTTGGGCAGAGGTCATCCTGTGGGAGGTGCCTCTCATGGCCTGTTTGAGCGAGTCGTACTTCCAGACGGTGATTACAGATTGGAGTTATGACGGTCAAGAAGGTATGTTGCTTACTCCCTATGAGATACTCTTCTCATGAAGTTCAAATCAGAACTTGCCTATACAAAGGGTCATGAGCTCCTTTCTGCTTCTTGTTCATTTAGTGAATTTGGAACGCGTCGAAGACGTTCATATGACACACAGGATATTGTTATCAAATCCCTTGTCTCTGCAACGAAAGATGTGAATGGAGGGGGTTCTTTCAATGGAACAAGCAATGTTTGTAATCTTACACTGTATATATTAATTGCTTATGCAGCTGTATGCTCAATCAGGTCCATTTTGCACAAAAGTATGGCCTTCGTGCAATTGGAACGATTGCGCAGTATGTATATCCAATATCAGGCTTTAGTTAGCATGCTGATCAATACGAAGTGAATGGTTCATGGGGGTAATCCATCTGTTGTCTTTTTTCAAACTCGTATCTGAACCCTCTTCGTCAGGTTGCTGCTCTGAAAGGGTATAAAAACGCAAATTCAACGGCCTTGGAGATATGGGAGAAAGTTTATTCCAACGATACCGCGCTCATTGCCCTTACCGACACTTTTTCGACCGAGGCTTTCTTTCAAGTGAGCAAAGTTCAAAATATAATAAAATCATCTCCACTAACGCAGATTTGGGCCAGGACTTTGTTACAGATCCTGTACGTGCACAGCGTTGGACAGGATTACGACAAGACTCTGGAGATCCATTCGAATTCGGCCCTCGCGTCAAGAATATGTATGAATCTATAGGAATAGATCCGGCTGACAAGACTCTCGTCTACTCCGACGCATTGACTGTTCAAAAGGCAATCCAGATTAAAAAGGGTTGTGACGAAATAGGTCTTCGTAAAGGTCTGGAACCCACGTATTTTCTCCATGAGCTGCATACTTACATTTACGCAGTTACCTTTGGCATCGGGACTTTTTTAACAAATGACTTCAAGACATCCTCCAGCGGTGGAAAGGAAAAGAGTAAAGCGCTGAATATGGTCATCAAACTGGCATCTGTAGATGGGAGGCCTTGCATTAAAATCAGTGACGATTTGACCAAGGTAAGCTGTTTTGGTTAGTTAGATTTTTGCTAATATGTACGTGATAGAATACTGGTGATGCAGAAACACTGGCACTTGTCAAGGCTATATACAATTTACCAACTAAATGATTACTGTGAAGGGAAGTTAGGCAGTTTAGGTTGTCAGGAGAGTGGAGAAAAGAAATTATGCTGGGAATGGTTGGAAGACTCCGGTTTTTCTTGGTTTGAGACGAAAGTGGAAAGGAAATGTAATGTAGAGTCTGATATAAATAGAGGTTCCAACATGCTTCTTCGCACACATACAATCGGACGATTAGGACGCTGCTTAGGAACTTACCAATGTACTCGATTCCAAAGGCCCTCCTCACGAGCTTTCCACGCTACCTGCTATACATCTGACAGCTCCTTCACAAACCTGCTTGCAGATGCCGACAACCCTCCTCCAGTGCAGGTGTCGAGCATTTCAGACCAAGAGGGTATCCGCCTTGTTGACGGCCTCGTCCTCCCAGCCGCATGTATTTTTCTGGAGGGTCAAGTATATCTATGGGATGTTCCTTCGCTCAAAACGGAGAACAAACCTAGTGAGGTCCAATGGCAAGGATGGACGAAGGACCATTTCGAACTTTTCGACGTTGTGGTTCCGAAGCCTGGTACGCTCTGATTCTTTTGCACCACTTATCCGGATCCCTAGCAATACGAATTCCCCTCTCAGAAATTCTCCTGTTGGGAACGGGCAAGCGGATCGTCCAACCGCCCTCATTCATGCGGACCTACCTCAACGACCGGGGGATTCAGTTGGACGTTATGGATACTGTGCGTCTGCGGTGCATTCTTTTTAACTCATGTGCTTATGACGCTTGAATTTTATAGAGAAACGCGTGCGCGACGTACAACCTTCTAGCGGAAGAAGGCCGACGCGTTGCAGCAGCCTTACTACCCAACGACCCGCTTAAGAGGTGGAATAAGATGACTGTGAAGCCGAAGACTGGATCCTCATAGTTCAAGTCAAGCTCGACTTGCCCTGCGCATGGTAAAATTTGTTCGTTATGTTAATCTTTGGAAAGCCCTTGCTCATCGACGTCTGCAGTGGCCACATTTTAATCTAAAAGGCGAAAAGTACACAATGGCATGATGCCCTGGACTTTCTTTCGGGTGGTCTGGTTGGTCTGGTTATCTCAAATACGGTCACTGGAACAATCCTGTCCAACAAGTTATTAGACCTCCTTTCAGTTGCCTGTGACAAAGGGGCGCACAATGACGCTATATTGTAGGTTTCGAGGGTGGAATAATGTGCATTTCTGCAGCGTTCTTTTCATAGACGACCATTTGAATGAGAGCGGCCGCTTCCTGCTCTGAGCAGTATCTTATCGACCAAAATTTCTTCCAATTCTGACTGTTGCGATGAAAGAGTCACTCTTCTGTTTGCCATTGCTCGTTTAGCTCACTCGCAGACTTTACACACAGAAATAAGAAACCACTAATAGACTACAAACGGGAGTTCAACGTTCAACTGTCAATTGAATCAGCCTTCCGCTTCCCCTTTCTTTTCCCACTAATTTCTGGTACATCCTCATCCATTTCTTGTACGGAAGGCGGTGGTGCGTCGTCTTCATCGTCATCAATAGATGGTAGGAAATATGTAATCGGCAATGGTTCGTCTAGAAACACCCCATCGTCGTAGGTGGCACATTGGGTTACAATGAAGGATTTGACTTACGCGTCTCCGGATTATTGAACTGCAAAAACAAAACCTCCCACCCGCTAATCCCACAATCCCGTACAGGCTTCTGGGGATCCAGAATTTCGAAACCGCCGGATTGTGATTGCAGTAGAACTTGACGTTTCGATGGCAGTTTACAGATCTCAAAGTCATCGGTACTCGTCGGGGGCGGGACGAGGACAGCGCCTTCTTCACCTAGAAAGCCTTTCATGAACTACGATATCAGTCCAGTTACAACGAGAGGCGAACCGGAGTCCTGATCCTCCTCTATCGTGAAGTCCAGCGGGAAAGGCGACACGTCGGAGGAGAGTGCATCCAAAATTTCGTCCTTTAGCTCTGAGATCAATGTACTAGGAGCAACGCCGGACAACGCGATGGTGATCCTGTGCGTTTTGCATTGGAGCTGGTAGATTTTCGGTTGTGGACGTGGTGGCTGAGTGGGGTATCATTAGTAGAGTTATTGCCTGAACACACGAAGGGCGTGCCACAGTGTGCGTACCATAATTAAGATGTTATTTGAACTCCGATTATATTGCTCACTGATTCACTGAACATCCAAGTATCGAATTGTCAAAATTATCGGGTTCATAGGTACATTACATTCGGATATTGTGTAACGAAATGAAGCGCTCTCATGCGAGAACTCGCACCAGAACATCTCACAGTGGAATGATCTTGCCCTCCTCCAAGTCTCGTAATTACTCGCGGTAGACGCGGTACACGAGCGAGCAGTTTGTTCTCATTGGTCGCCATGTGCAGCGCAGGCGGAAGGCAGCCGTCGTTGCGAGATCAAGTGCTTGATGATGGCCTATTCAAGATCGCAAAGTTCTCCAAGAACGAAAGGGGGTGTCGTGTTCAAAGTGTCTCGACCAAGAAACGCGCTAAGTCAGGTGTCGGCGATCGCATTGTCAAAGCAGGGTTTAAAGACGTTGGAAAATACCTTTGTCAAAAAAAATCGTCTTCAATACCTGTAACCAAATGTCAAAATTTCCCTCAGGATGAGTAAACCAAAATGACTCACGAATTCAAGCATTTGCAATGTCCATAGCGACATCGTCTTCACCACTCTCATTGTCAATCTGCATCTCCTCAGGGTCAGTCTCTTTCGCCTTTCCCTTCCCTTTCCCCTTTGATTTTGATTTTGATTTTGCCTTCGCCTTTTCCGCTGGTGCCTTCTTAGGTTTGGAACTCTCGCCCTTTGCCCGCGGCGCGCGAGTCAGAGGAGCCAATTTCCCCGTCAATCTGTCGATCTGGTGTGGATTTTCGTCGTGCGCAGCGGTGGCGGCTACTTCGCCATCTTCCGCACCTCGTTCGTTCCATTTATCGGAGGGGTCTTTAGGTTGCAGGTTGACTTCATTGAAGCAAATACGTTGCTCTGTATTGGAAACGTGTACGACGGAACGTTTATTCCAGTCATGATTATCTATATGTCGTGTCGATGAACTGTTTTGTAAATTATTTTGTCTAACTCACCTTTGTCGTCGGTAAATAACATCTCAGTTCCAAGAAGAACATCGTGACGCCCTTTGAATATCGTTCCCTGGAGCTGTAAAAATGGAGTAGGTGTATCTAGGCCCTAAACATTCTGCAATTAGCGATAAGCAAACTCGCGAGACTCGTGAAAAACCCACAATCAAGCGATAACCTGTAGAACCTGGAACAAGCGTCGGTTCGATGGCCCCGAGGTCCAAAACAACATAAGACACCTCTTCATCTTCATCTTCATAATCTTCATCGGGCCCAAAGGCCTCGACTTGTTTGAAGCCGGGACAAAGCGAAAGGGATGGACTCATCTGGCACAAGCACTGACAAACAAACTGAAATTTCATACCCACGGACAAAACTCATTGGCAGCGCTTGATAGATATCAATGGGTACGCACTGATTACGGTTCTTATGCTCTTACTAACGACTTGCACTCTCAGCTCCGAAGAAAGCAAAAAAGATCTCCTTGAACGAGTTTCTCGGCGATAGTGGTCAGTAGTGAACCCTATGCAATTGATCACATCTCAGCTAATTTGCTCAGCACTAGGATCATGGGCGGATGAAATGGATTCTCTGCCCAATGCTCGTAAGTTGTTTCTAATTTCAAGCACTGTCGTTTGATTGACTTTGCCTAGCCGCGGTTAGGACTGATGAGGAGAATAGCCGTGGAGATCGCTATGGTCGAAGAGGAGACGATTTTTTGAGCAGCCGTCGTACGTTTATTCTTCCGCTTTCTGATAACATTTCTCATGAGTGCTTCAGCGGATCGAGTCGCTGGTCCTCCACGAGAGGATATTCCGCTCCCTTCTCAACCCCCTTACACTGCGTTCATCGGGAATTTGGCATTTGACCTCACTGAAGATGACCTGGGAGCCTTTTTTGAAGGAGCAAAGGTATGTCTCCGGCCTTTCTCGCATTCGTTACATGACATATTCAAGATTATTAGACAAAATCAATCAAAATCATCAAGGACAAGGACGATAAACCCAAAGGTTTCGGTTACGTTGAATTTGAAGATCTTGATGGCTTGAAGGATGCCCTCACCAAAAGTGGCTCGGTAAGCTTTGTGATTTTCAACGTTTACATTACCCTGATCCTCCGCTAGAACTTTTCAGGAAGGACCGTTCGGGTCAGTGTTGCAGAACCACGTGAGAACTATCGCATTCTTATCCCTATTCTGTTGTGCTGACGACGAATCGCATAGCTAAAGAGCGTGGTGGTTTTGGTGGAGGATTCGAGGATGACTCAAAATTCGACAACCCTTGGCGCCGTGATGGCCCCCTCCCTGACCTACCTAACTCTAGGGACAGCTCTCGTCGTCGCTTTGATGGACCGCCCCCCGACCGTCAGCTCTCCAGCGTCTCCGAGGGTGCTAGTGATTGGCGCTCTAGCCGTCCTGCACGCCAATCTGAAGAAGCTCCTCAGTTCAAGCGAAAGGGGTCCGGGTTTCTGCCACCCGACGCTCAGGCTGGTGCTGCTGACAAGGACGAAGTTTGGACGATTGGAGGGAAATTCAAGCCTGCAGCTCCCGGCCCAGATGAAACCCCAGGGAGCAGGTTTGGGAGTTTACGAGGAAAAGGTGATATGGGTCCTCCAAAAGATACGGATGAAGGGGATTGGAGGAGTGCGCGACCAAAGCCGGCACATACCAGTATTTCTCGTAAGTTCCCCCGCCTTTATTTCTATTCATCGACGAGCTAACGGGCTGCCATAATAGCTTCTAGCTCGACGCCTCCGACACCCCAACTTGGTCGGCGCAAACTTGAGCTTCTTCCTCGGTCTGGCAACGCCTCCGCTTCCCCAAGCCCCCTGTCTTCCCCTAAAATGGGTCCAACTCCTCAGGCCTCCAGCGCATCTCGTTCAAATCCTTTTGGTGCAGCCAGGTGCGAGATTTTTTCAAATTGTTCTTATATACTAATCAGCTGTAGACCCGTGGACGTAAGCACTCGGGAGAAAGAGGTTGCTGATCGCCTAGAGAAAGATAAAGAAAGGCTGCCAATGTCCCGTACAAACTCGCGTACCGCGACGGAGAGGAGTTCACGAACATCAACGCCGCCTGCCAACTCCCAAAACAAAATTCCTTCTTCCCCAAAGCCATCTAATTATGTCCTGGCACCGAATGTTCGGCCCACACTCAGCTTTGCGAATGTTGCAGCAAATAAAGAGACGGTTGATAGTAAGCCAGAGGACTCGTCCCATACAACGGACAAGGTGCAGGCAGAGGCTGTAGCTGAGGTATAAGCATCGCAATGGTTATAGACACAGGTATCGATGACAGTTTGCTAAGTATTTAACCTGTGCTCTCAGGCTCATATAACTACGGTCTTTGTTGTCCAATTTCTGGGTCAATAAATTTCATTCTTCCTCGTCCTGCGCACCAATCACCTGTAAACTTCAAACTGACAGAAAAAAAGAGATTCTCCACACCTTTGAAACGGATGCCATCCGTCGACTGGCTGTCTTGCTCACACTTGGCTTTGATTCGTTGCAGGGCCTCTCTTCTTTGCGCCTCGAGTCGCTCCTTTTCTTCTCGTTCCAGTCGTGCATCGTATTCTTCCTCAGTTTCTGTGGTTACGTCCGGTTTGTCCAGTTTATGGGACTTCTTCGGACGGATTGAACGGCGCTTGGAATTTGGACTGGTTGACCGTGATCGGGAGGAATCTTTTTGTTGGATCACATCTTTGGAACGAGGTCTTTTGATACTTTTGCCTGCAACACGAATCAGAGTGCATTTATATATGCGAAGGGGACGCGACGTACGAAGCTCAAGTTCACCGCAGTTTGAGATGACGATCGGAGTGGTTGGTCGATGTTTCTCATCCACGGATATGTTAGCCAGTTGTTTGATAACGTCATCGTAACCTTTGACGACCCTTCCAAAAACAACGTGTTTTCCTAGAGTATGGATTAAATAGGCGAGATCAATGGAGTAGGAGAGAAAACCAAACTTGCCGTTCAAATGTGGACATGGACGAAGGGTAATGAAAAACTGAGAACCGTTTGTGTTAGGTCCTTTGTTGGCCATGCACAGTAAACCTTCGGAATCCAGCGGGATAGTGAGGTCTTCGTCGGCGAACGAAGAACCGTAGATGGACTCTCCTCCCATCCCATTACCCTTGATGAAATCTTGGAGAGCAGAATCAGATAGGAAAGACAACGTTGAGTGGCACAAACCTCCGCCTTGCAGCATAAAGTCCTTGATGCATCTGTGTAGGATAGATTTCTTGTAATAAAGTGGGCTCCCCGAGGCAGATAATCCCTTATCCCCAGTGCAGAGTGCGCGGAAGCTTCGAAGAGGGAGAATTAGGCAGCGAAGTATGAGGCGGCAGAGAACGTACTTTTCGCACGTCTTTGGTGTTGAGTCAACGAACAACTCAAAGATTACCCTGACAGGTGGTTAGGTTTTGTCGCAAAAGAAATAAACGGTATTAACGTACCTACCCACTGGCTGGTCATCGACAGAGAAATTGAAAAATGTGCGTGGATTCACCATGAAAAGTAGCGCAAAGTGCTACTCAATCTATTCTTGTCTTCCCATCTCAATTTCAAAGTCCGCTGATCAGACTTTGCAACCCAGTTGTAACGTCAGAGATAAAAATTCCATCCAGTTGTGTCACCAAGCAGGCGTCCTTTGTTTCTTATATGCAAAGTTTTCATTGAGTTCTGTCTAGCGTACACAGTAATATATATATATATTCTTCATTGGTATCCAGAGTCAAATTCAATAATTTACATGTGATCACAACTTGAAGGGCTTGTTCGTCTGCGCGCGAAGCAGCAGTTTTATCTCTAGAAGCACCAAAGCCATCTTTTTGCAAAAGAATTTTGACACAATGTGGTGTTGAGAATATCTGAGAAAATTCTTTCTATTCTTTATATCTTTTCTTGTTATTCAAATTGAACACCCACAGTTGTGCCAGGTTGTGCCTGGCAGAGCTTTGTAGACATCCATATTTGGTAATCCAAGAACATGTTGTACCTTTGCGCCTGACCAACGCCTGACCAGGGCTTCATTGCTCCAGACCCCGCCTTACTGCCTCTCCCCCTCTCACCTCAACCATTTTCTGCGAAACACACACCTAATGCGCCAGTTTAATGTCGTGGTTCTTGGAGGTACCGCATTCTTTTTGGATCGTATCTTCGCTCTCCTGACTATCCTCCAGCTGGAGGGGTTGGCAAATCGGCACTCACAGGTAATCGCGCTTGATTAAACGAGGCTTACTGTTGCTAATATCTTTGTAGTTCGGTTTATCCGGGATGTTTTTGTGGAGAACTACGACCCAACTATCGAAGGTTACATCGCCTCATCCCTCTTTCATTCAGAGGTCTAACCCTCCCCTTAGAGGAATATCGTAGAACTATAATGGTTGACGGCGAACTTTCTTCAGTAAGTGGTTATAATTCAATACCACTCTCTCCGAAAGAGCGTCGTATTTGCAGGCGTCGCCGCGCGGTCCTCCTTTCAGTTCTTCACCCACTTTGCATCTCACGCGTCCTACATTTATTAACAATTTTGCTCCTCTACTATCAGCTTGAGGTCTTAGACACGGCTGGTGCTGAACAGTTCACTTCGCTGAACGAGGTTTACATCAAAGTAAATTTTAGCTTGTGGTTTCTAAACTGAGTTGGACTGACCGCCTTGCATTTATCCTAGTCTGGCCGTGGGTTTGTGCTCGTGTTTAGGTGCCGTTGGTTTTTTTTTTTGTTGGCCTTGCATAAACGTCTTTCACCAGCCTTACACAGGAGGCAAGCTTGAAAGAGGTTGATAACTTGAGAAAGCAGATATATCGCATCAAGGGCGGGGACACTGTGAGCATTCACCTGACGTCACCATTCAAACGTTGTTGTTGACCCTTTTTTCATATTTTTTTTTCAAGGGTGTACCGATTGTTGTGGTCGGTACAAAATTAGATTTGGTGAATGAACGCGAGGTGCAAAGGAGTACCATTCAATCTCTTTCTGCACGCTGGGACCTTCCGTTTTACGAAACCTCGGCCAAGCGAAATTGGCATGTCACAGACGTATTTGAAGACCTCCTGAGGCAAATGCGGATACGCTATCCAGCTGAACCGGTTAAGAAGAAAAAGAAACGCGGCAGTGGGTGCGTTGTCATGTAAACTCATTCGAGCAGGCAACTTGTCTCGACTGTCATTCAATACCACATCACAAACTGGCAATGTTCGCTTCGCTATCCATGGGCTCAAACTTTGTCAACCAGAGGAACCTGCCATTTACCTGGATGAATATACACCAAGTACCCTTGCGCATCTCACTCAGTAGGATGGATCTGACTACTACCCTTGAAGGACTTAGTTCTTGTATAGAATGCTCACTCTCATTCGCTTTTCCACCTTGGACACCTTAGACACTTAATTACTTGAAGTTAGCGATGTGGCTGTCCTTATTTACACTTGATTGTTGTAGAAGTGTAAAGCGAAAATTTCTCTGCATTTTCACCACAAACCTCTCTTTATCCCCCTTCTTCACCCCTTCAAACAAATCATGGTAGACAACCATTCTCTTTCACTCCAAAATTAGCTGACTTTACTGACTTCAGAGTTACGGCGGTTCTTACGGCGGCGGCGGTGGCTACAGCAACGGATATGGAGGCGGAGGCGGAGGGGGACATGGAGGAGGTGGGGGTTGGGGCGATGACAAAATGTCGAACCTTGGAGGTGGTCTGCGCTCAGTGGACTGGAACAGCACGAAGCTGGAGCACTTTGAGAAAAACTTCTACATCGAAGACAAACGCGTGGCAGCGCTCAGTGACCGTGAAATCGAAGAGTTCCGGCGGATAAAGGAGATCAAAGTAGGTGTACCCGACTTACAAATTTTGGCTTGTGCACTTACACGAGCAGGTCCAAGGCCGCAATGTTCCTCGGCCTGTTGTGTCCTTTGACCAAGTTGGCTTTCCCGAATATCTTATGAGCTCGATACGTGCCCAAGGCTTTGATGCACCCACCCCAATTCAGTGCCAGGCTTGGCCCATGGCATTGACTGGTCGAGATGTTGTCGCTATTGCTCAAACTGGAAGCGGAAAAACGATTTCATTCGCTCTTCCGGCCATGTTACACATCAATGCGTGAGTCACGTTCATTCTCTGTTAATATTTATTCACGTCGTCCTTTGTAATTTAGTCAGCCATTGTTGGCCCCTGGTGACGGTCCCATTGCGCTCGTTCTTGCACCAACCCGAGAACTCGCCGTACAAATCCAGCAAGAATGCACAAAGTTTGGGTATGACTTGACATTTTTTTAATACAATTTCCTGTACTTACCACCATCGCCATAGATCAAATTCTCGTATTCGTAACACTGCCATATATGGAGGTGCTCCCAAAGGTCCACAAATTCGCGATCTACAGAGGGGCGTCGAAATTGTCATCGCTACCCCGGGTAGACTCATCGACATGCTGGAAACTCAAAAGACAAATCTTCGACGAGTCACCTATTTGGTCATGGATGAGGCTGATCGCATGCTCGACATGGGTTTCGAACCTCAAATTCGAAAAATTGTTAGCCAAATCCGCCCAGACCGTCAAACTTTGATGTTCAGCGCAACGTGGCCAAAGGATGTACAAAAGCTTGCCAATGTAAGCTCCGTTCGTCTTGTCTGATGGGGATTTCTCCTAACCTCGACTGCTACAGGACTTTTTACGAGACATGATTCAAGTCAACATTGGTTCGATGGAGTTGACAGCAAATCACAATATCCAACAAATTGTGGAGGTTTGCAGTGACTTCGAGAAGCGAAATAAACTCATCAAGCACCTCGACCAAATAAGCGCGGAGAATGCGAAAGTGCTAATATTCGTTGCTACAAAGCGTGTTGCAGATGATATCACGAAATATTTGCGTCAGGATGGATGGCCAGCGCTTGCCATCCATGGGGACAAAGAGCAGTGCGTGGTTTTATTTTTGTTAGTCGAGAACCTCCATTGACATAGTCGTCTCAAGGCGTGAACGTGACTGGGTTTTAGGCGAGTTCAAGGCTGGTCGTTCACCCATTCTCATCGCGACAGATGTAGCTTCTCGCGGACTTGGTACGTCCTATTTCGTTTTTCAACGCTCCAACAGGGTGCTCTAGAGTGCCATCTGGCGGATTCTCCCCCGATGGTTGTTGAAGTGTGACATTTGTCCCGCACGGTCTCAATCGGAAAGACCCTACAACTAGTATTCGGTAACCAGGGAGACTTCAACGAAGATGCACTCACTTTATCCGTAAAGGTTCTTTGCAGGGCGCGTTTCGGATTTGGACAGGTTCAAGCAGATGCTCGGAAGGCCATCGAGAGGGACTTTCCTGAATATGACGCAATCCCTCTGACCTATTACAAAGCAACCTTTTACGCTCTGGGCATATCAGGAGCGTAAGCGGGTGAACGCCATTGAACATTTGAAATAATAGTTCTTGGTTTGCTGGTGGTTATGGACTTTCGTCGGAAATGTACATTGTCTCCTCTCGATATCAGTATCTGCTCGACGAAGAACCCTGCCTATCTGTATTCTCGACGCTGCACCTCAACTAATTCCTTTTGGTTGGAGCATCTTGAAGTTTTTTCAGTGATCAATGCTTGCATTGCTGGATACTTCGAACACTTTTGTCTTGTCTATTTTGGTGATCCTGTATTGACTCATCTGTGTCTTTCTTCCCCCCATGTTCTTCTCTGTACTCTCTTAACCTTCTGTGCGGCAATTCATCCAACGCTGTTCAATATGCAGACGTCAAAGATGTTGGCTATGTCATCGTACGTCTTAACCATTCTTATGTCGTCTCGATAGCTGACAATTATTTCTAGAATTATGATTTCCCTAATAACTGCGAAGATTACATTCATCGTATTGGACGGACTGGGGTAAGCTTCTTGCAGAATAAGATGTAAAGCTGCTAATTGATTTATTTTTGTAGCGTGCAGGCATGAAAGGCATATCATATACCTACTTTACAACGGATAACGCAAAATCTGCACGAGAACTCATTGGCATTCTTCGGGAAGCAAAGGCCACCGTTCCACCGCAGCTAGAGGAGATGTCCATGTACGGTGGCGGTGGAGGCGGACGAGGTAAGGTTACTGGAAATACCTTTCGTACATTTTTCTCATAATACTTGTAGGTCGTTATGGAGGTGGTGGTCGTGGTGGTCGTGGAGGCGGCGGTGGTGGTGGAAGATATGGTGGTGGTGGTGGTGGCGGCGGTGGATATGGAGGCGGAGGCGGCGGTGGGTACGGAGGGCGAGGTGGTGGTGGTGAACGGTGGTAGGCTTGCATTTTTGTGTAGAGGTATTGGTACCTCTGCTTGCCTAATGTCTCCTCCACTTTGTCAATTATAAATCGCTCTTTCACAACCAAACTAACTCCAATATATTTGTGGTAAGGTCATAAATGAGGCTTACTTTTCATGGTGAAGCCATGCACATTTTTCGATTTCTCTGGGGTAATCTTTGAGTTGTTCGTTGACTCAACACGCGCAAAAAGTACGTTCTCTGTCTTCTCTTCTATCACATGCTTCGCTGCCTATTTTTCTCCCACTTCCAAGCTTCAGCGCACTCTGCACTGGGGAGAAGGGGTTATCTGCCTCGGGGAGCCCACTTTATTACAAGAAATATACTTATCCTACCCAGATCTATGCATCAAGGACTTTATGCTACAAGGCGGGAAATTGTGCACACTTGCACTCAACCTTGTCTTTCCTATCTAATTTTACTCTCCAAGGTTTTGTCAAGAGTAATGGGATGAGGGGAGAGTCCATCTACAGTTCTTCGCTCGCTGACGAAGTCCCGCTAGATTCCGAAGGTTTACTGGCCAACAAAGGGCCTGACACAAACGGTTCATTACCCTTCCACATTTAAACGGCAAGTTTGGTTCTCTCTCCTACTCCACTGGTCTCGCTTATTTGATCTATGCTTTGGGAAAACAAGTTGTTTTTGGGCTGGTCGTCAAAGGTTACGATGGCGTAATGAACCAGTTGGCTAACGCTCATCTTCTGGAAACATGAATGGAGAACACATATTAAACCACGAGAAAGAAGGAGCACTCTCGAGAAACAGAAACGAAGCCATGGTCTGCAAAAGCAAGGACGACTAATTACCAATTCATCCAACAAAAGTACCTCCAGGGCTTTCAGAACAACCCTGGCAATCCTCGCCCTTCTCGTCTGCCCATTGCTAAATGAGCGGGGGATCCGTAAGGTCCGTGTTGGTTTCTCTCTGCCCTTCTATCCCAACCTGAAAACTTTCTGCACAGTTCGGGTATCCTCATCCCCCTGACGCGGTCAAGTTTCAGAAATACTTCAACCTTCGCTTCGATACGCCAGCCCCACTATTGCGAACACACCCAGTTGAGATCTTTTACATGCAGGAGCCCGAGCGCAATTTTGTGGACGCAGCCATAAACACTATTCTAATGAATCGTGCTGAAGATCCAGGCAACATACTACTCTTTCTAACAAGTGAAGAGCAAATTGGGGATGCCTGCAAGAAAATAAAGCTGGAAGCAGATGAACTAGTGAACTGGCATTCGGAGGCGTTGGTCCGCTTTTGTGACTTCCGCTAAGTATATTCATCTATGCCTCCCAGCAACAGCAGCGGATCCCAACCTCTGACTCCGGGCGGTCCTCCCGGTCCGAAAGTCGTTGTGCCAACCAACATTGCGGAGACATCATCAACTGCTGACGGCATAGTTTACGTCGTCGATGCCGGCTTCTTCGAGGAAAAAGTATATAACCTCGTGCACGGGTGGAGTCTCTTATTGAGACGCCTGCCTCGAAAGCTTCGGCTCAATAGTGGGGTGGTAGAGCTAGCAGGATTCGACCTGGGAAGTGCTTCTGCCTACACCACGCATCCTGATATCTCGAGCCTGTGCAACTTGGCGAGTACGGCGCTGGAGCTATTCAAGCTAGGTATAACAGATCTCGTTTATTTTGATTACTTGGTGAGGCTTGAGATCAATATTAAATCTAATCGGCTAACAAAGAAACTGCTTGTTAAGATGCACCTGCTTCGGAGACCCTCATGCGTGCCCTAGAAATTCTTCATTACCTCGAAACAGGGAAACAGGTTGGTCTACAACAAATTTGGTCTCCATGCGCCACAAACTTTGGTCTCCATGCGCCATCCAATGTTGGACTCAGTTTGCGAAGATGTCAGTAGTCAGTAGTCAGTCCCGATTTTAAATGCAGCAACGAAATACTCTTACTATGCCCTATCAATACCTCGGCACCCCCTCTCAGTCGGCACATCTTTGAGTTTGAACCCTTCCACCAAATCTCTTGCCACAAAATTTTATAGAGGTTCTCCTGGGCCTAATCCAACCTACTTCCGCTTTTCTCCGTCCACAAAAACGATGAATTGACGAAGTTCTGTTTTTTCGGCAGTCACAATTTGTCACAAAAATGTGACGTTTTGTGACTGCCGACTGAGGGGGTGCCGAGGTCCTGGTAGGGCCTAGTATATCCATGCTTCTAGGTGTGTTCTTACTTATTGACAAATACACCCAGAAGCTAACAACTTTTCCAGTTCCAAATGTTTGGTTACGACCGCCAACCTAGCGCAAGGAAGCAGACGCTGCGATAGTGACCATTCAACTCTTTTCAACGTGTATAACAGCCCCGTCAAAGTCCGTGGCTTTCCGTAAAATAGTGTAAAAGTCCGCTGACCCTCATTTAACGTTCGATCGCAGTTACTTTGTATCATGGAGCGTAATGACTCAAACTTACTTTCCATCAACGACGAGAGGAGACCGCACGACTCTATCAAGCAGACCCTTCTATGCGGACTCTTCACGCAGGTTGCCCACAAAGGAGGGGGGGGATTATGCGACTGCCAAGGGCGTGGTGTGGTCACCAGTCTGTAGTCCGTTCCTCACGAGAAGCCTACGCAGATTGTTATGCTTCGTCCCTCGACAGAGCCCGAATGGGTCATGTTCAAATGAATTTATATGCACAACTGAGCAGTACATCCACGCAGGCGACGAAAAAAGCAAATGGAAACTGTAGTTTGAGCTCATATATATTATTCCATAGCTGTTATATTATTAATTTGAGGGCACGAGCGAGTTTTCGATCGACCGTCTCTACATCCACATGAATGACGGAATACTCGGGGTGGACAACCTGATCGCCAGATCGGAGGGCTCTGACAGTTTTGCGGTGGACATGTTGCGAAGGCTCTTTTGTGTCTATCCAGACAAAAGTTGAGTCAACAGTGAACTCAGCTCTGACTATGGGCTTGATCCACTTTGACCACAACTCTGTGTGAAATTCCACATCTGATTGTTTGTGTCTGTCGGATAAGGTAAATTGGATGGCGAAAATTGTGGCTTTCTTAGATTGGCGGTCCAACAGCAGGATGGCACCGTCCACGGTCTTAAAGTTGTAAGCGGTGGGGATATAAAGGCAGCGCTCGCGTTCGGTAGAGAGAAAATTGTCGAAAGCTGGTTTATCGTCAAAACTGGCAGAAGGCATCCGATCAAGGCCAGGGTGGACAGCCTGCAGACCAGAAGTGGCAATGTGGCTGAGGCAGATCTGCTCGGCCAAGAACCCCCGAACGATGGGATTGTTGGACCGCTCAACTGCTTCGTACCACAATGCATCCAGAAATGGAGCGTCACTATGTGCCCGCAATATCGATACCATTCCTTCGAGCGCAATTCCACAGGTAGAGCAACCATTTCCTTCGGCATCAACATAGAAGTAGCGGAGATCAAACAAACTTTGGTCGTTGTATGTAACACGATCACCACGGACACATGCTGACATGATCTTGAGATAGCTATCATGGAATGTTAACGGAGATCAAAGGGGAAATAAGAGGGTGCATTTACTTTTCCCTATCCAATGGATTCAGAGTGGCAAGCTTGTTTACCGCGAATGTGGAAACATCGGATGCGAGATGTACCAGGCCTGGAATCTTCCTGAAGTCCAATTCGTCAAAGTTGGCGATTTCGGTGAGGCACTTCAGCAGAAGCGGCATGCAACCCGTGAGGTATTCAGCTTGTTGCCGCTGTTCAGGTGACAACTGTGGAATTTGATCGTGGTGCTGAAGAAACCAATGATTGGTTTCGTCCTACAAAGCATGACTATTGTGTGGAACAATCTGAATGTATCAGCGTACCGAATCCAGCCCTCCAAATGCTGGAATGACTGTAATTCCATGCTGCTTCTTGAAGATTTCGCGATTGGAATTTTCATTGGCTGAAGCACTAAAAAGATATCTATTTCTGGGCTTCAAGAGGTCAAGCCACGCTATTACTTGGATCTTCCTATCGTTCCGGCCATCGCTGTTACCTGTTACGAGCTCCAGAACATTCACTTGATCGATGATGATGTACACATCTGGATCGCAATTTAAGCATCGAACCACTTCCTCAACATCACCAAATTGTTTGAAGGCTCCGGGGTCAAGCGGGTCGTGGTATGCAAAGTTGTATGCATCCCGCATTGTCGATAATGGAGTCAGGAGCAAGTCATGGCAATTGGGGATGTAGAAGACACACTTTCCTTCGCGGACAAGGTGATAGGCGAGTGCGGCCAGAAGGTGCGATTTGCCTGAACCAGACGACCCGTACAGGTATAGGGTTTCTGATCCATTGAGAAAGGCGGCGCGCTCAATCCTCCTTTGCAAATCGCAAAACTGAGATCTCCCCATATATTCAAAATGGGGAATGCCGTCGATTTTGTTCTCTCCGAAGCGCTGGAAAGGCATCGTGAGTGGCGAAGGGAAAGGAAGGTTTGTAAGCGTCGTATAATCGGAAAAGTTTATATCCGGCATCTTTTTGATCGTTTTATGGACAGCCTGTATGTCCCGCACAACCTTGCCAAGCTTGCGCTTTGTTGCCCGACCACCCTCATCTGTTTCAGACCGTGAGCGCTTCCGAGAGGCTGAGAGTGAGAAGGAGATGCAGCAAGCAGAGTTGAGATAGGAGTGATGGAGGCGATTGTGGTACGACAACGTCAGTTCTGCTCATATATGAACTATGAGCCAGCAGTACTCACCACTTGCGATATTCAGCACGTCAGGGCACTTCACCACAATGTGAAGACGGGCTTGCGAGTGCGGTTCTGCGGGAAAAAGCACCCCAACTTCTTCTCCAGAGCTCAACTCTCTCGAACATGCAGCGATGTCACCCAGGCCTTCTAATCGCTGTGCGAGACTAGAGTCTGGGTCGATAGGAACCACGGAATCGAGCTGATTGAAAAAATCAGAAGGCGCATGTGGTATCAAGGAAATGGTCTACCTGCAAAAGCTGCAGTTGTTCAGCGTCTACGGTATGGAGTTGTTTAATTGCCTCGCGTATCAACCCCTTTAGTTGAAAAACATTGGTTTTGTTGGGAATGTCAAAGACATTGTAAGGTTTTAGAATGGTGCCCGCGAACTGTGGACCTTCCAGGAAACACCACAGACTGCTTGATTTTCGCGGAGACATGATAGGTAGTAAGGCTGGAGGGAAGCGGCGTCGAACAAGATGTAAACGACGAGCAGAGTTAGGAAAGGGGCTGTACTGGAGTTCACTCATTGCAATCGAGACTGAGCGTCGTGATTGATAGTTTCGATATTCTTAGACACGTTCAGCCGCGTATGCCAACCAGAAGGCGTCGCGACTTCCTAGGTGAAACGTATAATAAGTCGGATGCAGAGTTGAGAAATGCCTAAGAGTGCCGCTGCACCTTGCAGGTCTTCCCCAAGCGTGTTCGTATCCTCGAATTTTCAGGTCTTCTCCAGGCGTGTTCAGCTCGAGCTGCCAATGGCACAGATTCCGGGCGTACTGGATGGCCGGCGATGCGATAGAAAAGTGTGAGTCTGGCGCATTTGGTCCAGAATAACAATGATTATTCAATCTCCGCCTAAACCCGGTAATGGCCCACAGTCCAATCAACTCTAGGCTCTTTTAGAAACGCGCTGAGGTAGCCGCTGAGACGTTATTACAGCACAGTGCGAACACCAGTCGGCCAAACATAGTGAGGTCCTCCTGCTGTTGAACCGCGTCATGCATCAATACATCCACGATCCCGCATGAGCTGATACGGATACTATAATTTATTACACGTAAGGTAAGCCTGGACTTGACCAACAACAGAAGGGGACAAGTCTCACCGATTTTGTCCTGTCAGCAGAATCTTCGAGACATCAATCATCCTGACAGCTTGACCGAGGACTTTCTTGACAGTACAAGCGATCTGGACAATGTAAGACCAAATAGTGCGTTTCGCGATCACCGTAGACTGTGCCTGAAGCAGGAGCTGTTGCCGCCCATGCTGGTACCTTGACTGATAAATCGGCGGTTTCGGTTTCAAATCGGCGTCGAAAAGCGTTTGGCTGTTGGGGTGGCATGCATACACGACAACAAGAGCTGATGCATAATGATGAGATAGGGTTTGTGCGAGACACTCCGAGGCATACAGTTATCATCGAAAGAACGTGTTGTGAACGCTGCCCGGACTGAAATGATCCCCGGAGGTGGGCGGCGATAGGATTGAGTTGGGGGAACATAATCCGAGTCGGGGTTTGTTTGTGCATAGGCCCGTTGGGAATGTGCTGAGGCCGCCATATGGCGCAAATTGGCGGTTGGAGGAGAGTGGTTGCACGCCGGGGAAGATTTCGGGCATCTGCCAAGGAGGTGGATAGTTCGATAGGTGCAAAGCGGTGGGAAGACGAGGGGAAGGAGAGCAGCCCAAACCCGGTAAAGTTCCTGGCAGTCGGGGGGCCAAAAGTGCCCCATGAACCGAAGTCAATCGCGTGGGCGGCTGCCCCGGGGTAGTTTGCAGCAGCGATGCAAGGATAAGGAGGGTACAATGGAGGAAGAGAGGTTGCGCAAATCAGAGCCTACATTCAGAAATTGTCAACGAACAAAAATCTGGCAGGCAAAATGACATTTCTTACGTTAAAGACAGAAATCTTTGAGTCCTTGACTTCCCAAACCTCTTCGCCAGCACACACAGCCAAGAATGGGCTGGGCACCCCAAATCTGCAGCAGCACCAGAGCAAACACTAACGAAGGGACTCGGCAAAACCAGAGTGCCTGCCGCGCAGTGCTGAAGCCTCAGTGAAGCCGCAGGTGGAGAAACTGGCGGCGAGGTAACTTGTTTACCTGAGTTATTATGTAACGTAGTCCACTTACTCTACTGCCATCCTGTTGTTATCCTCTCCCGCTGCGCACCTCTAATTCCCAACGCTGCCCGCCCGTCGTCGACGACGCCTAACACCAATCGTTAGCCCGCACACTGCGTGTGACACAACTTCAATGCCCCGCCGCTCCTCCTGTCCCACCACCACTCTTTCAACACGAGAAACCTCATCTCTTACACCATCACGTTCACCACCCGATAATATCACTGTTTTGAGGACCCAATGGAAATGGGCTGCTTTTGGCCAATTCTTCTACACGTTCAACGACGTGTTGGCCGTGAACAATTTTTCATTGGAAGTGCGTCTCGGAATTCCCAAAATGTTCTCTGAAGTCTGCCCTCAACAGTTGGTTTCTTTGCGCAGGATATTGAGAATGATCTTACTTACGGCACGACTGTCGTTCTTCCCCAAGTAATGCAGAGGCTGCTCTATATCCTTTCGTACGATCGCAAAGTTTCGTATGTGTTGGAACCTCTATCACCCCACCGGTCTATTAACTCAACTGAACTGCTCGTAGTTTGGATAACTGGCAAACCGTTCTTCGAAAACAGTACAACAAACGCGACCCACTTGCCAATCCAATCGGATCAGAACCAGCGCAACTTTCAAGAGGATCGCGTCTTAGCTCTATTGCCGTGGAAGGAGAAGACGCGTCCGTCGCCGTTAAAGAGGATGTTCAGGGTGCTGACTACACTCGAGATTGTGAGCCAACATTTTTCAAGCCGTTATAGCATCTGACAACAATGCCCAGCCCTCCCGAGGGCAAGCGTCCCCCCTCCTTGGCCTGCCGTGGACAAAGCATCGTCCTCTGAACAAGCGGAGGAGCCAGCTCAACAAAATAACGTGCAGAATTTTAACGAGCTAGCTAAAGATTGGCTGGACCTACCGATGCTCGTCAAGCTTGACTCCATGCACCTCCTTGTAGAATGGCAGTTCCAAAATCCAATGCGATTAAGAAACCTAATGAAATTCGACGATGAAGGCGCTACATGGGTATGGAATATTTATGTTGAACGGCGTTGAATTTCTCATATATCTTTCCAACAGCGTACTGAACCCGTCGGATATGACAGCAAGCAGAATACTTACTGGCTGATTGGGGGTATGGTTTAAAGCTACGAATGCAGTCCTGATATTGAAATTGAACCAGGAAACCGGCTTTGGATTCAACGTGCACCGCCCAAGACCGGAAACTCTTTGAAGAGGAAACGCACAAACAACAAACCAGTCCAATCAAAGGCTACTGAGCGAACGTCTCCGGCGAAGCGACCTCGAACGCATCCTCATTCCGGTAATCCTTCAACTGAAGCTCAAAATGGAAGAGGAAGCAGAGCTGCCAAAATGCAAGCGAAACTAAAGCTCGATGCCCAGGCCAAAGAGCTAGCCGAGTTAAATAAGCAAGCGTCCAAGAGCAGCACAACTAGGCCTCAACGGTCGCTGACGGTTGAGGAACATAAGGTCTCAGCAACCAGGCCCTCAAGATCAGTCGGAACACGAGCCAGCGCGAGGCTGAAGGGTGCTCAACAGGATGGATGGCAACATGTTCCTGAGGAGTGGTTGTTGAGCGGGGGCGAAGAGACGGTAGACACCAAAGAGGAAAAGGTAGTCCGTTTGAAAACGGGGCTTGAGAGCGATGACGATAGTGTGAGTGATCTGACGGAACTCAGCGACGATGTGGAGGATGCTACGACAGCGGCCAAACCTATTCGCAGTTTGGAACTCGACACAGAAAGCAGTACGCCGGAGCCAACACTTCAGAACATCCCTGAAGTACCTGAGGATTTCGTTGAATGGGAGACTGTACGTAACGTCACAATTCTTCTTATCAAAGAGAACTCAATTTGTCGTAAAAAGCTTTGTGTCACACTTTTCGAGTGGGAGCATATAGCAGAACGCTTCGAGAACTCCAAACACTACACCGAAAAAGCCTTTCATAAGGTTTTAGTGAATGACATCGTGCCTCTCGTGACTGCTGAACTTCGGGTGAGAGGCGATTTTTTGTCGACGAGTGTAGTTGCTGAAATCAATTGACGATAGGAAATTGAGGAAAAAAGTCGAATGGAAGAAGCCATCGTCCACAGAAAACGGTCTTCTCGGATTGCTACAAAGGAAAGCGTAAGGGAAGAGGCACGATTAGCTGCAAAGAGACGAGCAGAGGAAGCGGAGAAGATGAGCCGTGCCAAACGCTTAGAGGCACGACTGCTGAAGGAGGAGGAAGAACGGTTCCGCCGAGAAACTGCTCGCGAACTGAGACGAAAAGAACGTGAAGGTGTCCAGCACACGGAACTTCCCAAGTTAGTTTTCCTCCCTTCCTAATAATGTTTTTGACAGTAGTACTTCTATTATAGACCGCAGAACGAAGTGGATACTGCCAATGGAGCTTCCGTAGTCGGTCCTTCAACCTCGGTGGCGGGGAAAGGATCGAAAAGTGGATCGCGAACACCTGTTGGAGAAGAGTGGGAGCTGGACTGTGAAATTTGTCAGCGTCGGGGCGTTAATCTTGTGAGTATTTACGCTTTATGATAGCTCTACCTAACTAAGGTATTCAGGACGACGGTACCCCCATGATGTCCTGTGAATCATGCGCCAAATGGCAGCACATACTGTGCCATGATAAAGCAGACCGTGCAGCTGGTCGCCGTAGGCGTGACTGGGATGCTGTTGAATTCATTTGCGAAAAGTGTCGTAGGGCAAAAATACCCGAAAACCCCAGCGAAACAAGAAGATCTCACCCTCAAAATTTCTCATTTTCCACCTCTATAAGAGCGGGGAATTCATACAATTCCCAGCAGCCTACTTTTGGGGGTCGGTCGTACAATTCAGATTCTTACCCAACTTCGTCCCCGCTCCCGTCAACATTTTCGACCCCAATGCCAGCTGTACAGCCTTCAAATCCTACCATCGCCTTTAGCCACTATCAACCTCAGGAGCGAGGGTTTTCTTCTGATTCATCGAAGCCTGGTGCTTACCCTGCCCCTTATCACTTATATGGACAGCCAAGGACTCAGCATCAATACTCTGACTTCAGAACGAACAACCATAAGTCACAGGTGCGTACTGTCATTTTTTTTTTTCGATTTGATTCTTATCCATGTCAGGTTGCGGCTGCGACTCAGCAATTGTGGAGCATAACTACTCCAGTCCATCCCCCTCACTACCCTCCACAGAATTCGCCCTCTGGGTCGGCGAATTCTTATGGTTTTGTAATGCAACAACCTGGTAATAATCAACCATGGGAGATGCGCCCACCTGCACCAGCACCTACAACACAGTTTGCAACTACCCCGCTTAGATATTATCCTACACCATATCAGCCACCCTCTAACTAACAATGTAGAAAGAACTTTGTATAGATAGATGTCAACTACCACCATTTGTTTATTTCGATTCTGAAGCATCCTACAGATTCCTTTCTTTTCACGGGGTTGTCAACGAATAGTCTCATACATTTTGAATGCTGCCGTTCTAAATGAAAATGGGTCGTCATCGGCCGCTCGGTCTCTGCGACAAATTTTCTCAGCAAACTGTTAAATGGGGAGGAAAAGATCAACGAACTCAATTGGTCCAAGAACTCGTAAACCACGGACATGCGTGTCCTTTCCGCTCATGTGATTGGCAGCAACGATTATTTGGAGAACGTACGCGTATACCGGATTGCTGAAACGGAACGACTTGTATAGAAATAAAAGTAGAAGGAAGATCAAAGCTTACAGTCCATCCCCGTCTTCATTAGGTTCCGAAGAAACGTCAAATGTGATCCAACCTTCAGGTTTCTCCAAAGTCACAACTCTGACATCTTGAAGGTCGCTTGGGCCTGTGCCTGCGCGTATGGCAAGGGTGGAGGGGGTGTATGAATCGTCACTACTAAAATTGAGATATATGCTTATTTTCTGATAACACAAAATATTTAGTGAGACGGAAAAAGGTCAACAGAGAAAATACATACCTGGATTGCGACTTTGCGGGGGAATTCGATGGTTATGAAATGAGGCTGGGGTCCATCAGAGCTGCACAAGAGGTATCAATAATTGAGATTCATTTGAAAGGGACTTTTCTGAGCTCACTGCCAAAATGTATCGGGATCGCCGTCGCGAAGACATTCGACTCCAAAGCCGAACTTGAATGACGACACAGACCACTTGGCTCGGGAAGAGATGTCAGGCCAGGGCAAAATTGGGGGCTTCTTGAGTGCTGGATGAATGAGAATGTATTCCAACAGTCAATGAGAGGCATACATGAGACAATGAAGGCTGCTCCTGCATGGGCGTCGAGAAGGGCGGCTGTCTGGGACATTGGAGCTACTGAGGACGCGTGCCACACGTTGTGCACCGACAATTTTGTGCTGTGACACTGTCAACCAACGCTCAACATTGGCCCAATATGTTGCCACTGGAAGACTACCAAAGATACGGTCGACAAATGATTCTGGATGGCTTTGGTTTGCCCGGTGAGCTTCAAGTTGTCCCTTCCAGACCTTCCACCCGCTGACCAGTTGTTTCAAAGGTCAAATAAAGTTGTCCAATGCCTCTGTAGTCGTGGTCGGGGCTGGGGGGCTTGGTTGTCCCGCAATCCAGTACTTGGGTGCTGCTGGCGTTGGCGCGCAACTTCCCTGTTCCTAGCGAAATCTGCCCTGACGCGTCCTAAAGGCAGGATAGGTATCATCGACAATGACCGCGTCGAAATATCAAACCTTCAGCGACAAATTCTCCATACTGAGGAAACACTCGGCCTTTACAAGGCAGAGTCTGCCAAGGTTGCTCTGCAACGGTAGATGTATTGACAATTTTGTTCTGACCTCCGTTCTTACCTTCTTGGCCAGGATGAATTCTCGGCTTGTTGTCGACGCTGTGACTACTTCTCTTACAGCAGATAACGCACTTACACTCCTCCAACCATACGACATCATTCTGGATTGTACCGATAACGCACCAACGCGTTATTTGCTGTCTGACACGGCCGTTGCTCTTGGAAAGCCTCTGGTCAGCGGAGCGGCTCAAAAATACGAAGGCCAGCTGTGTGTATACAATCTTGGAGAAGATGGTCCTTGTTACCGATGCCTGTTTCCAGCTCCTCCCCCTCCAGAAACTTTGGGTACCTGCGAGGAGACTGGTATTTTGGGTGTGGTTACTGGTATAATCGGCAACATGCAAGCCCTGGAAGCAATCAAAATTGTGATAGAGAGTCATGGTACCGTTTCAGCCCTGTCCACCTCGTTCGTTTACTAAGAGGTCTCGAGACTATAAACCTTCCTTGCTGTTATTTTCTGCCCTGGGATCACCACCTTTCCGGAGCATAAAGCTACGCTCCCGGAAACCATCATGTGTCGCATGCGGAACGAAGGATGGCAAGCTGGCTGCAAGCCGACACGCGGATTATGTCCAATTTTGTGGAGGTCCGCCTCCAAACTGGGAGGATCGTGGCCTCGCTCGTGGTAGTGCTGAAGAACGAATCAGTCCCAAGGTAGAGGATTCGCATTACAAACTTCTCTGGCGTTTACGTTGACTTCCATGCTCTGGCTTTTAGGAACTCAAGGGCATCATAGCCTCTGGAGCGGATGCGAACATCATCGACGTTCGGCCTTCGATAGAATTTGGGATTTGTTTTCTGCCCCAGTCAAGAAGTAGGCTCCCGCCTCTCAGGATCCGATGGCCGTTGCTAAATGTTGTGACCAGATATTCCTCTCAAAGACATTCTAGCACGGCCTCAGGACCACCTACCGTCTGATCCGAGCATTCCGACCTACATCGTCTGTCGACTTGGCAATGATTCACAAACTGCAGCTGATGCTCTTAGAAGTGTGAAAGGGGACGGCATCGTGAAAGATGTTATTGGTGGTCTAAGAGCCTGGTCAAAGCAGGTTGATAGTGAATTTCCGTTATATTGATTTGGTACAACGTCGTCTATGCGGCAATTCAGATACAGTATACATCATCTAAGCTGGAAAAGGATCATTTTTCTTGTGGGTGCGGTCAGTGTCGCAAAATTTACGTCACGGTGAATTCGTAAACTCACTTTGCCCCAGCTTCAGCCATTTAGGTATCTTCTTCTCAGTCGATTGAGATGTCTTTGATTGAGCAGAGTGTGCTCCTTTGCTAGAGGATGACGTAGGAAGCTCAGCTTGGGAGGTTGGAATAGGAAGATCCATCGCCTGTGAAAGGATAGAGGAGGCCAGTGGGGGAGGAACATCTGTGTCTAGTTACATTGTCAGTCTTGGTCACTTCCACATCCAAACGAGGATGTTTACGATTCAAAGCTTCATCTTCAAATCGCAGTAAGAGGATCGATGAAGGTGCAAGTTGCAACTCTGTGAGGTTCAAATCGCGCACTTTAGGATCGGAGACCTTGAGATCACGTTTGGGGGGAGATTGGTCTGCATCCTGAATCAGAAACCCCACGCAAAGACGACACAGATATACTAGTTACAAAGAATAAACTTGATGGGTTTGACATCTTCTCGAAGGCAATTTCGAACAAAAGCATAGACGGAACGAATTTTGTCAGTGGACGGGAAGATCTTTTCAAGTTGTGTGCGATCCGTGAATCTAACACGAATGGTGGTCTAACACCTTTTGCTCAAGGATTGTATGGGTGGGCGGTAGTTAGACGCACTTGTGGCCATCGATCTCGCTTTGCCTTCTCCGCTGCCTCTCTCGTAGCTCGCAGCTGTAGCGGGGCATTGACAAGGGCCTGCGTCCTCGCAGATAAAGTCGTTTGCGCGTCTTTCAACTCAGCTGCTGTCGGGGTGAAATACTCATCCGGGAAAGATTCTATAGAGACAATGCGTTTATTATGCCACCGTTTCGTGGGATTTACTTACGGGCGGCAACAGAAACATTCGATGGCTTGTAAACATTGAAATCTGAGGGAAGGGGAATGTTTGGAGAGGGTTGAACACTGGGTTCTGCTCCATCGAGCGATGTCATTGTGAGAGTAAAATTGCTGGCAGAGCGGAATACAAGCTGCGATGAGGAGTGAACTAGTGACAGGTAATGCGTACAGTGTATCACAAGAATCCTCCCACCCGTTTAGGTCTACGAGGACTTAGTTAGCATGAGTCAGGATAAGCTTAGAAAGACAGCGATAATATCAGAAAGAATAGTTTGTCTCATACCACCACTTCAGGATGCACTGGCGGGTGATCCCTATGCGAAGATGGTGGCCGTCGAACGCAAATTACAATAGACATCATGAAATGGGGGTGAAAAAGAAGAGAGGACTCACAAAAAGTTGAACAATGAACTTGATGGTTATTTGAGTAAAATAAATCCGAGTTCGCTCTTAAATACCTATTTGTCCCTTGTTTGGCAACCCTTTGAAATGCCTCACCACCACGATGAAGGATGCGGTCATGGCAGCGACGAAGGATGTGCCTACGATGCTATGCCCAACGATAATCTTTATGCATACATCGACCGTCCCAATGTCGTCGCGCTCAACGCCGATCATCAAGGTTCTGTCGTTATAAAAGCATGGAATAACAGACTTGACGAATCAGAGGTGTGCTCACACCATACAAGTTGAATCACTGTTCAGAAACGCTGCTATAGTATCTGGAGTCGGATTCAGACGACCAGTTGTAAGATATGAGCAGTCTTGATGGTCGGAAACGTCATATCTATCAAACAGGATTATTCGTATCCCGTTCACAGGCTCTGTCCGACTTCGGTCCTTGCTGATCAAGTCAGGGCCCCTCAATCAGACACCCGAAAAAATAGCATTGGTGAAAGGATAAGTAGGACCACGATGAAACAACTCTCATGCCATCGCAGTTCGCGAACCAGCCCAGCCTCGATTTTGACGACGTTGCCGACAAAACCCCCACTCAGGAATTCGAAATTGCTCAAAGCAGGGATGTTGGTGAATACTCCCTCAAGTAATTATCTTTCCCACCTTTTTAAACCCAAGTTAATGTCACAAACGGTTAGGACTGCAAAGTTTTCGAATGTATCATCTCTAACACTATATTGTCCTGCCTCCCAAGGGGCGGATGCTACCAAAATCTACTACGTTGGTTTTCTTGGGCACTGGAGCGAGGTACAATGACATCTGGAAATATCGTCATGTACTGACTGTTTGAAGCGCAAAGATAACCCCGTGATCACCGTGTACGAGACCCAAGCGAATCTCGCCGACCACGAGAAAATTCAAGGAATGGATGGTACGTTCAGCGCTCCCCAACATTAGCGTATAGATATCATAGAGTTGTGATGTGTATCGCGGATGCCATTGCGACTGGAGTTCGCATCAATGCAACAAAGCATGACCGCCGCATGATTATCCCTCGACGTTTCGCTGCATGAAAGATTGCAACATTTCATGGCTAACATCTCCGGCAACTGAGCCCTCGTGTTGCGGACCAGATAGCATTGCATTTGAACGGTTGACAGCCGGAGATCCAAAGGGGTTGGATCCATTGTGTATGCCCATAGGACCACCCATGTTGTAAGCGGGGACTTGTGTGGCCGACCCGAATGCCACGTTACCGCCCATAGCTTGGTTTTGATTCTGGCCAAAAGTTGCATCAAACCTGAAATCCGCGACTACTCATGGAAGACTTACCGCTAGTTGCCGTTCCCGTTGCTGACGCATAATGGCAGCCATCATTAAATTCCGTTGCTCAGGTGACATATTTTGCAGTTGCTGAACAACTTGAGGAGGGAAATTGGCCAGGGGGTTTCCCATTGGAACGCTCAACAGATTAGGATTAACAGGGGGGACGTTTGGCAGTTCAGGCATCCCATATGGAAAGAAAGCACCAATAAGTGTAGAGTTTTTCACAGGAAAAACGAGGGCGTTCTTCGTTTCTGCGCCAGAGGGCGATGTCCAAGAAGCCGTCGCAAACTATTAACAGAATATCAGATTGATGTTCTCAAAACGCTTGTTTTTACTAACAAATTTTCTCTCAGTCAAAAGAACGGCGAGAACATTGTAGTTCGCCTCGTTCATCTTGGTATCAAAATTTTGGGCAGCAGGAATGGCGGGGAGAAAAGTGCAAAGTGCGGGTGCATGCATTTTCATCCAGTCTTGGAGTGCCTGCATTGGAAGAGCCGGTGTTGGCGATAGGACAAGTGTTTGAGGCCAAGTATCCGGATGGCTTGCGATACACAAGAGTTAGAATAGCACAACGTGAAAAGAGAGAGAAAGCATACCAGCGCTGAGGTGTTTGTGAACTTGCGCCAACAAATGTATGCATATCCTTCTTCCCTTGCTGACTTTTGCCGCTCCACTTGAGTAAACCCTTCCATACCGTTTGAGTGTTGGGTACACCCGTCTGGGGGTTAAGACCTTGCGGTTGACCTGATGCAGAGGCAACTCCACTCATCATCTCTGGCTGCATTGCGCTGATGTTTGGGGAACCGTTCAAGCCCATGACGCTACTTCCGGCAGGATGGGGCGACAGCTTGTTTTGGTCCATTGGCATGCGGCTAGGGAGCAAAGAGTCTTGGTTCGGCATGGGCTTGACGGCAACGGCAGGATGTTGTGGTTGAGAGCCGCTGATTGATCGATGGTGGTGAGCGAAGTTCGCATTTCCGGCAGTTGTGGTGTTAAACGGGGATGAGCTTGACGGCGCAGAGGCAGGTGAAGAACCTTGATGTTGGTTTTGGTCTCGTTGTCTCGCAGCCATTTGTTGTGTGTAAGTGGAAATCGCTTTCTTGAAATTCATGAGTAATTCTCGTTTTTTATGAAGCTCTGGAGTCAGTGTCTGCGCCAATTCGGTGTTGCCCATCTGGGTTGCGTTTCTGATTGAGTTTTCGAGGTTTCGGAGTTGTTCCTCGGACTGTCGGACGTTCTCAAGGATCTGGTGATACGTTAGCCGCGGCGCGACCGTAGGTTGGGCAGTCTGAGGTAGAGTGTGCGGCGGCGGCTGAGGCTGAGTTGCCACAGTAGGCAGGTTCGCGGGGGAGCTACCATGCGTCCCTGGAACAGTGGCATCCGAGGACACACGCGGTCGTTTCGAATCTTGTGTGTTTTCAAGATTTGTATTCTCCCCCGGGCGTTTCTGGGGTGCTACAGATGCGCCGGCGGGTTCAGAGGTATTCAAGACGATGCTCTCATTGCGTATTCACCTTTTTGAGCCGGGGGCGCAGACAAACCAGACAAAAGGACCAAATGGGGTGGTTGGGTAGCGAACCATGGGCTCGTTGCGCCCGGGCTTGCCTTGCCAAATGTTAGTCAAAGTGGATGAATGTAAGAAATACTGCGACCCACAGCCTGTTGCAATTCTAGAAACTTGGGATGTGATTGTAGATACACTGAGCTGAGATGAATGTCTCTCTGAGTTTAAGTCAGCGGATCAGCAGTCAAGTTGGTGAAGTGTAGGACCTTCTTCAGCTCAGACGGCAGAGTATCCCAAGAGGCCTGGTCCAAACTGGGTGAATTATTCCATGTAGGATGTTGCGAGGAATCAGGGGGGGACGCAGCAATATGAAAGAGGTGATTGATATTGCTGGTAGCACCTAAAGAATTATTGCACAGATCGTCAAAGAGCTGGGAGGCGGGTCAGAAGGAGCAAAACGGTGAAATATAGGGCAAACCTCAATGCCCGCAACCAGACCCTCTAATGCAGCCATGCCTGTACTACCTCCAGAACCGGTTTGACCGATTCCGAGTTTTCCAGGGTTCTCTTTTAGTTCCTTGATTACTATTGGGAAATCTATGAAAAACCTGTTGCACAACAAGGGTGAGGGCACCGTATCTGCGGTTCCATAAGACACTACGGCGATGTGCAACTATGAAGCGAGGCATCAGCATTTGCATTGGACGAGGAAGGTGGTTTGCACCCTGGCGCCTATGTGGGTCTCATTCAAACGCTTCATCGTAAGCATGACATACTGCAAGGCTGCCTGCCATGCGCGGGCCACAACGGTGGACGATTCAAAGACAAGGGCGACGGCCAGTCGCTGCGGGGGAAGTTCTGACGCCATGCATATGGTTGTTTACGTGGAGAGAGAATTGGTATACTACAAGTTGCGTATAAGTATTATGTACTCGTGTCAGTGCATCAAGTCCATCCAAAGTCCATCTGTATACAAGTCTACAGCATGTGCAACAGCCATAACGGCGTCTAATCGTCTAGAGGAATGCAAAAGGTATCATTGCTATGAAGAATGTCCCCCAAGTAAATGGCACGGTGGAATGTCCAGCACTAGCAGCCGCAGTCGCTCCACCGCCGTATATGCTTAGCCATGAACTGTAACCTAGAATTGTCCCAGATGCACTAGCTGTGACGTTGATGGTTGATGGACTGGTGGGGGTAAACACGTCCGTAACAACGTTCGTCTGGCCGTTTACAACGGTGGTATATGTGTATGGAGTTGGTCCTCCTGGTGTACCTGTGGTTGATGCTGGTTGACCGACAGGACCCTGCTGCACTGGAGCGGTAGTCGTAGCGGTTGTAGCAGTCGTAGCGGTTGTGGCAGTCGTAGCGGTCGTTGATGTAGTAGTAGCCGTCGAAGCGAGAGTTTGGCTACAAAGAGTCTGATTCAGAAAGGCTTGCAAGGAAAAGGGAGATAAGACAGACATTATGCGAGTGGAAGGCCCAAGAATGGGATCATTTGTAACGACCTCGACAACGGTCTGGCCAGCTCTGTGAATTAAAAGAAAAAATGAGAAGGATTAGGGTAGAAAGATAAAGATCGTACGGATTGGTGGTGGTGATCGTCTGTGCACGGACCAGTGCGATGAGTGCGATGAGTGCGAAAACGATGATGTTAGCCATTGTGTTGGCCCAGGCATTAGACTGCCCGCACTGCGCAGGAATCTGGGACTGGAGGCGCGTTATTTGCTCTTGTTTAGGTGCTATTTTTTTGCTTTCAATGGCAAATCGATTTTCGAGTGTGCTGTGCCATCGATATCCACTCTTTCTGCCATCGCGGTTGCCATCGTTCTCACCCTTCTCTTCGTCTTCCGTTTTCAACATGCCACCGAAGAAAGCTGCAGCCCCAGAGAAGAAAACTCTTCTTGGAAGACCTAGCAACAATCTCAAAATTGGAATCGTAGGTTTGTTTTCTTTCTATCTCTGTCTTTTCCTCAGTTCACGCCTGTTTCAAGGACTTCCCAATGTCGGCAAATCTTCCTTTTTTAATGTCCTCTCAGAGACAGGTACCTTGACATTTTCTACAGTGCGACCCTCTTCCTGACACCTATCACAGACCTTGCAAATGCTGCAAACTTTCCATACGCTACCATAAACCCCGAAGAAGCCCGCATTCCCGTTCCAGATACCCGCTTCGAGTGGCTCTGCGACACCTATAAACCAGCTTCACGCGTACCTGCCTTCCTCACGTGCATCGATATCGCTGGTCTCACAGCAGTAGGCCTCATTTATCCTCATAGGCTTTTTACACCTTTTAAACTAGTATCCAGGGTGCTTCCACAGGTGCTGGTCTTGGAAACTCGTTTTTGTCCCACGTCCGTGCCGTCGATGGCATTTTCCAGGTTGTTCGTGCCTTTGATGATGCTGAAGTCATCCACGTCGAAGGAGACGTGGACCCTCTGCGCGATATGGACATAATTCAAACGGAGTTGAGACTCAAGGACATTGACTGGGTTGAGAAGGCTCTCGACAATCTCAAAAAGTCTGGCCGAAGTTTGGGCAGCAACAGTCTCGCTGACAAGGCCAAGAAGGAAGAAATTGTCAGTAATAATTTTGTTGCATATTCCCCTTTGTATCTTATTAGCTTTACAGGCCGTGGTGGAGAAGGTCCTGAAAGTTCTCACTGTCGATCAAAAGGATATCCGCAAGGCGGACTGGAACAACAAAGAGGTGGGTGTAATGTCCCCTTTCTTTATTTCTTTCGACAGGATGAAAAAGAACGCAATGCTCGATAACCCAGCTCATTGAGGAGGGAGTAACGCCCCATCATTCCCATGAGAACAATTACTATTCTGATCAACTTTTAAAACTGTATCTACGTTCCATGCACCCTTTGGCTGACTTTTCATTAATCTAGGTGAATACTCTCTCTGGAAATCTTCGATTTGCCCACGAAAATCCCTATTGATCATATGTTATTATCAACGGTGACTCATGGGTCTATTCTCCTAGGTGAATGCCTCTCCTTTTGATCTTGTGATGAAAAAGAGCTGTACGCTCGATAACCCAGCTCGTCGAGGCGGGAGTAACGCCCCAGCCATTGAGAAGATGTCGAATTCTGATTTTCACATTGCCTTGTTGTCGTCTGAAAAACTGAGGCTAACATTTTTTTCCCTTTCAGATCGATGTTGTAAATGGCCTTCAATTATTGACGGCGAAACCTGTCACCTATCTTGTCAACCTGAGCGAAAAGGATTATATTCGAAAGAAGAACAAATGGTGGCTCTGTTTTCGAACCCGCCTATCTTGCACCAGGTTGACCGTTGTTACAGGTTACCAAAGATCAAAGGCTGGATTGACGCTCATAACTCAGGCGACCCTCTAATCCCCTTCTCTGTCGCTCTTGAAGAACGTCTAGCAGCCCTGGAGCCAGAAAAGAAAAAGGAAGAAGAACAATCCATTGGTGCAACCAGCGCTTTGCCCAAGATTACCCAGGCTGGTTACAGCAGCCTTGACGTACGTGGGCTTTTTCGGGCTCGTCATTCACCACTAATCTAATCTTGGACATAGCTCATTCGTTACTTCACTTGTGGACCGGATGAAGTTCGTGCCTGGACGATTAGAAAGGGAATCAAAGCGCCTCAAGCCGCTGGTGTTATCCAGTTCGTCGACTTTAATTTTTTTGGGTCAGTAGCAGCTCTTGACCCATCACCCCCAGTTCCGACTTCGAGAACAAATTTGTGTGCGGAGAAATCATGTCGTACGATGACCTGAAGGAACATGGAACTGAAGCTGCTGTCAAGGCAGCTGGCAAGTTGAGGCAACAGGGGAAACCTTACGAAAGTATGCCAACGGCCATTTTTTCGCATCTTGAAACGTGACGCTCAGTCTATTTTTTTTTTAGTGGTAGATGGTGATATTGCTTACTGGAAAGCTGGAGCGTAAATCGTGGGGCATGTGTGTAGTATTCAGAGCAAAATGTAAAAATATTATATTGCAGTTCATGAGCAGGGCAAGTGTGAACGTCAAACTATCTATCTCTCCTACGATCAGAGTCTATCCTTCCATGTCGTTCGTAAGGACCATATCTGCTTTCCTCCATCCGTCGACCAGGCCTTTCACGTACAGGTGTGCGACTCCGACTTCGAGTGCGGCTTCGAGGTCTTCGTGAATATTGCTCCTGACGTTCCGTGACACGAGGTCTGGGAGATCGCGAACGGGAACTTCGATATGAACGACGGTGACCGTCATCGTGCAATGCAACGTCTCCGTCATGCACCCCATTGCGATGCAACCGTTTCAGCTCCTTCCTCGCTCGCTTCTCTTCCTTCCGCTCCGCCTTCCTCCTTCGTCGCTCTTCTTTTTCAGCAGCTTTCTCCGAAGGAACGACCTGTCCTTCCGCCGCATCTTGAGATGAAGCAACGCTTTCGCTCGGTTTGGCAGTTTTGGGTGCCGGCTCAAAGCCTCTTGATGTAAATTAGTCAATAGCGAGAGGGAAAGCAGGAAGAAGAACACACAAAGCAACGGCAAGAGCGTCGGCTTCCAACTCTTTAATCTTTCGTACTTCCTCTACCCTCTCTGACTCTGCTTGTGTTAAATCACGACTGTACCAATGGACATCCTTGTTCTTTTGCCATCGGCCAGTTGGCGCGTTTATGCTGTGGCCAAGGTAGTTCTAGGTAATTGAGGTCAATTGAGGAAGGAAGATGGGGCTCAGAAATTAAGAACCTCTCTGTCTTTGTCGGCCGAGACGTCTGTCCACTTGAACTCTGCTTGTCCACCACGAGTACCACCTCGAACAGGTTCAAACATCAGCGCGAATGCAAGTGAGATGTGAGGGTGAGCAGTGACCCCATGTGACCACAGCCCTCAATCCTAACCTACGCAAATAACCCTCCAATGATAAATCCATCAAAATCGAGTTTAAAAATATTTTTACTATAGTCTAATCGGGGCGCACGGGTGCCTGGGGACGAAATATTCTCCTCTCCCCGAGATACTCCTAGTCTCGGAGACTAGCGATTTCCAGTGCGGGCGAGCCGTATACTTGAGACTCACCCACGGGGGGAGCCACCTCAAGTTGTAAGACAACTCCCTCGTCTTACCTCCACTCGAGCTTGCTATCGGTTAGCTCTCGTTTGCGCGTTTACCCACCCTCCTGCACCCTCTTTTGTTATGTATTGATTAGGACAACGCTACCATCAATGGACATTTTTCTTGCGAGTTTCTCCAGGCACACAGCGCCTGGGGGACTCTGCATACACCTATTTATGCCTTTACTTAAGATTTCAAACCTTTGAACCCTCCCACGATTAGATCCATGGCAGATGAAGCCTCAAATGAAAATCAGACATTGACTCGTTAAGAATAGTGCAAGAACATGCCAACCAGGTCCATTGGGTGCTGTGGTTATCAGTCAGAATCAAAGAACAAGCACAAAGCTCACCGGTTGCTAACTCAACACTCTTCTTATAGTACTTTGCACGTTCAAGATCCACCAACGGGTCTTGAAGCTTGAGTGCTTGTGGAAGATGTGCGAGCTCGCCGTCCGAGATTTTCAACAAAGGTAAATAAGGAACGACCACCTTCAAGTCGACTCTGAAGCACTAAAGGCCAAAGTAATTTATACATTTTCTAGAGCTTAATGTCAGTCCATTCCTTCCAAGTTTCCGTCTCGCTTAGCCATCGCACAAGTTCGTCCCTTCTCACTTGTGTTCCCTTGCTGGTGCTCTCTATCTTCACCTTCTTCCCGTCCACTAGCCCCCATCGTTGTTCCTTCACCGTCACCAAGCCCTGCTTGAGCTCATCTGTGCCAAGTATAATTGCGAACGGCACTTCGTCCTTCTCCCCAGCAGCAAATTGTGTGGGGAGCTTGGGTTTCGTCTTGGCCAAGAAATCGGTCTGAAAGCAATGGGTCATTGGAATTGTGCAACTGAGAGAAAGCCGCGCCACAGACCTTGATACCAGCCTCCCTCAGTTCCCTTACGAGTCCCACTCTCTCTTCCAGTAGACCGTCACCAGCACTCATCACATACACCATCGTCCCTTTACTCCTCATACCTCGCTCTACCCACTTTGGCCATATCAACGCAAAGATCCTATCCATCCCTATGCTGACGCCCACACATGGAATGCCGACGGTCTTCTTCGCTTCTTTGGCGTTGTTGGCCGCTCCTGCGAGGAATGCTCCGACGAGATTGTCATATCGCCCGCCAGCTGCGATGGACCCAACGCCCACTTGAGTTTCGTCTATTTCCTCGTCTTCCACACCTGCTTTGGCCTTTTTCTTTGACGGCGGTGGCGCGGCCGTGCCGTCGGTTTGAGACGACGCGAAAGACTCAGTCGCTTTGAAGCCTGGTGGAGCAGAGGCCTCGACAACTGCTTCATAGATAATACCGGTATAGTAGTCCAATCCTCGTGCGAGAGATAGGTCGAATGAAAACTAGGCATTGGTGTCGGTAGAGGCTCACATGCTATGTGGATATATGACATACCTTATCCAAAACCTGGTATGCTTTCAGAAGAGTGAACAGCAACCCCATGTCTGTCAGTCCCTGTTTTGCGTTTGGGTTCGACATTAGAACCGTATCAGCCGTAAGTTGATCAAGAAGTGCTGGACCGCCTACAAACACATCTAGACACCGTCTAAACCAAGTATGGGTTCTCCATACCTTTGTATTTCACGTATTCCCCAATTTTGTCAGCGACCGAAGGGTCCAGCCCTTTCTCATCAGTCATCTCCTTTTTCACTTCTGACCATGGGAGCTAGAATCATGTAAGTACGCGAATGAAATCGGTAGAAAACTTTTGACCTTGTCAAGTTTATCCACCGCGGATGATATTGCGCGAATTTTGTCTTGAGGAACCCCGCAGACTTCAAATATGCCATCCAGAATTTTTCGGTGATTTATCTTGACGGTAAACTCTCCCAAATCGAGTTTGGATAGGACTGTGCATAGCAAGCTGAGAAGTTCTGCGTCGGGGATCATTGGATCCCATACCCCAGAAATATCAAAGTCGGCTTGAGAGAATTCTCGCATGCGGCCCTTTGACATGACGGGATTGTCCCGTCGATAAACTTTTCCAACCTGCCACAGCTTGGCCTGAGTGTTTGTCCCGCCCATCATCGCAAGATATCTGGCAAGAGGGACAGTGTGGTCGTACCGTAACGCTAGCTGCTCCCCACCTTGATCTTGCAGATCAAAGATGAGCTTAGCATCCTCGCCATATTTGTCTGTAAGAATGTCTTTGCGCTCAAAGACTGGCGTATCCAAGCAGGAGCCACCATATGTGGTAAAGCAATCTTTGACGATGTCCTCAAGGTGCATTCTGCAGAACATTTCTGCAGGAGAATAGTCTCGTGTGCCCTAAAATATGGTGAGCGCGATAGGATATCTCTTGAAAAATCCCGACCTTGGCTGTCTTGAGCAACAATCTCTCTTTCTTCTTCGTTGGATCTTTGCTGTCCTGCTCCGCACCGTCCTTCTTCTCCTCCTTTTTCTTGAGCACCCCCAAGGCCCTCTGTAAATCTCCAAGTTGCTTCTTCGCCTGTTCAAGTGCCGCGACGGGGGTTGCAGGGTTTATGCGTAAATCGTTGAACAGAGCCTTCTGCCTGTCGATTTCTGCTGCTAGCGAAGTAGCGTCGAGATCAGCCATGGTCGCTAGACAGCTACGTGGAATTGTGCGTAATAGTGTTTGAGAAAGAGATGGGCGTGTTGATCTTGATAATCGCAGCTGCAATCGAAATGCGAGCATTCACGGGAGCTCAATATTTTTCGATCGGTGTGATCACAGGCCGTTCGTTCAATGCAAGTGTGACAGGCCTTTCTCTTCCGCTCCGCTTCAAGTTGGGGCTCAGGGACAATGTTAATCACTTCTAATGCTACAATGACAGACGATGACATTCTGAAGTCGACAGTAGCTTCTCATGAAGCACGGTGCCGATCGGGATACAATGTTTTCTCAGGCTCAAGACCAATGTTTTTCGGACTTCAACCGAGCGGTGCAAGCTGATAGATGATTAGTAGTGTTGCCGTTGAATCGAAGTGGCTTCGAGGTGATTTCGATTCGATTCGGAAATTGTGTCGAAGTCAGTTTGGGATGGGCAGCCAAAAACGGAGGCGTGAGGTGCAGTGCGCGTTCATATCAAAGAGGCGTCTCCTCCGAGTCCACGCATCTTTGTCCTTCATTGATTGTAGTTTGGTCTGTTCGATTATTTCAGTGTATATATTCAATAATGAATAGATCCTTCCATCTCTACTGGGAACAATTTTGTCCCGTTGGAACGTTCAAGTCGACCGCTTGAACCGATCCAAAGCCGACTTTTTCTTAGCAGGTTCTCCAGCACCCCCAGCAGCTGCTGCGAGGCGCGCCCTCTTCTTCTCTTCTTTTTGTTTCTCCAGTTTTGCTCGGATGGCGAGCTGGAATGAACGGAAAACCGCGTTAGCATCCGGAAGAATAAGGAGAAACGGCAAAAAGAAGAAAAAAGGAGACAGGATAAGAAGGAAACAAAAAAGAAAAAGCGAAACGAAGTAACGAAAAGAAACCAAGAAGGAAAAACCCACCGCAGCAGGATCAACGACATTCTTCCTCTGCTTTCTCAAATACCTCTTCAAACTCTTTCCCTTCCCCCTCATCTTCCTCTTCTCCCTCTCCTCTTTACTTTCTTTCCTTCTCTCACCCTCCCCACCCTCCCCGCCTTCAACACCACCCGCACCTTCGTCATCACTCCCCACAACCTCACTCACATCCATCTTCCCAGCCACACGTAACCTCTCCATCCTGCTCATCCTCGCAAACGGTACCTCTCCCTCCTTCTTTCCCTTTCCCCCCCCACTGTTCTTTTCCCTCAGCATCTCCGCCCTCGTGGTCAACTTTGTCTCAGGCGCCAACCTCCCAACGAACTCCGGATCCAAAGCGATCATATCTGGCTGGATTTTATCAAGTAACGCGCGGACTTCACGTTCCCTACGAGCTTTTTTAGATTCGAACGGATCAGCTTCGGACGAGTCAAAGTTCGGTTCTCCAGAGCCTGGTACGAGGATGGTTGACAGTCCGGATGAATGGCCAAGTGTGAGTGCGTCTTGGAAGGGTGTGAAGCGGATGGAGGTTATTGGGCGGGAGGCGGTTGAGGGGAGGGGGTGGGTTAGGTAGAGCGGGGGAGGGGAGTGGTGGAGGTGGGGTGTGTGGATTGTTGGGGGTTGGTAGACCTTTTTTGGTAGGGTGTTAGTAAGTAATTAGTTTGATGGAGGGAGGAAGCAGAAACGAACATTAACGCTCCCGCCACTCGCAACACCCAAAAAGCCCCTCGCACTCCACTCAAGCTCCGTCCCACCCGTACCCCTCGTACTCCACTCCCTGACAGCCCCCTTCCAGTTTCTACAATCCCAAACCTTCACAGTGCCATCTCTTCCAGCAGTAGCCATATATCGTCCCCCCTCACTAGGATCTACCGATACACTCGTTACTGGGCCTAGGTGGGCTAGGATTTGGACGGCGGGGTGAGGGAGGTTAGGTGTCCAGAGGGTTACGCACCCGTTTTGGTGTCCGAGGTGAATGACGGCGTTGTGCACGTTTTGAGCCATTGTGGTACATGACCCTAGCTTTGTGCGGTGAGAGGAGAGGAGGGTACCGGTTGATGTGTCTTGGTATTTGAGGTAGCCTGAGTTTCCCTGGGAACAGTGGATTAGGTGCGGGGCAATAGGAAGTGAAAAAAAAACATACGACGGATGCGAGAAGCCAGTGGTATGGCAGGAACTCGAGCCTTGTTGGCTCGATGTGTGATTTTAGACAGTGAAGTTCGACGCCATCGTGGTCGTAGATATAGACGTATTTTTTTTGGGCTACGGCGAAGTATGTCTGGTCATGTAGGAAACTAGAAAAAAGCTAACTTGAGCAAGAAAAAAACGCGTGGTAGCGGCGGGGCGTACGTGATATCGCGACATGTCTCCTGTAGCTGCAATTCAGCGTGTACCGTTCCCGTTTGGCAGTCGAACGTCGATACATGGCCTGTCCGACCAGCTATCGCCAGATGCCTATAGAAAAAACGAAAAGAACATATATGCCAAAAAAACGAAACGAAACGCAACAAACGAACCTCCCATTCCTCGTATACCTAACCCTGTAAGGTCCCCCCTCCAATTTAACCTCCCTCCTTCCCCTCCCTGCCTCCTGCCCAACAGCCTGTACTATATCACTCTGGCCAATCCTCCACGTCCTCTCCATCTCACCCTCCACCTCAATCCCGCCCTTTTCCTCCATCGCCAACATCTCTTGTGCATCCTCCAAAAGCGCCTTGGCCCGAACGGAATGGGCCGACTGTCTAGTCAGCTCCCCGCGTAATTTTTTGTTCGGTATGTGTTTGTATGTATGCACATTTTTTTCAGAGGCGGAGGACAGGGGGAGAGGATGTCGAAGGGATTTGGGGGTAGAGGTGGACTTGGAAATGGATTGGGCGGTGTAATCTGATATGTTTTTCTTTTGTAGAGAGGAGTGGGAGGTTTTGCGTTTTTTGGAGACGGGTGGGAGGGCGTCTGCTTTGGCTATCAGTGCCTCCATTGTGCTTTCTCGAAAACGACGAGGACGATGTCGTTGAGAAATAAAATGATGTAGTGGAGGATTGTGGGAAAATAATCAACTATCCTCTCTCCATGACCCAATCATGACCCCACCAATGGAAGACGACGAACCGTTTACCGGATGATCACTTTGATGTATGCCATTGTAGTCGACGCTACAGGCATTCCGATCGTGGTGTTCAGCCCTGTAGATCTTCTAGCATGGCTCAAAGTTCGATGACTACCCCCTGTTGAACTCCTTGTAGAGTGGGATTCAGCATGGCTCCTCCGCTCCAACCATAGAAAGGGAGACAGCTAGTGAAACCAACGCAGACTCATCGGCATCTTAAACGATGCAAGCACCCTAGTTCCTCACGACAATTTCTGATATCCATTTCAACTAACAAGATCTCAAAAGCGGACGTCGTTCTATTCTGTGGACTATCCTCATACTAGCTCTTAACATGTAGGGATTGCGCCTGTATAATAGATTGTATAATTATCTATGAAAATCTAGGATGGCGTATTCGCAGAAATTGGTGGATGGTCGGAGAATTACCTTGCTTGTCAAGGTCTATTTCCACGGTCATAATTATGTAAGCCGTCGTAATGTCCCCCAAGGTCATATATCGTTTTTATTTCAGCCGAAGCGTTAGAGACCGCTCTAGACTGGCTGCCAAACACAACCAAGCAAATCCGTCGTACTGGCCCCAAGGTCATATCACTTTTATTTCAGCCGAAACGTTAGAGACCGCTCTAGACCGCCGCCAAACCTAATGGCGCAAATTTGCCATCCCCAGTTGCTGAGAGATTTCTGTGATACTTACTCAATCTACTGTCTTCAACAAATCTGCTCAAATTCTTCAACTTATACAATACTACTTACTAGTAACAATACTGACCAAAAGATGATAGATGCCCACTACATAAGTAGTGGGTCACACTTTTTTGTAAGTACAAGCTTCAGACCCATCCACTTTCATTGGCTGCGAGGAGTGAACCGCATAAGCGGTTCGGCGACAAGCAGCCAATAAAAGATCACAAACTTACTCTCATTTTTAATTGCCATAGCGGGCTTCAAAGCGCCTGCAGGGGCGCTACAGTGATTTTTTATTATTATTCTGCATGACAGCTGAAAGCAGAACGATAGGCCACGGCAGATCGACACATGCTCAGGGCGGACTCCCAAATTTTCGAAGCGACGTGATGGCTGGGGCCGCTGAGTTCTCACAACGTGTTAAATTTCAACCTCCGAATTGATGTCACGCTAGTACCACAGTAAAAGTTGAGAGTCCGCCCTATGTATGCGTCGATAAGATAACTGTTGCGTATCATACAGAAAAAGGGAAGGCCAAGAAATTTGTATACACAAATAACTTGGTTGTGCAAAGACTATGCCCGAACTCAAAGAAGTGCGAACAAGGTCTGAGCGTTCAATAAGCTCAATTTGGGCTTGCCAAGCCAACCAGCTGTTTTGAACGCTAAGGGATGGTGGGTGGGGTCAAAAAATTTTTGTGAGGTAACCGACAGGTACTTTCTTAGCGTCAGAACCAGATCCGAAGGTGATGGGAGAAGCACTCCCAGAAACGCAGACATTCATTGGTGCCTACATCTGGGTAAGACGTCTGGTTCTGACGCACACACGTTATCTTATCCTAAGATGAGTTTGCACTCGTGCCTCATGCTTACTCATCACGGAATAAGATAACTGTTGCGTATCATACAGAAAAAGGGAAGGCCAAGAAATTCGTATACACAAATAACTTGGTTGTGCAAAGACTATGCCCGAACTCAAAGAAGTGCGAACAAGGTCTGAGCGTTCAATAAGCTCAATTTGGGCTTGCCAAGCCAACCAGCTGTACCAACCTGAGTGTAAGCTCACGCCGGCGGGTTGGTGAGGCAAGGAAGAGCCAAGCTGGCTTCCCAAATGAGCGTCACTCGGAGAAAGGGTTAAGGTAGATAGAATTTACAAAAGTTGGATGGACAATAAAGAGAACAAGATGTTAAGGTAGATAGGATTTACAAAAGATGGGTGGGCAATAAAGTAAACAACATAGTGATGAGTTAAGGGGTGGAGTTATCAAGTAAGGAGGAAGGAATCTTGTGGGCAATACGAAATTCTTCAAATATAGAAGCGAGACGGTCGAGCTGTGCTTTATTATAAGCTTTTGAAGTGGACATGGGCAAAATTTCGTCCATACGGCGCCAGTACAGTAAAAACGCGAGGGAGGTCCAGCCCCCGGTGGCGGCGACGATTTCGGGAGGTACCCCGGC